AATTAATTTATTTATTAACTAATATTAAGTATATTATTAAACCTTTTATTTTAAAAGCAATTTTTAAATTCTATTATTATTATTAATTTTATAATTTAGCTTTAAAAAAGTTTAAATTTAACTTTAAAAATAATTTAAATTTTAACTATAAGCTTATTATTAATATTATATATTTAAGTAATAAGCTAATCTTATATATAATTAACTTAATAACTTTATTTTAAACTAAATATTTCTTTTTATTTTTATTAATAAAAAATATATAAAAAGCCCTATATCTAATATAAATTAATACTTACTTTAAACTTTTTAACTATATTATTTATAATATTAATATTAACTTTATTTTTATAAAGTTTAAAAATACTACTAAAATTATAAAAATTACTTATAAATAAGTACTTACTAAAGCCTATTAATTTATTAAAAAAATTAAGCAATATTACACTTTTATTTAATAAATATATAAGATTTTATATACTAAACTCTTAAATATATTCTTTATAAAGTTTATACTTTAAATAGCCTTTAAAGCTATTATTAATATAGCTAATCTAAATAAATTTATACTTATACTTTTTATTTTTAAAGCTTACCCTTAAATAATATCCAACTCTTTATTTATACTATTTACTCTAAAAAAAGCTAAAGCAATTTAAAAAGCTATAAAAGCATTAAAAAAATTAACTACTAAACAATAAATTAATACAGCTTTAAACACTTAAAATAAACTAATAATATTAAACATTCTAATATTCCCTTTACAAAATAATATCTAAATTTTAAAAAAAAAAAAAAGCTAATAAAGCCTATATAAGCTTTTAACTATTAATAATTATAATATAACCCTTAACTTACCTAACAGCTTAATTACCTTTTAATTAACCTTAATTTAACTATACTATTATAACAACAATATAAATTTAAAAAATAATATAACAACAACTATTAATACTAAACCATAATAATAAATTTTACTATAAATCAAATTTAATCTAAACCAATATTAACTACCCTTTAAGCCTTTTTAGCCTTAATAATAAAAATAACCTTATAAATTTAAGAATAAGCTTAAACTAATTAAAATTCTATTTACTTAATAAAAGAAAAATAATTATAAATTTACACTTAAGCTTTACTATAATAAAGTAATTACTACTTTCAACAATCTTTTTAAAAAATTTAATACCTAAAAAATATTAAACCTAATTAAATATAATATTTTTTAATTTAAACTTTACCACTTTAATAAATATAACATATTTAAACTTTTTAAGTTTTATATAATTTAAAAGATTAAAAGTAAAACTAAAAAACTATATAAAAAATTATAACTTATTATATAAAAATATAATAATAAAAAAAAAAAATATCTTAATATAATTACTAACTATATAAAAAATTAGCTAACACTTAATTATAGCTTTAATACTATCCTTATTAAAAATAAGTATAATTATTAAGCTTTAAAATATTACTTAAACCTACTTATAATTTAAAATAATACTAAAATATATACTTTTTATAAGCTTACTACCAAAAATTTAAAATAAATACTTAATAAATATTATTATAAAAATTATTAAGCTATTTTATAACATTATTAAAATAAGCATTTATTAATAAGTAATATATTATTACTACTACTATAATAAATTAAATATAAAAATATCTATTTATAACTTATACCTTTTAATTTCTATCTATAATTAAAACTACTTTAATATTATAACTATACAAATAAATAATATTTTTTTAATAATTACTCCTACCTTTTTAACACTAAAAAAGAAAAAGATTTAAAAAAAATAAATCCACTATAAACTAAAAACTAAACTTATAATTAATAACCCTTTTAATTTTAACAATATAAAAATTACTATAAATTCTAATAAATTTATTAACCTTATTTAAAAAAGTTAAAATATAAAAATCAACCTAATTAATATTAAATCTTTAAACTATACTTAAAAATACTTTAAATAATATACTTATAAAATATATTTAGCATTTATATATTAACTAAAAGCAACTTTTAATTTATTTATAGTTACTTAAATCTAAAATTTAAATAATACTATATATATTAAACTTAACTATTAGCTTTAATAATAAATATAAAACTTTAACTATAAATTATAATATATCCCTATTAACTTTACTTTAATTAAATTTATAATTTTTATAAATAATTCTTTTATAAATAACTAAAACCTTAGCTTTTAAATTAGCTTTCTAATTACCTTAATTAATAAAAAAAAAAGTATTAATTTTATAAAATAAAAAATAACTAATAATATTCTATACTAGTTTTTAACTAAATATAAAAAAATTATACAAAATATACTTACTTTAAAAATTTACAGTATAATTAACAGCTTTAATATAAAAATTATATTTACTATAACTCTTTAATAAATCATAGCTTACCTTAATACTCCTATAATACTATTAATAATCTATATAAACTTATACTTTTTCTATAAATATTTTATTAAGTTAAAAATTATTAAAAAAAAGTAATTAATAATAAATATAATAATACTTTAATAATTATACAAACAGTAAAAAATCTATAAACTACACTAAATTAATAATAATAATAATCTAATAAATATATTTACTAAAATTAATTTAAATAAAATATTTAAATAACTTATAATTATTAATAAATTAACTATTAAAATTAAAAGCTATATAAACTAAAACTAATTAACTTAATAAAAAGAAAATTACTAAAAGTAAAATTAATTTATAATAATAAAATATATTAAATTTAAATAATAAAACTTTAAATTAATCCTATTACTTTTAAACTAATTTATATTAATTAATAGTTTATATTTTTAAATTATATTTTTTTAAATCTGTTTTAAAAGTATATTTTATAATAAGTTTTTATAATATAGCTTATATATTAAAAGTTTAAATAATAAAAATTACTATTATTCTATAAGCTAAATACTATCTAATATTTAATAAATATTCCTAATTAAATTTTATAATACTAACACTTATATATTAAAAATTAATTAATTAATTAACTAATTTTATATTTTTACTATTTATTATTATTTATTAAATTTACTAAATCTATTAAATCTATTAATTATACTTTTTTTTTTTTTATTTTATTTTATTATTACTTAATATTTAAAATAAAATTATATTAATATTATTAATTAAACTAGCTAATACTAGCTTAACTTAAAAGTCTATTTTTATTTATTTATCTTTTAAATAATAAAATTATAAATTTATAAACTATTTTAAAATAAAGTTATTTATAAAATAAAAGCAATTATTAAATATTAATTTAAAAAGCAATTTTAATAATAAAAGCATTATAATAATTTTTATTTAAATTTAACAAACCTATTTATCCTAAAAACCCCTAAATAAACTTAAGGAAATTAAATATCTAAATTATTTAAATACTTAATTAAAATATATAAGCAATTACTTTAATTATTAAAATTTCAAATTTAAATTATATAAAAAATAGTTTTTAAAAAGGTTTTTAATACTTATAAGTATATATATATATTTAATAAAAAACTACTAATATATAAATTATAATATTAGCGTTTATAATAAGCTAATTAATTTATTAGGCCTATAGCTATAAATAGGCCTTAAAGGAATATAGCCTTTAGCTATTTCTTATAACTAAGCAAACAACCCACACCTAAATAAACACCAACATCCCTAAACGCGCATCATATTCAAATACATAACCCAGCTAACATTTACATCTATTATAGCATTCTTCGGGATGAACACAGAGTAAATTTCGTCTATCTCGAGAGACAACCTAGCGATCTAGTTCAAAAAGAGCAACAAAAGGCCAAAAGGAAAACATACAACACCGGGTATTCGCTGGTCATCACCGACCCAACTACTAATCCAGCGGTTACCAGCTTATCTATGGGAGAGCGGACGGGATCCCGACTTTTCTGATACCTATGGTCGTATGTGCTTGGTTCTCTGCTGTTTTGTATTATATATTCAAGTCAAGATCATTCAGCTGTCTCCAGAGATAGCTGAATCAACTTTTGAACCAACCAAGCCAGTCAGTCAGTCAGTCCTCGACATCGCACCAGCTGTTGCAATATCTTTCCTTGGTCATGAATATAATAATGTTTTGAATCCACTCATACTTTAGTCCTGTTGTAGTAAATGAGTTGTAGAAGTGGCCCAAAAAGAAATTGCTGTTGTTTTGCCTGTGGGTGGTGGTGCGGGGAAACGCTCAACAATGGAGCCATCAGTACAAAGCCCAAAAAGTTACTGGGTATGGAAAGATCTTAAACCTCACCATTTTCTAGGAAAGGTCAGGAATTTTGTCCATTATTTCATCTTGAAGCTATATGTTGCACGCGAATGCAACGCTCCAAGGCATGAAATTTGAATGACGATGTTTCATTCTGCATATTGCTTCTGCAACTTTGTAGAACACTGCTACGAGTATATAATCAACCGAAAAGGGCCATGGTTTGATGTCTTTGGTTGTTTTGATACAGGAATAAACTTTTTCAGCACTGCTACACCTTGTACGAGAATATGAAGAGAATTTTGGTTAGATAAGCCTCCCAGAGGAGCGCCGTTTGACAAATCATGTTTATCAAGGTTGAGCTCTCACGACCACGAGCACCGTTATGTACAAGTCATTGAAGAAACTCGTCGTTTCAAGATGAGGGAGCCAGTCGACTGAACCCATGCTAAGTGTACTAAGGCATATGACCGGAAACGCAGAGCTCGACTGCATCTTGATGCATTCCTCCCATGAGGCATATCGCAGCCATTGTCAATCAGTGCTAACTGATACCTCTGCATTTCATTCAACAAGAGCCCTGCGTAGAGCCTCGTCCTTCAAAAATCACAAAAAACGTGTACTCTCTCCTCATCTGAGCACCAATTTCGCAAAGCTGCAATTTATATTACTTCTTCACTAGGCACGTCTTCCACCTAGAGCTGCAAATCTCGCCAACTTCGTCATTTGATCAGCCGGCACCTGAGTCGGATGGCACGAGCTTGACTGACCAAGCCTTTTCACCTTTTGGATTCGTCTCGATCGTGGCCCGATACTCTTGTTCATTGCCAGCCAGGTCTTTCAGTGTCACCTCTCTCGTCCTTTGAAGACTTTCGATCTCATCCAGCCGCTCCAGTGTGGCGCGGAGGTGTTCATCGAAGCCCTCGGCACTGCACACTTCCTTCATGGCCCAGTACATCGCTACTGAGTCTGCCTGGACCATCCCATCCGGGTCAATGGTGAAGATATTGTTGTGGTGTGGCATCTTTACCCATTCCGAATTGGTAATCAACTCTCTCGCCTTGTGCAGTGGAATCTGAGGCAACCTTCCATCGTAGGTTCCGGCTGCTCGCATAGCCTGCTCCTTTTCTATCAAGGCTTTTGCGAGAAGCATGGCAGCCGAAGACAGATCTTGTTCATTTTCAGCACCGGGATCCCTGCATAACAGTCATTAGCAACAGTCATCCCCCAGTTTACACAGCTACGATTGCTGGAATCGTGACGCCTTCAAACAGCACCTACATATCCGCCCCCAGAATCCAGCACTTGTTCAACAACCAGCGCCTCTCCTTTTCGCAGATTGTGTTGCAGGTCTTGATCATGTCTGGAGACTTTGCAGCGCGGGTGAGGAAGCTGAGCCGGCCGCCGATCTTGCTGTAGACCTGCTCCAAGATATCCGTCGGAACGTTCTCTCCGCGAGAGGTTTTGCGGAACTGTCGTAGGGACTCGATGGCAATGTCTTTGGGGATGTCGCGGACAGGGGTCACGCGAAGGCGGGTGGCCTGCCACGTCAATCTTTCTGTGGTCCAGTAATCGTCGCTATTGAAAACTACAGTCACCAAGTTGCTAGCCGCCCAGAGCTCAGCACGCTGCTGGATCAACTCCAGCAGATCCTGGCCGTCCTCGTCATCTCGTATCAGGTGCGCCCCAGTGATAATCAAGACCAACGGCTTTCCGACTTTCTCCTTGCGTCTTAACGCGATCTTCTCCATTTTGTTGAAGGCGCGCTCGATGTCTAGTAAGGCCGTTGTGTCGCGTGGTCCTTTGAAGCTGAAGAGACTACCGACGTAGTCCTCGTGGAACTCGAAGTCTAGCGCCTTGCCCAGTCGCACCCTGAAGATCTCAGGGTCTCCATGCGCTTCAAACATAGCGACTCCCTCGCCACCGATCTTGCCCATGGCCTTGAGCAACATTGACGTTTTACCTGTCCCCTTCTCGCCTGTGATGAGGTGGTACTGGCCACGGATGCTCCCATCAACGATCCCGTCGATGATCGCCTGTTCATCGCGCGGTATCCAGTCGTTATCCTCAAAAGTCTCTGCTTGAAATAGCTCGGCGTGGGATCCTTCTGATTCGACGTGGCGGCTGAGCGCAGCCATCTCCACGGAGGAGTAGCCCAACGCGAAGGCGTTCTCCATCTTGCTCAGCACGTGGGACTTGTAGTAGACATTGTAGGAATAGCCCGCGATCCCTAGAATGAGGATTGATCCGAAGGCGGTCGCACAGCCCTCTATCATCTTGGACGCAGCGGTCCTCCAGATGGGGCCGTTATCCCCACCGTCATTGTGAGAAGATTCCCCTGACCCTGAAACTGTATTTACGATTGAATTTGGCTTCTCATCTTTTGGCCTCGGGCTTCTGAGTATTTGCTCTCGGGTGTTGCGAGCGAGGCCATTCTGTCCCTGAATCAGCAACGACGGGAGTGTAAGGAAATGTCGGCTGGAGCCACGCGCTTACGCTTTGGCGCTTCGCCAGCCATACGGTTCTGCGCATAACACCAACGACGAGACAGCTTGACACTGAGACCTTTTTCTTGAGATTTTTGCTGGTCGCTTATACTTTGGTGCTTGGTTATTTGCGCTGTCAGTCGACAACAGATGACTGACGTTGTGTAAGGTTGACCAGAAAAATCACAGCGTGGCTTGCTTGGCGGTATGACAAGCTAGCATTTGGATGCCCCACAATATTTACTCCTTCATCAAGTTCACCAGTGAGACGAGCCAGCATAACAAGTTGGAGCCGGTACATAGCTATTTTATGAAATGAGGTCGTATAGTTATATATAAAGATATACACTGTCTCTAGATACTTAATTACTCAGTACTTGCGGCCGGGCAATTCCCGCCCTTGGACAATGGTTATATGATGTGTGACGCATGATCATCACCAGCATCGCCAAGGTCACAACGGCGCTTCAATGATAGCTGAGCACAGAGAGTTGTACCAAGAGCCAATGAATAGAGAGCAATAAAAATTACACTACAAAATGACAAATGTCTCGGCTGGTTCACCTGGCCACATAGCCTCTCCGTCCATCATCCCATGCACATACGCTTCCCCGACTAGACTCATGGGTACTCGCTGACCTTCAACATCCTGCGCCAGCGATCTCAGCAAGAATGGTGTATTCAGCCCGTAAAATAGACATAACCAGTCCCCTGCCTTTGCCCCGGGCGGCACCATCGCCAGATATCCAGCATCCGTGACTGCAAGCGCCCTTCCAGTACAACACATGATCCTGCTACCATTCCAGGTCAAAGCACACCGAATCGTATCATTACTCAGCCCTAAATTCGTCAACAAGTCAACACCCGCCATTTCGTCAAGCTCCCCGCGGAAACTGTGCGTCACGTCCTCACTCAGCTCACGCTCCAACGACGCCTCCCATAATCGGCAGAAGATCCCCAGCTCTAGCGGCGCCGGACGTTGAAACTGGGTGTCCCCCACCAGACAGCGCCAGAAGGCTTCTTCGATTGTCTGGCCCGTCGGGTACGGGCTCCGCGCAAACTTGATGGCAAGTCGCCGTGCGAGCATGTGGGCTTCGAAAATCGATCTGAGTGCGGCTTTGGAGGCGCCTTCGCCGCCGTTGTGCTCGGTGTAAGCCATGGCAGGGCTGACATGAGTGATTCGCCCGCAACGGTGGCCCTGAATGTGTATGGCCACCTGACACTGTTGGTTTCCCTGGTCGATTGTAATGGCGAGGGTGGAGCCTGCCGACGCGTTGTATCGGGCTGAATGTTGGATTTTGGTGAAATGCTGGCGATGAGTCTGCATGATGGATTGCTTTGTCCAGTCAGGGACCCAAGAGGGAAGGTCTTCGAGATTCCTGTCGTATCCCGTCCCGGCACAAGATAGAATATTATTGCAATTCTTGAGGATTAGATTCTGAGCAACGTATGTGTACAAGTTTTTTGCAGACTTGGCGTAGTCCGGTTTCAACCACTGATGGACATCGTCGTCTGGTTTTAGCAGACCCAGCAGGGCATAAATCCTGTCTACAGGCTCCGTCGAGAGAAAGTCGGCTGTGAATCCTATCAGCGATATTAAATCGTATTGAGGAGAATCGCGCTCCATCTTGAAACGTGCCATGGTGAAGGCATGCAGTACCCCAGTTGGGAAAGTGTCCGATACCCCAGGCAAATTGCTGCTTTGGAGAGCCATACTGGATGGTACTTTGTTGAGCATATCTGCGACCATGGCAATATGTTCCCAGACCAACGTCTCACCTCCTGCCAGCACAGTGACCGACGATGCCATTGCTGCCTCCTGCACCACCCAGATGCGGAAAAACCAGGAATTCGCGTACATATCCGAGAGCTGGATCCAACCTGCCTCGGGGAAAACTTCAGAGTGTTGGCGGATCAAGGCCATGCACGACTCAACGCTGCCAAACATAAACTCATGCCAGAGCCCCGCCAGCATAGTTCGGACCTTCCATGGCTCTTCTATGTCGTCTAACCAAATGATGACTTGGGAGGCGTTCTTGTAGATGCGACGCATCAGTCCGATTTGCTGGTCCTTCTCGGCATTGTTGGCCTGGTCAATACAAATCGAGTCGATCCAGATGAAACGCTCCCGTTTGTATGAACAGAGATGATACAGTACCGCCACAACGGTTGGAGAGACTAGCCACACCTTTCCGTTAATGTAAATCGGCTCGGTCATCTTTCCCCTTCCCCAAGTATACGAGAGGGCTTCATATTTGGTTTTACTATCGACATCGACGTCAACTAGTTCGCATCGGATATCCCCGAAGGGCTTTCTCTTCAGCAGTTTCAGAAGCCTTATGGTATTGGTCGAACCAAGAATGATAGGAGTGTGTTGGTAAAGGTGTAAATGTCTTTGCTTCCTGATCTGAGACCACCAGGACTTCAATTTCAATCGAAAGTGTCGCATGAGCAGTCTCATTCTGGGCAGATCGCCGTGGGGTAAGTCATGGACTGTGACCCAAGTAAATGTCGCCGATATGCATGCATACCATGGGATGTATGCCAAAATGACAGTCGGATATCTTGTGGCAGGATTACTTATAGCACGAGCTGCCGTCACTGTTTCGCGTAGATATCGGGGTATGCGGTACCAACATTGAGCAAGCTGCCAGGCTTTTCCCGATTCCGGTTGCAGATGTATGACTACTTGAGTGCTCAGTAGTAACACGCTGACTATAATGATTGTCGTTGTAAGTTGACTCCAGGAAGGCAGGATGAGAGCTGACGTTCCAAACAAGAGCAGACCCTGGCCTACTGCCACGGTATGGACCAGCGGACGAATTACCAGTCTCCCTGGGCGTTTGGCTGTCAAGTAATTGGATTCAATGTATAAATACCCAGATATCAGTATCGAGGCTATCGTCGTCGTCAGTATTGATGGTACTGCCAGTGTCTCGAACAGAGTGTATAGGAGGCTGAAGAGCCACCATAACTTCACCCCTCGCCGCATGGCGATCTCGGTTTCCATCGATGTCAACATCTTTGGGTGAAATGTGAAGAGGTCTCGAAATTTTTGGGTGTAGTCAAAGAGAACCAGCCTTTCCCTTGGTCCTCATAGTCAAAATCTACCTACAACATCGACACAGAGTTGACTTCCTTAATCCATCTTTGGAGGCTGAATTGAGCAAGCGCTAATGCGAGTTTTCAATATAAGGCGCAACTGTGTGAGACCCTACCCTAATTAGGACATGTTGTGAGGAAAAACTCACTAACAGCTATGTACCCTGCTCTGTTGATACAGGGGTAATTTCCACACCGTAAATCCTTATCGGCTAACAAACTGTTACTGGAGACAGAGTTTACGGGCGCAAAATGGCATCGTGTTAACCGGTAATTGATGCAGAGCTCTACCAATGATGCAGGTCTCCCAAACGACCAGCCTCAGCTGAAAAGACAGTAGCTAGGTGACTCATGATTAACGTCATCTAGTTAATCAACTTACAAACCTCGTAATTGCGCCGTTGGAATGTGCAACACCTGTCGATACCGCACGAAGCTCGCGAGGTTGGCGCTAGGCAGCAGGTTCTTCGACAAGCCAAGCAAAGTGATATATGCATGAGGTACAGTCTCTGGTCTGCTTACCTGACCCTGTTCTTTTGAGAGTGTCAATTAGTATGTTTACTGCAGTAAAACATGGACTATCTTGAGACTGCGGCCACTTCCGGCTCTAGCCATGCTGTCCTACCCTGAAGTCGTGGCCATGTGCTGAGGGCGAGGAGCAGGCTTAGCACACTCCTTACTGCCGATAGGATCCCAAATATGACAAGTTGTGAACACCCGGCTGAACTTCTTGACCGCGCCACCAACGAGCACCATCTCCAAAAGACAACGCCTGCCCAGGGTACCAAGTTGGATATACCTGAGGACTTCCGGGTTACAATGTTTTGAATTTATTTTGAGAAGTAGAGGGTAGTTTGGTGGTTTTAATCAATGCAGTCTGGAATTAAAGTATGAACACCCACATTTGATCGTCGATTAGTCGTATCGTTGGACAAGACAGCAGTGAAATGTCAACGAAGTAGCTTGTCCTTGTGACAAAATTAAAGCCGTTCACTGATAGGTACACATCAGAAAACAAGATCTACATCCCATCCGATCAGCGAGACACTCAGGTTTTCACGTGGTCCACTCGACAGACATCGGGGTGGAGATCAAGAAACGCAGCCCGTCGCTATGTGTGTAGCTTCACTGCTATATGAATGATACAGCTGATTCTGAAGCTCGTGGTTGAATTGATGATGAGCTGGTGCTGGAATCCAGGTACTCTCGACTGTATACCTTGCTCCTATGAGTAATGACCCCGCGAGGTGGCTATATCAATGCCCTGTGCACTCGACCTACCCTCTCTTCGAAACACAACACCAGATTTGGAGACAGAACCTTGGTTCAAAGCTCTCTTCTGAAGAAGTCTACACCCATGCGTCTGTGGGTCCATGGCACTACATAGGTATGAGAGGAAGCCTATGCAGCTAATCCAATGGAGTGGCAACAAAAGGCATGTTTGTTATTGGCATCCTCTTTCTGGAGGCCTCTCCCAACGACTCAGTACATTTGAGTAGCTCATACCGCGCCGTATAATTCTTCTTCGAGAGCATGAAGTGGGTTTGATGTGGAGTTTGAAAGAGTCATGGTGCCGCACGGGAGAATGGAGGCAGTTGTACTTCTATTAATTACTCCCACTTTCCGATGATACTACATTTTTATCTGTTTGGGATCCACATAGAATGAGCAAACACGAAGGAGCAGCGAGCATTCTCTTCAATTCATGATGAGTGCCATACGTTGATCTGCGTACATTATCCCTTGCCCTCAACAAATTCAAGTACGGTGTCTGATTAAATGGAAATCCGAGGATCGGACTGAAGATTCGGCCGAAAGTGTTCGGCTCCGGTGTGGAGCTTATGACTTCGTTCGGACGCATGTAACGTATCACAAAGCATGGGTAACAAAGCTCCGGCATCACAAATTGGGCTGTGTATTGTAAGCATCAAATATCGATCTCTTAGATGGATGCCTGGGCATGCTTACGGTCTGGCCATCGAGAGGCGCCCAACTAATTATGACCCTAGATCCTCTTGTCTCGTTAGTGGATCCTGCGGTAGCATTCTGCTGGGACAAGTTCTCTCGGTCGCACCAACCAGGCTGGGGTATGATTGGTAAGTATCGGCCGAGTAAGCCGGCCGAGTGTTCGGATCCGTGGGTTTTCTGAGACTCTGGACGAGTACATATTCTGTATACGCCATGGGCGACAGTCGAGATTGAGATACCACAATGCTTTCCATCATTTTTCAGTCCAGTAATCACTTCTTTTGACTATCTGAAGCTCATACGTTTCAGCCGCACGTGAACCAACCGCTCTGTTAAGCCAATTACGCCGTCGTCACCACCATTTACACGCCAAACTAGTCCCCACAATCCACCCCCCAGACAAACACACCATGCAAATCCTCCTTCTAGGCGCAACCGGCCGCACAGGTCTCCTAGTCCTCAAAGAAGCCCTCTCCCGCAACCACAACGTGACAGCGCTCGTGCGCTCCCCGTCCGCCCTGGAGACAAGTCTCGGCGACCACCCCAACAAGGCCAACCTGACCACGATCACCGGCTCCCCACTGAGCGCAAGCGACATAGCCACCGCCCTCGCCGCGTCCCCGTCTCCCGTCGACGCGGTGCTGTCGACGCTCAACCCGCGCCGCGCCTCCGACAGCCCCTTCGCCGCCGTGCACCCGACCGACTCGCCGCCGCGCATGATGGCCGACAGCATGGCGGGTGTATTGACGGCGCTCTCTGAGGGACAGGAAGGCGGGAGAAAGGCCAAGGTCGTCGCGCTCAGCGCCCTTGGCGCCGGGTCCTCGGCGGCCCAGACCAACTGTCTGCTGCGGCTGCTGTTTCGAAAGAGTAACATGCTGTTCACGTACGAGGACCACGACGCGGTGGAAGAGGAGCTGCGAGGGGCGCAGGGCACAGAGCGGGAGGTCGCATATGTGCTCGTGCGGCCAACGCGGCTGGTCGAGGGTGAGGCAGGGGTTGCGAGAGTATTTGGGGGTGATGGGGTCGTTGGTATGCTGGAGACTATCTCACGGGGTGCTGTGGCGAGGTTCCTCGTTGATGCCGCGGAGGGAAGCGAGTGGGATGGGAAGGCGCCTATTATTGTTGGGTGATTTTCTTTTTTGAGCAAAACCCGTTGGGATGACGGACACGGACAGGCGTAGGTGGTTCTTATGGAAGAGTTGGTATGTTTGAAACAGTTTTCTTTTTTCTAGATGATAGGTTGGAATCTCGTTCAAAAGAAATGGGTATATAGAGTGATGATAATGACAGACAGAGGTCTATAAACAAACATGGAAGAAAAGGATGGATATCTAAAACTGTTCTTTCTCTCTTTTGCCTCCAAAAAACATCAAGATATGCATGCCCCTATGCCCACCCAACCAGACCCGACCGACCACCTTGGGGTGGGTATGAATCTTTTTGGTAGAAAGAAAAAAGGTGGAAACAAGTGAGCCGAGAAGGGAAAATTTGAGAACGAAAAAGAGTATAAGTGGGGGTATCAATTGAAGAAGAATCCAAGAAGTAAAAGGATGGAAGCAAAATAATGAATGATCGAAAATGGCCCAAAGACGCAGTGCTTTTTCCTGCCTTCTGGTCCAGTCTCTTTCCATCTCCACACCACTCCCTCCACCAACGCAATATTCATCCCCTCATGCGTCAAGCAGCTCTGCCGCGGGCTCCGCCCTGAATTTTCTATTGCGTTGTAGAATTCGAATCGAATAAAGACTCCCGTTCGAGGAAGCCATGCGACCACTGGAGTCGATCATGGGCCGCTGGACGTTGTCATTCTCAACGCCTATCCTGGCCATCGCAGGGCGAGATACTGTCTGGTCGGCCTGTCCGCGTTGTTTCGTAAGTCTGTATGATAGCATCGCTCGTAAATCCGCCCGTCCACTGCGGCACAATAGCGTTTGTTTTTGGTGTATTTTTTCTCTGTCTGGCCTGGCGCAGACAGTCATTTCCTCTGGAGATCCTTACAACACGTTATTCCAGTATGCTCCGGACCCATAAACTCCAACGTGTTGTTTCGAGGCGGACGAGTAAAAGCAAGTGACGATGTTCGAGGGTGATTCGTTTCAACTCAGACCGACAGGGACGGTGGCAAGATCCCACTGGTCCATGTCCCAGTAGGAGAAATCGTCAAAGAACTAAAACGAAAGATCTAGGTCAGTATCTTTTGCCCATCACATGAACCCATCACATGATGCCATCATCGAGACCGGGAAAAAAACTCACAGTAGTAGGACTATACCCCGATCCCCCACCAGAACCATACGGCCCATCCATCGCCGAACCACCGCCAGAACCACCGGCACCACTACCCGCCGAGCCAGGCCCAGGCATGCTGGCAATGGTCTCAGGGCTGGCATTCAGCGCAGCAGAGCCCGCGTCAACGATGCGCGCCACTCCGCGGGCGACGCGCCGCGCTCGCTCGTCGGCGGTGCCGCCCGCCACGGACCCCAGCACGACAGCCAGCACGACCGTGTCCTTGAGCAGGTCGCAGGCCGGGTCGCCCTCGATCATACCCGCGAAGCTGTCGAGCGTCGCCTGCACCGCGCGCGTCATGCCCTGTGTCGACCACACCATGCGGTTGTCCAGCGCGTTGGTGAAGCTGATGCCGCCGGCGCTGTCGTGATGGGGCGCTTCCGGGCTCGGTAGCTGGCCGTTTATCGTGGTTGCTGACGGGGAGGACGTCGTGTTGTGGGGGTGGTGGCTAGCGAGTTGATGCTGCTGGCGGGCGAGATGCTGCTGCTGCTGCTGGCGCTGCTCCTCGCTGGCCGACCTGATGAAGTAGCACACGCTGAAGGCGGCCTGCATGATGTCGTGCTTGAGCACGACGTGGTACATGTGGCTGACGTCGCCGAAGCCTGGGGTGCGTGGATCCAGCTCGTCCATGTAGGTCAGCATGGTCATGGACGACTTGAGGTAGCTGGTGGTGATGTGGGCGGGGCACTCGACGGTGCTGAGGGCGAAGGGCCGGTACAGGGCCAGCAAGGGCCGTCGCACATGCATGTCGAGCAAGGCACGCATGCGCCAGTCCTTGAACTTGGCCCGCGGGTCCAGCGTCTGGTTGCGCCGCGGGAACAGGTGGTTGACGTCGTCCAACAGCTGCTCCAGCTTGGTGCCGCAGTCCAGTACCTCGTGGAAGTCGCGGATCGTGTCGAGCCGATTAATGATGGTCGACACGCGGATGCGATGCGGCAGTGTGCGTGAGGCGTATGCCTGCAGCTGCGTGTTGGTATACTCGTCGATGGGCCGCGACGGCGGCAGCGTCTTCATGTCTGGGAAGATGTCGGTGTCGTCCAGGTTGCTGGGCGGCCGGCACGTGTACTCGCCCTCGCGCACGGCGCCTGGCAGGTTGCAGGCCAGGGCGAGGTGCAGGTCCATGTCGACTATGGTGTACCACAGGCGCCGGCGTAGCTCGGCGTAGAAGGGCCGGATCTGCGGGAACTCGTCCGGGTCGCGATGTAGGCCCATGGTCATGGCCATGCGCACGATGAAGCCCAGCTGCGCCCACGACTCCTGGTTGCGCGACAGCATCATGCGCGACGCGTGCAGGTGCAGCACCTCGCACTGCAGCGTGTCCATGTCCACCAGCTGCTTACCCCTGAGCCCGTCCAGCCATGCCCGCGTGAGTGCGCACGCCGTGGGTGCGTTGATGCCGTCTGCGCGGTCGCGGCTCAGCCCTCGATTCTCCGTCTCGAACCGCGCGCCCAGTGACAGCATGCACATCAGGCGCGGCAGAAAGCCGTCCGAAACGCCCGTCTGAGCCCAGAAGGCCTCGTACTCGGCCTTGAAGGTCGGCACGTGTATGACGCGGTAGATGCCCTCCGACATGGAGATGTATGCCTCGAGCAGCCGGTCGCAGATGGCCTTGCCCGGCAGAATGTCGGCCATCCTCTTCTGCACTGGGAGCATCGAGTCGGTGAACACCGAAATGGGCGCCAGCGCCCTCTTGCTCTCCTCCTGCAGGGCGCGGTGGATCTTGTGCAGCTGCTCGAACAGCATCCTGATATCGCCGCCCCTCGACGTCGTGAAGATGAACTCCCTGGCTTCGTCGAACAGGTTCAGCAGCACCCGAGTGCTGTTCTGCCCGAAAAACCGGGTCCGCAGGTTGCCCTTGACGCTCAGGCTCCGGATCGTGGTCGGCGACCCCGTGACCGCGGCATATGCCGCGTAAGGATTCCGCGATGGACCCCATTCTACTGCATGTGCAGCGCCGGCACTGGTGGAGGCGGGGCTCGCGCTGAAGACGAACTTCTCCAGCCGGTCGAGCCGTGTACCGAATTGCTCGAGCAAAACCGACCCTGGCAAGCCACGAGGCTGCTGCTGCTGTTGGTCCCCAGCGCCCCCCACTCCCGCTGCCACTCCCGTTCCCAGTCCCAGTCCCAGCCCTCCCATGGTCCCTGGGCCCGTCTGCAGCTGTGGTGATTGTGCGTCCAGTGGGTATGGTGGGGCCGGGCGATATGGGCGCTTGGTGGGCCTGGGAGAGGCCTCGACGTCGGAGCCCTCGGACCCTGGGCCAACGTCATGCTCGTTTGCGTACTTGCACACGCGGTTGGACTTCTGGCACTGTGAGCAGGGGCAAGTGCGGTCGCAGCGCAGCTTGCGTTGGCGGCATGAGTTGCAGCTCTTGACGGGTCGTGGCCGTTTCACCGCTTTACCTGTCGAACCCGGTCCATCGAAAACCATGGTGGTCATGTTGGACGCCATGTTAGCGACTGGTGCCGGCCGTTCTGTGATTTGTACGGGAAAGCCAGGGGCGCTGGCTGCTGTTGTCGAGGTGGGAGTAGTGGTAGAGGCAGAGCCGGATCCATTGTCCTGGACCTGGACTCCCGGTATAGGTGTTGCCATGCTCGAGTGCGGCGAGGGAGCATGAAGCTGCGAAGCGTAGGTGGGAGGGAAAATAGTGACCCGGACGCAGGATTGGGTCCGGATCATGCGCGTCGGGCGCCGATGCCAATGGCGGGCGCGGGATACTTAGTTAAACCCGAGCTGCGCGTGTGGCGGAGCGACTAGAGACTCAACGCAGTCTCAATGGGCACCCCGTCTCGGTCGGCCGAATTCTCAACTGGTCGAGTTTGAAAGTGGTGTAAGTAAATACCAGCAGCAGATATGTGAGAGCCAGTCCACCGAAAAGATGAGAAGATGAAGAGACGGAAGAAGTGGGCGCCAAGAAGTCCAATCCCGAAGGTACACACACTCAATGCAGTGCAGAGCTATGCGGTACGGCGCGGTGTAATGCGGTACGTTGCAGCGCAGGCCGAGGCACAGCAAGACACAGGAATGTATCCTTCAGCCGCTTGATGAATGAGACCGTGCTCGGATTTCGAGATCTCGCACCATGCGACACACAAAGCAATGCAACGTAGCGCAACTTGGCGACTGAGGTGGCGGCGGTGGGAAGAGGTGATAGTCTGTTGGCGGGAGGTGGTGAAAGTATTGTGTACAAGGGAGGGTATGTAGTTGTGTGGCTGTATGTGATGATGTATATATGTGTTCGCGCGCGAGTGTGTGTGTGTGTGAGAAGTGAGAAGATGAGAGTGAGGGTATCTCTGACAGGTAATGTGTGTACCCGGACAAGAGATGTGCGAGGAATAATATGATAGATATCTGATGCTCTCCCGCCTCTAGCTCTGGCTCTGCCGTCTGGCGCTGGGCTTGGCCCTCGCTCTGGCTCTGGCTCTGGCTCTGGCCCTGACCCTGGATGTGGGTGTGGGTGTGGGTGCGTGAGAGAGAGCGTGTGAGTGTGTGTGAGCGTGCGTCTGCCCCAGTTCGGCTCCGAGAGGCAAGCAAGGGAGGCTAAAAAAAAAGGGTAGTGGTGCGGTATAGGTGACGGAGAAAGCCGTCAAGGACCAAACAGCTGTGCAGCCCGTGGTGGCCGTTGAGCGCCTAGCCCCAGCGGGGACGTTTAAATCAGCACGTAATCTCTTGTGTGCCGCGTGGGTGTTGTGCGAACGCCGATCATGCTGGAATTAGAAATTGTGCTGTGGAGGTTATGCTGATTTGACGCCCGCGAGCCTCATGAGGGCCGGCCGTGGTTGGAGATTGGATATGCACAAGAGAGATGAGATGGAGGTGTGATGTCGATGAGATGAGATGATGAGATGACGAGATACTCTCTCTGGGACTGGGGGACTGAGAATCGACGAATTGAGGCCTCAGGGCCCAGAGTCAGACTCGAACAGGCCGAGCAGGAAAGAAAAAACCCTGACTGGATCGGCCGGTTCTGGCTACCCGTTCCCGGGGCTTGTCGTGTTGTGTCGTGTCGTGTCGTGTCGAGTCGAGCCTGTCCTGTTCTGCCCTGCCCTGTGCTGTGTGTATGATCCTGTACTGGGTGGTCCGTGGTGGAATGGGGAATGATTTTTGAGTGCTGATCCTTTCCGCGAAGTGCTGGGGCGAGCAAGCGAGCAGGCGAGTGGCCATCAAGCTTCTGCAGGTCCCAGTATCGGATTCGCACTGGATTGGTGGTAGACTGGACTGGTGTGAGGAGATCGATGCCCACTACAGTCCTTGCCCTGTGCTGTTGCTGTGTTCTGTTTGGTTGTTTTGGCTGCTCGGATACATAGACCCAGTGAGACTGGGAAGAGCGCGTGTGTGTGTGAGAGAGTCTGTGTTAGAGGGAGAGAGGTACATGGAGCAACTGTTTCCAACCAGTCGGAGCCCACATCTGCAACCCAGCCCAGACTTTCTTCTCAGACTGGGTAGTCAAGTAGTCAAGTCAGTTAGTCAGTCATTCAGTCTGTTGGTCTGTCTGTCTTGCTGTCTTGCGTCCCTTCTGTGGGGGTGTATGCGTATGTGTATCTCTCTCTCTCTTGCTCTGCCTTTCTCTCTTCTTAGTCCTCTCTTCTCCGTAGTCCGTCGTCCTCGTCCGTTCTCGTCCGTCCGTCCTACCCTCGCGCATAACAGTATGGCCGGTCGTCTTCCTCTTACAGTAGTCTAGCTCGAGCCCACAGTTCGAGTGTCCGTCCGTGGCCCCATAAATGCTCAGTCTCGGTGCTACGCTGGACGGACCGGGATTATTTCTCTGGGGCCCTGGACTTTTAAATGCCTACTGACTCGCCTTGGCACGCTGCCCTCGAGCCCGGAAATCTCCTGCTGGGCTGGCTGATAATCTGATAATTATTACCAGGTGGCTTCCAATGCCTGCCAACCACATGGCTAGTTCAGAAGCTGCGGGAATATTTCCCTCTCCTCTCTTAGTGCCTGCACCCTCCCTGCTTCCCTGCCCTCCCCCAGCAGCCTTGGAACACCCCGAACTATCTCCACCATGATGAAACCAGGTTGTAATTATCGAATCGGGCTGTCCTGAGTTGCATTGAGCCCTTTGGCGCACGGGAGCTGGAGTATCTGGTTGGATTCTGGACCAGAGAGGGCTGAAGAAGAGCATGAGGCAATCTCATTGCTGGTCGAATCCGGCTGCAACCTGGCAGCAAGCCCATCTGCCATCTCCGGCCATCTCCATCTCCACGCCTACGCCGTCCGAATCATAGGGCCCCCCTCCCCATTCTTGTCTTCCACAGACCGACCCTTCTGACACCCTCTGTGCCCTCAGTCCCCCTCTTGAGCACGTTCCCACCGTTCGCCCCATCTCGCATCGCCTGGTTGAATCAAGCAATTCTGGCAATCCCGCCGTTTCCCTGCGCGAACCAACCACCACTCGCTCGGAATGTCTGAATGCCCACTCTCATCCGTGCTTGCCGCGGAGCGTGTCCACTCCTCTCCCGGCTGATGGGGTTGACGTGCTCAACAACTTCCTTTCAGCTCGTGGCTGACATGTATCCGCAATCAACTGCTGTGTCTGTCGCTGATGCTGCAGTCTGGTCACCTACGGTACGGTATGGGACGGCACGACGCACGTTGCATCGAGTCGAGTCGTCGTTCATGGCAGTATGGCATGGCCAATAAGCATAATGCACGCGATCCTCCACAAAGACACACTGACTGATGTAACATCCGATACCCCCCTCCCTCCCACATTGTCTCGCTCTCTCTCTCTCTTTCTCTGTGTGCCTTGCTCATGTAAGCAGTGGGAAATCTCTTTTCCTCGCCTCCCATCCTCCCTCCTCCTCCTCCAGCTAGACCGAGAAGTAGTCTGGTAGTACAGTAGACCCTGCGCCCCCAACCCCAGAATACCACGCTGCCCAGGAACAAGGCCCAACGTAGCTTGGGGGCTCGGGAGGTCGTGCGTTGCGTTGAAGCTGCGGCCACGGAGCCGACCACAAAGCCCAGCCAGGCAGGCCAGGCCAGCCCACTGCATGCAGGGACTGTCCTGTCCAGGCCAACGCCTAAAATGGTCAAACGTCGCAGTTTGCCCCTGAGCTCTTTGGGCCCGCCCTCTTCCGGCCCGAATGATCAGCGCTCCCTCGCACGGCCGAGAGAGAAAGAGGAGGTAGATGACCAAGTCATGACTTGTCTGACAGACAACTGACAGACTGGGACGACTGGACGACAGCCCGTCCACTGGGCAGCACAGGGCAGATTGATGGGCAACTCGAAGCGGGGATGATCCGCCCGTCCGTGATCAGCGAGCTGGACCCCCAAATCAGGATTTGCCCTCGTAGGGCATAGGCCTCCGGGCGCGGCATTTCTCAGTGGCTCCTCCACCGGTGGACACCCCACGGGTGGTGGGTGATGGATCATCTCATGTTCGAGTTTTTGTGTTTTGCTTTTGCTTGACGGAAGAACACACACCCTCGCAGAACCAGCATGGTACCTGTCAACGCCACCAACACTACCAACGCCTCCACCAGATGGTGAGATCCAGCGTAGCACATCTAGGGACGGCATCACGATCAATCACACAGGTTCACGTTCACCAGATATGCTTAAACCAGGTCCTTACCGTCCCCTCGGTTCAAGTGTCGTACTTCGTCTATGGCCTTCCCGGATGGGAAAACGTGCCCGTCCGTTGCACGATCTAGGCTACAAAGCTCTGCCCTCGGCCGAACCTTGAGCATATCGGCCGCTACCTGACCGGTTATGTACATAAACCATGGTACGCCAGTGCAGCACAGCTTCACCAAGTGTAATCATCCGACGGGAGCCACACTAGCCAGATCGATGCGCGCCATTCATCAATCTCGAGGCTGCGGGCTATATGCAGATGTGTCGCCTCCGAGAATAAGACGGACGCTAAACTACTGTTGCATCAACCGTTCAAGTTTCTAGGGACACAGGCGAGAGAGGGGCGGAAGTGTCCCGCTCCTCCGGGACCGTAGACTCTGGACCCCAATGCACCCATCCTCCCAGCACCACCAACCACTGGAGTGCATGTGCACAGTAGTAGTCATCAGTCAGCCATCGCCACCTCATCCCACGCAACACATTCGGAGAGAAAAAAAACTGTCATCTTTCCAATGTTTGTCCATGGGCCTAAACAACGCACGCAGCATATAGACTGTCTACAGTCTAGCACCACGCCACCCATATGCCTCAGATCCGCAGACGGACCAGCGGACGAACCGACCGGCACATCGTCTCGGCACTCACTTACACACCCAAGCTTTCAGAGCTCTCTCTCTCTCTCTCTCTCATGTGTGTTTTTCGCCTCCACAAATCCTTGGTCCGTGACAGAAACAGAAACAGACCAATGCCCATTTCCCTTATCACACAAATACGCGCGCACACACCCATCACATATCCCACCCCTGTCCATACCAAGATGCCGAAATATTACCAAATCTTGCAATCCCAGCCCCTAATCCCATATGCCGTATCCATTTCAACGATCGATCACGTGTGAGTCCGGGGTCCCACCTGTTCCCTTCCCGGATCAGACCGCCGGCCCCAAAACAAACAGGGGATAAACAAAGGCACGCCCATGGGCCAGGCGAGGCCTGGCCAGCAAGCAAGCAAGCAGCCATCGCTCGGGCGCAAATGGGGGCCCAGTGCAGGGGAGGTAGCATCATGAACGATGGATGATGCCACTAGGACGAACCCACACCCCCAGCCAGCCAGCTCGCCCAGCAAGAGACAAGCGAGAGCGTCAACAAATTTCCCGCCTGGACCCAGCGCCCGGCCGGAACGAGCGAAACGGCACCAGAAACATCGCCTTGCGCGCATCACTCGGCATTTGCACACTGTGGTCTAAATATGACATACACAGCAAACATGCGCATGGTTTTGACGTATACGCGCCCAAGAGGTGACCCCGGAACTGGTTCAATAAAGCCGCGCCTGTAGGCCTCCAACAGCAACCACATGGAGCGCAGATCATGCGCGCGCACACAGGGCAGGGCTGATAGCGGTGGGGCCGGGCAGAAGCTCAACGGGCGAGTCGAACGAACCCAAAGGGAAGCACGGGGCAAGGCCAGCCTGCACGGGGCACCTCAACGGACGGAGGGGGCTGATCTCGCGGCCGGAGGATTAAGATCATCGATTTTGGAAATATTACGAAGGTGGTATACGTGGTCGGTGCGGTGCGACCGAAGGCACGTTTTCCAAGGTTTTTGACCTTACTTAGTTCCGCCTCAGCTTTGCGCGCGCCCGCCGCCGCCGAAAAACACGACGACGGGAGAGCCGCGCATCCACGCGGGTGATGATCCCGCCTGCCCACTCGCTCGCCCACCCGCACGCACTGGGCTGCGCGCGGCATCCACTTGCCTTGTCTTCCCCGGCGTTGGAGGAGGAGCGGGCTGAAGAGGCTGGCGAGGCTGCTCGGGGAGGCGACATCTCATGTTCCGGGCCCGGGTCCGGGGGGTTGGCGCCGAGTCTGACTGTGGTGGTGATGTCGGGTCCGGTTCTTCATTTGTGTTGTTGTTCCCACTTCGCTTCGTGACGTTTGTTGGGCGATCATCCGTCGTCTCTGTCTCTCGGTCTGTCTTCGGGATCGCCGTCGACCTTGATGCTACCTTGTTGCGTGCGGATGCGTGATTGTGTCTACGTCTTCGGCCCCGGTGGTCATTTGTGATTCCGGCCAGTGCGCTCTTCTCCATTTCGTCATACGATCAGACAGGAACAACCGAGCCAGCAGACACCAGTGGTAAGCGAGGTTGTCGCCCAGACTGTGCGTAGGCGTGGGGCAGGGAGATGTCGCCCCGTCCGAGAGGCAGGTCAGTAATCATCAGGCTCCAGGCCAGCCGCATGCTCGCCGGCAGTCTGTTGCTAGGTGATGAAGCGATTCCTGGCGTGACAGATGGGCGTGATCTTTGTCCATGAAAGCAAGCATCGCGCGCACTCATGGACGAGTGAAGTAGGCGCCCCAGGAATGTGGAATGAGAGCGGCGAATCTGGCGGGACATTTTCCTGCGAACGTCAGCAGCATTGATGTAACACATGAAGCCTCGTGAGCGTTCTTCCTCGGTGGTCGTATCCGTTTTCGAAACAATCCTGTGCCGGTCGTTGTATGGTTGTTCTGTTGGAGTCAACAGACACTCATGCCGTGAGTCTGCTGCCGCTCCCAGCATGTCACGCCCCACGCAGCACATCAAAGCACGGCCTCACGTAGGACAAGGGCCCAAAGAGGAGCAACTGATTTGTTGATATTATCAAGCTCTTTCTTTTCATCTTCCCTCTCTGCGCCGCAGCTTATAGAGACGCCTCCTGGGACAGGCACGCCCAAGCACTCTTGCCAATTATTTCATCCGCGCCCCGCCCATCACCTCCTTCAACATTCCCACCGCCTTAAGCAGCAGCAGGGACCTCGACGCTCTGCGTCTGGCCGTCGGCCTCACCAGAGTTGACCTTCTTGCCCGTCTTGGCGATGGTGGCGAGCACCTTCTCGTAGGGCAGATCGTCCTTGGCCACGACGGTGGCGGTCTGGTTCTCGAGGGACACTTCGTATGACTCGACGCCTGCGGTGGTGGTGTTTGTCAGTTTCCTTGCTCCTGCTTTTGCCCCTGTGTGACAGTAGAGGGGCAGGGCAACGCCTAGATGGAGATGGTAGGCTGGCTGGATGGACTGCGACTGGCTTACCCTCAAGCTTCTTGAGCACCCTGTCGACGGCGCCGGAGCAGCCGGAGCAGCTCATGCTGACGTTGAACTTGTAGGTGTGTGTGTCGGCCATTGTGAATGTCGGTGTGTGGATGTCTAGGTTGTTTGCCTGGATCGATTTGGTCGCAGTCAAAGGCAGGAGAAAGAGACGCTTTCACGAAGAAGAGGACTGTTGTGGTTTGGAGTCTGTTTCGGGGAGGTAGTGGTGGGGTCGCGGGGTAGCAGTGATGCAGTACGGTACAGATATCCGTTTGCAAATAAAGTGTCGATGCCTCGCTCTTCAGGGTATCGTGAAACAGGATTGGAGAATTAGATGTTCTTCGATGAAACCGTTCAATAAATCTCCAGCAAGACAGAGAATAGCAGCCAGAACTGGGACGACTGTGATTATATATATATCTACGTGGCCTCGTCACCGTCCGAGCTGAGACGTCGTTGCCAGGGGTGGCCAGGAGGGGGGGTGGGCGGGAAAGGTTGATTAGAAATTGTACACCTGTCCTGTCCCGCGTTGTCCAGAAGCTTGAGCTTCATTCATTGTCGCTCACAAATCGACCAGTCACCCGCCCGCTTCATCAATCACACCTAATGGTCGCACAGATTACGCCATCGCAGCGAGGGAGCGAGCAGGCCCAAGCAACGACCGGGCCACCGCGCCCAACGGGGGCCACAGGGGGATTCAGGCGGGTAAAACATGCTCAGTCTCGAAACTATGCCAGGGTCAGTCAGTCTGTCTGTCAGTCACTTTACCTTTCACTCGTCGTGTGCTGTGACCGTCTGGAAACTTCGTGCCCCAGACAATCTCGCTTGATGAGCAAGTATCACAGACACGATGTGGACCATGAAGCTGACTGTCTATCTATTGTAATTTGTACAGCTACAGGTGGTCGATGGATTGGATTGGATCTGAGCCAGCTTGTGCTCATCACGTAATAAGACAGGCTTCGTCCCCCGTCCCATATACAATCCTGTGCCTTGCATGACCAATCCTGACTAGCCTTGCCGGCTTCCGAGCCTGCTCTATCCTCCGCATGCACGGCACTACAATTTATGTATGCCAGCACGCATGCATCCTTCCACCTTCCTTCACCGAGGACTTCACCTCGAATTTTAACGTGGTATAACTTTCCGCCTCAGAACCCCTTTCGCTTAGTTATGGCCCCTCTCTGGCCGCTCCAAAGGCGGTACGTCATCGTCATCTGAATCATCGTCTTGGTCTTGTCGCCCTCGGCCGAGACGTGGACGAACCTCAGGCGAGTCCTCGGGAAAAGCACCAGGAATCAAGTCGGGCATCTCACCCTCCTCGTCATCTTCCTCTGGCCAGTCCGCCCACGGATTTCCGTCCTCGCCAGCCAGCTCCCTCATCATGTCCTCCACCGTCTCCTCGTCCACCTGAGCCTGCCCGCCCCGCGCCATCCATACCGGCAGCAGCAGGTTGGCCAGCCGACCCAGCAGCCCCTGTTCCTCCGTTCCGATGGCCTCGCCGCCCTCGCCGCCCAACCCGCCTTCGCCGCCCTCCACTTCCGCGGGCAGCCCTTGTGCCGCCCGCTGCTGCTGCAGCGCTCTCTGCGCCTCGCGCATCAGGTTCTCGATCCCGCCCGCCTGGTACCGCTCCGGGTGCTCCGCCCGGCTCCACGGATACTCCTGCCACTCGTTGGAGAAGACGTTCTCCTCCTTGGGCGGCGGCAGCGGGTCGTAGTCGAAGTTGGGCGACGCGTGCAGCATGCTGGGCGGCACGAGCCCCATCAGCTCGGGCGTGTTGTCGAGGTAGATGAAGCGGCCGATGCTCTGCGGCACCTCGCGCGCCGGTGGCAGCGAGCCCACGTCGGGCTTGGTCGCCAGCGCCCCCGCTTCCTTGAGCAGTGGGATCGCGTCGCGCTCCTTCTTCCATAGATCCTTGGCCATGTGGATGTAAAGCTCCGTGTAGAGCGCGTCGTCATCGTTGCGCGGCTGCACGCCCCAGATCGCCCGCGGTGTGTCGATGTTGACTGCGCTGCACAGGGACGAGTATAGCCACGGCAGCGTCTCCATGCCGTGGACGAGATCCTTGAGCGCGCCCTCCCGGTCGTTGATCAGGAGCTTCGCGAGGACGCAGCTCTGCCTGTAGTACTCCTTCATCGGCAGGTCGTACTCATCGCTGTTGAAGTACGAGGAATTGCAGAGCTCGATGAACCATTCGGACTCGTAAGCGTAGACCGCAAGCACGTGCGTGAAGTTCAACATGCCATACTCGTCATTTGGCGAGAGGCTGAGAAAGAGTTTCGTCCATTCCAGGGCAGTGTTGTAGGTCCCCTTCTGCATCAGGCTCTTAATGTAGTGGTAACCAGCCAGCCAAAATTGCCTATTCTCCGGCCGCCTGAAGTCGAGACGGGCTACTCCTCTCTCCAGCTTCTTCCTGAACGACGACAGGGTGACACGCCCAAACGTAAACAAAGCCCGCTCGAGGAGATCCGCCGCAAGAGCCGCGTTCGAATCTCTGATCGCCACCTTGTTCGTCGTGATGAGCGAGTTGACGTGGTATGGGTTGTCGTGTACGAAGTGGACAATCCGCATCGGGTCCATCATGTCAACCAGGCTGTAGAATTGCATCTCCAGCAGGCCGTAGCTCCGGTCGTGTGTGAATCTGTATTCCGTCGGCTCCACCCTCTCGTCCGTGACGGCCTGCATCTTGAGCCCGCCTGCTGATGCCCGGGGCCAGAAGTCCTTTCCCTGCATGAATGGGTTTTTCCTCAGGACCACATCGGGTATCTTCTCACCCGGCTTTCCCTTCAGGTACATCTCCATGTTGACATCGATATGGCCTCGCCGTTGGTTCCTGCGCCGGTCGTCCCGGGCCTGGCTCTCCTCCTGGCTGCGTACCGAGTCAATCGTTTCCTGACCGAACATCGCCCTCAGCTCCTTGATGACCTTCAAGTGGTCGAAGTTTATGCTCAGCAAGCGTGCCAGGTTCACATCATAGTTTGCATGCGTCTCCTGGGCTGCTGCAGTCTGTGCTTGTGGCTTCAGGCTCAGCTCCTTCAATGCGAGGTCGATCTCGTCCAGTCCGCCCTTCTGCTTGATTTCTTTCTCCTCGGGTTGTGCGGTCTCCGCCTTCTTTGCCTTCTTCTTCTTCTTGGGCTTCTTGTTCTTCTTCGCCGGCGTTGGCTGGGAAATTTCCTCTTCCTCTTCCTCTTTCATGTCCTGCCCCTCCTCGTCTTGGTCGACCTTCTCGTCGCTGTCGTCGTCATCGTTGCCTCCGAGCGCTGCAAAACCGGCAAAGGCGCTGACGCGAGGTTTGGGTGGCGCGACCTCCTCCTCAGAGGACTCGTCGTCATTGCCGGCGAGCTCCTGCAGCTTTAGAAGCTCTTTTTGCTTCTGCAGCTTCTTGAGTTGTCGACTTGACATGATTTCTTGCCACTGCAATGCGAGTGTGAGAATATTGTATCGGGTTTGAGAGGGGCTGCGCTCTCAATTCAAGTTGCGCGGGCGGGTGTCGAGCATAATATGGAGGGGCGGAATTTATGGAGGGGTCAGGATTGCTCGCCGATGCTGTCATCGCCGACAATTTTTGGTGGCACCTCTATGGTGGAGCCTAATCCTGGACGGGACGGTCTCCACTAAAACCACCCAGAAACGGAACAATGCTTGTACCAGAGTGCAGGCGTACTCTTGATTATCCTTGGCCATTTAGCCAGGATTCACCACACCTCTCCAAGCGATATCTCTGGCCATTTAGTTTCGTACAATCCACAGAATTTGGCATCTATTTGCACGTTGTAAGCATGCATACATTCATGAGCATCCAGTGACACATCCTCTATGTACCCAAAGGTCAGACTATATCTGCGTACGGTACTCTGTGAGAACCACGCTGTCTACATTCAAGTCGTAAGTCAGCTTCAGAGCCAGCATGGACAATCTTAATTCAGTCACTCTGATATTTGCTCGAAAAATTCAATTCCAGTGATCCTCACTGAGATACGAAAATTTAAGTTGCAAACCTACACCTACAAAACCCCGACACACAGGAGTGGGAATAGTCAGCCTATGGAACGACCTCAGAGAGGCCTCAACTCTTCAGCCTCTCATTCCGTCATGATGCGACACCAACGCAGTATGCATAGTCAGGCCAGAACCCATCAGCGCAGTCATTTGTGATAGCAGGATTCCTAGCGTACGCCGTCAGTGACTTCTTTCTGTACTCATTAGGCAGCAGATAGCGCAGTATTCGGCGGCAGCTTGTACGTTGAAACACAGATGTAAACTTTAATCACTTACCACAGATAGAATGTCTCTAGCGAGATTCCGTATTGATTCGCGATAGACCAACACCCGTCACCACCTGAGAGCACGCAATGCGTCAGTTGTCCCGTAATTTCATATCTCTCAGAAGTCGAGTCCGGTCGTAGGGTCAAACTTACTGACAACAACGTGCCACTTGTTGCAATTGGCGACGATGCCTGGTTGCGTGGGGCCAGGTGGGGAGACAGCGGTTGTAGTAGGGGCCTGAGAGGTCGTCGGAGAGGGAGCAACTACGTCAATGACAGTGAGTGAGGGCACTCGTGTAGCAGGGATTCTAAGGTGCCTTCATACCTGTTGTCGTTGAGCCAGGCCCACCGGTGTCATCGTCCGTTGGGGGCGGGTCGACTCGGACGCAATAACGGTAGTCTGTTCCCTGTTTTAGCACTCGAGAGGTACGCAACGAGACGTACATAAAGAGGTGTGAAATACATACCTTGCCAAAGACTCTGACATTGGGAACCCACAGCAGGATTCCTATAATGGAATTTGCCGTTAGATAATCCTCGATTATGCTACTCTAGGAGAACGGCGACCCACCAGGCATAAAATTGGGCAATGGTAAGACCATATGTAAGTAAAGCCTGCGCGCAACTCATTGGAGCGGCAATAGGGGCGAATTCTAAACAATCTGGTGTTGCGCCATCCTGTAGTGAGCTCGAAATATCAGCTCCATACCATCTATGCTAGAGGGGCCCTCATGGTACGTATTCTAGTGGGTTTCCACATACACGAATAGGAAGTTCAGTTTCCGAGGTAGGCTGAGGTGTCCCTGGAGTGACCAAAGACGCATCATATGCCTCCATGCAGTACCTGAACCCGTCCTGCGGGGCACAGTCCGAGGAATTGGTATTCAGTGATGGGTTCCAGTTTTGAAGCTCCTCAAGCGATACGCCCCACCCACCGGCCAATGCTTGACAGGTGGATATGTAGAGGGTGTTGGCTAGGTCATATTCGACTTGGAGCTGTGACCCGTCCACGAAGAGGTAGCAATCTTTCCTGGTGCCATCTGCGAGGGGCAATATCGCCGGGAGCCCGGTGATTGCAGGGGGCGTGTAAGTCGCCTTTGGTAGACTGTCGTACGGAATGGTATTTGTTGCTGATACGGGCGGAACATAGCCCGAGTGAGATGGATATGTGTCGATAGCTCCCACGGGACGTACACAGTAACTCTCGAAGGCGAAGAGATTGGTGCAGCTTGCGCATGTTAGACAAGAGAAAATCAACGAAAAGGACATGAACCATGTACCCGGTGAACTTACTTCGAGTTAATCCCCTGATTTAGGAACATGAAATCGTCCAATGAAATGCTGTATCGTAGAAGAATGAGGTTGCAATATTCGTCTGGCTGGACTTCGTAGAACAAGGAGCAATGAGTGTTTGTTCCGACCGCTACATTAGTTGGTACAGGTGCCGGAACGTCCGAGGGCCCTGCCGTGGGCTGTGCAGTTGTGGTCGGTATGGTATAATCGCTTCCACCTCCCGGAGGTGAGAGACAGATCGAATCGCCGATCGACTTGCCAATAGATCGGCAAGAGGTGCCCAAGACGGGATTCCCTGCGTAGTAAGTCAGTCAAAGGGTTTTTCAGTATTTGCCCAATAGATATACAGCCAGTCGCTTACACAGTCCTAACATGACAGCGGAGACTCCTTGAGCTTCCGCTATCGAAGCGCAGGTGTCGTTCGTCTGGACAGTATACACCTTGCATGTGCTCTGGACGCAGAGCGAGCCACTGGTTGGAAAATTGCCGCAGAAGGCCTGGAGTCCATTATCAAGTAGAAGCCAGGCAGTACCGACATCTTGGGCTTGCGAGACTGACTGGCAAGTGTCTCCGGATTGGATTTGATACGTTGCCCCGGTGCAAGTAGGGGTCGCTGGAGTGGTGGTAACGATAGGAGGCCTATCACAGGAAATTAGCGCTGAATTCTGGCTCTGAAGCACTTGAGTCTTCGCATGTGCAGCGTTCCTCACTGAGGGTATGGTGTCGTGGAGCTGGGCAAGGGAAATCCAGTCTTTGAACAGCTCGACGTGAGCGAGGAATACTCGTCCTGAAAAGCCACACCTCCATTTATCGGAGAGCCGGCCACAAACTGCATGTGTTTGATCAGACAGTCGTCACACTTATCCACAACTTGTCGTTCTGTCGAGTACAGTCATGTCAGTTATTCATGCCGCACTGCTGTACTTGCTCGCTCTCCAAGGCATGTCAATGACTCACTAGCAGCACCTGTATTGGTGACTCCAGCTGCTTGTGCTGCTACATTGTTGCACCATCTGCTGCCATCCGTTATGCAAGACCGATTGTAGTAGTAGTGCAGTGTCTGAGGGATCAAGGACACCGGGGCATCGCTGTGTTCAGTCAAATTGTACGTCTCCGCAACGCAGGCACCTGCGACTGAGGTCTCATATCCGGCGAGAGCTGCGGCACAGCTCGCTGTGCAGACTTGCTCAAGTGTTGCTACCGGATAGAAGTCACCCCAAGTGAATGTTTTGACTTGTCGCGGGCACGCAAGGTCTGAAGTCAGAGCTGAGACACAGCCGGAAGTGAGCCCTACCACAGGCAAAGTGGCCTCAGTGAGATATTGGAAGGCCTTCCCAGGCCACGCAAGTAAAAGAGCGACAAGAACAAGACTCAAAGTAGTAGCCATGATCGATGAGGACAGACGCTGTGAAACGAGCGAAGAAGCAATGCAGAAAAGTTGGTTGTCAGTGGGAAGCGTCCTCACCCCGTTCTAAAGTTGCCATTGATCCAAGTATCCCATCATGGTCGAGATACCCACGATGCTTTGAACCCCTTTCCGCTTGCACACTTCTTTCAAGAGGGGGCCTTATTCGGCGCGCCAAGAAAAGTGGCCAGTCCGGTATCAGGAAACATTCGGAGATTTGTTATATTGCATTTTCTGATATTGAAAATTGAAGTGTTGCGCGTGATGTTTGCGGGCTTGGAAGCTGACCAGAGTCAGCCCCAATGCAACCGACCCCTATCTTCCTGCCGAGGCGTCTGCATGTGGGAAACTGTGTTTCTGGTAGACCACGCGTCTTCACTCTCGCAATATTCGCAGCTAGATTGCCGCCGAACGATGAACAGCGTCGCCAAGCATCATTGTCCGAGATGAGGGTGGAAAAACTGACACTTGGGTCATGTGCAGACTGCAGCTTGCCGACACTCCAAAATCGATATCATGCTTACTTTAGAGTTCTGTAGAGGCAACTACTGGGCGGCTCGGGCTTTCAGCCTTGGCAGGTCAGCCTTGGCACCATAGTGGTTACCAGCCTGGTGGTGTTAGATAAAATTGCGAATCCTTCAGGCCGGGAACACATACCATGTGCCACCTAGTGCGCATGCGATAGTGAGGCAACGAATGCAACCTTGGGTTTAATGTTAGCGTCTCGATATCAGGCAACACTCCGATGGCTGTGGAAACGCTACGATTTGTATGTCCTTGTTCCGTACACCACCAACGCAGAAAGCCTCTGCAGTAATCAAAAGAGGAAATGCAAGAACAAAAGAGGGTGCGGGGCTCATTTCAGGGCACCAGCTTATGGTCAGATATACGCGATAGTCAGGGTCTCATTATGGCTTGGCCAAAATCTATTGTTCCAACGGGCTGAGGATCGTGGATATGCCTCAGTCGAAAATATATGTAAACTGGGGCTGCGTTTCTAGTGAATGATTCCCTGGCTCGATACGCCCACTCACTCATTTGTTTCCATGTGTATGCGGCCCGATATCAGAACCATGATGGGGTCTCTCAAACTGATTTCCTTCCTTTCTATCTCATTAGTTTCAATAGTTACAGGCTTTCCGGGTACTCCTCCTGAAGCATACTCTTCTGGCGACTTGATTGAGGCGAGGGATGCCGCTGCTCAGCCTATTTGCTTGCCAATCCCCACTGTCTTGAAAACATCGGAAGATTTTGTTGCTAAAGTTCACGGCATCTGCCAGCGCGATGAGCACTCTGCTTTCCCTCAAAGCCTAGGCCTTGTGGCACGGCAAGTCGTAGAAGACTACTCGTGCGATCAGAATAGGCCGTGTAGGAACGGGGCTTGCTGCGCGAAGACAGGCTTCTGTGGCTTCGGTCCGGATTCGTGTGGCACTAATGGCGAGTCTCCAAATGATAAGTGCTGGAGTAACTGTGATGCCCACGCCGAGTGAGTGAGACGAACCTTTGTGCAGAGAGCTTCTTGCTGACCGACTTTCCTTTCCTTACCAAGATGTGGACGCTACGCAGAAGAAGAGGGCAAAGAGTGCCCTTTGAATGTCTGCTGCAGCCAGCACGGTTTCTGCGGAACAACGTCTGAATTCTGCGATGTGACAGACGACGAAAAGACGTCGTGTCAGAGCAACTGTGAGCAGCCTGGCTCCGGAAGCTCAGGCGGAGATGTCCAGAAGCGAGTCATTGGCTACTATGAAGCGTGGAACCACAAGAAGACGTGCATAGGGATGCCAATTCAGGACATTCCTGTCGGCAGTATCACCCACTTGTACTACTCCTTTGGATACATCCAACCCGACTCGTACGACATCGTCACAATGGTTGACGAGAAGGGCCAGAGCCCCCCAGAGAGCACCTTCACCGAAATGACGGAACTGAAAAAGAAGAACCCGGCACTAAAGATTATCGTGGCGCTTGGGGGATGGACCTTCAATGATAACCACACTATTTGGCAGCCGGTCTTCTCAGACATCGTTTCAACCCAGGACAAAAGATCCAAGTTCATCAACAAGCTGATGTTCTTCCTCACAAAAGCTGGTTTTGACGGGGTCGATATCGACTGGGAGTATCCAGGTGCCCCTGATCGGGGCGGTCACTCAGATGATGGTGTCAATTTCACAAAATTGCTCAAGGAGATGAGAACAGAATTTGACAAGATGACGGACTATAAGGAAATATCCTTCACGGCCCCAACTAGCTACTGGGTGAGCTCATCCTAGACCATGTCATTGAATTCTCTCATCGCTAACACAGCTTCAAAAAGTACTTGCGCTGGTTTGATATCAAGGCTAGCTCCGAGGCAGTGGATTTTGTGAACGTGATGGCCTACGATCTCCACGGTGTCTGGGACGGGAACAATCCCATCGGAAAAACAGTACTGGCACACACTAACCTGACGGAAATAAGCCTTGCTCTCGACTTGTTTTGGCGGAACGGCGTGGATCCGGGCAAGCTTAACATGGGACTCGGCTTTTATGGCCGCTCGTTCCAACTTGCGGACCCTTCTTGCTTCCGACCAGGATGCATGTTCAAGGGAGGTGCCTCAAAGGGTCCCTGTACGGACAACTCAGGCACGCTGAGTTACCGAGAAATCATGGATATCATCGATCAGAATTCCTTGACACCATATTATGACGAGGACAACGCGGTCAAGTATATTACATGTAAGTTTTGTGTCTCGTTGTCTTCACACCGTCGTTCTTTTTTTCCTTTTTCGAGCCCCAACAATAGAATAGCTGACAATTGTACTTTTAGGGGGTGGCGACCAATGGGTCTCATACGATGACTTCGATACCTTTCAAAAGAAAATTGAATTCGCCAATGGGCTCGGTCTAGGGGGTGTCCTAATCTGGGCCGTCGACCTCGACACTCCAGACCTCGACGCTCTATCCGCTGTCATATACCCAGAGCAGCTTGGCGCCAGGGCCGAACAAGCGACAGCGGCAAACAACTGGGAAGACGCGGATGGTGGCCATTGTCGAGTTACCGATTGTGGCTATCCTTCGTGCAATGCTGGTGAAATACAAGTTACCATTCAACAGTGTGAGAACACTGACTGGTGGGATGGATCATTCGCTGTCAGCGGACTTTGCTGTCCGCTGTCCTCCGCCCCAAAGTCTGAAGACTGGTGAGTGTCCATATTGCATCGCAATCCCGGTACCAAGTAGCCTCGTCATTAACTCAGAACAAGTGCTTGGCGAGGAAACCCTGAGTGGTGCAATGGCCAATGTCACGACGGCGAGGTCGCGCTGCAATCCTCACTTTGGGGAGATGGAGACAAATGCTGGGATGGCAGGAAATTTTACTGCTGCCCTGCGGCCGCTCAGCAGCCCGATTGTCGGTGGACAGACTGTGATGGAAGCTGCAACAGCGATGAGAGCGAGCTGACCTGGCAATACGGTAGCTGTCCCGGCGAAGAGAAGAAGAAATTCTGCTGCGACAAGGACCAAGGCTGGAAGAACTGTGCCTGGCACGGAAAACCGGGCAACTGCTTCGATAATCATTGCGACACCGGCTGGCAGGTTGCACTCGCTGTTGTTGACGAGGGAGAAGGCGATGATTGTGGCATCCTCAAGCGAAAGCGCAGTTTCTGCTGCGATCCACCGGACGGAGAATCACCATTCCTCCCCGTGCCTTTAGACTATTTGTTCCCAGATCCGCCACCGGAAGACACGGCGGATACTGACTTCGATCTGAAGGTCGATCCAACATATGGTGGCAGCAATGACGTCCCCTTCAATGAAGACCCCAAGAACTCACCTTTCGGATTCGTTGTACTCGCCAGCCCCGAGGAGCTGCAGGTCTCGATAGACAAGCGTGACGGGTCCCACTGGGAGGTCTTCGACTGCTTCGACGGCGTCACTGAAGGCCAGCATACAGTCCGCATGGTCTGCACTGATACTTCCGAGAACTCGAACTGCGGAAAGATCCACCTCGGCCATGGTGCACCTGGTACCATCGTCGAGATGCCACGCGGCTGTGGGCCGGGCAAGTACGCCGTGGTGAAATCGCTCACCGTCAGCCAGAACCAGGGGCTCCCGCAGCATCTGGTTAAGAGAGGTCTTATAGCCGATATGTCTGCGCCGGTTCATGACTTGACATTTGACTATGACTTTAGACGTGTGCCTAGAGACCTGGGTAGCACCCAAATCAGGATCGACTACAGCAACGAGCCTGAGTATTGGGGGAATGTGGTCGACAAGGCTGCAGGCAGTAAGAAGAACAAGCGCAGTCTAGCTGATGTTGGAGGATCTCACAAGAGATGGCTCGAGGAAGAATGGCGTGATGACTATCACTTTGGCGCCCTTTCGCACGAAGACCTGCACAAGAGATGGTTCGGAGAGTAAGAAACCCCCCCCCCTCCCGTTTCCTTTGCCCCTTTCTTAAATGCAAGCATCAAGTCATATGAGAAGAAGGACAGGCCTCGTGCTGACAAAAGACCTCTTCTCGTTATGCAGGGACGTGATCAGCTGGCTGAGCGGGCTCATCAACGGCGTGAGCGGTGGCTTGGATCTAAGCCACAGTTATAGTGAGAAAATTGTGGTCAAGCTGGTTGACGAACGCCTAACATGCCCCAATGTCGCCGCCAAGCTTGAAATCAAGGCAGAGACAAATATTGACGTGGACACAAACTACGGATTCACCCTTATTGCGACACTCGACAACCTCAACCTCGACTTCAGCAACTCGTACTTGTATTTCCGTAACAAGGGAAAGGTCGAAGCAAAATTCATTGTCGATGCCGCCGTCACGGTCCGTTTCGATACCGAGGATGTCCTGTTGCTCTCAGCTGACAAGTTTGGGGCGGCTTTCTCGGTGCCCGGTATTGTTACCATCGGCCCCAACTTCAAAGTTTTTGGCCGTCTTGAAGCAGAAGCTACCCTCGGCGTCAACCTAGAGAGTCAGGTTGTTCTTGCAGAATGGGACACAAGGCAGACCTACCCAGTAGCTAACGACGACTGGGATCCAGAAGCATCCAAGAATCCTAAAAAGGACGGGACGCAGAGCGTGCTAGATCCCACATTTGAGTATGGGCTGCGTCTTGAGGGCCAGGTCACAGCGCACGTAAAGCCCATGATCACATTCGGCATCGACTTCAACAAGGACCTCATCAGCATCGACCCGGTGGCCGTAAACTTGGTAGCCGACGGCTGGGTGCGGTTCCACGCCGACTTCGAGACGGGCAGTAGTGGCACATCTTTCTGCTATGGAGTTGACGCCGGTGCAGACATATACGCCACGATCGATGCGCCGGAGCCCTTTAAATGGGCTCTCCCCTCTTCTCCGTTTCCCATCATTCCTATCGACACAGTACAGATTTACCCACCCGAAGGTGGAGAAAAGTGCTGGTCGCCTTCAAAGCGAGATCTACTCGAGATTGAAGGATATGATGTTTCAGAAAACTTGACGGGTTATCAGTCTCTGCCACCGCGATCGTTCGGCCGCCGGCGCAATGAAGTACTTGTCGAGCGCAGCTCTGCCACGCTCGAAAAGCGAGCCCAAGTATACGGTCCGCTTGTGCCTCACCTGACTGGACTTCGCTGTCCCGGAGAGATCCAACTCGGTGACATTCCTTCATGTCCACTATGCACTAGTGAAGAGGATGACGACAGCAGCCTGGTCCGACGGCAGGACGAGGAAGACGTCTGCGTCTTGGAGAGAGATAACGGCGAGACACAATGCTCGGCCGAAAGCACCAAGAGAGACAGTGTTCTCGTCAAGAGAACCACCAAGAAGTTGTCGTGGCAGGATCACCTGGGAACTACCCACTCGTTGTCTTGTGGTACATATCCCAGCTGTGATGATGCTAAGAGTGATGGATCCATCTCCAAGTGGTGGGGCTATGAGATTGACAAGTCGCAGGCTTGTCCCGTGCAGATTCAACATCTAACAAGAAACTCCGTGGGATTCAAGCAGGGAGACTATGCCAGTAAGTGATTGCATGCAGCCGGCTATCTCAGCCCTGAACACACCACTAGTACTGACATCTGTTTCAGCTGACCACGTCTACGAGGCAAATTTCATCACGGCCTTCCTGACTTTCCTCATCAACGGGCCTCTCCCTGCTGGATATACTACGGCTAGCCGACAATGGGTCTCGGAGGTGCTTGTCGGTGTGCCCACCACCGCCAACGCCATCCAGATTGACAACGCCGATTCTCTGTTCTACGATATGACCAGGGCACTTGGCGGGAATGGTGGAGGCAAGGACCGCCTAGCGCTCCTGTACGGTGATATCAACAGCAAGAAAAGGGCGTTTATGCAGTTGAACGATGTCGATCAAGAGGACCGGAGCAGCAACCTGGCGTCTCGCCGGCTTCATCGCAACGTAAGTGGACACACACACCCGCTTCCTCTATGCCTACTGGGAGGAACTGGAGCAGAACAGATGGGGTGCAAAGAAGCTCAGCGGCTAACACTAAGGCTCATCCAGACATACGCAGTCTTCTCGTACATGAACCAAGACGTCATCTGGGACAAGTTCACTGCCAGCTCCCAACTCATAGAAGGGTCACTGCGCGACTTTGACAACGCGTACCAGTGGGGCAGCGCAGCCGGCGAGATAGGCCGGCCGACCAATCGAGCACCAAACCAGCCGGCGGCCGGGCTACGCGACCTGTACTGCTTCTGGGTCGACCTGCAGCTCAACTCGATCGAGGCCAAGGCGGACAACTGGGTCAACTCGGCACGCACAAAGTACGAGTCGCGATACGGCGGCGAGCCGCGCGGCATCGATTGGCTTGCTACCGAGTTCAACGCCCAGACGGGCACCATCCGGAGCGCGAACCTGAGGTTCCCGGCCGCGGGGCTCAACAAGCATGGCCGCACGGGCGGGCCTTTCAATAGTGACTTCCGCGGTCTTTGGACGGGTCAAGCTGGGCCGTGGTGAGGCACGGTGAATCGCTGTGGCTTTTCCGGGCCAGGTTTTGGGCGCTGGTTTCTTGTATATAGCTTTTTGATTAACTTGGACCATAATTACACCATTACTCCGTACGTGAAGGTCGTAGAATCGATGGCGCCAGTGTGATCCTCAGTCCCGTCCAAGTTACCACGAAGTCCACCCCAGCTCCAGAGCTTGCTCATACGGGTCGCTGAGCTGCTCCTCCTTGATCAAGAACATATCGTACATCCTCCCTTGCACCGTGCCGCCACCGTCGTACGCCTCAGGGTCCGGGCACACAGGGAAAGCGCGCGTCCTCGTCGGCGCGACCATGTCAGGCGCCTCCTCCAGCTCCTCCGGGTCCGGGTCAAACTCACTCGGCACCTCAGCGGGGCGGAACTCGACCATGCGCAGGTCGGCCCCGCTGCGCCAGTCTGGGCTGTCGATGATAAAGAGCACGTCGTGGTGGCAGAAGGACGGCGGGCGCAGGTACGAGGGGACTAGCCCCGGGAGGCGCTGTGTCCCTTCGGTGTGATTGTCCGCTCTGTTCTGGCCTCCTCCGTTCCGAACCTTCTTGAGCTGGTCGGCGTAGGTCCCTCGCGCGGCTTTTTCGGCGTTGTAGTGCTGCTTGCACTCATCTACCGATGACCCTGGCCGGAAATAGATATCGAGCCGGTAGCCGGTTGTCTCCGGCGCGTAGCGAGACGTATTTAGAGCCTGGAGAAGCTCGACAGCGTTAAATGATTCTGGCGACGTGTTTTCTAGTGATGTGACATAGATTGCAAAGCTGTACAATGGTGGCAAAGGCTGGTCAGCGGGCGCCCAGAAAACCATTGCCGACGCATTTCCGTCATGGTCATGGAAAGGCAGCGAATGTATCTTGATGGCGGTACCCATCTTGGGCGACTAGTCGTAAGTGGTTGGAATTGAGAGGTTGTGAATGATGACGGTGGTGAGCAGTAAAGGGGAAGACCAAGGTTGTAAATATGTTCCTCTTCTGATAATGACCGTAGTTGCTTGGCTGCCGCGGCAGCTGATGTCAGCACGTGACCTCCCAGGGAATTACCGTTGCTTTCAGAAAATAAGTCGCGAATTGAATGAGACGACAGTAGATACTCCCATTGTGTGAGAGCAGAGTGGATCGAGACCGACGAGGTGAGTGTTGCAATGGACGTCTTGGCCACGTTTGAGAGAGAATCTGGAGCCACGACCTTTTCGACACGGTCCATTCGCAAGACAGGGCCGACTTGAAATTTCTCGTCTCTTTATCGCAGCAACTACTTCTTCAGCCTTGAACTAGGGCATTGAAATACTCAAATAGAAATCGAGATTGACCCGAGTCTCACATCCCGCCCAGCCTGTCAGCAGACTGGTTGCATAGATGCCTTGACATGGCTCACAGGACAGGCTACTTCCTCGCACAATTAGAAGTTGCGAGGCATGTCTTCCCAACTCAACTTCATTGTCACCAGTCGAGAGGTTCGAGAGATATTGAAGAGGTAGGGAGGATGAATGGTGAGTCACGGCCTTGGGGGGGGGGGGGACGGGTTTCCAGAGTCAGCTGACTTGGCGTTCGCGTCTGAGATGGAGGGAAGTGGGCGCGACACGACCTGGGACCCTGGAACGCGCGCCCTTTGGACGACACGCCGCTATGATTCATTCTACGAGCGTACAACGCGGGACAAAGGCCCCATAAAGCACCATATAGTATCACCGATCTCATTTTGCCAAATCTGGTCATTTCACTCTTCCACCACACCGACACAACGTTCGAGACTCCATTGCAAGCCTTCTTGGTCCTCACTCATAAGCCTCCAACAGCAGCCACTGAAGCAACATCCCAAACCATGGCCGTAGCCACGAAGCGCAAGGCCCAAGACACCGGCCTAGTCTCCATCCCCAAAAACGCCACCAAAGTCCAAAAGACTTACCGCGCCAACACCACAGCCAAACGAGCCACACCATCCACCCCCATCACCAAAGCCTGCATCGCAAATGAGATGCAGCCCCAGCTGGACCGCATAGAATCCAGCTCCCAAACGCCATTCCAGAAGCGCGTGCTGTCGCTGCTGTGCCAAGTACCGCGCGGCCACGTGACGACGTACGCGCTGATGGCGCAGCACCTGGGGTCGTCGCCGCGCGCGGTCGGCAACGCGATGCGGCGTAACCCTTTCGCGCCCGAGGTCCCCTGCCACCGCTGCGTCGCCACGGGCGGCGGACTCGGCGGCTTCAAGGGCCAGTGGCCCCGGGATGGTGAGGGTATCACGCTGGATGAGAAGAGGGTGCTGCTGAGGGGGGAGGGGGTGCGGATGGATGCCGGCGGGAGGGTCCTGGGGACGCAATTTGGGGGTTTTGCTTGAGTTAGTAGGTTTCTTGGGCTGTGTTGTGGATGTCTTAATGTGCGCTTTTTGGAGGTTACTTGTTCTTACCTGTTCTTGTATGGGCAAGATCTATGACATTTGCTTGGGCTGGCGTTGATGCGGACTGTCTAGTTGGATGGCTTCTTGAAACGCTCTTTAATACCATCAAAAGCCAAATCACTTTTGAAGTTGGTCCCATAACGGATATGTGGGATGTATAAATTATCCTATCACAAATATTGAGTGCGTCGGGATCTCCATCAAGCCTGGGTAAACAGATCTTACGTCTGAAACCTTTATATGCAGCATTTATTTGCTTCATAGTCGATGTATAAACCATGGAACGGGCCTACTGTGTCCTTTTCTTCCCTAAAGTGATGAATTCTGGCTATATCGCTTCTTTTGGCAAGACATACAGCTTACCATGCCGATGGCTCGACATCCCAAACCAGACCCAGCAATGCGCAGTAGCCCATCTGCCCATCTCCTCCTCCTCCTCACCTTCCTCACATTCATCCAGTGTCGCCCACCAATCAATCACCCGTGTCAACCTCCAAGTCCAGCTGCACCCCATTGCTAACCCCATAGTCCGCCAGCGAGATGTGGTCCTTGAACGGCCTCTCCCCTTGGCGCTTGAGCAGGATCTCGTGCGGCTCGCGCCCGATGCGCCCCGCGACCATGACCTTAAACTGCCCGACGGTGTCGGACCCAAAGCATGGGATCGCCGCCTTGGTCCCCAGCCGGTCGTTGACGTGCACGATGATCATCTCCTCGCCATCCGCCGCCGCGGGCGCAGGTGCCGGGGCTGGCGCCTTCTCCTTCTTCTCGCGCCTGGGAGGTCTGCTATCCCTGCCTCGGTCGTCGCGGTCGCGGTCACGGTCGCGACGTGGGGAGCGGCTGCGGCGCCGTGTGTCGCGGTCGCGGTCGCGGTCGCGATCACGATCGCGTGGCCTGTCCCGGTCTGCGTCCCTGTCGCGCGGCCGGTAGCCATCGCGGTCTCTGGGATCGCGGCGGTAGTCGTCGCGATAGTTGGACCTTGACGAAGAGCCGCGCGGGTCATCGTCGTATCTCGAGCGCCTGTCATCGCGGCGGGAGTCGTCGGCGTCGGTGGCGGATGACTTTTGCTTCCATTTGAAGCCGCTGCTGGCCTTCTTGCTCTTGCGAGGAGGGGACCGCGACCTTGATCGTCGAGAAGGGGACGGTGGTTTGGCCTCGGTGGCAGGGGCCGGGGAGTCTTGGTCGGACATTGTCTCGAACGTTGTGGTGAGACCTGCTTGAATACAGGGCAACCGTGACGAGACGTGATGTGTCGAGAGGAACGAGAGGAAGATGGAAAAGTGACCGCAGCGGTAGCAGCGAAATGACGTTAGGCAGAAGAAAGCTTTATCGATAAGGGGGCCCTGTCACCTACAGCAGCCCCCCCCCCCCCCACCAAAAAAACACCCCAAAGAGTGACAGTAAGGTTGTAATTGGCCAGCTCTTCATTTAAGTACTTCTCACCAAAACATATGTACATTAGGCTTGCATGACAGGGAGTCATAACACGGATTTTGGATTCTGAGCTTTAAGTGTCCTTACGTTCAACCTCCATCATGGGGGTCAAAAAATGAGCCGCTCTATTGAATATACCTGCAGTCAGCACTTAAAATCACATCTTCTCGCCCATAGGAAGTATTGTTTCCCATGGATAGATTGACAAGAAATGGATATGAGTGCCAGTGTAGTTCACTGCGTCGAAACGTTGACATAAATAAACTCATGCTCCTTGCTTAAAACCACAATAGAGTCCAGTAATTACCTTCGGATTCACCGACAACGGTACACTTTTCATCTTCAGAGGCATTATATGTTTCTAAGAAGTCTGAAAGAAATGTACTTGCACGTAATCGATCTATGATAAACTTTTCGCGAAGCACAGTATTTGCTTCCAATATGTCCGAACTCATACCCATGTTTCCCACACAGCAATCGACCGAGCAGAATACGACTTGAAGTGATACTACCTAGCGCTCGACGCCGTAAAGCGCTCGACAAGAACCTGCGAACACTCCAAAATCCCCTCTTCATCAGCTTCGGTACCGCACGAGCTGACTCCTCTCACTTCAACCTTCCACGGGACTCCGTCCGGGCCCCTCAAGCCCTCAAACTCCCGCCTGAGCTCCTCACCCAGGCGCTTGTACCACCCCGCGGCCTCCACATCAGGCACAATGCGGTAGTACCCGCGGGCGGTGCGATCACCAAAAGCCCGGGCGTCCAGCGCGCCCGCGCACCGGCTCAGGTCAGCCAGCGTGACGGACCTGAGGCCGCGGCACCTTTCGGCCGCCTCGCCCACGAAATGGTCCCAGAGATCGTACCAATCCCGCCGGGGGGCGAACAGGTCGCTGTCAAAGATGAGGTGTCGCGCGGCGAAGGGCGTGCGGCGCATGTATACCCCCATGAAGGCGCGGAAGTGCGTCTCGTGCGCAAACATGGCGTCGATGTCGCGGTCGAAGGCGCGGGTTACCATGCGATGGTACGAGTTTGGGGCGCGCGACCGAGTTGGAAGCTTCTTCTCTGTGCGGATGCGGACGTGCTCTAGGGCGAATGCGCGGGCCTCGGCGTTGGTGTGGAGGAGGGCCGGGGGCGGGATGGGGATCCAAGGGGGCCCGTCGTCGGCGCCCCAAGTGTTGGCCGTGTGGTCCCATCTCGGGAAGGTTGAGGCCTTGTAGGTGAGAACTTGGGGGACCGTGGGTGGGAGGGCCTCCTCCCATACCATGCGCCTGATTTCCCACGGAAAGTTGTTGAAGCGTGAAAAGGCTGGAGTCTCCATGAATGTCCGTTGTGCTTAGGTCAGAAAAGACCATTCAAACTTTTGTTGTGTTTGAAAATTGGAGCATTCATTTTAAAGAAAGTGAGGTCGAACAGCATCATATGTACCAAGAGGCGTCGAAAGGGGTGGTCCTTACTGACCGACGTGAAGTTCTGATGTTGTGATATTGTGTTGGTATGTCTGTGCGAACTTACTCGATTTGGGTTGCTGCCTGGCATCCAAGGAGATGTGGATAATCAGTAAAGAGACTGCCCCAGAATATTATAGGCAGAAGCAGAGACCGGTGGCGCTGATGAAGTCACAGTACATTTGTAATTCTGAGGTCTTTAGCAGCATCTGAATCGAAGAGCGGCTCAACTGCTGTCTAAAGGTGGTTTTCCCGGCGCCTTCCATCTATCTTCTGCTCCTCGAACCTAACATTTCCTTGCTTTGTCACGAGATGACATCCCTCTCAAGGCCAAGGCACTCAAGCAATGTATTAGCATTCCCCTCTCTCGATGAAGTATTGCTCGTCATAGCATATTTGTAGATGTGGTCTGATCACTGGTTTAACTTCTGGTTCAATTCCTAGCTCAACACATTACCTCAATTATCATGCTCGATTAAATTACCAGCAATTACTCAAAGCCGTTGACAATTTTCCCACACCGATTTGGCCAGCAGGCGTTCTCTTTTGTGCTCACCTCACATGCGTCCATATTCGCAATACGGATACCGATTGGTTACGAAGTTATGCTCGCAGGCTTGCGTTCAAATCTTCTCAATTCGTATATAAACGTCGTTTGACATCCTAAAGAAGGAATTGAGAGTTGATGGTAGTTTTGAGAAGATATCACACGTGAAATGGCTAATTTATGAGGCCAGATGAATCTCGACTACAACCTCACAACCTCAAATCTCAACCAGCGGTGCTCCTCGTCGGCAAAATATCTCCCTCCAGCATCGTCAATCTCCTCTTCGACAACTTTGACATCCCACTTTGTCTCTGTCTCTCTCCCTACTTGTTCCCACATCGACTTAAAGCTCCCGACATCGTGCAGATAATTCGTCCGCTTTACACCACCGATGCGCCCCAACGGGCCCTTGGGCTCTTCCTCCCTCGGCCCGCCAGCGGCCAGACTCACGCCCCCAGACCGGCCCACCAGCAAACTCCCAGGCCGCGCCCTTAGAAGCGCAACAATGCGCTTACAAGCACGCACCTGCGTCGGCAATTCAAAACAATGCAGGAACATGCTCGCATGCACAAAGTCCACCTCACCCTCCCAAGCCCTCAGCGGCGAGGCGTCCGAGTCGTCGAGGAAATTAGCCGCCACGAATGTCTTACCCTGAAGTTCACAACCATCTGTAGCCAGGGGCAGCGCCTCCGAATCATGGAAGAGGTCGTGGCCGCATGCCATCAGCCCCGCCTGCAGATCTGTTCCACGCAGCGAGGCAGCCGGGGCGCCGTCCGCGATGAGCTTCCGGATGTCCTGGGCCAGACCGCAGCCCACCTCAAGATAGACGCTGGACGGGTCGGACGCCAGGCGGTTGAGAATTGCAGGATAGGCTGGGTATTTGAACAGAGCTAGCTCAGCGAAGAGGTAAGAGCCCACGCAGGGGAAAGGGGCCTATTGTGTGTCAGCGGTTGCACTGTTGTCGGAGTTGAGGTGAGTTAGCTGTTCGTACGACTCTCCAGGCCGTGTCCCTTACTGCTTGGACGTGTGCCTCTACGTGCTCCGGCTTGACCCTGGCATATTCTGTGACTAGCTGGCGAAATTCAGGCTGCAGTTGGGGCGGCTCATGGATGTACCACGGGACGGAAGTGTCCAAAAAGGTTTTCATGGCTTTGATAAATCCAAAGACTTTAACCGAGCTGTGATTAGATGTGTGTAGGGGGAGGTGCCACGTTACGGGATGATATCAACTCAAACTAGAGTAAATCGAGGGCTTAATGGGACAGTCTGCGCCAGCTGGGGAAGAAGATGTGTTTATATGTTTTTAGTTCAGAAAGTGCCTGTCTCGCTCCGTCTTATATGAGAGTTCTGATTTCATTCAGGATGAAGCCGGCCGGATTCTCTCCCGTCTGCTCGCCGTAAGCATGAAGTTTAGTAGAATATGTCCCTAGTTTCCGCAGATCACCCATCCACTCGGGGCCGGACTCTGAGGGTGATCTCACCCGCATGCGCGTCTGAATCCTAGTGTAACATCTCGCTTTTCGCTCTTCGCTCTGGTACTCAATTCCGACATGACAGCGTGACTTTCGGCTCGCGTCTAAATACGGCACTTGGTCGCTCATGGTTGCAATATGCCCAGCACAGCACAACAAGGTATATACAAGGCAATCCTGCTCATCCTTTCATAAGTTCAATGAGCCTTCATCACAGATATCACTCGGTATTCGCCTACTTCTTACTAAAGCGAACCAATGGACTACCCTTTGCAATATCACGACTGAGCGCCTCTATGCTCTTGTTGCCCATCATGTCCAACACGGCAATCTCATACCCACAGTCTCTGTGATACGTCAGTCAGATGTATGTTGATTATGAGCACATAGAAGGATCAAGACTCATTTCTGAACTCCATCGCCACCAATGAATCGACTCCATAAGCATGAATCGGCTTGCCAACATCGATATCCTCGACAGGGATGGCCATCGTCCTTCCTAGCCGGCGCACAAGCGCATTACAGACCAGACTAGCAGCAGCATCCAGGTTCTCGGCAAACTTGAGCTCATTAGATATACTCGCACCCTCATCCTCATCCGTCCTTGCCCCAGCCGCGCCGCTGCCCCAGGCTGTGCAGCTGGGCGAATAGAGGCGTCCACATGAACGTCGAATCAGGCAGCTCGCGGCCCCGGAAGTCGCCCGACGTCGCGAGCCCGATGGTGACTTGTCCGCCGCCCGCATTGAGCGCTCGCTGCTGATCAACGTCGGCTGCCGAGCTCAGCTTGAGAGATAGTGCTATATCTATCCCTCCTGCGAGGTTCTTCCCGCGTCAAGCTGGATTGCGTTTCGCCATCCGACTCGACATGCCCAATCTCGAACTTGGCCGTGGCGCAAACGAAGTGGCCTTCTGGTCACCCAAGCCCGCGATGTCTAGACGCCATTGTATGCGGAAAAGGTGGTGGAAGCGTAGGACGAAGGATTACTCGCCTACGAGGACTGATTAGCGCATGCCTTGGCGCTCATTGGCAGCAATTGAAACACGCAGTGCAGCCACATATCACAGATGCTGATAGATACTTGATGTGAGAACGCCACTACTCCTTTCTTAGCTCGTTCTGAATAAGCGCAGCTTCCCCATAGGAGTTCCGCACCCTCCTCAGCTGGGCCACGGCGTCACACAACGCGTGGATATAAAGCTTTTGTTTTAGCTTTTCAGCTATGCTATATAAACATGATACGGTATAATTTTGATCTGTTATCTCAGTGGGTGGACATCAATACGCTGGGTGCGCAGGTTTTCTATTGCAGTAGGAGGGATCAAGATGCAAGACCCTTTTCATAACTGACCTATCTCATCAGGCGTTCTCCCTTCCCCTCCACGTGCAACGATTCAGGACTTTTAAGGACCTCTTCATTATGGCTGAATTGTCTCCGGACGACACGGCGCCTGTTACTGCTGTTGATTCTACTTTATCCCGAGGCTCTGAAGAATCGGAACACTCGGCCAACGCCAGGCCTTGCGATGCCTCAACAGCCAAGGCCATTGTTGATATCGCCAGCTTCTTAGGCGGTGGGAGGAACCCACCTTTGACTATCCAAGATTTACTTGCTGTAATGGAAAGATTGAGCCTGGCACTGAGTACAGCTTCGGACCGGGTGTCCGACCAAGAAGTTCGAGGAGCGTCAACGGCCCGTCTCAGCAGCGCAGACCGCAGCGTCATGGAATCGATTTGTTGGAAGGAAGCTCAACGGCTCGATGAAATCCATGAGGGGAGGGGCCTCAAAGGTGACAAGAATGAAATCTTGAACCTCATCGCTAACAATTTTGTGAACTTTCCGCACTGGACTTACCAGGGTCCAATCTTCCAATTCCATCTGCGCCCCGAATCAAAATCGTGGGATAGACCCTGTGACCGTGTGGTCATGTCCAAACACAGCGAGCAGCAATCGATTCATAAGATTTTTACGCGGTTCAAGGCACAACACGACTGTGAACTGATGCCTGGTATCCCCACTCAATGGTGCCCGCCACAGGACGTAGGTTTACTTCCTTCTATTGTCCTCACTGAAGCCTGTTTTAGGCCAGGGGATGTGAATGGGGTTGACCGATGAGGCAAACTAGGATCCAAGAGTTGCCCCTGGCGCTTTGAAGCACGCTGCAGGAAATATCTGGTAAGTCGGCAATTTTGATTACATTCAATAGTATATGCTCTGATGGTTTGCAGGTGGATAACCGATGACCCGAAAAGAAGCCAGAGCTTCGGCGTCGGCCTCGACCGCGGTCGTTCCAGAACGATGGACATCAATGCTATTGCTTTCCTCGCAGAGTGCTTTTACAAAGACTGTCCGGGCGAAAGCAGACGGAATGAGGATCAAGCTTTTCAACAATTCATCGTATCGTTTTCCAACATATCCCACCATTTGGCGAAACGGTCTCTGCACAGAGTCTATTTCACGGGTAGCTCCGGACTTCCCCGTTTGGCATTGCAATATCATTCAAGCCACCTCGCGCCTGTCGGGTCAGTAGGGATTCCGACGCCTTCGCTCGAAACTGAAGGATTAGTACTTGAACGTCAATTCTTTAAGATACGGCGCGTCTCACATGTTCTCACGCAAAGTTGCGGCGAGAAATCGCATGAGGACCAGCATTTCGCAGAACGTATCTTGTCGATATCATTGACGATGAACCAGCATGGGACCTTTCAACTCGTCGCTCTTGGCGACATAGACGCCAACGTGGACACTGATGAGGACAAAGAATATGCATTTAGGAAGGATAAGAAAACCTTGAATCTCGACCTCTATGCTCTGGGAAAAGAGACCGGTCTGACCCATTTTCTTATTGCTCTGATATGGCTGATGGAGACTTGGAATCAAGGCTGGAATGACACTTTGGATGGAATCGACGATATTATTGGCTTCCATGTAAGTTCGGGTGCAGAAGACCTTCCTACCCAGCCATTGATCAATGCCCATGGTGTTGACATTGATGTGCTCATGACTTGACTTAGGGGGACCACACTTTTGATGAAGATCAATTGGAGAGTCATATCTTTGACAGCTCGAGCTCGATGGCCTTGTCCAAACAGTACTTCACAGTGCTTCAATTATTGCGTACCGCCAGGCATCAAATTGATATGAACCTTGCAGAGTGGCAAGCATTTTGCGGGAAAGATCGAGATTATGACAATGTAGAACTTTTCATGGAGGCGACATACGGACACAAAAATGTTATGAAAGAAACTTTCAAATCCTGGGAAATGCAACGAGATAAGGTAACGCAGCTGTTGAAAGTGCAGACGGAACACCTGAAGGGACGCATCGATAGAAAGATGGAGGAAGTGGAATCACTTCGGGAAGGGGTACGGCCAACCATTTGTTTTCTTCTGGCTTTCGCGTCTTTGAGTCTCAGTCCCGATGGTTTTCAATTATACTGACAAGACCTCTTCAGTTATTCAATGCAACATCACTTCGAGAAGCGATGAAAGGGATGGCCCTGAATCGTGCGATCTACGTTTTCACGGTTGTTACCATTGTATACACCCCGCTTGGGTTTATGGCTGTAAGCACTTCTCACTTAAGAATAGACAAAGTACTGAAGAGGCTTTGCAGGCACTATGGGCATTGCCCATTCTAAATACCACTCCAGACGGTCAAAATACTCATCCATCCCCGGTGGGCCTTGTCACCTCTTTTGCTATTGTGCCGATTGTAACTTACATTGGTTGTGGGTATTTGACTTGGTATTTCACTGCAACAAGAAGTTGGAAGTCTTTTATTAAAGATTTGCAAGACTCCTACTTGGGTTTCCGTGGTTGGCAGTTCCAATACGCTTTGAAATGGATGGCCAAGATCAGGTTTCCAATCAGACTTAGGAAAACAGGGTCGACGAAGTCTGATCATGAAACAGCCTGAGGACAGCAGATGCACTACAACGAGTGACAACCCTTCGGAATTCTGTGCTTACTCATTAATATATTTCTGTTGAATGTAAGGCAGGCTCGTTACCGATCAGAGAACATAATGTTGTCGGAAGCCCATGTTCCTTGCTCCTTGTACTAGAAAATAACCATCCCCTGCCTATTCGTGGAGCATTATTTCCCGACAACTCGTCATAGGCAGCAGCCGAATTACATTATAATTCAAGAGTAACCAAAAAAGATTTCACTAATTCGAATCACTCGAGGTAGGAACAGAGATTTATGCTGAAGTTTTGGTATTCATTCCCAATCATTATATGTAGCTCTCAAATGTCACATCACCGCCGCCACAACAGGCCGCCCTTTTCTTGGTATTTATGTACACGACGAAAGGCTTTCAAAAGAAGACCACCCTGCCCCGGAAAAAGAAAATCCCAACTCCATAGTGAAAACTCCAGCCTTTTGCACAGTCATTGTCATCTCCTATTTCTTTCTTAGGGAGGTGAAAGGCGCGGCGACCCGCTTATCGGCTAGTGTCGACGACGTAGCGGCCGACGATGGTGCCGTCGGCCATCTTGTCGAATATGCTCTGCAGCTCACTGAGGCCGACAGTCTTGAAGGGGGCGTTGACGAGACCGCGGGCGAAGAAGTCGAGGGCCTCCTGGGTGTCCTGACGGTTGCCGACGTAGCTGCCCTTGATGGAGATCATGCGGACGACGCTCTCGAAGACGGGAGCAGAGATGCGGGCGCCAGCGGGCAGGCCAATGCAGATAACACAGCCGCGGGGCCGAACATAGTCAGCGGCCTGTTGGAAGGGCTTCTCGGAGACAGCGAGGAGGATGGAGGCGTGGGGACCCAGGCCGTCAGGGGTGGCGGCCTTGACGTCGGCGACGAGATCCTTGGAGGTGAAGAAGTCAACGTAGGCTGAGGCGCCCAGCTCCTTGGTGGCCTTGCCCTTCTCCTCGCCGCCGTCGATGGCAATGGTGTGGATTCCCATAGCCTTGCAGTACTGCAGGGCCATGTTGCCCAGACCACCACCGGCACCGGCGATGGCGATCCACTGGCCGGGGCGAACGCCGGACTCCTTGATTCCCTTGTAGACAGTGATACCGGCGCAGAGGACAGGTGCGACAGCCTCGAGGCTCACGCCCTTGGGGATACGGGCCACGTGGGCAGCCTTAGCAACAGCGTACTGCTGGAAAGAACCGTCGACGGTGTAGCCAGAGAGTGAGGCCTCGGCGCAGAGGGGCTCGTCGGCGGTCATGCAGTAGGAGCAGGACAGGCAGGAGCCGTTGAGCCACTTGATGCCGACCTCGTCGCCCTCCTTGAGGTCCTTGACGAGCTCGCCCTTGGCAACGACGACACCAGCACCCTCGTGACCACCAACAAGGGGCATCTTGACGGGCAGGGGCCAGTCGCCCTTCATGGCGTGGAGGTCGGTGTGGCACACACCCGAGAACTTGACGTTGACGAGGACCTCATCGGGACCGGGCTTAGCGACCGGGATCTTCTTGTACTCGAGGGCTGCAGATTTGATGTTAGCCTGAGGCCTGTTTTGCGAGGTGAAGTGAAAGTGAATTGTGGATTGAAGATCTGCACAAATAGTGGGGGGCGACCGTCTCGGGGCGGGGAGGAGGGGTGGAGGAGAGGAGAGGGGCATAGTTGGAGGAGGAGGGGGAGCTTGGTATAGCTTTTGAGGTCACACTTACGTCCGCCGACCTGCTTGCAGACCTGCGCCCACTGCTCAGTTGGAATCTCGATACCCATGTTGTTTGTGTGTGGTGATGTGTAGATTTGGTGAGTTGACAAGGTGGCGGTAACGTCGGAGCTGATCTGCCTTGTATAAGCTGGCTGCTGCCTGAGGTTGAAGAAGGGCTTGGTGTTCTTAGGACTATGGTTATGATTATGATGATGATAAAAGAGAGGAGAGGTCGAGGGTAAGAGGTAAGGTCGGAGGGCTTGGACAGATTTATATCTCTGCTGTTGAAGAGCAAGGTGGGGAAGGCGCGCTGTACAAGTCGGTGGTGTGGCGGCAGCCAAGGAGGAGGAGGAGGAAAAGATGGACGACAGGGTTGGCAGGGGAGACGCGCGGGAAGCTCGAGCTCGATACATGATGCAGGTTGCGGGCTGCAGGTTGCAGGTTGCAGGTGGGCTTAGGCTTGCTTGGACCGTGTCACTGGTGTCACCGGCGGTTCGTTCACTTTGGTTGGAGTAGCTTCGTTGGAGTATGACGATCCTGGGTCTGGGTCTGGGAACTGGAACCGGGTCTGGGTCTGGGAGTTCCCTGGTTTGTGGTTCGTGCTTCGGCTGGTTGCATGCAATACAACACGACACAATCCGAGATACAGTAGGTACAGTACGGTTACGATGTGACAGCCTGGCTGCTGTGGAACAGTAACGACAAGGACAATGGCTCAACGCTCGATGCTCGATGCTTGATACACGGGAGGAGGTGGAGGGGCCCGACGACGAGAAGAGTGGCGCTCGCCGGGTACTTACTAACTATGCCAGGGTCGGAGAAATTCTCTGGTAGGCTCCGAATGTCTGGTGATGGTGGTGACCTGTGTGAGGAGACTCGAGGTTGGCGATGCATGTTGGGCGTCGTACGATTCCCACGCGCGGTGGGGCTCCCGACTAAGAGCTATGTCAGATGTCACCTCACTTTTCCCGTCTGGCCGGCCCAGCCCTGTCGTGTCGTATCTGGCCCTGCATCCATCCATCCAGCCATCCATCCATCCCCCACTACAACAAATCCCGCCAGTACATACTCAGTACTGTACGTACTTAGAGCTGACAGTGGGTGGCACTGCGCGCATGCATGCATGCAAGCTTTTGGTCCAGGGGTTGGAGGGACAGACTGTGCTCAGGCTAAGGCTCAAGCTCAGACACATGGACTACATACCCAACCCACCGTGACACTGGCTGTATGTACATATGCACCGATTACATGGGGGCATGGCATGGTACGGTGTGGCATGGTCAGACCATTACGCGGATGCTTTCCTGGGCATTCGCTGGGCTGGATGTTCCCCGGCTGCTGTTGGGATTCTAGAATCAATGAATGAATGAGTGAATGACTTGTCTGTTGCATCGTCGTTACCGTTTGTCTGTCTATCCGTCCATCTGTGTGCCTCGCCGTTGATGTCTGTTGCCTGCATGGGCTGTCCAATGTTTGGGGAAACTTCAGCTCAAACGATCTGCCGCAACTCAATGCACGAACATGAACAGGGCGGAGCTGCAGAGCTGCAAAGCTACAGTGCTGCGGTCAGTAAACGCTCTCGGGTACATGGGTACTTGGGCACTTGGGCATGAAGATGGACATGACATGGTCGTGCTTCTGCTTCGTCGAGACTGTATCATGGTAACACGACGTCCAGGCGGTTGTCCTAGCGCGGAAGATGGCCTTGCGAGCCGGACTGGCGGAGCCGCAAATCCGCTGTCGCTGAGACCTGGGACTGGGAAGTATCTGATCAAATGTGGATGCGTGCCTGACTGGTGATGCTGGTGCTTCTCAGAAGATGACGACGTTGGTGGTCGTTTCGATGCGGCTCCGAGATTGGAGACTAGCAGCGTAACAGTAGACTAGGCTACGTAGCAGATAGCAAGCAGTGGCCCATTCGGACGATGGGCGGATGGATTTGGGAGGGATCGGAGCGGTGGAGGGGTGAATGGGTGAACAAGAGGCATTGATGCTTCGGAATTGGAAGGGACCTAGGGCCCAGGCCCCCGCTGTCAAACGGCGGAACAAGCCAATCACCCATCCCTGCCACAGCCCGTTTTAGAAGTGACAAGAGCGAAGGTGCAGGGTGGTTTAGGGTGGTTCAGGGTGTTCTAGGGAGGTGCAGTTCTGGCAGTGTGGGATGTGGCTTGATTCGGCCGGGTCGTTCCTACTGGGCGGAAACATCATCATGCCAGCCAGGCCAGGCTGCAGGGTGCAGGTGCAGCACCAGCAGGCACACAGCGAGAAGCTGCCACCGGATAACGGCCGCAGCCGTGGCGTGGTTTCCCAGCAAAAATATTTTCTGGCCCCCTTTCCTCAATCAAACTGTCAAAACTGGCAACTGTCATCTACGCCTCTCGCTGCTTTCCTCGCTTGAGCGAATTTCTTGATCCTTCCCTCTGCTTTGACTCAGAGTCAGTCACGGCTCCTAAAACATGCCGATACGATGCTCAGCGGCAACGTGGCCTGTCGCGTGGTGGCGAGTTGGATCATCCCACAAGAACCCATTGAGGAGGGTCCATGTTGGCCTCTGCTGTTCCTGTTGTCGGAGCTGCACTTTCAGGGGCCGACTGTGCAAGCTGGCTGCATCGAAGGAGCTACCCCTCCATCCACCCTGCCATTCACCCCTCTCCCACCTGCACCTCGAGCTTCCAACCACAAACCACAGGCCACAGAACCCTTGTCATCTTCCTCTGTATGCCTCATCTAAGCGAGCCATCAGCCCGGCCGAATCGTGATCCAGCCCCGACGACTTACTCGTGATTGACGCCAAATTGCCAGGGCAGGCAGGTAAACAGGTAGCCATAGCAAATGATCGCCCACAGTATCAAGTAAATGGCTAAGCTGCCAAGTAGATAACCTTGCTGCAGTCTGGCAGATCCGAGGCGATGGCAATTATTATGGGACGGCCTTAGACTGCTGGATTGCCCTTACGTGGCCAGCCTACCAGCTTGGGCATCCCAAGATCGCCCGTACCCGCTTCCAAGATTTATCGTGAGGCCAAATCAAGTGGTCGTGCTTCTAGATGGTCAATGGGCAACAGAGATGTCCTGGCAGGGTCAAAGTCGACATCACGTCGAACTCAGCACAACGGAGAGCTGCTGAGCTCCTTCTTCCGAGGTTGAGATTGACCTGACCAGGGCATGCTGGTCCCGCCCCATGGGGAAACAAAAGCCTCTTCCCCAACCGTGCCCACTTCCGACTATGTCTCTCTGCAGCTTTACCTTCAGCTTCCCCACAACCGCGCCTCCCTGCCTGTCTGCGCCTGGAGGAAAGGATATGCGAACTATGGACGAACGGAAGCACGTAGCAGCAGCTGAGTAGCTGGCTGTACGAGCCCCAGACCCACATGGAAAGAAATCATGCATGCAGGAGTCGGAAACGCCCTGGTACAATCGAAATCACTTATCTCTCTCCTCCTCCTCCTCCTCCGCCAGAGGGCGATTGACGTCCGGGTGCGGCTCCGCCGGAGGAACGGGGGCGCTTAACATGTAGCTAAGGAGAGCTCCAGACAGCTGGGCAGCTGTGGACAGGACGTCCAGGAGAAGGGACCTGGCATGGGCGGGGTTCAAGGGTCCTGATGAGGTTGATCAGACGCAACCATCAGCTCATTCCCCAGACGTTTGTGCTCCCTTAACCCCTCTCTTCCCTTCTTCCCCGCTACCCTCCTTGCTTTCCCCAGATCCGACTCGACGGGAGGAACTCATGCAATGCTGCGACTCGCTTTCCCATCTGCCTGCCTGTCTGTGTGTTGGCGCGTCTCTCTGCCCCAGACTGTTACTGTGACGCTAGGCCAAGGCTATCTGCGGCTGGGCTAAAATGGTGTGGCAGCATGCGGATCCGGGCCTTAGGGCGTGCTTAGACCAGACTGGGCGTTTGCCCTGGCGCTGCGCTGCGTACGGGGTAATGCCGTGGACGATCTACAGTATCTAGATACCAAGGCAAGCATCGCACTGCCCTAGCTGGTTACGCGTTGGACGTGGTAGTATTTAACATGCCATGCTTCGTGCCATCCCACCTGACCACGTACCTGGGTAGGTGGTATCAGCCCGCCCTGGCGAGGTGCTTGTCGTGCAGATCCGGTTGCGCTGGTCCGGCTATTCTTGTCTGAGCTGGCTAGGTGTGCCTACATGTCCACAAGAGCTAGCATCTTGGTAGGCTGGAGAGCCTTTTCTCCGGCAAGATGGAATCTGGATTGTCATGCTGCCCCGGGTAGATAGATCTCTTGGTAGACCGACCCTGGCGACAACCGACACCCGAGCTGGGGGTCTGCGCACACTGAGCACTCGTGCGCGTTGGAGGCTGGGGATGTGGCAGCGAAGATATGCTGCGCTTCAGATCTATGTTACACATCACGTACTCTACTGACAGACATCCTCCCTGGTCTATAATGTGTGTGTGGAAATTATCAGCAAGTACTGGGGCAGACCAAGCTGTCGTGATGCAGTTGCGCGTCTGCCTCCTTCGTACAACAACAGAATCTCCTTGCGTACCTAGGTGTATCAACACCCCAGGGGCTACCTACGTCGCCCACCTGCAGAGAAGCACAGCGTCCCATCAGATCCAGCGGGCCAGGCAGACCCAGACAGATAGCCGAGGGCACATGCAGGGACCAGGACGGCCAACCCAGGCACAGATCCGGACCACCACGGGCCGTCGTGAAGTACTGGTCAATTCGCGCATGGAGCGGCTGCATGTTTCGCTTGTACCGTCTCTGTTCGCTGGTACATCCTCCGAGAGAAATGTAGTCGAGGGCCGGGTGTGTGCGCCCCGCTGGCATGCCTATGTACATGACTGACTGTTGGGTACCCGGCTTGCTCATGTGCACGCATACATAACCGGCATGGTGTTCATCACGGCCTGCTTAATTACTTTTTTACCTTTGTACTTTTGCTTGTGTTAGCCATTGTCTAAGAATTTTCCTCTGTTTTGCATGTCTATCTGATAGGTAATAAGTTGTCCTAGCCGATTCCGTTGGGTCAAGGTCGAGTTACAGTTTTGTCTCCTAGGTACTTCTATGACCCGGGCTCGGTACTCAGATGAACAACTGGTGAAAGTTGTGTACATCCCTAAGCTGAAAATACTGCATACTGCTTAGTACCGCTCATATCACAACTTCTAAGTGGATCAAGTAGGCACAGTGTGTCCTAGCCAGTGACAGCTACCCAGCACAATAAGCCATTTTCATACATCCGCAGCCATAGAGACCCAGAGCCATCCAGATTAAGAGACAAGCAACCAAGCATGACTTTGGGAAGCTTCTGGCTCAGCGTTCGGTGTTGTGAAGCAAAATTATCCTGCGTGTTGGCATCGGCTATGCAGGGCCAACACGACACATTCGTGTACAACCACCGAACCAATCTTGGGAACATCAGATCCTCCAATTTCGTAAGCTAGTTCTCACCACGGTTTCTTGGCCATTTCAAAAGTGCGCAAATATCATGCAATGCTCCTAAGAGTCTCCCAGTACTCTACAGCAAAGAAGATCCCGGAAGGCTGTTCATGTTGCATGGTCGACACAAAAAGCACCCATCAACATATCCAACACTTTCCCCAAATCAACACACCATTTTGCGTTCCAATCACCCTACTACCAAGGCTGGCACTCACCACCGACGGCGCCACATCTCTTGCCCGTTGTCGAGGTGGCATCGGCTGGCAACAGGGCATGAAATATCAGTAATGGCTCAAAAGAGAAAAGCGAAGAGGGGAGAACAGCAGTGGTGTTTCATTATGAAAAAAGAAAGAAAAAAAACCAGAAAATTATGTCGAACATTGGAATTCCAGAAATAGTTTGGGAACAACTGGCCACACGTACTCTTGCAGATCAGTGGCGTGACGCCGTTGACGCATCTGATGCAATCGGCGTCGCTCCTGCATTCACCTGAGCAAGAAGTCGTTGTCAGCACGGATATCTCGATGTTTGGACGATCTCCTGGTGCTGGACAATTTGTCCGCGTGGCTTAGGGTCTCCTACCTCCTTTGCCGCGTTGTGCGACCGCGGTGCAGGCCAAAACAGACAGAAGGGTGATGATAGTCGGAAAATGCATGTTGATGAATGTATTGAATGGAGCTCGTTGTGCTTGCGCGTGAGGAACGGGGGTTTGCGCTGAAAAGTGATACATTCGTACGCTGAGCGGTTCTTGTTGCCCAGTTCGGCACAGCAACTAATATACGCACTCTCATGAACGATGGTTCTACGGAATATGACTGAAATGTCCCTATACTGACTCAGATGGTGATGTGCCTGGAACTCCACTCCGGGGTTGTTGCGGGTACAGGCGAGTCGAAATGAAGCACCCCCGATGGCTTGGCCTCCGATTTTGAAGCTGATCGCATCTATCTGGGTAAAAAGAGACCCTGTTACATACACTCGACAATGTCCTCAATAGTATCCTTCAATGGCCAATCTGCGACCGTGTAAATAGCCAGGGCTTGGTTTATGTCAAGCTCAATCAACTGAGCATCTTGTCTTTGTTAGAAGTTCAATATATCGTATCATAAATGTGCCGAACATGATTATGTAGGCTACTTCATTGCACGAGGCAAACGAGTAAGTGACTACCCATAATGGTAATTAAGGGCTTGCCGAGCTGTGTCAGAAATCCAACTCCCTATAATGCAGTTCAATTCAAGTCTTGGGGTTGTATTGACATGGCAAATCCTGTACGAGGTACAAGTCATATCATAACTTTGGCCGTAGATGATAATAAATTGGGATATTGGCTCGTGGCTCGACCGAAAGATTAAATGAGAACGAAGAAGCCAATATTAAATGGTCTAGACAAACTCTTGCACCTTTTCCTGCTGCTGCTTGATTCCATAACAAACGAGGTTGAGATATATGCCAGCGAGTCGGTCTTGGAGGTCGGTTCATGGGCTCTGGTGAAAGGGGTCTTGCATTTTCCTAAGAAATGTTCATATTAAGACATATGCATAATATGAGTACAGTGCAAATACAATTGGAAATTTTTAACGTCTATGAGTTCTGCTGGCGGGCCATCTACAAAGAAAGGCGTTTTCCCTTGACACACGTGCGCGCCTTCACGTATCGCACTTAGACCACAAGACCAAATCACGGAGTATTTTGGTCTTACCGAACATGTTCAAGTCAATAGTCCAAAGAGGCTGAAGAAATCGCCATTCGTGAATAAAAACATTGAATGAATTTTCCTGTCTCGAGATAACCCGTAGGCTTCGCAAACCTCCAAGCTCCCGGCTACTGCTCTCACACAGTAAACATCGTCTTTTGGCAACCACCTTCTGCTTGACCTTTGGTAGTCAGGAAGCAGCAGTGATACATTGAAAGAAGCCCGATCGCTCCCAAGTCTAAAAAGTCCATCTGAGAATTAGGCATCCCATCTTCAGGCCCATCGCCAAGACATCCGAGGCTACGGTTTTTGTTTTGCGGTTTGAGTTGCTCAGCCCCAATTCAAAGTTGTTGCGGAGCCATTCGTCGTTTTGTGAAGGGGTGTATTGATTTGCTGTCTGCTGAAATTGAGCAACGTTCTCTTCGCCTCCAATTATCTACCATGAATCTTCTCAAGAACCACCTGGGCCACCAAGAAGGGCAAATCTTCGCACGATACCCGGTCCGTATTCCTCGTACTGTTTTGCAGTTAGCGTCTGAATCTGGACCCTTCAAGACAAATTTTCTTACCTCCGCCTTGGTGTGGCAGTACGACCTGAATTCGGGCGTCTGACCCAACAAGCTGCCTCCAAACCACGGTCCGTGCCTCTGCCTCTTGTGCGTGATAACCTGCACCTCCAAGCCGCCACTCCTCGCTCCTCCGCTGCGCACCTCACTGGCACGGATGCGGTTGTCGACCAGGTGCTTGATGTCACGTTGCAGTCGGCGGCCGAAGTCCTTGTACAGCGTGCTGCCACCGGAGAGCACAATGTTCTTGTACAGACCGCGACGAACGTCGATAGGGCTGGACTGGATGACGCCGTCGACCACGGTGGGCAAGGGCGTCAGGAAATCGGAGCTGTAGATCTCCGGGTTGAAGAAGATCTCGGGCGCCAGGAAGCGCTCGTATCCCACGTCAACGGTAACCTTGCGCCCACCAGGCTGGAGCACAGGGTGCTGCGCGAAGCGTGTGGGGTCACGGTCGAAACGGCTGAACTCCTTGACGATGTCGGGGCAGACATAGCAGTGCTCCTCCTTGATCTCCTGGGCTGTCTTGAGGGAAGAGTCAGGCTCGCCGCGGTCACGGAGGAGGGACTGGACGAAATATGTAATGTCACGACCGGCGATGGGGATCGACTTGATCGAGGAGCCGATAACGTAACCCTCGGCAACGGGGATGACGTGGGTGACACCGTCGCCGGAGTCGATGACAGTTCCGGTCAACGAGCGATCTTGCACCTTGGAGGAGGTCCACGACGCCGCCAGGGCGAGCACAGCTTGGACGGCGATGTAAAGACCTGCACAGTTAAAGGACTCGAAGAAGATCTCGGCGGTGTTTTCTCGGTTCTCTGGGGGGTTCAGGGGCTGTGAAACAACGGTCAGCTACCCGAAGTCACAGCAGCGGCCAACGTGATGCGTACTGGTTCGGTGAGAAGGAAGTGGTGATCCTCAGGCTCTACCCGCAGATATTTGAAGATGGAGTTGGACCAGAAGCGTTCCATGTGATCCTGCCCACAGCGTCAGCCAGCCATCGAATACCTATCGATAAGTTGTCGTCGCATACCCAATTCTCTATTTGTCCATGGCGAATGGGGTAGTGTAGACCGTATCCTGCCTTGGTAAGAAGCTTTTCAGACGAGTTTGCGTTCTCTTTTGGGCTCACCAGGTCCACCAGATGCTGCTATTGCCTCATCGCCGATGAAGAAGTCCAAATCCTCTGTGCCACGTTTCGAGTTCAAGTGGCCGGAGGGGCCAGCACCACCAGTCAGAAAGGAGGGCTTGTTCGCAACAGCAGGACGCCCGGAGCCTGAGCCACCGCTGCCGCCAGCTGGGCCTTTCGTGGCAATCGCGGTCGGGAAGACGAAGGATGGGGAGTCGTTGCCGGCGAAACCTGTACGATGGGACCCGTGTCAATGAGCCGCGGTGAGATCCGGTTGGGACGTGGGGGATCAGTTGTACCTAGCTTTGAGAAACCCGTGCCGCTGGGGTGGAAGCGATGGTTAGCACGAGGTGTACAGAATTGGATTCAGCGGCATGTCTTTCTCTGAATGGCTTCAACGAGGAGGGCGGTGCTTGCTCGCCCAAACCCCCTGGTGGGAGTGGGGTCAGGCAGCTCCAGCTAGGCATGCCATGGGATGTGTCCAGGGGCCGGGGCTGGGATTGACGTACTTGTCCATGACAACGGCGGGTGTTTGGGTAGCCATGATTGCGAAGGTGGGAGCTGCGCACGAGTCTAGATGGGTTGTTGGTGGATGCGCAGCTCTTGTTCGAATTGGCGAGTGGTGATGGTGGTGGTGATGGATGAGGTGGGCAGTAGGTTAGGCTAGGAGGTGCGGTTGCCGTCCTCGAATACGCAACTCGTTATGCGGTCAGAGCCAGCTAGGCTAGTGACAGTAGACGTAGACGCTCAACCCCACCACCCCCTTGACTGCGACCGTTGCTGTGGCGTATGTGTGGCGCTGCTCAAACGGTGGCTGCTCCGTTACCCGTCCACTAGCATTGCCAGGAACGCCAGGACTCAAACTACAACCCGCCCAAGCTCTCATTTCGCTGCATTCATCGACTTCAGGGCCACCTCCAATCTTGTGGGGTTGACTTCCGTTCAAACATAAAATCAATGATACTGCTTGAGTATTACTATTCTTAGAATCTCAGACTCGGTTCCGGTGCTGGTGGCTGATGACAAGATGCTGAATTCTGTTTGTCCATGACACACCGGCAGGCCTGCGCTCGTCCAGGAGCTGCATCTCACCTGCCTCTTCTGGGATATACGAGGCTCTAGTCCGCCTGCTGAGCCAGTTCAAGTGACGTACAGAGGTCTACCATCCATGTGCCACGGATTGTGGCTGCGTTGGTGTCCTAAATACTGAGTGAGTTCCAATATTTCTCTGGTTGATTGCGAACACCACCACCCGCCCACAGGAGCAAGTACTGCCGGCTCCTGTGGCTATAGACCGTTCTTTCGTTCGATCGTTCGTCCAGTCACACAGCCACTCGCTTTATCACCATTATCATTGGCCTCAACCGTTCGTTCGCGTGCCGTATATCTGTCTCATGGCGCGGGATCTCTGGACTCCGAATACCGTCATACCATGACCGCCTGGTCCCAAATATAATTCAGTATTGCTTCGTCTCTGCCGAGCCTCAACCAGACAACAAGCCACTGGGACTCCGGAACCAGCCGGTAAGGTTGTTGTTCAACAATTGCCCTTTGTCTCTTCAAGCTTGTCCTCTCCGCACAGCACATAGTCTCCTTCACACCATGCTGTCCCTTCAGAGCCTCTCTCCCCGTGCCTTGCAGGACTATGGTGTGAGCCTCATGGTCAGCGGCGAAGTCGATTCTGGCATCTCCTGGCAGCTGGCGAACTTCTGCAAAGACGACGAGTCCCTCTGCCAGTACCTCCATGTCATTCATCGCGATCTGAACCCTGAGATCGAATGCGCTGAATCCCGGGTCTGGTTTGTCGAGGGCAAGGTGGTGTCCATCAAAGACTGGCTGCTATCCCGGCGAAGGCTGATTCACTACCCCTTCCCCCATCTTGAGCGCTGGCCAAACCACAATTTCTATCAGAAGTGTCTCAGCTGGACCTACGATCCCCCTCCCGAAATTAGCTTTCGAGACCGCGAACTTTTTGAGCAGCGTTCGACTTGGTCGTTCCGTTTCGCTAACAAGGGCAGCAAAGTCTACTGGCGTAACCACTCCAACGGAGTCACCGTCTGTGGCCCTTCGTCCGATGCTCATAAAGACGCTACTTCTTCGTCCACGCAGAAGCAAAACGCCGACCTTGAAAGTCTTCCCACTTCGCTCAAGGCCCTCCAACTGAAGGAGTGTAAACCTGCTTGGGCTTCCACAAGACCTGCCAACGATATTGCAACCATGGACCCTACCGATCCCAACAACCACTTCTTTGGTCCTCTGGATCCCTCCCAGCCATCGCCTACCTTAGACATGTGGGAGGACCACCTTGGTGTGGGTGCCGATGGTGCTGTTGACCGCTTCATCAAGAAGCGAGTCTCGACCGGCGACCAGCGCCCGTCCATGGCCGTTTTCATTCACGCTGGTGCTGGCTACCACAGCCTCCAGAACGAGAATGTCCACCTCACTATGTGTGCGAAGTAAGTGGTTTCCAATCCATCATCGTGAGCTGTTTCGCGCGAACCCAAATTAACGGACAAATCTCAGGGCTGCCCAAGAGGCCATGAAGTGCATGAAGGGTGGCGGCTCAGCGACCGACGCCATAGAGGCCGCTATCAGGGTCCTTGAGAACAACGAAATCACCAACGCAGGCTATGGAAGCAACCTTTCGATCGATGGCACTGTTGAGTGTGATGCGACCATCGTTGACCATTTCGGACGCAGTGGGGCTTGCGGCGCTGTTCCTAGTAAGTTTACTTGATGGGACGTTTCTCACGTCGCCCCTCGTCAGCTTGCTAACCCAGTTTATGTCTTCAGACATCAGGAACCCTATCTCGCTTGCAAAGCTCGTTCTTGACACCAGTCTGAGAACCCTGACCCTACGACGCGTGCCTCCCAACATCTTGGTCGGCGAGGGCGCCAAGAGGTTCGCCCTGGAGCACGGAATCGCCTTAGTGAACAACAAGGAGCTCGTGTCCAAGAATGCTCAGGATCGTTTCAAGAAGTGGTGCGAGGACCTTCGTAAGGCTCACGCGCGCGCCATCCGACCGGCTCCAGAGGCTTCAGTTCAGGCGACTTCCCCAGAGGAGGCGAAGTACAACACGGTCGGCATGCCCGGCGCTGAGCAGATTACCCAAGCCGATGTTCCCAACGGATTGCAGTCTCTTGCAAGTGTCAAGGCGAGCAAAGGCCTGATGCGCGATCACTCATCTGCTGTTCTTACTGGAATGTGGAACGAGGGCCAGCCCGACTCGCCTTCCGACTCGGCTTCGCCTGGCGCAAACAACTCTGACCCCGTCACTCCTACCAAGCCGTCACCCCTTTCAGCTCGTCAGAACGGAAGTGAAACACCCACAAAGCCCGCTGGAGGCCATGATGTTTCTCGCGCTCTTGATGCAAGAGACAGCCCGGTCAAGGAGTCTCGCGCGAAGCGACGCAAGACCTCTTCCGACAAGCATGTTGACGCCATAGACGGCGTGGATGACCGTTCGGATGATCGCTGGGATTGGGTCGACCGCGAAATGGCCGAGGACTTCTTCTCTTCCCCTTCCAACAGGATCGATCTCACGGAGATGACTGCCGAGCCCGACAACGCCGACCACGACAAGGTCACAGACACTATTGGTGCCATTGCGATCGACGGCCAGGGCAACATCGCGGCGGGCTCGTCCTCGGGCGGCATCGGCATGAAGCACATAGGACGCGTAGGGCCAGCGGCACTCGTGGGCATCGGCACGGCGGTGATCCCGCGCGACCCGGAAGACGAGGATGAGCGGGCCGTGGCGGCCGTGACCAGTGGCACGGGCGAGCACATGGCTACCACCATGGCGGCTCACAAGTGCGCGGAACGGCTGTACCACATGACGCGGGCGGGCAAGGGCGGTGACAACGAGCTGGATGTGCCCAGTGAGGGCACGGTCATGGCTGACTTTGTCACTCGCGACTTCATGGGCCACCCGGGCGTTCGCAACCAGACCAGCTCGGGCGCCATCGGCGTGCTTGCCGTCAAGGTCACTTCCGGCGGTATTTACATGCATTGGGCGCACAACACCGACTCGTTCGCCCTCGCGCACATGGCGTCGTACCACAAGGAGCCCAAGTGCGTCATGAGCCGCCTCTCGGCCGGGTCTGGCCCCGTCAACATCGGCGCGCAGAAGATCTCTAAGAATCACGCGACCGGATTGAAGGTTCGTGATTGAGTTTTTGCATGGCGGTACGATGGGACTCTCGGTCTCGTCGTGAATTTTTGCTACTTGCCTGCTCAGGCAAATTGATGATCCTCGCCTCTGGTATTCTTCATTTGCATTGGCGGCGTTTTCGGCCACTCGATATGTCCACTCGACACTTTCCTGGCCTCTGATGGTTCACCTTCCCTTCGGCTTCATCCGTCATTTGAGCTACGGTCTAGCTTGGACGACTGCTTGCTCTGACGTGAGGAAGGGTATTTCTCGGTGAACCGGCCGGTTTGCATCAAAGCATTGCGTGGTGTTTGCGGACGCATTTCCGGCGGATGATACCCCTGCTATGGATTTCTTCTTTGGCTTTCGGTGGCTGGTTGTTTTCGACTTCGACTCTGCACTACTGGACGGGGTAGCGATGTTATTGTGCGTCTTCGCTGGACTAGCATACGATGCCCTTACCTACCTACCTCGCTGACAGAGGACGTTCGATCTCCGTGCTTTATCGACAAGCAACGGAAAAAAAATCCTCTTATTCTCGGGCCTGCGATGCGGTCTAGCTTGGACGACTGCTATCTGGGGCGACGCCTACATCCCTGATGAAGCATGGCAGAAGGGTCGATTACTGTCTCCTTGCCTGAGCTGACGACGCATAACCCAGCTTTTACTAGCTCCAGCTCCCAGATAAATGACACGGCCCGGCTTTGCATGGAAGTGAATTCCACTGACTCTGGCTTGGCTGTGGCTCTGGCAGCCGTGCCTCTCTGAATGAGTGGCGTGGTGCCCACCATCCTGGCCCCCTAAGAAGAGGAGATAAAAATGGAGAGAAAGAATAAATTTGGTTGCGCTCGATGGTATGGACTGGACTGTGCTGGACGGGCTAGATTGCGTCGGCAGGGTGCGCACCCCTTTCCCCTTTAGCTCGCTATACACACGTAGTCTAGACGGTCTTGATAGAGTGCACAATTACAGATCATTTCTTATAATCTTTCAAGCGGTCGTAATATTCATGAGATGATGTGTGTTCATCTGTATGGCACATATCGTCGCAGGTTCCGCCGCCTCCCCGGCGTGATATTCGATGAATGTTTTCAACCTGCTCTGTATACATGCGAGCCATGCTGCCTCTGAGTCCTTCTCTGTGACCGCGGCGTCTCTAGGCGCCGATGGCAGACCACTCATCTCCAATCTCGTATAGTGGTCGATTGGGAGTCTCCCTGTTCTCGCGCGAGGCTGCAATGCCACTCTGGGGTATCTTATCTCAACTGCGATCCTTGTCTTCTCTTCTTCTCTCCTGCATTTGGTACACTCTGTCCTGCCAACGCCGCTGGCTAACTGTTCCGGCACTCCTCGCCCGACTGCGCTGGTTGATTATCATGCGATCTGCCAGTCTTGCCATATGCCATTCCTATGACCATATGGGTTCTCTGCACATACACGCCAGGGGCCATGAACTACCAGAATTTCATGAATGCTCCATGATGCCAAGAGGCCCGATGCCTCCGACCCGTACGGGAACATGACAATTTCGCGACAGTAAATACCGCCCTCCGCTCAACCCGGCCTCGGAGTTCCCACAGCACTGCTGGGCTGCTCGCTGCCGACGGGCTCCCCATTGAGGCCAAGCTTCCTCTTCTTCTTCTTCTTGCGGGGCACAACGGCGGGGCGGGAGCCGTACTTGCCCAGGGACAGCCTGTTGCCGCATGTCAGGCACTCGGCGTCCTGCGGCACCTCGCAAAAGATGGACAGGCAGATGCTGCAGACAAAGCCCGTGTCTATGACCCGCCGGTGGCAGAAGCAGGCGGCGCGGAAGTCGACGCTCGCCGTCGACGGGCTGACGAGCTGGTTCAAGCCTGCGCCGCCGCCTCCGCCGCCGCCGTGGCTGTCATCGTCGTCGTGCTTGGGGCCGGTCTGGCCTGCTGTGTTGGAAGTGGTGGTCATGACGCTGGTGGCCGAGGTGATGGAGGAGGCAAAGCCGAAGAGGAGGTAGGTCAGCAGACCCTGGGGGTTCTCGGCCTCCATGAAGGTGCCGCGGGTGATGTAGCTCGCCTGCTGGAGGAAGGTTGCGCTGCCGTGCAGGGAGAGGATGTCGATCGGGATGCCGGCATGACTGGCGGCGAAGACGGAGTTCATGGTGGGTATATACTGCGACGGAGAGCTTTCGGACACAGAAATGACAAGAATCCTAGCGTGTAGCCCAGTCAACATACCGGCGCGCTGGGCGGACATGGCGGAGGGGTTGGCGGCGGTGGAGCCGCCGTTCTTCTTGGCGGCGAGCGTGGAGGCGTCGGCGTTGTCGTTGGCGGAGAGGAGCACGGAGGTCTTGTTGATGTGCGACAGGGCGAGGGTCAGGGCGCCGGAGATCTGGGTGGTGGTGGTGGCCAGGTCGGCCTCGGTAGTCGAGGACATGAGGTCGCGCAGGGAGGCGAGGATGGAAGACTCGATCTGGGCGAACTGAGGGTACTTGTTGGCGGTGGCAGCGCTGCGCTTTTTAGGCGGTGGTGTTGATGGGGCGTCGGCGTCGGTCATCTCGATGTCGCCGTCTTGCTGGCGGTTGCCCTGTGCCTGCTTTGGCTTTGGACGGGGTGGGTAGAGCCATACTGCACGGTTGGTGTGGGAGGCTATTAATGCAACCTGGTTTGTGCTGCTGTATGCGAGGTGGGCGTTGACGAAGACGAGGATATTGGCAAGGGCCTTGGAGATGGGCAGGTCCGCCTTGAGGGCGGCCCAGGCGCGCGGGTTGGTGTCGATGACGATGGCACATAGCGAGGGCGTCTCCTCGGTGGCATAGATCTCGTAGTGGTCGGTGGCGTCGACAGCATCCATGGTGGGATGCGGACCCCGGTGCTGTCGACCGGCCGCGACGGTTCAAACTCGAGGCGAGAGACAAAGCAAGAAGTAATGAGGTGGGGAGAGGCGGGCGAGTGTAAGTCGAAGTAGCTCCAATGGTTGAGGTGGAGTGGTGGAGTGATGTCCAAGGTCGGGTCAAGGGCAGAAGGAGGAGGAGGTGGTGGTGGTGGATGAAGCTTCACGGATTGAATTCCGCGCTGAGCTACAAACACACCGTTGACAGCACAGGCAGCCGATCTGATATGATGAGGTCGTTGCAGCGGCAGCGGCAGGACCCGAACGGCCATCCCAGATCAGATGAGACATGCAGCTAAGATCAAGCACCCTGGTAATGGACCAGGTAGGTACCCATCTGGGTACCTTGTACCGTATCAATCCAACACTGTCCAGTTATTCTCCAGGTATTCTCTATTCTTAATTGTCCTGCACAACGCCACCTTGTTCAATACCTGTCAATGTCAGTCAGTATTGACGCCAAATGCTGGCAAGACGACGAGATATGCCCCACTTCGCCGATCGCCTGCATCACAGCATCTTGCAGCAGCTTGCCTGGCACCCTGACCAGCTCTTAAAAAGACTGAAAAACTAGATAGCTATGGTCATACGGTAGACGCATGATACGGTCTGGTATGGCACGGTATGGCACGGTGTGTTACGGCACGGAAAAAAGATACGGGAGAAAGAAACGCGATCTAGCTCCATATCCCGTCGCGCGTTCCCCATCTCCATCTCCATCTTTTGTCCGAAAAAAGGAGGGGCACGGCGCCCACAGCAGACTCATGTCCAAGTCCATGGGTGCACCACATGTGCCACCAGGTGGTCTCCTCGCTACCAACTTGCACGCAAATTGATTATTTATCTACCACTTCCTTACGCGTCAGCAGCATCGGACGAATGATTTTTGGAGCACCTCTTGGCTGATGAAGCGAGTTTCGTGAAACCCGAGCCAAGAACCCCGCGGGCATTGCGCGTGCTCAGAAACAGAGCTGTCCCTCAACAACTCTCAGACCATCTGCTTGTCTGTCTGTCTGCCAGTCAGTCAATCGAATCAGTTAATCAACCAGGCAATCTAGTCTGCATATCTGAGCTCCAGCTCCAACTACAGCTTGAGCTCCAGGTGCAGGTGCAGATCCCACCGCGGGGTCCTCGCCTCCTCAACGCTTCTGTGGCTCTGGTTCCCCTCCTCCCAACCAAGTCAACATCTGACCTGACCTGCCAGGCCACGTTCAACACAGTCTGCAGTCTACCAAGCTAACAGATCCATCTCTCACATCCCTCCACATCATAATTCATCATGATGGAGACAGTCAACGAGTACGCCAAGCAGGACCTGTCCAACCTGGGCAGGGAGGACCAGACCTTGCTCCTGTTTGCGCGCTTGATGGAGGGCGGCCAGGAAGACAGCGACACCGTCAACGACCTGGACGCCCTCACTAAGCTCCTGCAGGACGACCTCGACGCCAGAAAGAAGGACAAGTCCATATGCGACGTCATCGACTCCGACTGCTTCGACACCATCCTCTGCTACCTCGACATGCGCCAGCCCGACGTCGTCCGCGGCCATGCTACCCTCACCACATCCGCCTATCTCAAGGCCTCCGGCACCGACGGCTCCAAGATGCTGCGCGACTTCTTTCAGGAACGCGTCAAACGGGGCACCTATGACGACTACATCGTCGCCTTCTGCGTCGCCGCCGCCATCTTCCCTATCGTCCCCGACCTCATCACCGAGCTGTTCCTCAGTGAGGGCTTCCTACCCAGCCTGGGCCCGTTGATGCGCAGGAAATGGAAGAGTCGGAAGGTTGAGACTGCATGTCTGGAGATGCTGAACGCGGCGTGCATGAATCAGCAGTGCCGGGAGGCCGTGCAGAAATATTGCGTTGAGTGGCTGGAGGAGGTAGTCGACCAGGACCCGGACGAGGCTGTCAAGTCCATGTTCGTCCGCGGCGCCGACGGGTCACACAGCGAGGAGGGCTCCGTCTCCATGCGCAGGCACTCGGAGAATGTCCAACATCTGGCTGCTGTCATACTTGCCAAGTTAAGAGTTAGAGATCCCATCGCTATGCGACACCCTTCCGTCTTCACCGATGAGCCCGAGGAGCTGGATGTCTGACTGACAGTTGGACACCCAGGCAATACAGCCCGCCCATCCACCAACGGGCAAGGACGGCGACCCCGAACGAGTCCAGCAGGCGAGCACCACCATTGAAGAGCTGTCCAAGATGTTTACGGATATGCTGATCAAGGATCCCGAGCATTCGCGGAACAATTCCATCGAGGGGCTGGCCTATGCCTCGTTGCGACCGAACGTGAAGGAGGAACTCGCCAAGAATAAGGAATTCCTGAAGCAGCTCGTAAAGACCCTGGAGAATGCGCCACCAAAGTCACCACTTACTTATGGAGCCTTGAGTATCCTGGTCAATCTCACCCGTTTCCAGCCCAACAAGTCTGAAGAAGAGAAGAAGATGGACCAGCTCAAGGCGTACGCCAATGCGGCGGGCAAGATTGCGCCCGATCCTTTGAATGATAATGAGCATGTCACAGCTCGGTGTAAGGCAGTGTTCGAAGCAGGCGTAACACCCATACTTGTAACACACAGCAAAAACGGCTCCGTAGCCTCACTGTCCCTCATTATAACCATTATCAACTCTCTCTCCATAATCACCAGCATACGCGGCCAGCTGGCTCAGCAGGGCGCCGTCCGCCTTCTCATAGCAGCCTGGAACGCTCTCCCCTCCTCCGAGGCTCAGACAAAACGCGTAGCGGCCCAAGCCCTCGCCCGCATTCTCATATCCACCGACCCGTCACTCGTCTTTGGCGGCACACGGCCAACTCCACAGAGCGCAGCTATCCGCCCATTAGTATCCATCATTGCCCCAGACCAGGAGGCCGAGACGCGCGACCTCCTCCCAACCTTTGAGTCCCTCATGGCCCTGACCAACCTAGCATCAACAGACGACGATACCCGCAGCGCCATCGTGCGACAGGCCTGGCCTGACCTAGAGGAGCAGCTTCTCTCGAGCAACGCGATGGTGACCAAGGCGGCGGTGGAGCTGGTGTGCAATCTGGTGCAGTGCGTCGAGGCGATCGCGCTGTACGCGGATGGGTCAACCAAGGCGCGCGACAGGCTGCACGTGCTGCTGGCGCTGGCGGACGCCGAGGATGAGGGCACGCGCAGCGGGGCGGGCGGTGCGCTGGCCACGCTCGCGGGCGTCGAGGAGGTCGTGACCGCACTGCTCGCGCGCGATCGCGGCGTGCGCAATGTCCTCGGTCTGTGCGCCGACGAGGACAGCGAGGATATCCGCCACCGCGGCGTGTTTGTCGTGTATAGCCTCGTCACTATGGATGGGGACATCGGCGCGCGCGCTAGAGGCAAGGTTCGTGAGGAGGGCGGCGTCGACGTCCTACGCGAATGTGCTCGGCGTACACGAAGGCCCGAGGTGCTGGATCTGGCTGTGCAAGCCTTGAAGTTGCTTATGGAAGAGAACTGAATTGTCTTGATTGGTGAGGATTGGTGATGCATACAACTAGTGAGCGTGTTTTGGATTTGAAACATTTGGACGGTAAAGATGACTACATAGTATTGTGTGGATTCCCTTGACGGATCTGGTTTGGCTGGAGTTGGTACTTGGTTTTATTATGGCTTTCTCATGGATTCCATGAGTTTTGCATGACTTTTTGCATCATCATCCTGGAGGCGCAGTCTTTTCTCAGAATAAGTTTGGCATCGAGGAATACTTGGAGCATTCTCAGTTTTCGATTATTGTGATGTGACAATCATCACCGTACTCCTGTATTCGACATAATTGCTCTCCTGGCATGCTTGCATATGAGCAATCCTTTGCTTCCTTTTTGTCCAGCTCTGCCCACAAGCTGCGCCCGCTGTCGGATATCGCGCCATGCTCAAAACCATATACCATGATGGACTGACTATATCTACAAAGAGCTATTGATGTTTCATGCAAGACGACAAGGGAAACGATATGCCGCCAGCGGTATGTACAGTGGCCCCTTTCCAATAGCCACAGCTTTATCTATTTCCCTACTACAATGTCCATCACTGACATTGTTTTAGTGAGCCAGGCACAGTTGCGAGTCCCAACGTGGAGTATTTTCAAGGCCCTGGAAAGTCGTCATACAAGACGAAGACGTCTCCTGACGAAATTCCGATTCCATGCCGCAATGTGCGCTCTCCCCTGCCCGTCTTCTTCGAGGTGCTGCTTGCGCCATCTCGTCTCCAGCGTGCCGACCCTGCAAACAGAGTCCGCTCCCGCCCGACCCAATACGATTGACTGCGTGCGGAAGCCTCGAGCTGCGTGTGTGGAGTGTGACAGCGACCAACAGATGACGGCCACCGTCCATGTCTCATTACGAAGTCTGCCAGCTAGACCACCATCGTCGGTACCGAGAGCAAGCCCAAAGTCTGACCTTGTGTCGAGGTCCAGGATATACTCACGCTGCCTCCCAGGAGAAAAGCTGATTTCTGTCGTCCACGCGGTGATATATATTGCATGCTCTGTCGGCAGTCCCCGACTCCCACGCCCACCGCGCTCTAGTCTGAAATATTCATGGATGTCAAGTAGCTGTCCCGTACCGCACGGTACGTCGATCGATATATCCTCGAGGTCAGCCAGCGATGGATCCACGGGCAGCAGACCATACATCCATACCGAATGGTCGGGGTCTTCACCACCAGAGTGCTGCTGCTGCTGGTCGGCCCATCCCTCCCACCCAGCCCAGGTCCACGAGGGAAAGCTCCGAATTCGTCGCAGGGCACACGACTGGGACTTCCAGAGCAATCCCTGAGCGAGCTGGCAGATTGATCCATCAGCGGCGAAGACGAATGGGACGCCCCAGTAGTGCATCGCGGGCGGTCGAAGCTTCTCGAAGGCACGAAAGACACCGAGGAAGGCTTTGAGCGAGTCGGCCGGATACGTGAGGTGGCGGCGCGTGTACTCCTCGATCCGGTAGAAAATATCCCCAGCGCGTGCGACCCGGCCGTTGTCGTGTAGGCACTGGAATACGGCTTGCGACTCAGTGAAGACCAGCCGGTGCCGCGACAGCAGACCCTCCTGGTACGTCCACCCGCGCGTCGACCATACCAGCTCTCCGAGCTCGGCGTGCGCGTCTTCGACGTACACGTACGACTCCTTCTCCGCGCCTTCGTCATCACCAACCCCTTCCTGCCCGCCACCGTTGTTCTCCACGAGCGAGTACGTGTCCAGCCGGCAATGGATCCGCCGCGAACCGGGCAGCCCGTGGCCGCTGTGCGCCCCCGACGCAGCCACGATGGTCAACGCCGCTCGCCGGTATACGGCGTCCATGTTGCTGATGGTGTGGTGCTTGCGCCCCGGTTCCGTGTCGTCGATGCAGTACTGGTCCACCCAGAGGAACCGCAGCCCCAGCTCGCGCACCGCGTGCACTGCGTCTCGCACCGTCCGCGGAAGCAGCCGCCGCCGCCGGCTCAAATCCGCCTGGAACTGCTCCCTCTCGTCGTCGTCGCCGGCCTCGTCGCCGCCCCGTGCGCCGCCCCACACGTAGCTCAGCGCCGCGAACTTGCAGTCTTCGCCCGCGGGGACGAGCTGTTCGGACTCGCAGTCGATGACTAGAAGGTCCGGATGAGAACTCTCTACTTCCGCGCTATCCTTCTCGCCGCCTCCGCCGGCGGAAGCCGTCCCATGCGTCTTGTCGCACTGCGCCATCAACCACCGGACCTGGGCATAGTCCACGCCGGCCGATAGCACGCGCGTCTCATAACCGGGCGGCGGCCGCACGGGGACGGTTCGCACGCCCTCCATGACGGTGTACTGCTCCGAGTGGGTCAGGGGCGCGATGACCGCAACGTGCAGGTTCCGTGTGGCCCTGCCGTCACGTACGTCCTCCGGGATGGCTCCTGCGATATACTCATCCACGGCGTCGCCCATTGCGAGATTCAGGACTTGGTGTGGGTGGACAAGCACCTCGCCTGCCCCCTTGCTGTCCGGTCAGAGCTGTTTCTTTTCTTTACTTTTCTTTGCTTGCTTGGGATGCAAGGGAAAAATTGTCGGGGTCGACGTACCGGGCAGGACGTACCCGTTTAGCGACCAGTCTGCAGCCATATTGTAGCACTGTCTGGGTATGTTCTTGTCCAAAACCAGCCAGCCAGCCAAACAACCAGTCAATCAATTGACTAGTGGCGTATAGTAGATCCACGCTGTGCCCCGGTGTATTGAGAAGGGGAGGAGAGCCGTGGTCATCTGTACATACGCTGAGGCATTATCTTCAATACTGACTGACAGTCTGAGCGGATCATGATTGACCAGAGAAGACGAGAGCACATGTGAACAGAAATTCCTCTTCAAAACCGCAATGGATGCCGTGCTTGTAACTGAGACCAAAGGCTGCCTCCCGGCGGAGCGGACTAGGCGCGAGGCCAATGGGGAGGGGAGAGGACCTGATTGCAAGACCTACCCAGGTTGCTTGCAGGGGCGGAGGCGTCCCCCGACCCGGCGGACCCACGCTCATGTTCGCGCCTGCATGTGCATGCGCATGTAATGCAGACCGTTTAGTCTCATACGTAGCCGATCTGTGTATGCTGTGTGGTGTGCGATTGGGACGACGGCATCATGGAAGGAAATTAAATTTCGGCTTAACTTCAGCCACCAACTTGTTTGCCGCTCTATGTGTTGTCGTATCCGAAGACATCGGACTGAACGATTGAAAGACATTCACACCGGCTGGCTGTCGTCCAAGCCTCCTGCTTACGCATGGCGCTATCCAAAGTAAAGGGTGGCTGTGTTCTTCCTGCCTCCTCGTCGCTAACTAGCAGGCAGCAGACCCCGTCCACCGATATGGTGGTACAGTGACAGCTGAAAACCCCGGCCTCTATTGACACAAGCCGGGGCCATCTCCGGCAATATCTAGATTGACAACCCGCCGCTGTTCTTCTGTCTAGGCTCTCCCACGCCGAGGAACCTCCCATCCCACAGCCGCTGGATCCCCTGCACGGCGCTCACGCCCAGCCGCACCCACTTGCTGTTATGCCCCTTCTCGACCATGGCGCCCACCGTTCCATTATCAAAAGTCCACTCAAACTCAGCGCGGTTCGGGATCAGCTGGTCGTGAAATCGCGGTTCGGCCATCGCGGCGCGCATGTCCAGGCCGTGCTCAAGCAGGTGCCATGCCGTAAGCGTGGTGGACGAGATGATACGGCTCCCGCCGGCAGCGCCGGTCACAAAGAAGACGGTGCCGTTGGGGAACTCGGCGATGATGGGCGTAATAGAGCTCATGCAGCGCTTGCCCGGGCGGATGAAGTTTGCGGGCGACGGCGCAAAGCCGAAGACATTGCGCGCTCCGGGTGTGCTGAAGTCGGCCATCTCGTCGTTGAGGATGATTCCCCCGCGCGGCGTCATGACCTGCGCCCCGAACAGCAGGTTCACCGTCGTCGTCGACGAGATCGTCAGCCCAGTCGCGTCCGCCGCCACGATGTGCGATGTCCCGTGGCTCTCGGCTGCGTACTCGCCCCGCGGGTCGTACTCCTCCAAGGGCAGCGTGCTGCTGTCGTTGATGCGGGCGCGGATCTGGCGCGCGTTCTGTTTGCTCAGCAGCGCGTCCTCGAATCCTTCCACATTCGGCAGGTAGTCCGGGTCACCTAGCTCCAGGCGCGCGCCGTAGGCGAAGCGCATGGCCTCGAGGAAGCGGTGCGTCGTCAGGTTTGTGTCGGATAGGTCCGCGGCTGGGTACTGTTCCATGGTCTTGAGCGTGCTCAGCATCACGGCACCGGAGCTGGGGGCACCGGTTGAATACAGCTTGAAGTCGCGGAAGTTGATGCTAATGGCTCGTTTGGGCAGAGCCTTGTAAGACTTCAAGTCGTCCAGTGTGAGTGTCCCGTTGGTCTCTTGGGTCACCTTGACCATTTCCTCGGCGAGCTCGCCCTCGTAGAAGACGTTGACCCCGTGCTTGCCGATTTTCTCCAATGTGCTGGACGACGATGTGAGTAACCTTTGGCAGTGCCATGGAGGATGTAGACTTACTCGGCATATCGTTTCCGTGTGATGACATCTCCAAGTTGAAGGAGAGTCCCATTTGGCGCAAAGTCTTCAGACCATATGGGATCTTCCACGAGAAAGTTGCCCCTTGGGCCGTCGATGGCGTTGTTCATATACCTTACCAGATCCTCGGTAACTTCAAAACCATTTCGTGCCAGATACACGGCAGGGTTAACCAGCGCCCGCCACGGTAGTGATCCGTACTTGCTGTGTAGATATTCGAGGCCCCTCAACTCGCTTGGCACAGCTACCGATAAGCCGCCCCAGACGGCCCCCTCGAGGTTCCCTTGATACATGTCCTCGTACGCCGCGGCTGGCGCGGATTCCCGGTAGTCTATCGTCTCATAATTCCCTTGTGGATCACGGACGAGTGCAAAACCTCCACCCCCTATTCCGGAATGGTACATCCCTATCACACCGACGCATAGGTTTGTGCCCACCATGGCATCTGCGGCGTTGCCCTGGACGGTATTAGCAGCCTGCTGTATTAAGAAAAATAGAGGAATACTCACGCCTTTCTTTAATATGTCTATACCTATCTGTGAGCATATTACGCTTTCACTCGCTATTGCGCCATGGGATCCTTGGAGGGGTGCCTGAATGGGATTGTTCCCGTAGGACACAGGCGAGGCTGCTGCTGCATGATAGAGGGCTATTGTAGATAGCAGGTCATATTTCAAATTCTCTGTGATGTGGTTAGCCGCTCTTGTGCATTACGCAAGTATCTCAAAGCAAGACGAATGGTAGAAAAGCCTCACTCATGTCTATCGCTGTATGAGCGGTTTGAACCGCAGAGAAGGAAACAGAGGAGACCCAGATAACGCCAGATGAGCGCAGAAACCAACGGCCGCTACACAACGACAAAATAGAAGACACCACCTGCTACGACGAGAGCAGTCGTATAAGTGAGAGCAGAGAATTACTGAACGAATCAGTTCACACCGCGAGTTGGTTGACAATGCATATGACGAGCTCCGGCACGAGACCGGCGTGCTCACGGGAGACGGAGCCTTGATAACATAAGCAGCCGTTACCGTCTCGCCGAGCGCCCTGGGCCAGACGGACTAACTCGATCGGGTAGCAGTTTCTGGAACCAATCAGGGCGCTGTTGAAAACAATTTCGAATATCAATTCCATCTCACTTGTCCCCTTTCAAAAGACGTTCATTCTCATCAATACTTGCGTTTTTGAAGTGATGTGAACTTCAGAAATGATTAAGGTCATCTGATCAGTATCATCGATGCGTCTCTTCTCATCCAAACTTGTCAGGACTTTTGCATCATCTGCACACAGGAAGCCATTCACACCAAGACCCCATTTCATTCAGCGACAGCCAACAATGGCTTCACCTCTAACACAACCTGGCGCCGAGCCAGCAGCAAAGACAGAGGCTCGCAACCAAACCAACGGGAAGAGGCCGTTCAAAGGAGGGCATGATGGACCAAGGGGATGGGGAGGGAGCTCAAAAAAGAGAATGCCCAAAAAGCAAAAGCCTGCCAAGGAGGGTTCGCATGAGGAGGTCCTGAACCTCGACATTGAAGCCTTGATGGAGGAGATGAAGCTGGCGGACAGCAGTTCTGCTCCCGAATCGGAGGCTGGGCCTGAGACACTGCCACAAGAAGGATCAGAGATCGAGGTCGAAGTACTCAAGCTCTCGTCCACAGGCGATGGCTTAGCAAGACAGCCAGGCTCAAAACGAATTTACGTCGTGCCCTTTGCAATACCCGGCGACACGGTCAAGGTAAAAGCTTACCGCCACCTACCTAAGGGAAACCACTCCGTTGCAGACTTCATATCTGTCGTGAAGCCATCACCGCTCCGCGACGACAGCAGGATACAGTGCAAGTACTTTACCAAATGTGGCGGGTGTCAGTTCCAGATGATGGACTACGCAGATCAGCTCAAGCACAAGAGGACCATTGTTGAGCGCGCCTTCAAGAACTTCTCAGATCTACCGCCAGAGCTGGTTCCCACCGTCCAAGACACCTTCGGCAGCCCGCTGCAGTACGGCTACAGGACGAAGCTGACGCCACATTTCGACGGCCCGCCGGGCTTCGCGGGCAAAAGGCGCGGCGGCGCGAAAGAGAAGAAGGTGCTGCAGGAGATGCCCGACATCGGGTTCATGCTCAAGGGCGGGCCGCGGCGCGTGCTTGACATCGAGGACTGCCCGATCGGGACGGACGCGGTGCGGCGGAAGATGGGCCGCGAACGCGAGCGCATGAGGGCCGAGTACAGCAACTACGAGCGCGGCGCGACCATCCTGCTGCGCGAGAACACGACGCGTGTGGCCAAGGGCGACCCACTGCCTAACCCGCTGCCCCAGGACGCCGTGGTCGTTGAGCAGGACAGCCACACGGACATCAAGACGTGCATCACAGACAACAACGCCACGTCGACCGAGTACATCGGCGACTTCACCTTCACCAACCGCGCGGGCGACTTCTTCCAGAACAACAACTCCATCCTCAAGCCCTTCACCGATCACATCCGGGAGCACATCCTACCTCCCGACTCCTCCTCCTCCACCCAGAAGCCCATAAAGACCCTGATTGACGCGTACTCAGGCTCAGGCCTCTTCACCATCACGCTGTCTAAACTGTTCCCGGGCGGCAGTATCGGCATCGACATCGCGGATAAGTCGATCGCGTTCGCGCGCGCCAACGCGGCGCTCAACGGGCTCGCCGAGGGCCGTCAGTGCACCTTCATCGCGGCCGACGCGCCGCGCCTGTTCGAGTCGGTCGCCCAGTTCGACCCGGATGAGACCGCCGTCGTGCTGGACCCGCCGCGCAAGGGCTGCGACGAGAGCTTCCTGCGCCAGCTGCTGGTGTTCGCGCCGCGGCGAATCGTGTATGTCAGCTGTAATGTCCACACGCAGGCGAGGGATGTCGGGGTGCTGGTTAGGGGCGAGGTGAGTGGTTTCATGGCGGGTGGCGGTGGTGAGAAGGTCGAGGGTGAGGTCGGGGACAATGGAGAGGCGAAGAAGAAGACGAGGTATGAGATTGAGAGTCTGAGGGGGTTCGACTTCTTCCCTCAGACGGGTCATGTCGAGGGCGTGGCGATTCTGAACAGGGTCGATAGCTGAGTAAAGGTCTTGGTATGATTCCAGGTATAATGTCTATAACAGGATTGATATCCTGATTGATGGATCTTCGTCTGGCCATTGGGCACGTAGAGAGCGATGCAACAAATCAGCATAGCCCTACGACTTGAAATCAATACCACAAACAGGCGATGTTCAAATGCCATCGACTGGACCAGCAGAAGAGGACTCCGAGAGCGTTCAATCACTTGGACCCAGCAAATTACTCGATATCTTCTGACAAGTCCAATGTTGTCCTGCTAGCCAGGCTAACATATATGCCCCGAAGTCCTTTCAGCCAGCGACCTGCCACGTCTTCTAAACTTTGTACAATTCAATATCTAACGCAGCTAAACAGATGTAAAAACATGAATGCGCCCACGATGCATTGTGAGATACACAGAGTGAGAAATAGGGGGGTATCACCTCATGCAAGCTTTTCACTAAATCTTCCTTCCAGCACGCAATACATACACATCACCGCAAGATCCTTGCAGTCAACCCCGTCAACCCCGTCAGGCACTAGTCGGAGGTTTCTCTCCCTGTCCACTCTGGCTGCTCTCCTCGTTAAGCTCTGAATTTGATATATCTGTTCTTGGGCTAAGACTTCGTCATGTTCACTAGCTTAGCAGTCTGCTCGATCCACTTGCGCGCGAACTCGCCCTCGCTGAACCTCCACGCCGACTCGCGGGCGCGCAGGCGCATCTCGAGGGGATTCTCCACGGTCAATGCCTTTTCGAAGGCCGCGGCAAACTCAGCCGCAGTTGTGGCATGGAATCCTGGATCCTCTTGTTAGCACGATTCATCTCCCGAGCCATACGCTCCTATATTTTAAAAGCAGTACTCACCCGTAGGTCGCCCGTCGACCTCCTTGACGATATCCAGCTTGGGCCCGCCAGAATCGTGTACGACGCAGATGAGGCCGCTGGCCTGGTACTCGACGACGCCGATGCCAAAGTGCTCGTTCCACATGCCGTTGACACCGACATGCGACCGGCCCAGCCAGCCGAGGATGTCGGTCCATGACGCGTCGAGCTGGAAGTCAACGAGGCCGTCAACACCGAGCTCGCGCAGCAGCAGCCGCAGCTTGTAGACGCGCTTCGAGTCCTGGTCGTCGCGCACGCTGCCCACCAGCACCAGCCGCGCCCCCTTCGACGCCTCGCTGCCGGCCTTGATGAACTGCGCGAACGCCTCCAGGATCAGCGGGTGGTTCTTCTCCGGCCGGAACTGCCCGATGTAGAGGAGATTCTTTTGCCGCTTCGACTCGCTTGGTGCCGACACCTCAACCTCCTCCTCGAGCTCCTCGACGGCGCATGGAGGGTATACAGTGGCGATGGGCTCGGTTTTTGAGGCCTCCCTCCGGCCGGGACCCCAGATCGAGGTGACGTGTGCCTGGGTCCAGCTGGAGTTGGTCATGACCACGTCGACGGTTGCACCCATCATGGCATAGATCTTGGCGAAGAGCTGCCAGTACCTGCGCTTCAAGGAGCCCCTGAGGCCTGTACCCTGGCCTGCATTGACGCCCTGCGCTCCGAGAGGGTGGGCGGGGTCGAGCGAGTCGAGCATGTCGGTTGAGATTGTCGGATAGTGGACGTATGCGCCGGTCGGGACATTCTTGAACAGCCATTTGCTCAGGCCCAGCGAGAATGCATAGCCCATTGTATCGATGAAAATGTCCGGGACGAGGAGGGAGAAGGCGTCCCACGCCAAAATTAAGGATCCGAAGGACTGGCCGGCCAGCGTCATGCGCGGCCATGTGGATGCCAGGACCCAGTGTCTGGTTGACAGATAGAGGAACTGGATGCTAGGTGGGTGCAAGTGCACGTTGAATCGGTCCTAGCAAGAGTTAGTCGCGGCGTATACTAGAGTACTCAAGGATCAGGGCAGGTTTCATTCCGCACCTTAACTCGACCCAAGATTTGCTCCTTAGAAGCCTCGTGGTCGCCCGTGTACACGACGATTTTGGCGTTGGGCCACCGCTTTTGTGTAGCCCGGATGGCAGCCCAGAGAACTCTTTCGCCTCCACCTCCAGCATTACTGCTTCATGTCAGCCTACATTCCAGGTCGCTCCTCCAATTTAGGGCAAGTACCAGAAAGGGTGGAAGAATCCCACGATGCCGGACCACTCCCTGTCTGCTTTGTCGCCCATGGGCACTTTTCCCTGTATAGAGGCCTCGATCTTCTTCCAAATATCTTTCTTGCCCTTCTCTGTCTCCTCCTCTGTGTCATTGCCCGTCTTCCCGTTGCTCAGATAGCTCTTCTCGTCCTCGGCCATAACCTCCAGCAGCTGTGCTCTCCTACCATCTGTTTTGTTTCGCAGGTATGTGCCCCCTACGGAGCCCAAGGCCTGCCATAGAGCGGGTATTCCGAAGAGGACGAAAAAGGGGATCAAGCCGAGCGGGAGGGCGAGCAAGGCAACACTCGTGGGGCTGAGGCCAAAAGGGCTCCATTGGTCCTGGCCAGACGGCGCCTTGCAGGATCCGCCTGCGTCCATGGCGTCAAAGGCTTTGTCCAGGTCGGTTGTTTAGATTTGAACGGTATAATACGGTACGGTGAGAAGGCGAGTGCAGTACGGGTGTATGTAGGCGAGATGGGTGGTATTGGTGACGCTTCGGCGTGAGCAGAGAGAGGGAGCGGAAAGGTGTGTCACAGGAACGACGGCTTGGGTTCTAGAGCGTACTCCATTGAACAGCAGTAATTTGAATTGACCTTGCCAGTCCAAGAGATGAGTCGGTCATTCGGTCAGGTAAATCAGTCACAGGCAAAGCTGTGGCCTGGAGGACTTGGGCATTTCAACAACGGAGGGGCAGACTCGTAGAAGTACAGTGAAGCAGACACGACACGGCAAAGACACGACGCAAGTTCCAGGATGCAAGGTTGCCAGAGCTCGCCGTGATTAAGGAACCTTAGCAGCTGATAGCGGGGCCCGCGTGGCTCGGGCGCGGGACGGACCCCTGCCCAGCATACGACCTCTCGTACAAAACGGTGGTAGATCAGGTACCTCAGGTATGGAAGTACCTAGGTACCTCTGTTCCTGGGTCGTGACCATGCTTGAACATCCTTGTCTCCCACTCGAAGCTTTGAAGACCTCATCGGTCATCTGCCTCTGCCAGTGAATGAGAAAAGTTGTCTTATGGATACAGACGGCCAACCACATGATCCCTGAGTCTTTATTATGAGCAGTCCTCAGCTCTGAGCTCCCACAATGTCAGGACATGTGGGCCACCAGCTGAGGCTGTCAGCCACGAGAATACGGCCTCACCTTGGCCGGCGTCTTCAACATGAGTTTCACCCTCACCTTTTTCCCTCCAGAATACGGCTATCTGCTGCGAGTCAGAAGAGGAATTTCGGCGTGGCAGATGCAGCAGGATACTTCCTCAAAGGCTCAGAGCTCCTCATTACCAACGTCCACGAGGTCACAGTAACGCCATGGTTCATCTCACTTCCCCTAGTCGCTGTCGTGGTCAGCGCCTTGATCAGGACACCGTTGACCCTCTACACCAATAGTGTGCAGCGGAGGAAAGCAAAGCTCCTTCCTTTGATTCAGGCACAATATGCGCAGATTGGGCTTGGTCTGAGGCGGAAGGCGGTGCCGAATGTCATGGACCGGGTCACAAAGGCAGTCAAGGGGAGAAGCAAGAAGATGTTCAGGGCCTTCTCCATCAACGAGAGCAGGTCCTCCTGGGGCGGCCTTATTGGCCTGCCTGTGTTCCTAAGCAACCTCGAGATCATCAGAGAGATGTGCGGAGGACCTCGGGGTCTGTTGGGAGGCTTGATGTACGGATGGCAGAACCAAGACGGGACGGCAACGACGGCCTCAAACACAGCAGCTGAAGGAGCTATACCGCCGTCTACTACGCCGGCCATCGGCGCTGAAACATCTGTCGTCGACATCAGCGATCTCGCATCTTCGACAACGACTCCAGACGTCTTCACTCCGCTCGCTATGGAGCCCACTTTCGCATCGGGCGGCTGCCTCTGGTTCCCAGACCTGCTCGCGCCGGACCCGTACCACGTTCTCCCCTTCGCCGTCTCAGGTCTGCTTCTCATGCATATATTGCCCGAGACTGAAGCCGAGCTGCGCAATCTGTTCGGGATGCGGCCCCCGGCAGGGACGCGCAACCTCGTCGTGGCCGGGGGGCGGTCGCGTGGCATGCTGGCCTTCCGCCGGGCCATGATAGTGATGGCGCTCGCTATCGGTCCGGTGACCATGAACCTCCCTTCCGCGCTGCACCTTTATTGGGCTTCTTCTGTTGGGTGCAGTCTTGTTGTGACCAAGGGCATCAGGAGGCTCTTGCCCATACCGAAGGTGCCGGTGAAGCCTTGTGGGGGTCTTGAGATTCCGTTGATACGACCAAAGACGAATTGAAGAACTTACTTGGTGTGGTACCCACTTCGCTCAACGCAAAACGTGACGGTCTTGATATACTATATGGGAGACAGGGCGGCACGGGTCAATAGCGATGGCATGCTAGATAGTTGCATTCGATCCTGGCCGCATGGAAGGTTGACAATCTTGTCTTCCTTACTCTTTTGTTGATGAAGAGCATTTCCCGGCACGAAAATTCTGTCCGACTTGCGGATCCAGGCATCATGTTGTAAGGTCATCGTCAAGAACATTTTACTCGGGACCTGGACTTCGGAGAGGTCTAACGGACCCAGAGAGATTGTGATTGAACGTCAGACACAGGATTCTCCGTTGGGAGTACTGGCCTTCTTATGTACACATAGTTGTACAACAAAAGAAAAAGACGGCCTTCTAGTATTCAAATGACACCTCCAACGCCGTCGAGTGCTGTGAAACCCTCCCGAAAGGACCAAACCAGGACATCACACATCATAATCATCGACACCCTACCCAAGGACTACAGCCAGCACTATAATCGTAAGAATGACCGACAGGACCAGCAAGAGACAGCACGCCTTGCCTCGCGCATTCTTCTGGTACCGCGCAGCCTGGCGCAGCTCCCGGTCGGCGCCGCGGGTGTCCTCGTGGGTGCGCTCGACGTTCTCGGTGATGCCGCCCAGCTGCTCGCCCTGCTCGGTGACGATCTGTGCGACCTGCTGGAACAGCACGTTGAGGTCGCCGACACCCTGCTCGATGTTCTGGATCTCCGTCTCGCGCTCGGCGATCAACGCCTCCTGGAAGTCCACCTCGTCCTGGGGCGCCAGCCGCAGCTCCTGCTGCATCAGCTGCTGCTGCTGCTGGCCGGTGGGGCTCAGCGGCACCGTGTCACCGCCAGACTCTTCGTCGTGAGCAGCCGCCCGTGCCGCCGACACCGACGCCCGCTGCTTCTCGAGCGCCTGCCGTTGCAGGCCCTGGAACTCCTCCAGCGACGACCTGAACTCGCGGAACAGCTTCTGTTGCTTGTACTTCTGGGCGGGCGTGAGCTCCTCGCCGGTGCCCTCGCTCCACGTCTGCACCTTCTTGACGCCCTCCCCCACCGCCTTGAGGGTCTCGCTCGACTCGTCGATCAGATCGTGCACGCGCTCCCGCACGCGGGCCGTATCTCGACGCGTGCCCAGGTGGCCGATCTCGGTGCGCAGCCTCGATGTGTTGCCCGCTAATGTGAAGAGCTTGTTCATCATGTCCTGCGACAGGCGGTCGAACTCCGGGTCGTCGGCGTAGGCGGACGGCCGCGGCTGCGACTCCAATGAGGAGAGCTGGTCGAAAGACATTTTTGCGGTGTGTGTGTGTGTGTGTGTGTGTGCTTTTTGTGGTTGGGTTGTGGTCCTGCTTGTCGCAGTCTCTGCTCGATGATCTGATCTGGGTCTGGAGGGAGGTGTTTTCTTGAAGAAATGGTTGGTGGTTATTTGGATTGTCGATGGTTGTCTGGGGGAGAGAGCACGGCATGGATCGACCGGCTCGAAGCTGTGACGTCCCTCCGCTTCGAAACCAGGTGCCTAGGTGTAGCGTTACGTAAGGGGCCGCGAAGGCTGTACGGCTGGTCTCAGACGGTGGGTGGCCCCCCCTGCTCGAAATCTTGCAGGGGTGCACGCCCTCGAAACGGACTGCTTGCTTTTTTGCAGAGCTCTTGTTTACTAGACTACAGCAGGCGTGGAGTGGCTACAAAGAAGAGCTCTGCCTTTTGACCTCGACCATCCTTTTCTTCGCCAACCACCGCCAACTACGGTCCTCTTCTGTTCACTCGATGCTGGCCAACAGCGAAGATGGCTCCAGTCAGGCGGGCTCCGTATAAGGACTTTCTCCAGCCTGCGCTGCACCGGCGCTTTACAAGCACCGCCTCTATCCTCTTGGCCATCGCCCTGGTCGAGAGTGTCGTCCTCGCCAGTTGGGATTCCCGTCAGTTACGTCCTGCACCGGGTGTTCAATCGTTCGAAATCAAGCTGCTGACACTCTACACCCTTCACAGTCTTCTGGGCGGTCTTTCCAATTGGCCCAACCGGCATTCGAGCCTTCTTCATCTTCCTCTGCGGCCTGGCAATCATCGTCCTCCGAATCGCACAATACCATGTCGGCTACCGCACCTCCAACTCCGGGCTACAGACTTTCCTGAAATATGCTGTCACCTCTCAGACCCTGGAGGCAGTCGTTTCCTACACACTGTCGTCATGGCTTTTCAGCCAGATATACCTGTGGTCGGCGACGGAGGATCTCGCATGGGTGTCCGTCCAGCCGGGCGTGGGCGGTAGAGTACGTTTGAACGAGAAGCCCATCTTCTTCACGGCGCATTTCCTAGTGTTGGGAATCATACACGGCGCCCTTCATATCTCCCGCGACGATGACCGGCTGCGCCTCCGCTCCGCGGGACTACGGGCCAACGATGCAGCTGCTACCGACACCCCGCCGACCTGGTCCACGCGCCTCATGAGCGAGGTTCCTCTCTTGGCGCACCGCGCTCTTGTGCAAACTCTGGCCGTCCTCGCCTTCAACATTTTCTTCTACCACGCCTTCTTGCGGAGCTTGGCTTGGCGAATCGCGTTGGCCTTCTTCCGTCCCTTCTACACTATGCCGAAGACCAATCTGGCTCCGGCCACTTACGGTGGCATTAGTTTTCCTCTATGGGTCAAGTGCTCGTGCGCCAGCTTCATGTTGTTGTTCTTGTGGTTGGCGGGCAGTAGGATGTTCTCAATGTTTCTGGTCAGGCCACCACTGAAGAATGGAAACCCACTCACGTCGGAGTCGAAGGACCCGAACGGGAGCTTGTTGAACGGGTTGAAGAGCAAGAAGCTCCCCATCAAGGTTTGTTTGTCAGCTCACGCCACGCCGTCGTTCTCATGGCTGACTCTCAACAGTGTTTTGCGACATGGGAACTAGCACTGATTGCCAGGGATTTCCAACCGCGGCGCAAGGCCATCTACCAGGACATTGACAGGAAAGACGGCCCGATGTGGTCGCAAGTATACGCGCTATGTCTTCAAATTGTCAAAGACGTGGAAACACGAATCGATGGGTACGGCAAAGCTCCTGCTGCAGACCCTCCGACACCCGTACCAGCGAACACGGATACCAAGCCCGTGGTCGAAAAGCCAGCCAGCAGTGACCAAGTACTAGTCACTACACCCACCAAGAAGACCCTTCGAGGCGAGGTGGAGAAGATTGTTAGGACTACAGCCGTGTCACCAGGCCAGCCTTCGCGGCTGAGCCCATACGTGCAGAAGGGGGTCGCCCAAGCCAAAGGCTACGTTGAGGACATCGCACGGCAGGCGACCGGCTCGGACGCCACCGACAACCCATTCCAGTACTGGACCAGACAGATACTGGGCTCGCCACTGGGTAGGCCGTTCAAGCAGAGCTTCTCGCGAAGAATCACCACTGTGGTTCTAGGAGAACCCTTTGGGGAACCAGCACTCATTATCAACGCTATATCTGCTCTGACAAACCTGGCCGTGCTCAGCCTGGCAGAAGACAGCTTCGGGAATGTCCAGCGGGATGTCGCCGCCATCATCCGCACCTTCACGGCGGTCGCGACGAAGCTGGACGCGTTTAAGGCGAACTTTCCCCTGCACTGGACAGACCACGACGCGGAAAGGGAGTGCACTGAGGTAGATGCGATCCTGGAGACGCTCAAGGAGGCACTTGGGCAGCTTATCACGTCCTTTGGCCCGTACGCGAGGGACCTCAGGCTGACGTTTGCGGATATGAGACATGCGCGGGAGGTGGCTGGGCTGCCCGCCAGGGAGGGAGGGGCTATTGCCAGAGTTGATGCGGCGAGGCCGGAAATGCGGCAGCTTCGATGATTATGATAGGACAAGGCAGATGGAGTTGGTGTTGGAGCTGTGACCATGTATGGTGGCTGTGCGATTATACCCGAGCGCATTGCTCAGAATACAGAACAGAGAAGAACAGAACATGGAGTAGTCCACCTGGCATGACTTGCTGCATGTGCTTTGTGAAGCGTTGCAGTTGAGGTTGGAGTGGAGACATCGATCGTGACAGCGACGGGCCATGCTGGATCATTAAGAATACCGTTCAATCGTGACCAGCTTTGACCAAGCAAGAGTACGAATTATCTCTTACTGACTCTGATGTACATGTAAGAGTTGAGGGTAAACTTTGTCAAAATCCCTCTCTTGATTAATATGGCTGCGGCTTGCCGAAAGTGGAAAGGGGAGGCAAAGAGGACGGAAGGGGAGTGGCTGATGACGTTTAATTGGCTGTGGGTCTGACCTCACATGGTTCGCACTGCAGCAAGCTTGACTGCCTTGTTCGCCTCGTACTAGAGGGAGTACCTGCACCTGTAGTGTTTCCTAGCCTAATAAGCCGTGCTCCTCGCTCCCTCGTTCGCCCATCTCCACCAGGAGACTTCATCCCTTCTCTCCTCTTCAATGTCGCTCCCACCCAACGCTCAACCGCTGCCGCCGACATCTCTAGCTCCTCCCCAATGCTAGACTGCGAACTCGTGGGCATCTGCGCGCCATAGACTCCATCATGATACCGACATCATCATTCTCGAGGTCTTCGATTGCGCGGCAGTTGGCCCTCGAACCAGATCCGCGGAGGAGCTCCTCGAATAGATAATAATACTACTTCTACATCCAGTAGCTACCGATCAGCACATCGTTCTGCGACAGCGAAAGCGAGAGCTACCGCGACATCATCATCCGAACCCCGGGCTTGGCAGTCCAGCCACCATGTCAGCGCTGCACATCATCTTCCGCGTCATCTACGACTCCTTCTACGTCTTCCTCTCCCTGATCGTCCTGCTCCTGCTCCTTGTCACGCCTGCCGACAATGTGCGCCTGGCCCTTCAAAACCACCAGGGCCTCCACGTCCTGACCACCGTCATCTGCCTGTCCGTGACACTCCTTTTTGTCGTGCTGCTCTATTTTGCCCGGCTATATGTCAACCGCAGCGCCCTCGCCAACATCCCCAAACCATGGATTCCCATCGGAAAAGGCGAGGTCAAGAAGAGTGTGCGAAAGATGATCACCGCTGGTCTGAGTCGCAGTGCGGCCATAGCGTACGAGTCGAAGCCGAGGGTGGCCCCGGCGAGACCGCCCACTGCGATGACGGAAGTTGAAGAAGGAGAAAAAGAGGAAAAGGCTGGGGATAAGGGGAGGAAATCAGCGCTGAAGGTATTCAAACTGAAGAAGGCGCCAACCGTGGAGGACAAGATGGGCATCACATTGCCCCCACACCGAGCCGTCTGGGGCGAAATCGAACACTACGGGTGGGCGTCGCCCAACTCCTTCGACCTGCCCAACCTGCAGTACAGCTCGGTCATATCAGAGCTGCCGAATCTGATCGAGGCGAAAGCCCTGACCCTGGCGCCCCCGGTCCCCGACAAAAGCCACACCCAGCCGCCGATCCTGGACCCCGAGGCGATCGGGCTCCTGCAGCGGCCTGACAATCTGGCCTTGAGGCAGTACCTCACGCAATTGGCGGAGCTGGGCGTCCTTACGCCCTCGCGCACGACGGCGGATTTCCTGTCTGCCTACGAATATGCGCGCTACTCGACGCGGCCCATCTCGAACGCCCGCTTCCGCGAGTTGATGCACCTCTTCGCGGAGCTCCTGCGCACGATGCAGCCGCTGGACCCGGCCGTGCTGATGGAACTGGATGGCGCTGGCCTCTCGGAGGACGAGGAGAGTGACATTGATGACGATGCGCCCCGACGCAGCCCCCCGAGCACCCCGCGTAGCCGCGCCAGCCGGAACTCGGTCCTCCAGCGGCAGCGCAGCACCGCGTCGCACGCCACGACGACAACAACGAGCAGTGGCAAGTCCAACGCCAGCGGCGGATCGCAAGTCCGCCGGAGGCCGCGGAATCACCAGCAACAGCCAAGGCCGCAGATGGCGGGGCGCGTGTCTTCGCAGGGCACGTCGTGGGGCGGCGGCGCGGCGACGTATCGCACGGCGCCGACCACACCCAAGACACAGAAGACGGCCGCGTCCCCGTCGCCGACGGCGTCGAGCGTCAACAGCTTCGCGCAGACGAGGCAGCCGTTCACTCTCGGTGGCGGCGGCAGCTCTGCCTCGACTTCGAGCGTCGCGTCCGCGCACGTGTCGCGGTCCCGGTCCGGCCGGTCCTCTGTCGCCAGCGGGAGCGGTGGTTCGGTCATCATCCGGCTGGCTGGGCGGGCGGATGGCGATGGGATGCCGTATGTGCTCTCGCTTGGGGGAGACTCGGACCGGTAAGGGGGCGGCGGGCCCTCTGAGCCAAGAAAATGGATAGGAGGATCATCTTCACCACTTATTTGAGCATTGCGAGAAGGCGTTTTAGGATACCACATCTTGGTTTTTTTTGGTCGTGGCCCTGGTGTGGGCTGAGTGGGCTCTTACGCTCTATATTGCTTAATGCTAATGTCTGTTCTGCCAATTTTGTGTCTTGTCTGGATGAGTTTTTGTTTCTTTGGTGAATACCAGGTGGCCTAGACATGTCTCTGGCTGCAGCAGGATGGCAGTGCGGGCCCGATACAACACTACAGCGAGCACACTCGGGTGCTTTGAGTGTGGTCATGCAAAGAGGAGCAATTCATTGGCTGCATTGGTTATGCGGTCTGGTGAGTTTGTCTGGTATGTGTGATCAGATTGCCATGGTCTACAACCAATCCTTATGTCCTTCACTCACTACTTTTCCCTCGCCCACTGCTTTTCCCTCACCCACCGCTTATCCTTTATCTGCTGCCTATTCTCTATGTGAACTCTTCGCTGACTGAGCCGACTCTTGACATGGAGCAAGAGCATGAAGATGGATACCAAATATGAGAAAATCATCTAGACTAGCAAAGATCTCAGGGAGAAAGGCTTCTTCAGAGCGACAGGACAGGACAAGCCCGCACCCTTCCTCCTGCCCTCGAGTTACTCAACCGGAGCCCCGGCACTAACGCTAGCCATAGTGTCTGGTCTCTCCTCGTTGGGCCAGGCAGTCTTGTGATGATGAAGACTGCCAAAGCATTTCACGAGCACGACAGACCACCTCAGGGCGTCTTACCACATAGAGGCCCTGCCATCCTTGGGTTGGGAACAAAACTTGGCCTACCTTGGCCCACCTTGAGCTCGACCACCCTTCACCACTCCGCCCCCCTCTCTCCTTCCCCCATAAATAAGAGATAGATAAAAAAAAAAAGAGAAAAAGGAGAAGCAAGAGAGAAGAAGGAAGAAAGGAGAAAGAAAAAAAACGATCAAGGACTCGAAGAAATATCATTGAAGAAGGTTGGATAAAGAAAAGGTTGAAGGTTGAAGAGTGAAGGGTGAAGGGTGGCTGGAGGAGGGAGGAGGGGATGGAGGGGAAGGAGGGAAGGGGTAACCACAGGAAAAAGGCCACTGGAAGCAGCCTTGGGTAGCCTTGAGACCAAGCTCACATGCATCGGCGACAACGGATGGCGTAGATGACAAGTCCATGTCATCCTGTACCGGCGGCGTGGTGATGGCACGGCACCACTCAAAGTGTCTGTGTCTGCGGCTCTTTGCACGAGTAAGATAACCACTTGGCCACTTGTGAACTTCTTGCCATGGACAGGCGAGACGGTTTGGGTGGCTCACTGCATCCCAATTGAACATGACTAACACAATGTCAGCCGCCCTTGCTCCTGGCGACGGGCAGTATGGAGGTTAAGAGGAGGGGGGAAGGGCGTGATTCGGCAGCTCTCGGTATGCCTGGCGTACCTTTCAGTCATGAGTGTAGCCATGGAACTGGTAACCAACACCGTTCAGGTCAGCGTTGTGATGGGTGCCCTGGTGCTCAGCCTTGTTGGCGCTGGACTGATGTGACACTCCGGGGCCATGACCCGCCTGGCCCTGCTGCTGAGAAGAGGATGGATCGGAGAACTGGTGGTCAACGGCTTGGATTGCCTTCTTGACCCTCTTGGTTCTGCTTCCCTTATTCCCTTTGTGTGGCAGGCAGGTGCCTTGCTGGGTTGTGTCCCAGAGGTAGGAGTGGACTTGCTCCTGGGCAAGGTCTGCATCTCTGCTGTGGCCTGTGGTCAGTACCCCTGTATCGTGGTGGTTATGTGATCAATGGACATACTTGGACATTTCCAAAGTATTGAAGAGCCGGCCAAAACGGTCTGTTTCAGTCGGGGGGGGGGGGGCTGGGGACGATACTTCTGTCTTGTCTCTTCGATATCGTCACACCGGAATGAGATGGTGAGAGGAACGACGTAGTGCCTAGAGAGAAAGATTGAAACTTCTTATGAAGTTGGATACTATGTAGACAGAGAAGTCGATCACAAGGGGGAATACGGGGATGTTGAAAAGGGATCGATAGTGGACCTTCGCTGGCCATCTTGGGATGCGGGCACACAATGACTTTATATAGACAATCACACATTAGTAAGAGGCTACTTTTTCGACCATTTTGACAAGTTCGCCGCGCCACGCATCTATTGTCTGGTAAGCTGTATTCCAAAACGCAAGCATATCAACTACTGTGCTGAGACGAGGAATGAACCCACCTCACCCCTGCCAAACGGTACGTCCCGACTGTGACGAACACATTTTTAGCGGGCGAGTCCCTAGGCGTCCTGCTGCCTCGACTGTCTGTGGCTTCGCCATCTAGAGTTGTAGGACAAGTACAGGTGCAGATTCACGTTGCATTACAACAGGTATGTGTGTGGCGGTTTATTATACGATTGGTTGGCTGCCAGATGTACCCCCATATCCAGAGCAAGGGTGGACCGTTGCCTTTTGGGCGAACCATCTGCTACTCCTGATGTCTGCCAAAGATGTCTGCCAAACTGAGGCTCTGTAACCTGCCTTGGGACAGTCGGATTCACTCATTGGCCCTCGCCGTTCAATCCTAGCGTACTGTTGCTGACCTAGCCGTGCTAGCGTACTGTTGCTTACTGGCATGGAGAATCGGCAGGGTGCCTGCAGTCGCAGGTCAGCAGCACTACCCTTTTCCCCCGAGCAACCTCCGTCTACCTGCAATCTCTGATGCAGATAGATCAAAGTAGGAAACTTGTGTGACAATAAGGTATAACCAATCAAGCATGCCTTGATTCTCTGTCGCATATCACACACCCTGTCGCTAAGGTTCTTTCTTAGCCTCCAAGCCCGTTGATTGACATTGCTTGAGAATTTGCCGAGGGAGACGAGGTAAGCGAGAACCATGGCATCTCTCACCATTTGTGTATTACCACTACGGTTGTGTTGATTTCCTAGCGCGGACAAGGCAAAGTCCTTCGTTCCAATTCAGCCAGCCAGTCAGCGAGCTAGCGAGCTACAACTAATCAGCACAGAAAGACCCACCGACACGTAGCCACACCGGAGGGAGGGAGTCAAGCAAGATGTTGCCAAAAAGAGGCCAATGGCATATTGCTGAATTAACATGGCTTCCCTACATCCACAGAACATAAGTGTTTAAGTAGATAGGTATGTGGCCGATACCATTCATATACAACACATACCTCTATTGCACTGTCAGACTGTGGAAGCTACACAAGTACTTGGCACCTCTGGCAGTCTTGTCCGCAGCCGCGAATGCCACTTCTGACCGCCTGATACCATTACACAGCGTGGTTTCCAGAATTCCATGATACACACCTATCAAGAAGCTACGCTCTAGACTCAACATGATTGCCAAGCCGCAGCCGTAGTGGATTGTATTTTGCGTGCTGTTGTGCTTGGGACTACACCACCATCGGCATTGAAAGGGCACCGGCAACGCACACCTTCATCAAGGCTTTTTTTCTCTTCCGGTTTTGTGTTTGAAATTGTACTCGCTTGTATCGTTCTCAGGATGAAGTCTCAGGATATTTCGTTCCAAAAACCCTCATTAGGGTTGGTAGAAGTCCATAGGGCACTCAGATAGGACCACGGGCCGAAAAGCATCATCAAAAATGACATGGCACACTCTATAATCGCAGAAGCTATACTATTATAGAGAATCTGGAAGGTTTTGAAGTTGATGATAGGGAATGGAATAGTGTGTTCTTGAGTAATCTTATAGGACTTGGAGAATGAACAATAAGTTGGATAACCCTGAAACGATTTGTAGAAAATAATCGACAATCATTAGAGCAGCTGTCGATAGCCCCTGGCTGGTCTAATGCCTGCACCATTGTCCTGTATCCTCTTGTGCAGCTGTAAATTACAAGCAGGATAGTAAAGTCAAATGACTCTGAACATTGATTCCTCCCGTTTCTTTCATCCGTCTCTGTTGCTCGGTGGTTAATTGCTGCGCTGGATATATTGCGCACTTTCAACTCTCTTAGCCGTGCTTTACCTGGCCGAAATTGACAAAAGTCTAAAATGCTGAGACAGATATCAACCTATCTAATTATCACTCAAATTTGGTATTGCATGATTCATTCACTAATCCCAAACGCTTGCGTAAGTATTTGCAGCCAGAGGAGGCATGCTCCCACCTTTAAATCGCCTTGATGCCAGTATGAATCCGAAGTCCGTATTCTTTTCTAGCCGCTTCTAACAAGTTCATTTCAGGAATACGTAATGAACACCAGAATACCGTTTGTATCATTGTCGATACTACGAAGTAACGGCGCAGGAGATTGACAGGTTTAAAGTAAAACACAGTATTTAGAGGCCATAAAAGTTTATAACTATATTGTTGAAGATCAAACAACAATATTCTTTCTCATAAATACGACGGTCTTAGTGAACTCACATCATAAGAGATTTTAGTTGCCTGGGAGTAAGAGAGGCGCACTATGTTGGTTGGCAGAAGATAAGAGATTGTGGTAAGACAAGAGATCCATATTTTGGAAGAGCTATTTAGCATGTTTTGGCCTACACTCGCACATAAAGAATGTCCTAATTAACCAATGCACAATTTTCATCGACAAAAGCTCGCAGCAGGAGAATTCAGCCAATGGCACTCAACTTTCAGCAAGGAAATTCGGCTGGCAGGCATTCCAAGAGGAGATCCCTGTCCCTCTGTAAAGCCGCTTCAACTGAAGTGAAGGCTATTTCATATTTTCCCTGGTTCTCTTTGGCGAGGGATGTAGTCCAGGTGAGATCCTTGATATTTGCCATAAGATGGAATGCCTGGCCGAAGACGCTGATGCCCATTTCCTCCACCTCCTTGGGAGTCCGCTTGATTGCTCGCACTTGTCTGCCGCTGACTCTGATGAGGATATCGCGCACCTCTTCAATGGTCAGGAGCTCATTACCGAGATCGATCTCCTGACCACCAAACTTGGCCGGGTCCTGTAGAGCTGCGGCGGCGTACTTCCCAATGTCGTTTGCATCTGTGTAAGGCACCTTGACACCATCCTCGAGAAGGTGGTCTAGGTCTCCGTGAGTCGGAAGCCGAGGGAAGTTTTCATGGACCCCTGGCAAGTAGAAGTCGTGGTGGATAACTGCCGGCCGAAGAATGGTGTAAGCCTGGAAACCACCACTTCGGACGATGTCCTCGACTGTTGCCTTGAGGGAGTAGTATTGGTCCAGATGAATTGCTTTGCTTGCATCATCGTCCCACATTGCTTTGTTTGCTGTGCCGTGGGTCGTGGCTACAACAATCCTTTCAACGCCTGCTTTCTGACAGGCTTCGACGACAGTCTTGGCCTGTAGAGCTTCCAATCCTGGGAAAGGGACAGTGTTGAGGAAGACACCCTTGCATCCTTGTGCTGCTTGAAAGATATCTTCGAAATTCTTGCTTTCTCCCGGAAAGAGAGTGACGCCTGGGCTCTGTAGTATTGGGGGAACTTTCTGAAGGTCACGCACTACCGCATGAACTTTAGCACCAGCTGCAAGTAGGTGCGATATAACCCAGCGGCTTTGCTGGCCGGTTGCTTGAGTGATTAGGTAGGTGGCCATGTTAAGTGTGTTTTGAAGGCGAGAATCAAAATGAACAATTTGTGCTGAAGATATGAAGAGGATGTTTTGAAATGGGGGATTGTATGGTCCTGGATTCAATTTCTACATGACGAAGTCCAACACGGGCAATTTATACTCAAGTTGCAGTCACAGCAGTCCTTTACAACAGCAATCAGGTTGCTGCTTGATTGATAATCATTGTCGATTCTACGTATAATTATGATCTGTGTTGCCTGGCATTGTGTATTTTGCGCCATGTGTTGATGGATGGAAGTGAGGTCCGAAGTAAGCATATGTCTCAAAAGGGTCAAGCGAGGAGAACCACGCAGCTCTTAGCCTCGATAAAAGTTGCTTCGTGTGGGGAATATGATAGATGAGAAAGATCCAGGGATCCTTCGGGAGACTTATGCATCTCGAAAGGGCTTAGAGGAAGCTGACAAACGACTGGAGCTAGCTGCGCCGCGAATCTATTTAGATAAACTGTCAGCGACCCATCGACGGCAACTTTCTCCGAACTCTTCGGATTCAGCGAGTCCATCACGAAGTTTATTTGTTTCACAATATTGGCCGTCAGCATCTATTACGTCGGCAACAAAAACTGCCGAATCATCCGTCTCCACGATGAAGGTCCGAAAAGGCTGCTGGACTTGTGCAGGTTAGTAGTCACATTGACCAGCAAGCGTGAACTTGGAAGGGAATGTTTTGACCATTCTTCTGCAGCTCGCAAAATTCAATGCGATAGGGTTCGGCCAACCTGTGAAAAGTGTGCTCGATCCCAGCGACACTGTCAGGGCTACGAAGTGCGCCTATCATGGCCCAGGCACGATGACGAGAGACGCGCAATGACGGGGGATAACGCGCTGCCGATGATGGCGTCCCCAGACCAGTCAAGGCACAGAGCTACTGACCTCTTCATTAATACGACTTGGCATGAGATGGAACTACATGGATATCTGTCTGGACAGACGCATACATATCATCCATTTCGATCTCTCCCGAAGTTATGGACCCAGCCTCAACAACGAGTGGATCACATGGACCTAGTCCACTACTGTAAGCTTGAAGATCTGCCAGTCACTTGTTGTTTCTTTTGTCCAGGCTATCAAAATTGACGAGAGTATCAGTCCAAAATGTTGCACATCTCTCATTGGTTACATTCGGTCAAAGTCCTTCGCAGATTCGAGATACTCTAATGGGCATGGCTCTAGCTCATGGAGCCGTTTCGGGGCTCGCTCTCTTCTACGCATTACTTGCTTATTCCTCACTTCACCGCTATGGCCTCAATGAGCAGGCTCTAGAGTACAAAATACAGGCGCTTCAGTCTCTTTCTGCTTCCGTGACAGATCAGCCGCTTATAACAGCTGAGGGCGCCCAGCATGTAGCTGCATCTATGCTCCTCGGAGCTTTCGAGGTGAGTTGCACAGAATTCCTGTCTATCTAAATATCCAGATACAATGTCTCTAACCCTCGTCGTAGACGCTACAACCTTCGGAAGGATCGGGTGAGTGGCTGTGGCATATATGGGGTGCCATGGATACGATCCAAGCGACTCAGCTCAAGTACCAACCGCACGAAAGCGACATTGGCCGCCTTCTGGACTGGGTCCATTATCACGAAACAATTTCTCGCTTCACTGTTCAACATTGGCGCAACAAGCCGCTGATTTCATGGGCTCCCATCAGGAATCACCCTGGACCCCGAGATCTTCAGTCTTCGTCTTTGTCGAGACATAGACCCGTACGTCACCTTGAAGATATGTCTATTCATTGAATTTTCGCTGCTAATTCATTCGAAGAATGTGCCGTCTGTAAATCCTACCCACGCAATAATGAACTTGCTCTCCGAGATCAGCGACACACTGATTGACCCACGGGATCCCAAAAGCCGCAACGAGGAGTACCAAGACCGCCTCAAGGACCTCGAGAAAAGAATAGGGAGTATTTCTATCAGACCCACTCCTCCAGCACCAAATACCGACGCCATGTTCGCTGTGGAGCTATACCAGATGGCGACACGGATATATCTCGTGCGCGCCTCGCAAAGTCCATGGGAACCAACGGTGGATCTCGATGCTCTCATCGAAGAAACGTTTGATGGCCCTGTTAAGTCATGTACCTGTGAGCATTTTTTCCCCTTGTTCATCCTCGCTTGTGAGGCATATAGAGATGAGCAGAGGATAGCTATTATCAACCTGGTTGAGAGAACCCAGAGGGACGCTCGCATACGAAGTATCGAGGAGGTCAAGAACACAATCCAATCCATCTGGGTGCAGCAGGATCTGCATAAGGATGACGATGTGTTGGTGGACTATCTTGGTATCATGAGCGCTGTGATCAGCTCGAGTAGCACTATACCATCCTTTGCATAGATCTTCAAGGTTATGTCGTTCTTTACGTATAAGCTTTACCGAAGAGAATCAGGTCTTTTTCTGGAATTTCGTAAATTGATTGACCTCTGCTCTCGCTCTGAACACAAGACCTCGTCATTGTCTACTATTTCCCCTCCCGGATATCGAAAAAGTAAGCAGGAAGCAAGAGATACAAGGGCGTAGATTCGTGATGTAGTGCCAAATGGGCCGAGCCGATTGGTGGTGCTCGGCTCACAATGGCTCTAGGTCACGACTTGTCGTCTATCACACTGCCTACTATTCGACCGGAGTATTATGACAGTCAGCTGTCGTCTGATATGCCCCACTCGAATTGAAATGGCCTGGCAATATTACTCCAATTAGGTATACAGATCTACATGTCAATGATTTGGAAACCCCAGAGCGGATTGCTGCACGCACCAAGCATGCATGTGCGTTCCCGAATCACCTATGCACGTTGCAGCTGTGGAACCAGAAGCAAATTTGACAGGTCGAGATGATCACATCTCACGAGCATATCTCTCGTGGGATATGATCAAATCGACCGCACGTCCCCACCCACTGCTCGCACATAGGCTATATCCCCTGTGTAACCCCAATGCAGATACATCCCAATCAATCAGTACTCTGACGGGTGTGCTTGGCCAACTCCAAGGCAAGGGAGATTCATCAGACCACATCACAGTGATAGGTTGAATTGGACGGACTCTCGGCTTCATAGACTCGCTCGGCCGGTGAAGACGATTCCCGGCCCTTTTTACACCCTTTCGGTGCCATGGGAAACTCATGGACTGCGATCGCCGAGTGCATTCCTGGTTTTGGACGGCACCTGAGCAAGATCTGGCACGTCTGGTAGCACCATCGCATCCACATCACCGTCTCAATTCTGAATTTAGTGCGGCAACACATATGCACATGCAATAGCTCCGGTGCACCAACGCATGCATTCAGCGCCTTGTGCTCCAGCGCTAGGGCCGAGTCACTGTTGGGTTGCAGCCAGTCGGGCGGACCCGGCTCGCAGTGTATGCTCATCGACAAAGCATCCCCAGAGTGTAGCTGAGTTTGGCAGCGCGAGCTTGCATGCAACCTCTGACGTTGTGTTATTTCGTCTAATGCACCCTTCTGCATGCAGCCGTGATGGGCAATTCAACCAGTGCGTTTCTTCACACGGGTCCAATCAAGAAAACACAAAGCCTCCAGAGATAATGCTCAGAAGAAAAAGACTCTCCATTGTTCCTGCCTTGGCTGTGCTCACCGTTACACATTTACAGCTGCACGGTCCGAACGTTCGGAATATCGAGACCGTGTCACATGAAGCAGCATGTTGCTGAGACGATGAAGTCCTTTGTATCGCACTGCAAAGCCAATACCGTCACCAGAAGAATATCTGAAGGCTCTGGAGTCCCAAAATAGCGCCGAAAACGTACGAGGAATGTTAGCCGCACCGGTACATTGTAGCCACGACAGACATTGCCTGGATGCCATCCAGCCGCGCTACAACGTGCCCATCTGCTTGATTGGGGACCACCAACAAGGGACGTTGAAGGTCTCCAGAGTATTCAAAATTGAGTTTTGATCATGATGGGTGTCGATCTGTTCTATATCGTGAGAACCTGCCCGCCGCTCCGAGTAACCAAGCTTGCAGAAGCGAGATTGCGATCCGTATTCTTGGCTGCATGGCTGCACACACTCTTCGATCAAACGCCCTCAAGGACAGTCTAACAGGCATGGGACTACACCAAAATGAAGCAAGAAATCAACTGTTGAGTTGTATCATTGTTTTCATTGTTTCAATGTGCGAAATGGGTGTGGGGAAGCGTGCCTGATATGTAGGCAGAGAACTGAATGAGACACGAAGACCAGGCCAACATCCCCGATATCAAGAATACCCCAGACAAGAATGTCCTTTTATCATAATACAAGTATAGTACTCCGGATGAGGTTGAAGTCGATTTCGAAACTGAAGGTAACCAGAGTTGTACCAAGTGAGCATCTCGATTTCTGAATGCCCCAAATCTGCATGAGCCAGCGTTTTGTCAAAGGAAGTGTGACAAGCTGAAGGGCGAAGCGAAATTACCCCACCATCAGCACGAAATTCTTCACTTTCCGAACTTCTGCTCGAAGGAGGCAATCTTTGTTGCGATAGTCGCGGTTTGCTGCTCTCGCCTGGCTGTCTCGTCGACAGTTTGGTCCGGGAGCATGACTATTGTGTTTCCATCGCGGGACGGCTCCTTTAGAAAGGGCTGGGTCCGGAGTGGGGCTAGAGCTTTGTTCTGAGGCATTCCGCCGCTGTGATCGTTCGGTGTGGTTCTAGTTTTGTCCTGTCTTAGCATGAGTGTGCTCAGAGAATGGAGACTTCAACACACTGATCCATGATCCTGTTCCAGGTATTCTGAGGTACTGAGAGTTGAGTATACCGCTAAGGATACTTGATGCTTGACGGAACGCTTTGGGATGAGACGCTCCAGATGCGAGGTGAAACTATTCCACCACTGATAATGTTCTGCTGAGGAAGCAGCACGGAGCTTGTGGGTAGAAGAGCACCGCTGTGTAGGTGAGAGTTGGCGAAAAATCATTGCGCACATTGACATGAAAATGATGAGGCCTTATATACCTTGTCACCTTTGGAAGATGACCTCTTTGCCCAAGTCCCATACCGGCGGACGTCAGCTTAGGTGGGAGAGAACAGTGAATGTCAGTACATGTACCTTTTCTCGTCACTTTTGAATTGTTCGCTGCAGAAATATTGATTCAAGGAAAGATCAGCCGAGCCATTGTCCATGTGAGATACAGAAAAAAGTAAATAGTCGGGATTGCCATCAATAGGAGTATCAAGAAAGGAATGCGGACCAACATCAGCTAATGCTGGCTGACTGTTTAGCGTTGCGTCTGCATGGAGACCCACGTGGAATGTCCAGGGTATGTTTCAGCCGGATGCCACCTGGTAGGAACCGAAGTTCCAGATACGTCAAGATCGAGTTGTCTGTCTTTTGTTGTTCTAGCTTGGGTTGCCTTAAGAGCCGCCTGAGCTAAGCCGGCTGTGGTTCGCCAAGGTCAGCGTCCGGAAATTTTGGGGGTCTCGCGCATGCCCCCAGACGCTTGAATCCTGCTTCACTACCTCACTTTAGAATCATCACTTGACATCCCAAGCATCAGCCCCCGAGAAGAGCGCCAAATTGTTAAGCACAGAATTTCAGTTCGCATTGATGATTGTTTTGGTAGGAATGATCCGCGATTGGATTTAGTCAACTTCATTGACTGATTGTGTCTTAACCAGCTGGGCAGATTCCTACCCACCGCTAAGAGACACTACTTTATGACCAATGACGCATCCCTGGTGGAAGATTTGAGGCGACCAGTAGGAAAAAATATTGAAACTCTTCCAAACAAATTGATCCATGGCATCATTAGCTACGTCCAATCTCTTGCTCTGCAACGGCCAATGTAGCCTTTGTGGCAGGCCACTGGGGTCCAATCTTGTCCGAGGCGGTCTAATCGTTGAGGCCAAAGCCATCTGTTTGAGTTCAACAGATCTAAGAATCTAGCCTTATCTGTCCGGATCTGTCAGTCATCCCAGGCTTATCTCACAAGCGGTGAGCGGCTTGGATAGGGCGACTTACACGAGGCTGAAACTTGGTCTGTTGGTCAGTGCGTCGACGTTATCTCATATGATAGGCCACAGACTCTAGCCTCGCGTTGGAAAGGATATGACATTTTCCGGCCGACCTATTTGGCAGAGTGACTCAGCGGTAAAGAACATCAGGAAGTCCTGAAGTCATGAAATACAGGAGTTCTTTTCACGTGGTAAATAGATCGCCGGCGGTGCATGCAAGCAATCCTTTGCATGTTATTTTTTGACGATGAATGGCCGTGTATAGCCTATTAATAGGGCTGTCAGTGCTGCCCAGCATCCAAGTACACGCGAAGGAATCACAAATGCAGGAATCTCGCTGTTCGCCACCGACGATATCATATCTCGTACGTTCTATTGAGATACGTCTCCCGCGCCTATTCCATTTGTGGACGGGACTTGAATACGGTGTCCACCAGCTTGACCATCAGGCTGTGTTGACCTGTCATCTGAGTACAGTATGTGCGTGCGTAAGATGCGAGCACGTACTCAAACTTTCAGGAAAAACCTGTTTCGATTTCCCAACAACAAGCTGTCCGTGGCCTTCCAGCCCTTCAGTCCCCACTTTGGAGGGCTGCTGCCTGAACTCTAATCCTACGCAAGCCGTGTACGGTACCCGAAAGCTTAATTCGTGCAGAAAAAACATGGCAAGAACAGGGATCGGGGAAGAATCTGAGTTTCCTATTGGCTTTGGCTCAGGGCAAATGCATACAGCCCATACATGCGGCTCTAAGTCCTCGTTCAAAATGGTGACTGTGCCCAAGAGAAGTGAGTTCGTCGTCAAGAATAAACGAAGTGGACGCAATCCAAGCGCGGTTTGGCTTGCCCTTTTGTTCTTCCATTTATTTCTTCCATTTGTTTGTTCCGGATCGGTTAAGAAATGTTTGATCGTATTTGTTTAGAGTGAAATGCGTAACTTTGTCTCCGAATTACACTCGAAGCAAAACTGCCGGACAGTATTCTCAGATATCAGTAGTTCAGGCCCCTGATTTTCGGATTGGTGCTAAAAAGTTCAAGATCATGACAATGAAAGTAGCAGTCCCTGACTAAACTTCATCCTGATAAAATCCTGTAGTGGCATCGAATGGATAAGGAGCATCATTGTCATTTGTTGCCCTTCGTCCGGCCCTCCATCTTGCCCCCAAACTAAGCGGGGCAGCTCCTCAAATGGCACAGTCGGGCACGTTCTTGAGACATGGACAGACAGCTTCAACAGTCAACTGTGCCGCATATATCACATGCTCTAGATGAATGTCGTCCTGAGGAACATATCGCTAATCTATATGCTCGATTAAATAGCCTGGATTTTGATCTCTCTGAGCGCTTGAGAGCATTTCCTTCCTCGGGTTTGTCGGAGATGACCTGTAGGCTTCTGTCCAACGAGCCCCGCTCCTGTACTACACAGACAGCCAACACAACAGGCGGCCCGATCTCGCTTGGCAGCGGCACCCGTCGGATGCCAGGCGTGCGGAGTTGAGTGATGTAAAGATATGGCGCGCCAGAAAAAGGGGCGGAGAACGGCGAAAGGACCGGTTGAAAGACCATCACCTCGATTGCATCGGTCGTCCAAAGTTGGGCCGCTGTCGCACGACGTTGGCGCATCACATTCAGTGAAACCGCAAATTCAGGAACTTCGATTTACGTCTCAAGCATACGACTAACCAAGTATGAATTCGTCAAATCACACCTGAGATGCGACGGATTCTCAGGACCGAAGCGAGTGGGCACAAAGCGCGGTGGCGGTAGGTACACCGACCATCAATGAGATGCAGCACGGGCAAAAGACAATCGTATTGTATCTATTCTAACTTTCGAGCTTAAAATGATGATAAAGAATGAGTTATGCTGTCAAGTTGTGTCAGTCTGTGACTGGGAAGACTGAAGGGGGGGGGGCTGATGGAAATTCCAAGGAATTGAGCGAGAGGGACGAGGGGGCAGACGGGGCACGTACTTTGCATTAGCCAAGCTCCGTCTTCCCGCGCTACTGCTTGAGGTGCTGGTCTATGAGCTGGAGCTTTTCATTCATTGCCATCTGCTTTTGGCAGCGGTTGGTTTTGAAATCGGCAGTCTGATCTGCCAGCGAGACAAAGATGTTGCCCTCCCTCAGTGGCTCCTGGAGGAAGACTTCCAAACGGTAAGCTGTGAGGGCTTTGTTGTTTTCTGTTGTACTGGCACTTGATGAAGCTGGCCCCGATCTGTCGGTGGTCAGCACCTGAGTCAAGACCTGTAGCCAGGCTTTACGTGGGGGCTAACGTTTCCATGGTCACACGGGGGCTGTCTTTCCGTTGTCTTTCTCTTAGGCGTACAAGAAATTACTGTAAGACATGTGATGGACAAAATGGATAAGAGGACTTAATGGGATGGAAATAGTACTATCGCAGGACGGATCAGTCGACGAGGAGGTTCGCAACCTTATACTGCAGAAAAGCCTTGCTCAAGCACGCTTCACTCTTTCATTTTCCTCATGTTTGCAAGTGGGTCGTGAACAGCTAGTCCACGTTTCTTCAAGGCATCCTTAAGCTTGCTTTTTCTCAGAAAACGCCAGACACGTTCACCTGCACCAAGACATCCGACCAATTAAAGTCCTACGGTGGCACGATATCATGGCAGCTACTCCAATGTGACGGGGCGCCGTCGAGGTGAGCTGTCTCGAGGTGAGCACCCCTGTCGAGCCACTGCAGTGCACCGAGGTCGAGGCACAGCATGAGTGTTGAGACCTCCGTCGGCGGGCCGTTTACGACGTCTCAGATTTGACATCTGACAAATCGACATCTGAGATTTTGTAGATCGAGGTGGCGCAATTGTGGGACACACTCGAGTACCTTGCTGCATTGTCTTACTTTTCTATCCCATTTTGGAGTGACGAAGTTCGCATAAGGACGTCTGCCAAAGTCGAACCGAAGTAGGCGCGGATGCTCTAACCCAAAATGAGAAGACCAATGCAGGGTAAAGTAGACGTGTGCTGCATATTTGCATCCTCGCAAAGCCAGTGGAGTAAGAAGAGCATGGATGAGCACTTCTTGAACCCGGAAAGCCCGAGATGAATGGGGCTTCTGTGCAGGGCCAAGAATCAAGGCCTCAAAGATGTGTTGCTGAACCGTATCGATGCTCTGCATGCCACACTTGCCGCGCTCATATCACTACACCGTTTTTATGTGGCTCTCAACCTGTTACCCCACCCCCACCGGGCAATTATGCTGTGGAATTCTCAGGTGCAGCGAGAGTAAGCCCGTTTTGTGCCGTTTGAATGCCACCAGGGACAGCCACACCGTGATCAGGTGTGGGAGCACCAATCAGCTTGCCTTCTCTCTCTGGTAAAAAAGATGACAGACTCCGTTGGCAACACTTTCCTGCAGTTTTGAAACGGGCTTGGGGAACACTGGAAAGTCTGTGCTACAAGCATGGTTGGCTGTCACGCTGCATTCCAATATGCACCATAAAATCGTGCAGCAACCTGTGCTAACGAAATTTTCAGTACGTATTCCGGACACCGTCCGTCCCCGAATTAGAGGTCTGATCTCCGTGTAATGGATCAAGAATTGTCTTCTTCGGTGAAGAAATCCTCGTGCTGAAGAGGGTTAGCTGTCTGTCATGGGCTTGGTAGCCAATGGGACCAGCAGGTCGCAGCCATCCGCGCTTAGATGCATGTGGGCAGCTGACGTCGCTGTGTCTCAGACAGACCAAACGGCTTTTCGCTAGCCCTTCCGAGCCATTCTTTGACTGTTGATCTTTCTTGTATGCTGTGCAGAAGAAGAGAAAAAAATGCAACCGACAAGGCATAGTGGCTAGGCACACTGGCGATGCTGGATGGGCTGACAGGAAAGCCTTGCTCTTCTTCGCCCAAAGCGTTTTGTCCATTCTTCCCTTCAGATGACATGTTGACTTGCATTTCGTAAGTTGTACACAATTCCGTACCAGAGTCCTCTTTCGGGCGCAGGTACAGGCTTAGTCTCGCTTTTGACTGTCCCCAATACCACGGGCTTAGAGACCTTGCAGCTCGACTTAAAGTCTTTTAGAGCTCACAATATCTCTCAAGGCATGTAGATCTATCTCAATTGAGTACAATGCCAGTCAAGCCTAGCTATTAGTCCTATGGCGGCTAGCTGAGTCTGGAAAGATCCCTGGGGAATAGACGTGAGGAACTTGCTCCCCAGGAAGAGCTTACAATGGCCATCTCCAGCTTGAACGATCCAGGCTTTCAGCTGCTGCTAGCATGCGTCTCGGGTGGCGCAGCACAGCAGCGAACGTCAACTACCATGCCCAAGGAAGAATTAGGGTCCTTATTTGTGTCAGGTGCGAGAAACGGGCATAAGATCAAAGTGTCGGCCAAGTTGGTAGCTACAGCTGTCAAGGTCTTCTCCAGTGGCCCAGTCCTTGTTGCCTGTGGGTATCTTCATGGAATAAGCCAGTCATCCTGGCGGTTCTGATAGCTCTCTGCTGTTACTGCGCCGCAATTAATGAGGTTGTGCAACCGTAAATCACGCCCAAATGAGTACAAATATGATGGAAGGAGATTGCCAAGGTGGAACGCAATCTCATGTGCAGGAGAAAGCCGGCCAGAACTCGAATTGTGTCGGCTGCGCCGTCTACAAAACATGACCCACCGGGCATATTTTTCTCGGTGTTGTTGCAACCTCGATGAACGGAATATGAAATTAACACATGAATTCTAGATGGTTCACTTGAGCTACAGGCTTGCTGTGGCAAAATCCAGGGGTAAAATGTGCACTTTTGGTCCCCCGAGGGCTTAGCCGGTGTTGCTAACCCCTACCGCCAAAATCTGCCGTCGGATCCTAGGCATGTCTACTAGGGTTGCATTCTGAAAGTTCCTGATATCTGATGGATGCGAATCGTACTCGATAGCTCCCCGGCATGGCGGACGGAACACGCAAAGAAGAGGCTTGATTGTGATACAAGCCGGCCCGGATCACCCGCCCGCATCACAGAGTTTACTGTTTCAACTGGCTCTTTCCTGTACCATTACACTGTTCCTGCATGCTGAAGCCTGAACTGCGCAGCGAATTAAGGTGGCTTTTCCAGTCGTACAGCGTGTGAAACCTGGTGTGGTGGACTCGGGGGCTCCGACTTACACAAGGCTGCAACGCTAGATCAGTGCAGGGATCGCACTTGCTGATTGGCCGCAGCCTCGTCCTTGGACCCATGAATGCTTTCCATCCTCGGCTTATGCCCGATGCGTAGAGTATTTTGACAGCGATGCCGCAAGATCCGCGAGTCCAAAATTGAATTCACATGTCTATTGAGATGTCGTTTCAGGGGCGAGGAAAGTATGTTTATATCATGCATGTATGCAGCGTAACCTCGCGCGATCAGCATAGGAAGACGACAACGAGTGCGGTTCGCTCGACTATGTGAAAGAGGAGTACCATGGTTTGGAAAATCCACAAAATCTGTCCACTGGGGAAAAAATGATATGTCTCGTAAGATTTCAGGAGATGGTCGTTTCTTTTCCTGTTGATGTGCAGGGCACGGGCAAGTTGTTCCGGGAGCTCTAGCGGGAATGGTGAGAGATCTCGCTGCGGACTAAGCTGCGAGGCTCCAGAATCCGCGAGTGGAATATATTCGCGAACCCAACTGTACAAATAGGCGAGCCGATTGGCTCTCTTTAGCGAAGACCTTGCTTTTTCCTTCGGTTCATAAGCGGAACTGGCTGGTGGGAGATGTACCCATTGAGAACAAGCAAAACGCTCAATGTAATACGAGATTTGTGTAACACGATCGGAGACACGCTCTTCTGATCAGTCTACCCGGGCTCAGATTCCGAAGGGCCCGGATGATTCCCCGCTACCTTCCAACGGCTGATTCGGTTGATGGCCCTGCGCTATGACGAGACGTGAGTGCGAGTTGGTGTTTAGAGGCTGGCACATAAGCGGCGCGTAGGTTGCTAACAATCACTCGAGGGCTGTCTCAAGTCGTAACCCATGGCGTCAGGTCCATGCTGTTCAACGTTGCCTACTGTACTTGACCTGAATGTGTGCAGCCTGTCATACCGCACGAGCGGGCTCAAGGCTAAGGGCCGGATCTGGAGAGTTGCATCCGACCACTTCATCCCTGTGCGTCCATGTAGGACTGACAGCCGCTGAGGAAACCGGAGATTTTCCTCAATTTCGGTGACACCCGACTCCTGTGAGGTGCAGCGACCACAAAGTAATCGACCGCACCTTTCTGCAGTCAATTAATAGCTTTCTTGTGTCTTTGCCGCTCGGTTGACCCCTGGAGTTTACGAGGGTCGTGTGCGCCCAAAAGAGACGAAGATCCAGGTTCTTTCCAAGCTGAATCGAGGGCAATGTGGGCACCTCCTATCATCATTGAGCCTATATAAGGTACCGTGCGAGATGTACCAGTTTTTCACACGAACGACATGTGAACATTCGAAAACATGACTGATATACATTGGAACCTGGCCGGCTTTTCAATCCCTCCAGAAATTGAATGTCAGCCACTGGTGAATATGATTGGTAAGCTTATTTCGGAACCCCGCGACTGTGTGACAATGTAAGTAGACATCTTCTTCAAATCGCAGGTGATATCTATTGTCACATGTTTTCAGGAAAACTGGGTCAAGGCATACTTCAGTCAAATTGATTGTGTCACTGGCGTTCTTCGCTATAGCACCTCGTAGCTGCTCTGGTCTTCGTTGATTACCACCCTTTCGAACTTAAAAGAATAGGAGCCTCGAAGCTTCCCCGTCATCTTACTGAGTGGATGACAGAGCGGGGTCAAGGAGCTTAGACTGAATTTGAGCCAAGAAATCAGCACGCCAGTCAGTCGCAGCTGTGGTATCACTATAGGCACTGAAGCTTCTTGACGACCGGTTAACTGGGATTGATTAACACCAAGGCGAAGTCTCGAAATATCAAGTGCACCTTCAAAAATGCTTGCTCAAGCAACTTTGAGTGATTCCAAGACGGAGCGTGACCGAACCTTCAAAGGGCAAGGTGCGCCGACTGCTTGTGCAAGATAAATAATTCTAGTGGGGCTCCGATCACTGGCTATGCATCTGATGAACGTTGATAACCGCATGTTATGGTACGCGACTGATCGTCCACTTGTTTGAACTAATATCCAACACGTCCTCGCATGTTTCAGGCGATGCTTGACTGTCGCTGTAGAAAAGTCGATTCTCGAGACCGGGCTGCTGGCGTTGAGCGAGGGTTCAATTCAAGTTCGTCAGTGCTCACGAAGCTCCTGTGCGGGAACGCAGAATGGCTGAACTCCACGGGCGAATGCGACGCTGTCTTTGTATATTCAGACTGTGAACTGAATTAGGATACAATGTCGAATAGTATAAGAAGGTGGGCCCCATTATGTCTCTTGTCAATGTTTCGATGATCAGCAATAGTGTTACGCAGAGGTTCTGGAACATAGAACATCACCAGCAGATTAGTCACTCTCATAACATCAATAAATTATACTAAGCTCGGAGGAAGAGTACAAAAGTGTAGACTGCTGCGCAAATAAATAGTCTGCATGCCTAAGGGTCCTTCGTCGTGTTTGAAAGCTCATACCGAACTACTACTCGACGTCATCAGAGTCGATTCCCACCTCGTACCAAATCGGGGTTCCAGATGTTTCTCTTATTCTATCGATGGAATTTATTGTCAAAGCCTGCGATATAATCCATCATCTTCACTTTCATGTCTCGGCGTCTTGCATCGACATTTGTCGTCTGATACGGGAGTATGGCGAGCGTGTTGCCATTCTGCGGAGGTTCCAGGACGAAGTTTTGTGTTCGAGATGAAGAGAGAGCGCTGGCCGGAGTTTGTGAAGTCCCAGTCCAGGGGGGGTTCGAGGGAGGTGTTTTGCTATAGCCATGTTCAGTATGCTGAGATCATGGGTCACAAAAATGAGCTCGTACCTGGCCATAATTCTCAGGTTGTGTCTTGATTGGAGAGAGCCTCGGATCTTAGTTCATAGCCGATCTTAAATAGAAATCATCCAGTCGCGGTAGACAAATATTGAAAGGAAAAGTTATCAACAATATGTGGAGAGCAACTCTCTTATGCTTGAGGATGACGGTCAAAACTTGGCCAAAATCATCAGTCCGCGGGACAGGTCAATGATGGGCTTTCACGGTCTGATATACCTCTTCCATTCCTAAGACACAGGTTTGGTAAGGTAATGGAAATCCATCACGGCCCAATGTGCATGCTTGTTTTGTTCCTGACTGGGTAAAAATTCGGTGTTAAACCAGTAATAAGCAGACCTTCCTGTTCAGGTAGGTGGGCATCCCTATGGCCGATCGACTCTATTGTGATTAGCAGAAGCAAGTCACTGCTATTATTGTGACTGAACAGCCAGGAAGTGCCTGTCAGAGGTTTCCGTGTCTCAGTGCGAGAGTGCCCTACCCCTTGAGCATTAATGCAGCCCAGCTTGTGCGAGCTGCTCGGCTCTTTTCCCGCTCGCTATGTGAGCTAGGCGCATCGATGGCAGGATCACCTGCATGACTAGCACCGGCAGGATTGCTTGCCACGTGCGTATAGCCCGGCTGGCCGCCTTACTCCGGAAATAAGAGGGAGGAGACATTGATCCGCAAAATTGCATCCTTCAGCTCGCTTAATCGAACAGGCTTTTTCGAGTGCGCCAGCTGTCCGTCAGCATTTCCTCGTCTAATGAAGCTTGTTCCTCTTCTGTGCTTTGAGTTATGGTTACAGCTTTCGTGGGGGTCAATCGGGGACATACGTAACTATCATTCAAGATGTTTCGCGTTGTGCCCAACCGCCGAGACTAATTGCATACGCTTTATGGACCATCGAGATCCTCGACTATAAGAGACTCAACACGGCCCAATATCAGAGTAATAAGTGGAGTGGCAATTATAACAAAAGGTTGAAGGGAGTTGTTTTGTGTATTCAGGGGCGGTCAGTTCATCCGTCGAGTTTTGGTCAACTAATGTCAGTAGTGACATGCGTGGAAGCGAATCAAGCGTATCGTGGTGCATCGGGCATAAGAAGTCCCGAGGTGTCAGCCTCCAACACGACCAATCACGCCTTAGAAGGTCGGGCTCTCAGCCCGAATGTCTCAGGCTCTTCTTCATTGCACCGGTGTACGCAACTATCTTCTAACGGCGTTTTGAGTGGCGGTGAGATGCAGCTGAGTCGATAGGGATCCCGACTGTGAGGGTCCGGAAATGGACATCCGGTGCGGAGCATCACCGCATTTGCATGTCTCACATTACTAGTTCCCATATTGTTGATGCGGTGACGATTGCGTTGAATTGTTCTTCAGCTGTGAGCTTCAAGGATGTTCAGCTGAGGACTCGTGGATCTTGGTGCCCAGGGCAGTCTTCGAGGTCGATATGCACAACACAGCTCGGAAACCTGGCAGTATCCTGCTCGCTACGATCCTCCGGGGCACCATGTTGAGGCTAAGCACAAATGCGTCTCCCTTTGCGAGATATCCATGGTAAACATTACAGGGGAGACGTCCGGGGGGGGGGGGGAGAACAATGGGTTACACAGAGCCGGGATCATTTCTTCACCGGCGCCTTAGGCTGAATGGGGGTCCTGTCTTGGAACCTGCATGTCTCCATACATTTCTCTGCAGTCGCGCGGTTCGGAGTGGCTGCCACCACTGCATCAGTCCTGTATTATGAACAGCCTTTCCCTGTCGATGCAGAAGTGGCTTGGCTTGGACGTGGGTTCATTGTGCGCCAACCGCGAAAGCCCGCTGTTAGGCGCGGGGAGTGTATGGTCGTGGGTGTGAATATCACTTTTTGGCGTGGCGTCAAAGTTGTGCAAGATGCTATCTTTGTGAAGCCGGTCGAACTATTGTGCAATTATGTGACGCTTCGGGCTCACAAATTGCGGAAACAAACACCACGACTACATTATCTGATTAGTATCAAACATGGGTGCCACGCGCTTGAGATCTGCGAAGGCCCTGACACCGCATCGTGGAGATAAACACGGTAAAATGTGACCTATCGACAAAATACCACTACCCATCTAGGAGAGTGACGTGGTCTGCACGCGATCGCGATGCTGCAAATACCAAGACAGCACTTATTGCCCCCACGAAACTTCGCAAATTTTCAACATGGAAAAAACAAGGTCTTTCGGGCCGGAAGATGTACCCGAGATGTGACAGGTAATACGGTCTCGTCTCTGAGCTGACAGAAGAGATGCCAATGTTGCCTGCCAGGCTCATCAGTGTTCTGAGACACGAGCTTGGAGCATTGAAAGGTCTTAACTGCGCATCTAAACATCCATTTTGGGCTTGCTGCAGGCAGCTGAAGTATGCCTGTCTCTTTAATGTGGGTATCTGGTCGATCCCAAAGCTGACCGGTGGGCGTCAATGGGGCCTCCTCGCGGAAGAAAAACCTGACCAAATTCTGACCACACAACAGTTTTTCTCATCGCGTAGTTTCGTCGCTTCTGTGTCATATTTGATATCTTTAAGCGATTTAAGCCAGCCACAGACAACCCGGTATGGATATTCCTGCAGGCTTACTTACTTCGACAGCGGTTTGCCGTCGTGAATGCAAGGATAATCCACACATACGTGCATGAGTTTGCGGTGGGATTCTTCACCATTGTTCTACAGGGCTTAGGGACGTTCATATGACGTTGTAACCATTGTGGCAGCCAGAATATGTTCCATATTTAGTCCTCGGACATGTCGCACCGGCCCGGCTCACAACATTAAGCAAGCCAGCAGTGGCATTATTCCGGCCAAATAATTTAGAGCTTCTATCATAATTGTCTTTGTAGGCAGGCTGCCAGTTTTCTGAGCCGCTGGCGAGGTAGCAAAGCTGCTCGCACCGTCAGTATTCGCCTCGGAGGCTGTGTACACCGCTCCAATAGTTACCTTAGACAATGAGGACGAAGCAAAGCAGAGGCTTTCTCAGGAATTCGATGTTCTTGCTACCTGTGATGGAGCCAGGGATTTCTGGTTACTGCGCTGAAAGTTCATTGCTAGAGCTATCAGTTATGCGCATGTCGCCTGGTGGGGCTGCCTCGAATAATGGAAGGGGTAGGGCTGGGCTGAATCCTTTTTTCGGAAGAAGCCATTCTTTTCCGCAATTGGTGGAGACGAAGTAAGGCACCCTGAATCGGGCCATGCGAGCTCTTGGGGGATCTGAAGCGTCTGGTACTGCAATTGGCGATCCTGCGGCAGATACTTGCATTAGCGCTGGGGTGGACGGCGTCTAACATACGATTGGTTCGGTGCACATGCCACATGATCATTTCCCACACTTTTGATGGTCCATATTGTGCATGATATCACAAGAATGATATACGAAATGTCACAGCACGTCATCACGGAATAGACTGTGGTAGTCATCCGGTCGAGTGGCTCATCGCCTCTGGCTGAAGCCGGAAGGAGGAGTGCGGCGGTTAATATCTCGGTCCGTGTTTCAAACTCGACAGCAACGATTACTTAACTACCTCAATCAGCCACCATTACTGCAGAAGAATCAGTGGTAGCTTTGAAGCTTCTGAGACCAGAACTTGTAAGGCAGAAATTTTGTGAAGCTGTGGCTCATGAGGTTAAAGTGTGTGATATCTGAGGTACGGACGGAGGGGTCTGCATCTTGCAGTGTGACCTGTGATCATAATCAAAGTAACTCTTACGGTAGTGCTGATATGAGTAGACTAAATCGCCTCAAGTTTGTAACCATGGATGGCCTAGGTACAGGACCAGGCACGGCTCGGTTAGCAAATGTTGGCCAGACAATGACCACAAAGCTAATTGGTCATATTTGATACTCCAGGGTTAGAAAATTCACAGTAAATATTACGAGAATAGATCAACTAGCAGTTTTGATGAGCTAGCTATGTGACGAGGCCTAATGACTTGAAAATAATGCAATTGCTGTTTGGAGTATGTCTTTTCTTAAGGACTCAGCGGGGCTCGAGACACTGCTGCAAGTCTTGGAACTAGTCTTGACCAAGTGACGGGGCTGAGTTAGGAGTATACATGTTGAGATGCATGTGTTCAAATAAATAATTCATTACGCTATTCTCTCTGTTCTTGGCTCATCCTCAGCATTGCCTGCTATGCCTTGACATCACGTCGGCAGCCTCCATAATCGCATTCATTACCAGGCAGTCAGACGGTCATGTTAAAAGTCAATATATATGTTTTACAAGATACCGGTTAGAATCCAGACACAGGATGTAAACATCTGCAATGTAGTAGGAATTGCCAATCCGGATCAAGATAACCAATCCACAGCCACCAAACCCGTCACCCGGGGTGCACTCATCAGAAAAAGGACTTGGTGAAAAAAGAAAGCTTCCTACGTCGAGTCCGAGAACTGGACCACCACGAGACAGCCGCACCGCCTGTAAAGGTAGTGTGGGAGCGACTTGATCATGCTACCCATGATTGCGTCACACCTGGCTTTGACCTCCTCGACTAAAATGGGCCGTTCATAAATTTTCCTTCCCAAAAAAAATATGTTCTCGATACGCCTTGAGGGGCGCTTTCGAATGGTCCTCATCTCGTTTATGTGCATTGACTGTGACGGGTACTGTGACGGGCGCTGTGACGGGAAGCATGAATCGCTCTTCCCGCATGAAAGTGGAGGTGGCGGGATGCGTAGATGAACCGAGACTTCAGGGCATGGGCCTCCCCTGAATCATACGCCGAAGGCCGTTCCCCTCAAATTGGTGGTGCTCGAGCTATCCGGCGGCCCAATTGTCTGTTGGATAGTGGTCTGCTTGATGATGTCCCGTCCTTCTGGCGACGCTGACCGAGTCTGACGGTCATACATGGTCAGCTCAAGCTCATTCAGCTCTTCGTACGGCTTCCTGATGCTGTTCTTGAGGCTGCTTTTTACTGCGCCCATGCGGCCCGAAGTTCCGTACTCGTAACTATCATTCCCGGTTGCCATAGGCTTCGGGAAGAAATGCGAGTAGATTGGCCGCAGGGTAGGCAGACAGGCACACACGATGGCCAAAGACAGCTCGATATTGGTCCAAAAGAATACAGGGGCGGTATAGTCTGTCAAACGCGATTAGAATATGCATGTTACGCCGGATGAGTGTTGGGTAATTGCCACAAAGATACTCACAGATGACGTCGTTTGGGTGCTTGACGTATTCCTCCGCGATTGCAAAGGTCGCAATAACTCTGGTAACGCTGACGGCGCAGACACTGTCATCTGTCAGCGAAACTATACAATTGTGGTTTGCCCGATCTAAGGGTAGGCATCTCTTGAGACTTACGCGGCGCCCAATCCGAGCATGCCCATCACCGCAAACTTCTTCTTAAGGGGCAGTTGCACTTTGAGAACCATCGGTACTGGAAGCAGTAGAATGACCCAGTCGGCAACAACGTCAGTGAAGAGCAGCGCGAGAAACATGGGCACCGTCTGCACGCAGGAATTGCCGTAGTAGGGCTCGATGAACACGGTGATGGGATAGCAGGTGAACAAGTGCGAGAAAAAGAAGCTGATAGTCCACCCAATCACAAATGCAAGCACGCTCCAAACCGCGTAGTGGAAACCTTTGCTTGGGAAGAGGGTGTAGTATAGGACGAGGATGGATGATTTGACGAGACCAAGGCCGAGGATAGATATCATATTGAGAGCGAATTTGGTCTGATGATGTCAAGCTCTTGTCAGTTTGTGGCATGGCAGACACATCAAATATTCCTTTGGAATCTCTCACCTGCTCGAAGAAAATCAATCCAGGATCGTCCATAATTGGGGAGCCATCGGGGTACTGAGGCTGGTGTTGACCCAGATGTCCATAGACCGCAGCTGTTCATATGGTTATTCTCAAGCGCCTGGAACAAGAATGGAGAGTTTGCGCACTAGCTAGTTGTAGTGTACAACAAGTGATGGAGACCAGCTGGAATAGTCTTGCTCAGTGATCCGTTTAAGCCAACACACGATAAAAGGGTTCCATAGCACTTACGAGCGCTGCTCCTGTGAGGTAGTCATCCAACGCAATTCGTTTAACGAGCAACCTTGCCCACATACGGAGGCCGTAGAAGACAGTGGGAATTATCATGAACCCAACGGCCAGACTGATCATCTGGCCCTTGGTATAGTCATGATTCATCGTCACCATGATGGACGATGTTTGTGGTTCGCACCGGTGGTTTGTGAACAGCGCTTCGCCTGCGGCAAAATCCGGCGACGCGGTTCTGTGGATGAGCAGAAATGTGGAGAGTCAGTTCCGTAAATGGAGATGCGACGATGATATATGTACCACATAGATTTGAAAGGGTATCCTGACACTACTAAAGGGTGTCCTGACTCTACTGATTGCTACCTACGAATATCAAATGAGTATCATGTTGCATATTCGGTGCTGTGCCTTGCCACGCTCTACGTTTCAAACAAGACCCTTTGCCTGCTTTTCTGCAGCGAATGATTATAACAGCTTGATATAACCAGATATTCTTGCTACCGTCGGGAAGCCGTGGACATTCGAAGCTTAGCATATCCCACATTGAACGGGCCACCAACCCAACCGCCCTTGCTGTTCTGTCCTGTTGCCGGGCCCACACCTCCTTAACACTGTCGAGGTTTTGTGTGGCATACTCTCTGTAACGAAGCCCATGTCCTTGGACATTGCCACGAACAGGTTATGATCCCCGAGACTTCGGGCGAACTGACTCAGGCCCCATACCCGCCATTTACCCGATTGGCATCGCTAAACGTCGCCCAGTCATCAGGCAGTGCGCGGAAGTGCGATGCAGTCTGTTCTCGAAGCTCGGCAAGTGCCAGATAACGGGGATCCTCCGCTAGTGCGCCGGGGCGCTGCAAGACCGCAAACTTTAAATGGTGTCCCTCTCGGTTGGCGATTCCTGAAGCGGCTTTTGTAGAGAATGAGACGTGTCCTGCACAGTGGAGAATTGCTGCTCGACGAGGGAATCAAATGATTTTTAGGTGCAGATGGGTGGACCTCGACATCGATAGACGGAGAAGATCAATCTTCAGTAGACCTTAATGGGTGGACCTTCGAGAGGTGTCTGTTGTGGAGTTATCAACGGAAAGGCTTCCCTTGCCCTGGGCGCCCATGCAAAAAGCGGACGTATTTTCCAGATGTAGAAAGCAATTCGGTACACGGCACTTATCATCACATGTGCTGCTGGGTGGAGGACCAACTACAAGTGTTGAAGAGGGCATATTGAAAGGATGGATTCGTAACTCATTTACCATTGTTCATCTGCCCCCTTTCCCCTCCCGGTCAAGGTCACGGTGCCAGGCTTAGTCGAGGGTGGGCTCTCAAGAGCCGACGCATGAATGCATGGTATGGTTTCTCTCATCCGAATAGTTGCTTCAGTACGACGAGCCATAGAGTACAAATACACGTGCATATCGATTAAATGATAGTGAAATGCTTTTACCATCCGTGGGTTGAGTCGTGGTTCATCGAAGTTCTGCATAGTCGACCTGCCAGCATAGGTCGAAATCAACTGAATAGTAAGAGATATTAATTTGTCACCAAGTTGCCGAGGTGGGATCGGCTCAAGAGGATGAGTTGCACCCGATCGGCCAAGTTCGTCCGAAGCAAGATCACCATAGGCTGTGTCTGGAGAAGTGTCATCTTGTAATCCGCGGCCTCGCTATGGGCAATGGTACAGAACACGCCCAATTAATAGCGCTTTTACCATAACAATATCTCGCTAGTACTCTTCCTCAAGGGCAACGACTCCGGCCAATCAATTCCGCTTCCCCGTGTCAGAATACTGGATCACCGATTCAAGGCGTATATCTTACGAGACAAGCCTTATCCCATTAGAAGGCCTCGCATTCGAGGCGGGGTACATTGAGCGGCCCTTGTTGGGCATGATTTGGCAATTTCGGAGGCGCGGATTCAAAGCGTGCCCTTAGATCCGAAGGGTCGTCGAGCTCCAATGTCAAGTACGTGTGCAAGCCTTTGGTCGGCGACAAGTGCCGGATTGCCCCGAGAGAGTCCGTATCACGGAAAACGGAGCCCCCCTTGCATTTTCGTGCATAAGCAGACTAAGGACCTTGGAATCTGATATCAACAGAACCCTTGCAGAAGCTGGCTGAGCATCGCCAAGGCAACTGCATGCCAAGATTGAAATACTACCTTGGTAAGGGTCTCTCCCCTTTCCGGCCACGAGGTCAGGTGGGAAGTAATTGCACCGTCGAATGGACGAGGTTCGCGAAGCTTTGCAGCCCCTTAAATCCAATACAATCCTGCCATACACGGGCCTCTTGGCTACAGATTGTATCGCAGAACGTCTTGTTGAAGATCCCTCACCGCTGCAACCCCAACCATGCACCTCCTCCGGTTCCTGCTTATCGGTCTGCAGACCTCGACAATGGCTACTGCAGCTTGCGTCAATGTCGGTGCTCGGTCCGTCGCCGACGATCTGCAGACCTTAGTCCCGACCTCCTCTGTCGCTGTCCAGGTTCGGGCACGATGGAGTGAGGTCGACGCTCCCGTATCATCTGTCGTTGTGAATGCGACCAGTGAGAAGGACATAAGCAATGTGGTATGTCGACCGGCCTCTGTCGTTATATGGCTCTATGATACACAACGCAGTTGCAACTAACAATCTTGGCTACCATAGGTCAAATATTGCGTGAAAAACAACATCCGCTTTGTGGCCCAAAATGGCGGTAACGGGTGGGCAACAGGGCAATTTGACCTTGGAAGCAACGGGGTCCTCATAAACCTGGCTGGCCTAAACCAAGTCAACATCAGCGCTGACAAGCAAACGGCGACGATTGGCGGCGGGGCGCTCATCAGCGATGTTGTCTCAGCTGCTGACGCTGCCGGTGTCTTGGTTCAGACTGGCAACTGCAACTGCGTTGGCGCCCTTGGAGCCGCACTCGGCGGCGGGTATGGCAACCTGCTTGGAGAACACGGCTTTGCCGTTGACAACATCCTGGAGCTGCGGGTCATTACTGCCAGCGGCGAGGCACTCACTGTCTCGAGCACTTCTAACCCGGATCTTTACTGGGCCCTCCGAGGCGCTGGACCGAACTTTGGGATTGTCACCTCCGCAAAGGTGAATGCATTCCCTACTGACGACCGCACGTCCTTAATCGTCTCCTTTACCTTCGATTCCTCGAAGATCGCCGCCGTTGCACAAGCCATCCAAGATCTCCCTCTGCTCCCACAGCAGGTCGTCTATCTGGTCCTGTCGAATTCTGCCGATGGGACAAATACACCAACAGTGGTCGTCACAGGCTTCCTCCGCGGCGGTACAGTGGAAAGCGGCCGTAGCGCTTACGGACCGCTATACGATCTTGGCCCGCTCACGAACTCTAGCGTCGTTACACCGTATCAACAATGGAACGCCGCAAACGATGGCTTCTGCACGCGTGGTGGACGCAAGCCCGCGTATAGCACCACCATCAACAATATGAAGTCGGAGACATGGCCACAGATCTGGGACCTGTACACCGAGTTCCAGAAGCAGTCGGGTGCTGAGAACTCCGCTGTGTTGATCGAGCGGTACAACCTGACTAAGGCGCAGTCTGTACCGGCGGGCTCTGCAGCCTTTCAGGAAGAGCTCCGTCAGGAGGCTTTTGCCCAAGCCATAGTCATCCCTTGGTATGAAGACGCGGCCCTGGATGCCCAGGCTGAAGCATTCGGGTCCCAAGTGAGGGACATTTGGAGCTTTTCGTCAAACGCGACTTCAAATCCCACGTGAGTTCTGATAAAGTATGCCGAAGATATTTCGTGCACCAGCTGACAAGTGAGAAGATACATTAACTTTGCCCACGGTGATGAGGAGCTGCAGGCTATTTACGGCTCCAGCCTTGATCGCCTGAAGAGACTCAAGCAGCAGCTCGATCCTTCGGGAGTGTTTGGTCAATGGTTCAAAATTGAGTGACGGCCCAAGTAATCATCAGCCTCAGACCATTGAATTTGCTAAAGCTTGGAATCTTCAACGTTGAGTTCCTCGCTTGAATTCAAAACATCTCAAGTGCCCTGGGTTTTGTCTCTACCTATATTCCATAGCTATAGATCGTGTATCACTACGCGATCATCATTCTAAACTGTCAATAGTCTTCGTCACAACAGTGAATGTTACTTGTTTAGATAGACATTTATTATTGTTGAGTCTTACCTGCATTTTAATACAGATCTTGCCTACTAGTCTTCGTTGCTTATTTTGACTAGTCCACAGTGGGAAGCATGTCATCTCATGACTTGTCTTGTTACGAACGAACCCTAGATCACTGTGTTTCCAGAACAATGAGCAAGTTTTCCTTCTAGGATCAGCTACTTTGGGTCGCAGGGAGTGAATATACTAAGTTACCTAACAAGGCCAAACTTCAAAATTGATTGCCTCTGGCTATTGATGAATTCCCTGTTAGCCATATCGCTGGCCTCGATCAGCCTCTTCTATGTGATGAACAGTCTAGACGAGTCAGCAATTTCTCCATTATCGTGGCCATTGCTCACGTAGAGTTGGAGCCATGTTGAGATACCATTGAGATCGGCCCACATCCGGCCAGACACATTTAAGATACTCCGGCCCGGCTTGCTTGACCAGCTGATACTGCACGTAAAAGTAACCGACGTAGCTCGTTTTGCGGCTTCACGGTGGAGCCATCTCTAAACCTATCTTATTATGTGGACGATCCACATCGATTGTGGGTCACATCCTCTCGGTTAAAAGCTTGATATGGCAGCCGAATCAAAGACAGAGCGGGAGGTGGATGCTGAGCCTTCTCAACTACTCGGGAACGACTGATCGCGTTCAAGCCTGCCGGCTACATGCACATTATATCGCATCGAAGCCACGGAAGCATCTTTCGTTCAGAGCCGAGCCGAAAAAATCCAATGAAAGTCTTCACTTGTGGCGGTCGCTGAGAAAAAGTATGCAAATACCTTCTTAGCTGGTCGAGAATTGTTTGTGGCAATCTTGTCCATGCCGACACCCAGACAAGTTCCCAGGTCCTAGTATTCAAGAACTCGCACCATTAAAGTCCAATTTCTTGATGAGTGCCTTCTCAAGGACGCTTGAATAGTGTCAATGCTATCTCTATCAGCTGAAATGGCTGCACAGGATAATCTACTACTTCTTCTACTTGAAGCCAAGAAATGGGCTCTTTGTACTCTGAGCAACCGTCTGCGAGTTCTCAAGTTCAAAGTCAACGTCAAATTAGGATGCAGCATCCAGGCTGTCCGACACTCCAAAGTAGTAGTAAATCGCAGATGCTGAACCCTTTCTGGAATTGAATAGAGCTCCTTGATAATCCCTGGGCCGTCCAGCTCAACATGCAACAAAGAACAGGAACGCCCCACTAATATCACCTTTGATGCCATCATTGAAAGCTGCACGAGGTTAAGCCGTGCACTTGACCTCAAATTAGGCTTGACACCCCAGGCAAAGGGAGAGTGCCGTGTATATGATCTCCGAAGTCTACCTGATTGATATTGTGAAATGAGTCCTTAGTATTGTGCATTAAGTACTATACATCCAAACTAAATACCAAAGTTTCCTTGCAACAAAAATTACCCATCGACATCGCTAATTGCACCATTTAATACTATGAAGACCACCCTTACCAGCACTTTGCTCCTAGCTGCAAGCCTTGTAAAGGCAGCAGCTGCGGCACCCCCCTCAGAGGACTTATCCGAAGACTCCAGTTCCAACGGCACCTTCTCGAATATTGAGCGTCGATACGGACACGCTACAGGAAGAGTGATTTGTGGTAAATATGCCAATGGCGACTACATCAGGCTCTGGAACCTTGCATATGCCCTGGACAATAAAGATGCGGACACAAAGTGGGATATTGGCCCCAAGGCCTGCAATCGCGTGACTTGTTGGGACACGACTGCAATTTACGTCTGCAACGTGAGTCTTCACAACTTCCAGATAGCTGACCCATCCAGTCGAGAAATACAAGGTGACTAATTTTGTTGCACAGGATAATGACCACCAAATCACTGTCACAGGCAAAGATATCTCAATTACTACTGTTTATATCCGCAACCATTGCTGCGGCGCGACTGGCCAAAGTTTTATTTCCGGCCAACAGTTCACCCCATGGGGATGGAACACTAACATTGGATACGGCAACTGCAGAGATCCCCCCTCGATTAGGCCGCACATGGCTGGTGGTGAGGGCGTGAACAAAGGGGATTGCTTGCAGGCCGACATAGCGGAGGTCGGGTTTTAAGCGTTCAGAGGCCACGACAAAGACAAATATGTAATACATTCAACATTTATGGTGTCTTCCAATCTTTCAGCAATACGAGGCCTGTATATCATGAGGCGCATTCTTCTTCATGCAGCCCTCTTTGGCATTGTTACGGGTAGTGACATCCAATACACTTCCACGAGATTTCAATAGATTGCGAATTGACTAGTATTCCTAGCTTCTCAATTTCATTTTTGAAGGCTAATTGTGAGAAGGCAGGGGTCTTGATGTCAGTCTTCGCGCATTCTTCACGTACAAATCTACACTTAGTCTTTTTTTCCCCCAATCATTCTGGTACTCGCTGGCGGCATACTTCAGACATTTTTCTCGATGCCAAAGAAAAAAGCTTGTGATGTCGTGGGGCCAGATTGTGTTACCATCAGACACAAGCGATCTGGTCTATTGAAAGTGGTCCGACATCAGTAGTATATTAGGCGATGTCTACATGCAGGCACAAAATGGTCTTCAGTAGTACCGTGAGTAATATTTTGCTTTGGAGAACATCACTCACTCAAAGGGTAATTTATCATCTGTATATTCGGGCATCAAAACAGACTTTTTATGCATTGTAGATATCGCCAGTCTCAACCCACCGCCACCACATAATGAGGGCTGATCTAAAGAGCCAGACTCTCTGGTTGAACTTCTAAGTGACGGCAGGTTGGCCGATTGGAAGTCCATCTAAAAGTCAAGCGCAACCTGGAGTTGATCAGGCTTAATCTTCTCTATGCTATGAACGAAGGCCGAGAAGAAAGATCTCATCAAGATCCCTAACAGCATTTTGCCCGGTTAGTTTGCAGGGTTCGTATGCGCTTCTCGCACGGCAAAACTCAACGTCACCTCGGCCTTTTTTCACAAACTTGTTCCTTCATCATACCGATGGCGAATTTCTTGACTCGCTCATCTATTGAGCAGCTAATGTTAGGGTGGACGGCCCGGGCGTGGCGTTCTATTCGTTGCAGGAGCAGAGGCATGTCGAGGACTCCTTCGAATGCAAATCTTCAAATTTCAAGGACTTCCTCACCAACGATGACTTGTAATCTCTCGGGTACAAACGGGTGTTTCAGTTTGAGTTGTTCGTCTGCTACATGGATCAGATGGACTTGATCAAGCACTGGGCTTGCGAAGACGGCAAGAAAGCTCGGCAGTAGGACTGCTTCCTGGCAACCCTGAAGAACTACTAACTCAAGGGCCAGAGGTTCAACGGTCGTGACTGGCCTTGATAAAGGACTCTAAACAAAGAATTTTCTGGGTAATAGGGGTCGAAGCGATTGGCGGCTGACCTTGTCACTTGATAATTTGACATTGAGAGATTTACGTGTAGATAGTCTAGCCTTCTAGGAAACTTGGTTTTGAAACATCATTTCGAATGTTCGTAGTACCCATTTCTATTATGTGACAAATAGCGTGATCGATCTTCAAGCACGACTTGCTTTTCACGCACCATTATTCATTCGGACTATAGTCTCCCAGAAACTGGCCAAGTACGTAAGTGTTTACTTCATCATTACTGACCTGCCTTTTGACCGTAAACATTATAGATTTATGGAAGGTTTTTAAACTTGTTAGAATATCATTGTGGCGTAATCGCATACCAAGGCGTACTGAGTCCTTGGAGTAGGAGGCGAATTATCATACGATAAGGCCTGGGCTAGCCACTCAAGCATTTCTTTTACATAAGATGTCTTCCATCTTGGCCCATCTCCAAAACAAGTGGAATTCAGCCAAAGTTCGTGAATGAAGGCCTCTAAAAGCCTTCTTGCAGCTACATCGGTGCCGTCATTTAGGACAGCCGCTTCAAGCCTCCCAAGCTCCCGACTTTGCAGGGTCTCTTCAATAACCCGTGCTACTTTGGTAGCAGTCAACCACTCTGTCAAGTCCTGCCCTGCCTGAATATACTCTTGCTCAACGCGCTGCCGTAATAGAAGGCCCGAGTCTCTCGTTGCTGCTGGATTATCAGCCTTGCAGTAGCCGACGCGATTGAACTCAAGACGTGCCTCAGCGAGGGCAAGGATGTAATTATAACTGCAAAACGTAGAGACATGTCTCAACATAGCTACAAAGACAGGATGGTGTTTAGCGACGAATGCAAGTTTGCTGGGCTGCTGGCCGGCCAGCTGGTAGACAAGGCTGAGACTTGATTTGGTGCAGTACCAGTAGATTTGTGCAGACAAAGCGTGCTGATTAGGCTCTAGATAAGGCACAATGTCCAGGGGAGGGTCCATTATACGTCCGGGGCTGATGGGCCAGCCAAGGATGCCGCAGTCTAGACTGAAAGTCATGCAGCTGGACTGTTGCGATCCGAGGTACTGCAATGTGACGGAGTCTATCTGTTCGGTAGGCTGTTCCCGTTGTTGTTCCACTCGAGCCGATACGAGAGCGCATGGTGACCCAGTGGAAGGACCAGCAGCTGCACTGGTCGTATCCGAGGGCGCAATGCTGTCGGGACAGATTTGGGAACCGAGACCCGCCGCGGCGGCGGCTTTGTGAATCGCGGAGCGCAGAGCCGGCGAATTACCGTTTTGGGAGACATCCACCAGGGCCTTGATGGCTTCCTTGAGACGGGAGTTTTCTTCTCGTAGCTCACGGAGCATCGTAGTTTGTCGAATACGGAATGCGCGCTGAGAAAGCCTCGCACGTTCCCTCCGGCGCTACCCACTTTGGTCAGCCCCCTGGTATCGCGGCCAAGAAGGGAGTGCGTACTTGTAACTCAGCTGCCGCGTTCTCCATCCGCGCTCGTCATTGAATGCTAGTATTCAGCTGTTTGTGTGGGGGGCGTTACGTAGAATTACTCCTTCGGCGCAATGTGTCGACGGGCATCGAGACTGGATCCGGGGCTAGAGTTGTGATGTGAGACGGGCAAATTTCATCTCCGATCACGTAACATGAGTAGTCTTAGTCAGAGCGGGTGCTCAACAAGTGTGGAGCAGTGAACAATCATTGCAATTGGCGCGTATTAGTATACGCAGGCTGATTGATATATAGCGAAGAATGGATTTCGAATTGTCCTCTGGCAACGGACTTCCCCTACTGCCAGAGCTCGCTAAACAGATTCGGTCAATTTTTGTCATAGTCATTAAAATGGCGGATAATGTTCTCAAAACTCCTTATCACACCTACCACCGCAAATCGTATGCCGCAATTGACCCCACGCAACCAGCTCTATCTACAAAATCAAAATCAGCAGTCGTAACTGGTGCAGGATCAGGCATTGGAGCAAGCATAGCCATTTCGCTCGCTAAATCGGCCGTCTCGAACATAGCCCTCATCGGCCGTCGAGACAATGCTCTTCAAAAGACCAAGTCGGCCATCGCGGCTGTCTCCACTGACACCAAAGTCTACACATACGCTATGGATATCACCGATCTGGCCGCGATACATGAAGCGCTCGAAGCGTTCTCTCGAGAGTGTGCGAGCGGCGCAATCGACATTCTTGTTGCCAATGCCGGTTCTTTGGGCCCTTTGAGCTCAATACAAGACGCAAACCCGGTAGAGTGGTGGAACGGTTTCGAAATCAACATCAAGGGCAACTTCAATCTCGTCCATGCATTTCTGCCTCGGGCGAATGCCGCGTCCGCAATAGTTTATATATCGTCGGCTGTCGCCCACGGTCCGTATACACCGAATGAATCCAGCTACTGCGCGTCCAAGGCTGGTGCCACAAAGCTTTTCGAGTACGTGCATCACGAGCACCCAGAGATGTTTGTTCTCTGCTTGCAACCTGGCCTCGTGGCCGAGACTGGAATGTCTCCTGGGTTCGAACACGTTGCGAGTGCTTTGCAGATGGACATGGCTAATTTGCCATGGGATGATGGTAAGTCTGAACTGCTCAGTGAGATTTGATTCCTTCACTTGCTGATTGACTCCTATAATAACACAGTCGCCCTGTCTGGTGACTTCGTCGTCTGGGCTGTGAGTCCAGACGCACGTTTTCTGAATGGTCGCTTTGTGTGGGCGAATTGGGATGTCGACGAGCTTAAGGACGACAGGGAAGCGATCTTGGCCAACCCGCAAAAGTTCACATTAGGCTTAATCGGAAGCTAGACCTAGATAGCTAACATGCTGACGGCAAAGACGTTTATGAAACAGCTCACACAATGAACGTTGAGATTGAAGTTCTGCTCGGCTCACCGGAATGATGCCATGCAGGAATTGATAAGTCATACTCAAGCGGTGGGACAAAGAGTACTCGTCCGACTATTGTGATCTTGTTGCTAGTCTTACACCAAAGGATCACTGCCTTCACATATGACCGAAGTAGCAACACCTCCTTAGAAGAGATTTCACTTCCAGGTTCGAAAATTCAAGTTAGGGTTTGGTGAACTCAAATATTATTATGAGTGACACGATGAACTGCGTCAAATCTGGAACTTTGAGCTTTGCTAGTAGATCATATTCGGCTGCATCTAATTCCATCAGTCGTGATTTTTGTGGTCAACACTATCTCCCATCATGGTCCGATAGTAAAGATTATAGTCTGTCAAATACAAATGGATCATTAAAACGGTCAAGACCTACCGCAAGTATCAGCATATGCCGATCCAGTTACTCTTCATATCTCATAAGGGTAGGGCTTCGTATAATCGGCCAGCCGAGGAAGAGGAGGCCAAGGAGATGCAGATGAATTTCCTCGCCGCCTTTCTTTTGGTTTTCTTCCTCGCATACAAGGGAATCAGAATCAGAGAGGATTGTTTACCAGTCATAGAGCTGTGATTGAGGTAGTGCCTGCCTTGGGCACATCCGTTCTGAGCATGTAAACTATTGCATACAACCCAAACAACCGACCTAAAGCCATACTTGGTCTTTTTCCCTCCATAATGACTATATGATAGATCAGTCAAGATCGTTAATATGACTAATACTGTCCGGCCCATGAGTGTGTTGCATATCGAGAAGCTGTACTTTATATCGCGAACGGGTTGCACCAAGTCGCAGAGCTAGACAAATCTTCTCCCTTCAGCGTACAGAAAAGAAGTATCAGGCTTCCCGGCTCTTGCGACTCCCTGGTCTCCCTCCACCATGGCGGAAGCCCTCGATATAACGCACTATTGATTGTCAATAACATTGTGAAGCAGGACCCCTACATCGAATAGAGCTATTCTTGAAATTTGGCAATGCTAAAGCGGGCCGTATTTGTCTTAGCCGGCGCTATACCTTTGTCCCAGTTTGCCTAGGATCGCACTTCAACACTTAAGTCAACAACTGAACAATGCCATTGTCCTATGAAATTATACCGAGACAATGGCATTGTAGTAGTCCTATCCTCTTCACACACCGATATTCATGGCGAAGTACAAATATCGTCTGCTTCTTCTTCTCGTCTCCTCCGTAAAATCTGCATTCACCAAATGCAACTCAAAGTTGACAAGAACAAATCATCATACTTGTAAAGTTGAGATCAAGTAACCATACCATTGCAAGCGAAGACAACCTCGCCATATCATGGCGATGTCAAACGTTTGGGAAAAGCTCCGTCGAGCACCTCACGCTCGTGGAAACAAGGAGAACATTCGTCTCATAGCTGTCGAAGACCTCGAGAGGCTCCTGCAAGTATTCAAGCTCGAAGGCGGAACAGTCGCAAGACTGCCCAGTGCTGGGCAGCATGCCCTTCCCCGTCTAACTCCAGGACAAGAGGTAAGCTTCACCTTGCCACAACCCCCTTCTGAAGGTGCTTCTTTTCATTGTTTCAAAGACCTTCCCGCTGAGCTGCGTATCCGAATCTGGCAGTATGCAGCACAACAGCCACGCCTGGCCTTCGTTCTGCTCGGAATGCCAACACCTACTTGGCTGAATACGAATGGCATTGATTTGGTTAACAATATCGACAGCATGTTTTGGCGCGCGATCATGAACAGGGTCTACCTTCTCGAAGCTGATCCACGTCGAAGCCTCCTCGCCGCTAGCCACGAAAGCCGGAACGAGACCTTTCGGGCAACGAGCACGGGTTCCGTCCGTAGCAACTGGCTGAACAGGCTCGGCCTCGCACCGATCAGACTGAACTACTCGGACCTGCTGTATCTGGGCGGATTCTCTCAAGGGGCTCATGGTGCTCTCCGCGACATGCAAAGCATCATACCCCTAAGCCTTGTGCTAGGAAACGTGGTGTCCAGGGTGCTTGTTAACGGGGACGTATTTGTAAGATATTTTGCCCCTTACGAAGGCCAGCCGCCTGAGAGCCCCTTGACCAAGGCCATCGCGGACCTTCATGGCATGGGCCCCAACTACGCGCGTCTCTTTGCCGACGCGCTCTGGGGACTGCCACAGCCTCGCCTTCCTCGAACCATGGTCTTCATGTTGAGCAATGACCTTCTGGAATGGGAGCCACAGCCTCCCTGTACGATGTTGGGCCCATGAGCAAGTTTTCATGGGAAGAGATTCGTGTTGCATACACTATGAAGATCTCGAAATTATCCCCAATACAGCCATGGACCATTGGCTGCAGGCTAACTTGGTAGGACACAACGACCCAGTCCTCGAAACGCGTGTTCGCATGGACATCATTCCCTGGATCCGACACATCTTTGCTGGATGGCTTCGTCATCCAGATCTTGTCCCGCATGTCCCGCAGCTGTTTTTCGCACGAATCAAGCCGCGTGTCTGAAGAGCGGGACTCAACGCAGTCTCCTTTGTCTTGTCCTGCCAATTGAACCTTCTGCCATCAAGTGGATGACGGTTCTCGGTATGAAGCAAGCTACATTGTGTGACCAGTGAACAGTAGACAGCAGCCAATAAATTGTGACAACCAGTCACTTAAAATAAACAAAAGACCAACCTGCGAACCCGTGTTCCCCTTTCCTAACATTGTTGCCTTGTGATAATTCTTTAGTGCATTTCCTTCATTAGCCCCAGCATACATGTATTTGATAACCAATGCATTTGATGAACACTAACTCATACATACCTGACAACTTTTCAATTTGCCCAGACCTCGTGTGAGCAAAAAAGACCGTAACATAAGTGGCACATGCTTTTCATTTTTCAACATCGATGGGTCCCTTGGCTCAGTGAATGCTCAGAAGTATCTTCAAGGACCTTGCTGAACATTGAGGCATGGGATCGACTCTGATTCTGGTTGGAAATATTCTCGCGAAAAACCAAAGCTGCTAGATACGATCCACAGGTTGAATTAAATATCACATTATTGTAAAGATCTGAGCAACAGTGCCATACGTGCTCCTCAGCCAGTCAAGAATTAAGTCAAGGCCCGGGGAAGAGGGGCCCAGGGGGAAAATACCAAATCTAAAGCTGGGTGGCAGACATTGCTGGAGCAAAAACCTTGTAAAGCAACAATGTATATATACCTGATTAAGACAATTTTCAAGCTTCCAAGGACGGCACAATATACTGGGTAAGGACGGCTGGAAATGTTCTCATAAGCCAAAACAGCTTTGAGATAGTCAGGAGCCTTGCTTTTGGCTCCGTTTCATTCAATCTTTGCCGAACGTCTATGAATTCTGTTGCCATATGATGCGAACAATTGACAAACGCATTGCAAAGGTGAATTCGGCGTGCTCTTGAGACAGACAGAGAGATATGAAGAAAGACAAAGACAATTCACAAACCGCCACATCAAGGAAAATCATGACTCTATCGGAGTTGACAGGTCACCCACAGCATCCCTACGCACTTACAGGTAATGCCGCATTCATGCATGTGTGCACATCCGTGGACAACGATCAGGAACTCTAGACCAGGATGTCGTGAGAATACCAACAGGAAAGTAGACTCCGAATCACAGCGACTTTGACACGGATAGTTGGCGTGCAGCTCGCACCTCAGCCGTTGAGGCGCTGGGTGATCACCGGCGAATGTGTGAGACGGCTTCAAATGCAAGCATCACTAGGAAGCTCTTGTAAGCCCCGGGCTCGGGTGGTGTCATCATCAATAATACACGAAGCATTTACAGCAGTATGAGAACCTCTATTGTCTTATCGTGTATGGTGAGACGCAAGCCTACCCTTGATGTGATGCCAGGACATAAAACAGAAAGAAGTACACACGTGTGGGGGAAAGGACTTGGGAAGAACTTCTTGTAAATTACAACGGAGGGTCTAAAAGCCACCCAGACGACTCATCACTATGTAAACGCCAGGCATGCTCAGAAACCCAGACCGCGAGCCGAGGCTAGCCCCCTTGCAGCCGCATGGCAGCGACGGCAGGAGACCGCGGCCCCTCCACCAGATCTATCATCTCGCTCCTTTTTGTATTTGACCCAGACCAGTCATTTGCATCCAAAGGACGAACCACACCTAACTGTCGTCACCTATTACCCCTCCAACCGTCGCACGAGTGCTGCTTTTGTACAGTGGGAGAGAGTGAAGCGCTGTGAGCTTGAAGTGAAGCGCTTAGCCGGAACCACCCTTGAAGGCCTTTCCGAAGAGGAGGAGCTGGAGCTGATCGTAGATGGACAGCACACCAGCACCGGCGACACCACGGAGAATGTTGGCACCAGCACCCTTGAACAGGGACTTGACGCCCTCCTTGGCAACGATCTGGCGGAAAGCGTCGAGGGAGGAGGAGTACTTGACGGCCTCACCAGAGGTCATCATCATACGCCGACGGACGGTGTCGAGAGGGTAAGAGGCAATACCAGCACCGGTGGTGACAGTCCAACCGAGAAGGAACGAGGCAAGGAAGTTGTTGGCGAGGGTACCGGTGAGCAGGACAGGCTTCAGGGAGTCGTACATGCCGAAGTAGAGACCACGGTAGACGACAATACCAGCGACAGAGGGACCGAAACCACGGTACAGACCGGCAATACCGTCAGAGGCGAGGGTCTTGCGGTAGACGTCAACGAGACCGTTGAACTGACGCTCACCACCCTTCTTGGCGGACTTGGCGTCGTTGGCCAGACGGGTACGGGCGTAGTCAAGGGAGTAGACGAAGAGCAGGGAAGTGGCACCAGCGGCCTGGTAAAGTTGTCAGTAAATAGGTCCGAACACAGTGGTTAAGAGCATGGAAACTTACACCACCGGAGGCCAGGTTACCAGCCATCCACTTCGCGTAACCATCCTTCTCCTTCTTGTAGTTGAACATCTTCTTGAACTTGTCGCGGAAAGCGAAGTTCAGGGCCTGGGTGGGGAAGTAACGGATGACGTTGGCAGTGTTGCCACGCCACAGGGACATGACACCCTCATCGGCAGCGGTACGACGGAAGCAGTCGGCAATGCCGTTGTACTTGCGGTCCAGACGACCCTGCTTCAACATCTCATCCTGTGAGGCAAGTGGGTCAGCAACAGATCGATCCAGCGGCAGACTTCACCGAGTCGTAATCCGCAGGTGACAGCAGGCGCGAGCTTGATGGTACGGGCAACACTGTGATGCTGCCGTGACGAGTCAAGCACACATCCGGAGTCTCAAGTCGGATGACAGACACGATGACACAATTGGAGTCTAGATCACTAGAGGTCAGAGAGCACACATACCTGGTTCTGGATGAGAAGCTTGATACGCTCAATGGGAGCGGCGGCGGTCTTGGAGACGGCGGCAGAGACACCACCCACTGGAGGCAGCTGTTAGCTTCTATGCTCTTTGAGTCGATCTAAAGCAGTCGGTTGCCCGAGCTACGGAAGCCAGTCTGGCAAGTTTTCACCGTGACGGGGGCAGATATCAACAAGGCTTGCGCCGTGATGATCTGGGCCGCTGTCGAGGGCAAAGGGTGGCCATCAAGACTGTCGAGGATACGTACTCAAGAAGTCCGCCAAGAAAGGCTGTTGCGATGATTGCGGTTAGCTATTGAGCTTTGTCTGTTTCGGGGCTTTCACATGGCAGGAGGGCAGAGTTTTTCGAGGAGCGCGATAAGCCACCAGCAGTGCCAAAGGACACGATCGAAGCACATGGCCATCTCAAGGAGATCAAGGAGATTGTCCCCGATCAATTGGCACTGCTGGCGAGGATCGTGTCGATGGCGCTGGGTGTTGCGAAGCTCGCGATGTGGTTGCCTCGGCTGTTGGCGCGAGGGAATTTTTTTTGGGGATGGGCTCTGGATGGGTGAATGGGATAGGCATTGAGTACTCACGGGCATGCCCAAGACCTTGACATTGTCGTTGGGCGACATTTTGAATGTCTGACTGATCAAAGATGCTAGAGGTCTTTGATGAATGGAGTGGAGATGGATAGAAGAAAGAAAAGGGAAGGAAAGGAAAGATGGAATTCCTGTAGCTGGGCAGGAAGGGAGATGTAGACGGTCGGAGATGGGTCGCTGGCAGCTGCGAGAAAATAAATCCAGTCCAGGCCAGCTCAGTCCTTACTAGCCCCCCAGTCCCCCTTCCACCTCTGGGGTGCCCTCTGGCGCTCTGGCCTGTGCAGCCGCCGGCTGGGGCGAGCTGGGGGCTGCTGAAAATTTGAAAGTGGGTCCCGAGACTTCCCGGCTAGCCGCAAGCAACAGTCCCCCATGTGGCCCGTGCCCCCTCATCCTGCGGGTTATCCTGCCCACGCTGCCGTATCTTGCGGCATCTTGCGGTGTCTTGGTTGGACCTGTCCTTTTCGTCCTCGTCGCTATAATTGGGATGCCCTGAAACCTGGCCACCCTAAGAACTCCGTGCTGGTGATGCTCGTGCTGCGCCTGGTGCGGCTGTTGCAGGCACAGGACACGGTCATCTGTTATGTACTGTAGATTATCTACCTATCTAACTACCTAGCACTACTATCTTGAGGTAATTTCAGTGCTGCCAGACTGCTGCTGGTTGCAGTGGTGATGGTGGTGGTGGCAGCCACTCAGTCAGATTTGAAGAGCCGTGAGATTATCGTGACAGCCAATCACACCTACCCAGTTGTGTGCAATGTTCTGCTGTCCCCTGGTGAACTGGAGCCCCAGACTTGTCCTAGCCTTGCTTTGTTGCGGGATGGCGGGATGGCTGGACGGATGGGCAGTGGATGAAAGGAGCCCTTCCAAGGTTCAGAACAAGAAAAAAAAAACCACAGCTCGGCAGCCCACTCCACTGTTTATGTCATTTGCCCCCAATGTGCCATCTATCTAGGTCTATCTCGCATATCTTAGATCTTGGGGGGCACTCGACAAAACATCACGAGATCTTTGCAGCTGTCAGACGGGACAACTTGGGGTAACATGCAAGCCTCGAGTTCCAACATCCACCCTTCCCCCGGGACACCCTCGGAATCTTTTTCCCGGTCGGCGGGCTCCAGTGCTGATTTTAGGGTCGCCTTGCCCGAGCACGCAAGCTGGGGAAAACGTGAAAACCCCGAGTAATTGTGCCCATCCCATCCTGCCAGCGAGGCCAGGCCGCGTGCTACTGATGTTTGATATTCAGCATCCTTTCCTGAACAAGCTCCTTGACCGACTCAGCATGCATTTTTGATTCACGTACAGCATGCTCAATGCTTGTGGCCACCACTGCTGTAATTGTTGACCCATCCAGATGCCCAGTCTTTGCGTATCTTTCCGGGTCTTCTACACTCGATACAATGCTTCTTGCTTTGTTCTAGCCCGTAGCCGGGGCTGGGCCAGGCCATGTGCTGGAGAGAATTCTGATGGTCGGTCCGGATCCGACAAGGGGATCGGCACGCACACCAATGAATGGAGCCACACAAGCTGCAACAACCAGCCAGGCCATGCCAACCACAGGCTGTGCTGGTCTAAGCAATGTTTCATTCCGTCACGAGATCATTGCAAGTAAATTGTTGCAGAGACAACGACTGCCAGGTAATTCCATCGCCTAGACTACACAGTAAAACCTTTTGTAGTGTAAAGACTTGAGTGCCATCAAACAACAACTGCCGTTCAACAGTCTATCCGGACGAGGAAGAGAGCCTTACCTGAAGATATTGCCATCGCGTCAAGCCACAGATTGGTACTCCATTGTGGCAAAGGAGTTCTAGACGGTGACAGTCTCAGCAAGTCTATCGGGTTGTCTGCGTGCGAGTTTCTCTCGGTCACAGTAAGGGGCACCTGCCTTGTGGTCGTACGGACGAGACTCTTGGAGACCAAGATTGTTGGTTTGTCTCCTATAGATTGGCCTCATAGAGTTGGGCGAATGCAGCAACTTCTCAACCATCTCTACAGGTACATAGACATACAAATGGGTGATCACAAAGATGATTAAGGCAATAGGCATGGCCTGAGCAGGCTCCCACAGCACTCAAAATTGCTGAACAATCGAACATATCACTAGGTCACTTTCAAACTTTTGCTCTTGCTTGTGTGCTTCAATGCTGTTCCATTGTTTTGTTTTTAGGGTTCAGAGCACTTCCAACCCGTTGCATGCTACACCTAGCATAAGTGTAGGGTATCCCTCCGGACCGGGCAGCAGAAAAAGATGACGCCGCAAAAAAAGACGAGGTCTTGCGCCGTTGCATCATCTCCTCTTCCAGCAGCCGGCCCAAATTTTGACAAACCGAAAGACCCGAAAATAAACTCCCAGCCTGCCACAATTTGACGTTCCTGCTTGTTGTGTTCCCTGCCCTTCGATAGACGCCATCATACGTTGTCATGCGTGGAGGACATCGTCCGCGAGAAATCTGGTTCCGCACCGACGTCATGGAAACGGGGACTCTACAAGAGAGCTTGGTCGTGTTGAGAGGTTTACTCGGCAGCACCGACGGCACGGGCTAGGCGAGAGTGTTAGCAAAATGATCTTATGTCAAGTCAAGTCAAGTCAAGTCATGTCATGACTGGACCGTGATCGGGCGTAGAGAACATACTGTAGATCTTCATCTTGCTGTGCGTGACGATGGGCTTGATCTGTCCCTTCTCCTCGAGGTCCTTGAGACACTGGCGGGCCAGGGAGCCGTTAATCTTGAGCCTGTCGACAAGGGTGGCGACGGTGACGAGACGGTAGGACTGGACGTCCTTGTACAGCTTGTCGGAAGTGGCCTTGTCGAGGATGACGGCGTGCTGGGCCTTGTCCTTGACTGCAGGCGGTTGTTAGCGGTTGATGCAACGCTGGAGAGCAGGCCCCATCGTGATGCAGTTGGTCTCAGAGGCGCAAGTGACGCACGACCGAAGCGTCGAGCGCTGTGGCCGTGTCGCTGTCGCGGTGGTGCGTCGAGATGCCCACCTCCAAAACCAGTGCATCCGAGGCGGACCAAAGATGGGGATGGCGATGAGCATGAATGTTCACGTACCCTTTCCCTTGGACCACTTCTTCTTCTGCTTCTTCGCGCCGGCAGCGGGGGCCATCTTGACTGATTTGCTGGGGGTGAGATGGGTTGTAGATGGATGGTCGGTCGATTGTTGGAAGAGGCTGGAAGAAGGTGGGAGGTCGTGAGAAAAAAGGTCGCTTGCCAAATCCCTACCAGTGTAGTGCACCACACACAGCTTCTGATCAGGCCAAAACCCAGACAGCACCACACTACTGGGCAGACGGCCCAGCCCAGGGACACTGGCTCTCAGCGGTTTTTTGGAGTGGACGACTGCGCCACACAGAACCAGGCGTCTGAAGCCCTAACTCCAAAATAAGTGGGCTCACTGAGGCACTTCTGGCCAATGAGACAGAGATGTGGCGCTACCACCAAATTTTGGGTGAGGAGTGTAGCCACAATTTGCCCACCAGCGAGTCAACTGTGAGTGAAGAGAGAGAGTGTGTGTGCTCTAGCAGCCAGCTGCAGCAGCAGCAGCGCTCGGAAGCTAAGCACCCACCGCCCGCCCAGAGACCACCACCACTGCGCAGAGCCAGACGAAAAAAAGATCTTGATCTTCGCCCATCCTCGACAACCACCCAACCCACCCGCTCTCCCCAACAGCCAACGAAGGATCTCTTCCTTTTTCGACGACACCTAACCCGCCAGTCTCGTCGATTCGATTCAGCAACTTGTGCCCAGCATGTCTGACAACGGAGAGATCGAGGTCGAGGCCGTCTCTGGCTACCAGGTCCTGCCCAAGGACGTCGTCCAGGAGATTGGCAGTGTCAAGCTGTTCAACAAGTGGTCCTACGAGGACGTCGAGATCCGCGACATCTCCCTGACGTAAGACAACACCAGACAACACACGAATTTTTTATTTTGCGTGCCAGCCTCTGTCGACCATGTGCCATGCCGTCTTGATGTACACGAGAGATGCCCACCCGGCGGGAGAGGAGGAAAGTCGGCCTGCATGTGTGCTGCGCCCACAACCGGGACACATAAAATGAGGGAGACCAGACACGACTCCAGCACCACGAGCCAGGCATCTCGAGTGGACATCAAGACGGGGCAATTTGGATTGATTGGGCTTTCATCACTGCGCGAGGAAAAACAAAAGATGCTAACATGACGCCTCCTGTCCTGCAGCGACTACATCCAGATCCGCAACCCCGTCTACCTGCCTCACTCCGCCGGCCGATATGCCGTCAAGCGGTTCCGCAAGGCCAACTGCCCCATCATTGAGCGTCTCACCAACTCTCTGATGCAGCACGGCCGCAACAACGGCAAGAAGCTGATGGCCGTCCGCATCGTCGCCCACGCCTTTGAGATCGTAAGTCCAATCAACTCGCAGATTCAGACCCGAGACGAGACACCACAAGTGATCACGACGCCGTCACCCCGTCAAGGGCAGATACAGCCTATGAACAGCCTGCTAACATACACGCCCCCCCTCTCACAGATCCACCTCATGACCGACCAGAACCCCATCCAGGTCGCCGTCGACGCCATTGTCAACTGCGGTCCCCGTGAGGACTCCACCCGTATTGGTTCCGCCGGTACCGTCCGTCGCCAGGCCGTCGATGTGTCGCCCCTCCGCCGTGTCAACCAGGCCATCTCCCTGCTGACCACCGGCGCCCGCGAGGCCTCCTTCCGCAACGTCAAGTCCATTGCCGAGTGCCTGGCTGAGGAGCTGATCAACGCCGCCAAGGGCAGCAGCAACTCTTACGCCATCAAGAAGAAGGACGAGCTCGAGCGTGTCGCCAAGTCCAACCGGTAAATCAAATGCCGCCAATCAAAAATCCGATCAAGGCTTTATACCCCGGTTCCCCATGCGGCGGAGTTTTGGGTTCGTTCATCATCAGGTTGGTTCGTTGGTTTCGGCTGGCCTCTCTTTTTTGTGTGGTTGTGCGTGCGTGGATGGATGAACGGAACGGCTGGACGGGGATCGTGCAGTTGCAAAAGGGGCAAAAGCATGCAAGCTAGCTGCCGTTGACAGCCCAACGTGGTCCCTGTAGTTTCCATGGTTCACGGTCACGGACAGAAGCAACACACAAGAAACAATGGAAATTTTCTCGGTTGGGTCCCTTCAAAAGGTGAACAAATTGGGAACACTAGGAGAGTGATTATGATGAGATCCAAAACCACGCACACCCATCTCGAGTCCTGTGTCTTTGCTCTTTTCTGTACCGGTTGCATTTATACGGTTCAAGGGTCCATCCATGGCCAGTTTCATCGCTGTCTGTCGTAAGGACAGAAACGGGAATTCACATCCATTCCAAAAGTCAAATGCTCACTCCCCGTGCTGCCATCAGACACCTGCGTGATACTCGTGTACTATGGCAATCCATACTACCGTTCAACAACTATCATGGTAGAATAACGCTCCTCGAAAGACCTGTCAGACTGTATCTGGGACAGGAGCCCATGTGCAGTCCGCGGAGTGCTCCGGCACCGCCCATTCCCGAGAGTCCGAAGAGGTCGAATACTCCGAAGAACTCGGAGTATGCCGGCCGCGCAAGTACTGCGGCGGGGGCTTCCTGACAACCCACACCGGGCGCTCCTTTCCGCTGACGATGGCGTCGGTGATGTTGAAGGCCTTCCTCTGGGCCTCGGAGAGGCTGGCAAAGTCGCGCCTGAGGTTCCTGCGCGACATGACGCCGCTGAAGGGCCGGTACATGCCGATCTTGCCGTTGCTCCACGGGTCGTCCGTGTCCCACGGCTCGACCTTCCTGTCGACCTTGAAGCCCGGGGCGCCGAGCCACCAGAGCTTGCGCCGCCGGTCCGCGTGCAGGTACAGGAGCCCCGACCACCGCAGCGCGTCGGGCATCACCTTGACGAACTTGTCCTTCCACTCGGCCCGTAGCGCCGCCACGCTGGCTGGGTGCCGGGCCCGGGCCTTTTGCAGGACCCCTCGCGACAGAGGGATCACCCGCCCGAAGATGTCGTGGAAGAACTCGGTGGGAAGGTAGCCGCGGAGTGCCCTGATGATGGCGTCGACAAGCTTGTTCTCAATCCAGTTCCTGGCACGGTAGGGGGCGAGGACCATTGGCTCGGACATGAGGAGGTAGTTGGCGCGCGCACGCATCCCGATGAAGGGAGGTGTGCTGGTTTTGTCGACTGGCTGTCTCTGGAAGCATGCTATGTGGTCAGCAAGTGTCGCTGGTGTGCCCGGTTAAGTAGCAGAGAAAAGACTATTGACCTACCATCCCGATCACCGGCCGTACCTGAACCGTGGCGATGGGAATTCTTTTCAAGATCTTCATGCCCGGCCCCCCACCGTCCCCAAACAAGGTGCTCTCGCCATCGACGTAGTCCGTGATGTAAACCACCCAGTGGAGGCTGACCGAGTCCTCCCAGAGCTCAGACGCGATGTCCTCCAGGTCGCTGCCGCGCTCGCGGACGAGCACCTCGCGCCGGACCTTCATGACGTCGCGGTAGAGCTGCGGGATGCCGGGCCGCTGCTCGTCGGGTGGTACGGTGGGGTCGTAGCGCATGATGGCATGGCCGGGAGGGAGTATGAGCTTGATGCACGGCGGCGCGCACGCGTACACCATGCTCGTTCCAAATTGCTGCGGTGTCGTGAATACCCAATTTCTGAGGCCGATTGGTACGACTGGCCGTACCCCAATCTCTTCGTAGAACGTGTACGTCTGCTCTCGCTCTGGTTCCTCGACGTCCGGGTTGTCCTTCTCCCATTGGTCTGCAATCGCCTTTATCTCGTCGAGCTCCTCCTGTGGCCGGAACTCCACTGGTCTGTGTGGTGCCGGGTCTGGTTCTTTGTAAGGGGCAGGCTCATACACTGAGACATAGCGATCGAGTTCGTGACTGGGAATGTCGTATGCAGTTTTCGTAGATGGAGGCGCTGTGTCCATATTGACAATCCCGTTGTTGCTAATGCAAGTATTGGTGATGTTAACGGTTAACAGAAGTGTAACGATAACAACATTTCGGCATGTACTCAAGTTCAGTGAGAGGAAATGGATGAGACACGGGTGCTGTCGTAACATAGAATGAACAAAAACATCGATCTTCCCTTCAGACTTACTGTTGCTTGATTCTGAGTTCTTTCAGTCGTCGCTCCTTCTCGGATGTGCAGATATTGTACGGAGGGCAAGAAAATCCCAACTAGATATATAATGTAATATCATAATTGCTTGTGTAGATGAACATATATTGATATATGAACAAACTAAATATCGCAGAAAGATATAGCTATCATTTCATCTCATCAAATGTATTTGTGTGGATTTCGTATGGTGCCAATCTGCAATTGTGTTCTTTGTAATATGGAATTCGGGAGGGAAATCTTCAAAACCAGTGTTCCGGTTCTCTTGAAAGATGAGAATCAAGTCGAAGTCCTTGCCTTATATTTTTTGTTGTGATAAAATACAAATTCACTACCTAGGTGTGGAGTCCACCGGGAATCCTTTTGTTTTTGCCCTCTCATTTCGGGATAGTCCATTCCATATTCAAGACCATTCAACAATATGTTGCAGCAACAACTCCATGGTCGCTCCCTCTCTATCTGGAAAGTCCTTTTATCATCCAACCACACCTATTTTCTCCCTTACATCAGACCACCACTCAGCAACATACTCTGGCCAGTCAGGTATCCCGTCCGACAGCACATAGTCACCATATTAGCCACCTCCTGCGGGCTGCCCAGCCGGCCCACGGGGATATTCTTGGGATCACCAGGCGTGCCCTGCACAGTCTTCTCATCAGGAATCAAACCAGTGTCCCCGATCATTGCAGGCGCGACGTCATTGACCGTGATCCCAAGCCCAGCAAGCTTCCTGCTGAGGTTGCGCATCATGCCCTGCAGGCCAGCTTTGGACGCGGCATAATGGCAGCCATTGATCCCCCCACCAAACGCCGCCAAGCTGCCGATGAAGACGATGCGGCCCCATTGATTCGCCTTCATGTGAGGCACGGCCAGCTTCGTCAGGATGAAGGACGCGCGCAGGTTGACGGCGAGCGTGTGGTCGAACTCGTCGATGGGGATGTCCAGGATGTCCGGGATCCGCTTGCCGTACCCGGCGTTGGAGACGAGGATGTCCGGCCCGTCCTGGCCGTGCTGCGCCTTGATCTCGGCGAACAGCCGCTGGATGTCGTCCGCGCTCGCCATGTCCGCCTGGTGCGACGTCACCTTGGCCCCGGCCCACTGCGGCTGCTTCTGCAGCTCCGAGATGAGCGTGTCGATGGCCGCCTTGTTGCTGGAGTATGTCAGGGCCAGGTTCGCACCGCTGGCGAAGAGGTCCTTGGCGCAGGCGCCGCCGATGCTGTGGGTGAGAATGTCAGTGAGAGACGCTGGAGGAAATGGGCTGGGTGGCTTAGAACTGACCCTCCTGATGCGCCTGTGACCAGGGCCAGGCGCCCCTTGATCTCGTTGTCTACTCCAGGCATATTGGTTCTTGTGCTGGGTGAATCTGTAGGATATCTCAAATCGGGATCTCAAAAAAATTCTGACAGGTCTGAATCAGACTCATGAAGGCCTCGTAGTTGCTGTCTTCAACCCCGCAAGCCTGTGTGTGGGGGCCCCGTTCCCCGGCGCGATAGCGGAAAGCCGGGGAAGAGTGTTCGGCTGCGGATCGTGAGCCGGCCCGGCTGGTACTGACTGGTTAAATTTCATGTCCAGCCACATTGTTGACTACATTGCTAAATTTGTTTCTGTCTATTTCCTCGTGGATAAATCGCTTTCTTGCTGTCAGCTTTCTAAGTCTGAGGGATGAGTCTCATCACAAGCCAACGTTACACACCTGTACACAACAAACAGTCAAATTGAAGGTGGCAGGCAATGCTTTCCCCCATGGATTCTCCTCAAAATTCATATCGTAATTATTTCAAATATCTAGTTTTACACATCATCATCATGAATGTGTGGTCGCTATTCCCATGGAGTCACTCTCAGATTTTCCATCCCTTCATTTGTTCCATTATTTCCACTGTCCCATCGATCATCAAACTCGCCCTGACCAAAGCAAACGCTCATTGCATACGCACCCAATAAACCGTTATCCCATTGCAAATTGACCTTTCCAATTTCCAAGAGTGTTTTCGTTTCAAGGATGCACCTTAGAGCTGAAGTACACCAAACATCACAGACGAAAGCAGCAGCCCACTTATAGTCAAGCCCGCCGCACCAAAGCCCTTCACCGGTGCAACGCCCCTCGCAGCACTCGAGCTCGAGTCGCCAGTTGACGAGCTGGATGCGCTATCCCCGGTCTTGCTGGCGCTGCCACCGCCTGCACTGGCAACTACACTCGCGCCCGTCGACAAGGGGCCACCATTATCCGTCGCAGTCGCCGTGTCGTTGCCCGTGCCCCTGCAGAACGCGTCCGCCCACCCGATGCCGTCGCCGTACAGGCAGTCCGTGAGATCGTCGACGGTCTGGTCGACTGCCAGGCAGTAGAGCCCGCAGTTGTCATTGTAGCTGACCACATCGGCTGACTTGCAGCATTTGCTCATGACGTCGGTGTGGTTGCCGCCATAGGTCACCGCGCATGCAGTGTCGTTCACCGGGATCACATAGAGTGAGACGCTGCCGCACGTGCTGGTAGCGCCCGCCGTGCCGGTGGTAGTGGGTGTGACTGTGCTGCTTGCGGTCGATGTCATTTTGTTGACTCTCTTGTGTATGTACCGAGCTGTTCAATTGGTGTTTGTAAAAGTGGTGTGATGTGGGCTCTGACGGTAGAGGCGGTCTGTGTGAAGGCTCCTTCACAATGCAAGCAGGCCAACCAAATAGTTGTTGATGCAATAACGGCTGATGAGGAGTCGTTCAAGAAATCTGATCTTCTGAATTGTATGGGGGTTTCCTTCGAGTATTTGGATTTTAAGGGTGGTCATCCTTAAGTCTACAGTCCGTTTGATATATATCAACACCCCTGCTTACAGTGCGTTGGTTGGCCCGGACACCAACTCATCCTGGGCCGCAACCCTCGTATTCAATTTTAGCGATGACGTTGGGGGAGCTCCACCCACTGGAAGAGCTCACCACAGCTGTCAATGCAGGCTGCTGGCGGCCAGTTGCTGCACCAACAATGCCACGTCTCGGCAGCTCGGAACTGGTCTTCATTACGCCTGTGAAAGCCGTGTGACTTCAGCGATTGGACCTGAAGGCTTTGCGGCTGGAGAGTTGTCAGACTCTTGTCTCTTTGCGCAGCAGAGTCGTGTTCCAGCCAGGAGCTTGAGCGTCGGCTGAGGCCCGGTGGTTCATTGGGTCCCTCCTTGGAGACCCTGGCTCCTCACGCGTCTGGAGCCTGGGCCAGCAACGAAATATGACCGCGACGGGGACGACTCCGCCACGCTCATACGGAGCTCGAGAACTTGGCAAGTGAGCCTTGGTGCATCGGTGTCGCCCGACTGCTTTTGAAAACCCACAACCGATGGCAGAACTTGGCCGCTGCCTTTTTTAGTACATGACATTCTGGTGGTATGGCGTTGAATCGCTGCTGTTCCCCGCGGCCTGTCATCTGCCCCTTTTGCTCTTTTCTTTGGGTTCTTCGACAAGCTGCTTTCTCGGCCACTCAGCCGCAATATCGATATCACCCCTTGGTGCCACCCACTCGAGAAAAAGAAAGAAGAGGTAGTCGATGATCACGCATAGGCAGAATAATTTGCCTGCCCATATGCCACACCCGTAGTACCTCTTTAGGCGGTCGATGAGAGCAAAGTCTCGCTGGATGCCGCCTCTCGTGGCGCCCACGCTGGCTGCGTTGTAGAAGTCCGCCTCACTGATGTCCCCTGAAATCCCGTTGTATACCCTCTCGGTGCGCTTAGCAATGTCGGTCCAGGAGTACATCTTCTTAATTTCGCCATGGAACCTCTCCGTGCGAATCTTGTTTGCCCGGATGTCGGCGATGGCTTTGACGGTGGCAGCTACGATGTCGTCCTCTTCCGGCTTGGCGAACTGGGTCATGTAGCCAGGCAATACCTCTGGGATGCCGCCGACCTGTGTACAAACCACATACAGCCCACAACTCGCGGCCTCGACGATGACTGTCCCGAAAGCTTCAGTCAACGACGGGTGCAGGTAGATATGCCCGCGAACCATGACATCGCGGACTTCCTCGTGCCGCACGCTGCCTAGCATTTCGACACGATCCTGGAGGACGTTCTGCTCAATCATCTGCTCGAGATCGATGGCCTTTGGGCCAGAGCCAGCGATGATGAAACGTGTGTTCGGCTGATGATCCAGGATACGTGGGATGGCCGCTACAAGAAGATCTATGCCCTTGTTGTAGAAGAGGCGGGAGATAACAACGATGGTGACAGTGTCGTGGGGACCAAGACGATGGGCCGGGACAGGGTAGTCGTTGCCATAAGTGCTGTTGGCGGAGGCGTTCACCGAACCCTCGACTGAATGATCCAGCGGTCTAAAGTTGTCAGCCACGACCGCGTTAGGAATCACGGACACCATCAGAGGGTCGAGTGAGGCACGAAGCACGGTGTTCTCTTTGCTGTGTGGATTGTCAGCTTAGCCACAAATCACCTTGAGAACGAGGATCTGGGCGCACCTGGTGTTGCTGACACAGATGACATGGTCGACATCACTCAGGGTGAATTTGAGCAACTTGTTGGTGAGGATGCTGGCGGCGTCGGCGAAGCCAAATAACGAGTGGTCTGTGAAGATTGTCCTGATGCCCATGGTCCGAGCGTGCAGCGTTGCCTCCCAGCAGAGGTTGCTGAGAGAGGCATGGCCGTGGACGATGTTGATCTGCTCCCGGATGATGATATTCCGGAAGATGGGAAAGAAGGAGAAGACGGTGGGAAAGCTTGCGGAGCGGTAGATGACGAAGAAGGGCACGTAGTAGACCTTGAGCCCGTTGGTGAGGTAGCGGACACCTTTTCGATCATCGTATGCGTGGGTTATGATCACAACCTTGTGGCCCCTGTCGATGAGCCTCTGGGACAGCTGGTAGATGTGGCTTTCGACTCCACCTGGCTGTGGGAAGAAGAAGTCGCTGACCATGGCGATGTTGTATGTTGGCTTCGACATCTTGACGGCGCTGGCCCACCGGGCACTTCACTCACTCGACGGCGATGCTCTTAGGGATATGGGTCATATCAAGCCAGCCATTGCATTCTCACGGTAAGCCAATGCTCAGAGGAACGAGCATTGGCGCGTCTGAATGTAGACAGGTGGTGGTGATGATTTGCTGGGAAATGAGATGAACTCGACCGTTGTGACAGCTTCCCCTGTACGGCTAGAGGGCAGGTGGCAGGGATTCAATTGTTAGTGCAATACTTGACCAGCAAGAGCCACGGCTTCTTATTGACTGGCGTTCTGAGGCAGAGCTTGCTTTTCTGCTTGGTTACATCTCGTGTATCGTGCAAAGTAAGCAAATAGACGTCTATGAGATAGTTCACTGGAAATCAGCGCAAAGGAAAACCTGGAGATGGACCACTCTTCGCCCTATAAGTCGAGGTATTGTCACTAACATCTGCGAACCAGGGTTCTGGGTGTTGATCGCTGGGCTGTCCGATAAGCCGCGATAAGAGGGCAGAATTGAGCTCCGCCAAAAATAATTTCCAGGATGGGACAACTCGATTTGAGTTGCGCATGTCACGATACTTCTTACAAGGCTTCCTGTCGCCTCCATTGGCACTTTTGTGTTGAAGCATAGTCTCACAAGATGTATGCACGTTACATTCCACCGCCCAAGGCGTCCAAGCCCAAGCCAGAAGTCCCAACCTCCCCTGCGCCAGAGGCAGCCTCACCTGCCGTCTCTGCAGCGATCCCGTACTCCAGATATGTTCCTCCACCACGGAAACAGTCGAGTGCGACCACAACAACCGCCCCGACCGTCGAAAGATCTATCCCAACGTCAAGGACACACCTGAATGCTGCAGCCATCCCGCCTCCAGAAGCCCTGCCACCCAAGATTGTGTTCAACTACGACGACGACGACGAACCCTCGCCATCTAAGAAGCGGAAGATCGACAGTCCTGAGCCCGTCCCTGAGCCGGTCTCCGAGCCAGAGGAGGAGAAGAGGCCAAAGAAAGAAAAGAGGGAAAAGAAGAACAAGAAGAAGCACAATGACACAAAGGTCGAAGATGGAAGCGAGGAGGCCGAGCAAAAGCCTGACAAGAAGAAGAAAAAGAAGCAACGCGATGAGCAACCGTTCTCATTTGGCTTCGACGACAATGCTGTTCCCACTCAGGACGGTCATGACGACTTGCCTGTCGATGTGGAGCAAAAAGATACCAAATCCAAAGAGAAGAAGAAGAAGACGAACAGGGCCGAGGCCGACGACGAAACTCTTCCAACCCAAACTGTAGATGACAACAATCAGGCTGCAGAGAGTAAAAAGAAGAAGAAAAAGAGGAATGAAGATGAGGTCGCTGCAGGACACAAGGCTGTCCTGGAAAGGGCCTCCAGGGAGCTGAGGAAGGTCGCTGAGAAGCCCAAGACTGAGGATCTCTCAGAGGATGACGATGTGGAAGCGGTTGAGGCGCATGGTCTCGAGCCACTGCCCCAGCCAAAACCCGTGAAGCAAGACACACTCAAGCCGACCTACGAGACATTGCCACACTGGATAGCGAACCCAATACAAGTAGCATCCACTGCCACATCGCCTTTCACCGACCTGGGAATCGCCGAAGACGCTGCCACAAGGCTCGAATCAAAAGGTTTCAAGGAAGCATTCGCGGTTCAGACGGCAGTCATACCACTCCTTCTTCCGTCAGCCGATCGTCAAGGGGACGTGGTTGTATCAGCTGCGACAGGTTCCGGCAAGACCTTGGCCTACGCTCTCCCAATGGTGCGGGATATTAGCCAAAGTAGCAGCATTACCCGACTACGAGGCTTGATCGTTGTGCCGACCCGTGAGCTGGTCATGCAAGCAGAGGAGGTCTGCAATGCTTGCTCTGGCGTCTTTGCCGGCCGGGGAAAGAAACCTGTCAGAGTCGGCATCTCCATGGGCAACAAGCAGTTCGAGCAGGAGCAGGCCGACCTGGTTGAGGAGGAAGAACGGTATGATCCTGAGGGTTACCAGAAGTATTTGGACAGGAAGTTCGACGACAACTCTTGGCTCGAGGATCTGACCAACCCGAGCGGACCGGCTCATGAGCCTCTTCCTTATCATGTCATCGACTACGTCTCGAAAGTCGACATCCTTATATGTACACCCGGCCGTTTGGTCGACCACATTAAGCGCACACCAGGCTTCACACTCGACTACGTACGCTGGCTCGTCGTCGATGAAGCCGACAAGCTTCTCGCGCAAACGTTTCAGGATTGGATTCCCACCGTGATGCCCCTACTCAGCACGATAGACAAGCCCGGGGCCAGAGAATTCCCTGACTCGAACAAGAGCGGCGTTCGCAAGGTGGTACTCAGTGCGACGATGACCAGGGACTTGACGCTGCTCAACGGGTTGAAGCTGTCTCGGCCAAAACTTGTTGCTCTGAGCGACGCTGCTGCTCGTAGTGAAGCGGAGCACGTCTTGCCTCCGCAACTCGAAGAAACTGCCGTCAAGACCCGGAATCTCGATCTGAAGCCGCTGTATCTGGTTGATCTGCTCAATAGCGAGCATATTCTTCCTGTGAAACCTAGTGAAGCCGATGATCTTGAGATGCAGGAAGCTGAGGGAGAATCTACGTCTCCCGCCGAAACGGAGTCGGATGCCTCAAACTCGGAATCAGACTCTGACTCCACCAGCAGCGATGAATCGGATAGCGACTCTGAGGATTCAGAAGCCGAGTCCACTGCCTCTCCTTCCAAGGGGCGTGTCGCATCTTCGAGGGCTCCTCCCAAGCCCTTTAACACTACCGTGCTGATATTCGCCAACTCCAACGAATCTGCAATTCGTCTCGCGCGCCTACTCTCCCTTCTCTCCCCCCATTTATCTCCACTCATCGGCACTCTGACCTCAACGACACGCACCTCAGAGCGCAGCAAGACCCTCCGCGCCTTCGCGGCCCGCAAGCTCCGCATCCTCGTCGCGTCCAGCCTCATCGAGCGCGGTATCGACCTGACCAACCTGGACCACGTTATCAGCTACGACATGCCCAAGTCGGTGCAATCCTACGTGCATCGCGTGGGACGGACGGCCCGCGCGGGCAGGCAGGGTCATGCGTGGACGTTCTTCAGCAAGACCGAGGCCGGCTGGTTCTGGACGGCCATCGCTGGCAAGGGCGAGAGCAAAGCTGGAACTGCACAGGGAGAAATTCGCAGGAGTAAGGGGGTCGGAGAGGTTAGGATTAGCGATAGATGGGATGAAGCCCGGCTGGAGGAGTTTAATGCGGCGTTGGAGAGGTTGAGCGAGCTGCGCAGGTCGTCTAAGAAGAAGGTGGTTAAAGCCTAGGCGAGTTGTTACTCAATTTTGCTTGTTTTCTCTTATCATTAGACGGCAAGAGGTGGCCTGCGTAGTTTTGGCCTTGAGCGAGGCCATATCATGTCATCCCTTGCCGCGTTATGCAAGCAGCGGCTACAGTTGAGCTTGGGCGACCTTCATGGAAGAAAAGCTCCATCATAGGATCATATGCAGATTAATCCCTGTGGAATAGAAGGGTTTACCACATCAAAGACTTCAGGAAGAGTTACAAAATGTGCAGATATGATATTTCGTTTACCGGGACCTGAAATTGACGTTGAAAAGCAATAATGCCATCATTTCCTAACAGAAAGTATGTTAATCCATACGAAATAATGGAATCTGGCAGAGCTTGGCCGGAAGAGTTCTTATTATCGATGTCAACGGTTCACAGCTTACACTTATCAAGATAGGGCCTGATTCAACCGAGTGAACCATAAAGAGATGATTTGATGATATGGATGGCTATGATCGTGAAGCAACTCGACCATCAATTTGGTGACAGACATGATGGGGACAACGGAGGAGCTTTGAGGAAAGATTGTGAATAATGTCTCTGATTGATCATGTAGCTCAATGCTCGGATATAATAGTCACAACTTACAAGATGTCAGCGGTGAAACGCAAAGAACAAGTGCCTATATTGTTTAGACGTCGTCAAATTGGTCAAGTGAGGCTCACAGGTGACTCTATGAATGTCAGGCGGTGACGATTTCTGCCGTCACACCTTAGCGCGGCCTAGCAGGTGGGACCCCGCCTGAACGCAGATAAAAATCCATCGATTCGCTACAAAAATCCTCTGATCAACATAGCTCCAACACCAACTCCAAAACACACCTCATTTACTGCACGCAGCTGCAGCAGATTTCGCCACCGCAGGTCAGCTATATCCTCTGGCTTGACACTGCCCACCATGTAGCGCCACTTGCCTGCGTTGAACATGTTCCTTCATCATCGACGCTGAAAATGCGTCTCTTTCTCATCCGCCACGGCGAATCCGTCGACAACGTTGCTGGCCTCTAGTATGCTCCGCCTAGATCAATCCTTTACGCGTCTTCTTTTGAGATTGCTAACAGCCACCCTCCAGCGCAGGCTCTCGCGACTCCGCTCTGACGAACCATGGCGTCCTCCAGGCCCGCCGTCTCGGTGCACATCTGGCCGCTCGGTCCTCGGTCGTCGGTTTCGTGCAGCACATCTTTGTCTCGAACCTACAACGTGCCCTGAGGACTGCGGAAGCTGTCGCCGAGACACAGTCGGGCCTCGATCCTTCTGGCGAGTCTGTCAAAGTCGTACAATTGCCTGAGTTGAGGGAAAAGGATTTTGGCTCCGAGGAAGGAAGACGGTTTGGCTCGCGTGGGGCAGAGCCCTCGGCGAAGGCAGCTGGCTGGATTGAGCCTGAGAGCAAGGAGTCGATGAAGGCGAGAGTAGAGCGCTTCATCGACACACATCTCATCCCTACCATCCTCAAAGGTTTCCACAGCGATGTCAACCACTCCGTTGCCATCGTCGCGCATGGCATCATCCTCAACGTCCTCTTGAGGTGCTTGCTAGCACGTTTCGGCCCAGAAGAGCTGACCAAGCTCACAAGACCAAGCGACACTCCTGGGAAGATGGAATGGCTGGCTTCTTGGTCCAACACTGGTTACCTTGAAGCAGATCTGCGTTTGAGGATAAGTGCATCTTCGGCTGGCGCTGAACCGAGGCCTGCCATCACCACCGTGAACGGCCGCCCCATGCTGGGTGCAGTCGTGCCTCGTCAGGCCTCCAAAGAGAACGCTGTAGCTGCAGTGGACACCCGCCCAGCTGAAGCTCCCACCCTCGAGATCTTGATGACCGTCACTACGGTCAACTCGACCGAGCATCTCCAAGGCCTCAAAAAGACACGTGGTGGTATAGGCAGCGCGGCCTTCGACCAGAAGCAGAAGACTATGGACTCATTCTTCACTCGGCCAGCCAAGGCGTCACCGCCAGTCAAGGCCCCATCACCAGTGAAGGCACCTACACCGGTCAAGGATAATACGCCAGCTGAGCCTGCTCCTGCAGATGACCCCGCTCCGCCCGTTGAAGCTCCCCAGACAGTCAAGGGACCTCGTCCTCAACCTCAGGCTCGGGGTCAGCCTCAACTTCAACCTCCAGCCCAAGCCCAAGCTCAATCTCAAGCTCAGGTTCAAGCTCAACCAGGGAAGGCACCTCAGCCAGCCCAACCAACCCTGCCATCTCAGCCTCCCAAGGCAACTCAACCAAACCAGCCCGTCCGGCCTTCTCCGGCCGCTCAGACTGTTCAGGGTCCTCGCCCGGCTCGATCACCGAAGCCAGCCGCGTCTTCTCGGCAAACTCAGATCACACGCCCAGTCAAGGCACCTGAGTCGCCTAAACCCGCGGAGGAAATCAAATCTACTCCTCCAGCCGAGGCCCTTCAACCCGTGAAGGTGCTTCAGCCAACCGAGGCCACTCGTCCAGTGAAGGCCCCGCAACCTGTCAAGATCACTCGCGCCCCGACCGAAATCTCGGTCGTTTCTAAAGCTGTCGAACCTGTGAAGGCCAAGGAGCCAGGCAAAGCTTTTCGACCCAACAAGGTCAAACGCCCAGTCAAGAAGGCCAAGGTCCACAAGAAGGTCAGGTTTGCGTTGGACTTCGAGGATTGAGCTATTGGTTCGTCCCATCGCCAAGATACTTTGCCTCGAGACCAATGTATGTGGTCTCCGCCCAGGCCTGAGCTTTCATCTCAGCGCCTGGGCGTCTCCAGCTAAAATGGTACGTTGATTCTCACTCCATACCTCCCCTCATGTCTTTCTCGTTGCTATGATGAGAAAATCTAAGTTCACAGACCTGTTCTGAAATCCCAATGTTGATTCAACTTGTTCAACCGCTATCTGATCCGCAACACCCCAACCCATGTTCTTGCCACTCTCACTTGTCTTCGAGCTCTGAGCTAACAAGAATCCAGTAATCAACCTAGTCCCTGCGCTACCTCCCATACTACTACCTTCCCTCGAACCAAGCACAATGAGTACATTATGGCGTCGTATACGCTCTGAGCCACCAATCGTCACGAGAAGCCCCTCCCCCTTCATTCTTGAGGCTGCTACATAGGTAGGGAGATGAAGGTCCAGACGCGTTTTATTGTTTCAGAGGTTCAATTAGTATAAATGTGCTTCACAGCGTCTGCAATTGCAAAGCTCTTGGCCTTGGTACTATTTCACTTGCATCTTTTGCCATGTCTCGGGGCCTTCGCCGTGAGAATGAGGAACTCGGTGGGGCTGAAGGGATGGCTGACGAGAAATGCTGCCATTATGGCTTCGCCCCAGTCCGAAGCTCCTCACATCCGCGAGGAGGGTATTCTTTACTCCAGCGGATTGTAGAAATTGTCTGGTGCTGCTCAGCCCTATCATCCATGGTTATAAGCATAGCTCCATAGCGAATGAAATATTCAAGAACAGCGTCTGCATCATGTCAGTTCCCGTCAGCTTCTCGGCTCCTACCCGTCCGTCTGCATGTGAAAGTGACCAGCAAAGCCTGCCGGTAGATCTCCTCTCATCACCGACCCAGCTGCTGTTCGCTCGGAAAGCCAGTGGTAGTCCACTGCTATACGTAGCAACACCACGGCGTCACCAAAGGTGACAGGTAGGTCTCTTTTGGACCCTGCGGTCTGTCTACATCAACAAAGTGTTGGGAGACGCTCACAATTTCACTGTGCCCTCTGGAGACGTATAGACTTGCAGTCCTTGCGGTCAATCTGACTGGCTGGTCAGTAGGCGAAAGGCGGAGTGTCGTGCCATGGAGCAAAATCGTCACAAACTCCATCAGTCTCAGCATCGTCTATCTAATGTTGCCAAGGTTTCTGTTGCAGCACGTCCTCAAGTGAGGCTACTCATGCAGCTGCCCTACAAGATTGACTTCCCTCCCACTGATCATCCTCTTTGCGCTGATCAGGGTCCTGTCGGGATACAAAAGCATAAGGTGACCACTACATTGCTGGTCCTACCGCATACAAATCAAGGGAATTAACTCAAATCAAGGAAAGCGGCTATTAATGAAATAAGAAAAGACTGTCCCTTTACGCCTATACCTTTCCGTGAGGTGTTCGCCGCATAGGCTGTCTATCTATTCAGAGCGTCCAAAGAATCTCGACCCACCCCTGATTACTGGGTCGAGGCCCAAACTGGGCTCTCACAAGATCATTGCTCTCCTCCATCATTCGCTCCTCCAAGAAAGACAGGCCACTCTTCATCAACCTAGGCCGCAGTGGGCACGACAGACGTCTCAAAGGTCGTGACGGGGAGTTCAGTGAGGCCGCCCCTCGTCGCGCGAGGCGGAGTGTGGATGGAACGCGGCATCGAGGCGGTCGGCTCCTCGGTGTCCGTGCCCGTGCCCGTGCTGCTGGGACAGCTGGCCTCCGGGATATGAGGCCCGGCCTTCCAAGGGCAGGGGTCCGCCGGCGGCGTGAGGTGGGGCGGGCCGGGCTCGCGGGTGAGAGTGGGCGTCGGCTCCACGTGCAACGTCATGGTCACCATCACCTTGCTGCAGGTGACATGGTCGCAGCTCTTGTGGAAGGTGGTGAGGGTCGTGACGCTGGCGGACGAGGGTGACCTTGCGTCGTAGCTGTGCGATGATGACGTGGTGTTGACTTGGGTGCTCGTCTCCATGCAATCTGCTGTGGAGGAGACCGTGGATAGCTCGCTGCGGGTCTCGTTGGTGGGCACCGGAGGAAGGAAACCTGCGTTGGTCGACGTGGGCTCCACTGGCAGACTAATGTGCCTGGTTGAGTCGAAGGTGGTGACGGTGTGGGTGCTGGTCTCGGTGGTGGGGTCCGGCAGGGTGTAGGAGAGGAAGGGGGTGACGGTGATGGTTGTGGTGCTATCCGTGGGCGGGAAGACCTCAGACAGGCTGGTCTCTGTGGGAATCAGGTCTTGCGTGGTGGTCGTGAAGTCGGTGACGGTCACGGTGCTGGGCGCGGGTGAAGTGACTTGAGGGGGCGCGTCGTGGCTCGTTTCGTTTGCTGTGGCCGAGGAGGTGGACGAGCGGATGACGGTGAAAGTAGGGCCATCGTCCGACAGGGCAAAAGAAGTATCAACGGGAGGCCGATCCGCTGACATCTGGCGGGCTCCAATGGCCGAGCTCATGCCACCGATGGGAAGTATCTGGCGTGCGCCGATGGCCGAGGCTGGGTTGACGATCGGCAGCAGCTGTCGCTCATTGATGACGCCGCCACGCTCCGTGATGATGATGGGGTCGGTGGCGGTGGAGGGTTCAGTGACCTTGATAATCGGCATGACATTGATGTCCTTGGTGGCAGCAGGAGGATAAACCGTGACCGTGGTGATTGGCATTCCCTCATCCTTGCGCTCGACGGGGTTTGCTGCAGACGGAGGAGGGTGAGGGATGTCGAAGGTGTGGGTTGGGTCAACGATGACTGGGATCGTGTAGGTGCCTTGCCAAGGATGTCCAGGTTCATCAGTGGGGCGACGAGGAAGGGTGGAAGACTTGGGAGGAGCAATCGATTGGCCCTCAGACGGGAAACGGGAAATGGTTGCAGTCTGGCCGGCCGGGGCACCGACGACACCGTCCAGGACGGTGGTCGCAAGGGCCGCGACGGCGAGGAGGTTCTTGACGGATCTCATGGTGAGTAGAAAGGAGTGGGTGATTTATCAAGGAAGACTGTTGTTGGGGAAGCTTCTCTGTGTTGAGTTGCTTGAAGTATTGTCTGTCTGCCTTGATAGACCAAGGAAGGGTGAAGTGAGGGTGTGGGTGGAAGGGGGGAAAAGAGGAGGGGAGAGTTCTGGGGCTGGGGGCTGCTCTTTTATAATGGAGGGGACAGAAGTGGACTCAAGCGTCTTTGGGCGTGCTGAAGCAATTCACTTCATTGCAGTTAATTCACTGGATGAATTGCATAGGGGGAAGAACAGATGAAAACGAGTGACTCGCCTGGCTGCTTTCTGGCCTGCTCTCAGGAAACGTGTCTTACAGCTGAGAACACTTGACCAGACTGCCAAACGGGAGTGTAGCTATGAGCTTCAATCCATTCGTTTGTGCTGCTGAATATGTTTTACTCAAGAAGCTAGAATAATCTTCGACAGTTTTCTTGGGACTCGACCATTCAAATGTTGCCGTTCGGACGTAAATATTTCGGCACTTAGACGGCAAGGGCTGAATCACCAATTGCTTCAGTACAGGTACAATCGAGTCTTCATTACGTTCTCCAACGGGTGAAGCACAGCTCCGTGATGATTTGGCAGAATGTAGAGAGCGCCTCAGATTTAGAAAGCCTGGGACGTGCTGCAAACGGAGCGTTCACATAAATTTGGTCGCCGCCAAACGCTGCCGTTTGATAACCGATCAAATACAAGGTCGGAGAACGACGTCTCCTAGATATCTTGAGTATCCCTACGGCACCTCTTTGTCCTACTCATCCTCATCGAAGCCACCATCAGCTTCTTCTTCTTCTGAAGGCAGTACATTGGGGAACCATCCAAACTCCGCAAAGTCCACAGTAAGCTCTCCCAACGCCCCCGTTGATACTGTCACACCCTCGGCCCGCAGAGCAGTAGCTTGATTCTGTGTGCTTGAGGGCTGTGACCTGTCACCCGTAGTCAGTATCTGGCCCCCAGAGAGAATGTGAAATAGATTTGGAAGGCTCACCTGGGTGATATCATCCCCTTCGAATTGATCACTCTTTGCCACGGCACGTTGGTGTGGTTAAACCGCGCGCCTGTGTCCTGGGAGAGGTGCTTGAGGCAGACGCCGACCTGGCGGGGGCGTTGGGCTGTTGGGTCTCTTGTCAGCTGGATGCCCAGGATGCAAACGATTTCTATGAATCGAGAATGACTGTATTCGATATGTCTGGGGTGGACGCACGCGTGCCGACCAGTTTCGCGATGTGTCCGTAGCTCGTGACCTTGCCGTGCGGGATCTCCTGCACCGCCGTGTAGACGGCATGGAAGAATGCTGCTGCTTCGTCTGAGCGAGGCATTTCTCTCCGTCGTTTGTTGCCCTGAGGGCTTACCAGCGTCTGGTTAAGGGGCAAATGACTAAGTCGTGGATGCCAAAACTGCTCCTGCTCCGTTTGCTTCGATGTGGTGAAGTTGGAGTTTGGGCGGATGAGGTCACGGCCGAAGGGCGCACCGTTTGCAAACGAGGCACAAGTCTACATGCACTGGCAGGGATCAGCCCCTGAGCTTCTTGGATCGATACCGTCTTTGCCTCACGACCTCAGGTTCTATTCTCTATAATTCTACGTTGATATCAAATTTACGATGAGATTGGTAGTCCTACATCAGTTGCAGAGACCTCCCACTTTTTCTCGTTCTGAACCCCGTCAAGATATATCTTTGCCGCCTTGTCGAAAATGGCCTTCATCCTCGAGGGGTCGATCTTGGCCTGGCGGTCATAAGAGTACACCCCGTTGACCTCTTGTTCGATATCCGTTCTGTACAAACAAGCCATGTCAGTAAAAATTTCCGGTCGATAGGATTTTTGGGCAGTTGGAGACTCACAGCTGAGTGTACACAAAGCCACTGCAGTGCCCTGCATGGACTACACCAATCGCCAGCTTCTCGATTCTTTTCAGCAGATCCTCAGGGTCACTCGCCGTAGTGTACCCCCAGTCCTCAGTGCTGAATTTCTTGCCAGTGCCCTTTTTATCCGCGGGTGCAATGTTGACACCGCCAAATTCGGTATTCAGCACTGGTGCACCAGACTTGTGCTGCGTCGCTGGGTCCAACACCGCCGCATTAGGACCGTAAACAGCAGGGACAAACATCGGGCGGCCCACCGGCTCGCCTGTCAGCCGGTGCAGGATGCTCGGCAACGTGGAGCAAATCTTCTCCACCTCTGGGCCGTCGGCGTACTCGTGGAAAGTGCTCAAGTCGGTGACGACGTGCTCCCAGCCACAGTTGTCGTTGATGGGCCGCGTAGGGTCGAGCGTCTTGGTCAGGTAATATAACTGTCGAATGTGATTGCGCTGGTCAATTCCTTCCTGCGAGTTGGCCGTCAACTTGGGGTAGGCCCAGCTCTCGTTGACCGGAGTCCAGGCGATGATGGACGGGTGATTTATGTCGCGTTTCACGGACTCCGTCCACTCCTGGTTGAATCGCGACACATACTCGTCGCTGAATTCGTACGCGTTGGCCATCTCCCCCCAAACGAGATAGCCCAGCCGGTCCGCCCAGTAGAAGAAGACAGGGTCCTCCACTTTCTGGTGCTTGCGGCACCCGTTGAAGCCCATCTTCTTGGACAGTTCAATGTCCTCCTTCAAGGCGTCCGCCGACGGCGGTGTCATGAAAGTATCGGGCCAGTAGCCCTGGTCCAGGCAGAGGGACTGGAAGATGGGCTTGTCATTGAGCCGGAAAGTGCTGTCTCCGCGCTGCCAGTCAATGTTGCGCATGCCCGTCGTGGTCTGCACCTCGTCCACGGCCCTGCCGGACGCGTCGTACAGCTTGAGGGTCAGGTCATAGAGCAGCGGGTGCTCGGGCGACCACAGCGCCAGTCCGTCCCGCCAAACGCTCTGGTCCTCGGCCAGCGTGCCAGCGACCCTGTTGAACTCGGCCTCTGGCAGACGCAGGGACAGGTCCAGGTCGGCGTACTCCCTGTCCTTCGGGAGATCACCCTTCACCTTGCCCACCTCAAGCCCCAGGAACGAAGCGGTGATCTCGACCGAGGTCGGCGCCTGGACCTTTCGGCCTGTAATCGCGACCCTGGCATGCAAGACACCGCTCTTGATGTCGTTAGACCGCAGCACAGTGCCCTCACTGCTGTTGGCGATGCGCGTGGCGGGTACGGCCTCCAGCCAAACATTCTGCCAGATTCCGCTGCTGGGCGTATAGAAGATGCTCTCGGGCTCGGGCCCCCAGTATTGCTTCCCGCGGGGCTGCGTCAAATCATAGGGGGAGTCCCGCACGCGTAGCGTCAACGTCGCCTCGCCGCCTGCGGGGACGGTGCTGGAGATGTCCAGATCGAATGGAACATGGCCTCCCCTGTGGCCGCCCACGAAGGCGCCGTTCACCCAGACCTGGCTGTCGTAGTCGACGGCGCCAAAGCGGATCAGCAGGCGGTCGCCGTTCTTCTTGGACTCATCCGAGCGGATATCCTTGATAGTACGGGAGTACCAGAGCACCTCGTGTGCTGCGCGCTCGTTGATGCCGGACGCGGGCGTCTGGAAGGCGTAGGGAACCTGGATGGTGCGCTTCAGAGAGGAGGGCGGGGATGTGAGCTGCCAGTTCTCACCCAGCCCGGCGTCCTCGTCGTCGAAATAGAAGTCCCAAGCGCCATTAAGGGATGTCCAGTTCAGATTGGGACGCTGGAAGTCCGGGCGGGGGTAAGATGGAGAGGCCATAATGAACAGTGATGGTCGAGCCTGGAGGGGTTGCCGGCAACACTAAGAGACTTCCGGAGTCTGCGTATCGGTGATATTTCCTAGTGATGTTCCGCCAGCGTCTATGAACCTTGGGATGAATCCCGAGGATGGAAATGATCAAGACCGTGAAATGCCGTTGCTGTCCCCTCAAAATGACCGACCGACTGCGTCGTATCTGCGTGGGGCACGGGTTACGTCATAAAAAGGGTCCAAGGTGAGAGTGAACCGTCCCGACCGTCCACAGCAGAATACAGCGACCTCCTTTCGTTCCTGCAAGTGATGAGTCGTGCATAAGAATATCCTGGAATGCTGCGACTGGAGGCTAACAGTCCTAGAGGCTGTTCCTGCCAGAACATTGAGGCACCCGACCACACATGATGCTCGGTCAGAGATTCACATACTCGCTCAACTGTCAAGCACTGCAATTCAAGGTCAACCCACTGCCTTATTCCGTTGTACTACATGATGGCTTTTCACTTCTAGCCTTCGTACTGCGCACACTTGATTTTCACGTGCGGTCTGCTCGATTTTCTCACGGCCGCTGCGACGTATGAGGCTTCGCCACGAAATGAGCGATGAGGTACACGTGCTTTGCTTCCACAGACTAGTTTGTTCCATTTTTTTCCGCATTCTGGAACAGAAGCAGTTGTATTATGGTGTCTCTTCCTGAGAGGGGTATAGGATGCAACAGTTTTCAGTACCCTCATATCGTTAAGAAGGAGGGATTTGTGAATTCATGTGGCTTCACGATTTTGGCACAAACTCCCGTCCCAGATACACGTGTTCAACACCCTGGTTCAATCTTCGCGTTCTGATTGGTGCTCTATTCTTGTACCGTATCTTTGCCTCGATGCAAGGTCTTGTCAGCTGGTGTACAGGGTGTAAAATCGACTTCTTCCTGAGCAATCCAAAGGCAAGACGGCTGAAGCTACCCTCGGTCACGAGCTTCCATCCGCCTAAAACCGGATATTTTTCACGGAATCTATCCCAAAAGACCATTCTCCTCCAGCAGAGGTATTGCGCAAGATGGATGGAGTGGCTGATGAACCCTCGCCTGCGTCGAGCACCAAGCAGTCCACTAGTCAACCTTCCCTTCTTTGCCAGGCGTGCCAGTCGGTTTTGACGAGAGACAAACTCAACTTCGACGAATTCCATCCTCATCACAGTAGCCTGGAAACCTTCATTGAAGCCAGCGGTGTGAGGTGTTATATTTGCTCATGGCTGTTTTCGGGACTATCCGTAGACACTCAAGATAGCCTTAGGCTATTAGTTGAGGGAAGATTGCAAGATAATATAAACATGGAAGAGGCCCAAATCACAGATGCTGGCATATCAAATTCGAAGACTGAATTTTTGGATCACATTGGGGGTCGAATGACAAAGTGGGACAAGAGCGTATCGTGGGTTTCATTTACCGGGATGCAGATCGTATCTACTCGCGGGCCTTATTTACAGGTTTTGGTTCAGCTGAACCCCTTATACACAGGATACTTTCCCCTGAAAACCAACATCTACGACAAATCCTTGAAGGCTATGTGGGAAAAAGTGGCAAACCACACAACTCAGCCGCGAAGCGCACCCTTGATAATCACCCACCAAGGTTTGTTAATGTTTTACCCGACAATCTGACAGAAATAGACTGATGAAGAATAGATTTTACTGCTATGGGTCTTCCAATGACTCTTCCTTCCAACACGGGATCAACTGAGACTTGGTCGACCATCGATAGATGGGTTCACGAGTGCTCCGAGCAGCACCGATGCTTAGCTCAAGTCACTACAGACTGGTATCCAACCCGTTTAGTGGAGCGGATCTCGAGCGAAAAGTTCAGAGTAATTCGTTCGGACTCAGGTTTATTCTCGCCTGGCCGAGGGTACATCACTCTGAGCCACCGGTGGGGGGACCGCGACTTCGTCAAACTCACAAGAGACAAGCTCTCAGACTTCGAAGACGGTCTGCCAATTAGACTTCTGCGCAAGACCTTTCAAGAAGCTCTTGTCGTTGCTTGGCGGATGAATATCCCATATGTCTGGATCGACTCGCTGTGCATCATTCAGTCTGGCGACAATGGCGCGGATTGGCGACAGGAATCTAGAATGATGGCCGAAGTATACTCAAATTCGTTTTGCAACATCTCGGCTGACTGGGGTGATGAGTCTAACGGCCTGTTCTTCAAAAGGACACCCGCCTTCGAACCCCCGTGCAGTCTACGTACGCAGTGGAAAATTCCTAAGACTAATGACGGAAACTTAGACGATCTCCATGTGCTGGAAACGCCACCAGACGGTTGTCCTAGTCATATTGTGCTTCGCGACTTCTGGTTTGAAAATGTGATGGAGTCGCCTTTGAATCGCCGCGGATGGGTTCTACAGGAACGGCTGCTTGCACCACGTGTGCTACATTTTTCACCTAAGCAGGTGTCGTGGGAATGCGGACAAAAGCTAGCGTGGGAGACAGCGCCATTGTATTCCGTTACCTCGCCACATGCGGATTCTATTTTACACTGCCTGGGAGGCTATGGCAGAACACGCATAAGCCTGGAACGACTTAAACTCCATAAGACAAGGGGAGCCGTCGATTGGTCAAGTCTTGTGGAGCGGTATAGCGGGTGCGAGTTGACAAGACAGTCAGATAAATTAGTCGCCATTGCTGGAATCGCCAGACGGCTGGCTCATGTCGTCGAGGACCAGTACGTCGCAGGTCTGTGGGCCAAGCAAATGCCTCAAGTATTACTATGGGAAGCTTATGGCACGAAGCATAGTTGCTGCTCTCCGACACAATATCACGCGCCGACGTTTTCTTGGGCAGCTGCTGATGGCAAGGTCGTCATGCCAAGTGATAGAGGAGATCGAATCACTGCGACGGCATCTTTCATCGAGCACCGGAGGGAAACCCAGTATTCAGCTGCCACCAAGACGATGCAGACGAATTTTGAAGGTCAAATTTTTGAAAACCACGTATTTGGCCCCCTCACATCACCAGAGGTAGAGGTTCGGATGCGTGGGATATTAAGGTCTTGCCAACGCGCCCCGTCCCAGCTGATTCCGGCTAAGAGGTCTAAATATTGGGGTTGCCCATCATTGGGTGTCGGAGATTCTGCCATAGACCTGTGCTTCAGAAATGGCACAGCATTCACGGTGTCGTACGACCGTGCTGCCGAAAAGGACGCGCAAGCAGACTCTACCACATATTACTATACAGTCATTGAATGTGTCTGCCTTTCTTCGGACCAGCGGTCAAATGCTTCCAAAAGCTACGTCCAGGCAAGAGGGCTCTTCTTGAAGTCGGTCGATGTGAGCATGGGTCGCTTTGAGCGTGTTGGGTATGTGTCACATTTTAATGGTAAACACGCTGGCATTTACGAACCGCTCGGTAACGAGCGAGACTTGCCTGCCTGGAGCTACGATGAGACGTCGGGGGAACACACATTCTATATAGTCTGAAGTACAGATCAACAATAACCTGCTGAAGACCGGCGCCTTAGGCTAGTGGTGCTGAGATAGTCGGCAGTGACTCTTGTAACGCGCAAGAGCTCCGCCATATTCGTTTCGTGGTCTTCACCGTAGCAACGGAAGGAATTGACGTCCCAACAATGTACTGGGGGTTCGGCAAATGGGCCAAGTGGAGACTTATACTATTCATGTATAGCAAATGCGTTTTCTCATGGTGTTGGAAGTCGAGGCCTCATTCTCCAGTCGTTGCAGAAATGCGAATGCACGTCAAGGCGATAGATCTGTACGTCTAGTACGAATCAACCCTTCCAAGGTCTTTAGCAGTAACGCCCGGGTCGACGAAGGCTGGAGCTTGCCATTTCCAGCGTGATTAACAAGTCTTGCCTCTTGTCTATCGAGACACCGTGAGTACAAGGAAGCCGCTCCTGTAACCCATTCCTCTTCTCATGAGCTCTCTAACCTACATTAAGGACTCTGTTTGCTCCGGGTTAAGTTCTTTATATCATCATGATATATCGCGTTGACCCAGGATGTCGACAAGAAGACCATCTGCACTCCCTAAGGCAGAGCGCATGTGTCTTCTCGTAGACCCCGTTTTGCATAATTTTCTTGTATCCTTGAATCACATCGACGAACTCATAATACCAGCTACGAACCAGGCTCCGCGGTCTCAACCTATGCAGGGTCCTCTTGACATAGGCTTGGTGGCTCGTCCCGGACTTTTCGGGGTCAGGGGCACAGCGCCGTGGAAGCAAAGACCCAAAAGGGATGACGATGCCGATGTTTACAAACACTGGGGCATTCAGTTTCACCACGCACAGTTTAATGAAGTCGGTTGAATTCAAATCGAGCGACTCAGACTAGACAGCATGACGCCACCTCATCCAAACTTATTGGACATTGAATCTTCCCTCGGCATCATTTGGACCAATGACGCCCTGATACTCAGCCAATGATGCCCGGATCCGAGTTCTGGTGGTACCAAACCTACTAAGCAGCATGAGGCCTTGGCATTGGGGTGCAGGGAAGTCAGCACGGTGAGCCCCGCAATGCAATCCCGAAGCTTTGTTCTGTGCTTCAACGGTACGACATTTACACGTACTGTACGCCATAGTTCTCCATTCTCCGGTACCCCGTCGGGGTAATAGAAGTCTGCGTGTTTTTACTTGTGAGTATACACAAATCCTAGAGCATGACCTATTATTAATCATCGCAATGCTAGGGAGTCGCTGCATTAATCGCAATCGCACTCGCTTAAAGACTGGGGCCTCGAGCTTAAGATAGCCTATGAAATGACAGCCTCGGCTCCTTAGAGACCAGAACCTCTGAGCATGAAGTTCGACTGTGGCAGAGATATAAAAACCTTCTATGGTCTTTCATTCGCTCGATCAAGGTAATATCAATCTGTTCTACTTAGATACTGTCGGCCTTTTTCCGCAAAGGGAGAAATACAGTCCTACAAAATGGAGGCATTCAGTAACGAAACGTTCCACTCTCGTCTAGAGGCGATGGTTTCGCCTTTGATGGTATGTTGGCCTAAAAATCATTCCGTCCTTGGGCTAAATTTTTGAACTGGATTAACGGACTGGCCTTGCAGTTGGCACTGCATATATGCATCTTGGCATTATCTGGCCTTTTTATAAAACGACTTTACTTCCATCCCCTCTCAAAGTACCCAGGCCCTTGGTATCACGCAGTAACAGAGCTTCCGGTGGTCTTGTCGTTGTGTGGGGGGAGGCAATGCGTATACTATAAAAAGCTGCACGAGAAATATGGTAAGTAAAATTTAGTCTGCGTTGTCTCCTTCTTCGTTGTCACAACCAAAAGTACTCAATTACAATGTCACAGGTCCCGTTGTCCGAGTTGCCCCAAACGAGTTAAGCTTCACGACGTCTCAAGCAATGGAGGATATCTTTGGGTATGGAACCAAGGTACATTAAGTCGTGACTGAGAGTGTATTGGTTCTAGTTAACTGAAATTACATCAGAAAGGGATGCAAACGACCGAGAAGGACTCCCGTTTCTCTCTCTCCACCAAGATGAAGCGACCATATGGACTCATCAATGCACCCAAAGATGACCACGCTCGCCTCCGCCGGGGACTTGCAGCCGTTTTCACCACTTCAGCCCTCATTCAACAAGAAGTCATTGTTCAGTCCCACGTGGACGAGCTTATCCGTGCGTTCTCCAACGCATGTGACCGGGCTGAGAGTGGTACTGCTGTAGTCGACATGGGTGCCTGGGGCAACTTCTTCGCTTTCGACTCGATTGGCTCGTTGACTTTCGGCAAACCGTTTGGATGCCTTAGGTCTGGCGGTGTGGAAAACTTCTCATGGGCCAGATCTCTGCGAGAGATTGTCACCATGGGCACATACGAACAAGCAGCGAGCAGGCTCGTCGGCCTACACTCAGTGCTGCAGCCGTGGATCGTCTGGCTGCTGGCTGACAAAGGGATCTACGCGAGTCGCACCCAGACGTATGGGAGGACCTTCAAAGCCATCAATGACAGGCTTGCTCTGGGAGTAAAGGAAGACCACAAGGACTTTGTGTACCACATCCTCAAGAACAACGAGAATCGGCATTTGCTGTCCGAGGCTGAGATCCAGCTGAACCTTGCCGGCTTCATCATAGCAGGGGGCGAAACTGTGGGCCTTACGCTGCTTTTGTGGGCATATTGCATGGGCACACATCGAGAAGAATATTTCAAGCTTCGTGATCTCATCCGAGGAAGTTTCACCAAGGCTGAGGATATTCGGTGGACAGCTCTCAAAGATATGCCATATCTCGACGCCGTCATCCGCGAGACTTTGCGTATGCCAATTTTTGGCACGGTCCAGCGCCTCCGAGTTGTTCCACCGGGCGGAATGCCGATCGATGGAAACGAGCTACCTGGAGGCACTGTGGTCGCAGTGGCAGAATATGCAGCTATGCATTCGCCTGACAACTTCAAGGATCCATTTGTGTTCCGCCCAGAGCGTTGGCTCAACACCGATCCAAAAACTATGGACAATCTCGGCCTTTCGAGGCCGTTCTCATATGGGCCCAGGGACTGCATTGGAAAGAATCTGGCAGGCATTGAGGTAAGATTGGCAATTGCGCAAATCATCTGGCACTTTGACCTGGATATCGAACCAATTGACAATGGTGGACCGAACTGGTCTTGGAACAAGGAGGGCGACTTCAAGCACGTCAGGGCTGTGGCAGGGCCGATGTTTCATCCTCTATGGGTGAAGCTCACAAGGGCTGTCAGGTGAGTCAAAGTAGCACATGTCTTAGAAACTCTCGTCTGTTTTCAGAACTGTGATCAGTCGCATAGAACGGAGCTTGTGTTCTCTGAGGAGCAATGGGGAGTAAGGCATGCCACAAATTTGGTATCATAATGGAAAGCGTCCCTGCAAAAAAGACAGGTTGCAGTCTTCACCTGTGTCCGTAATTTTCAAAATAGAGAGGCCTCCAATTTCAAGTCCCCAGCCGCCACAGATTGTCACGCAAACTGGCCAGTCCTTCACCATCGGGACTTCTTGCATTCGGAAGTTCTGAGCGCACAAATCTTTTAATTCTAATCTTCCAATGAAATGGAATGTAATAAAGGAGACCGAGCAGTTTAACGTGCCGAAAGCCCGATTCTTCGTAAATGTTAAGCCCCTTCATGCGACAGGCAGATGGGCAGAGCGCGGCTCTCCAACAAAGTATGATCGCTGACAGAGTAATTTCTCAAGCGCTGAACACTGTGCTGACTGCATTTATATCTGCTCTGTGTCCTTGTGCGCTGAGCTGGTGACGGTGGAGTGCCTAAGGGTAGGTGCAATCCCATGACACCTGGGCCTAAGTGGCCGAGCAATGGGATAAAACAAAACCGGTCTTTTCAGCTTCTTTTCCGTCTTTGCAGGCATACCAAGACCTAAAGGCACAATACATAGCAGCTTTAGTGACATCCATGGGCAAGTGAGGCAAGAAATGCTCAACTCTGCCTCTTCATGAGATCTATGATTGCGCTTCTTTCATCGCCCAACCTCATCTAGCCAGCATGTGTCTTATTAGGAAGCAAGATTTCAAAGATTATCTTAGTTTAAGAAGTATGCAATATGTTTCATAACATAAATTCAACTTCAATACATATTAGATTTAAGACTTGTTACGCGCCCAGCTCAAGCCTTTTCATATCGCGACTTGCCCTTTTTTTCTTTACCCTTTCTCTTTGTTTTCTGTTTCTACAAAAGTTACTCGCGGGCTGGTGAAAGCCTAGAGACACACTGAAACCAGCTTGGTCATAATTTTACCAAAACAAAAAGGAAAAATGATTGCCCAGTGAAGGGATTGAACCTCCGTCTCCTTTGTGTTGCTGCGAACCACCCAAGGCGCCATACCATTAGACCAACTGGACTAATTAGTCCCTAATATGTTCTTTTATGAAGGCGTAACGCAGTCTTAGATACTAGCTTAATGCTAGTCGAGGAGCCGGCGATTTCAAAGTTCCTCTCAATTATTCATGAACTACCCGATTTTCAGTAGCAACACGCAAAAGGTCTACTGCGGGCGTCGATTCACGAATACAGGTTTATTAGCAAACTAACGGTATTCAGTCTACCTGCTATCAACCCCCTATCCTATCTCATCGCTCTACAAAATTAAGAAAAGATCACCTTGCAAGATTTCTGCATCCAGATCTAGCAGACTGCGCTTCTAACAATTGTGTTCCAGTTATCAGAATGAAACTGCTGGCCGGAGACTTGCTCTTCCAAATGTTCCTCCGACCAGTAAGTGCAATTTCCTGCAATGTACTTGGCGGAGTAAGCAATGTCACTGTAGGAGGGGAGAATTTTCGTAGTGTTATTCTGTTGGAAGTCACAGTATAAGCAGTCCGGCCAAAGTGAACATGTGCGAGGCAAATTCTGGGTTACCGCTTTGCGGGATTAAATTCAAGCCATCTACTGTGGCGAATGAGGACGAGCTGCAACTCACATCATTGCACCACCAGATCGCGCTGTCATAAGAGCAGCTCACCTGGCCGCACATTCGAGGTCCTGGCTTCGACCCAGGCTTGCCGTCGATAGTATAGAGGTAGTCGATACCTTCCCATATTGCGCTTGCTCTGGCGGGATCGAAATGCCCGCAGACTGTCCAGGTGTCCTGCACCTCTGAGACCCCAAGCGATCTTCGGGTATCAGTAAGTGAAGAGGTGAATCCCTTCTTGATCATCCCGATCTCGGCTGCATACTCGGGATTGATCTTTAGAAGTTGTTGATAGATCTGCTGGACTGTACCGTTTAGGGTCGCCGTCTGGCCGTCGAGGCTGACCAGCACCTCCCATTGCAGAACCTCAACGCTATACCCTGGTAGTGGCGGCTCGATATGTACAATCTGGAACGTGCGAATTATCTGAATCGGCTCCTAGAGAGCGACAGGTTCGGCTGGGTTGGATATGCCTACCTCGCCAAGAGTGAAAGCCCACAAAAACGCAACGAGGAACTTGAGCATCTTGCCGAAGCTCGACGGACGCGAACTTGTACCTGGAGGCTGAGTATGAATAGAGGCAAAGGAACCGGCGGTTGAGAAGGAGGAAAGATCTGTAGACCAAAGAAAATTCTGATACGGATCTGACCAATTTTTCAACAGACGCCTGACCCGAAGATAGTTGTCATGCCACTCGTCTGCTCACCGAGAAGAAGCAGCAGAATGCGTATCAGACACAAAAATTGACACAAGCTGGCCGATTTGTCAAGTTTTGTAGTAGCAGTGAAACAGTAGAATAGTGATGCATCGAGGAACAGAGGTGGGTAAACAGCGAGGACCGCCGCGTTGCCAGTGCCCGGAAGCATCTTCCTCGCCTGGATGCCGAGTTCCATAGGCTTCTCTACGATGCACAGAACGTGTGTTTGCCGACCCCAGCAAACTCATACCCGTACGCCTGCTGCGAGTTGCACCTGGCCCACCATATCGGGGATACTGGCACGCCCAATCCCGGCTAGTGTGATCATACTTGTTTGCCAACTGTTTAACAGTTGCTTCGGGAAAGCCAGAAGAAGACTACACCGCTTCACTCTCGGATTAAGTTATCCTCATGGCGAAATGAAGGCTGCCAGCATCGCGTCAAACTCTTGTCACTCTCCTGAGCTTTGCCGCCATGGCTCCAGAATTGGTAGAGGGATATAGACCTGCCCAAAGACATGGATATTCAAACAAAGATCTGCTATCAAAGAATTGACAAGCCTTTCATCGTTTGGTGAACTATACGAATCTACTATAGCAGATTTGCATTTGTCCGTGCCACGAAAGATTCTACTATTGGTAGTTCAAGCTCAGCAAATGTGCACCCAAACTACCAAGAGATCCGTATCAATAGATTCTAAAGGTGTCTAGACCTTTCAAACTTTGGGAAGCACAGTTGGGCGAGTCGGGGAAAAGTAAGATCTGAGTACCCCTCTTCCAGGGAAGAGATGGCTAGTATACATAGCCAGGTTGGTGCATGAGATTTGCTGAGCTCCGATCGAACGTGACATGGGAGAATTGTGTTGCATCAAAAGAGGGCCCAGGTCGTAACGCGCGCTGACAGCTGCAGGAACATAACAGCAGACTACTATAGACATTGGCACGATTGGGTCTGCGGTACGTCCCGACTGAAGTTGGGTGATGATGTACCTGTCTGGCATGGCGACTGAAACGAGACTGCGCCTAGAGACTCTGTGAGGTCAGAGGAAGCAGCTGGATCCAGGGACAAATTGATTGCTCATTAATTCCTATCCGGTGGCAGCCGATGAGGGCGCAGTGCTTCAATGTCAGCGGAAGCAGGCCGGAGGGGCTCGCATGGGGTCATCTCTTGGCACCTGCCACTTGAAGTTGGAAGCCAAGTGGCCAAGCCGGACAAACACACCTATCGCCTCCAATTGATGTCTGCACCGATTACCTGAGCCCGGTTATCTGCCCACAAACATTGGCTCATGCCGAGAAGAATTGCGATATGCCACCGTCGTCTTCTAGAACACGACCTTAGCGCCACTAGAGTCCAAGGGAGTACATAAGGCGGCCAGAGCACTCGAGTGTAACCTCATCCCTTCGACAATGGCACTGCCAGGTGCTCCTTCATCCATCCCAAGGTACCTGACCGCAGGAAGACTTCGGATCTGGTCTTTGAGGATCGATCATCACAATGAAGCCTAGCGTGACAACCATCATCGGTGCCTGCGTGGCCGCCTCGAAATGCCTGGCCACAAGCACGATCAGCCCTGATCTGGTTGAGGCCGATATAACCACCGCGGAGTAAGAATATTTGATGACTGATCGAGATAGAAATGAAACTGACCCACTCTATAGGTTGGAGCAGATCCTCTCAGACCTGAATGACATTGGCGATGCGAACGGCGGCAACAGAGCCTTTGGCCTGCCCGGCTTCAAGGCCAGCGTGGACTACGTGCTCGAGAGGCTGGGCGCACAAAACGCCCTCACTAACGACACCTCCAAGCTCGACACGTGGGTGCAACCCTTCAACCACACGTTCGAGCAGACCCGGGAGATCAGTGTCACCGGCCCCGAAGGAGAAGATGTCTACGTGCTCACGCTGCTGTACAACGCTGCCACTCCCGTCCCGGACGGTGTCACAGGTGCCCTGGTCGATACGCCAGTCGACGACGTGAGGGGATCCGGCTGCTTCGCTGACCAGTGGGAAGGGGTCAACGCCACGGGCAATATCGCCCTCGTGAAACGGGGTGTCTGCGCCATCGCGGACAAGCTGAAGCTGGCGAAGACGGCCGGCGCTGTGGGCGCGCTCGTCTACCAGCCGCAGCCGGGCACGAACTTCTCCTCAGCTACACTTTCAGCTGAGAACATCGGGCTGCTGGTTCCCGCTGGTCTGATTCCGCTTGAGGTGGCACAGGCCTGGCAGGAGCGTCTGGCTGCTGGTGAGGAGGTCACTGTGAACCTGCTGGTGGACTCGATTTTCGATACCCGCGAGACGTGGAATGTGTTCAGCGAGACCAAGGAGGGTGATCCCGACAATGTGATTGTCCTCGGCGCGCATCTCGACAGCGTGCAGGCTGGGCCCGGTGTCAACGACGACGGTAGTGGGACATCTGGTCTGTTGACAATCATCAACAGTGTGACGAAGTACACCGGACTGAAAAACAAGATCCGCTTCGCTTGGTGGGGAGCCGAGGAGAGCGGCCTGGTTGGCAGTCTATATTACACGCGGAACCTACCCGCCGAGGAGGTCAACAAGATCAAGTACTACTTCAACTACGATATGATAGGATCGCCGTACCCGGTGTTTGCTATCTACCAGAGTGAGAACAGCGGTGGACCTGCGGAAGATTTGCTGGAGTATCTCACGGCCCAAGGCAAAGACGCGTATTTTGGGTAAGCTCATATCAACACTGATATGGGAATGGTTGGACAACCGAAATGAGGAAAGACTAATCCCTTGCAGATCATTCGGAACTGGCTCCGACTACGTCGGTTTCCTCCAGCTTGGCATACCATCGAGCGGCATTTTCACCGGCGCCGGTGCTCCCACAGACCCTTGCTACCATCTTGCCTGCGACACTATCAACAATATTGACTTCGACGCCATCACCGTCAACACCAAGGCCGCAGGCAGACTGGCTGCCCAATTGTCGCTGTCGCTGGATGGAGTCCCGAGCAGGAACACCACTTCCGCGAATTTGAGGGGCAGGATGAAGATCACCGACAGCTTTCAGAAGTGGGCGAGGGCTGAAGAGCGTGTGGTTCTGCAGAAATCGTGCTCGCATGACGCCCAAAACCAGTTGATATAAAGCAGATGCAAAATGTCCCCACATATGCCATAGGACGATGCCAGGTATCCGGTCCTTAAAATAAAGCAAGGAATGTATTTACTCTCGAACATTTAAAAGTCTGCTTGTGAAAGCTTTCTTCTTGCCTCGACTGCCTGGTTGATTTCTCCATATCCTCCCTGCAGGTTTTGCTCGAGTTTCGGTGATCTGATTAAGAGTCTTCTCGATTGACAAGATTTCATATCCTCTCTCACAAAAATGGTAGTTGGGACGTATGTGCACCTGTTATTTGGGTGAATTGAAACAATGACCACAACGAGAATGTATCCTAGCTGGCTCCAGAATCTAAAGAGATTCAAGAAGCTTGGGTAGTACATATTCCTCAGTGAAGTTCCAGATCATCCCCTAGTCCTGCGTCTCCCAAGTAGCACCTGTATAGAACGTGTTCCATTTTCCTTGAAGCGCCAACAAATCTTTGTAAAATCCAGCTCTGATGGCTTCAGGCTCCACCATGGTGTTATATGGGGAGTGGTCGCTGAAAATGGCCCATTCCGGCCTACTCGGCGGCACGCCGGAAGCCTTCTGGATTCTACCCACAATGGCCTCGATGTCAAGCTGCACAGCCTCGCTGGGTTTGGGCTGCGGGATTCCATAATACACCTGAAACAAGCCGGGCAAGGCAGGAACGGACGCGATTCTGTAAAGGCCAGGTAGCGTGGGTCTGCCGTAGGGTTGGTCCGGATCAGCCCCTGTTGCTGTGAAGTTTGCTGGAGGCCCGGTGTTCTTGATGATGCCGGTGTAGTAGCCATTTGCGAAGAATTGCTTGAATAAAGAATCTTCATCTTTACTTAGGTCAAAATTGTCCCGAGAGTCATAGACCTTGATGAGAGGTGCGGTGATCAGCACCTTGCGCGCAATGATTGGTTTCGGGCCTTCGGGACTGTCAACCAGAACGCACGGCTGTTGAGATTCCTGACGCGACATTAACACAACAGAGGTGCTGAGAAAGATCCCGTCTCCTAGGAAGTCTGTCGCGCGTTGATAAAGTTCTTCGTCAACAGCCCACTCGTTGTGACGGCCTCAAACAGCCCTTGCCCGAACTGCTTCAGGACGTAGATTGTGGAAAGTTTTAGGAATTCGGAGTATCCTTGTTCGAAATGATAGATGGATCTCAAGGCTCCACTTAGGCTACACTTGTCGGCGAACTCGTGGAAAGGCAGTAGAAGGTCTTCGTCGACTGGATAATTCAGATCGTATCCTGTCACATATCTGGATGTCTGCCCAACTGCTCGGCGTAGGCTGAAAATCCTGACCCAATTTCCTCTGGGCTAGGAAGCTCCCACTCCACCGCCTCTCCTGTCTCGAAGTTCATAAATTGAGCAGAACTTGATGGGAGACTTGACCGCGGAATGAGAGGGACATCAAAGCGGGTGAAGTAATCGGTGTGGAGCTTGAATGGTTCAAACACCACGACCCCGATGTCAACAGTCCACCCACTAGGGTCGGTATAGGTCTCAGCGTGGCCTCCGAGCTGGGCCTTGGGCTCCATGACGGCGGCAGTGAGGTTGTGGTCCACCAGCCTTACAGCACTGTATGTTCCGGCAGAACCACCGCCGATAATTGCGACATCGCGGTCAATTACATTTTCTGGTTTGTAAGATTCTGGCGAGAACGCAGAGGTTTTCGTCTCGTCAGTTCCATGCGCGGCTGCCACGCAGAGAAGGAGATTGGTTAGGAGCACGTGCATCATATCAGTTTCCTCTGACTTGGTGGGCGCTTAGTATCAACAAGCTACGTGGGCACTAGTTTGTTATATGGACCAGCACTTATCGTCCTGTTCCACGGGTAATCCATGTCAAGTAAGATGCGAATGCATGATAGGAAACGCCACGGTGGATCTCAAATATCGGAATGTCAAGGATTTACTAAATACGCTTCGAAGAATCTTACTCAACGCAGTTGAATATGACAAGACAATTTCCTGTCTTGAGATTTTTGCCCAAAATGAAATTGCCCCTATGGCCACATATATGCCATGATCGTGAGCTGCTTCCAAAATCATTGGTTGTTGCTGTGTTCTTGTGGCGCATCTCCTGCTCATTCTGGATTAGGAGGCGTCATACTAAGCTTACAGACCCAAATCGGATGTAAGAATAGTCAGAATAAGGGCTGAATTGTATGCCAGGGGACGAGCTGACACCATTGGTTCAAAGAGTTGTAGGAAAACACCAGGAAGGGGTCAGAGTCCCGGCAGTTGAGTCCTGTAAACCGTTTGAAAGGGATCCTGGTCACTTCACATACTCCCATCGAGCGAGCCTGGCAAAATGTCTGACAGAGGGAGGAACCATGTGTCAGCCGATCTAGACAGACCTTCAGTAAGGGCTGCCTAGACCTCGATTCCGTATCAAAGCCTAAGCGACGTCCTCTGCTCTACACTCACGCAGGGCTCGTTCGCCCTACAGACAAGAGCGCAGGAAAGGCAAAAAGGGAAAAACACAAAGATGAAGAAAAATCAGAAGAGACACAGAAGAAGACGATGAGAAAGACAAAGCCCACCAAACGAGACATGAAAAGAAGCCAAACTTTGAGATTGGCCGATCCACAGAAGCAGGTGAAGGGGCGCCAAGGAAACAAAGAGAACCCCGAGTCGTCAAGTGCCCAGGCTTTCGATGAAAGCTGGTTTCCCACAAATTGAATGAAGACTGTTTGCACCGGGAAATTGCCTGACAGTACTGCTTCTGCAGCCATGTCAGTAGACTTTTGTGCGGCGTAGGATTTGTGCTGTCTACATGTTTTGTTACTCAAGATACCTTGTGCGTAAAAAGATTGCAAGGTATCGAGATCAGTTATCAGTAAATTTTAATGGAAGCCATCAGATCAGAGTCCTGTCTACCTGCACAGTCTTCTGTAGTATGATATTAGGCGCCAATGCAATGACTAAGCGTTGCTTGTTTGCTTAAGCAAACAGGTAGCTAAAATCCAACTTGAGTGATGAAGAGGGTTTGACTGAGGTTTTATCTGTTGAAGGGGCCCACCACGCTTTTTCGCAACAAGCATGCTGTCTCCCAGTGAATCGAAATCCCGCCAAATCTTCTACTTTTGCACTTACCCACCGAAAACCCGTCAAACCCCACCCTCGATCGTCGAGTTCCGTGAAGAAACACAAGTTGTTGCTTAAGAATTTGCATCTCTGAAGCCGCTCGACACTCGCCAGCTTTGTGGTGCCATGGCGCATCTCACAGACCTTCCGACAGAACTTCTCTATATCATCCTCTCCCACATACCCAGGTCTAGGTGTTCCTTTTGGATTTCCAGCTCTGGGTTTTCCAAGCGGTCGCGAGACATAGCCAAGTTAGCCCTTGTCAATAGACGGCTTTACAAGGTTTTCGAGCCGGAGTTTTACCGCAAGCGAGTGGAAGAGCCCTTTTGCGACGTCTGGCTTCGGCGTGCTGTCAATCGAGGTTTCCCCCAATGTCGTCAGCAAGTCTCTGAGTGCTGGAGCAAATCCCAATCAAAACGTGGCTGGAGATTTTTGCCTTTACAAATGGTGCCGCGATCTGGGCTCAAATGAGCAGTTTCCAGGTCTTATGAGCGCGCTACAACAGCGATGGATGTCGGACTGGGATTTTAGTTGGTCGCTGCGCAAGAGCTATGGGAAGGGCAAGTGGTGCGGCGATCGAGCTGAATACCAGGACACATCATCACAAGATCAAAATGACGAGAAACACCCTTTCTCCCACCTAAGGCAACCAGAGTCACAGCCTGGTCGCCAACCGTCTCACCCATGCTGGAGACTTCTACACCTCGCCAGCGCTCTAGGGTTCTCTGATATAGTCGAGGTGCTGCTGGACCATGGAGCTGACGTTAGATCGGCTGGAACTGGGGTATGTCACTGCGATTCCCTCAGCCTGATAAACGATTTCGTCGTTGGCAGCACGCCAAGTGCAGACAGTACCATCACCTCGTGGTCCCCATTCCACGTTGCAATTTGCAAGAGGCAATACCAATGTGCGAGGCTGTTGGCTGTTCGTGGTGGCCTGTCTCACTACATCCCCGATACAGAAGACTCGGCCCAGCACTGGCCCACGCAAGACAAGAGCGAAGCTATAGATGTGACTCCTCTTTATCACATCGTCGCTCGCTGCGACTCAAGAACGGAAAGACTGGATGCCATATACCGGATTTTTCAAGACTCCGAAGCGGCAAACAAGATTAATGTTGACACTTTGGATCAGTTTATGCACACCCCGCTTGCTGTGGCAGCATATCACGGAAACCTCAAGTCACTCGGGCCATGGTTCATCGCTCATGGAGCCGATCCGAATGCTGTTGTCCATCTTCGTGGCACAGATGATGTTACCTCGTTGTTCCTCTTCTTGTGCTACATGGGTCGGTATGACGATGCTGCACTCCTCATGGACATGGGCGCTAGCGTGGCTGGGAAGATGATAATTCGGCCGGGATTCGATGAAGACAGCCTCCATGTGGCTCTGGGCATGATGGAGCTCGGCACATCAAGGGAAGCCTTGCACCTTTCTGCTCTCCAACTGTGCTGCTCTTTACATGGCAAAGAACATAGTAGGGCGCGAAGCGAGCCACTGCAGACGGAGAGGGATGCCTGCAATCTACTACTCAGGCTGCTCCACGAAAAAGGGCTGGACGTGAACTCAAGAGACGCAGATGGAAGGACACCATTGATGTACGCGGTGAATTGCGGCTCTACAGAGGTGGTGCGTGTCCTCCTCTCAGCCAATGCAGACGTCAACGCCGTTGACAATTTCGGCGCCAGTGTATTGTACTGTGTCTGCGGAGGCAATCTCAAGCCATACTCCATTGGCCACCTCCGCATCCTCCATGACCTTCTCGACGCTGGGGCAAAATTGCACGCAAATTACAGAGGAAGGACAGAATTGTTCGAACTCTGCATCCCCCAGCAAGTTTCGCCTATCTTGTCTTACAGTACCGCCATGCTGGGATTGTTACACACCTATGGCGCAGATTTCAATGCACGGAATGATGAAGGCGCATCTCCTCTCATTTTCGCTTTTTTGCAAGGGGCACTCGACGTCGTCGATTATCTCTTGTGTCTACGAGTCACGGTCACTGTCAGAGACTGCTACGAGATGGCTTATAGCTTGTTGGAGCGCTGTTACATGCCCAGGCAGCTCGAGATGATGCATAGCCTTCAGAAAGTCCTGCATCGAGCCCAGCCGACTCAACAACCTGGAAGTGATGAATGGAAGGAGCGAACTGATTCTATGTGGCGCAAGGTGTTATTCCATGCTGTAAAGAGGCGACGTTTTGACTTGGTCACACTTTTTATCGAGCAAGGCGTCAAGCCGTGTTATCGCTCGGTGTCGGGGGACAGCGTGTTGCACCTGTCTGTTAAGCGCACAGACAAATTCTGCCTGACTATGCTTTCCAATCTCATTCACTACGGGGCCCATGAGATGGTCAATGAGGTAAACGACCGCGAACTTTCGCCGCTGCAGATGGCTGTGGAATATCGGAACGCCCAGGTAGCCTATGTTCTGGCTGAAGGGGGTGCAAACATCCATCAAGCCACAGCGGGAGCCTCGGCCCCACTCGCAACGGCTCTTCAAATGTATTATGATCAAGAGCACTACAAGGTGCTGCGAAATCTTCTGGATCCGGCGCATCGCATGTGGTCTGAGCAGGATTCAAGTCTTTGGAAGGGCCACCACTACATTCACAAGCTTGTTAAGGCTCTGATAAGTGCCCCAAAATCCATCCAAACCTCAGACGACCGTGGTGACAGGCTTTCAAACAAGACATTCAATTCCGCTATGACCCTGCTGGGCCACGGCGTAGACGTCAACGATGTTGACGACGAAGGTGATTCGGCCCTTTCGACTCTGCTGCAATTCCTCTTGGACAGTGCAATTACAGGCAGCACTGCTGAGCCCGAAGCTCAGGAAACCGAAGATACACTTGCGGCACCCGCTGTGTCCTTGGCCAGCAGAGCCACCAAACCCGCTGCTACGCGGTCCATCGGTCAGCAGACGGTGATTTCTGCCAAGGAATACGCAATTCTGCACCTGTTCACCCTGCTTGTCTCCCAAGGCGCCGACTTGACGCAGCAGGGTAGAAATGGTGTCACGGCTGTGGAGAAGCTCCGCGAGATCGCATTACTCGGCGATGTGTCTGCCTGCGACGTGGCAGGAACAATCAACACCCTGCGGGCATGTGTCAAGATACCTCCATACGACACCGAGACAGGGACAATGCTTGGAAGGGCTCGGGCGCGCTATCCGACTGGTGGGCTAGTGCTGTTTGTATTCAACAACATGGAGACGGAATTTCGGCCGATTCGGGAGGCTCATTTGGACGATCCGAAGAATTGGGTGCCGATTTGGAGTCGATCGACTGAGTAGAAGCTCAGGTTCCTCTATCTGGGCTCGCATGCAAAGCTAGATTGATCGCCGTGTGCTGCATCAGTTGGAAAGTCGTTTGAAGGGAGGGCCTTCACCAAGAGCGGTTGATTTTGCGGGTCGGTGAGAAGTGGACCACGAAGACGTACCACGTCAGAAGCATCCAGGGGAAGGCGTGAGAAAGGTCTAACGATCGCTGGCTACTTTTAGTCTTTTCGGAGAGATAAGCTCTGGTTCAACACATTCAGGTTGATGGCATCTTCCGCAGAGACGCCAGCATTACCACCATGGACTTACCACATAGATTGTCTTTAATACATGTAATCATCGTGACCAAGCTTGTATCCGTATTGACGTGCTATGTCCAGCTTGGCATTCCGTCTTCCGGTCGTCGACCCACGTGAAGGATTTCACTACTTCATGAGCTCAGGATGACACAGTGAAGATTAGGGCCCCATGATCAAGTCACCTACGCATCCAGTGAATTATGAACAAGTTCTCCGGCCCCATATGGACTGACGTGTATAGGAGCATTCGGGGGCCCGTGCATCTCCCATGGGCACGCCTTCGCGGTACCTTGATACTTCCCAGCCACCTTAGCAGTGCAATTATGTAATCATGATGGCGGCCAAAATAAGCCCACATCGTTTCAGGCAGCTCCACTTTACGACATGCCGCCTACCGCGTCCATCCCGTCAGGTCAACCATCCCTTGGCCTACACCCTCCTTTTCATCCTCACCAGAATTTGGCATCTTGCAATTACACCAAGATGTCGAACAACAACAATGCTCACGAGAGCACACCTCTTCTAAGAGGCCACGACGGTGCGGAAGAGAGCGGGGATGCTACTCATCAAGCTTCGACTTGGCAACGCGTAAAGAGCTGGATCTCTTCCCACACTATCAACCTTATCCTGACCTTGCTGCTTGCTGTATTCGTCATCCTGTTCCTCGTAACAGCTTTTATTCAGACTTCAGGCAAAGACGAAGACAAGCCACCCTCTGAACCGACCCCGGGTGAGGGAGCTGAAATATGCACCTCCGCGGGATGTGTTCTCGCTTCTTCGACACTCCTCCGCAGTATCTCGTCAAGGTGAGCTTGTCTCCCAAGTACTCTCGGTCGCACACAACCAATACTAACGAAGACAACAGATATAAGGACCTCGACCCCTGTGAAGACTTCCGCACCTATGTTTGCGAGGGTTTCGATGCTGTCCACGAGATCCGGGAAGACCAAACCGGCGTTGGCAGCCTCCAGATCATGAGCGAGGAAGGCCAGCTCCTTCTGAAGCGCATCTTGGAGTCTCCACAACCTGCCCACACCTCCTTGTTCTGGACTGCATCTTCGCCGGACCAGCAAATTTACAGCAAGCTGCACGATGGTTACAATGCCTGCTTGAATGAGACTCAGCTGAAGTCGATCGGTTCTAAGCCTTTGCTTGACCTCCTTACCGGCCTCGGAGACCTTTATCCCGTGAAGAAGCCAAAGGGAAGGAAAGATACTTCGCTCACTGACGCTGTGGAGTATTTGATGGGCAATGGAATCAGAGGTCCAGTCTCAGTCGGTGTCGGTGCCGACGACAAGGACCCCGACTCAAACATCATCTCCCTCAGTCCCCCCTGGTCCTTCGGCCTGCCCTCGAAGCAGTATTACAACCGGACTGATATCGTCACTGCGTACAAAGAAACTATCGGTACAGTCCTTGAGGCTTTGCGGAAGGAAGCTTCGCCCAAGCACAATGTGCTCTCGACATTCGACAGCCCAGGCATGCCCGCAACGATGAACAAGAAACTCGTCGATAGTTTAGTCGATTTTGAGTACAGCCTGGCTGCAGCATCACCGGATCCAGAGGACCTGTCCGACATCACCAAGGTTTACAACCCTCGGACATTGGATGAGGCCGAAGCATATAACCCTGAGATTTCGGTCAAGGACATCATTCAGGTCTTTGCTGGTGACTATAAGCCTTCCAAGATCATCGTGGCATCTCCGAAATACCTGAAGTCTCTTGCAAAGATCCTCGAGTCGGAGAGCCGAGAAGTCATCCAAGCATATCTCGCTTGGAAGGTCGTACAAACATGGGGCGGATCCGTTGAGAGTGATAGTGTTGAGCCTCTCCGCAGGTTTAGCAATAAACTCCAGGGTAAGGAACCGGACGTGAAGGCCGAAAGGTGGAGGAAATGCATCAGTGTCGTTGACAGTGACCTTCGTAAGTATTTCAACCCTGTTCCGGATCAAGCCGAAACTGATCAAATGCAATTTCGCAGCCTGGATTCTCAGCCGTTTCTTCATAGAACGCGCTTTCTCTAAGGAGGCTAAAGAGCTTGGTGACCAGATCATCTATGACATCAAGGACTCTTTCATCGTCAAGCTCAACCACTCCGAATGGATGACTGAGAAGGTGCGAGAGTTTGCAATTGACAAGGTGAATCTGATCCGACAAAAGATTGGATATCCTACCCAGAGCCCGGACGTCACCAATGCGGATGAGCTTCAGAAATATTACAAAAGCGTTAAGGTATCTGCCGATTCCTTCTTTGCCAACCGGCTCGCTTCTACCAGAGCCGACGTAAGGCGTGAGTGGGCGCAGGCGGGCAAGCCTGTAGACAAGGCTGAGTGGGGAATGTCGGCGTCGACGGTGAACGCATACTACAACCCGCCCGGAAACGAGATTGTTTTCCCTGCTGGGATCATGCAAGCCCCTGTCTTCTACGACCCCTCGCTTCCCAAGTATCTGTCATATGGAGCTTTCGGAGCAGTCGCAGGACATGAGCTGTCACACGCTTTTGATTCGTCCGGCAGAAACTACGATCAGAATGGCAACTATAGCGACTGGTGGGATGAGTCCACCATCAAGGCCTTCAAGCAGAAGACAGACTGCTTCGTGGAGCAGTATCACAACTACACCATCCCGACGAAAGACGGCGATCTGCCCATCAACGGGAAACTCACCCTTGGTGAGAACATCGCTGATGCTGGCGGTCTAACTGCTGCATTCCAGTCTTGGCGCCGCCGAGATGATGAGAAGGCCGACCTTATCCTTCCTGGACTGGACTATTTCTCGAAGGAGCAGATTTTCTTCCTCGCCTATGGGCTTACTTGGTGTGGTAAGACTAGGGAGGAGGAGGCTATCAGGAGGATCTACACGGATCCTCACAGCCCTGCGTCTTACAGAATTCAGGTGGGACAACACACTTCTTTTTCTTCACAAATAAGTATCGTGCTTGCTAACTCTTCTTAAGGGTACCACGGCCAACTCTCGGGAGTTCCGAGAAGCTTTCAAGTGCCCCGTCAAGGAGCCGACTTGTGAACTGTGGTGATTTATCTGTCCTTGAAGCGCTGTGTCTCTTATGTTCGCTTGTTAAGGGTGATCGGGCATGCATGGGCTAACTAGGTACTCAAAATTGTATGGGAGTCATTTGTTCGTGTCGTCAATTACTGTACAAGCTATCCTCTTCAGAGCACAGAACCAGCTCAAATGGAACATTATCATCATGAAGCTGCATGCCCACAGACATCAAGCTGAAATCCGACGGGCGCCGGCCCCGCTGGATCTTGCGCCCGTAATGAAACCTGTCGTCCACCACCGATGGCCGCCGCTGGCCCCACGGCAACGCGGTGCTCTCATCCCACCTGTGCTGCTCTGACGAGTCCTGCTCGAAATCCAGGCTCAGCACCCACCGCAGTTGGATCGCCCACTTCGGCGCCGTTTGCTTGAGGTCAGCCCGCCCGTGGATGTCGCGGTCCATCGGCCGCGGCCAGGGCACGTCCTCGTCACCAGCGTACGGCGTGCTTGCGCTCGAGTTGGTCTCAGGGGTAGCGGTTGAGCTCGATCCGCCGCCCGTTGGTGTCAGAAACTCCAGGCAGCTGTAATCGACCTGTATGAACTCTGCCAGGTCGGCATCGACGTCGTGGACGGGTGTTGTGACTGCCTCGACCGCGGCGATGTCTGAAGCGGCGAGGGGAAAAGAATCAGCGGCGACAACTTTTTTGAGCTCTGTCTGAGTACCGAGATCTGCTTACTTGTCTGGATCTTCGGGAGATCCATGCCCCTTTGGCGGAGCGCGCCTCGGCGGGTCAGCATCGTTGGCTGTCTTGGATTCTCCACTTGTGCGGTCGACCCACGTTGGGAGCTTGCATCTCTTGGAGTCTTTTCTTTTTCTAGAACAACGTTCCCTTGGACTAGCTTGGAAAGGATGAGACTAACGTTCGAATAGGTCGAGCCATTTATCCAGGAGGTTCAGGGGCTTTTTTTCCCGACGATGCGCATCATTCAAATAGCACATATTTGAGCGGTGGTGCGTAGCGGAGCCAGAATGAAGATCTCAATGGCGGGAGGCCGAAATTCCCACACAAGCCGTGCGGTGTTCTTTATTTCGAGAGATCTGGAGTCTTTGACAGCTGGCTGGCTTCCCGGGTGACAATAAAGGGCTCGCCGGGAGGCAGCCAAGGTGGAAAGGAGGCGGGACGATCCCCGGGCAGGACGATAAAGTCGGTCGGCTCGTCCCGCAATGGCTTTGCTGATTGGATATCTCATGGTGGACTGAACAGGACCTTGGAATTGATTCACAACAGGACTTCTTCAACATTTAGCTAGATACTAGCTAAAAGCTAGTCGGTACGGCGGCCGCTCCTCCTCGAAATAGTGCCCACGTTAAAAGTGGGCAGGAGCCCCGAGTGAGCACTCGCGACACGGCGCGTGCCATCCTCCCCCCGTCCCTCTCCCGCTCGCTCCTTCTTGGCCTTCTCCTTCCCCTCCTGCCGACGCTCCCAGAGGATGCGGGCAAACCAGCCCACCAAGCCAAACAGCGCAGCGCCCACGACATTGACGCCCGACGGGGCCAGCGCACGGGCCCACGCGACCCAGGAAGGCGTGGCCAGCGCCTTGACGGCGGTCGTCAGGGGGCCCAGGCCCGACGACATGCCCGACGACACGCCGGACGCAACGGCGTCGGCGACAAGCGGGCCGACGTCCGCCAGGGCGGCAGCGACGACCGAGGCGCAGGCGCAGGCGGCAGTGGCGGCAGGGGTGGCGGTGGGGCAGGCCGCCAGGGTCACGATGGTGGTAGAGGTGACCACCAGGTCGTCAACACAGCACATGTCCATGTCTAGTAGAAGGTTAGTACAGGATGGTCATCAGGGTGGAGGTTATCCCAGAGGAGATTATCCCAGAGGAGATTATCCCAGAGGACGTTATCCCAAAGGACGTTATCCCAAGAGACGTTATCCCAGAGGACGTTATCCCATAGGACGTTATTCCAAAGAAGACGTGTGATTATCCAAAGGAGGCTGTCCCAGGGCAGGTTGCGACAGGGAAACAGGAGACAATGAGACAAGGAACTTACTGGTAGGTGGGTAGGTAGGTAGGTAGGTAGGTTGGTTGGTTGGTTGGTTGTTCGTTCGATTCCTATTCTCTCATACAGTCAGTACTCACGCCGCCTACCAGAGAAGAAAAGTTCAAGAAGAGAAGAGTTTGCATCTCGATCAAATGAAGGGTGCCATGTCCGGAGCCGAGCTGTGTGGTTCCTTCCTTCCTTCCCAGGAATGAGCTGTTGCCATCCCAGACCGACTCCTTGCGGCAGACCACAAGACTTTGCCGTGGTGGCTGCCCAAAATGGTCAGAACCTTGCTTGGTACTGCTTCAGAGTGGAAGGCACATGGAGCAATATAGCAGCAAGTGGTTTGCCAGACAGGAAGTGTGTCCTGCTCCTGTTTCTCACATAAACATCTACCATTTCCACTTGGACAACATCCAAAACAGACAATGTTCAACATCATCAACACCCTTACTACCCTGTTGCGTTGCTCATGATATCTCCCAAGACCGTTCCTCGGCGCGCAACGTCTGCCACAAAGTCGTGCCCTGATCGCCACATTGAAAATCCCTTGCTACAACTTCCTGTCTTCTCATCCATTTCCATCAAGACAACAAAATCGTGTTCAACCAAACCACCTTCCAATTTTTCCTACGATGTTGACTGATTCTCTTGTATCCTTCATGATACTCGGCCCGCCATCTCGTCTCATGTGACATCGATCCAGCAACCTCGCCACCCATGAGCACTCTGGGCGTCTGGCTGCCTTGCAGGGCGTCTCATAGCCCGACACCGACATGTTCCCAGTCTCAATTGGTATGTTCTCTCCTATCTTGACGCAGTCGGTACTCCGCAAGCCATTTGTCGTCCGTTCTACAATCAATTTCAATCCATTGGAACCGTCGTCTCTATCTTCATTGCTCTTGATCCCTTTGTGGGCCTTCTTCATCGATCTTTTCGTGAATCACTCTTTCTTTCACCTCCTATCTCGACCTCGAAACTCCCTGCCAAAGCTCCAGAAGATTTGCTGGACGAAAACGTCAAAGTACGCAAACACCGACCACATCTTTTCAATCCAACACCAAGGGCTCAGGTTCGTACCACCATACAGCTCACCAGCAACACTTTACTAACAGGCGGTCCAGAGCTTATGCTAAATGCCCTGGGAACGTCTACAACGCACCGCAAAAGCACCGCAAGAACCATTGCTTCCGGCTCACCTCCTTCAGTCGACCTCCACAAACTCTGCGTACACGTCTGGCCCAAACATCAGCTCCCGACCACCTGATTACCAGAACCTGTGCCGTTTACAGATTCTACACATCTTCACAACAATTTCATGTATTCGTCACACGTCTCGGGCCACAGAAACCACTGTAGATACAGAGACTTTAGTCGATATCTCGTACACCCTTCAGGCATATCATCGCACACACAGCTGACCTAAACATTACGATGGTCATGATCGTCGAAGCGTTCGTCAACCTGTTTCACACAGCATTTCGATCTTCTGTCAAGAGATTCAAATACATCGTCTTGGCACAATGTTGGCACTAAATTTGGGGTTTGGATGGGCGTTTGGGGGGGGAAGAACGATTTATCAGACGACTTTCTTATAATTTGAAATGAAGCAATATTCAGCCTGAAGAGCATCACCCTAGAAAGAGAGACCAAAAACTTCTGCGCGAAAGGCATTAGCAGTTACCTCGGCTCCAGAAGTCCCTACCTTTCAATCCGCACTCTCTGCCACTAGGGTGTTCTACGTCTCGGACTTGCCAAAGTGACCTATATCGTTGAACCCCGAAGGCATTCTTCCTACCAGAATGCATCAAAATTGGCTAGGTCGCTGCCATCGTATTTCCTCAAGTAATACCTCGAGATGTCGAGTTGAAGGCCTAGCAAGCGAGACATCTATGTATCTCAAATTTACTTGTGGTGTTGAAGACTTCTACCAACTAATGGAACCTTGATGGCTATTAGGACACATCCGGTTCATTTTAGTGTCAACGCTTGGACCTTTGCTTCAAGGAAATGACAGTTTTCTCCAGTTCAAAATGCAAATCCATTGAAATCTTGCTTGGTTGTCTTGGACCAGTCTCCCTGTCTGGTAGAAGAAAATCTTTTACGCATCTTTTGTTGTCCTTTCTTATAATATAGAGGCATCACAAACACTCTCACTGATAAAATACTCTTTCCAGTGCACTGAATCTGCATAAATCATTGTCGAGTTCGCACTCTGCATTTGTGTCGGCAGTCAACAATGGCCAACAATCTTTGTGCTCCACCTTCACTGAACCGTCGCCATCGTAGCCAAGCTCCGCTGGCCAGAAACTCGACTGACAATGACACAGCTGTTCATGTCAGCTCTTCGTACGAGAACAATTACTGTTCGATGACCAGGAACAGAGCATCTTCTTCTGCATTACCAAGCTTAGCCCACATTTCGATACAAGGCCGCACGGAGACACCACCCCCAACATACGACCAATTATTCCCTCCCCCAGGTGATTCCGTATCACGATGCAGAGCGAGAACACGACCGCAACCATCGCCTCCAGAAGGTATGGACTCTCTTGTGGCAGCAATGTGGCACAATGAGAACTTAAGCATGCTGCACTCCCTGCCCGATGATGTTGTCATCAAGATCATCGGGATGTTAAGCAACAGCGGCATCGATTGCATCCGACGCGTTGCACGAAGATTTCCGCCCCTGTGCGTTCGCGAAGTTTTGAGTCCACTGCGAGGAAGTAACCCGACGATATCGGAGACCGGCCCATTCTACTGGCCCTGCTTCGAAGCTTCCTCCTATCTCCGGCCACAGTTCTTGGAGCTCGTCGACCGAGACGAGTACTGCAATGGCTGCCAGGCGGCCCGGAAGTCGCTTCTCTGGGAGCAGAGGCTCCACAACCTCACCAAATACATGCACTGTTCCGCCTGCGCTGCAGACCACCCCGCATGTCTTTTCTCAGAAAGTCAACGCCGCAAGCCGGCACGGCTTCGACGGTGTATTGCGCACGAGGGCTACATACGGATATGTGGTCATCCAGAGGGTGTTGTGCGTCTGCCTCAAGCCTTGAACCTGAAACGCAAGCAGCTGGGGCGCCTGAGGAGTGATGCTGCTACCAAAATCCAGTGCAGAGATCCCAGTCATGTTGTACAATGCAGCAGCGTACAAAGAAAAGATTTGGCGAAGCCTTACAGTCCCGGATGCAGAGCTCGAGTTTGCACCGAGTATTACCAGTCGCCAACGGTCTCGGCGCACGAACAGATCCCCAACCAGATTGATATCCAATGGACCACTCACGTACCATTCAACGGTCAGATGGACGCTCTACGGCCCAAGCTATTGGAGATCCGAGAGAACGCTGGGAAATACATTTTCCCATGCCCAATGACTGCCAAGGAAAATCCCGAACTTCGCTGCTTTGACCCAAACGACTGCCACTGCACCGTCTACAAAGGGGCCGAGAACGTACGATGGGAGTGGAAGGGCGGGTCTTGGCGACCGGGGAGGACGAAATGCATCAGTGACCCTGCCAGGAGATTAGATTCTCTGCAGCCCTCACCATCGTTTGGTAGAACCCCATCCGCGGTCGTCCGTGGTATCGCGCGAAGTCTCAAGACAATCATAGCGCCAAAATGCCCGGCAGTGTCGAGAAGGCATCAGAGTCGCGCACAACACGCGCCTCGAGCGTACAGTAAGGGGGCGTGCTTCGTGGACGTCAAGCCGTGCCATGCTAGCAAGAATTGCCTCGTGGTAGACTACATGCGAAGTCTAGTTGTTTGTGAAGATGGAAAGCTCTATAAACGATGGTACAACGCTCTTGACCCTTCGTCATATAACATCACAGCTGATCAGGACGGGCTGGGGATGTACTGGTGCTGGCAGCCTCACTGCCGCAACTACTTCAAAGGTGTCCCAAATTATGCGGGCATACTTCGCGGCCTCGAGTTCCGCAAAGAATGTCAACATTATGATTGTCAGTGATATTCTCTATATGGATGCAAGATGGCGATGGGAAGAGGGAGTGCCAGTTGGATAGGATAGCATCGTGACGGGCAGGAAAGAGAAAAGCAGAATATTTCCTGATATTACCAATTTGATATGCGGATGGTAGACTCGGCTTGCGGAGTCAGTAATCTTCAAATGACTAGCTTTATGCTCTGTGGGATAGTTACACACGCATTTACAGTTCATGCTTTTACCCATATCCTTTCGCTCTGAAAATAGTCCAGGCTGCTCTCGTCCACGTGATCTTGTCAGAAAATGGCCGTTTCTAGCACTCGATTAGCTTATAATACCCCATTCGATTCCGAACACGGCTCGCTTTTGTGCTGGAATAACTATCTTTGGGACTGGAGATCAGTGCTTTTTGATATTGACAATGTATTTGGCCGGCGCCCGGTACTTGCGTTCACAGTGGAGAGCCTTGGCATGACTGAGGAGTAGTTGTGATGTCAAAACACCTAGGAATATGTTCCGATGTTATTTGAAGCGAGTCTAGTGATATAAGCCAATCTTGTTAAGGAGGGTATCTTGACGCATCATGCTGTCCTTGATCCCACTATTCTTCTGCTCCCACTAGATTACCACAAGCCCATCAGCATCTGCCACCACACGGAAGGGCCGTCGCATTTGCTATCAAACAGATTTGGCTACGGCAGGAAGACTATATTTGTGTGAGATTCGTGACCGTGAAATTATGTGTAAATTCGTTTGAGACTAAATACTCTTTTGAGATAATCCCTGAGAAATAATATTCGGTAGCAACAGACCGATAACGGGACTGCTATCAGTCCTTGCTCTTGCTAGTCAGGAGGCCGTCACAGTGACCTCGGTACCAGCAAGACCATCCGCGCTCGCCTTGACCGTGATGTCTCCATTTCCAGTTCCCTTCACGATAGCCAAGGCATACCCATTGAACGCCTTGCGTACTAGACTTGGGAAGACAGTCAAGTCCGTTGGGTCTCCGTTATCAGTAGCCACAATCTCACCTGGACCTTCTACAGAGAAAGTGACCTCGTTGGCGGCGTATGGCACCCTGTCGCCGTTCTCGTCAACCACCGCGATAGAGACATACGACAAGTCGTACCCATCGCCCACGATAGCTGTGCGATCAGCAGTGACATTCAGGGATGCTGCCGCGCCCACGGTCCTGACTTCCTCCTCGGCCCAGACCTCTCCGCCCTTGTAGGTCACAGCCCTCAAGCTGCCAGGGGAGTAAGTAACGTTGTCCCACCGGAAGCGGTACTCACTCTCGCCCCTGGTCACCCTGCCAGCCGACTTCCCGTTCACGAACAACTCCGCCTCATCAGCAGACGAGAAGACATGCACGGGAGTGACCTTGCCCTCGCGCTGGCCATCCCAGCTCCAGTGTGGGAGGATATGCGCGCTGCGGACCTCAGGCGCCCACCGGGCCTGGTACAGCCACCAGCGATCCTTCTTGAATCCAGCGAGGTCAATAATGCCAAAGTAGGAGCTGCGCGCCGTGTACTCGTCTCCGTCGTACGGCGTCGGCTCGCCGATGTAGTCCCAGCCGGTCCAAACGAACTCGCCGCCCGCGAACGGCTGGTACCGGTCCTGCTGCGCAAACACCTTATCGGCCGACGAGCCCCAGTAGGGTCCGTACAGCTCGTACGCAGAGACGTACTGCGCTGTGCTGTTGCCGCCCGACCCGTCGAACACCTCGGCTGACTGGTTGCCGACCACGGGGAAGATGTACGTCTCGCGCGAGCTGAGCGATGACGCGCTCTCGCTTGTCCAGAGGAGCTTGTCAGGGTAGGTCGCGTGGAAGCGCGGGAAGCTGCCGTTGTAGCTGGCACCGCGTCCCTCGCCTTGATAGTTGAGACTTTCTACGTCGAGTACGTTGGCTAGGGCTGAGCCGGGCTGGGCGTTGTTGAGTGCTGAGGTGATGGGACGCGTGCCGTCTTCGGAGTCGACGATATCTTTTAGGATCTGACCTGTGGCACCACCTGCAGCGGTGGATTGCTCTGGAATCTCGTTACCGATGCTCCAGACGATGACGGAGGGGTGGTTGAAGTCCCGTCGGACGAAGGAGCGGAGATCTGCCTCGTGCCACTCCGGGAATAGGAGGTGATAATCATTGTCCACCTTTGCTTGGTTCCAGACATCGAAGGCCTCATTGATGACCAAAAAGCCGAACTCGTCAGCCAGGTCGAGAAGCTCGGGCGCAGGAGGGTTGTGCGACATGCGGAGGGCGTTGGAGCCCAGCTCGCGCAGATACTCGAGCTGGCGTTGAGCAGCGCGGTAGTTGAATGCAGCGCCGAGACTGCCTAGATCGTGGTGGTTATTTGTTCCCTGGACATAAACTCGGTCGCCGTTGACGTAGAGACCCTCTGAGGTGTACTCTACAGAGCGAATGCCAAACTTGGACTCGTATGTATCGAGAACTGAGTCTCCCGATGACACAGTCGTGACTGCAATGTACTGGTTTGGTGTGCCGGACGGAAGCACACCCCAGAGCTGAGGGCTTGCGATAGTAACAGAACCGTTGACAGATGCTTTTCCTTGACCATCTACGTCCACCGACGTCTTAGAGAAGGTAGCCACAACTTCGTCGCTTCCAAGAAGATGCACTTCAGTCGTGACGTCAACAGTCTGGGCTTCATCCAGTTTGTTCTCGACCTCAACAATCAAGTCAACTGTCGCAGAGTCGGCCGAGATAGTCGGGGTTCTGATCTTGGTGCCGGACTGCGCGACGTGCACCTTGGAGGTCTTTACGATCCACACGTTGCGGTAAATACCTGCGCCAGGGTACCATCGAGACGACTCCTTTGCGTTCTCCAGGCGCACAGCCAAAAGGTTGTCCTCTCCGGCCTTCACGTGAGCCGTCAGGTCGACCCGGAACGAAGCATACCCATAAGGCCAGCCACCAACTAACTCCCCATTGAGCCACACGGCCGCGTGTGATTGCGCGCCGTCAATGTCCAAGAAGATGGACTTGGAGCTGTCGAGGTCGGCGTCGGTGAAGGTCAAGTTGCGGCGGTACCAGCCGACCCCGTTCGATGGAAGACGACCCATACCACCACTGATTCCCTCGGCGAGGAAAGGACCTTTTACAGCCCAGTCGTGGGGCAGGTTGAGCTGCTCCCACGAGGAATCGTCGAAGGAGGATTGCACGTAGACAACATCCGCACCTGGAGCAGTGCTATTTGATGGAGAAGGATACTGGCTGCCATCGATGATGAAGTCGTTCGCTTGCGGGAGGATCCATGGCCTGAGCGTGCCATTGTACGACAGCCCGTCGGGATTGTCCTCGAATCGTTGGAACCTCCACGCGCTGTTTATGCTGGTACGCTCACGAGCTGCTGTGGACTCAGCCCTCGGGACGACGGGAGCTCTAATGTTGGCCTCAGCAGGGTGAGCGCCGACTGGCTGGTAGCATAGCGGCAGGATGATCGATGCCACGAGAAGCCCGCCGGCGTTGCTCGCGGCTCTTAAAACAGAGTGCATGGCAGGCGATGTGGACTGAGGAAACCTACACACCAATTGAGGCGCTCGCTCGCGTGACTATCCATCTCCGCGTCCTGTGCATAGCCCAGTGGGTTCTTGTAGCTTATAATTAATGAGCGGTGGTTTGCGAGTCGCGTCATAGTCTGCGTGCTGCTACCCATATAGCCGCTCGCGATAAGACTCCCCCGAAATATTGTGGATCTGAGGGGTTCGACGCGCTTTAGCCCCCGGCTGCAACGCAACGTTGCCAGCTTCCTACGATGGTTCAGGCTGCTCCCCCGCTTCTCCCTCCATTGGAGCCCTCGGCGGCGGAAATTGTGTGCACGCATTCCATGCTGATCACGACATGTCAATAATGAATATAGACTAGCGCCAGGTACAGGTCCCGCCCCGTGGTCACATGCATGGATCACTCTGTCAGGGGAAATTGTCCATAAGCCTGCCTACAGCAGCCATCGGTAGTTGTTACTCCTCGAGCGGAGAGTATTTACAAGCAAGGTTTTTGCCTTGCTTGAGGACTTTACTGCTTTCTATGTTTTGGCACGAGCCCACCAATACGTCAGAGAGCCTGAATTTCCAAGTGTACAAGCCCCTCTATATCCAGACCTTCCCTATTCAAACAAGATCATTGCTGGGAAAGCTTACCTTACCAAGGGCCGACTCATAATTAGAAGGCTTGGCAACCTCATGAAAACCGTGTTGCTACTTGAGAGGAATTCACTCTCATGAAGGGCAGCCTAGCAATCATGTGCAGCCTTCAAAACTCTTGTAATTTGCGCCTACCGGCTAGGAACCCATTGAGACGGTAGATACGGATAGACAAAGCTAAATCGTCATCAGACATCAACAGACGGAGTCACTGTCAAGATGTATTGAGAGAATTGGAAGCTAGAGAGTACACTTGGAAACAAGTCGACGGGACAAATAATCAACCGACCTCAGCCCTGAGATCATAAAGGCGTGCCATACAACCTTGCGATTTGGAGCAAGTCCAATGCAAAGGCGCGCGTTGCTCGGAAGTTCTGGATTAGACGATGAGCTCATGTTGGATGAATGGACGCAGCTCCTCTCATCGATCATCTCATATTTAATGTTTTCCTCCAGGTAAAGCTTTCGAGAATAGCGGATAACTTCCATTTACAACCTGTCGAGTCCGGCCTTGCACCCATTGTCATCTCAGTCTGATGAGCAGAATATTTAGAAATCAATGCAGGAGACGTTGCGTCTGCAGGGCTCGACTGCGTAGATACATGTCTTTCGTTGGCTATAGAAACACATCCTGTCTTCGCGAGTCGGATCACTCTTGGAAAAGTAATCCCATGCCTCAGCCCATGGCAAGCACTTTGGCCATTCCGGCTTCGGTACCTCCCTTCCCTGCAAATCCGCAGTCGACACCACACAACTAAGGGGAGTTTCGCTACGTGCTACGTGCTACGACTAGCCATTCCTTTGCGAGCCAATTTTGACAAAGGGAAGCTCCATTCTTTCCAAACTTCATTTCCAGATCTGGCACCAAGCACAACAACTGCGGTCTAATCCCGCTCTCGAATGGTAGAACCCACTGCAGTAAATAGCAATCAAAAGTTTCCATCATGGGTATTATTTTGTCTTTCATGACTGGGTTCACTACTGCGCATTGGTTTCCGAAAGACAATAAGAGGGGAGAAGACCCCAGGATTCCCTAGGATCAACTTGGTAAGAAATTTGCGGGAGACCGTGTGATCTTCTGGGGTGGTCAACGAGCCTCAGAGCAGGCGACCTGGTTCGATGAGGAAGGCTCACAGGTAAGATAGCCCAGAAAGCGATGCAACGTCCACTAAATAAAACGCGGTACCTGATAATGCATCAGGTCAAGAATGTGAAAATGCCGGTGAAACGAGGTCGATCTCACACTCAACAGCCTCGCAGATGGGTATTAGTTGGGAGGGCTGTAGAGCCATGGTTGGGGAGTAAGTACGATGACTCTGTTCAAAGGGCTACTGCTCACTTGATACTACTATGTAGATCACGGAAAAGTGCGAGTGGGGAGGAAACTTGACGATGGCCTTCTATGGGAAAGAAGAAGAAAATACAGCTCATTATGTTTCAAGCTACTGTCGACCTCATGCCTGGCATATGCCAAAACCAGAACGAAGTGGGATCTTGAAACTCATGATTGGAACATACCTTAAGGTTAGGAACTTGAGTTTTGCAAAATGCCTCCATAGATGCATTAGTCTTTTTTGACAAGGCTAGAATCAATCGCTTTTTTTTTTCAAACGGATTTTCTTCGAGGCTTTAATAGCAAACAGTCTTGCCTGTCATACCAGTAGCATGGTGTGCATGTGCTCGATTTTCTCTGGAGAGGGCTAGGCCCGTAGATAAGCGCTCAGCGCGACCGGAACCCGCAAGCCCGGGGGACGTCCCGCACTTGTGTTTACCATTTGGGGAAACTCGGCTTGACCAGATGCTTGGCTGATCCGCATCGTCGGGTCTTCTTAACATTAGCGATCAATTGTGGGCCCCATTCCTAAAATGATCTTGTGTTTGATATCTATAAGAAAGACTGCCTAGCGGGAGTCGCCAATTCTTAACATTAGGGGAACTGTGTTGAACTAGATAGGCGGGGTAAATCGCCCATGACTCAAAGGTCTATTTTGATTTGAAGGGAGACTGATTTATTTTCTGTCATCGTTATCTACCCCGGTGTTATCATTCATCTATCCCTAGTCGAGCCGGCAGGGAAGACAATACAGGATACTTAAAGTCAGCATTCTACCGTCTCTCAATCCACACACGTTTGAGCACATCTTTTTCCTCCAGAGGTTTCAGCAGCAACCACTTGGATCATGTTCGTCAATCCTATTTTCGGGGCGGCCATCCTTGGGGCTCTGGTCCTCGTGTATTTGGGCCGCTGCTACTCATCTCCGTTATGGAACATTCCAGGCCCAGCACTGTCAAAGGTCACCTCTTTTGTCTTGAGATGGCACGAATTTGGCGCCAATCGAACGCTATACATCCACTCTCTTCACTTGAAGTACGGTCCAGTGGTGCGCATTGCGCCCAATGAGGTCTCATTTACGTCTTATGAGGCTATCAAAGAGGTCTACGGATCGCTGGGAAGCGGTTATGACAAGCATAATTTCTATGATCTTTTCAGGGTGTTTGGGCGCAGGTAAGTCCTTCGTTTGGCGGTCCCCCCCCCCCCCTAGCATTCATTGGAGCTAACCTTGCGGTGTGTACTTTCGCGATTCAGAACAATGTTTTCAACCCTCATGAAGGGCGATGTATGTTGTCCAGACTGGCAATCCGAGGCAGAAGAGGACTAACACGCCTGCAGCACGCCAAGCGCAAGCGAATTCTGGCTGATCGCTATGCCAATAGTAACGTCATGAAGCCTATGGTACTAAGCGGTATCGAAAAACGCGCCGAGGATTTCGTAAAGCAATGCATAGACACAGCAAAGAATACTGTCGATGTCTACGTAATTACAGAATCCGCACATCCCGAGAATTACCCATCGGATCTCTCATTGACATGTATTTTCTGCTCTTTAGGTCAAACTTCATTCTTATGCCTGTGATTGCATCACTCACCACTTGTTTCACCCGTATGGAACAAATAGCCTCCAGAAAAAGGAGGACACGGATATGATGGAGCAAGTCACAACAGACGACAGTCTGCAAAGTGAGATTCCATTTTTCAGCTGATAACATATGGGTGCTAACCTTATAAGATCGCCTCATTCAGCACCACTATCCAGTCTTTTACCAGTACTTTTGCAAACTTCTTGACCTATTCTTCGACCCACGAACCACTCCACTCGCAAAGGATTTCGTACTTGGCGCTACCTCGAGAATCGATCCCGCCAACTTCACTCTTCTCAGTCGCCTACAAGACAAGACCGAGAGCGGTAGCAGTATCAACCAGTTGGACAATATTGATGTTGCCGCAGAATGCATGGATCACATGGTCGCTGGTATTGACACCACAGGCGACTCGCTATGCTTCTTGATGTGGGAACTGTCACAGCCGGCATCTCTTGACATTCAGAGGAAGCTCCAACGGGAGATTCAAGATAACCCAGACATTTCTTTTCATAGGCTTTCCTTCCTTGACGCTGTGGTTCAAGAGGGACTACGATGTTATCCCGCGATCCCAATGTCTTTACCTCGGGTGGCCCCCCCAGGCGGAAAGACAATCGACGACTTTTTTATTCCTGAGGGTACTATTGTGAGCAGCCAGGCATACTCAGTACATCGGCACAACTATGAAGTCTTTCCTGATCCCGACGTCTTCAACCCCGAGCGGTGGATGTCTCCTATTGGCGAGCCTGCGAGGAAGCGGCACATGTTTGCGTTTTCCCATGGCGGCAGAGGATGTGTTGGAAAGCAGTGAGTACTTTTTGCGATACAGGTATTTGATATAGCATGCTGGCCACCAATACTAATCCCTGATGCAGCCTCGCATTGGCGGAGATGAAAGTCCTGCTTCATGCCGTATATGGCCGCTATTGTACAGTTCCAGATCCCGCGGCTCCTCCTGAGAGCATGAGGTCCCACGATCAGATCATTTCTGCCCGACCATACGGACAACAGTGTCTCTTGAGATTCATCCCGTTACCGGAGTCAAAAGCCTAGTGCACAGCCAGGGGACTCAATTGCTTAAGATGGTGGCGAATGACGAGTTGTAAATATAGAATAGATAGAAATGTCTTGAATATTGCTAAAAACAGCTTCCTGAGAAAGGCAAGAAGACTTCTCAAAGCAAGCTCGTTGAATATTCCACGTAGAATATGCCTCAATGTTCATTTTTCAAGCCCGGTTCCATGGCTAGATGACTTGGGTCCATCATGTATATAGATAGCCCGACTTCTATTTGAGAAGGTCATGAACAGGCATCAACTTTGAATCAAGAACGTCTGTATATTGACTCTTAAAATGTTGGACGAGGGTTGGAGAGGCTTTGGGTATGGTGCGAATCAGTCCTAATTGCCAGTGACGCGGCACAAGCCGGCGAGCGTGAATACAGAATTTTGTGATTTCTACGACTCTGCGCGTTCGTTTCTTTGCTAGAGGGGACATAGGCTTTTTTTAGTAGAACTCTAGCGACAAGCAAAAATTCGAAGGTTAATTCTACCATGTGATCGAATTAGGATTTCCATTTGAGGTTTTATCAAATAACATATTGAAACCTTTGCTTTATGTTTTTGAATCCATCAGCGCGATTGATTATCCGGCGATGCAGCTTGGATTGGCTGTAAGAACTTTATGCATGATCATGTCCCGATTTATTTGAAGCATGCATGGTACTGGCATCGGACGGCATCCGCGCCTGATTAGTCTAGTAATGTCAGTATACCGATCAACTGGTTATAATTATAGGGTCGTTGAAAAAGTTCCTCCTTATATACAGTGGCTAAGCCTCGACTCACATGTGCTAGTCAAGGATTCAGACTACCTAGGTACAGCGGACTTGTCACGGTGGCAGAATGAATACCATTTCCCGGGTGGCCATGTGGACAAGGAGAAAACAATCGGGATAGTCAATTATTACGACTATCATTCCAACGTAGTACCTGGCCATCAAAAATCAAAGTCTCCCTCAGAGTCATCTGCATCAAAATCATCCCTGAAATAGTCAAGATAAACTCCAGCAGCTCGAGGATCATCCGAGAAGTCATCATCACTCGACAGATCTGAAAGCAGGCATGCTGCGTCCGGTTGTTGCCTCTGCCACTCCGCTTCTTCTTCCAGAATCCTCATTCCATGTTCTTTTTCCCAGTCCAGAAGTACTGAAACTATCGCTGAGTAGCCTCGTCTTTCAGCCACGTGAATGGCTCCACCCAAGCAACCGCGACTGCTCCGGCCACCAGCCTTCAACAAAAACTCCACCATGTCTAGTTTTCCCATCTGGGCAGCACAATCAAGTGCCCGAAATCGACGTGGAAACGTTTGTTGATCCTTGAAGCGCAACCTCAAGTATCCGCTCAAAGCGTTTACGTCGGCACCGTGGTCGAGTAGGAACTCTGCCAGGGTCAGGCACCCATTCGATGCAGCCCTTTGTAGTGCCGTTTTCCCGTTTACTTCGCTGGGCGGCTCATTCACCTTGGCTCCATGTACCGCGACCAGATATTCGATGAATTGAAATGAGGTGGGCACCCAACACGCGATCTGCAAAGCTGTGCAACCAAAAACCCCTCGAGCGGGTGCATGGACGTCCGCATCCCGTCGAAGAAGCTCCTTCGCCAAAGTCTCACGACCCCGGCTGACTGCTTCTTGAAGCGGCGTCCAGTCACTTTGCCCTACAGGGCCATCAACGCAGGTTCGTTCGTTCAAATCCACCCCAGCGTCGATGACTTCGAGAATGAGGTCGTCTCCTGCTTCTGCTTCCAATAGTGTACTTGTCAGGGGTTGCCAATTTTGGAGTTGCGGCCGCGGCCGATGTGTCACCGGAGCACCAGCATCAAAAAGGCGCTTGAACAATCCAATGTCTTCTTTACGAAGCTCTGGATCTAATTCAGAGAGGCATCTGCGCATCCATTGGCCTTCGTGCAGCGAAGCTTCCAAAATCGTCAAGCCCTGCCCTCGGTGTTTGTAGTCAGCACCTTCCCGAAGCAATCGTTCCACAATCTTGGAGCGATCACGAGAATGACTGCGGAGTGCATCATGCAGCATCGTGTGCCCTGACCGTGCGTCAGGCTGAGAATGCACACTGAATCCTTTGCTAAGAAGGAACTCTACAACCCTCAAGCTGCATTGGCTGCGGATACTCAGGTGGAGTAGATCCATATCCCCTTCGCGGTAATCAAGATTTTTATCAACCAATCCTTCCAATAGCAGAACATCACACGGATGGTATGCACAAATGCGCCTCTGCAACTGGCGGGTCTCCAGATCTGGGTCGTTGGACAACGTCGCTTCAATAATAGCTTTGTCAAAGCTTTCGCCAATGCTGTGAGCCGCTGCAATGTTTCGAATCCAGATAAGAGTATCGAGACGCTTCTTTGTTGACACAAAAGGGTACAGTATTTGAGGATGGCTGTTTTTGATGACACCGGGGAATCTTATATCCACGAGGTCCACTGAGTTGAAATTCGCTCTGTCATCTGCGAAACAGGCGTCTGAGAGAGCTCTTTGACTGCACAATAAATGTCGGTGCAAGTTTTCAAGCCGACGAAGTTCTCTGCCATTGGAGCCGTACTTATCGAAGTTGTTCTTCAATTGAATAATTTCGTAAAGAGGGACCATGTTCAAAAAAGAAGTGAGGCTGACTTTCTTCACGAGAAGCTCTAATATCTCCAGATTTCCAGCTGTCGCTGCAACGATCATTGGATTCCAATGTAAATCGCCCTTTTCATATCGTTCTTGGTTCCTTGACAAGAGATCCACGTCAGGGTCCACTCCTAGCTGTAGCAGGGCTGATGCTGTCTCGATATCATTCAGACTTGCTGCAAACAAGAGACTTTCCTGCATAGTAACGCGGATTTCGAAGGCATTGTTCTGTTTGCAAGACTGGAGATATGCCCCGAGGCACTGTGGCCCATCCAGAGCGGCGTTGAATATGCCGGCCTTGCTCACAAGGGCTCTGTGTTCGCTGCTCCACCGTAGAATGATAGAATAAAGACGTCTTCGTTTCATCGGTGGGCAAATCATGATCAGTTCATCAACTGTAAGTGATGCAGGTTTGGAAATTGTCACTTTGGGGCGGCCACCGTCGCAACATCGAGCTGACAAAATTGGCAGCAAGATGCGGCCCTGGATGGTCAGCTGGATATAGTCCGCGATGGTGTTGTCTTCTCCTGCCTCTTCGGTGTCCAAGACACAAAGATGACGCAAAACTCCAGATATCGGACTCAGTCCTAGCTGGTTGTCAAAATGAGCCTCCTCCGCGGGATACGCGACAGCGTTGACGAGAAGTTTCATCATTGCTATGTCTCGATGAGCTGCCGCCGACAAAAATAGATATCGCAAGCCGACTCTGTCTCGTGATGGCACACAATACTGAAAAGCACGCTTGGCAATTTCGAGCATTCCATTCTCTTTCGATCCGATTCGCACAGCAATCCTGAGGAAGTCAAACCCCTTGACTGTCATCAGATGGTGTTTTGCCACAGCCTCGTGGATTTCGAATAGAACACGTGCAGGGCTTGGATCTCGGAGTTTCCTGACTGCGTGACAAAGGCTTTCAAACATCGCGCAAGCTGTTGGGGTCTTAACGGAGAAGAAAGCTCTCAGCACCGCGAAATCTGCCGATGCGCCGAGCCAGGTCAGAAACCAACTAGAAAGGTCGGCTCGCCAGTCTATGAACAGATCGTTTGATAATTCAAACGTGAAACGTGCGAGTATATCCAAGGAAGGATTACACCCGAAGAGCCTCGGTCCCGGGTTCCAAATCCGTTCTGCGGGTACTAGGACAAGAAGTTTGTGCGATGTTGCTACTTCTCAAGATTGATTAGATCCGATCTGGACCATGGCATCTTGTCGATATGTGACAACTTACTCAGATTCAGCAGCTCGCTCATGAATCGATTGAAAGGGATGTGCTCGCGTAAGTACCGGAATCGCGAGGTACCAACTTCGGCCGGCTCGTAAAGAGTGATCTGAACGTTCGGGGTGGATTGGTCAATGTGGCAGAAATTTCCGATACCATGAGGCAACGATATAAAGTCATCTGGATCCAAACAGAGATCTGTCTGTGTTTTCACGGGGGCGGTTTCCTGATCTTTCCCTGATGGTGAGCCAGGAGGTGTCCTCATCACCACGTCCACCGGCAGTTCAGGTGGTCCGGCTATGTTAAGTCAGTACATACCTAGCCGCCACGTGCGAATGGTGGCGAAGGCTCTTGGCTTACTCGTTCGAGAGCAGGGTTGTCTCAGCTTTCTGTTCCTCAGAACTTCTTTCCGGACCTTCCTGGGCGCTACAGCGCTATTGTTCCAAAGGACCTCGGTCTCCTTCCCTTGCCTCTTCCGATTGGATATGTGAATCCCAATTGTGTACCAGTCTTCTCTTTTTAAATTCTTCTTGAATTTCAAGAGTTCTCGCAGCGCAACTTCATAGTCATGTAACCTATAGGAATCAGACCTTGATTCGACTGTATGGTGTCTTAGCCTTGCCTGAAGCTGTACTCACCTTAGGGCAGGAAATTCATGCCCGTGTTCCATGGTAAATTTCACTTGTTTCAGTGTCTTATTCTCAATTATGTATGACCGGTAGAGAATGTCCTTGTGTTGGAACCAGAGGCTTTCCAGGTCTGTGGCGCCGATTTCAGCCGATGCTGGTGGACCCATGGTTCCAGATATGGCTGAGACTTAAGTATGGGAAATCTGGACGTGGGGATCTTGGCCTTGAGAAACGCAGAGGGATTGTTAGATGATGCAGCAAGATAGAGTTAGGTGTCGTCAGTACGAGGTGTTTGGAAGAACAGAAATTGGGGACAACGACCCCGAGCATGTTGCTCAAGGAGCCGCCAGCCTTTCTTGTACATCTATCAGTATCGTTGACCAAATTGGAAGTATGCGGACCCCACTTTGCACTGCTGTCTGACATGCGCCTCAGTCCCGCGGGGCACATATTCAATTGACCAGAATCTGACGACTCACAGGCCGTCGGGCTCGCACTGTCCCGCGAGACCTCTGGAGCTGAAAGTGTAGTCGCACCAATAATCCGTTGTAGGAGAAGCTTCCAAGGTCATCGTATTTATTTAATATTTGTCAGTCCCATCCTTAGGCAGGTTGTTTCCTATTCACCTGTGTACTGAGCGAGGATTGTAGAGTACGTCTTCCGCAGGAGATAGGTTGGATCTTCGATGACTCCAGCCTAACAATTCCATTTGCCGGAGACAACCTATCTACTCAAAGAATGTTGTCAAATCGAGGACCAATTGCTAGAAAGGTTGCACGGCTATCTTGGCGTCCTATGCTGCCCGTCTAAGTGCTCCTGGCGTTGCCACGTCCACCTTACCTGCCAGCTGCAGCTAGCCATTTTCTGGAGCAGATTATTGGCCAGATTATTAAAGGCCGGTGCCAAACATCTGAGGTCGTTCTATTTTACAAGGTTTAATATGAAACAGCTTTTATCAACAATCTCGAGTCAAACATTGGCTCTCTGATTCCACATGCTATGCAGAGCATTCCCAAGATTGTGGGTTCCCCGTTTCAGTGGGTCAGGACTAGGTTCCATATCCATAATCTAGGCTTTTCTGTTGGGTCTCGAGAATGCTATTATCATGCAATTGACCATTAGTTTCTCCGGAGGGGCTGAAAATTGTAACCCGGTCGGATTTGCACGGCAACTACCTCTTCATAGCTGGAAATGCCAATACCCAGCACCTGAGTGTCTTCACTGGCGATCGATTTCTTCACCAAATTGGTATTACTGATGGCCTGAGATCATAGCTTACAATCTTTGTTCAGTTGGACGTTCAAACTCCCAGTCCTCGGAAAACGACCCATACTTCACATCCGGGTTTCCTTTGAAGATGTCGTCGTAATGATCCACCGTGTTAGCTGGATCTTCGGCCTGAGCGAAGTAATCTTTTCCGATAGCCTTGAACTTCGGATCCTTCCATATCGTTTCCATCCAATCCAAACCTTGATCACTAATGCCCATTAGGGGTAGGTTGTAGGTGCGGAAACGCTATCCATAATCATCAGCAGACAATTATGTGTCAATTACCTCGCATTGTCTGAGGCGTTTGTGAAAATAATTTACTCACCCATAAAACTGGCCAGAAGAATGCATCGGCGATTCCAAACTTCCCAAAGAGAAAGCCTTCGTCGTCGTCTTCCTTTCCCAATGCCTTCAGCCTCTCTACCGTCGCGGCCCGAGACGAGCTCCACAACTTCACCATCTCCTCGCACTCTCTCTTGGCTTTTTCGCTCATGGGCACTTCACCTGTGAACTGATACCTCGCAATGAAGTTGGTCGCGAACTCGTCCCTCAGCGTGGTGAAGCCGGAGTGCATCTTCGCCGTGGCACTGCGCGCCAAGGCCCGCAGCTGCTTATCCTCTGGCCATAGATGATGTTCCGGGTGCGTTTCGGCGAGGAATTCGAGTATGGCAAGGGAGTCGTAGATGGTGAAGTCTGATGCCTCCGTTCCAGTAGAATGCACCACTAGGGCGGGAAGGAGACCACCCTTATAAGGGGGTTGGATAGGTCGCGAGGTGGGATAGGGCCTCTGTTTGAGGTGGAAGACTTCCTTCTTGTGAGGGATTTGGAAGTAATCTAGCACCGTGGCGGCGCGGGCTGTCCATGAGGAATAGCGGGTTGGGAAGCCTACGAAGGTGTATTCGAAGTCGGCAGGCATTGCTGCGATTAAGGATGAAACAATGGCTAGAGTAAAGGCGAGCGACTGGTTGGTGAAATTAAAAGGTATGTGCTAAGAGGAGATCGTTGAATCCCATTACTACTTATGCACTTCTACCCAGCTGTGGTTGGTCATAGCGCAGATTTGACAATTGAAGGGCGCGCATTTAGGTTGACTCACGGAAGGTTGACTCAGCGATTGCGCGATACCAGTTAAGCCGACGGGTCTCAGAATTCCTCAACTCGCATTGCAGAGCCTCCAATGCATCGTGAGTGACTGCGCATCTGACACGGAGCTAAGTTGGATGGAAAACTCGCGCAAATTCTCAATCAAGGTTAGAGTGTAATCCCCCAAGGATCGTACCCTGTATTTCGAAAGGGAAAATCAAGCTCGCATTCTCAAAGGCCTACCACCTACTTAACGAATACAACAATCAAACCTTGCAGACCGCGAGCACTTCGTCAGTCGAGCACCAAACGATGAAGAACATCTGAATGGTTACTGTGGGCGAAAGGTAGTGATCTTGCCAAAAGTGTCACTCTTGCCCCATATGCCAGCTCGAAGACCGGCCAGTTGTACGATCTGAGAATGGTCGACGAACAAGTTGACATCCACACCAAACTCCCGGATGTACCTGCGCATTATTAGGACACGTCCGATTATCATAACGATGGACGAGCGAAGGTAGGGATTAGCCTTACCAATTGAACACCGACGGATCAGCAGCCTCGAACATCACCTTCTCCATGGGGACTTCTTTCAAGATGGACTGAATGACATCAGTCCTCCACGACTTGACATTCTCTGTGATCCCTTCGCTCTCAATCATCATCCTCTCCACGCCGGCGTCCACAAACTTCCTCGCCATGTTAATAACCTTACTAGGATCGCTGGTGCCAATGCTCTCTAACTCGGTCGCTTCAGTGTCACCACCAGCGCCGAACTGGATACCAAGCTCCGGCTTTGGTTTCAACCCTGCCTCTTGCACTCGCTTGACAAGGCTTAGCCAATCATCCCCTGGGAGGGACAAGAATCCGGTAGATATCTCTATGACGTCGAAGCCGACGTCTTTGCACTTCGCCAGATACTTGTCCACAGCATCGACAGTGTCTCCCCCACTTGAGGAAAGAATATGTTCCATCCAGCCACCTGTACTGACATACACGCCGTGTTGATGGGCCAGGTCAATCAGCTCACGCAGCTTGTCCTCGGGAAAGAGCGAGAACGAGCCACCGGCGAACTTCAGCCCGTCAACGTGTGCACCCATTGTTTCAAGCACATCCGTCAGGTAGCGAGTGCCCATGACCGTGTAATAGGGGCCGCGGATCTCGGTGACGGCGTTGGACCGCGGCTTAGGGGGGAGAGGATTATGACGGACGAAGCCGTAGCCGTTGGTAGAGTCTTCGAGGAGGATCTTGGGTTGAGACATGGCTGCTGACGTCTTGCATAGGTTGCGGCTCTGCCTTACCAAGGATGTTGAAGGTGCTCTACTGGCTCTGTAGGCTCCGCTGCGGATGGCAGACGTGACAGGACGGATTGTGGATGCCATTGTACATCGAATGGCTGGACAACGTTACTTCGTCAAAGCTTCGAAGCGCAGATAGGTGATGTGGAATGAGATGAAGACCTGGTATTTGAAAGAGAGAGAGAGAGAGAGAGAGAGAGAGAGAGAGAGAGGAAAAAGGAGCGTTATCTAAAGGCACCTCCTGCGCTTTATCGGTGCTCAAAGTCGTTCAACACACGCGGACATGCTCGACGAGGAAGAGGAGGAGAGCAACGTCATATTAACGTAAAGCTGTCTTTGGACGATCATGATGAAGTAAACAGCAGGTCGATCTGGGCGGGCGACCGTTGGCTCTACAGAGAATCATTTGGCTGAACCAAGTGACGGTCGGTTCCATTACAAGCCATTTGGGTGGTCGCGATGCTACGGTTGACACTAGTCAAAGGTTGGCACTTTGGTGATAGCTTCGGGAAGTATACAGCTTAACCAGGAATGGTGATGAAGTTCAGGAGTGAAGGCTGATAGCTGAGGGTTAGGGTGACTGGTCCCTGCAGGGCCACAGCTGTAGTCTACGCGTTCTGCCAGAGCTCTCTGTACTTTCTTTCTTAGGCCGGCCTACTCGTGAAAAAGTCCTTACTGTCTTGGTGCATAATTCGAAAGCCCAAATGACGTCTCATCAGACGTGTTGAAGCCGGGGATACTTATTTCCTTCATGACTTACTTTGTATAGCCAAACGCTATGCCCCGCCAATGTGTATGTTCAAGGCGCATGGGAAAATTGCTCGGCAAACACAGTCTCAATCAATTACGATGAAATTCAACGATGATTTTCTCTGCTGGGCGACTAAAGCCGAGATCAGACAAGCTTCAGGACGGATAAGACGCATAATTCAATTAACGATGAATTGTGCATTTCTTCCAAGCTATAAAGCACCCATTCATCTACCACTATCTTCCATTCATTTTGCCGGCGGTACTGGTCAGAAACATACATGCAGCGATGCAGATGGGCTTCTAGATTCTTGTTCATCGCTATTCAGTTTGCCGTGACGGAAGGAGCTGGTTGGTCGCTTTATCAATTGTCGGCTATGTATGCGGCTCGGATTCCTGACTCGTTAAGCAGTCTCTCAAGTAACTCCCCGATCTGTCTGAAATCCCAGTCTCTGGCTACTACGGCGATTTGTAGAGGATCAGCTGCGTGGCTGGCTGGCAAGGGCGGGGCTGCGTCGTGGAAAGTTGAGCCACTCGTCACTATGCCGTAGATTCCTGATTGCACCCATTGTTGGGAAGATTGCTTCTGTTCGTTCACGAAATAGACAGTGCCATCATCCACATCCCACTCCTCTTTCTTCCACAAGCGCTCGCCGTATGCTGGAAGACTGCTACAGCTGCCGTATTCACCCATCAGGTGGTTAATCTCCGGGAGTCGTTCAACTCCATTCGGTGCATTATCGTATTGGAAGCGGATGTAAGCATACACCTCCGGAGCGGACAACAAGTTCTCGATAAAGACTGACAGCGCCTCGGAAGTAATTGTCTCAGAATTAAGAGTTGGGATGCTGAAAAACATGTAGGCGCGTTGACGAACGGGGCCGAAACCCCGGTGCTGAGTGTCCGACTGGGATCTCTGCCATCCCGGGCATGAGTTTGTTGAAATGATTCCATAGTCATGAAGACGAAGAAGGCTCGTAAAACTATCAGTCTCACTGTCGGGGGCCATTCCGTAGCTCGGACAAACAGGCAGTCTGCGTTGAAGGTAGCGCCGGTTGAGCTCCGTAATGGTGTGCCAATTGCGAGCACGTCGCCACAAATCGTAGACTCGGAGCTTCAGACTTCCCTCGCTCTCCTTCCTCGCTCCGCTAAGGTATTCATTCTCGATGTCTTGAGCCTCTTGTGCAATTGTCGCATCCATCTTGACGGAATGGTTGTCGTTTTGGTCTCGGTGATGATGATTAGTGAAATGAACACTTTAGTAATTCTGAGTTTTGTAAAGGCCAGTTCTTTGCACGGCAGCTGATGAGATTCCCAGTTGTTTTCAATCGGCTCGCACAATTGATATTTATATTGTTTTGTTCCCCGTCTGTGGCACAGAGGGTTCGTTGTGTCAGGCGCCTGTTGAACTTCACTCATGCACTGGCAGTATTACACTTGTCACACATGATACATCGGTAACAATGTGTGACTGACGTCCATACATATTGACACCACTCAATTTACTGTCTGTGACGCGAAAGTGTGTTTATGTCAGGCGCCTTCTAGCCTTCACTCTTGCGCCGGCCGTATCTTACTGCGATACATGCCATATCAGCAACCATTGATGTCGCATATGGCCGTGACACTCCTTGGGAAGACGATTGACTGGGAAAGTGCGCTTCTGGTAAGCTGGCCGTAATTATCCCCGCTGCATAAGATCTTAAACAGATCCACGTGCTTGGGTTGCATACCTTGGTACTTTCAAGAGGCCACCAACACCTAACTTACTGTCGAAGGAAAGGAAAGTCGAGAAATCTACCTACTACCACCGCCCTTCCTTCACCAGGGGGAGGGGGGTGAAGACTGCGGAAGTCGCCGTCTATTAAGGCCGCATCGTCGCACCACGCCCGACATGTCCAAGTCCAGACACCAACCCAGGCAGGCCAGCAGAGACTGAAGTGCGCAGTGAGGGTAGAAACACAAACAGCCAACAGCAGCCAGGGAAAAGCAATGGTCACTTGCACACATCTTCTCGCTCCGTTGAGATAGAGCCATCCCCTCTCTGCGATCCATGCAGTAAAATAATTTCAGTGGCCATATCACACAAGTCCTCGCAGCGCCATGGTGCTCTGCCCACAGTCATGTAAGGTTTTCAGGGCCCGACGCGCACAACGGTGGCAACAAGTCCAGTTCCTCCCTCTTATCAGCGGCTGCCTTGTACCGCGCGACCATAGCGGCCGTCTCCGTGACGCTACGGGCCTCGCAGCCTGCTACTGTTGTGCGGTTCTTCTTGGAGAGCACTTGAGCGTATGCTGGTGTTTCGTGGCCTCCAGGTGGAAAGTCGCCTCTTTGTGGACTGTGTTATGTTTGTAGAGTGGCAGCATGTGTGGCTACTGGGCGATCTGGTGGTCATCGAGGGTCTACAGTCGCCTTTTGGAGATGCTGCTCTATCGCGAAGATAGTCTTCCCCTGGGTGTTCATGGGTGCACGTTCTAAGACACGAAGATGACGACGTTTGTATTCTTTAACACTGTGGGAGAAACCTGTGACTGGTCTCAATTATACCCCAAACCTCAATTTCGTTTTCTAGCAATAATTCATGGGACGTTGAATACTAAGCTAGATTTGAAGTATCAAACATGTAATTCACTCCATGGGGCATCAATTAGAATTGGACAGGACGTAATATGACAACCGTCTTTGTCCGTTGGGGGTGAAGATAATAGGATTCTTTATTACAACCTGGCAGCCTTCAAATCGGATTCAAGGTCTTTGTGCATGCTCTCTTGATTCGATGCCCTGGCCTGAGGATATCACTGTCAACTCGACAAGTTGTCAGACAATTCAGTCGAGCACATAGACTACAGCAGACAGTCGAGGGTTAGGAGGGTCGGGCGTCAAAGTGTAGGGATTGAGCTTTCAGAGCAATACGTGGCCCGTGCTGGCTCAGGGGCTACCCTGGCAGATTTTGATTGGCGCAAGGAGGTGCTCGAGCTCCGCTTTTGCCGTGCTGGCTGGCGGCAACAATGCAACCAGCCTCTGGAGCTTTGGCCGACGTGCTTTTTGGGGAGGAATCAAGAGGACAATCAGCCGAGTTTTCTCACTCCCAGAGCCCATCATTGCCACGACGCGACGAGTTTGTGACGAACCACGACTCAAGGTGTTTGACCTGAAGCAGTCCCCATCGCTTTGGACCCTATCGAGACGAAAGTCCGCCCGCAGCCCACGCGACGAGTCACCGCGACCGCCAACGAGTCGTTGCTTGTCGTGGCCCAACTGACGTACCTGCGTCTCGTCATACTGCGTCCACAAGCCCACCAAGCTGTCACAGCATCTTGCATGCTGCTCGACAGTCCTAGATCGGCCGAATCTCTGTCCCGCGGCTCAAATGCGATTGCGAACAAGCACTATCTCCCACTCGACGTGAGGAGGATTCCTACCACAACAGGGGAGTCAGCGTTGTGAATCGAGAAGAGGGCAACGGGACAGCCTCCTTCGACGCATTCTCCTCTGGCTAGCTTTCCCAGCGTGCTGGTCGCCGGACCAAACGCGCCCCTCGCATGAACCTTCCTTCTTACCTCCTCGCGAACGGGAACCACCTCAACGGAGCCGCATTTGGAAGCCCACGCAATCCAAACTTCCTACCTGGTTGGTCAACGGGGAATATGGCCGGCGCAATGAATCCAGGTGGTCAGGGAGGCAGTCCCGGCGGGCTCAATAATGGCAATCCGTCAGGCGCACAACCCCAGGCTACCGAGTATACGCTACAAGGCGTGATGCGCTTCCTCCAGACCGAATGGCACCGCCACGAGCGCGACAGGAACGCTTGGGAGATTGAGAAGCAGGAAATGAAGGGTCGCATAGCAAACCTTGAAGGGGCTGCAAGGCGTGCGGATGCGACACAGAAGGCATTGAAGAAATATGTGGCCATACTCGAGTCTAAGGTCAAGGATCAGGCTGCACAACTCAAGGCTGCCTCCAGTGGGAAGGAGGTAGACGATCAGAGCGCCAAGCCGAAGAAATTGGATCGTGAGGACTTGATACAGGCGAAACTGCGATGTGAGTGCCATCTTTTGCCCAAAGATACCGAGCTTATGACTGACATTGTGTGCAGCTGCGTCTGAGAAAGTACCCGGCGCGTCCCAGGACCTGGGCGTGGATCTCGAACGAATAGACGACGACGAGTCGCAGCGATCTGAACTCAAGACCTTCCTTGATCAGTGCCAAGCCGAGTTCACCTACCTTATGATCACCCCTGCCAATCCTATGCCTCCACGGGAATCACCCCCGTTGCCCATCCTAGAGGACCTGCGAGAAAGCGAGGGCTATGGGTTGCCCAACAGTCAGCAGCAGATGGACCCAGTATATCGTCAGGCTCAAAACAACTTGCGCGAAGTTCTGGGAAGGCAGCCGGCTGCTATGAGCAACCACGTGCAACCGATGCAACAGCAATCCGCCGGCCAGCTGGCAGTGAAGAATCCCGATATACAACAACCGCAGCCAACAGCCGTCGCACAGCCAATGGTGAGGTCTGCGGAAGGCCAACAGGGCTATGAGAGCACTCCGGACTGGCCTGGATCCGCGTCGGTCACCAGCCGGATGGTTGATGAGGTGCCCCCGGAATCGAATCAGGGTCCCAAACCCCCTGTTCAGTCTGAGAGGATCGGTTTCGATGGATCGAAGCCGGAATCGATTGACCACGATGGGTGGGACTTCAACGAGTCATCATTCCCAGACCCTGCTGGCCATTCCCAGCCATCTACCTCAAACCGACCGGATACCGATGTCTTCCCGGCTGCCGACAATCTACCAAAATCACCGAATCGCGGGCCCCTGGCGCACCGTCGAAAGAGCTCGCTGTCAAGACGAAGAAGCGGAGACCAAGAGATGTCACTGAATGCGTTGGCTCAGAAGGTTGAAAGCGGCAACTTCAAGCTTCGCTTCGGGCTTCGCGGTCACCTAAACACAGTACGGACCCTTATCTTCTCAGGCGGTGGCAGCCCAGGCGAGCCCGAAATTTGCACTGCGGGTGATGATGGCTTGATCAAGCGTTTCCACATCCCTCGTGGCAGTCCGCACTCATACAATTCAGCGTCGGCTGTGTCGGATCTGGATGTACAAGCTGATTTCACACACCGCGGCCACAATGGCGCTGTTCTTTGCTTATCGTCATGGTCGCCATCGCCGAACTTCTCCACAGGCGGGCGAGCACAAGGAGATGGCTGGATTTTCTCAGGCGGCCAAGATTCTACTATCAGGGTATGGGAACGCGGACGTGTAGACCCTAAGGCAACCCTGGATGGCCACACAGATGCCGTGTGGACCATCTGTGTTTTGCCTGCGACGCTGGGCGCTGTCTTCGGTCAACAAAATCCATATGGGACTCCAGACCGGATTCTTGTCGCCTCTGGTGCAGCCGACGGCACAGTCCGTATCTGGGCTGTCAGCCAACCGCCGCAACTGACAAGCCCGCAACCACCCCCAGCCTCGGCTGGTCGCAGAGCTGGTGGTAGTGGGCGCGTCCGTGGCAACAGCATGAGTTCTGGATCCGCATTTCCCAGCAGTCCCCAACCCACAATGGCGACCAACAGCCCATTCCATCACACACTAGTGCACACCATCTCTCGGTCCAACTCTACCGCGTCGCCAACCTGCATAACAGCGTTGAGCGCTTCTGGGGAGACCTTTGTCGTTAGCTACTCAGACGCTGCCATAATTGTTTATGATACCCGAACAGGTGAAGAAATTGGCAGCATGGCGAGTCTGGAGACATATGATGGTTCAGTCAACACAAGTGTTAACGCCGTTGTCGCTACGACCTCGGGTCTTGACCAGGGCCAGCAGTCGGGCCATGGTGGCCTTGGCGGCAACGAGGAGGACTCTGGCGCCGGCGGCGGGGGACCCACTGGTGGCGGAAGGCAGATGGCTGGTAGCGGTGTTGAGGGTGTTATAATTTCGGGTCACGAGGATCAGTATATTCGTTTCTTCGACGCCAACAGCGGTAAGTCAAGCACATTCGTCGAGCTCCTAGCCCCCCCCCCCCCCCCGTCATCACCAGGTCACTGACGACGTGTTTGTAACAGGTCAATGTACATACAACATGGTCGCCCATCCCGCGTCCATTTCCGCCCTGTCTCTATCTCCCGACGGCCGCGAACTTGTCTCAGCAGGCCACGACGCCTCCCTGAGGTTCTGGTCTCTCGAGAAGCGCAGCTGCACGCAAGAGATCACGTCCCACCGCATTATGCGGGGCGAGGGCGCGTGCGCGGTCGTGTGGAGCCAGGACGGTCGTTGGGTTGTAAGTGGAGGAGGCGACGGCGTGGTCAAGGTGTTTGCCAGGTAGGGGCTGGCTAACACGGTCCATCACCCCGTCTTTGATGCACAGGAATACTCACCGCCCCCACCGACGCCGCCGAAGCACGGTGTCAAGGGCGGGAGAAGGAACAGTAGTGGGAGTATGAGTAGGGAGTTGAGGTCATTTGTTGCCAGCTGCGAGAGGCTGAAGCTTTTTTGATGGGCTATGGGAGCGAACACTTCGGATACGCTGGGAATCTGAGGTACGAAGCTGATAAAAGTGCACTTGCAACTTCTCTTTGCTTGTGTATCTTGAACAACAGCATCCAAGGCCTGGAACAACAGAGTACAGGAATTGGGCAGAGACGCGGGGCAGGTAAACGGATGGGGGCCGACCGACTCGAGACCGAACTGTACGAGAACGTGTATACGGAAGAAGAAAGATGGGGAAAAGATTTGTCCCGGTCTAGCATAACATAATTATCGTCCTTGGAGAAAGCATGTCGTGGCGTGGGAATATGGTTTTTACAGGACGAATCCAACACCATTTTCTCCATGCCCATTTACCTATCCAAGGGCTCGCTTTGTTGGATGATGCGATCGCACCTCGAAATTCCCGCTTACGTACTGGGCCGCTTGTCTGCATCGAAGGAATGGGGGCTGCCGATTGAGTTTGCCCGGCATGTTTCCAACGTGGTACTCCCTCCCTCCCCACACCAGGAACATGATTCTTCTCTAGTTATCTTTGGCGTACTGAGAAAAAGGTGGCAACTCCAGAGCAGAGCTGGGCCATGCACCAGACATCGCACCCTCCATACGCGAGCTTGCAACTGGAACAAGATGATGCATTCCGCCTGATCAGGCTGCAACCTGGCCAAGGCGATGAACCCATCATCATCTGCCTCCAAAATTCGGGACTCAGCTCGTCACCGCCATACGAAGCACTCTCCTATGTCTGGGGCGACACCTCACACACGGCCGCAATCTCAATCCTTAGCCCAGACTCAGACAATGAAGCAGTCCAAATCCTAGTGACAGCCAACTGCCACGCAGCCCTCCGCAGACTTCGCCACCCAGACACGCTCCGCACCCTCTGGGTCGACGCGATCTGCATTAACCAGTCCCAGGTCGCAGAGCGCAACCACCAGCTAGCCCTCATGGGCCGCATCTACCGCACCGCCCGCCGTGTCGCCGTCTACCTCGGGGAGGCCGCTGACGCCAGCGATGCCGTCATGCGTTGGATCCACCAGCTGCATTGGCCGTCCGACGCCGCCGCCCGCACCTGTTTGGCTGCCATCGAGCCCCTGGCTGCCCGCGCGATCCGCCCGCATCACTGCCACATCGCTGCTTTGTTGCGCCGTCCTTGGTTCCATCGTGTCTGGGTGCTACAGGAGATTGCACTCGCAAGGGCGGCCGTCGTTGTCTGTGGGGATGAAGTCGTGCCCTGGGAGTGCTTCCTTGCCTTCCGGTACTGGATCTGGAGCGCGCAGCGGACTGATCTCTGGCATCTTGCAAGTGTCATGTCGTTCTCTCGGCCCATCATCGGCTCAGACCCTTCCTGGGGCAATCTTCTTGAGGTCCTTTCTGCGACACGGCATTGTGGCGCGTCGGACCCGCGGGATAAGCTTTACGCGCTGCTTCCGTTGCTTGATCGGGCACAGGAATCGCCGGATGGGGAGAATTCGAGTAGTATATCAAGGATCAAGCCCGACTATGGGCTTTCTAGTGCGGTCGTGTTCACGGACTTGGCAATTAGACTGCTGGAAATGCATGGGCTGGAGCTGCTTCGATGGGTTGTCAGTCCAGCAGCTGTCGCGGGACTACCGTCTTGGGTGCCTGACTGGAGTGTCAGTGCCCAGTCACGACAATTTGAAAGTCCTTTGAGCAGTCCGTTTCGTGCTGGTTTCCGGCATGAGACGACTTTTCACTGCGACCAGTGGAAGAGTGGGCTTGCTCCCAAAGCCCGAAAGAAACTGACATCTAAGTACACCAGCACAAACGGAGAAGAGCGTGTCGGGCTGAATCTCCAAGGAGTGTGCTTGGGAAGCATCATGGCGCTTGGGGATGTTTGCCACATCGAAAATGATTACCTCCCTCGCGCAAACTGGACAGGCATTCTTGGTGATACCAGCCACATGGGGGACCAGGCGTCTCATGCTAACGCAGGAGTCCACGGCAAGTGCAGAGATAAGTACACCCTATTCAGTCGTACTATGACCACATGTACTATTGACCATCCAAACACGGTCAATTTGTATGTGGAGAAGACCGAATCCCATCATGGTCACGAGGATGTCGTAGACAACCCTTGTTCCTCTGGAGAAGGTGGTCTATCTCATGACACCTTTCGGAGATTTCCAGAGTTTGAGCGGCACCCACAGGTGGTTTTTAGCAACTGTGACGGGCGAAGAGTTTTCGTCACTGACACTGATTATGTTGGACTTGGCCCTGCCGCAGCATGTGCTGGAGACGTGGTGATGGTCATCGAGGACGCCAGCGTCCCGTTTGTTTTGAGGCCACATAAAAAAGCATGCGCAGTGGATGAGAAGCGGGATAACTTTAAGGTTGACGAAAGCAATGGCGATTTATATAACAGTATACCCGTGTTTCAGTTGCTGGGACAAGCATATGTACAAGGCGTTATGGACGGTGAAGTTTGGGACCTCATGGGGAACGAGACTTCCCAATTGCACGTACAGGAGTTCATGATACACTAAAATACCCTTTTTCTTTCTACTAGCGGTGCTGATACCTGATCAATCATATGCATATGCATGCACGGCTTCTTCTAATTCTACACTCATCCCAACCTCTCAGCACACGGTGAACGCCACTCCTCATCCTGGAAGTCAACGCTCACGGGCAGCAACGTTTTCAACTTCTTTGTGTTCAAATTAGACATATCTGTATGCGATATCATATAAGGAATCCAAATCAATGTCTATGGAATATTCTAAAATTAGCCCCGAGCATCAACATTTCGCGTTTCTCGCCGTTCGGGCCGGCCACGGCGTATTGAGGTTGCGGCTTGCCGAGCTCGGCACCGCATGATGCAATGGACCGGAGACCACCCTTCAGGATCTTGAGGGACTTCATCTCCTCAACGCAAGCAGTCTAAGCACAAACTTTGCGCCAGGTAGTGTCGCACTGTCAGGCGTATGAGATGGAGAAATCTACTTACACAGAACACTTTGAAGATTGCATTCTGGACATTCTTGGGCAGACGGAGCGCATCAACCGGCTCTACACTCAAATCACCCTTTGTTTCCCAGTCTCTAGCGACTCTCCAACCTTGCGCACAGAGATCGTTGGCACGTTGGAACGTGGACTTGTGCAACTGGAGAACGAGTTCCCATGGATCGCTGGCCATGTCGTCCAAGAAGAGAACATTTTCAAAATCAAGACCCTAAAGACTGCACCGAAACTAGTGGTGAGGGAACTGCAAGACGATGGGACTGTATTGACCTGGGACGAGCTGAAGGGAGAAAGGTTTCCATTCCGTATGCTCGATGAAGCTGACTTTGCACCTTGCAAGACTATGGTAGAGCCTGGATCAGAACGACCGGTCTTACTGGTCCAAGTAAGCTTTGTGAAAGGCGGCGTCTTCCTCACGTTCAACGCTCAGCACGGGAGCATGGACATGGCGGGTCAGGGACAGGTTATCACACTCTTTGCAAAGGCATGCCGTGGAGAAAACTTCACGGATAGCGAGTTGAAGATTGGAAACATGCATCGGACGGGCCAGATTCCTTTACCTGACTCCAAAGAGCCGGATGATTCTGAATCACGGGATTCCAGACCAGAAGAGGTTGGTCGAGATATGGAAGCCAGCGAGGCAACACGGAACGCCTCAATTGCTACGCCTTCGAGTGATATCGAATGGGCCTACCTCGAATTCCCCGCTGCCTCATTAGCCAGCCTCAAAACACTCGCCAGCCAGAATCTCACAGCAGACGCCGCCTTCATATCAACAGACGACGTCCTAAGCGCTTTTATCTGGCAGTCTATCACCCGCGCACGGCAGCCACGGCTAGATAGCCCACGATCAACGCCCACGACACTCACTCGCAACGTCGACGTGCGCCGCCATTTTGATCTGCCACCCACGTATCCCGGATTGATGACGACCGCAACATGGCACTTTTCCTCCGTGAATGATCTAGTCCACCAGAGATCATTGGGTGCCGTCGCTTCGGATCTCCGCGCGGCTTTGAATCCCGACAAACTCAAGTACCATGCGCAGCTCCAAGCCAGAACAATCTCACAGGACAAAAAGACTGCGGCGCAGAGGAGCGTTGCTGCTTTGAGCAACCCTTCTTTCGACGTGAGGCTCAGCTCGTGGGCGAAGGAGAAGATGTATGATTTAGACTTTGGCCCTTGCCTTGGACGGCCGGAAGCGGTGAGGAGAACCAGGTTTTTGGAAGGTGCCAGAGAGGGCTTGGTGTATTTCCTCCCCAAGGGCAGGGATGGGAGCATCGTGGTTGGGGTATGTCTTAGGGAGGACGACATGAAGCGGATGAGAATAGATGGGGAAGTTGTTCGATGGTCAAGCTGGATCGGGTGACTGCTCCAAGTAAGGTATTTTCCCCAGATTATTTCCCTACAATGTGATTTCTTTTGAAACAACGAAGGCACGCTGGATCAACTTGAATTTGGTTTCAGAATCGTACGTAACATGACTAATGTCTACTTTTGGCTTTCCCCATGGTATAAGGAGAACTTTGCTCATGCAACGACTTTCATCGACACGAGTTGGGTGACAGGGCGAGGTGTGAACCTCATGAGGAAAAGCATTTGATTTTGTAAAAAGTACATCTCTATGATGAGATAATTATTTCTCACATTTCCCCTTGAGAAGGTTAAGAATAGGCTTGGCCTAGACAGTTTGTATGTGAACAGAATCTGAGCCATCAATGAGTTCCGTGGCCTAGGAATTATAATTTCAGTACTAGAAGAACATCAGGGTTCAAGTGCTCGCAAACTGGTTTCACCTTATCTACAAGTGGTCTGCAATTTTCATGGCGAATTCGTGGACCTCAAAGGCTGGTGAAATTGAGCTCAGCTCGATTGTAGCCGTAGGTAATGCATTTCTTGATCTTACAGATTGTCAGTCCACCTTGTCTCATTCACTGACGTATCTCTTGTTCCTCGAGCATTACTAACTTTCTAATTCTTCCCTTCCTCGTACCATTCATCATCTAAAGATATGACGCTGGTGGTTGAGCAGGACGTGATGAATCATCCTATACATGCATTGGTGTCAGTCGACCAACTCACATCGAAAGGGTGGTCGTGAAGTCACATTTCATGCAAACGTAATCGTTGACTTCCATGTTGTATTCCAACTTGTAATTGCGTCAAATGGTCTCTCTTGTGGTAAGTGATATTCTGTCACATGCGAAGAAGACAATAGCAAAGGGTTCCGTGTGCAAGCAATCCCAGGTGGTCAAGCCGGGTTTGTTGGAAGACCTTTCACTAAGTTTGCTGTGGTTGATGGATTGAATGTAGCGGTAGAGATATGTAATTTGGGTACTTCGGGTATATTATAATACAACCTGTCATCGCATTGATGATCTTGTAATATTGAAAACCGCAGGCTAAGAGAGTACAGTGGTTCGAAACCTCTAGAATTTGTTGAGGATGGCGGAGCGAAGAGTAGGCCTTGGTGTCTTCGTGTGATTAGCCTACATGGCGAAACGTGCAACGGGAACTAATTCATCGCCATTGTGACGCGGCGATGAGCTATGTGCGGCAAATGCGATGCTATGAGTTGTTCTTTGCTACACGCAGGTTCGATTGTTGGTGACTGGGCGCCAATGCATTCCCGCGGCGCGGCTCAGCCTTCCGAGGACTGTCTCTCCACCAACAACTATGCTTTAGCCGCTCACGTCCGGTTTTCGAACTGCTGTCCAGTACCTCAAACTTTCCGGTGCCGAACCTTTGGCCGAACCTTTGGCCAGTCAGCCTATCTTATCTGCTTAATCCGGGTGTCCCGTGCAGGTCGCTGCAGGAGGCCCTCCAGATGGCTCTCAAGTGTATGCGAAAGCGTGTAATTGGCCGATTTTGATGCGGCCTGCTTTAGTCCACAGTGACACAGCAGGATTTCATGGGTGGATCAGACAATGGACAAGTATGCGCTGGCCAGTAAGTTGAACAGGTGTCAGAGAGACGCTGACTGCCCCGTATGTGGGCCAGGGTGCACTGCAGGTGACTGATAAGCGGCATTGACGTAGAAATATCATCTTGACCACTCGCCCCAAATTGTAAAAGAAGCTTTGACGATCTGTGCTGACCTGGCTATTCAGAAGCATAAGCTGTTATATTTCATCGCTCTTCACAGCAATAATCTCGACTTTCCGTGACGCAATAAACATGGTGTCCCTCTCTCTTCTGTCCACCGAGAATCCGCCTTATTTGCTTGGCGACGTGCCAGAGATGCTCCGCCAGTACCTCGCTGGTATCTCTGTTCACTGGCCTGACTTCAGTCAATCGTGGGCCGACTTCTCAAGCTGGCTTTCTCAACCTCGTGAGTCTTACCTCAGAAGATCAGCGCTTTTGGGCCATGCTGATCCTCATCCAGACATTTTGGCTGTCGTCTTAGCTTGGTGGATCACATTCACCGTGATCTGTACAATCATCTTGGTCATAGGGTTTGGCCCTGCCGGTGTCATTGCAGGTGGGATCTCCAACTCACGAGCCCACTCCTCCTTCCTGCGAGCTGCTAAGATCGTTGAATCTCAGGAACTGCCGCGGCCGCTTTTCAGTCATTCATGTATGGTGGTTTCACGCCCGCAGGAGGTCTCTTCGCCACCCTGACAAGTATGGCCATGGTGGGCACGCTGGTGCCAGCGTGCTTTGCTATCTCCCTACTGATTGCCTCTCTTGTAGCAGCAATGGTCTGGGTGTACGGCGTGGGGAGGTAACTGTTATCATCGAAGGGCCTATACTCTACTTTATCTGCCCAGGCACCTCGGCAGTCATCAGCGGGGCCTTTGAATATTGATATATAGTCACGATGGAACTGTTATCGTTTTCTACCGATGTCGACGCTGACATTCCGATATAATCTCGGTAGTCAACGAGTGGCTCGTGTAGAAGCGCTGTGGAACTGGCTGTGCAATGACTTTGACCAAAAGTCGGTTTCTCATCTTCATGGGGTGGTCTTTCGGCCCAAAACTTGACGTTCTATTCAGGTCGAGTCTGTTCACAACTGCCAGACAAATGTCTAAATTTGGTGCCTCTTTCAGGTACTCTTGACAAGTTGCGCCGGTGCCGAGGCAGCTAAACCGTATTCGTAACAAGTCGCTTCTCCCGAACGCTACCATCTCGGCTCTTCAATCCTGGCCAGAACTGGGGACGCCGAGCGTGTGCATAAATCTTGGCGGCCCGCGCAATATTGAGTTTTGTACCTGAGCAAAGTCTTCCTTTGGCCGCACCGTTATCCCATCGACACTAATGATGCTATATGACAGGACTGCCAGAGGGCTACAAGCAGACGAAAATAGCCCAAGTTTAAGCTTATCTCGCTCTCGCCGCCATATGCCCTGGTAATCGATATTACTGATCAGCAAAACCAGGTGCTCGGTCCGTTCCCGCTACCTGATCCTTGTCCTCCACAGGGCTGTACCTCTCGGCCCTCGGTAGCAAAATATGTTGAGGACACAGTAATAATCACAATATGTTATCACATATTACTCTGCCGGCGAGTCAGACATCCACATCTGTTCCTGGTCCAAGTTGCGTAGCGTGAGGCGGCGTGGAACTTTAAGGAATTAATTGTAGGCGCGATTGTGCCACTGCTACGGTTCCTGTGTATGCCCACAGGATCAATATCCGTATTCCACCCCACAACTGAGAACCATCACAGTGCTAGAAAGGGGTTACCGTCCAAGATGGGATGACAGCCTTGATGGTGCTCCACATAGGCTACTACGCTGCTTATAGATGAGGTTCCACTTGAGGAAGTACATAGTGGGCAAAGCTCCCCCCATTGTTCGACCTTTCGATGGCTCGCTCGCTCCAACACCCGCACCAACTGCATACACTCTCGTTTTGATCTGGCCGAGATGGAGGTCGCCACCGTCAACGACTTCGGGTTCGAGTACCAGACCGCCACGCTGAACGGGGTCAAGTACAATTACATCCTCGCAGAACCGGCGTCGGGAAAGGTGGTTGGCACGATTTTCCTCATTCACGGGTGGCCTGATTTGTCCCTGGGATGGCGGAATCAAATTCCTTTTCTCCTCTCCAAAGGCCTCAGGGTCGTTGCTCCGGATATGATGGGATACGGCGAGACTGACGCACCTGAAGACGTGAGCTTCTAGTGAGTGAATCTTTCACACCAATGAACCACAGCATAGAGAGTTGCCAAAATTTCACATCGACTAACCACCCCAACTAGCACTTTCAAGCGTGCGTCAGATGACATCGCCGCACTAGCCAGCCATCTCGGCCTATCCCGTATCATCCTCGGAGGACACGACTGGGGTGGAGCTGTCGTTTACCGCGCAGCTCTCTGGCACCCAGACCTCATCGCTGCCTTCTTCGTAATCAGCACCCCCTTTGCGGCACCACGCATCACTTATATCGACCAGGCCACCGCGTTGCCCACACTGCACTACCAACTGCAGTTCCGTACGGACGTCATCCAGGACTACATTGGCCTCGGCGATGCGCAAAATGCTACGCGGGTCCGGCAAATCCTGAACACTATCTACGGAGTGACACTTCCGAGCGGAGCATCGGCGTTCAACTCAAGCGGCGAGGGTTTCACTATCGAGCTGCTTGACGAAGTTACTGAGGACACACCGCTGCTGAGCAAGGAGGAGTTGGACTTCTACGTAGACAGCTACCTCGAGGACCCCTTCAACAGGACACTCAACTGGTACCGTACTGGAGAGCTGAACTGGGAGGATGAGCTGGTGTTCCTTCCCAACGACACAACGTATACCGCCAAGTACGCGCAGCCTGGGCTGTACATCGGTGGTACGCAAGACACGGCGCTGCCTCCGGTCTTGTCCACGGGAATGGAGACGTATTTCGATAGCCTGTCCAGAGGCGAGGTGGATGGTGGCCACTGGGTGATGTGGGAGAAGCCCGACGAGGTGAATGGCTATGTCGATAACTGGCTCACTAGCTCTGTGCTGGGGAACTTGACTGTTGGCCTCAACCTTACGACGGCGATTGGAGCTGCAAGCGCTCTGGCTGTTCGATAAGTCTCGATCTTGTAGCTTCGAATTGTACAGTAGAAAACAAACAGTCGATGATCTGGGCATGCCTTGGTTTACCAGTGCTTGTATCGCCATTCATCTGGCTTACAACGGGACGTATAATCAAGCCACCTGCATACAACAAGACTCTTTCGTGCAGTCAGTCACAGTTGGCCCATGAGAACCGCCATCGCGGGTCTCGGCACCCAAACATGCCGTTTGGAACTGCCTAGCCTGCACTGGTATATAGCTGTCCCTTGACTTCTTTTCAGGAATCACTCAAGAGGGTAGGCTGAGCATATGAAATTATTTTCTCATCTACTGCCAGTGTGGATCGAAGTTTCGATAAATACAGCGTAGCTCAATACCATGGCTTCGCGTTCATAATGCTGTCATGACTTCACAGCAAGTCCTTTGTCTGTGTACCACACGTCGTGTTGGCTCTCACCTGGCCATCCATATCGAGTATTGAGATTGGCCTGGGAGTCATGTCTTCTCGAAAATGAACCATCATACGTGCTGCCTCCCCAGGCGCTCTTAGTGGACGTCCGGCTGCGCGTATAAGACATGGAGAGGTTGCTGCTGGGGGTCGACTCGGCCGTGCGGCCACGGATTCTTTCCATCAGTGGCCCGTAGCAGGGCAGGCATGCTGCGATGATAGAGCAATTGGGTTCGATGAGCATGAAAATGTACTGGTTCGATTGGCGAGCTATCGCACGGGGAAATCGTCAGCTGCTCCCATCAATCGACTCTGTGAAGACCAAGAGACTTTGTGTCGACTCACAAATATTTTGTTGTGACTCTACGAACCCTTGGAGGGTTTGTTCGAGAAGAACCAGGCGGATGATTGCGGCGACGCAACAGCTGCCAGTGTGAATGTCAGTGGCTAGTATCACCGATCCATGAGGAGTGTCACTGAGGATGACTGACAATGCACCCAGCCAGAACATGAAAAACACCATGCATTTCTTCCTTGCGGACAATAGCCAACTAAAGACGATGGGAAGTGGGAAGCATAGGACGACGACGTCAAGTGCGATGCTGCTGCCCACTTGCGCTAACCCCATCGCTGTCATGTCGTATCGCATCCTGCCCCCATGCCAGGATTCGGAGATGGGGTCTGAATGCGTTATCACGAGCTGATTTAAGAGATTAGCAATTATCCAATCATCTGATATCCATTCCCGGTGGGAGGAAGGGGCTTAGGTGCGTCCGGCATGAGAAATAGGGTACTCACAACGGTGAATACGAGGCACCAAACGGTGATGAGTCCAATGGCTACCCAGATGCATACTTGAAAGGTTCTAGAGATTTGGAAAATACGCTTATAGAAAAGCAGGACAGAGATCTTGACAGAAGACAGAGGAAGTTGAAGTAAGCAAGCCGTCAGAAACGCAACCTGTGATAAAATGGCAAGGATGTCAGTCCATAAAGTCATTGCAACATCATCGCATCTGACACAAAATGAATACCTCTAAAGAGTCATATGTGCCTTGAACATTGCCGATATCGTAAAAGTCGATGCCGGAGCTGGCGGAGAAGACCCAGAACAAGACGCTCATTGGGAAAGTAAGAAACTGCGGCCGGTGAGCAGTGACACGGCAAATTTGTGTTCAAGGGGCGGTACACATACCCAAGTCGCGATAATCCACCAGTCATCTGCGTGAAAAGGCTGGCGGCCCCGTCGTTTGGCAATGAGACGAAGGAGAATAGAAACTGCGGCTAGGACGGGGAAGACGACGGACACAACAATAAGAGGGGTGGTGATGACGGAGGCTCTCCGCATACCGCCGTTGCCAACGGAGAAAGACATATCCTCAACCCGTATTTCGTGAGGGAATGCAAGGTTGATGTTAAAGGATACCTCAACTCAGACGATAATTCATCCGCAAGACGACACAGCCTCTGGTTGTGGATATCGTCGTATTGCATCGATTCTGTCGGGAAGCCTCCATGATCACCTGGACAGCGAGACAGGTGCGTGCAAGACCTGAGTTGTCGGCCAGCGAGGACAAAAGAAGACAAAAGAATATGCCTATGTGAGCTCAGGGCTGAAGATCGACATCGCCATCGGCGCTATCGCACAGACTGGTCGATTGGCTATTCGCTCGACATGAGCTACGGGACAAAGGAAGTAGTCCATGTGATAGACATGTGAAAATAAAACTACATCACATAGATCTGGATGGGTTCTACTTTTGACATCCGTTCTTTCACTCGAGGAGTCTTGATAACCATGATTTAGTCTTGAGATCGAGGCTTACCCCTGAGGGCAGCTAGGAGCTCCCTAGGTAGTAAGCAAGACCGTAATGGCATTAGCTGGACGTGAATGATCTACAGCATCTGGAAGAAACGGTTGTTCAACCCAATAATCGAAAGAAAGTTGACACGTGTATGCAAAAGATCAACGCCATCATGTGACAGTTATAGACGCAGTCTGGACCTCGCGCCGATGCAAGGTAAAGTTGCCATGTCAATCCGACCCAGCAACACGCCCCATGTGCAAGGCAGCCTAAATTATGAATATGTACACATGTAGACGGAGCAATGACACGGACATTAGATGAATCCAGTAGACAAATTTCAACTACGCTGTAGTCTTGCCTCCGCTTTCGGGGTTTTTGAGGCGTTGGGGAACATCTCTGAACCTTTCACCGACATGTTCTCGGCCGATCTTGCTCAAAGAGGATCTAGTCCGTTCCGCTAGAGGAAGGAGGCCAGGCTGCACAAACTCCGACGCTGCCGGGCTGATGATCTGATAAGATTACCTGGAAGTTGGCTGCAAGGGAGCCCAATCTGTGTGAGATCCTAGCTTCCGGTCAAGATGATCTGATAAGATTACGACAATACCCGTCGCAAAGAAGGCTGCTTCTGCATGCAGGCTTACTTCTTCGAGTCTGGCAGGCTCCCAGGTGCCAGGCAACACACTCCAGTAAGCACTACCGCACATGGCGGATTTCCAAAGCCTTGATAAATCAGAGTCATCAATGTGGATCCCATGCTACATTTCACTTGAATCTGTCGGCTACGTCCGGTCATCCGGCGGCGGTTGTATTATGCGTTGTGATGTCTGCTGGACTGGCCGAACTTCGGGCAGTGAGCCGTGTTGAGGGCTTCCAGTCACGCAAAAGGTTGTCTCACAGCGGCAGTGACAAAGAATATAAAACGTTGAACTTCCATCCTCAAAATCAAGTTCGTATCTCTCGTCATGAGCTTCTTCATTGGCGGTCCTTCCATTAACTTTGCCCATTTTCTACATTTTGTCGAGCTGGATGGCTGACAGCAATAGAAAACCCCAAGTGGAGCTAGAACAAGTTGAAAGGGGCGCCCCAGACCGAATTCACGCCCAAAAGAATGCCTTTGAGGGATCAGAGACCATTCTTGTCACTTTCAACCCGGGTGATCCTCAGAATCCCCTCAATTGGTCGATCAAACGAAAATGGGCTGTCACGGCCGCGCTGTCTGGTACGGGTTTCATCCGCATCATGATCTCGACGGTATGTCTTCCATCGACCAACACTTGTCGACTCTTCTTTCTGACAAAGCCTGTCCAAACTGTAGATGATGGCACCTGCAATCACTACCATCGCCAAGGATTTGGATATGTCAAACACAGAGTCGACAATGGCACTGTCGGTCTATCTCTTGGCAACCGCCTTTGGCCCGCTTGTAATTGGCCCTCTGTCCGAGGTTTACGGCAGGAAACCTGTCTTCCACACAACAAACCTTTGGTTTTTGGTCTGGAATCTCGTTTGCGGCTTTGCCAACTCGAAAGGTCTGCTCATCGCCTCCCGTCTGCTGGCTGGATTTGGTGCCAGTGCCGTGTACAGCCTAGCGTACGGCGTCCTAGGTGATGTGTGGTCACCGGAGCAGAGAGGTCGCTCGCTTAGTTGGTACGCTCTCGTCCCGCTGACTGGATCAGCTATTGGACCGATTGCCGGCGGGTTCATAACGCAATATTCGACCTGGAGGTGGGTATTTTGGGCGACCACGATTCTTCAAGTTGTCCTGGAGCTGTGTTCTGTTCCTCTCGTACGTGATGAGACTTACGCACCTCTTATCTTACGTCGGAAGGCTGAGACACTGCGGAAAGAGACGAACGACTCCCGATATCACGCTGAAATTGAGATCCTTGAGTCCGGCCAGTCTGCTACTTACAAGTTACAACGCAGCCTGTCTCGCCCGCTTCGGTTGCTGGCATTCCACCCCATCATCCAGATCCAGGCGCTTCTTGCGGGTATAAATTATGGCCTATTATACCTTTCCCTTTCGAGCTTTTCGACCCTGTTCGTCAATCAGTACGGCCAGTCTCTTTCCATCTCTGGCCTACACTACATCGCCCTCTGCACCGGAAGCATCATCGGCTCCCAAATAGTGGGGCCACTTATGGACTACGTATACAAGACTCTCACAGCCCGCGCAGGGAACAACCCTTCTCCCGAGCTTCGTGTTCCACTCCTGCTGCCTAGTGTCTTCCTCACGCCCATCGGTCTCCTTCTGTATGGATGGGCAGCTCGATACCACCTCTTTTGGCTTGTCGTGGATGTCGGCGCCTGCCTCCTGTCCCTTGGTATGCAAGTCTTTGATACTTCTCTGAGTGCGTATGTTATGGATTCCTATCCTGAGCATGTAAGCTCGGCCTCGGCCGCAACGCAGGTGTTTAGGAGTCTCTTGGCGTTCGCGTTCCCATTGTTTGCAGACAAGATGTATCACACAATAGGGTATGGGTGGGGAAATACTCTGTTGGCGTTTTTGTCCTTTTTCATTGCGCTGCCTACCACGGGCATCCTATGGAATTTTGGTGCAAGCTTGAGACAAAGACGACAGTCAAGTCATTGATCGCTTGGTTTTGGTAAGGCCACCCGTCCTCACGTGCCCGCGAAGCCAATGGATTCGTTTTCTTACTGATGCGGGTAATCTAGCAACCATCAAGCTATTATAAGTCCATCTTGGGGTTGAAACGATTGCCAAACTCTTTCTCTCTTTCCATGAAAGAGAATCTGTCCTTCACTCTCTTCTTTCGCGAGCCGTTTGAGGCTCACTGAAGAACATGTACGCACCTTTATGAGACTCAGTGGCAGGTTCTTGAAAGAAGCCCGCAATGCCAATTCAAGTTTATAATCGACTTTTTCACGTAGCCTACAGAAAATATTCGGGAGCGACATTTACTAATGTCAACGTGGTCTGAAGTACCAAAATTGGCCTGGTGAATGATATGATATTGTATGAAATTCTGCCATCATAGCATGCATTCTGTGCTAATGAATTGATGAAGTCTGTAGTCAAACATAACTACTCTCAATTCAAATTATACTGTGGCGACTTTTGCAATACCAACATCAACTATTACAAAGCTTCAGGAACAGGTGCCACAGGAATGTTCACCAAGGGCCTTATAACTCAAACCTGCGACCCTTCAACATTTCACTGTTACTGCAGCCTCGTACGCTAATCGCGATTGGGACAGCATCAGAGTAACATTAGCCTGATGTACTGTCGTATTTTGCGTTGTCGCCAGCCAATGACAATGCAAATTCACCTCAGTTGGTGTTGGTCCCCCGCCAAGACCCCCTTTCTGTTTAAAGACGCATCAGCATTTCCCATGGATTCAGCTGATTCTGTCTCCTTTCATCAGATACCGTCGTCAACCAGCTCGTAGTCGGGCGAGTCTATTCAGGATACCTATCAAACCACAGCTTTCTGAACTCCTCCTCGGATTCAGGTACATACCGCCCAAGTCATTTCATCATGGCCTCGCAGAGAGCAGATGTGGACCGGATTTCATTCGCAGAAGCGACACGGGTCGTGAAATTGGACTCCCACACATACAGAGTCAACCTCGACGACGCATTTTGCGTCGGAAATGGTAATCGCCATTATCACATCTCTTCTGCGAAGTGATTTGACTGACATCATTTCGCAGTCGCAAATGGCGGCTATATCGCCTCTTGCATGCTCGCCGCTGCGAGTACACATCTCTCCTTGCGCGATCAACCAGACACCCTGACCGCCCATTTTGAGTACCCAAGCCGGACAAATCCTGGACCCGCCATCGTGAAAGTTGAAGACATAAAGCTCAGCGGTCAGCTTTCCACCTTGCACCTCACGCTCTGGCAGGGCGGGCTCGTCCAGAAATCGCCATGGATCACACCTACTTCACGCCGCGGCGTCCTAGCCTATTCCACCCACACTAACCTAAGCACCTCCACCGGAATCACGCTTCCGACGGGCTTCGAGGTAACTCCAGCTGCGCAGAACCCTCCCCTACCAGACTTCGAGGCGCTGAAGAGCGCCCAAGGTTTGGACGCCGTGTGGGAAGAGTCCAAATTGCCCAAGCTGCCGGACAGCTTTGGGCGCTCTCTAAAGAATTGGAATTTCTACGTGCCCCGTCAAGGCCCATTAGCACCTGGTGTCATGGACTTGTGGATGCGTCTGTCCAGCGGAGAGCGCATCACACAAGGCGCGTTGCCTTACGTCGTGGACTCATTCCCGGTAAGTAAATCACTGTCATTGGCTCCACCTGTCTGTGTGGGAAAGCAATTCTTTTCTGTCCGCACCCTGTCACTCAACGTACTTGAGACCCCTTTGTTGCCCCGCCGTTTGCTATGTGTATAAGCTGCAGGCATACAACATTCAAAGCCATCCCTTTCCCTCATGAGACTATTTTCTCTGCCTTCAGAAGCTGACGATAGACGCTTCAGTATAACCTACACGAGTTCTTGGCCGCGCCCGAGCTCCGTGAGCTGCTGCAGGCGTCTCGGAAGGGGGAGCCAGCCGGATATACAGTCGAGGAAAAGGAAATCAAGGCCAAGGATGAACAGCGTGCTACCATGTGGTTTCCGACCGTAGTCATGAATCTTGAAGTGAAGGCGGCGCTGCCGAAAGAGGGAGTTGAGTGGCTGGCTGTGCGGGTGACGTCAAAACAGATCAAGGACGGGAAGTTTGATCTTGATATCTCGGTAAGGGATGTGGATGGCCAGCTGCTGGCTTTGAGCCATCATGTTGCGATGATATTGAGCATTGAAAGGACCACGAGGAAGAAGCGGGCTTCATTGTAGGTGGCAATCGATTACAAATTCATTGCTCGCAAAGTTGGCGAGGGACGTACTGCACCTGATTCTCCATTTGGTGGCAGATGGGAGCTGACGAGGGGAGTTTATAATCACTCTAAGACCATCCATGGCAAAATGGACAGATGAGTTTGACATCCCGCTGTGCATAAGCAATAACCCAGCATCTTGTAAAACACCGAATATCGAGCGGTCGAGGGACCTGCCAAAGTCGCACTGGCCGTGTGACCGCATCATGTTACAGCTTTATTTCAACTGAGGTAATGCCCACCTGACCATCCACTCGGACCTAAACACTTCGTCTATTGACAAGACATTCCTTCGGCCGAAACCTGAGCATGCCACGCATCAGTTCAAGAATGGCTTGCATCTCTTTCTTATCTAAAGTTCAGCCGCGCCTCGCCTCCTCCTGTATTTCTAGACAGACTCTTCGAACGTTTTCTCGAGACTTGGCCCAACCTCCCGAATGACGTCTGGCTGTCGAGAAAGTTTACCATTCACAATTCTCCTCTTCACCGCTCAGTCGCTCTGATTGCTTGTTTTTTTTCGGGGAAGCTTTCAGAACCAAAGACATCAATTTGTTGAGGAACAGTCTCGTCCTCTGCTCTCGATTCGTCGGAGATGACTTTCGTCCCCAACATTTCCTAGATGGCAGTCCCGAGACTCCATACGTCTGATGGGTATGGCAAAGGTTGATACGGCTCAAAAGGAGAGAAAAAAAACTCTGTATTATACGATTGAAACCAGCTCAATTTTGATATTCTATCTTGGGCCGTTGGGCTAAATGGCTCATGGAATAGACCGCTCCATCTGCGCCGCACACCCGCATTCTAGTGAGGTTGCATGCGCCATGGAATTTCATGCCACCCACTAGAGAAGCTTGTCGGGCTTCTGGCGACCCCTAACCAGACATGGTCAAAAACCCGCTCAGGAGTGCGGCACAGGCGGAGTGCAGGCATTGTAAGTCACATGGAGCCCAATAATGACGCCAATAAAGTGGATGGCATTAGAAGCAACAGCATGAAATGGCTTGTCGCCGCAAAACTGGGTACCATCGACGCGAGACTAGCACCAACAACAGCCACGCTACATACTCCCATGAACATCCAATGGAATCGACTATCGCTGCTCAGTTGGTTGGATGGCTGTTGAACCTACTAAAAGAATTCATTCTCTGCTGTCTCCTTCGTTAGCTTTGCATACTCTTGAATGTGGGGAGATACCGGCCTCACTCACTGATCAGGACTTCCCGTCATGTCCTTCTCAGCCGCCCGTGGGGAACTCCCCAATGTGTGGACATTTCAGGAGTTCTCAATCGTTGCGTTTGCAAGTGTTCGTGTTTTCTGTAGCTTCCTCTTCCTTTTGTCTCTGCGAGATAATACTTATCACTCACTCATGCTCACAGGCAATATTCTATTGGACTGTTCGGTCATTCTGGCGCCTGCACTTCCATCCTTTGTCCAGGTTTCCTGGCCCAAGAATTGCTGCAGTGTCTGACATATGGCTTGCATATCATTCGTAAGGCCACCCATTGGACTGATTGATACGACCATTATTACTCAACAAGGGTCTAGGTTGACTGCACGATGGCCATGGGTGGTTGAGGATGTCATCAAGAAATATGGTATGTCCAAACCAATGCGTGTCAGGGACAAAATCGATTGTCACCCGGAATCTCACCACGAAGACAGGCGACGTGGTCCGTGTTGCACCCAACGAGCTGGTCTTTTCCATACCTCAGGCCCTGGCAGGTAAGTATCACAATTCCAAATTTGAACCCGATAGAAGCGACTCATGCGAGATCGTACAGATCTATACGGCTCCCACGAGAAATTATTGGAGCGCTTTCCAAAGACCCAGATCAACAACCACGGAAACGACGAGCATGGCGGCCTCATCTGGGAGTGGGATCCCGTGAGACATCGTCAGGTTGCTAAGCAGTTATCCCCAGCTTTCAGCGGGCGGGCGCTTAAGGCCAAGGAGCCAACGATACACAAATACGTTGACCTGTTCGTTGAGCGTATGGAAGCTCTTGGTTCAGGCGCAGGTGGCCAAGGGGTCAGCCTGCCAACTTGGATCAACTGGATAGTAAGCAGCATAATCCAGTGAGACAGGGATGATAATCTACTCGGCTGTTCCTATCACGGAATATCGTCTTTAGAGTTTAGTAGCTGATCATGGTGTTGCAGTGCGTGGACATCTCGGCAGATATGGCGTATAATCGGGAGATGAATGCCCTCAAAGACAGTGAGTGACCCAAACCCAACTCGAAAGTCAACTCCGCCTCTGAACAGAAATACTTAATTCATGACAGTGAAAGATCCACCGTATCTTGCGCTCCTCATGCGCGTGCACCGAGCCATCGTCGTCATTCAAATGTCGTGGCGCTTTCCACTCATCAGCCCGCTGAAATATCTCTACCTAGCATTTATCATGTCGGGACACTCTCATATTAGAGAGCATAGCCGCCAACAGCTAGAAAGACGCATCCGGCTCCAGGGCGCTGTCGAACACCTCGACTTCATCGAGCAGTTGGTTCCCGAGGACCGCGAAATCCCGAAAGGAAAGGAACTCCGTCACCTCGAACAAGTCGCAGGCCAGCTGCTCATTGCAGGCTATGAACCTCCATCCCTGTGGTTTTACTTCACCATATTTTACCTGTTGCAAAACCCCCAAACTTTGGGGGTACTAACCGCGGAAATCAGGAGCGCTTTCAAGAGCTATGATGAGATTACCGCCGGTGCCGCGGCGAACCTGTTGTATCTGACATGTTGTTTGAAAGAATCTCTCCGGTTCATCCCATCCCTCCTCACCGGGATGCCCGTCGTCAGTCCAGGGGCGACAGTCGATGGGACATATGTGCCGAAAGGTGTATGTTCTCAAACACTCCTACTTCCATGTTTGCATTTGCTAATCTTCCGTGACTACTTCAGGTGGTCTGTCAATCCAGCACCTACGCCTTAGCACGCAGTCCACACAACTTCCGCCATCCCTTAAAGTTCCGGCCAGAGAGATGGCTGCCTGCGGACGCAGGCCACCCCCTATTTGACCCGCAGTTCGCCAACGACAATCGCAAGGGGTTCCAGCCATTTAGTCAGGGCCCGAGAATGTGTTCGGGGAGGGAAATTGCGTGGTGGCAGAGCAGGGTTTTTCTCGCGAAGGTCTTGTGGAAGTTTAATCTAGAGAGTATCCCTGGACCAAAAGGTGATGTGGATATGGACAGAGATTTGAGAGGTTGGAGCATGTATGAGAAGCCCGAATTCCGCGTGAAATTTGTGCCGGTGGCGCAGAAAGAGGCTGCTCAATGACTTGGCGGTGATGAGAGTTCTTTCTAGGGCTTGAAAGGAGGATCGCACATGCATGTATTCCAATGATGGGATGGTTCCTGTTGACTGTATCTACAGCTTTGGACTGCTCATGATTGCCAGTGACCTGTCGTTTTGAGACACGCCTATTTACTTTAACGCCGTCGCGATAAATCTTGCGAAGCGGGTACTTTAACATTTTCCTGCCTCTTGATGCAGAGATGGCCTTGACGATGCACATTGTCTCCGAATAAGGCTCAATGAAGACCTCAGGGGACGACGTCATGCCAATCCCTGACCAGTCACGAAGAAGTACATCGAAGCGGCGGAGTACCTCTTATCATATGACGTCTGGCTCAAAGCTCCAACTCTTCAACTTCCATCCCGCAGCTCACACATGTCTTGATGCTCATTCCCTGATCATCCACAACCGCCCGGCCCCACTCATGTACATGTTTCTTGACCGCACCGCCGGCCGCCAGTGTCTCACCGAACCTGGCGTCCCCGCCGCCGAGGCTGCCGGTGCCACGGCGAAAGGCGTCGGCGCGCGTCTTCTTCTTGAGTTCCAGCAGGCGGTCGCGAAACTTGTCCTCCTTGCGCTTTTTCTTGGCAGTCTCGCGTCGCTCAAACTCGGCGTCCAGCGCCTCGGCCGACCCCCACTTCGTGCCGAAGGCGTATTCCTCCACTTGGTACCGCAGGAACAGCATCATGTCGTGCCAGTGCGTCTTGTGTGGGTTCGGCCGTGAGAGATGCGGGAGCAGGTCTTTGTCGCGGAGCTCGGCTGGTGGTCCGGCATTAGCAGATCGCTCCCATTACGAGACCATTTGGTTGGTATGTTTCAGAATGGGATGGTAACTCACGATCTGTGATCAGGTAGTCCTCCCGACACTCCGTCTTTGTGAGCAACGAGTACTTCTCAGGGAATTTCTCCTTGCACGAGCCGCACACGCAGCACCCAAACACCTCCTCCCACACCCAGTCGATTTCCAGGTTCCCGCACTCCCTGCACTTCTTGCGCTCAGCCTTGTCGGCGATGGCGCTCAGGCCGGGCTCGAACGGCCCGGCCTTTTGCTTCTGAAGTTTTCGCAGCAGCTGCATCCGTTCCCACTCCGCCTCCGTCATGTGCTTGGGCCGCTGCGGCTCGTCTGGGTTGACGCCCCCTTGCGACGGCCCGCCCCCCGACATGCTCTTGTTGAAGGGGTCGTCCTCGGTCGACAAGAACCCTCCTTTCGTGTCCGTCATAGAGCTGAAGTTATAATCCACAAAGCGCGCAAACTTCTTGTTCGCCGCGCGTGGCACGGAGCTGTCTTCATTACCGCCATTTGCCCCGCTACTTCCGCCAACATCTTGCCTTTTCGCAGGTGACCGCGCATCGCGGCTGGTTTCTGGTATATGTGATTGTGTGATGGATTCGTAGGGACGCTTGCGCAGTGATCGCTTGCCGGGGGCTACGACGTGAACGTCCTCAGTGTCGACAAAGCCCGAGGATGACTTGGCGACGGGCTGCTCGGTGCCGGATGCGCGGGCGGCGGCTTCTCGCTGTGAACGGAGATCTTTTGCGCGGAGGCGGGATTCTTCCTGTGTTTGGGAGGCGTCAGAGTTGCCGAGGAGTTCCGTTATCTGGAATGGCACCTACAAGTTTGCGCGTGACTTCCGGGGTGGGAGGTGAGACATTCACGGCTTGTGAATTTGCCTGCGGCGGCGGGGTGGAAGGGCGCACCATGACGGGATGCGGGCGTGAGGTTCAGTATAGTCTAGTTCAGTGGGGCAAATGGAAGAACTATATGCATGTGAATGGAGGGCAGTTGCAAAGTCAGAACGAAGTCAGCAACGGGTAGAGAGAAGTACAAAGTGAAATTCTGTGGTTTTGTCGAAGCCGAATGAGAGACCACCCAGTGATGGCTGCGTCGATGACGGAGTCGGCTGTGACAAATTAGCAGGGGCGCGGCAGGCAGCCGCTCCCGACTCGGCAAAGTACAGCAAGTGGCAATTGGCCGGCTGCTTAAAGGACAGAAGGCGACAACACAAGACTAAAGGCCCGAGAATGAGGGCAAGACTGCTGCATTATTAAACGCGATGTCTATTTTCTACCGCGTTGGCCCTTGTACAGCTCGAGTGTCAGATCCAGAGACCCATCCGACTCCCCCAGCTATACATGCCTTTTTATGGTGCGCCCGTCCGTCGAGGGGTCGCTCCTAAACTCCAACCATCGAATGTTCATCGCAACCCAGACAACTTTCCAGCATTTCCATGCGCACGTAGAATCGTTATATATGGAGAGCAGAGAACCTTCGTTGTTTTAAACTACCAAGAGAGGGAAGAGATTACTCCTCCTTGGCACCACCGCGACCAGCTCGCTCGGCGGCCTCGACAGCCTTCTTGTCGCTCTCGGGAGGGCCTTGCATGCCGGACATGAAGCCGGCGGCAGCCTTAAAAGGACGCTTGAGGTCTCCGGAAGCGGGTTGGCCCAGGACGTGGATCTTGAACAGGTTGCCCTCGAAGGCGGACTTGAGCGGGATGATGCTCTGGATGAGCAGCGGGTTGGTGTACTTGAAGTAGAAGTGCATGACGACCATCATGGCCATGCCCATGAGCTGCGACCGGAAGGCCTGCTTGAGCTGTGCCATATCGTATGCGTGGATCGTAGTCGTCACGAGCTTGCCCTCCTCGGTAGAGCCCATCGGGGCCGGCTCGACGTACTTGAGGGTAGTCATATCTGCAGAGGGGCGAGTAAGGTCAGCAGCCAGGAACGTGAGGAGCCTGGGGGGGTTTTCGACAGTTTTTGGTAGGGAGACTGACCCTTCTTCTTGTCGATCTTGGTCCGGATGTAGAGGTAGATGCCCATGATGATCAGGTTGCTGAGAACGTAGAGACCGCGGCAGGCGTTGAGCACATTGGGATCTTCGAAGGGGACCTTCTTGGCCACCTGCATCATACCCAAGATGATGACAATGTTGGTACTGCATGCGATGGCATAATGTCAGTGCTGCACAAGACTTGGGCTCGGCGACAGAAGCAAGTGGGCGGAAGCTGTCGCGTGCGCCGAAGCAATGCCCACGATGGAGGATTGGTGGGACTCACACTTGAGGACCTAGGCCGGCCATTTTGAATGATTTATCGAGGAAGCGAGGAGACCAAAGCGATAGATACAGTTGGCGAGGGCTGGGCAAGAAGCGCGAGGGGAGCAGACTGAGCAGATGCTGGTGATGGAAGATGGAGCAAAGGTCAGGTCTGGCGGGATGGAAATGCGCCAGGTAAGGTGTCAGTGTCAGTCAGTGGCCGGGTGGATTGGGTGGGATCCCCGGAATTTCGAACTCAGCAACTTTTTCGCAGCAAGAAGCCACCTCAGCGGCCGACGGCCTGGTGTGGGTCCGTCCGCGATAGCGCAGCTTTTGATTGGCTACTTCCACCGTCTGACTGATAGGAAACGTCGGACATTCACGACAGCGCCTTCCGCTCCGATTATGATCCGCCGTTTCTCTTCTTTACGTCTTGATGCCAACTGCTCGCCATGGCCATACCGTCAGTAAAACATAGGCACATCCATGAATAACCTTATGATCAGGACTAGAGGATATTAAATTCAGCAACGTTCTCGCCACCGCGATGCTAGCAGTCACTTCCATGGACCTGACCCTGGGATGTACACTTAGGCATTGAGAGTGCAAAGGAGGCATTTCAAGGTTCACGAATAAATGCTGAACGACAACAAGGATCCACTGATCGAAAGACTATCGAGAGGGCCATCTGTTGTAATGGCTCGTCGTCAGTCAGATTCCACTAATATACATGCAATGTTTCTGAAAAAGTTTACTCTGGCAACTGACTGGTCACCACGCCTGCTGCGGTGCTTTCTCTTTGTGGCAGCGGTGAGCAGAAGTAAGAGCGGCAGGTTTACTCATAAATCATAAGTAGCATATCAATTTGGTCTGATTCAATTTCAAACTTATGCACCATGGCAGACAATGAAAGGAAACTGGAGTTTGTTGCTACTCCCTAAAGCAGGAAAACTACGATTGGATGTGGGACGTTCGCTAGGGTATGACCCTGATCAATGAACTAACACCCCCAATTTTCCAACTTCCTCCTTCACTGTCCCAAAGCAAACCTGGTGAGACATCCCATATCAATCTACTATACTCAATCTTTGACATTTGAATGAACTCAATCACAAATGGATCCTCCCAAACTCAGCGACACTCCGAACCGCCACCCCGGCTATTGCTTAAGCATCTCCACCAAACTTATCCACACACTGACAGACATCCTCACCACCAATGTCTCAGACGGACAGGATAACCTCGTTCTCTCCGTCGGCAGCGGCAATGGCCTTCTGGAAGCACACCTCCTAAACCACCTGACCTCTGTACCAGCCCTCCACTCCAGATTCACAGTCCAAGGCGTAGAAGTCCGCACCTCCCCTGCAGCAGCCCCTGTGAACAAATACCTCCCCGAGCAAAATTGCACTGCCGTCAGGGGCACATGGGAGCTCTCCCCGCTTCTCAGTACCGCAGACTCGCTGCTCTTTGTCTACCCACGCGACCCGGGGCTGGTGCGCCGGTATCTGGAGTCCCGGCCAGCGTCACTGCGTGTTGTGGTGTGGTTGGGCCCGCGTGCGGACTGGGATGTGTTTGGAGAGTGTTTTCAGGGCTTGGACGGGTTTGGAAATGTTGATTTCGTGGAAGGTGACGATGCAGGTGTTGCTGGTTTCGAAATGGTTGCTGTTGTGCGGAGGCTTGGTTGATTGGCGCTGCCTGGTTGCAGCTCAATATGCCTCCTGGGCTCTGAAGGGCAACACCCACAGCCCTGCCCTTCTCTGCCTCGATAAGCCGAGACAAAAGCAAGTCAAGCCTGCCAGCAGAAGTCACAGTTTTTGGCGTCTGGCTCCGGGTAATCGTCTAAAGATGAGCGATGATATCGTGCGCCGGCTGGTTCGAGCAGTGGCATTTGATATCATGAGGACGATGATCAGTACACGAGACTTCCGAAGCTCTTCCACAACCAGATGAACTCCGGAAACGCTATTTACGGGGATGAGATGGATCTGACGGACGGATGTCTATCTATCTTTCAGCATGCATAGTCAACTTGAGTCGACATGCGCATGCCAGGAGGGCCTCGGTCCTCTCGCAGACAGAAGCATGAACATTGCTGGCGACCTCGCAATTGACCCAAGTTCCCTAGAACCCCAATGCGGTCTTATAAACCTCACTCATCGTCCCACCACTCATGAGCAAGGATCTCCTCCGCGGTAGGCCGATCCCGCGGATCGAATTTCATGAACCACCAAATAAACTCCTTGTCCTTCTTGACCATCTCACGCTCAGTAATCCTCAGGAACGGCTTCATGCTGCCTCGCATGTTCTCCAACAACCACACAATCACGTGCAGCGCATCTTCACTTGCGATCTCGAGAAACTTCTTGGTCACAGGGCCGAAGAACTGGAACTGGCGCTTGATCACCCCAAATATGTACTCCTCGTTGGCGGCGGCATTGAATGGCACGCCTGGTGGATTGAATATGTTGAAGTTGCCACCGTAGATGAGGCTGATGAGCTGGGTGGGTGTTAGCAACGTTGGACAAATTCTTTCCTCTCGTAGCATTGGAGACAGTGGCTGATTTGTGATTGTGTGAAGGACCTACAAGTGTTCCAAACGACCAGATGTCTGTTTTGGTGTTCCATGGAAGCTCAAATAGACATTCAGGGCTGCGCCACATTGGCGCACCGATAGGGGCTCCTTGGAGGGCATACTTGTGGTCTTCTCGATATGAGCTGCCCATGTCGGCAAGCTGCACCTCTGCAAATCGATTCTCGCTGGTCTTGGGTCCAATATTGACCAAAACGTTGTCAAGCTTGACATCTTTCAAACTTCAGTCTCATTCTGATGATCATCACCGGAGTGGCTTGAGTGTCTGCTCACCTGCATGCACGAATCCCTCGCTGTGCATGACCCGTAGAGCCTGGAGAATAGATCTGGAGACATACTTCAGCTCTCTCCTATTGAGAATCTTGTCGATGGAAGCATGAAGTAAGGTGCTGTCCAAATGGCGAAGGACAATGGATGTCGGCTCCGAGGGGTGGATGATCTCGTCTACTATGGGCCTGATGTGTGGTGACCGCCCGCTGAACCGCCTGAGGATATCGCGCTCGTTCGCAACTCTAAAGTGTCCCTGAACACTCTTGTTTATCACCGTTTCGCCATGACGGGTTTCTTTGTATGACTTCGTTGGTACCGCGGTGTGAGGGTGATAAGCGACTGTGCCGGAAGCCTTACCCAGCCAGACTGTGCTAAACAGCTGCCGAGTAATAACGTATCTACCAAGTCTTCCTCCTAGAGACTGGCCGACTTGTAATTGAGAAGGCATCGTGCTGTTTCTAGTTCCCACTGATCACAGTATATAATCGCTGAGTCGTTGGTTCGACAATGGGTACTGGCCGTATCTCAAATTGCAGACGTCTAGGAATTATAAGGGCAGTGCAGTACCAACAACTGAAATGATTTAATCGTCTTCACTTTGCATTAGAATTCAATCTGCGGGCCTAGTGCAAATACAGCATTCACTTCGTTTGACGCCGGGTGTTGCAAACACTTAGGTTTCAGCTTGTCATCCAAGCTATACCCGAGACTACAAGGCAAATCTTCTCGCAATCGCCAAGCACGAGCAGACTCATATGACTCACAATGAGTTTTCCCATAGAAGCTTCTTGAATGTATGTGGCATCACGACAGTAGCTAGCGTTCGTTTGTGATCCTCGCAGTATCCTCGGTCAATTGACCACGCATGCTCTTTAAGTACGGCCTTGGGGTGGTTGCGAATAGTCATCACTGATATTTTGACTATCAGATGCTATGTGTGTACTATTTTCTCTCACTCTAGAACTCCCTTTCCCCAATCAAAGAAGATCCAGCTTGGGTCGACGGTGAAAGAGTTGTAACTGTGCACAGTAGTCACCGGGGCACGAGAAAGCAGGGGGGGGAGGGGGGAGGGGGCAAGAGCAGTGAAGAGCAGTTCACTTAGGTAGAAGATACAGACAGCAGCTGGTACTTAAGCTTGACAGAAATGATCTGATACGGAGCCGCTTTCCCAAGTCTGATAGACTAATCTGATGAATCCAACTAGACTACCGTGGTGTACCTCCAAAATATGGATCCCTTTTGCTCGTAAGACGAAGCCATTGGAATACGAGAGGCGAACTGGAAGTCCTGGCCCTTTTTTGGGCGGGTGTATGGAGGACTTCAACATGATCTTGTCACCACCAGGCTTCATTCGTAATGTCAAATCTACACGAGAGGCTGCATTCCGACAAAGTCAGTCAATTGAAGCGAGGCAAGATTTAGTTCCACGCGATGTGACAAGAGAAATTCTTCGACTTCTTCCAGAAATTCTGATGGGCCTGGATGGGAATGTCAAAATGAGGGCCGTCCCGTCAGCGTTCGTTGTCAGCGGGCTCACAACGTGTCAGCCCAGGTGTCAGTTCTTGTCAGCCTCAAGTAAGCCGCAGCTGGTCAAATTAGTACCATCGCGACTTGTATCACCAATCATAACTATTAGTTTACTATCTCGTGATATAGCGAGGCAAATTCCAATTGTACTGTTTCTATGTAAATATCGACCTTGTGTGCCCATGCATCATCTCGTCGGAACAGGAAGATTGGGTCGTTGATGCTGATTGAGCTTGTTTTCATGGACACACAAGGGTCAGCGCCATGTACCAGTTGATGATACAATACATGAGTCTACTCAGTGCAGGGCTTCGCAACACCTGACCCCAAGTTCAGCAGCCTGCATCTCGTTATTTTCACTCGTCCCCGACACCTCAGCAATGAAGCTGGGGTTGGAAAAACCATCTCACGACCCGCAACACTATGTTTTCCAACTACAGGAAAGAGATGCACCTCGATCTGACAGCCGGGGCTCAGAGATTGATATTGTACTATGGACACTGACTTGTATATCATGCCTTTTCCTGTCTCTGAGATTGTATTGCAAATCTTACAGACACAAGGACTTGTGGTGGGACGATTGGATATTGATGCTATCATGGGTGAGAGCTTGATAAACACAATACTTGTCACGCATCCTAATCGCTAACTTTCGCGTTTAAGATTCTTCTCCTCGCGAACTCAGTTGTTATGACCGTCAGTGTCAGCCTTGGCTTCGGTATGCATCTCTTGAACATCGCTTTCACCAATCGCGAGAAACTATTGTTACTCGGTTCGTTGAGCACAACATTTAGCACCCTTTCAGCCGTGTTGTCCAAAACATCATTCGGCCTGACTTTGCTGCGTCTAACACAAGTCGGCTACGACAAGACCCGAGTTTTTGTCTGGGTTATCATGGTTTCTATGAATCTTCTAATGTTTTGCGATGCTCTCTACTCATGGGTTGAATGCCAGCCTTCTCGCAAGCACTGGGAGATATTCACGGACGGCACCTGCTGGAGTCCCGACATTGCTGTCAAGTTCGGCATCGCTGCCGGCGCATACTCGGGCTGCATGGATGTCGTCATGGCGATTCTTCCTTGGAGAATAATCTGGGAAACTAGAATGGAGCGCAAAGAAAAGATTGGTGTTCTGGTTGCGATGAGCATGGGACTGTGTGCTGGAGCTGCGGCTTTCGCTAAATGCTCTCAGATACCACAGATCTCACTATTTGACGAGACTTGTATGCCATCAATAGTCATCCCAAGACCATACAAACGTATTCGTTGCTAACATTCTGCAGACACAGGAGCCAGCCTAGTCATATGGGGTGCCACCGAGCCGGCCATTACAATCGTGGGAGCTTCAATCCCAGCACTTCGGGTGCTTCTAACGGATTTCAAACATCTCACACAGCGGCGTCTGTCTGATCAGTCCGAATCACAAGGGTCGAACTTTGATTTCTGGAATGATGGTTCCAGACAAAGTCGTCGTTCTTTGTTCAAATGGGACATATTTGGAAGCTCAAAATCAGTGAACCCGTCACAAGTGACGGAGACGGCATCCAGTATAAGCTGCAGCAATACCGCGACTCTTGCCCCTCCAGCAGGCCTTGCCGCTCATCTTTGGATACCCGATTCTACGCAAAGCTCTCCTACATTCAATTGTGAAGTCTTTGGGTCCTCTGAGACAGGCGAGCTAGGAGACACGACACACAAAGCACCAATAGCGGTCCCAAAGCCGATGCGACCAGCATTAAGCCACAAATATCCAAATCTGAGCCAGCAGCTTGAAGATTTCTTGTGGAGCCGGAGCAATAGTTATGCTGGAACCCTCAATGACTCCATATATGAAGGCGAAACCAGTCCAGTACTCAATACTGTAACGCTAAGCCATGCCACAAGTGCGAGAGCCTTCAAGAACCGCCTTCTTGGGGCCAAAAAGCACGTTGAAAGTGTTTCCAAAGCGGCAAATAAGAATTGTAGTGATCGGGATGCTTGGATTCAAAGCAGCGTCTTAGAAGATGGACGGGGCGACAAAGGCCCGCTTCTACTGCATAGTGGCGCTCCTGATCGCTTTGTTGTTGTGCAGACAACAGAGATTACGGTCGAGTTCGAATGAATCTCGGAACATGGAGAGTGCGAAACGACTAGTCCGTAAACGCCGAATACAATGTTTCTCCATCAGTAAATACCTGTCCCTAAGTTGTGATAAACAGAATAAGTCGAACGTAGAAAGCTGAAATCCATTAAGGTTGTTTTAGTTGTCGCCAAGAGAAGTGAAGTTGTATTTCTCTGTGCCGGCTTAAACTCATCCATTTTCACATGATGAATCTACCTGATTTAATCTGAGATCCACCGATGCGTCTGCCGTCTCAGTAGCAAGAACACATCAAGGGTGGATAAGGCTGAGTCTAGAACATCCAGCACACGGATCAATGCGTAGGAACTGGGGCGCCTGGGCCGCCAATGCAGTATTGATATATGACGTGTGCTGCAGAAATGTGCTGACTGAGCCTTCATGAACGCTTGACACTTGCGAGCCGCCTATCAAGTCCATTAACATCTCAAATATTCTTATAAATCGTCTCATCATGGCACTGCGCTAAGTTTGCTCGAACTCGACAAATCGGGACCGTCGCATGATGAACCCGGCAGATGGAGAGACTACAACACGAGAGACGTGATTCAACCACAATGTTAGTGGCGTAAGTCTTTAACAGCATGGAATCAGGAACACGGGGTACATTCATACTACCAAAAGCATTGTGCGTTTGTCAGCAAAGTTGAAATATCTCCTCGACCAGTCGGAGCATAGTCCGGGTATTGTTGACAGTTGATGTGCGCGAAGCACTGATGGTGCTCTGATGGTATCGAAGTCGATCAGCACTAGGCAAATTAACTTATGAAGATCCAGGGGTCTAGACCGGAGTTCTTCTGCGTGCTGAGCAATAGAGGTGCGCAAGACGGAAATATGATGTCAAGCGACACGTCGGCATATCAACCGTTCCGACTCCCGGGACTGGGTTTGGAACCGACTTGGCTGTCATCTCGATGTCGCCCAATATGTGGGAAAGAAAGTCTCTTGCGTCAGATATACTTAGGTCATCAAAGCCTCAGACCTCGAGAGCAATGTCACCTGGTCAATTCTCAACAGATTTTACCTCGTATTAACATTTCGAGAGACTGTTCCTCACTCCTGATCCAATTGGAGCCAAGCTGCCTCAAAATCTAGTCGTGAGGCATGAGGCAGGGTTAGCATGATAGAGAGCACAGAGTTCCAGTATTATATACAGTGAGACAAATTTAATCCAATGTCTGCCAGCTCATAGATCGAAATGAAATTTAGAAAAATTGGACACATAGGTTTTGAATCCCGGCGGTCGCGGCTGAATCGATGTTCACTGGGTCTTTTCTTCATTTCTTTGCCATCACCAGAATACGAAGGAACGCTGATGGCAGGGAATTGAGCTTTCACAAACAGGCCATTCAGGTACCAATGCCTAGCTCGCGGTCCGTTCCGGCCTTCCTTGCCTAGCCCTTACGCCGTTGACAGGCGAGGCCCAACCTCCACATGTACGTAAGGAAGAACGACTTGATTAGTACCTGTGTCACGTGCTGCGTGTTACTACTACGAAGACCAGCTTGAGAGCCTGTAAAAGGCCTTGTATGGCATGGGTATCAGTTTCGCCTTCCTCTCATTTGCATTGATCGCAGAATCTGAGTTTTTAGCGGAGCAGCCCCTTGACTGGAATGCCATGAACCGCCTGCAATGCACATGTATCATATACGAACCGGCTATGAGCGGTTCACATAGTGGCAGTAATAGTTTGTTGAGGCTGTGCTCAGTGCAAAAGCCGTTAGGTTCTAGAATCAGTGGGGGTGAGGGTGAGGTGGAAGCACTACCGACTCACAACCACATAGCTCCCATCAGCCCTCCCTTGAAAGAACGAGGCACCAGAAATGCAATTATTATGAGATAATAGTGGAATGTAATCTGATCTGGGCTACGAGAAAGTAGCCTGAAATTCTACTTTCGCTCAGGAACAAGTGTTGCTGGGAGACATGGTATTTGGTGGCCCGCTCGGGCGTGATTCCAGACTTTCAAGCAGTATCAGAGAGCAATTGAAAAGGTATATAAGACCCCCTCCTGCCATCCCAACAACACCCTTCAACGTATAGATCTAGACTAACACCCGTGACTTACATTTCACCCACCTCTTATCTCCCAATGATTCCATTTTCGCCTCGAAATGAACACAATGAAGACGACCATCCTCCTTTATGTCACTGCCCTCACTGGCCCAGTGTTCTCAGCACCTCAGGCAGTCAGTGAGGTAGCAGAGACAGCTTCACTGCCCCGCTCCACGAGCACTTCCACCTCACAATCTCTCGTAGACGATGCTGTCGATGGAATTCGGCCTACTGGAGTGGCACAGGCTGCCGGGGACAGCACGCGTCTAAAAGAGCGCATGGACAAGCCCCCAGAGCATCTGACAATCCAGATTATCAACTCTTATGGTGAGTGTCAGATCAAAGAACAAGGTTCCTTGACTTCTGGAAGATTAAAATACGGCTATTTAGATACGAAACAAAGAGCTGACTTTGATGACAGGTCTTGAAATCACGACCGCACATGCCAGCAACGCAGGTAGTCCAACTCCAGTTGGTGGCGCAATTCAGCCTGGCATTGTTCCTAATGGAACAACTGCCTCCTTTGCAGTGCCAACTGGCTGGGCCGGAAATGTCGCAATGAACAGAGCCAACATGTCAATCAACGGCGACGTTACTCTGCTTGAGGCTTCATTCGTGGTGTAAGGCCGTCCACCCGCCCCCTCCCCCCCCCCCAACACAAGTGGAAAAAAAAAAGAGATTATATTCATGATCCATCGAGTACCATCATTTCATTGCTAACAAAATCTAGCGCCGATGGGTGGGACTTCGCCGTCGCAGGCGTCGATGTCTCGCACGTCAACGGTTTCACCGTTCCTATCATCTGCGAGTGCAACGGCAAATGGGTGGCTGGCTGCAAGAAGAACCTCTTCAATGTCAAGGCCCGCCAGATGAAGCCGGCCAATGCTGCTATCAACCCCCTCCGAGCCGACACGTCGGCTACTTCTGCCAAGGCCTTTTTCGCGCCGTGCGAGGGCGCCGCCTACACCTTCCCCAACGACCACGCCGCGAATAGCTGGGGTGCTTGCCAGAGTGGATTGATCTCCTGCTGCGTTGGCACGGCTTGTCCTGCGTCAGCTCCACAGGCTTAGGCTTCGGTGGTCTGCAATATTCCCTAGCAGCGTCCGAGAGGAAGGAAGATCACTTAGAGGGGCATTCAATTTCATTCATCGCGATTTGTACTTGTGGGGGCGGACCAGACTTGGCATCCAATGTGCTCATGATCAATTGATAACATTGAATTTGTTGAACAACGCTTCCGTCTATTCTTTCCTTTTAGCTTTCCTATAGTATACCATCATACACATAACTTGATAGACTCATTAAGTTGAAGGCTCTGCGACCTTTACAGTAGCTTTGCCAAACGTCTTGCCGGTGAAAAGCGACAGGAACGCGTCCTGAGCCGACTCGATGCCCTCGAACTTGGTAGCACGAGCTTTGACTGAGCCCTCAGCGATCCACTTAGGCATGACCTCCCAGAACTTGTCAATGTTGTCAGTATAGATATTGTGGTCCCAGAAGACGAAGCCCTGGATGTTAATACGCCTGCGGAAGATTTCGGCAAGGTTGGTCACTCCGAACTGCTCCGAGGGCGGCTTGTTGTACTCGGACACCATGCCGCAAACAATAATGCGACCGAACCACTTCATGTTTGTGAGGGCAGCCTGGAAGTGGTCGCCTCCGACGTTCTCGTAGACGACGTCCACCCCCTCGGGTGCGAGCCTCTTCAGCGCGTCGTTGCAGCTCTCCTTGGTGTAGTTGAAGCATTCATCCGCGCCGAGCGACTTCACGTACTCGGCCTTCTCATCCGAGCTGACACTGCCGATTACGCGCATACCCTCCTTCTTGGCGAGCTGCACGACGATCTCACCAACAGTGGACGAGGCGGCGTTGACCCAGATGGTCTCGCCTTTCTTGGGCTTGACGAGGCCGTAGAAGGAGTTCCAGGCCGTCTGGCCAGCCAGGCCTAGGGCGCCGACCCAGTTGCCCAAGTCGATGTTGTACTTGTTCTCCACCTTCCAAATCATGTGCGAAGCCATAGGCTTGTACTCAATGAGCTGCGATTTACTGTCAGCGGGCCCGAGCTAAAAAATAATCGAATCCCGCAGTGGATAAACTTACCTCGACCGGTACAACGGCGTACTCGGCGAAAGGCAACACACCCGAAATGATTTCGCCCTCTTTGAACTTCTCATTGTCGCTCTTAACCACCTGGGCGACGGAGAAGCCAGCGATGGGCTCCTCCGGAACATAACCTGGAACGTAGCTCTCGAAAGTAGGGCCCTTCATGCGGTCGCGCATGTGGGGGTCGAAACCCAGGACCAGCGTCTTGACGACCAAGCCCTGAGGTGGTGGCGTGAGCTCCAGAGGCTTATCCTCTAGGGCCATGTTCACGTTGGCCTTGATCATCCCCTCCGGGACGCTCTTGTAGATGAGGGACTTGTTGCTGACGGGCGCCATCTTGCTGTTGTCTGAGTATCTACTTCTTTGATGCGGTGGCGTTGGTATGAGTTTGTGCGGATGAAGACTTGAAGGACGAGGATGCCAAAAGCCTTCCAGATGCAACTTTAAAAACTCGAGACTCCTAATCGCCTGACTCCTGCGACCTGCATGCCTCGGTCCGGCCAGAACCCCTAGAGCGGCGCCGCTAGGGGAACAATACGACCACGGTGCCTTCTTAGCTGCGGCATTTGAAGCTGTCTCATAGGGGCAGCGTGCATGTGCAGCTGGGTTGATGTGGGCATGGTGTGGATCCCCGGGTAAGCTAGGTGTAGGATTGACGGTTGCCAGGACCCACCTTGTGGCCTGATACCGCTTCTGTCAAACAGCGCTGCCACATGGCAGATCGCTCATTACCAGTTCAGTAGGGGATCAGTCGTTTTATAACGCTAGCCGAGACCAACGCTGGAAGCGGAAGAAACGCCGCGAGCTTGCCCAGGAGCCGCATTCACGATGCGACGCTGTCAGCTCGGTCTTGCCGGGAATGGCCGCTTGGCGGTATCTCTGAGGTCTACTGTGTATCGTGAGCCGGAATTGGTCCACTGTTCTAGGCCGCAACACATGCGAGAGCTTCAGGTTCAGGAAATTATGGGGAATAGCTATGGGGTACCAGAATCCTGCTCGAAAAATAGCCCATCCCCCGCCTGCAGGTGTTTTGTTGAGTCCAACAACTCCATCGTCGTCGTGGCAATTTATCAAGGGCAAATGTCGAGCAGGACTGTTCTCGGTCCGATTTTGACACTACTAGTATCGATTGGCATACGGCGTCAAGGTTTCCTCATTAGTCAGACAACCCTTTGGAGACCGGATGGGATGTTGGAGAAACCACCTGTTTTGGTACGCGACAAAACCCACATTGATTATTCGATTGTTGATGGGTGGCTATAATTCTGACGACGGCATAGTGATCCGTCGTGGTATGTGGAGATTTGTGGTGGGTCACGGCCCACTAGACTAGAGAATATAGACTAAGAAAAGAAAAGCCCCGGTACATATGGGAAAGGCCGCGTAGGTGCAAGGTCTTGGTGAAAGAGAAGAGCGGGCTTCTGAAAAGTCATGTGCGCGAGCATGCGTGAGCTCTAATGCCATGGGATAGAAGCAGCAGCGTGGAATGTGCATTTCCTGAATTCTGCGTTGGGCTATTGTAGGTCAGATCATCCTTCGCCGACAGATGATGCCTAATCAACCACAGGACGTCATGCACAAGACTATCCACTTCTCTGATGTGCCGCTTTACCCCATCGTGACTCCACATCCACTGCTTTGGGAACGTATATAGTCTCGAAGTAGTTCTGTCACATCAACATTTGTATTATTCATTTTTATTTCGCGAACTCGAGATGTCGGAGTTTTGGAAATCATTTCATGATCTTTGTGGAGTCTTCTTGGGCGAAGTATTTGAGTTGCAAACTCTTGAGTACAAGGTGGGCGAGATTGATAGTTGTCTACGCTCTGACACGCCAGTAGCCTGCGAAATCTTCTGCTTGATGTCTTTGACAACCCATCGCGTAACTAGGTCCACTTTGATATCCCCACCACGGCTGTTGGTTCGAAATGCCAGATAATTCACACATTCGACCAAGGGACTTCTACTTTCGTTCTGTATGCGATCAGTAATTTAAAGGGCATTCGTGACTTTCGGGGTTCTGTATTTCACATGTTTCTGATAGCGCTTTTTATAGCTAGGTGTTCCAAAACCTCTGGCGTCGCCTCTGTCCTGCACGAAGTCTAGTTGACTAGGTGGCGCGAAGGCAGTATGGAATGTCTGCAAGCTGCCGCATTTAAACAAGCAGTTCGTCGATGCTTGTAACACTGGTTGTCTGACGAGTTTCTGATGGAATTGGTGCTTTTCTACGAAATTATGGAAATTTCGGCCAGAAAGTGAAGAATACGCCCGTCGTCTTCATCTGCAGTTGTGTGCTGGTCTGGCAGATAAAGTGGGTCAGCCATTGATGTCATGCGGCTAGCGAGAGTGATGTCATGCAGCACAAGTTATATGCTGATGGATCAACAACCCGTCCCTGGCCTTGATCTTGGATATTCTAGACTTCACACATATACATTGCCATCAGTTTGATAACGTTTCGTTCTGAAGATGAACTCAGATCTCAACAACATCGCCAGTAACCTGGCCAATACAGTGTTGGCCAACAGGGGAGAAACGGGACAGCGCAATGCCGTGCTGGTGTCGCAGCACGGCACGAAAATTCGCGACCCGGGCTTTCTCTCACAAGACTTTCGAAGGACCTTCCATGCGCCACCGAGGCTGTACTTCACTGCCGAGAGCGATGAGTTTGATGCGACAATCTTGTCAGAATGGCAAAAGGCAGGTTTCACCGTCGAGTATTTCTCCATGGGCAAAGGTGGTGCATCTTATGAGAGAAAGTTGAAGTCACTGTTCACAAGGGACCTGGAGCCAGGAGAGACTTTCGGGATAATCGGTGAGTGACACGACGACAATCAGATGCTCTCGCTCTCTGAATCTGCGGGAGGCGATTCGCAGGATTCGAGGCTAGGATGACGAAGGCCACGACGATGCATGGTCGATTTGGGATTTAAATCCCGGACGCTATTTCCGATCATACACTGACATGTTATTACAGCGTACGGGGATGCGGCAGGCGCCTGCCTGGAACACTTCCATATTCTAGAGAATAATCCTGATAACAAGCTGGGCTGTCTCATCGCATACTACCCAAATATTATTCCTGACCCTCGTGCGGCGTTTCCCTCAACCATAGAAGTTGTCGTCCACCTGGCAGGAGAAGAGGTCGGCGAGGTCCACCATAGCCAGCTGGCTGGAGTCCCAGGGAAGCGCAAGGTGGTACGTCACGATCTCAAAGGTCCTGGAAAGGGGAAGAGGCTTGATATGGCCTATCCCTGCTACAAGTATGATGCTGAGCCCGGGTTTGCGGAGCGCGATCTGGACGTGTACGACGAGGACAGTGCAGAGCAAGCTTTGGATCGAAGCGTGATGGCGGCGAAGAAAGCTTTCCACATATGATGCGACACTGGCGAAGGCTAGGACCAAGAACGAACGCGAGGACAGGGATGAGAACCCCTCAGAAAGAGACTGTACGTATTCATTGGCAACTGACTGCAATTGTTAAAATATTAAGCGATAATTTTATCTGCATCATATCAAAGGGGCGCCAGTCACCACTGGCGCTTGTGACTTGTTAATGCACATCTACACGCTGGACGCCTGTAGAATTCCGTCTCTCTGGAAGTTGAGCAAAGTCATAGCACACCGTTCCTTATTACCGGCGACGGCAGACAATAAACATGGGATAATTACGTCCGAACTCTGCTCCCAAGCGCGTTCAAAGTGGAGTTTTCCCCGCATCAACAACACTATGGCAAGCATGGTTCCCCAGCACCAGGACAGATGCGGAGATGATTGCTACTGAGGAGAAGGCCGAATCCCTACCCGCCAGCCCACAAAGCGAGGAACGTTGCACGTCTTGACATCGTGGAAGCTGGTTGATCAGCATTTTCCCGACGGTTCGGGTGACGAATTACTGTCTACGGCATGCCAAGGGGTTGGTTTGCGATGGCCAACACGACTCGTTGTGTACTAAAGGGCAGAGTTACTCCTCCCAAGGAAAGTCTTGTCCACACCCCTCGACACTATCGTCTCTTGTCGTTCTGATCGGTTTGGCCCGCCCTGAACAAGATGAAGGGCCTACTCTCCGTCATGACAGCTGTCGCTGGCCTCAGATCTGTCCTGGGTCAAGGGCTTGAAGCGTCTCTTGTAGTGAACCCCAAGAACAGTCCCGGGGTCGGCGGCAGTACCGCATCGCTGCCAATTGACATCTCAGCTCTGCGCAACAACAGAGGGTTCGGAACCAGTCCCAATGACGCGGACTTTGATGGCACGGGCGCGAGTTATCCAGCAAAGTTTCTGCCAGCCGAAAATTTCACCTACGGGGGAGTGGACTTTATCTTTCCACAGTATCAAGACAATAATGGGAGCGACAATGTTCTTGCCCAGGGTCAAGTACTCAACGTAACCAGGGGTCGCTATATCGGTGTGCACATGCTCGCTGCGGCAGAAAGCGCCATCGCCACGGGTTTTGTCAACGCTACGTATGCGGATGGATCGACGACAAGTGGTGCTGTTCTGGTCGACCCGTTCTGGGCGTGGCCGTATCCTTATGGCGGCGACATTATTTTCCCGTACCATCTTACCAATCAGACAGTGGACTGTCAGTACAACCCTTCTCCTGCCGCGGTTGCCCATCCGTGTTCTATTGGAATCTTCCGGATGCATGGCTTTAGGCTCTGTAGCAGGCGACTAACGCATAGCAGACAATCGCTCCATGATATTTCGAAGCGTAAACTGGCTTGACAGCTCGAAGGAGCTGACAAGTGTGCAGCTACCCAATGTGACCAGCGGTGCCGCAAATGGGCCGGGCGGCGCGGCACAAGAAACAAGGCTGCACATCTTCGCGGTGTCGTTGATCCCGGCTGACGCCGAAGGGCTGAGCTTGGATGTCGAGCTGGCGAGAAGCACAAACACGTGGGTTGAAGGCACTAACAAGACCCAGATCTTTGAGGCCATTATCAACAATGTCGGTACATCGTGGGTCCTGGCCAACCAAAGCGTGACTGTGTCGATCGAATCGGACGGTGTGACGACGGTCCAGCCCGCGTATATCAATCGACTTCGGCCTGGAGACCAGGCCCGTGTGCAGATCGGGGTCACCAATGTGGATGGGGTGGCAGAGGGAACCGAGGGAACTGCTAGATTGGTCATCTCAGGGACAGGAGTGTCCACAAACTACACGTTCAATGCCACATACGGTATTCATGAGTATGAGCCGACTTACGAAAGCATCTACGCCCATGAGTCTCCTCCGTGGTTTAGCAACGCGAAGTACGGAATATTCATCCACTGGGGGGTGTATGCGGTCCCTGGTTGGGGTAACTCTGGCGACAATGAGTCCTACGCAGAGTGGTACTGGTGGTGGATGAATTCGGGGCCCAACAGCACCCGCGATCGAACGTACGAGTATCACCTAAAGACATACGGGCCGGATGTGGTCTACGACGACTTCATCGCAAACTTCACCGCATCGCAATTCGATCCTAAGGAATGGGTAGACTTGTTCGCGGATGCTGGCGCGAACTACTTTGTCCAGGTCTCGAAGCATCACGACGGCTACGCAATCTTCGACCTGCCAGCCAATGTCACGGAACGCACGAGTGTAGCACAGTTTCCACACAGGAACCTACTCAAGGAGATCTTTGACGCCGCGGAGGAGCACCAGCCACAGCTCCACAAAGCCACGTACTACAGTTTGCCAGAGTGGTTTCACCCAGACTACCACGGCTTTGCAGACTGGCCCGGCGGCAATGCCACCAATCCCTACACAAATGAGACATTGCCCTACACTGGGTATGTGCCCCTGAATGACTACGTTGCAGACAAGATTTTGCCAGAGATGCAGACCCTGGCAAACATGGGCACAGAGGTCCTGTGGTGTGACATTGGCGGCCCGAACTTGACGGCGCAGTTTGCTGCAGAGTACTTCAACACCGCGGCTAGACAAGGGAAGCAGGTTCTGACAAATAACCGATGCGGCACGCCAGGGGACTTTGACACACCCGAGTACGCCAAGTATGAGTCGGTGCAGATCCGGAAGTGGGAGTCAAGTCTGGGAATGGATCCTTTTAGCTATGGATATAATAGGGCCACCCCTGACGACAAGTATTTGACGGCGCAGGGAATCGTTACGACTCTGGTGGATATCGTCAGCAAGAATGGGAATTTCCTCCTGGATGTGGGGCCAACTGCTGAAGGTGAGCAAAATCGCATCTCTGAACGGCATAGGTGTAGAACTAACAAAGGGCTCCGTAGGTATCATCATCGATATCGAGCAGCGTAATCTGCGCGCAGCAGGAGTGTGGATTAAGTCCCATGCCGAGGCTATCTTCAACACAACATACTGGTCTATCACGCCAGAGGAAGGTGACACAGTGCGGTTTACCCAGACACCTGATGCATTTTACATCAGCACACTTTACGCGCCTAACGACACCCTCGTCCTAACCTCGCCTGTACCCTATGTGGAGGGTGATGAGGTGACTGTCGTCGGCGGTAACAGGTCTGGCACTGTAGTCCCGAGTGAGCTGTCCAACGGCAACTTGACGCTGACTATCAGTGAGGACGTGAGAAACGCAGATGAGTATGCTTGGGTATTCAAGATTGCGTTTGGGGGCGTCAACAGCACTGGTGGGGGAAGCAGTAATGGGAGCGGGAGCGGGTCAGGAGAAGCAAGTGGCAACGGTGGACAAGCTCTTGGAAGCTCGTCTATTGTATTGGCATTGGCTGTTTTATCGAGCATTTTTCAGGCCTTCCTCTGATACATCAGTATTCGATAAAATAAGAGTTTGAGTTCAGTGGGGCGGACCCCAGCCAAATGATTGTATTTATCCGGGAATATGCATTCGCTCGAGCCTCACACTTCAATTCTTCTGAACTCTACCACTCCAGTTGGATCCGGCCCACTCACACTTCCGGAATAGAAATTTGGGTACCTCTCCTTCACACCATCGGGGAAACGAACGTCAAATTGAAGTAGGATTCGCGCCATAATCAACTTGATCTCGTTCGCCGCGAAGAAACGTCCTGGGCATGCATGCTTGCCGAAGCCAAAACTGGTATTCTCCTTCGTGACGCTCACGAACTGATACGACTCGCGAGTGCGGAAGCCATTCGGGTCGAGCGTGTCGTCCTTGGTGCGTAGGTCGTAGAAACGGTAGGGATTAAACACCTCCGGGTCTGGATAATGGTCCGGATCGTGGAGAACGGGCAGACTTGGGGTCTCGATATATGCCCTGGCCGGAATGTGAGTTCCATCCTTTAATGTGATCGGCTTGTAGACGTAACGGCGGAACGAGTCTGTCACAATCAGTATTTGGTGTGGTTCATGGATAAGTGATGAGGGAGACTTACCAACAAAGGGTGGGCTGAACCTCTGGCTCTCGCGCATGAAACTGTCTAGAAGCTTCATGTTAAACAATGCCTGAGACGTCATGACACCATTCGTTTCTTTGAGAACGGAGGCGATCTCCGCGCGGATATCCTGCACCACTTCAGGACGGACGGCAAGGTCGTACAGCATGCCGGTCGCGGCAAGAGTCGTGGTGTGGATCGCAGCTCTGCCATACATTAGCCACATGCTACGGAACCCGGAACAATGCAATCCGAAAGATTCTAATAGAAGACCGATGGGCAACAGTAGCGAGAGAAGGCTTGTACTTACAAGGTCAGGAGCAGCTGCATGTCGGTCAAGTGACCAACATCGGTAATTCCGTGTTCACTTGTCTTCTCAACCATCCACTGCAGTAGGTCGTCCGGAACAGGATGGCCCTGCTTGATTAACTGCCGCCTCTTCTCCACCATGGGCTCTAAAAATTCCCTCATACGACGTCTGTGCTCCTGACCGCGGTTGACTGCTGGCGCTAATTTGAGCTTCACAACAAGTGATCTCATGAACTTAGGCCATCGCTTGATCTGGGCCGCGCCAGCAGTGATATCGTTAGTGAAGTCGATTGCGGAGGCCAGGTAGACCTCATGGCGACAATAGTCTGGTCCCACGAAGATATCGCCGGAGACGATCGCTACAACACGGAGGAGGATGGGGAAGATAGTGAGTGGAGTCCATTCGTTGCACGGCGGAATCTCTGAATTGATTGTATTCTCGACTTGGGCTGAAAGTCGTGGATTTAATCGGGCTGAAATGATCATCAGTTAGGTTGAGTCCGTTTTCTGTATTCACTTGGATATAAAGTTTCTTACTTAGACTTCGAGTCAAGTCGACTTTTACAACGCTGTTGGCCACTTCTGTTCTGTCCTTAGGCGGAAACAACTTGATGTGATCATTTGCGAACGTCTAAACGTGGTTCATTAGGGTAATGGCAGTATCATAATCCGAGCGCCAAGATCTTACATCTGTAAACGCTTTCAGGACGTCAATTTCGTCATCCGAGCGTTGTCTCAACTCATCTAAATAGGCGTTCGGAACGATGAGATGATCACCTATTTCGCCAGGAAAATCAGCTGAATATGCCCAGTGCTTCTCTGCTGAGGTTTTGGGTGATTGAAAGGAGGCTACCGACCATCAGGCATAGTAAGGCGATAAACTTGAGTTTTGAAGCGGCGGTAGCCCTCCTCATACAGCTTGACGGGCTGGTATAAGAACGCCTCTGCGCGTTTGCGACGGCTCCCATATTCCTTGCCCAATAATGGGAACTTTGTTATTTCCGACTGAGAGCTCAATCGATGGATCACGATGACCACTGTAGCTAATAGTGCTGCAAAGACCCAGCCAGAAAAGTTCTGCCCGAGCAGGACTGGAAGATCTGTTGAAGCCATTTCGCTCTCGTGAGAAGCAAGTATCCTCCACAACTTTCTGCCGTTCTGAAGACTAATGTGGGAATGCGGCCGCTGTACCGTACTACAAAACGTCGGATTGGAGAGGAAATGAAGCTTATTTAGCTTTGCCCAGTTGTAACTGGGGAATAGTTAATCCTTGTTCTTTCGTCTACCAGTCAATGCGTTTCATCACGTAGCGGGGACTTGTGACCTCGTGAAGCTTGGCCACACGTCAAGATGGAGAAGCCTTGGTGCGGAGGAGGTCCATCATCCGGCCACTCTTATGGGTGCCGGAACCAATACATTCGCTATGCAGCTTCTCCAACACTTATGCGAGTGGTGCTGACTGATATTCATGTCAGGAATTCGGATTCATGATTCTCTCCGCAGTCTCTAGTCTTAGTCGTACTTTCTCTATACCTAGTATATCAACAGTAGTGTCAATCGATTGTCGGTAAGTCGCAGGCAATTCGAACCCGAGCCCGGCGAACTTCATCCCCCCAAGGTTTATAAGCATTGTTCATCAGCGGAAAGATAGTCCCAGTTACAATCTGGAAAGCAACACTGAGGCTGATGAGAGCAAGGGTGTAACCGCAGCCCTCATCCGCTTGTGCAAAATCGCTGATGCCTCGGCAATGGACTTTCAGTCTCTAGGCCAGTCACCTCCAGCAAAGATAATTATAGCCATTCAATTGACATTTGCGACTTTTGGTGGCTGCTTCCAGTCCAACTCTCGTTTGAGGAAAGCCTTGGTGGCCGTCTTTATCTGGGCAACCTTTGCGTTCCACTGCTCTCGATCACCATCGTTCTTTGGAGACACGATCTCCTTGCGCATTCCGTCCGGAGTCAAGTACCTGCCTAGATGCATGACCCTGCCCTTTCCTCTCGCCGTCACTGTGTCTTTGCCGTGGCTGTTGACGAGCAGCTTTCGCAACCGAATCAAATTGTCTTCTTCTCTGTCCGTGAAGACGAGGATGTAATCATAGGTCTTGAAAATGGCTCTCGTTACTCCTCGTGATTGTCTTGCCTGTATCTGTTTCCTGACGTCATCTTTGTATGGGTAGTTGAACATTTTGTTGTCGAAAAGCGCGGCAAGCGGCGTCGACTTTGGGGGGGTCTTGCCATCGACCATGTCCAGCTGGTAACTGGGATAGAGAAACTTCATGCCGTGAATCGTGTCGGTGACTTCGTTGCGGCTGCGAATGAAGAATCCAGCAGAGTGCGCCACTTTGATTTTCCAGTCACCACCAGTGCTCAGAGTCCACTCGCGGAGCAGCTTTGTGTATGCTTCTGCAACAACGCCGCGAGCGACATTGTACGGGTCGATGAAGATAATTCTGACGTCCGAGCGAGGAGGCTCCGGAGAGGATGAAGGCGAAGGTTGTCTGATGGGCCCGTGTCCCTGGCCTTGAACAAGCAGCTTGTTGATGCCAAATCCTGTCATTACTTGTAAAAGGTCTCTCAAATCCTGTCGATGTTCCTCAATGCTGTTACCAAGGGCTTCCAGCTTGTCGGAGCTGCTGCCCAGTGCAAAGTATGCCTGTGCAGCAAATTTGAAGCGGAACTGCAAGCCCCAAGGGCCAATGTCACTGTCCCATTTGACGAATAGAGCCTTCACTTCTTCGCTGTCCTTGCGAATGTCCTTGATAACAGTAAGCAGCTCGTCGGTCATTGCCGGGCCGAGTCGCGCCAAAGAGCCTCTCTCATCTGTACGTAACAAGATCTCTAGCTGGCTTAGTATCGTGTTCAACCTGCCCATCCGCTTGCCTATGCGGCGTACTTGTTCTGGAGCGTCCTGTATCTTCTTGTAGACCTGGACCACTTTCTCGACCACTTCAACTACCTGGAGCAGGGTGCCCAATGGGTCAGCCATGGCCTGAAAGGCTGATTCATATAACGTCGTCGTAGTGAATGGTATTATATGTCAACGAATGGTCAGCAGATGCGCGCAACATTGGGTGGGAGAAAGATGACGCGGAGACAAGATCGCCGAACACAGCCGCAGAGCTCCGTAAGCGCCCTAATCATCAGCCGCACTAGAATCTGTCACCCACGATAGGCAGGCACTGAGACTCACTCGGAATCAGCATTTGCTTATCCTTGTTCATCCATTAGGTGCCGAGGTAGCTAACGCATGCCCCGGGTCTTGGCACACGCTGCAGAGGTCCATATCGGAGCTTGAACCAAAGAAGCTTATTTCTGCCGTGAATTCTACCTAACCGGCCATCGTCAACGCCCACTGACTACTCGAGATGCGACGAGGCTTTTGAACCCCTTCGAGAACGAATGGTAGACAGATCCTGAGGCGAAGTGGCATGAACGTCGCCGGATTGGCAGAGGCTTGCACTAATTTTGACATTCCCTCGACTTCCCCTCGCAATCTCAGAACGTGGCTTTCAGTTGGCGTGCAGATCGCCCAAGAGCCAGTTGAAACACGACACTGATTTTGCATGTCCCATTCGCTATGGCGCTCTTTATTATGGATTCAAATGGCCTGTTCTGTCCTCCGGAAAAATACCTATTCGAGCGGCTGCGCTTAATCGGCACTCAACCTACAGGTGACACTGCTTTAGTGGAAGATTAAAGGGGTTCACCGTAGATAGCAGCTAGCGTTGCATCGCTGTGAACCACAGCCGAAGACATCGATATGATAACTTGGCATTATCAATACGACACACTCGGAAGGGACATTCCCCATGAGGCATGAAAGTCTTGGCTGTCATGAGAGCGGAGCTCACTGGTCTCCTTGATCCATCAATGAAAACACTCTGCCGTTTCTAAGCATATTGCCCACTGTAACAGTGGAACATGCTGTTCCATTTGTCGCCCTCCCCCAAACTACGAAGCCCCACCACTTCCAGAACCGATGGCCTTTTTTGCTCAGTGATTCGACGTTTCTGGAAATGGTTCCGGGCCTAGAACGGTACCAGGCTAAGCATCTTGGCGATGGAGGCAAATAGGAGGCGACGCAACAGGTAGTTTAAAATGATGCCGGGTCCATGATGGATCATCCCTAGGGCCTCTTGTCTTCAGCATCAACTCGTTTTGTAATTCTCAGTCCACTCTCGGCATCAATCAGCCCTCCTGTCAGAATGTTGCTCACCAAGCAAGCATTAGCCGCTGCGTTTTTGCAGGCTCTCGGTGTCATTGCGGTGCCCCTCGATTCAACAGCAGTTCTCAAGCCTGCAACACCAGCTCGCGCAGCCGCGCCCCCGGCGACGTTCACGGCAAATGCAAATATTGGTCCTGGAGGAAGCACTTACACGGACTCACCGCATTTCCGTGTCTATGGAGCTACCGGAACAACTGCCACCAATGCGCTGAACATGCTCGAAGCTGCCTACAGCTGCTTTGTCGACACCCTTGCCTGGCGTTCCTCAGGGCTCTCTTACAACGATGCCACTGACGCTGGACCGTGGACCAAAGTGAATGTGTACTCTGTCTCAACCCTGACAGGTGCAGCCGGCGTCATGCATTCTGATTATAACACCGGTATGAGCTGGCTTGAGGTCGTGAACAACTACCTAGCAGTGCCTGGAGTCACCGTCCACGAGTACGGCCATGGATTGACTTACCACGAGAAGAATTGGGTGGATCAAGGACGGACAGGTGCTTGGTGGGAGACTGTTGCCAACTGGGTTGCAGACACTTATAAGACTTCCCCTCTCTGTGCCAGCGCGAGATCAAAATACAGCCAGTCCACCAGCGCCACCGAGATCAACCTGAACAAAGTCATCGGAGATTCCTTCCAAGTTCTAGTAGACGGAACTGCTGGCTCCGGAAACTACTATGAGGCATGGCCATTCCTCAGCTACCTGACTTACAACCTTGACAACTTCGCCGGACTCGGCACAAACACGATTCGCGAATCATTCCGACAATACAGCAAGGGAAGTAACGAGACCCCCCTCCACACCTTTGCTCGGCTTTCCACCGGTGCCACCATTCAAAAGGTCGTCGGTCGCTACTGGGCGCGCATGGCATACGTTGATATTGGCCACCCAACGGCGCAGTCCGTGTTCCTCAGCCAGCGCGGACAAATCAATTATTCCAACCTCGACAGCCAAGGAAACGGCGTGTACAAAGTCAAGGCAGCCCGCCAGCCTCGTTACATGGGCGCAAACATCATCCCACTCAAGAAGTCCGGCACCGTCACTGTCACAGCTAAGATTACCACCAGCGGTACATACACCGCGACCCTCGCTGTGCGCAACACCAGCTCCGGTGCGACGCGTTACATCGATTTTGCCAGCGGGTCGGCTTCGACTTCAGTCACAAGCTCCGAGGAGGCCTCTGTGGTTGTTGCCAACACCCCTGCTCTTATTCAATATGACCCCTTCAACATCGGCAGCGATGTTAACGCGGGCCTGGACTACACTCTGACTCTGACTGGTGCCACGGCATAGCTATGAATTTCTTTTCAAGTTTCGAATATGCATATTAGCATATGACAGTCTGAATCGAGAAGCAAAGATAAACCCCGGAGGAGATGTTCATATTCTACCTTTTTGTTTTAAAGCATGTACATACGTCTACGTACCAAATCAAACCACTGGCTTTTCCCCCACCTGAGTAAGGCCTGCGCAAAACTAGCATGGTGAATTGGGGAAAATGCGGTACCTTTGTCTGTTCAAGAAGACCATCCGTTTCCGGTCTGCATGCCAAATTGTTTCTGCCCGTTGAAGACTTTGTGCTTTATTCGGCAAGGCAACAAAGTTGTCTCGTAGTACCAGGTCCAAGGTTATGAGTACACGGAATATTTTCAATTGTATCGAAAGAACAACGTCACAAACTAGGAGCAGTGCGAAATTCCCAACGATTATCTGTCATGTATGATGCCACCATTGAAATATCGAACTAGTATATGGAAAACATCGCTCCTGTCACGCCTTTGCCCCCGGCGAATGCCCAGTCAATCAATGTATGGTCGCCGGGCACACCAAGGACGCCGTCGCAAATAGCGCGCGTGAGATATCGAGAGAACGAGTACTTCAGACTCTGGCGAGATGGACGAAAAGACGCATGGGAGGCGCCACAATGGCGAATCCCCCTGCAAGATTTGCCACCTAGGCGTAGCGGCGCCTGGGATGGGCAGATTCCAACCCCATCGTCTGGAGCCGTGCGCCGCCGCCGAGACAACAGGACAAGCATACGTTACTATCCATCAGGATCGGGGTCTTTGGCCCCTACCTTCATCCAAACACCTACCAATCGGATGCTGTCAATGCTTCAGGGTGTGTCACTCGTTAAGATCCTCGGGTATGGCGGTCAAGGAGTCGCATGCTTAGTGGCGGTCACCGATCGACAGGGAACGACGAGACAGGCCGTAATGAAGATGAGCATTGGCGATGATGATTGGTCTACAGAGGACTTGAGCACAGAGAAGAACTGGCAGGTCAGCTTGATGAGAGCAATGCATGTCGTACAACTAATCAAATGGTCCACATTGAGAGGCCGTGCAACAACGCCGGAGGATGTACAAGTTGACAATAACCCAAGACTTTATTTCATGGAACTCATGAAGAATGGCGATCTCCACGAGGTGATTGGCCGAGCAGGTACAAGTGGACAGAAGCTGCCCAACAAATTATTGTGGAAGATTTTCGCGTGCTGTATGTTACCCAGAGGCATGGAGCTGCGCAAAGCTGACCATCGTAAGTAATACGAGGTTGCATCGCTATGCGATATCCACCGAAATTGCGAAGAATTATATCCCAGACGCAAGCGGACTGGGTTTCAGATGAGGGACCCGACATCCTCGAAGAAGTCCCAGCAGATCCTGGCGTCAGAACGGCGCGCGACTACGATTTGGTTCATTTTGACCTTGATCCAAAGAATAGTGAGTTTTGTGCGACTTGCTTCCTTCTGTCTCTGTATTTGCGGTCGGAGTGTATCAAACACTAAACCTGGGCTCAGTATTTATAGGAGATTTCGACAGCCAGGGCCATGAATATGTTCCACGCCTCAAAGTTAGTTCAGTGCCGAAGAGCTAAGGCTAAAACTCGAAAAAGAACCCGACAGATGCTGACGATCACATGCTTAGGTTGCGGACCTTGGCCTTGCCGATAGAACCACAGGGGAACTCTTAACAACCCCGTGAGATATAGCCCATTTGGCTTCGGTTGTAGAGAATGCCAATGCGATAGAATATAAAAAAATACTGATGACAACTGGCAGGGCAATTTGGACGTCAAGGCAACGAGGCAAATCCGACTTCTACCTTCCTGTAAGCCTCGCCCTCATAGTTCTAGACAGAGCCGTTGACGTTCAAAGAATCCCCTGACAATCAATCGTGACAACAGGAACAATATCATGAGGAATGGGAATGGGCTGGGACTACACCCCGCCAACAACGACCTCCGCTTCAGATTGCGGCAAATTATGGATCATGGAGCAACGTATATCATATCGGATTGGTAAGCAATCATGCAATTTCACTCTTATACAAAGACATATTTTTGAAAATTTGGTCCCTGACAATTTGAAGTGTATGCATATGTTAATAACTCTGTACTCTTTTCCCTACCCACCTCATGCCGTGGGTCCATTCAACGGCCAAAGTCTACCGGAGTCGTATGCAAGCGTAGGTACCATAAAAGATCACAGAGGAACACCAGTTCAGGCATTCTACACAAACGGTGCTGAGTTAGTGAGAGAAGAGGCACTCGATGTAAGGCTGAGAAACCTGCTCATGCGGTGTCTGGCTTTGCTCCCGAACCAGCGGCCAGGGCTAGTGGAACTTGAAGCATGGGCGCTTGATGTGGAAATGAACCCGGGATTCTACGATGATATCGAAGGTGATTTGACTTCGACAGAACTCGCGGAGCAATTTATTTGTCGACCGAGAAGCGTGAGTGCTTTCTAAGCCGTCTGAGATTGTCGAGTTTGTGCTGACCAGATTGGCGACGTGGCAGCCCCCAGCAGCCACGATAGTCGTGCCGCCAACGGACGACACTGTTACATCTCAAGAATCTGAGTCCGCGGGAAATCTCTTGGCCAATCTTAGCCTCGGAAGCGGCAGCGGGTCACAGGCTGAAGTAATTCAATAAAACCTGCCATCTTCCTTGTAAATGAAGCTGTACAATTCACTTTGTACCATATGTACAGCCATCTACCCTTCTAAATTGATAATCATAGGCGAGTTGAGATTGATACTTTGACTGAAAAAGTGAATCACTTCAATGAAAATTCACCAAGTGTCAATATCACCAATGACTGGCCTCGGATTTCTGCCGCCAGACTTGGGGCTTGCATGGATATTGTATTCGTTGAGATGAAACGGAAATGCACCAACATCCTTACTTCTTGCCTGCGAGTTTCCACCACGTGTGTATGGGTTTGAGTGTACACTCCTGGTCACGAATTCTATATGGATTACACAAAAAGAGGGGCCACGGAAGGTCTCGTATTAAGCCTTGTGTTGGTGAAAGCCTCCAGGGCGCCATGTGAACAGGTTTATACCAGAGAGCTGGGCCCTTGTAAGCTTCTAGGTCTTCGGCAGTCAAGCTGCAGGCAGGCAAGCAGAGATCCAGCGACAGGATGCTCTATCTTATGTCATTTAGATCAATAGTGACTTGTATAATTACGAACCAACCTTTTCTAGTGATGAAATCCAAGCTCGTTCAGCCATAGCGCTTTCAAGGGGTCTGCCTTCTTAAAGGATTTTTCTCAATTACCATGTCGTAAATATACCACTCGTGCTTCGTATCAAAGCGGCTGTCTATGAAGCATGGTTACACAATATAGAGCAGACATTAGGCATGACTAGTAGTTACATGTTCGATTAGGAACATTAAATCCACCGCATATAATCATAATGCTATCTTCTAAAAACAAAAGGGTTGTCCACGCTAAATTTTGCTATTGGCACCGCAGAGACCCAGAAAACTGGTCATCTTGCAACTGATAGATATCGCGGTAGGAGGCTCGCAGACCCTCCAGCGTTTCGTAATCTGTTTCTCCCTTGAGACTTGCCCGGAACCATGATATGAATTCTTTGAAACTTGCATTCGCTACCACCTCTTGCAGGTTGTCTGGCCCATCTGCGCAAGCTCGAGAGTAGACGAGCTCGGAAAGCTGAGCCATATGCTGGCCCCAGACAGGTGAATGCACTTCAGCGTGCATCAGCAAAACGTGCATCTCTGACTTGACCAAAGAGGTGAAAGAAGGAATCATGGAGTCCATGACCTGAGCTTTGTGAGTTTCTCTGGAGGAAAATGCATTGTTGCACAAAGCAAGATCCGGGTTCAAAACAGATAATGTAATGTAAGCCTCGGTGGGCTTAGTCTCAGTGGATGATGTCGGCGGAGAGATAAGAGGCAAGCCAACTTCCTCGGCAGAATACACGATGATGAATGGTCGCAACATATCGTCCAGTGGATTTCCAGTGGCAGGCAACTCGTATATGGGAGTCAATAAGCGAGTCCTGCGGCGATCGTGGAATTGTGAGGACGACGGTGCGTTCTTGAACCACTCCTCGAATGAAGAAGGTGGTGCACTTTGATGATCGGGACTGGAGATAGAAAGGCCATGAGATGACAATATCTCAAAGACGCGTTGCTGGTCCGATGCATTGATTGCAATCTCGATATCCTAGCGGATATTAGCTAGAATCCTATTTGGCCCGGCTGAATTCTGCATATTGGAGGCTTTTAGTTCTACTGACCAAAGGACAAAGGCCACCCCCATAGTGGACGGCGGCACTGACAGCCCATAAAACACATGGAATGCAATTCTTCTGCAAGACCGTCGTGAGGAGGCGGCCACCCTCCACATCAGGATCGCGGATAGACGTGAGGAGTGCTTGCTGAGGTGCTGACATGAGGGGATGCAGGAAAAGCAGGATGCTATATGATTGTGACTGACAGAGCTCGAACTCTCTGGTGAGCGACGAACAGTTTGCTTTTCCTTTTTTTTTTTTTTTCCTTCTTTGTTTCCCTAAACGCAGGCACTTCAGGTTCGTTATGAATTGTGTCGTGTCAGGACGACGCGAAGATTCGCCCCATATGCGTGCCCCCCAGCGGGGCTTCAAGTGATGCGCTGCAGTTGCTGTGGCGCAAATGGACCAATCTCATCCAAGATCAGCCCGGCGTATTAAGCGCGGGTCAGGGCAATCAGCTAGCTACACACCCCTTCTCTGCTGCAGCACTAGCTTCTATTACCCACTGGCAGTGTTCTCACAAAAGCGAGACCACATACACAATAGTCAGACCTTTTGGCCTGCACCCCATTGCGAACTCTAGGTCGCCGTATTTCTCGCTCAAAAGCACTTCTGGCAACATAATGGCTCAGGTCCCAAGTGACTCCAACGATGACGGTGTCAGGCAGCCCCGCCATGCGTCGGACGCACCGGGTTCCGCGGTTCTTCAGATCATGTCCGATATGCACCTGGAGACACCCAAGTTTCTCCCCATGTATAATGACTTTCGGATCGAAGTGAGGGCTAAACATTTGGCACTGCTCGGTGACATCGGGATTGCTGGTGACGACAATCTGCTCGATTTTCTGACCCGGCAGCTGCGCCAATTTGAGATCGTGTTCTACGTGCTTGGAAACCACGAGCCGTACTCGAGCACATACGAGGATGCCGTAGCAAGAATGGTTGCCTTCGAAGAATCAATCACCTTTGGAAGAGTGTTTGAATCACAGGAGAACGGGACTCACGCTCGCCACGGCCGATTCGTTTTCCTCAATCGTAGACGATTTAACCTTTCCCCTGAGGTGACAATCCTGGGCTGCACACTCTTCTCTCACATATCCGACGAGCAGCGCAGCACCGTGTCCCTTTTCGTCTCCGACTTCTCCAACATCGTCGACTGGTCCGTCGACAAACATAATGACGCACACCAGGCTGATCTGGCCTGGCTCAACGCCCAGGTCGAGGCCATCGCTAGGGACGAACCGCATCGCAGCGTAGTCGTGCTCACCCACTACAGCCCGACAGTCGCGCCGGAAGCCAACGATCCGGAGCATATAGAAGACTCGCGCGGAGTGCAGTCTGCGTTTGTGACAGACCTTAAGGAGGACCCGTGCTGGGTTTCGCCATTGGTCAAGGTCTGGGCTTTTGGACACACGCACTATAATTGTGACTTTGTCGATGAGAAGACGGGGAAGCTGGTTGTCGCGAACCAAAGAGGGTATGGACGGGAAGGCATTTTCAATTTTGATTGCGAGAAGACCATGGACATATTGTGAGACGGCGTTTGGAGAAAATGAATTCGCCGTGAGTCTCCCTCCCCGTCGCATGTCTCGAACGCAACGACAATCCATCCTATCCCACACTGGAAAGCGATGCCACAGCTCAACCTGACCCATCATCGGTATCCTGCGGTCCTGGGCTTCTCCATAAAATCTGAGGCTGGCGATCCGGGGAATGGTGGGCTGAAGCACGGCGTCCACAGGAATATGGAAAGCTCATTACCACTTCGACATTGAGGATATCAAAGCCATTTGTGGTGAGCAGCGTGATTCGTGTGACGGTAGGGAGATGGGATTTGATATACTTAATAACAAGATTTATCTCCTGACCAAGCCGGCTTCTGATAGAAGGAAAGTCAATGTGTTGCTTGCCGGACGAGCAGCTCGAGAAGCAAATTCACGGCGTCGGTGAGCTCTGCGTGGGTGGTCCATACTGAATGGAGGATTAGCTGGCAGCTCGAAAAGAAAAGCGAAAGGTAGTGTGACAAGGGTTTTGCAAATTATAAGCCTGCTCTGAAGTTCAATGTTCTTGAACATTCGTCCGCCCTCACGGCCACCCGATACTAAATACTACGAAGGTTAGTATCTGCGATCTCGTATGCCGGACACTGCGAACTTTTCACGTATGTTGGCTTTTGCGGTGTCAGTGCTGCGCTTTTGCCCTGATGTTGAGTCTAATCCTTTGGAATTTCAAATGAAAAAGAAAGAAAGAGGAAAAAAAGAAAGAAATTGCCAGTGGACACAGAAGCGGACTCTCGAGACACAAGATGGTCTCGACAATGTACGCACGAGTGACTATATCTACATCAAATCCTTCCTTATCTTCTTCTACAAAACTAGGTACTTCACCTTGTCCATGTTACGAGTTCGATGAGCCCAGAGACAAGATGATCAGCAGAGATTGAATTAACGACGGAGTGCTTGTAAGAACTCAGAGGTGCCCATGAGAGAGGTGAGCCGCGTGCCGACATGTCTTCACCCATTACTAAGGCTCTAAAGACATTTGGATGTATCTCTTGTTCGGAAGATCGCAAGAAAAGCATCCCCGATACCTATCCCGCCTGGAAGTAGGTCAGATTGCCTGCTTTTGGGGCTCCCGTTGGGAAGAAGAAGTGCGGCGCTCGCGCGAATCTACCCAGAGTGCCCACAGGAGCCTTGCAGCACCTCGACATGGTGTGTCACAATTGAAGATGCATCAAGAATAAACTTGAGCTTGAGAAAGCAGGTAATCAATAGTCACGACTTGAACATCAGTTCTCAGGCCTTGTTAGGTGGTCAGCTTTTTGTCAAGGCTCCAATCAAAGATGAAGAACAGTATCAAATACACCTGCAATAAAGTTCAACATATAGCAATACATTTCTGTACAACGAAAATTCTGCTCTGATGAGGGTATTCATCCTGAGGATAACAGTATCCATGAAGGATCATTAAATGTTCCTGGTGCCAATATATACAGTCATACCCACCTTAAGGCTTACGGACTCAATATGCCTATCTTTATATAATTGGCTTAAAATATTAAGAAGGTAAGCACTACAGCTATATGACCGCTTTTGGACACGAGGTTTTGGAAGCCCAACGGCGGCGGCTTTCTAGTGTAGTTTCTTCAACAACAAGAGGGAAGACAGCGAGAATCTTCATCCCAGTGATTGCTCGCTGTGAGAAACAGATATAAAAGGGCTGATTCTCGAAGGACCAAAACTGACACCAAGAGATGTTAAAAGCATCTCCCATCTTCTTTAAGGCCTTCCCTACTTCTTCAAATTGAATACACTCACCAGTTCACCATGGTTTCTCTACAACTTCTATTCCTAGGAGCGGTAGCTCCAGCCATGATTGCTGCTCTTCCAGGTAGCTTTGCGGAGAATACTCTCCGAGTAGAGTACCCGGAGTTTATCCCACTTCCAGGGTTTCCTTCGCTGGCTGAGCTCAATCTTACAACTGAGATGTTGCATGCCCCACCAAAACTCCTCCCCAGTAAGACGGCTCTTCCCATTACCGACCAGCTAGGTAACATAACTTTGGCTAACAATTCACACACAGTCCCTGATGGGTATCACGGAGCGGCATCAATCTCCAGCGACTTCTCTATTGAATACGTCGATTCTTGCAGCGCGGGCGGTGGCGGCTCTGGAACACTGCTTACCGCAAACGTGGACGATGTGATTGTGTGCTTCAACTTCCTCGTCGCACTTGGCAATTATCTCATAACCGTTAGCGAGAGTGATCAAATTTCTGGGGTGCCATATTTTCGCCAAGTTGCTATTTACAACAGTGCTGTTGTTATAGCACATTCGCTCAATGTAGGAGGGACGGCCTCCACTGCCTACGATGTCGCCCTCGGAGTGCAATGGGTCTTCACCAATTGCAATAGTGGTGGCCAAGTTGCTGGTGAGTTTCAATTAGGCATCCTCAACTTGCTATGTATGTGCCGCTCACACGAGTCACCTCACAGGATCGGCTGCTGCGTACGGCAATGGTGATCTTGTGGTCCAGTCGAGTGGCTATTACCACTGATTGCAAGTATCATGAGCTACGGTTTAGCACAAACGGCTTTTCCAGGAGTTGATGGGTGACAGCAACAACTTTGAAAGATGGAGGGGTCAAATTCAGAAGTTCTCACGACAGGATGCTCATATGGTCATACGCATATCCCGGCGACACTCCTAGTACGTGCAGTAGTGAATGTAGACATTTCGATATTTATCATTTGAATCGAGATATTGTGGCTCTTGTTATAGTACTGTCGGAGGAAGATTTTGATGGCTGCAAAAAAGGGACATGAGTGTATCGTGAGGCTGCTTCTGTGCACAGGCATGGTTGATATCAGCACGAAAGAATGCAATGGCTGGACTCCGCTCTCATTGGCCGTCAGAAACAGGCATGAAGACCATATGTAGACAGAGAGCAAGTTTGCTCCCTAAGAACACATTTTGTTTGTAAATGACAGTTGTGCTCTTCGAAGTCGTTGCTTGGGAGTTCATAGGAGCTCGCGTGCAGGTCGTCCTCCGCCCAGGCAAAGACTACGGGTTGGACTTGTTGGTGCCCTCCATGGAGGGAGCTTCTACTTCATACGAACGCGGCAAAGCCCTGACGAATGGCACATGATCGGAAGCATCAGCTTTACTCCCGGCGCTTCATGGTGTCGAGCCTGGCCTATGCACGGCCGGGCGATGAACCCTTTTCTTCGCCGGTCTGAACTCCGCGCTCAGGTCCAGTGTGGAGGCCGACTGTACCATGAGTCACATTTGCTGCATCCGCTCATCCATGCGGAGGTGCTTAGGTCTGTGTATAGTACGATGCCAAGGTATGCGGTTGCACTGGATATCGTCTGCGCCAGCGCCATGGCCACGATCGCAGGCTCCTTCTACTTCATACTGAATAGCATTTGGATCAAAATTATAGAAACTTCGTGGAGAATTGTACGGGCAAATTCTCCTCAGTAGCGATGCCGCTCGACACTAACGAGTGTGAGGCTTCTGCGGTAGCACGGTCTACCAGCTTTTACAAGATCAATTTGAGGGACAGAAATTATAGGAAATTTCGTAACACCATTATATCGCGTGAGATGTCAAAAGCGGTACGATATCGGTGTCGCATGTGAGGAAGAGGCGAATCTGTTTTCGGCGTACTCTGTAGAGCGATGATCACTTCAAGTTGCGTATACATCACTAGAGCTCTTCCAAATTTGATAGTCATGCCCGTGCAGCTATAACATATTCGAGGCGTATGCGAACCTCAGCAATTCCACTCAATTTTCGTATCGCATATGTGTCTTGCCTAGAACTAACGCCACCGTCTCCGAAGTATGTTGCACAACCTGTAGCCGACCAATCTGGCCATATAATAGGTCGACCCACCTGCGGCCCGGCATGGGGGTGATTTGGTGGAACCCCGCTTCCTTCCTCTGCGGCCGAAGCAGACATCCTTGTCGACCCAGCAATTTTCTCGATCCACCTCATCCGCATAGTTGCATACATAGGTACACAGTAATTACAAATCCCCTGTGCGCGACTTCATCCTGTGGTGTCCACGCTGCCAGCTTCAGACCAACGATGGCCTCGCGCAGTCCTAGGTCGAAGTCTTTGCCACCAACACTCTCTCGCCATTCCACTAGCTGGCCTTATCAGTATTGTAGCCTTCCGGGTCCGAGGGCTACCCGACTATTATTCATCGAATCTCAATCCAGAGACTATAAATGCTACTTCATCACAGGCCGTCTAGAAATCGTCAGCCTTGAGGACTTTAGACGCAGATATGTTGCGCTGTCATATACATGGGGTCCGGCCATCCGTGAGGAATTCATGGAATCGGGAAATTCAAGTCGCATCATTCCCTCGTACGAGTTGCTTCTCAATGAGCGCCACATCAACGATGTCGTGGATGATAACCATCTACATGATGATGCGAGGAGAGGATCCAAGTACGCATGTGGCTATACTAGCCTGAAGCTCGCTCCAAATCTGTCTGACTACTTCACAAACCATGCCGAATGGCACATCAAAGAGGGAGTGCCGATCTGGGTCGATGCCATTTGCATCAATCAGCAAGATCCAGCTGAGGTTGCAAACCAAATCCTCCTGCAGGCCGAAATTTACACAATGGCGAAACAAACCAATGTTTGGCTTGGGCGGTACTCGAGGGATCTGTCGATGTTTGAGTGGTGGCAAGATACCGTATATCGAGCCCTGGTACAGAATCACCATCGCCATCGCCAGTCTCCACATCTATTTGACCTTATGTTCAAGACTGGAGATCATCTTGATGAAGAATTCTGGCTCCAGAATTTTGGTCTTGCTCCTCCGGATGGTACGACCTGGTACGAGTGTTGGAGGTCCTACTTGTATTTCTTCCTTGGCAGACGGTGGTTCTCGCGACTTTGGACGATTCAGGAAGTTATGCTTGCGCAAACAGTTTATATGTTCTGTGGCCGAAGACGCTTCAATTTCAATGACGTTTTGCAACTCGACCGGTGGTTACTGTCCTCATTCTTCCGCGCAAAACCCAGGTACGAACCGAATGAGGTCCATCACGAGCAGATTTGGCCGAGGTGGAACCCAGGTTTCAAGTTCGAAATCATTCGAACGCGCCTCAACTATGTCCAACCAAGTGTCTTTCCTCCTGATACCGTGGCTGGAGTATCATCCACGAAAATCTCCTACCTGTTGGGAATTTTACAATCCGTACGCGGCCAAGAGACATCATTTAATCGGGACAAAGTCTTAGGACTGGTTGGGATCGCAGCACATTTCGTTCCCAGAAGCGAGCTTCCGCTGCTCGTGTATGACCCTAGCGGTAGTGACCGAGACGTGTTTGTCTCTTTCGCCCGTTATTACATACAAAGGGATTGTTTAGACATTCTCTCCTACGCAGGACATCGCCCTGCACAACCTTCATGGCCGTCTTGGGTCCCCCACTGGGATGACGTATCTCAAAGCGGATCGTACGAGCTGTCCTATTGCTACGCCGGCGAGAAGTCTCCTGCAGCTCCCGACGCGAGGAATACTCATGCCACATACTCTGATGGACACTGGCAGAAAAGGCTTACCACTTGTGTTCCCCGGGTGTTCGACGAGACCCTGGTGCTTTACGGCGTGCCCATAGGCGTTGTCGCAGAGACATACCCCAAGGATGAATGGACTCAGCACATTGGATTTGTCATGGGTCTCTTGGGGCCTACATACTCTCTTACTGGGGAGCCAAACCACGACGCTATACGTCGAACGATATTCCGGGCCGCAAATGATGATCCGCCAATGGCCGAGCGGAGTGGCGCTGAGGGTGTATACCATCAATTCCTGCTCTATCTCCGTGTGCGCTTGGTCCGTAATGGTCTCGCCAACCCGAAATTCGTGAAAGATTTGCAAGAACTGTTGTTGTCTCAGCCATCTATGCATCCACAATTGTCCTCAATAGTTCGTGCCGCCTTGGCAGAAATCAACAGACGTGGAGGTCAAGTGACTTGTCACTCACCGACCGAATTGAAAGTTGGAAATTCGGCACAAGAGACCGGCATTGTACAACAGTCCTTTTCCAATGAAATTGAAGTGATGCAAAAGGTCTTCAACATATTCGTCACTACTAATGGAGTTCTTGGGAACGGAAGCAAGTCGATCAAGCCCGGGCATGAGATATGGGTCGTCGAGAACGGACCCGTGCCTGTCATTCTCGAAAAAGGGATGGAAGCGGGTAAGTTTAGGCTTATCGGCACAGCATATGTACATGGGGTCATGCATGGCGAGGCTATCAGAGGGAAAAGGGCAGAGGAAATGACAGAGCTCCGGATCGTGTGACAAGACAGGAAAGCCACGCCATATCTACCAAGTCCCGATGCGGTCCCTCGTCCGTGTAGACTAGTCGCGACACATCTTGTATGTTATTCCATGACGATGTCACAAACGCGTTTTGCTTTCGTGCAACTTTGATTTGGTGCGTTGCGGTTCAGTTCCTCTAATCTTTCTAGGGCTCCTAGACCCTACTCAGGGTCTCATTAAACAACACAAAGTCGGTGGCTGGCGATTATGGGAGACATCACCCAAGCGAGGGAGGAGATGTCGAGGGCATGGAAAGGTCAGGTCTGATTGATTACCTTGCATATAGTTCTAACTTGACGCGTTTATTTTGACGTGGTCATTGCATGACATCAGTCTATTGGCAATGAACACACACTTCCCGCGGTTGTATAGGCCTTCCGCAGGAGCTCTGAACAAGGCTTGCGATTCAGATGAGACGGATGACCCGCTGCTGCCATGACGGATCACTTCCCGGAGGCGGCGATTGCTCTGCTTCACGCCGCGACAGACGCGCAACACCTAGCCTTCGAAAACACGGGTGGCCATCATTTAGACCACATCCCTGCAGCACAAGGGAGCCATAACTAATCAAACCATCAGACCTGCCCACGAACCCAAGGATAAGCAAGGAGACTTTGGCTTGGGCTATTGCCTTTTCTGGGTACCTGTCTCCGTCATCTGGAGTTGAATACCACCACGTATCTCCAGCCTTGATTTTATGATCCCGTTGTTCTGTCACAACGGCAGCACGGCCTCCAATGTTGATCCATGCTTCTTCAATCGCGGAAATTGAGTCTGGGGGGTTATACCGGCAACAAAAAGAAGCTATGGACGATCTTGCAGCAAAGTTCTGAATGACGGAGGAGTGAGGGGAATGGACGGCCTTGTTGAAAGAGGCCCAGCTCCACGATGGAGCCCCATGGTTGGCCAACCCTTGTTGGTTGTGCAAAGTGCGAGGAACAGGCCGCCACATCAGTGAAAGTGGTATCTCCTCGAGCCACAGGCCAGCAAGGTACGTATAGCCCGTAACCTCGCGATAGCGAGCGGCGAGCCCAGCCAGTGCAGGCAGCCTATCTCTCTCAAATGTGACCTCTCGTTTTGAGAACTCTGCCACCATCGAGCTATCTAAATGCATCGGGAACTCGTAGCAGACGTGCCTTTCCCATGTTTCTGCAGTTTAACTCATTCGCGTAGCCATCGAAACAATCCCATAACGTGATGCTATCAATGTGCAGCACCCGTGGTGAAAGCATCCATTCCTGGAATGTCCACCCTCGGTCCAACCAATGGTTTTTGTCATTGTTTCGATCGGTGGAAAATGAGGACCAGTCGTATTCCAAGAACCATGGGCCTTCTGTTCGTGAGAGGCAGCTTGAGGTCAACCAGAGACTACCCTTTATTTTCAAATCCTGGTCTATGTATGGGATCGTGCAAAATTGACTCTGCTCTCGGAAATTCTTATGCCTCTCTGCCAAGAAGCTCTGTGACGATTGGCTACAGAGGGGGACAGATATCGTCAAGGTTGACCTGCTGTAGATCTCGCACATTTTCGATGATTCAATAGACCAGTCATTATCATCGTCTTGTATAATACACAGCCTATCAATCCAGAGAAATCGGAACCCGAGCTTGTAACACAGATGAATGGTGTCAATGACTGTATTCGGCAGGTCCTCAAATGAAATTCCCTGTTGTCGACTCAATATATTTGCACGAGTGGTCTGGCCTGTCTGAATCCTTGAATCACCCCAGCAGTAAGAGAGGCAGGCATAGATCCCCTGCATCTTGCCGCCGGTCTCGACGAGACACACGCCAGTCTTCTCATTACCCGGATCCAAAAGCTCGAGGACTCTGTTAGGTAACTGCTGGATACAGCCTGTTATGGGACAAGCCCGGTGACTCTGTTTGCAAGTTGATCTCCAGCGATTTACGAGATCGATATGAGGTTCTGACAGGAGGTCGCGGGACGGCCGGTGTTCTACCCCGGGATCAAGAAGATCATCTACACTATGTTAGAGACTTTAGCGTATATCCAGTGTTTTCATTCTGGAATTGAACACACAGCAACTGTCGAAGCAATATAGGGAAGTCCTGAACCAAGGGGTGGTCAAAGCATATGCTTCCGTGTGCATTAAACTCAGGCTCCCCCGCGGACCAGTCTTTTTGTCGCAATAGGAGTATAAAGCGATTCTTCCACTAGTACCAATTTCAGAATCATATGGTTTCATAAGACTCCCTGGTCTTGCAAGCTCTGTAAGATGTGTGGCTATTGAGGTGTCATAGTCGGGCTGCGCAAGATGTATTCTTGATTTCTGCTCCGTGTCGGGAACGACCCTGGACAGTGAAAACGCGGCAGCGACTTTGTCAAAATCAGTTTCATTGCCCATCCTGAGGCCGCTGCAGAGCATTGTACAGATGCCGCACCCTGCTTCCGCAGATTCGAGGAGGGCCCAAATATGGGGATAGTGTATATATATGTAAATATAGCATCCACGACGACGTATTTGCTTTGGTGTTTCCAATATGAGTCCGCGAGGATGCATCAAGTCGCCAATCCCCTGACAGACATGACAGACCTGGACATCAGCGGATTCGAAGCTTGAACTTCCGGAAATGTCCATGGTGTCGTAAAAATGGCCTTTTGTGAAGATGTTGGATGACTTAATGCTGGTTGCGATGTTAGGTGAAGATTGTGCTGGTAGGACCGTTCGTGCGCGGGGAGAACGCCAGGTCAAATTTGGTAGCTAGTGCTGATGGTGGGTGGAGTCCCTACAGCAGACGAAAGCCGAGACCAGAAGCAAGCCAGTCCAATGAGGCCCGCCCAAGCGGACTGCGTATGGGGGCTGGTCACCGCATCCATGTCAATCGTAGCTAGCAATCTTGCGCCGATAAATGAACGCCTTTTCTGCTGGAGCACCTACTGACAAGCGGGAATTCTTGCGCCTCGCCTGGAACACAATAGGGCAACTAAGCTAATCGGCCTACTGAACGCCATACGAACCATCATGGGGTATATGAGCTCCCAGAAGAACAGAGGAAAGCAATCCATATATGAAGACGTCATAAAGTTTAATGCTTCCTTTTTTAGGTGGAATACCAGAGATTGTGATTGTTCGAGCCTCTCCCGCTCGGCGTGAGCACAAGCCTGCTGGAATTACATTTTGTCTGACTTACCATTATCGAAGGGTTTGGAATATATGAATCATGAGTAGCAATATACTGCCTATATTTGCAATTCGTCAATAATGTTGTGCAACGGATTCACGTAAGAAGCACCGTTCACGTTCAGACGAAAAGACAAGACCTTTTTCGGAGGTTCTCAAATCGTATTTTAATGGTATGTGGTGGTCCATGCGATATTCATCGGTTAAGACACTAGTCAATGTGGACAATTAGTGGTGTACCACGGTCCTTAAAAAAGAACAGGCCATCCCGTAGACCACGAGATTTGGTTGAAGCCAAACAGATATTGCGAGTCCGCCAGACCAACCCGAGTATCAGCTATTGGGAAAAATCAAGGTCAGCGACAGAGCCACTTTAAACTCACAAGCGACGCCCCAGGAGCGAATAGAGACTTACCATAATGGTAGTAAAGCACAGCACCACTATACGCGGTATCGACCAAGATCCCCTGCCCACCCGGGCCATACACATTACCGTGGCTCTCAAGCACCTTGGTACCGCCTCCCGCCGTGCAGCTCTTACCACTTTGGTCTACGTAGGGCCCGTTCACATTGGAGCTCCGGCACACGCGGATCGAGTACTCCTCGCCGGGTGCGGGCTTGGTGCTGTCGTAGCCGCAGCAGATGCCGGCGCTGAAGAAGAGGTAGTAGTACGGCGAACGGTAGTAGATGTAGGGGCCTTCCATCGCGTGGCTACCAGTGGCGTTGTAGGCGATCTGGGTGGCTGATGCCGCAACTGACGAGGGCGGGTTGTTCATCTTGCTTTGGTAGACTTGAGAATTATTGTCAGCGTGTTCCGCTGCGAATGGTAAGGGGACTGGAAATTTCCGCAAAGGGACTTACTGTCGCCCCAGAAAGATCCGAAGCTCATGTAGTAGCTACCATCCGTCGCCTGTATCAGGGCCGGGTCGATCGCGTTGTACGGCTTGGCTGAGGTACTTGCAATACCTGTCGCGCCGTGGTCTGTCCAGGAGCCGACTTCCATCGTCGTAGAAGTGGCATAACCGATTGCCGAGCTCTGCGAGCCGAAGACGCTGACTGCGTAGTAGAGATAGTATGTGCTACCAACAAGGTGGACCGATGGAGCCTGGTTACATGTGTCAGCCCAGGAGTCGTCCACAGTATTTTGAGAGCCCCCTCCTATGTTGTATAAGATGACAAAGTATCCTCTGCACCGCAACACCCTGAAATGCTGAGACCTGAATCTGGAAACTTACCCAGAGATCATCATTCCCCGGAAGATTGATAGAGCTACCAGCAGGGATGGCAGCGCCCTGGTAGGTCCACGAACCAGTCAAGCTACTCGCCGTCCATATCCCGATCTTGCTGCCCGTGCCGAATCGGAAATACTTTCCGTCCGCCCTCTTGACAACCCCCGGGTCATGAGCCCAACACGCGCCGGTGCAGGCAATCGGGTCCGGGTAGGCAGCGGCGGGGACGGCGGCGAGGGTGAGGAGCGCCGTCAGGCCCCGGAGGACTCGGCCGAGAAACATGATACTGCTGGCTGGCTGAGCGACTGTCTGGGAGTGTCTGTCGATCACGGTTCGATCCGAGAGCTAGAACATTCAGGCGTGAACATGCGAGGCACGCAGGCTGGGAATGATCGACGGCGTCGGCTCCATTTTAAACACTTTTTTGACATGACGCCTTACCACTGGATACGAGCGCAGGCCATCGTGAGGCAGTCCGGCCCATGCCTCCCGAACAAACTCAAGTTCAGCTTCGCTCCGTATTGTCGATTGGTGGGAATTAGACTCCAAATTGTCCCCCCTTTCCCCGTTCCCGTAGACTTGGGATGAACGCCAAGGATCAGGGAGGTGTGAGCACACCCCCGCCGCGGCCACTCAGGTGCCGGCGCCTCGCCGAGTCTGGCAATGTTGATGGCACATGATTCAGGCACCCGGAGGCACGACAGGCCGTTGGGGCGGGATTCCGTTTCCCAATGGAGTGTTTCCTTGGTGACACTTGGGGTAGCAGTGCCGTGGCCCGCCGCGTCGCGCATGTGGCTCCCCACACCCACCGGCGAATGGGCACAGGCGCTCGAATCGGTTGCTTTCCGAGTGATATTGCAGGGGCAAACGGCAGAGCTTGGCTAAGCGAGGTAGTGTTTGGCATGCTCATGTGACTGTATATTCGGGAGTGCAGCGGAGAGGAAGGCTTGTTTTTTCCGGCGATAGATCCACATGGCAATGTTGGCATCTGCGTTACCGGACAGGAAGAAAATGTAGATGGAAGAGCCATCTGATTAAGCTGATTGAGTTTCGAGGAGTCGAACAGAAGTGGCGGTGCTGCTTATTGCATAACGTTTTCAGATGGGTTGAAAGTAACTTCAAGCTAAACAGGAGACGCATTTAGCATTCTTTTCAGAATCCATGTACGAATGTTGGCGCGGCCACCTTACTTTGAAGCGGGATCCTCGGAGGATTAAAGACCTACGGCAATGCCGCGCCAGATACCAAAGCGAAAAGAAAAAGAACATATTCGTTCACCAAAGCCTAGTCGAAATTCTTGATAAGGTAAGTCGACAGGGAAGCAAATTCCCAGCCCTGGATTCCCACCCAGGGAACTAATCAATCCGAGAAGACCAGGGATTGAGCAACACACGGGGTTACCAACATCGCAACAATTAAAGACCGACCACATACGGCCGCAGCAACGACGACCTCATAAATTCTATGGTACATTCTTGGCGCTCTTAGTCAATTGCAATGATCCAGGTATCAAGGTCTAAACTTCCGAAGCACGTTCCGCTCGCAGTACAATCCGACAAGCATTGAACCATGCAAATCATGCCATCAGAAACACGAGTGCTTTATCCTCAATCAAGAACCGTTGCGCCTCGAATCACGCCAGTCACTCACTGGGAGCCCTCACTGAATCTCTGTGCCGCTACCGAGACGACTGTCCTCTACTACCCCTCAAGTAGCTCAAACGCTGTAACAAACCATGCACAAGCCGCTGCTCGCCTCGCGTAATTACTATGCGAGCGAAAAGATGCCGCTGATCCTCCCTTCTTAGTCTCCTTCAAACTGGCAAGCTCAGATCGGGAGAGTATCTGCCGGTGGAGGGACCATGGCATACCTGCCCCTGCCGTTCATCGTAGTAGCAGGACCATGCCGGCCGCCACTAAGACCAACGATGCCACCGCCACCACGCTGACCCATCTCATAGAAGCTGATCTCTAGAAGCAGGGAACAGGCCGCGACGACCCTGAAGCTCTCCATGCCCTCATACCTGCTCTCTCGCGGGCCAGCGTTGTCCTCGCAGCCGGCATGCACGCACGCGAGGCACAGGTGCAGGTTGTCGAATTCCGTCTGGTAACCAGTCAGGGGCACGGCTTCAGAGCCGTGGCTGACCTTGCGCATCTGACCCGTGATGAAAGTGGTGATGCGGCCCATCTCGTCCTTCAGCTTGATGCTGCTGTCGCGCTGCCGGTGCGTCTGCACGCCCGACCGGTTGAGAACATTGCCGACGAACACCTCCAGCTCTGTGAGTGGCTTGGTCGGGTGTGTCGAGTACTGCCCCATAGCGTCCGAGATAGCCTCCTCGTACCATCCCCGGATCTCGCGCGCCGTTTGCAGGCGGCCTACCCAGCCGTGTGAGTCCTCCACGATGGCTTCGTAGCGAGGTCGTGTCTTGTTGAGAAAGTCGTCCCAGAAAGATGAACCGTCTATGGATGGCACTTTGGACCTCACGTCCTCTTGCCAAATCTCTTGCTCGTCTATGGCACGAAAAAGATAGCCAAGAAGCTTCTCAGACTTGTAGTAGACGTGTCGCTGGCGGTTGTACTGGTCCTCTTCGTCATCAGCGGCTGGCTCGATAATGTATTCATCGAGCTCAATGGTAGATTTATCCAGAACGCGGGCTTCGGGACCTGGAGCCAAGCTACTTAAACCGGTCAGAATATGGTTTTCTCCAAGCCATATAATGTTCTACCTGCGATGAAGCACGAAGAAACAAAGGTGAATGTAAGAATGTCATGGATGGAGTAATTGTAGTGTCAGGAATGAAGTCTGCGTCGACTGCACGAGGCACTGGGACAGATGACCGACATGGGCGGTGTGGAAGGAGAACTCACAAATCAGGCCTGAATTTGTTTGCCCGTGGTAATTCTCCCAGGTTCACATCAACGCCAGTCTTGGAAAAGTCCACAGCCGTAGAATGCAGCTCAGCCAGCTTCAGGCAGTCCGGGTGAAGTGTGCCTTTTTCCATTTGATCGGCTAGAATCATATGTCTTGTCGCAATGACACCAAGGTGGTCCAACTTCATAAAGTCAATGAAAAAGTTTGTCATATCCTCCACGGTGACCTCACGACCCAGGTCTACTGCTGCCACGCGTGGGTAGTCTGCAGGAGGAAAAGTGCGCTGAGGCATGACTCCTTTATCCCAGATGACGTTGAAAATGTCACCGTCCAGGTCGCCACCTGATAGCTGAGACGGAAGATCTCGCTGGCCGTGGCGGCTGAAGATAATGACATTTGACAGCTCCCGGAGTGGGCTCCCTCGAGGCGGGATCACGTTTCGCGGTACCTGGATATCACCAGGATGCAGGGCCGGAGATCTGGTGACAATCATAGCACCGGGTCCAGGTGGTTCATCAAAGCGATCACCCATGGTATCGTAGGTAACATAGACCTCGTTCTCCTTGAGGAACCCGGTCTCGTCCATGATCCCGAACAGGGTAATCCCCTTGCGGATAGGAATTCTTGCCTTGTGTTTGAGCAGACGCAGCTCACGGAGCACCATGGCCTCGACGACTGATCGAAGGAACTTGTCCTTGCGGTAATCAACGCCCATGTTCTCGCACAGTGAGAGCATACGATGAAGCCTGATGGTTTCACCGACGTTTTGGTATTTCAAGAATTTGGCCACGTTGTACGCGTCTGCGGTCACAGCCCGAAGTCTCGCTAGCTCCATATTCTGCATGCTGAAGAACCAAGCACTGCTGCATCCCATGTCCTCTAGAATCTTGATCATTTGGCGATTGAGCATCAACGGAATCGGTTTGGAGGCCATGTCGCATATTTCGAGATGAGGCTTATCGTCGCTCTCAAACTTCTTCATGGACGGTCTGATACGTACCTCAGATCCTGTCAAGCAGGTGTCCAGAGCAAGCATGCCTTTGGAGCCTTTGAATCGAACTTGAAAGGCTGTCGGGGCGGACTTCTTCTGAGGGATTACGTCCCAGATGTTGTAAACCACTTGCCATGAAATCGTACCGACGCCATCGCTGAATACTCGGCAATTGCGCTCTACATCTGGCACCAGACGTACAGTAACGTTGAAGTCATCCAGTGACACATAGTATGGTGTTTCAGAGAAAGCCTGGCCGATACGAGCAGCACACCGTGCAGGCGAACGAATATTCCGAAAATGTCCCAGATCGCCAATAATGTCGAAATAGGCTTGAGGCCTTCCATTGTCGACGAAAGGAGCTGAGAACTGACGAAAATGTTAGATCAAAATGTACGTAGAATTAAACGGGGCGAAGCCAAGACATAGGTACTAGGCTGGCGGCAACAGGCTCAGATGACTTAAAAAGACAACGAAGTGAGAGGGAGCACGAAGACGGCCAGAGCTACGTACCCATGCTGAGTGAGAGCGCAGAGAAGAGTGCGAGAATCCGAGAAAGTTGTACGCCCGGCCAGCGATGTGGATGCCGTTTCGAAACACCTCCCTGAATCTCTCATACACCTTGTCATTGCTGACACTTGGGTTGAAATAGAGGTCCTCGCCGTTTTCGTCGCAGAACTGTACCCGCAAGAAGTACTCGTGGTGATTTGGAAACTTGCGAAGGATTCTGTTCTTTGCCTCCGGCTCAGGACCGTGTAGTGTAGTTCGAGTCGGCGTAACAGTGACTCGGTGGATCAGCGCCAGGTTTCGGGTTGGAGCCAAGAGTCCTTGTCTAAACAATTCGTTGCTGACTATTTTGTCCTCGACTTCACGGAGATATTCCACTATGGCTTGAACCTCGAACAAGGACGGATCGTCGTGAGGCTTAGGCCATGGAGTATCCTTCATCAGCTTCTTCATAGCAGTAACGGAGATTGGTCGTTTGCCGGCTACCCTGTCTACGATGAAGACCTTGCAGAGCTGCTTTGCCAGTGCTAAGACCGTTCCCGGATGGTAGTAGGCATTGCAAGCCAAAGCCTGTAGCTGAAACAAGATGCCGAAAGGCAGTTGGTCCGAGTAAGCATACATAGCGAGTTCTCTCAATAGCTTGCTCATGGCTAGTGAAGAAGTTCCGAGATGCAGAGGCGCCGTCCTTTGCGTGATTAAGTCATAGGACACAGCGGGTACTACGTCGTGGTGCTTGAGTGACCCGAGCTTGCGTTGAAGGTCAGTACCAGTAACCCGTAGCTGGTACACCAGACATTGGCCGACAACTTTGACATGCTGATCATTGAGGGCGCACAGCCGGGTTCGTGTGGGCCCAGGGCCCCCGATCTGGCCACCTCTTGAAATAGTGAGTTGTCGCAGGAGACTGTCCAACTCCCCGAGGTCCTCGAAAAAAGACGGCGCTTCGGCAAGGGTAAGCGTCAAGATATGCTGGAAACTGCAAACGAGATCTCGGACAGTCTCAAGGGGTATCTTGATGACGTGGTGGCTTTCAAGTTTGATAAGAAGAGTCTGGCGAGTGAACTTCGCAACGCCCACGTCCTGAAACTCGACCTCGGGTAGATAAACGAGCTCATCACCAACAAAGATCGTATGTCCACAGCTGAGCGAAGTCACTTGGAAGACTTCGGGGCCTTTCTCTATTTCAATCCTGCGAGTCGGTCTAGCTTTCTCTGCAGCGGCGTGCTTCAGACCTCGTAGGGTGATGTTGTTTGGTCTCCCAGGAACATCGTTGGGGACAGACTGGCGGTTGCTCTTGGAGCAAAAGATGTCATGACCCATTAGTTGCAGTCTGGCTTTGCGGCGCATACCCCTGGGGTGCCTCTGGTTGCCGCTGAAGGCATTGACGGCGAGATGGCTGTCTGACTGGCCCATGGGTGGGAGACACTGTTGGCCATGTTTCTGCAGGAATGCGTGGGCATCGTTGATGTCGAGAAAAGTCAAGTTGGCCCATTTTTGCCTGCGAGGCTTGTCACAGCTGAAGGCGTGCTCCTCGATGCCCAGGCAGTCCATGAAAGGCTGCAGCCTCTTTTTCACGGCATCCTCGGACAAGTGCTCAGGCCAACCATGTGTATGGACCTCCATGTTGCTCCCCTGAGTGATTAAGTAGCTTTACCGTGGTCTTATTGTTGGTCAACAAACTGTCAAGCAGATTACTGCACACAGCCAAGTAGTCTTGGATTCAACCAGGGCTAGTGCATTGGTGGCAGGCTGACAAGTCAATGGGTGGTCCACAGGGCGAGGCAACGGCGAGAATTGGCCAGGCAGTTTGAGAAATCGAAGTTGAGGGCTGGCAAGCTTTCTTCTCTACTGTCTTCGAGAAAATGAATTCAAATCAATGCAAGCGCAAACAAACAAAAAAGGCGAGGGGATTGAGGCTGAGAAGTTGGTGGTCAGGAAGATTTGCGAGGCTGAAGCATGCAAACGGCAGGATCATAGAGCTGTTGTGTGGGGGCAGGCTTGACCTGGAGCTTGAGCTTGACCTGAAGCTTAGGGGAGCTTGGGGGAGCTTGGGGGAAGGTAATCCCCTTTTCCCGCAGAGGCGCACTCGACACTGCCCTCCAACCTGCAGTAGGCGCGTTAGAGAGCTTGGAAGAAGCAGATTGAAGCGTCAGAAAGACGCTGAAGAATACAACCTGAGTTATCACCCGCAGCCACTGAAGGTGCAGTTGCAGCCACGCACTTGATAGTTTTTGCTGAGGCCTTCCGAGATGGTGAAGAGAACACATAGCTTTATACTCTCTCTCCCTTCCTTTCACATGGCAATGAGACGCATCATTCAGGAGTAAGTATCCAACATGACAGCAGATGGATACGGGTAGCTACATCAATCCTAAACAGGTCTTTGGCACTGACTCACCGAGAGCAAGGACACAGGGCTCGCTCTCAGCCCGATGCACGCCTGCCCTCACCTCTTGACAAGGCCTCCCGTCTTGGCACACCGTGGGAAGCTGCAGCCGCTCTGGAGTCATTGCCTGATGTACAGAAATAAGTCTCTGGGAACCGAAAACCAGTGCAAATAATCCGTTCGTTAAGACCTTCAAGATTCATTTAATATCCCCATGGAGATGTCACCGCAGACTGCCTGGCTTCCGGGAGGTCGTTGATTCCGGCAAGTGCACTAATGTCCGCCTCTCATGACAAAGGTAATGTTCAAACGGATTTTACAGATTCCACAGCACCCTGCCCCTGCGTGTCTTGCTCATGGCGCCATCTGTCAAGGCCTACTCGGATCAGTGGCGACCAGTACGTGTGAAAACACCAACAGCCACTATCTACCCGTGAGCCCTTTTGGCAGTGCTTCAGATAGGTACTGTTAGATTCCTTCACGATGTTTGCACAGAGCCGAACGCTCCACCGCCACACGACGTGTGAGCGATTTTGGGGCGGAGTAGACAACCGAATTTGTTCTTTTAATATCATTACTCTCTTTAGGACTCCAAGTCCGGCCCCTCTCATATCTTCAAACTTTCCAGATGGGCAAGTCAAGCGGGAAACGTCACAAGCAGTCTCGATATCGGCACGTTCCGCCGCTATTGAGTACATGCAGAGAGGATGGCCTATGGCAGAGCATCGAACGGGACGAAGAGGACTTGATATCGTGTTTCGAAGAGCATCGTATTGTCTCTGTCGACGATTCGTCTCTGGCGGCCAAGGAAAGCGACCTTACTGGGCAACATACAACCCACGGTCACTACCAGCCTCGCCAACACGACCCGGCAACAACAGCCACCCCCCACACCCCAGATCGACATTCTACCCCAAAGGCAACGCCTTCGAATACAAGCCAACAGTCACCAAGCCATCGTCTCACAACACCAACCAGAGCTGACTTGCTCGCCAGAGTCCTCAATTGTCCCCTACCACACCCAGGTCTACCCACGCCGGGGGATCTTTCCGCAGATATATCCCAGCCTGTGCTGCCAAGCCCAGGAGAAGCTCAGCGCGGACCGAAAAGGCGCAGAGGAAGACCCAGAAAGCCACACAATGCTCCCAACTGGAACAAACGGCGCCACGTCCGCTTCTCCGATCCTATACCTGCCGAGCCAGAGCCCCGGGCGGAATCTCAAGACCCACACATATTCGTCCGACTCCTTAAGATCACCGTCAGCCTTGAGGGCTCATTTCCAGTACAGCGTCAGGAGCTGATTTGGAACAATCGCGCCAAGGGGTGGAGGCTGGCCGGCGAGAGGAGCGAGCAGAATATTGGGGATATCGCTGGGTTGCTGGATGATATGTCGCAGCATGGCTCCATGCTGAAGGTACTTCTTGCCCCAACTGAAGGACGAGGAGCTCGAGAGCCGATGGAAATAGGTTGGAACGTCGCTAGGTACTGTTTTCATGGCTCCAATCAGGATCTGGGGAGCTTGTCGGTCACCTTGGGCGAGATGAAGGATATGGTCAAAGATCCGTGGGCGAGACAATTTGTTGGGTGTATAGGCTAAAAGATTATCCTCTATGTCTTGTACTAGCATGGATGGAATCACGATCGAGGATTTAATGTGCCACGATGTTTGTTTTACAGTAATTTTCTCAAGGGTCTCTTCCGCAAAAGATTGCGATAATATGAGCTATGTTCGCTGCCTAGGGGCTTGCCCATCCAGTCCTAGATCTTTGATTCTGGCCAGCCCTGGGAGAAGGAAAAGTCTACCAGACTCTTAATGAAGCTGTGGGTGGTTCACCAGCAAATTTGAGTTATGCTTGAGACATCTGATCAATCAGCCGTCTTTCCTCCCAAGGGATCGAGCAGCGAGTATGGAGTCCCGAACAGCCCCCGAGATAGATCCCCTCACACCACCCTTTTCCAGGTCCAGTATGCCCCCAATAGTAATGCCGGGGTTAGCACACACATTCTCCCGAACCTCAGAAGGCCGCTTGCCGCCGCCGTCCGCAGCCAACAAAGCCGCCGTGCTCGCTAGCGCCTGCGCCGTCATGGCCTCAGCCTGGCCACGCGGGAGTCCGCCCGCAACAGCCCCGTCGATGATGGCATCGCAGAAAAATGCGGCGTCCATTTGGGACTCGGTGATGTGGGTGATGCCGCCGACGCACTGGAAGAACGACTCGACGATCTCGATCTTGTCCTTTGGTGGTGCTAGGTCCGTGGAGACCGTGATGGCTGTTGCTGAGGCGGCGAGAGAGGCGGCAATGTTTGGCATCGCGCGGACGATCCAGCATCTGTTTTGGTCACTAACATTGGGACTGTCGCTCTTTGGCTGGTATAGCGCAGTTTCCATCTGTGACATCGTGACGCCTGCTGCAAGGCTGACAAGAACCTTTTGCGACAGTGCCTCTGCCATACCTTTCTCGCTCAAAATGGTCTCCACTGCTCCTGGTGGCGAGGCTAGAATGACGAAGTCAGACTTCTGTGCGATCTGGACATTCTGCCGCTGAAAGACCTCAAGGTTGATGGAGCCTCCTGCGTCTGAAGCTGATTGAAAGAATTCTCTAAGGGCCTGAGCCGTTTTCTCTGACTGTACGCTTGCTAGGTATCTAGCTAGAGCCCACGAGTCTGGCATTTGTGGAGATGAGGCAGACTCGTAAGAGACTCCTTTGAGAATGGCCTTGCCTAGGTCTCCTACATCAACGGGGAAAATGCATATCAGTCGACTGCTGCATGAGGCGGACCTTTGTCGGATTCGTACTTACCACAGCCTATGAAGCCAACTGTCAGGCCTTGCAGGGCAGATTTGACATTCGAGGTGTAGGACGTCATTTCCACGCAACTCGGCGGCGTACACCGAGACTGTATTTTGTCAGTGGTGTTGACAGCTCTTCGGGGCTCCTTTGAGACTTTATGATGTATTGCTGATTTTGACTTCTTGAATGTGTGCAGTCTTGCAACGGAAGAGGTTGCTGTTGAGAGGCTAGCGACTTGTAGTGTGATAGACGATCCTGCATTAGGATAGAGTGTGCTTGACATGGGCAGCCTGGAAGGTTGGCAGAAGCTCATCTCTGATTAACAATGGCCGGCAGAATTTCCCCTGCGTATCGATGCCAAACTGAATGTTTCGCACCTCTCCAATTGGTTACACACGACGCTGTACTTAAGTCTAAGTTGCCATACGACGAATTGGCTACGTGCTTCCCACCGACTGTCATGGTCTCACATAGCATCGGCTTAATTGCCGACACCGGACGGACGTATATCACTCAGGCCCAGTTTCCGACGTCCATGCCCCATAGAATTCTGCATTGTCATGTCTAGATTGCTCGCAAACCTGGCTGTATCATCCGGGTGGAGTGCTTTGCGTGAATGTCAAGTCGAATGAGAATTGTTACACTGTGACAGCAAAGGGTTTTTTTTTCTCTTTTTTTTTTTGAAAGCAAAAATACTGCATACAGTTCTGCGAGTGGGATGTGCGAGATACATCGTTCAGCAAATGTGGTCTTTTGATGTGTTGTGCTTCCCGCAATGCTTTCTGATGAATAGTCTGCGCGGGTAAGTAAGTGTAGTACACGGGGCAATGACCAAAATATCACATGCAACGTCGTCGCAAAGCCTCTTCATGATTCGAAGCGAGATCTGACGATATATTGGCCCTCTTTGACATTCTGCCATAAGATTTCAGGCCGAGCAAGTCTATAGTTCTCCGCTCCTTGGTTTTCGACCGAACGACCCAAGATGATTAGGATCGGTCTGAGGCAGACCTGCATGGCCTCATACCTCAACAGATACAATGAATGATAATTGTGGGTTCAAGAGCATTTTGCTTTGATCATAACGGCCGAAGCGAAGCGAATGCAAAAGACCAACGTTATCTACTGTGTCTTGGATTCCTGATGTGTTCGCTGCCATTTGCTGTATCTTTTGTGCTCAATGGATGAGATATTGAGAAGCAAATTTTGCCAACTGGCCAACTTGTGAGCGATTTCAATTTCAATCAAGCCTAGAGCTGCGGTCCAATTGAGTTTCTAACAAACCTATTGCAACACTTCATACATGTTTCGTCCTAGTTTGTGTGATGAGTTCCCGACATTGATGTTTTCTCAAATAAATGCAGTTAATCTATATATGACCAAGTATGCAACGCTGCCCACGTAGACACTTCCAACAACCAGAGACAATACTCAATAGCGAGATACGATATAAAAGAGAAGATATCACACGACGAAATCCACGCAACAAGTCCGTTTAGAAAAGAAGACAAAAAAAAAAAGAACTAACATGTTATGTGTTATTTGAACATTCTTCCATGAATATAACCAGTTTTATACCGAGAAATATATGAATTTAATCAGTTTCATACCGACGTAAGTTTGCAATTGGATGCAGAACTTTTGGTCTGTGTCGGTATTCGCGGTTCCTTGGGATGTTAGGATTCTCCACTACCAAAATCAACAGAAGCGATATCAGATTCTGTTTTGTATCACCAGGACCACTCACCATGGATTGTGCAGTCTCAGTTTGCCAGCAAAGCCTCATTACTAGAAAATGATCACCTTTCTCCGAATACAAATCCGTTTTGAAACACTTCATCCTGCCCAGTTATGTTGAATTCCGGGAACATTTCCTGCGGCTCGCCAAAAATGAACTGGGTTGAATCAGTGATGAATGTGGAAGGCGGTGTCGGAATTGGCGATTGATCATCAGAAAGCTTGACTTGACCTTGGGTACAGCTCCAGCGTGCGTTCCTCCCAAGTGAGGCGGACGTCTCTGCCTCGAGGCAATCGAAAATCGCCCCCACTACACCATCGAGAATACCAGAGTCGAGCGTATTTGCTTTTTCCTTGCTCAGAGCCTTGGCCAGAATACTAGAGCTCTTGTTCCTCCATAGACTGCGGAGCAAAGGTACCATCTCCTCCATATAACTCCCTACCCATGCAGAACTGGGTCTTTCCTTACCCGGAAAGATGATGTCCCACATTTCGAACCATTGACCTTGAGTATCTAGTCCCCGAGATGAGCTCTTGTTCAGTTTGCTCCTTTGCTCATCAGATATGCCCTCGAAGCCAGGTGTGTCCAGATTATCGCAGCTCCTCCTTCTTGCATGCTCATCCCTCGTCTCGGCTGTCTTGAAAATTTCAAAACATCGTGCGCAGTAGTAATCGGGCTGCTTATGGCGCCGGTACACGTGCTGCTTCACGTCCTTGATGCGATGTAACGCATACTTCAAACACTCGTGATGCTTATGCGAATCCAGCTTTTGGAATGGACAGGCAAGTTGACGGCGTGTCTTGTCACCGCTATCAGCATCTGTCTTTCCTTTCTGCCTGGCACGCACCCCATCATCCTCTACCTGGTCGCTTGAAAATGCCTTTCCAGCGGATCTTTTTCGAGACTGCGTCACTGGTTGTGAATTTGTACTCGCGTTCGCCTCCTTCTTCGTTGAATCACGCGTTGGGAAGTGCTGGTGAAAGCTTGTGCTTTCTTGATTAGGAACACTTCCGCAAATTAGCGATGGTGGGTGGTCCTGGGAACATTCTGATTCTGGGCTCGCAGACTTTGGTCTACATGCATGCGCGTCAATTAAACAATCAATGAACAGAGAGTTTGGGTTGCCTACATCTGAGTTTCACATACTGGCGGAAAGGATACTTCCCAGTTGACGTGCTCATTCTTGAAGGAAGACACCGAGAAGGCCGTCAACTCTTGATACAGGTCCTCCGAGATAGTAAGTGAGGGGCTGTCAAAAGCACCATGGCCGTATATGTTCTGCGCAGGATTTAATCTGTCTTCGCCGGATAGTTGGAGAGAGAAGTCGTGTTGCCATGATTTCTCCTCGGCTTCGTCCGCGATCAGGGGCTCAGAGATAGATGTCATCACCCCCAGAAAGACTGTGTTGCCGGTCAAGATTTTCAGAAGAGCTGAAGAAACACTTGGGAAGGCTGCCCCTGGTGACAAGAAAATAGACACGATACAGCCCTAGGTTTTGCGCCTAAGTTCTTGAGAGCCAAAGAAGGTAGTATCAGCATCAAGGGTGCTTCCCACGGGGTGCAGAAGAAGCGGGCCTCGCTCACGTGAGACAATGACCAATGAATGGCGCGACAAAGAAAGGCTCTGAGTACGCAGCTGCGTACACTCGGGCGTCGTCAGCAGCCACTTTCAGGGATGTAGGCACGCAATGGCGTAACGATTGGAAGAGGGAGGGGGCGGCGTGGAGGGCGGACCGATGTTGCACGCAGATGCGTACAGCTACGAAAAGCCCACAGGGGGGGGGGGGCGTACTGAGCACAGCCTGGATCTTCTTTTCACGGAATCGGGCCTCATTGTTTCACAACAGGCTGCTTGTTGAACCGCATTTTGATCTCGAGTCACTATAGCACTCTGCCAATACATTCGGCCCATGATGCCCAGGCCTCTAATAGCTCAATCAGAATTTACTCATCTTCAGAGAAGTGAAAGATGTCCAGAGATTATTCAGCCGTCTTTATTGAATTCTAAAAATCAACCCCAACTCCAAATGCCCCGAGTTTTACACCAGACAAATGCAGTACTGTGCCCTGTAGTACTCCTCCTGCAAGCTAATGCAGCTCTACCCACTGTTCCTGCACCCGCCCCCAATGAAGCCCTGCCGTCTAGCACTACCTCAAGCAAAGTGTATTAACTCATCCTCGACCCACCCCCTGAACCAAATGATCTGTCGAATTGAGACAAAGTTCTTCCAGCTTCGGATTTTCCCTGCTGAATCCTGTAATCGACTGAATTCTGGGGCCGCGGTGCGGCCAGCCGTTGGTTGACAGTTAAAGACTGGTCGCGTTGCCAGGCGTTAAGTCGTGCAGCCTGCATCCTCTGGTTGTCTCTGTTGGGTTCCAAAAGGCTTGATCAGTCTCCGCCCCAAGGATGTGACGGTGGGCAAGCGGGCTTTGAGCGTCTTACACAGTGGCTGTCCTGGCCCCACCGTTGGTGGCACTCTCACTCAACTGGAATGTGTAATTTGATGGCATACTGAATCGTGAAGACTTGGTAGTGAATTCGGACACAAAAAATAGGAGAGAATGAATTCTTTGAATAGGTCGACCACAAGCCATTTTATCCTAATGCCTACGCAGTCGCGTCGAACTCTACACACTCGCGACAAATTCTACGCATGTGCGAAGAGCTCGTTCCTTGGGTGTCTCCACATCGAGCTTCTCAAGGGCGCGGAACATTGTATGGATCTCACGCAAGTGTGCTGTTGCCAGCGGCTGCGAAAACCAATGTGGGCCTGGGCAGATTGACGAGCAGTAAGCAGAGCTTTGTTGCACGACTGTTGGGCTTTTTCCACTTTTCCCTCTCGCACTAAGTGCTGGTGCGCGGACGACATGCCCTGCATGTTATGACGATGATGTTCTGGGATTGTATAGCTTTGTTACTACAAGACCCATGCCGTCTGTAGGCCACTCCATCAACAGCACAGCCTTCCGTTAAGCCAGGACGCCTAACGAGGCAAAATGATAACATGACACTAAAGACAGACCCAGACTAAAAAGACTATGGCCCTTTCTTCCGGGTTCCCGTTGAAGGCCTGGAGGTCTTTTCACGCCTGCGCGTACACGACTGCGGCTTGCAAGGGGGGGTGTTGTTGGGTGATTGAATGACTGCACTTCTCTCTGAGATCTTCAATTTTCGGCAAGAGTCTCAAATTTCAGGATCTCCCTGTCTTTGTTCTTTTGTCCTTCTTTTGCAGGCAAAATCAGGAAGCACTTTATTGCCTGGTCGGAGGTCTGCACTCCGGACAAGACCCGTCCCCACCGGGCAGATCACGACTTCATTACCATCACCCAGAGCCGCCTTTCGGCACAGCACCCCGACCACAATACTCACGATGTCCAACTCTTTCACGCAATGCATCCACGGATCCGACATGATCGTTTCTGAAAATATTACAACTCTTCCAAGTCGCCCGGCACTCAAATTCCTTCCGTACCTTACGTCCATTGCCTCAAACACCACATGTGACACTATCCTGTTCCGCAATCCCCACCGGGGACTTGTGCTTCCATATAACCCTCTCAGGATCAGCCGGTTGCTTTTCCTCTTCGTCCTTATCGTCCTGCTAGCTTGCGTTGGACCCGTGTGGCATTCAGGTTGCGCCGAGCAGAATCGCGCCGGAAATGGGCCGGAGAAGTCGACCAGCGGAGGATGCAACCCCGGCATGGGCGTCTACGGCGCCCTCGACTCCCTGGAAAAGGGACATAGCCCCTGGGAACCCAACCGTCCAAAACGAAAACGCGGGAGCGACCGTCCGCAGCACTCGAAAGCAAGCTCGAGAAGAAAAACAGCCCCGAGCCGCCATATTCGACGAACGTTTGCCTGCCATTATTACCTTCATGACAGGATTGGGTACTGCGACTGTCTAAGCAAGAGGCTGAAAAGACTGAGTGACGTACGTCAACACCTGCTGGAAAGGACGCATAAGCAGGTTGTGCATTGTCCAGTCTGTGGCGTCACGTTCACCGAGCAGACTGTACTAGCGAGACAGCGACGGGATGCACACGTTCAGGCGGCAACATGTGAGCGTTCGCAGTCTCCCTTCAACTATCCGGGCATCACAGAAGATGAAGAGCAACAGATTCGCAATATCGCTCGCAATGGCCGCACCACCCAGTACACCGAGGTCCAGCGTTGGTATATGATATGGGATGTACTATTTCCGGGGGAGGAACGCCCAGCCTCGCCTTTCCTGACAGAGGTGCCTGAGATCCAGCGTATGTTGGATCAGAGAGATGCGGTCTTCATCGGTAGCGATCTTTGGCTTAATTTGCCTCGCAACCAACCATGGACAACTGAAATGCCCCTCGAGGAACAGCAATCTGCGATGTACAACTTCGTTGGGTCATTCATTGGGCAGGCTAGGGGAGTCGTGGAGCAGAACGAGGCCTCCGTTGAAGACGATCCCGGAACTGACATTTTCTCGCTAATCGACGTCGATGCGCCAGATGCATCTGATCCGCCTGTAAATCTAGGGATAACATCTCTGCCCAGCTTTCGCTCCAGCATTCCCCTTGATGCTTCGGAACAAGCATATGTCAACTCATTTTCCATTACCCCATCAGCGCAGGCTCTCAGCTCACATCCGCCTAGCCAGATGGACTCCAATCCTGGAGGACAACCGCCTGCTATCTCTACTTTAGTCCCACCTCAACTCGTTATCGACCCCGCGCCAGACATATCACAGGACACACAGCAACGTGCAGCATCTGGGCCTGTCACCGACACGCACGACCCCACTTTCCCATACTTACCCCTGCTGGAATCCTCGACTGATGACTTCGCTATGGAGTTCAGCTCTGAATGGCCAATGTACAATTTCGGCAACGACGATACCGCACCGGGAAATGATTGCACTCCCGCCGGTGAAGATGAACTCGGAGGTCGGGCTTAAGGAATGGCTTTTTTACTATAAAGAAGCGGATCTCGTCACCTTAATAAGAGGCAGGATTTTCTCGTCCCTACCAAGCCTCGCACCACTGGCCAAGGTCACCATCAGCCAACGAGCCTATGATAGGGCGTGACCACGTTCCGCGCTCTTCTGAGTCTATGTAGGTACTCTGAGAGAGCCACTCGCCCTGCTGTTGACCAAGCTGATAGTGTCACTAGAATCGAAATTTGCCACCGTATTGGTTATTTTTTTCCTCCTTGTGGACAGTGTTTTACCTTGCCTGCGTGCCCTTGCCCCAAGAGTTGAGATGCACTGAAGAATTTCGGCATCTGGTCTGGCCCCACCAACCCTCCACCCCCGGGTCTGTGATGACAAATAGTAATATAAAGTGAAGTAGAGACAATGCAAAGTTGATATCACAAGTTATTTTATTTCGTGTAATAGCACCCTTGCGCGGCTATCGTGATGTATTGCAAGCAGAAAAGTAAGTGCCCGTGAAAATTACAAGTACTGTTCATGCGTGCTTCCAACACCGTAAGACGACGTTTAAGAATGCGCTGGACTTCGATTACAAACTTTTCTCTTCGACCTCATGTTATAGAGTCCCCTAAGTCATGATCTCTAGCTACCGAGGTTGCCACACATGCCGGGATGATATCCACAGTGGTCCCTGGTGTCATACAAATTTGCCCGAGCTCAACACGTGGTGACACGGTCGCAGGATTCAGCGAATATCCTGCACACCACGTCTTGCAGAACTAGGTTGTAAAGAGCCCTCAGTTCCCTCTCTTCATTCCTGATGTTGTAGCTCTGGGATTCCTTCTTCTCGAGGAAGTCTGCGATGATGTTCTCACCACTTTCCATCCAGAATCGTCGGAACGCGCACACATTCAGCTCCCGCTGACCCGTGTAAAACGGAGAGGGCGGACGTGCAATGTGTGGGAAGATGATGTCCCAGATGCGGAACCACCGCATTTCTTCAGACAATTGGGGTTCCTCCTCTTCTCTTGCGAGCTTCTCATCTTGCTCGCCTGTAAGCCCTTCGATCGACGACGAGATCTTTGGATGGCAGGTGCGAAGCCGAATGTGCGTATCTCGAGTTTTGCTGGAGGGGAACTGTTCTTTGCACACGGGACAAAAGATGGGCTGTCGATGTGCCCACCACAGATGGTCCTTGACTTGCTCGATATTCTGTAGCTGCTCCTCTGTCACGCATTTGGAGTGCTTGTTGTCCTGGATGTAGAAAGGACAAGCAAAAAATCTGGCCTTCCTCACAACAACCGTTTCCCCATCTTCAGAGTCGGATGTTTCGACAATTTCAAGATGATCAGATGAGTCCATGAGCTTGGGCCGTTTACGATTCTCGCTCTGCCATGGTCTGAATGATCGCTTGACGGACTGCCTTTGAAACCCAGAGAGAAATTGCTCGGTTGCAATATTCGCCAGCTCTTCCGTGAATCTGGCCCCGTCCAAGGATTGAGTTTGGGTGGATGGCGATTCAGATAGTTGCACAGACTCCTTCAACCCATCCTTGACTTCTTCGCACGCGGCTTCGATGCACACAGTGACAGTATTGTCCGCCTCGGCAAAGGGCTCAGGCAAGCCATGGGCTTCCGAAGCACTTTCATGTGTCCATGAAGGTGCTCCAATACTGCCACGCGCGCTCATTGTCTCTGCCACTGAGCTTCTTCCGTGAGATGACCAGGCGATCGGGTCTTCCCGTGATGTGATTTCGCTAATGCATACCGAATTGGCATACTGAGGCGTCACGCCGCAATCATCAACCGGGGGTATTATGCTGTCTTTTTGATCACGGGATCTCTCGGAGCTCGTGAGCCTCGAAAATAGGAAGGCATGTGTCAGGCCAGAGTGAGATTGGTCTTTCTGGAAGTTTCCAGAGGCAATGATCTTTCTCGAATCATGGGCACTCACATCTCGCCTGACACATACCTTTCTGTTTTCGAGGCTCACTGGCCCCGAGAAATCCCACTCCAATTTACCTCCCCTTCTCACAAAGCAGGAATTCCATTGAAACAGCGGGACCCAGCAAGCGGGACCATCTGGACCTTCCAAAGGCAGGAACAAGCCGCTCGGTGTTCTCCAGAGAGATGCCTCGATAGTGATACCCTGGCAGTGAATTTGTAAGTCACCATGGATTCTCAAAGCTGTCGTCTGATCTTGTCGGAAGTGGCGGAAGCAAGCTGGGGACTGTGCGAAAAGTCCGGTATACTCCTGGGACTCGCACGTTTCCCACGCGAATAAGGAAAAGTCACTCGTGTTCCTTAAAATCTCTTCCTGAAGTCTGAGAAAGGCTTTTCGTCCTTCCCCATAGATTATAGGAATGCTGACATCGAATACTCCAAGCAAAGCGTAAGCAAAATCCTCGGTTCGCAAAGCTGACATCACAGAGGCCCAGGACATTCTCCTGGCAATGGAATAATCCTCTAGGCAATCTGAGTCGGCCAGAACAGCTTGGTCGATACCGATAACGGAAGAAAGCTGTGGAAGCAATGATTCCTTAGTTCCAATGTGGTTCCAATGGGATGAGTAGAAATGCGACACCCGGGAAAAAATAATTTGCGGTATGGCCCAAATGTTTTTGATCCACCGGCATTCAGCCAGCATCTCACCGGTTATTCCATCCGCTGCTGGCTTGTAATAAAGATCTTGCAGGTAAATGATGCTGAATTCACAATTCCTGTAGATCTGCGCGAAAGAATTGATGGCCTCAGACTGGGCAGCGGAAGAGCGTTTGTCAACGCAAGCGGCATCATTCCAGAGCCACTGGGTTCCAGCAGCCCGAGCCTGGTCACATGCTCTCTGAATTATCTTGAGACCATCTTGACAAGTTTTGGTCCGTAATTGTGCTAATTCTTCGAACAAGGAGCCGTTCTTCTCTGTGAAGTAGGTAAATGTCGCGTAGTGAGGTGCGCACCCTGGGAATTCGTGGAGCTGAAAAGTGGATGTGTTGATCAGCCACATCTGTGCAAAAAGGTCAGCCGTATTTTCTGGATACAGCTTGATCGCGTATGGCTTCACCTTTTAGAAATTCGTCTCTATGCTCTCAATTGTGGGTTTAGTCAATTATGGGCGCAATTCCGAACCTGCAAAAGTTCGCTTTGTATTTTCAAAATCGCGGTAGTTCGAGGTTGAGCAGTCTGGCATGAAATCTCCTTGTGTTGACTGCTTTTCCATGTCGATTGACGAAAAGAGCCTCAAGGTGTACCGCAGAGCCTCAAACCGTCAAAAACAGACGATATATGTGTGAGATCGCAGGGTGGTATCTTAGTCAACCCCGCGACAACTGCGGTCGCAGTCCGTTGGAACCCCGAGGCGGGAGGATCAGTGAGTGCGCTCGACTAACGGCACCGATGTGCATGTGCCGCTGGCCCCCACGCATGCAGTGGGCGTCAGGGTGACCGCGCCCCAACCAACCAGCTGCACTCCGACGAGACATTAGTCTGACGTAGATATTCTAATTGCGGCATAGGGCAGACAAACCATTGGTCAGAATTTGGTCGGTCAGCCCTTGGGGGTTGATATGACAGAAAATCAAAACGAGACGGGGATAATGATCTTAGGCAGAAATGGGCAGTGTCAGGACAGCCATATCACAGCGCCTACTATTTTGACGTCCACTCGTACAAGTCGACTAACATCGTCTCGTAACGTACAGTCGGATCGGCTGACTATGGCGGCTTTTTGACTGATTGTTGGACGTAGTAATGCTTACTTTCTGAGCCACAGCCTAGAAATATATTTTGGATGTACGCCTCTGCGTACTGATGTGCCCCAGATCTTTAGGCATCGGGTTGATTGCATGGACCCAGCAATCACGGTGCAGTCTCCCGTGATGCACTGGCGCATTATTCGCACAAGACGGGGCACTCGTGCACTCTTGCATCGTGTGACCGAGCACTGCCAGTGCTGCCTTGCCTGCCACCATATTGAATGTCCACCTTTCGGTTCCGGCCTGGAGTCGGTCCATCTGGGTAGGCCAATTGTGCACTTCATCAGATCATCACGAAAGACAACGTGGATTCTGGCAAGCTTGGCGACCCATGTAAAATGTTTTGGGTACAAATGGCATCTGTTTGGGCAGATATAAAAGATTGTGTCATACATCAACCGAGTTACCACCAGTGAAGCGCCTAGTCTCAGCCAGCAAACGAGCAGAAGCAATCACACACTGCATGTCGTATTGGCGGTTTCAGTGGTTGGCAGGCAACATTCCGCATTGACACGGAACGACTTGGCTTTCCCATATTTTGTCAGCACAGAGGCGATGTGAAATTTTCATCCCGAAGATGCTCTGGAGAATTGATATTCGAACGGTAGAGTCATTACAAAGTTCACAGGACATAGTATTCCAAAATACTATGTTTTGACTACTTCATGCATTCAGTGGTCGAAATGTGTAGTGGCCCAAAGGGGCATCAACAAACACGCAGGGAATCGTTCATCTTCCTCACGGAAGGCTGTCTCTGGAGTGAGCTGTGGAGAAGTTCCGTTGGCCGCCATGTCAACTTTTTGCCACACAGTTCTGCATCACAATTCAGATGCCGAAGATAGATATAGAAAATGTTGCGGCTTTATGTTATGCACCTATTGTGCTTGCTGCCTAGTCTCGCTCCAGACTCCACTTTCGCGTAGAGTTTTCCGCGGTACCACCGAGAATTTCTGTACTTGGATCATTTGTAATCCAATACCCCTTACACAATGCATCTTAAAATACTTTCTGTTGAACGATATGCACTACATATTATTTTCTCCAGCAACTACGGCATGCTTTTCTGACAGGTCTTTCTCTACGGCTGTATAGACCATGACATTGCAATCCCCATCTTTTCTCTACTACCTGCTACCCTTCGCGAAGAACAGAGACGCATGATAGTGATGCACGCAGTATCTACTGTTGTGAGGCTTGAACTTCAGGAATACAACACTTCACTACATATCTCGTACCCTTCACACATCGCAACCCCAAAGACCATTTTGAATGAGGTAATCAACATGAAGGGGAGCACCAAACAGTTCGAAGTCATAACTTCAAGTCAAAGACTCGGGCTATGCTCTTCATCTCGTACGTCATATGTCGTGCCGGCAACATTGTTCTGCTATTCACATGCTTTCGACAGGTTCCAGAGAGAATTTGCACAGTTGTTGACTGGTCAATATCACGTGGGCACTTTGGTAACAAAACAGCCGGCCTCGAGAGTAGCAGGCCGCCGGATGCCTGTCCTACTCGATGTTGCTTAGTTTTGTCAACTGATTCACACGGACGATTAGGCCCGTGATATTTTGCTTACTCTAAATGGAAGCTGTTCAAGCGTGCTGCACAAGTTCTCATCTTCTCGCAAGACAGTGGACGGAGACAAATGATCACCACCTCATACCATCTCCTGTGCTGCCGTGACCAACTAAAGTGAACTGGACAAATTCAAGACCGGTTCTACGTTCCCACAACAATTTCCGATTTGACCGATTGTCAACTATCCACTGATACATGAGCTAGCAGCCAAGCCTGATTACCAGTCCAATGCACCTGGCGTGTATATCTGTCAAGCTCCCCTCTCATTTAGACCCAGCTAAACTTGTGAGGTGTAGCTGGAACCGTGCCGTGGGATGACCTTGCTGCCGGATGCCCAAGCTATGCAACTAGGCCAATTGCAGGCCGTGTCTCAAGTCTCGCATGCCGGATAACGCTTAAACTTCTGATTGAAATCTTGTCGCCTTTGTTTGACTAACGCAGTAGTTTCACACAGCATTCCTCGGTGTATGCAAGACAGTCGGCTCGCTCACCCGAGTCCGCTTTTTTCTTTCTATTAATTTTCTTACAAACAAAAAAGAAGAATTTGCACCTTTACAGATGCTCGCTCGCGATACTCCCTTGCTTTATTACCCTGAATCACATGGTCCCTGCTCACTGCAATGTAAGCAGTAGCGAATCCTTCGCGTATCCACTGCCCATATCTGTTGTTTCGGGGGAGCTGACGTACCCCTCACCAAGCATAAATATCCAAAACGCGTCTGCTTCTCTCACTTACTCCCGAGATTCTTCGTTTGTCTCAGCATCCGGAAAAGTATCGCACAAATCGTTTCTCGATCCAGACTCAGCAGTAGCAGACATAATCATGTCAGTCCCGCCACAGGAAGAGACGGAGGGGTTCTCGCTTATTGTCACCGCCACCATTCAACCTGATAAATACGACGAATGGCTTAAGCACTCCTGGGAAACTTTCAAACATGTCACCGCTGAACCTGATTGTTTAAGCTTTGAAATATTCACCGTTCCTGGAGAACCAAACACGCTCAAATGGGTAGAATCTTGGAGCAAAAGCTTGGAATCAGTCATGGCTGTAAGCTCTTTCCACTCCTTAATTGGTCCTCTCGGGCCCAATCCAGAGGACTTGCATCTCAATATTTCCATCGATCTTGAATGCATGCCTTTTTCCGAGCCCGGACGGGCCCAAAGTTGAAATTCAGGACAAACGCTATAAGTAGCACTAAGGTAGACTAACCCCCATTGCAGGATCAAGGCACCAAGGAGTACATGAAAGCTTATAAAGAGATAACCAATCCTATGCTTGTCGGTGAGCCCAAATGGGAACTTATAAAGCGATTTGGAGGCGAATGGGCGAGAGCACGAGAGGGCGTGTATCAGAAGTCTTAGGAAACCAGCTGGGAATTGGGTGCCTTCCTGTTTTGTGTTTGAGAGACAAGTAATTTGATCGCCAATTCAAAGAGACCATTTCTTATGAGAGTCCTGAATCGATTGTGGAATTTATGCTATTAATCTATCGACAACCACGATCGAAACAATCTGGAACTCAAAGAGCTGCCGCGCTCCTTTTCAACGATGATCACGTAGCCACCTTCTTTGAACGAAGACTGGATGCGATGGAACGGGAGTCTTGCTGACCAGACTGTCAATCCATCCTCCATTTCCCCTCCAATATCTAACAATCAAGACTATCCAAATCAAGTTCCTCCTTACGTCTCCTGACTAGTATTCTAGCCTGAGGATTGGGAACCAGGGGTAAGCCCCAAGGTGTGTAGTTGAGATCGCTGCCTTCGGGGAGCTTCCAATCGTACTTCAAAACCATGTGGCACAGCAGAATCTTGAGCTCGTTGGCGGCGAAGAATCGACCAGGACACGCGTGCTCTCCGTGTCCAAAGCCGATATGCTCTGCACTGGTGCTCACGAGATGTGCAATATGTTCCTTGTCGGTGCCGCGGAGGTTTATAAAGCGGTATGGGTCGAACTCGTCTGGATTCTTGTAGTACTCGTCGCTCCACATATGGGCGACGTCAACCCACACGCGTTCGCCCTTGGGTATTGTCAGGCCGTTGGAAAGTTTCATTGGTTTGACAGTACGACGCTGCATGGCCACTAAAGTAACGCGTAAATACTCGTCAGCGGTTCTGGAATCACACATGACCTGTGTTCTTAAGTTTTCCTTACCAAGGGTAATGGGCTTGATGCGCTGACACTCCTTTATGACGCTATCCATCAACTTGAGATTGTAAAGAGCCGTTTTCTTTAGGCCGTCCCGGCTCAATACTTCAACGATTTCCTTTCGAAGCGCCTGGAAGAGCTCGGGATGCCGAGCGATCTGGGTCATAACTTCCGACAAGAGATCTGAAGTGGTGTGGATGGCGAATAAAGATAACGCAATCCTAAGTAGCAACACGTTGTCAGCAGCTCATAGAGACAGGTCATTGACGTATGGGAAAGGTATTGCCGATACAGGCTCTAAGAAACGTTGGGAACAGTGTTTCCAGATGGCCCGTATAGAGCAAAACATACTGAGACTTGGCAGCGTCGTAATCTTCATACTCCTTCTCAAACCACTCCAGGGAGTCGTCGTATACTGGCGGTTTCTCTCCTTGAGCTACCGCCTTAGCCTTGGCAGTGTGTCGTGCAGCAACAAATGGTTCCAGTATCTCTCTGCACCGCGCTATCCTTGCGCGTGTCTCCTTGCATTCTGGAATGAACGGAGCCACCCAGGGGCGGAGCACGGCGGGCCAAGTTCGCAGCACCTCGACGGCATTGAAGGCACATGCGGAGTATAAGGCTGATTCGTTGAGCCAATCCTCGTTACGACAGAGCTCCTCACCCATGAAAATTCTTGTGGAGACCCGTGCGACCATATTCAGCATGTCTGAAGAGGGTTTGATCTGGACCCATTCTACAGAGCATTGACATTAGAGTTTGGAACCTAAATGGTGACAGCATGTACAAGAGTGGACTTGCCTGTAGTCGAGTTGCCAAACTTCTTGGATAATGCCAAGGATGCTTCATCTGACAAGGGCTTTGTGAGTTTGTCTGTAGATTGACACAGGACAGTTAGTCATGAGCCTAAAGCTGACTGCACTGAGAGCCGGATGAGGATGGCATACTCAAGGCTTTCGTCAGGTGCCTGTTGATGAGGACCGGTAGTTTTTTGTTCCCGTGAAACGTCTCAAAGCCTGGGATATGAGAATGGAAGTCCTAGATGAGATTTAGTACCTGAAGTCCTTGAGGTTGAGGGGAGTGACGTCCATATTGAGCCGAGATCTGAAAGTCCAAGGCTTGTTCGTTACGAATTTCGTTGATGAGCTTAGGGGGAATAACAACAGAGTCGCCGAGGTAATTGTACAGGCGGTATGGCTGATCAGGAAATTTGGCTCTTCCAGCCTTGAACAGCTCTTGGCTATGGCGGATGAAGTTTTGGGCCTGTTCGGCGGATACCATACCTGGAAGCCTCAGACGAGACTTCGGGGGGTTTAATTCAGGGATATCGGCCCTCTTCTGACCGGTGCTGTAAAATGCCAATAGGAATAGAAAGGCTGCGACGACATATGCGAGAGGTTGTTCGGTGGGAGGTGGAATGGAAATGAAGCCCGACCTCCGGTCGAGGACCTCTGTAAATGAATGGTACGCCATGGTGAGCAATACGTCAAGTTTTAGTGATTGACCTATGCCAAATCTGATGGCTCCTTTGGTCGTCTGAGCGGCGGTCCAAGTTTCTCGCAAAATTCGGCCTCTTATATCAATGAGTCGCATATCCACATTAATGTTAGTGCGCCCACTCTCATCTTCTGTATCTTTAACCCATATCAGACATACGGAAATCCGCGTTGGTTTTCGTATTCGCAATTGTACCAATGGCAGGTTCCACGAATGACTAGGTATCACTGCTGTGCTGGCAGGCGGCTGCATAATGTCGCAATCGTTCTTTGGGGCTAGAACGATTAAACCGCGGGACCGAACGCCTCCCGAGATCCCGGAAGCATATAAGTAGTATTTTACGGAGAAGCTTGATATGGCCCACCTAAACATTCGTTTTCCGAGGATTTTATGATCAATAATCTCGCTGCCATTGACTCGTACTGACGACGGTTCAAAATGGTTTGAGATCTCCGCGCAATGCCGCGCATCGCGCGGGGAATAAAATGGAGACCAAAGCATTTGCGCACCCCTACGGATCTCGCCATGCCCGACGTTGGGCTTCGCAGCAGAAATCGCGGATTCACAGGTTGAGAATGTGCAAGCTGGATGTGTGACAATTAGATACCGCAACATTTGACCTCTGAAAACATACATGTGGTCTAACGTGCATCAAGGAGATGATGGGATGGCATGTTCGCAGATATTTGCATTCCCACAGAAATCATATAAAAAGGTTCTGGATTGATACATAGTCGGCGACTGGATTCATTCGGCTCCTTTCATGTCAGTTCAGACTTCAATCTGGCGTTCAAAACTGCTTCATCATGAAATATGTTCGAGAAAGGCCTTTACTGCTAGGTGGAGGCGCACAAAGACTGGTGCCGCCTTTGCACGACGCACATCTGCCGCCGCCGTTCATCCCTTTGGTTCAGATCTAGGCACCCGGTCTTTCATAGGCTTGGCCTTTAAACACCCACTTTCTCTTTGCTACTTCTGCTCGTCTTCCTTGCCTTGGCTTATACACCGAGTTCGTGCTTCAACTTCGTGATACTTCGACTGCCTTCCAGGAACGTTACAGAACACTGCCATGTACACCAAGCTAGGCAGTTTCATGCACATAAATTATTTGAGGCCCTCATCCGCTTAGCTTTCTTTATCAGAGGTCGGTTCACTGGATACAGATTCCCGTTCACTCTTTATTTGTCTTCGAATGCTTGCCAAGATGTGTCTTGAAAATGTGATCGTCTTCTACCGCTTATAACAAGACTGAATAGTCTATGCCATACCCTGCCTATTCCGCGGCGGACTTTGGCCGCGGAACACGCCATTCTTGACGGCCTCACTCAATTGACTCATTATCAGGCATGCCCAGCCAAATTGTCCTGCATTAGAAGCTTTTATTTAGGTCCGCGATGACTTCCCGGATCGCACGACCTATTGGCTCCCAAATTGGCTCTGGGTCAACAAGAACCCCGGCATCCATATTGTTGTGACAAATGCTGACCGCGATCCGGTCACGTAAGTCAGCCCAGGCAATGGAGCCGCCAGCGCCTGGGCTGTAAATGATCTCGCGATGATCACCCACGATTGGATCAGAGACGCCTTCCTCGCCCCCAAGCCAGAATCCTGCCGCCCCGAACCACACCGGTATTGGAAGAAGCCGGTCAGGGTCCTTTGACCCTTCTCTGACCCGTGTCAAACCCTTCACTCGTTCCTGGGAAAGCAGACGTACTCCTTCCAGCTCGCCGTGCTCCGCTAAAAGAGCAAAGATCCGAGCGATGGACGCTGCATTGCCTATTGCGCCTGCGCCGGGGTCGACACACTGCTGCACAACCTTTAGGTTATGCACATTGGAGCCAGGGAACACAGACTTCGGGCTGGTGTGATATCTGTCGTATAAAAAGGGCTCGTTGCCACCATACAGTGTAGCGACCCTGGGCAAATCGGTCGCGGGAACGCCCAAGAAGAGATTTCGGATCTCCAGCGGATCGCAAATTTCCTCCCTTACAAACACATCAAATGGGCGTCTTTTCGGATCGGTCCGCCGAACAACCTCGCCCAGAATCCAGCCCCAAACGAGTACATGATAGGCATTTGCTGTGCCTGGGGGGTAGACAGGTGTGAAGTTGGCAACTTGCTCCACCATCCAATTCCAGTCTGCCATCAGTTCAGGGGTAATACCAGCCGGCATCTGAGGTATACCTGCGCGATGTGAGAGCGCCTGCTCAATAGTGGTATCACCCTTGCCATTGGCTGCGAATTCGGGCCAGTACTTCGAAATTGGATCCTCGACCGACAGAAGGCTGCGTTCGGCTTGAATGTGTACTGCCAAGGCAGTTATTCCCTTGGTTACTGAAAAGACCGGAAAGAGTGTCTCGGAGTCAGCGGCACGCTTATCTGCAACGTCCGCGTACCCTGCTGTGGCGTTCACGATGAGTCTGCCGCGATAATAGGCAGCTACAGCAACTCCTGTCTCCCCTCGGTCGAGAACAGTATCAAGTGCAGCGGCGACGCGCGGGTCAACGACAAGATCTTCTGACATTTTGAACCAATGTGGAAATTGATTCAGGCGAGCACAAGCCGTACTGATCGACAAGCGGCCGCTTGATTGCTTTTAAGAACCGACCCCGCCAGAAGCAAAGATAAAGTTTCGGGAATTGTATTATCTCTTACGGCCGTGCGTGAGCGAGACTGTCTCGAACGCCAAAAAGCCCTGGATATTGGTTAGCCCCACCCGCCGCTACCCATATTGCGTGGATGTTTTGCACTAGATCGTCGTGACAACTCTTGGCTAAATGCCTCCCGCGGTAAACCATGGGATCTCCGGGGGAGGGGAGTTGTGACGCGGCTTAGGACCTGAGTATCGGGCTGAAGGAATTAATTAGTCACGCATTGGCGAGTCACACTTGGAAGTCCATCTGGAATCCGCGGTCCCGGTCCCGATCAGGTTGAAAACATCAGTCGGCTTCCATTATCATTACGTACGAGCTCGAAAGAGGTCAATATGAATAATATTTTCTTCAAATTGTCAAGTTATGTCAAGCCGGAACACGAGTCCAAGCTCAAGACCAGCCCCCGTTGACTTCGATAATCTGGCCGGTTATGTATGACGACTCGCTGCTGAGAAGAAAAGCCGCAACTGAAGCGATCTCCTCGGGTTGAGCAAATGGCTTCAAAGCGGTCGGGAAGACTGGAAGATCATCGGACGCGCCACTATTCGTGGTCATCGATGTCTTGATTATGCCAGGGGCTATCAAATTCACCCTGACGCCCACTGGGCCCCATTCTTGTGCCCATGCGCGGGTGAGACCGAGCACAGCGTGTTTACTGGCAACATATCCAGGTATTCCAGCAAGTCCTCTCACAGACGCCATAGAGCCAATGTTCACAATGCTAATAGTTGCGCCCAATTCCTTGGCCAAAGTCTGCGCGTCACTCTTGACGTCGAAGCTTCTGGCAAATTGCGTGCTCACATTCCAGGTTCCACCCAAGTTCACTTCCCAAACCTGTCTGAACAGATCATCATTCTCGACTGTGCTAGTGTGTTGTCTGACGATGCCAGCGCAGTTCACGAGGCCGTCTAACTTCGCACTTGTGGAGAGAATTGCTTCGAATGCCTGCTCAACCGCCTGACGCGAACTGACGTCCACCGAGTTGTGGGTATGCAGTCTTCCTTTGGAGTTGCCGTCGTCGGATATAGTATCAGCCTTATCAATAGCGTGGACCGTTGCTGATAGATCGAGAAGCTTTTGGACAATTGCGCGCCCTATTCCAGACGCGGCACCTGTGACAACATAGGACTTTCCGTGCAGAGTCATTTCAGAATAATTCTATGTCTAGGCAATGAAAGGCTGAGTATTTTGATGGAGAAATTTGGAGAAATGTGCAAGATAAGTCAAATCAGCAACTGTAGTCGAAGCGTGTAACGTATGGAATATTGCTAGGGTGCTGTATTGTGGTATTTGGAGACGGTACCACGTCCCGGGGCAGGAGTGCTATGAGTTGTTTTTCTCATGAATATCGGGACCCGCAAAGACCGACTTGTGGAGTCAGGCCTCTCTTGCGCATTGAGAGTCCTCGTCACACCGCGGAACGCGCGGATTATGCCCGTCGGTCTCAAAGACAGTGGCGTGGCTCTCGGCTTACTGTTCAACCCGGTTGACATGGACGACTCCACTTGCAGACCAGATATAGTAGGGTGAGGCAGAGGCAGTCATCCATAAGGTGTTCGGGAAAGCTTAATGTGGTCATTTCGATACGATAGATACGGCTATTTAATGTTAATGCACCTCGAACATGAGAGGCGTGGACATTAGAGGGGCGTAAATCCTCAGCTACATAATGCTTGAGCAATCGTTATATTTCACGAAACATTGCATGACGTCTTCCATCTAGGTTACATACCATGACTTTCACCGTACTACTGCTCATTCACCGACTTTCAGGCTTGTCTACGGCCGAGTTCAAATATCACTATGAGAACGTACATGTGCCTCTGATACAATCGCTAGCTGGCTCAATGTTCCCTCTGTCGCACACCCGGCGATACACTCAACATGCCGACGAAGATCATGGAGCAAAGGATGGCGGGATCGACTGCGTGACGGAGATGCGGTTTGATACGGCGTCGGATTTTAGGAGACTTTCAGATTTTTTAGGCAGTGCAGGTGTGGCTATCAAAGTGCAAAAGGACTGTGAGGCCTTCATGGACCCATCAAAGACTGAGGTAGTCATCATAGGGGACACAGTCAAGACAATGGGATAAATGAATAACCCGATCATGATGTGACAGGCTTTTTTCATGGAATTATCTACCTCTAGTGATGAAACATGATTTCTCTATCCCTTTAGATCACTGTGGATTGCTTTTGTCTTACTACATTTATATGGTGTCCTATGACGACGGTCGGTACTTTGATTCGATATTGAGAGTTCGGAACTAAGGGTCTCCTCGAGCTGCTCTCGGTATCGAGAGCTCTAAGAGACTTTCGAAGATGCCACAGAAACACTCGCCTGAACGATGCAAAGAGATCAAGATTCTGCGCTTGCAAGTGGCTACCCTGCGGCCAGAAGTGCTGAGACAACCTGGCATTCTTGAACCCTTTTGATGTGGATATGTAGCTGTATTCTTATTAGGTGAAAGTAGCCACGTAAGTGTTGTACGCCATACAAAGGCTTTATTTTGCAGTAGTACTCGATCCGCACCTTGCGCAGAAGGCATCTCATGCCCCTTCCAGGCGACACTTAGTGACTTGAGCTAAAAGGTTGACTCAACAGCAGAAGTCGGGGGTGGTTCAATATAGACGCCTGTCTCTTCTCTGAACTATTTAGACCTGAGGACGAAGAATTAGACAGTAGATTGCAGCGAAACACCATACTCAAGTACGAGACCAGGTCCTAGTAAGCTTCTAGTATAGATTCACAAGACAATGTATCATGTGACTAGTTGCGTGTATTCCCGAAACCCGCAAGTGTCTCAGCATTGGTAATATCGAGAAAGTACGTGTCGTGTTGACTGAAAATTGGATGTATCAGACAACGTGTGCCCCCCCCCCCCAGCACTCACACCTAGATTAGCCTTCCGAAATCAAAGCTTCGGTTTCATCCCCGGCCTATGAACCGCAGAAAAAAAGTTACTTCGCTATAAGACGTCAGATGGAGAGGAATGTATTATTCCAATCCTGCTGTCAAGTCGATTTCGGCCTTCCTTGCCCTCAACATCACTTTCGCGCTAGGATCTGTGAGAAAACCTTGGTCCACCTTGAGGCAATTTGGGCGATCGGTCTGGCCGTCACAAAGCCTCCAGTCGTAGTTAAGGAGCAAGAAACATAAAGCTATTTTCATCTCATTGCTGGCGAAGAACCTCCCAGGACAGGCATGCTCGCCGTGTCCAAACATCAGGTGCTCAGGCGATGTCTGCACATACTGGTACCCATTCTCTTGACCCGGTGCATTCCTGAGGTTGTAGAAGCGATAAATATCATACTTATCGGGGTCGGGGTAAATATTGGGATCCATAAAGGTGCTTGCGGAAACCATTACTCTGGTTCCCTTTTTAATGAGGTTCCCATCAGACAACTGTATATCTGCGTCGGCATGACGATGCATTGACGCTGCGAATTATTTAGATGTCATGCTGAAGATTCATTTCAGGTGGTATTCAATACTCACTGGTGCCCATGGGGTGTCTGCGTTGACTTTCTTTCATGAAGCTATCCATTAGCTTCAACTTGTGAAGCGCTGTCCTAGACCAACCTTCCTGTCCCAAGACTTCAATGATCTCTTCGCGCAGAGGTTGGGCGATTTCGGGATAGAAGCAAATATCAAAAAGGCAGCCCGTAATAGTCTCTGTTGTTGTATGAATAGCGGCGAAGCTTAGAAAAAGTTGCCCGTGAACGTAATTGACTTGACGGCCGCGGGCAATCTCGTGCATCCAACCGATGGCATCTGCTGATTTTGGAGTCTTTCGACCTGCCTTCAGAGCCTCATCAACGACCGTCTTCCGCATCGCGACTTCAGGCATGATCAAATTAGTAGCGTCTTGCACCTCTTGGCGAAGTCGGCGGAGGTTTGGCAAAAATTGGAAGACAAAAGGTCGCAAGAAGATATTCCATTGACGGAGCTCGTGAGCAGCCGAGTAGGAATCATGGGTGTAAGATGCCGCGATCCGAAGCCATTTATCGTTGCGTGCCAAGTTCTTCCCAAGGAAGACGCGAGACGACAGTTTAGCAACTATCTTTGATGTAGCTTGTTTGACATGGATCTCGTGAAATTGGGCGTCATCTCCAAGTACATGCCGCGAAGCATCCGTCATTTCCTCGACTAGATCCTTGATGATAAGTCCAAGTGACTGCGTCAGCTTCGTCCTGACGACTTCCTCTGCAGCGTCTAGAGTTAGCTGTCAAAAGCACCAAAGAAGATTCTACAGATACTGGGAGCAAGAACCGGCCACCATATGCCCCTAGCCTGTCTCAGAATAGGCAGCCTAACAAGAGTCTTTGAGGCAAGTAATTCAAGAGACTCATAATGGCAGATATTTCTTCTTGGATGGGTGAAATTGTATCAGGGAGCTGCTTACGGATAAATGTGCCGTCCTTGTAGCCGGTGCGGTACGCCTCGAAACCGGGGTAGTGAACGAAGAAGTCCTTGTCAAAATACCGATTGAAACTGAGGTTTTTGTTGTTGCGGATCTCATTGGCAAAACGATTCGGTAGGACCACGACCGGCCCCGTGCCTGTCATGACTTGGAAAAGACCTGGCAATGTTTTCAACCCCCTTGCAATCATTTCCACCCCCTGGGCGGAAAATGACGCACCCAACTGCTCATTTTGATTTGGTTCGATCACAGGGAATTTAGCTATATAGCCATGCCCTGGTTTGATGGACAAGAAAGCCCAAGCAAGAAATAGAGAAGCAAAAGTGCAAGTGACAAGTGCGATGGGATAACCGTCCACTGACTGTAAGCGTTGCGTGGCGCTATTCGCAAATTCGTCCATGATTCCGTCTGATTTCAACAGTCTCGTAAAATTGTTCCGCTAGAGTCAACTAAAGTGCGTTTCAAAACCTAGGGCGTGGCGGTGATATATGTTCCGGCGCCAGACAACGTATGACCCAAATGATTTGCAGATGAAGGTTTGCGTCATGTCGGCAACGCCGGGGAATGGCAGTGTTTGGATCGCTAATATGCTCCGTCTGCTTAATACAAAGGCGCAGTGGTGCTTGTGAGGAAATTCAAAGTTGCATTACATCAGTAAATCTCCCGTTATGGGCTCTGGGATATGTCCGTGGATTTCCACGGAGCACACTGGACTCACGTAAGTAGTCTGAGAAGTGGATCTGAGGATCGTCCAACACCCGCGCCAACGCGGCGCCGATATTACGCAGGTTGTACTCGCCGAGTAACCCGATCGAGATTCAGGCTTTTCCTGAAATCCTAATTTCAAAACATTCGCTCTCGTCATAAACCCAGGAACAAGATAAGCGAAGAAAGGCGAAGGAAAAACTTCGGTCTTGATATCAGAAGCATCACAGTTCACCGGCCTAATACATTCGTCATGTCATTCTCAACTAAGCTTCTCGAAGGTAAAGTAGGTATAGTTACAGGCGCAGGATCTCCCTATGGTATTGGAAGATCTCTTGTCCTTTCCCTTGCATTGGCTGGGGCCAAAGCCGTTTATGCAACGGACTTGACCCTGGACAACATCCCTACACTGAGAATGGAGGTAGAACAAAGCAAATCAAAGTGTCAAGTGCACGGGGAAATTCTGGATGTGACCTCAGAGGAGCAGACTGTTCACGTTCTGAAGAAAATCATCTCGACTTATGGGCGCATGGACTTCTTCTTTGCCAATGCCGGCATTGGAGGCTATAGGTTCGGAGGTACTACTGGACTTGACAGATGACTCCCATGTCTAACAGCCGCAGGTCACTTCAAGATACCAATGCATCATATTACGACAAGGTGGTCTCCGTCTTGCAAAGATCGACTTTCTTGGCTATAAGGTATGCGGGCCAAGCATTGAGCGTCACTTCGACTGACAAAACTCGACCGGGAGGCTCCATCATTGCGACAAGTTCGATTGCAGGAGTTGCCGGCGCTGTGTCAGACATCTCCTACTGTAAGTGCAGCTCTGTGGAATTTTTATTAATGGTTTATGAAGACTGACGTCGTATTAGCTACTGCAAAAGCAGCCGCCAGTGCCATGGTGAAGTATGGATCCGTTCAGCTTTCTGCCTCAAACGTGCGCGTCAATGCAGTGGCCCCAGGTTTCGTCAGAACCAGCATCACGGCCACTACGCGAAACGTCTTAGCCGGCAGTTTCGACACCTCGAAGCTCAGTAAGGAAGAGGCATTGAGCTCATTCAAATCCGATCTAGGTGATCTCATTGAGGGGTCTCAATATTATTATCAGCGTGTTGCAGAGCCAGAGGAGATTGCAAATATCGGTGTGTTCCTTGCGTCACACCTTTCGGCTTCCATCAATGGTCAGAACATTGTTGCGGACAGTGGCAAGACTGTTGCCGCCCTTGGGGAGACAGTCATCGGACCCATTTCCCCGATGGTGCCATTCTAAACATGATGACTTCGAGGTGGCATGGTGGTCATTATTCCTGCTGCAGGGCCTACCAACATGTCAAATTTGAGCAAAGACAAGCGGTTGTGTAAACGTTGAAATGCTTTTTGCTTTTTGCTCTGCGACCTCAAAGATATAGGCTATAGCTTCAGGTATTGTGCTCTCCGACGCGGTTGCCTAGATTATATATGATATTATCCAGGTTCATACTACTGTCCCAATCGACGGCTCGACCAGCTATAAATGGATCCAACAGCTCATTAGTGTCGAACCACGCCCAGTTGCCCGAGTCCGCGTGCCCGAAGTGTTCAGGAGCACAAATCGACAATCGAGGGGCAAGATGTTCCTCTGCCGTTCGGTATAGAGCTTTGCACAATTCGTACTGTTTGTGCGAATGCCTCTGACTCGAGCTAATATGGTCCAGTGTGTCAAGGACCTCCTTGAGAAGAGAAAGATCGTCACCATCCGAGGCACTAACGCAGTGTGCGAAAGTGATCACATAGGGTGTGAAAGATGTATAATAAAATATCCTGAGAAGGAATGAGCGATTGCGGCTGACAATTGAGCGGATGAGGGCTTACCATAACAAGTATGAGGACATTTGAGATCCTGAAGAGACGATTTTCGGATAGTAGGCCAGGTGAGCTTGTAATCCATGTCGAGCAGCCTCGAAACAGCGCTGCGATATCTGGGCGGCAGAGTTTGAGATGGTCTCTCCTCGATACAGCAGAGTGAGTACCGAATAATAAACAATGTGCATAGGTTCAAAGGTTCGTTCTAGCGAATCCTTGTCGAAGGTGGCGGAGCTAATGATGTGAAGCCAGTCATCATACCATTGAGTTAATTTTGCTGCTAAGTCGGACACCACGTTTTGCCTGTCTTTCGTAGTGAGCTTTCTTGCAGCTGTTGAGTAGAGCCCGTCGTAAAGACACCCTTGAAGGTGTGCCATCTTCGTACAAGCCAAAAATGCACGATCCCATCGGGCTCGTTTGGGATCTTCGGAGATGGACACCTGCCGGATGTCTGTATCGAAGTCTTGGATTGTTGATGCTTTTCCCAAGCGTAATGAGAGATTTTTGTCAGAGATGTAAATTTACCAAAATATTCGCCGGATTGCATCAGCCTCTTGGACGGGAAATTGTTCGATACATTCTTCGCGGTGGAAACCTAAAGTTATGCAGTGTCTCGCTGCAGCTGATGTCAGGTTCCACTGTAAACTTAGTTCAGCCTCATTTTGGGCGTGGATCATCTGTGAGCCGAAATATCAGTCTTGAACTCTTAAGTTTTGCCTCCTTCACCATTAAAGGAGGGAACGCACTGCCAGGTACAATGCGAACACCCGTTCGCGACTAGGCAATGCCATAACCTCATACGTCTGAACACCCTGGAGGAACTTCTTCTCGCAGAGACAGCGAGCGAATTCTAGCTCTTGCTTGTTGATCTGATGTTCTGGAGAGAGGTCGACACTCCTTGCGAAAATACTGATCGCGCCGTAGAAGAGGACGAGCTCATCCTTCGTGATGGGTTCAATCGGGAAGTAAACTCTTCTGCAGAGGTCCTCAAACTGACTGCGACCATATAAACCGTAAAAGGAGAACACCCCTGAATCTTCTACGCAAATGTTAGCATAGCTGATCAGATACAATCAAGATAGAGAATGGGACGCCACCTCTGACTAACGCCAGTAAGCTGAGAACAAGATTAGAGGGTGGTAATTGGTTGCCAGAGACTGTAGTCCCGGTGGTGGATCTTTCAGTGTGGGTGCGATCCGATCCATAAGGGCTTGCATGTTCCTTAACCATAGTACGCAAGTTTGCCAACTCGGACATCACAGATGATGATTGCGTGTCTATGTTTGTGTTTAGTTCCGTGATTTGGCTTGCAAGAAGCGTTTGGTGTCTAAAAGAGGATTCTCCTTCCACGATTGTAGTACTCTCCTTACACAGGCCAGCTGGAGGGCTTGGAGGATTCCGCTCATAAAGCGTTGATGGACTGGTGGACTGTTCATGGCCACGACGTAGGCTCTTGATTGCTTCCTCTATCACTGCCAGTCTTGCGTCTAAGAGCTGAAAGAGCCTCTCACTAGATATAGTTAATCATACTCAGAGGGCACTCTTTTAAAAAGAACAGCGGAGACTCACCTGGAATAAACGGTAGTCTCCACTGGCTGTGTAGCAGAGGCCAGCCCATTCCGGCATGTGAGTCCGGAGGCCAAGCAGTTGGAGCAAGGGAGGACACGATTGCACCGAACCTTGGTGCGTCAGGCCGAGTATCACTTGCGAATAGTACCCAGGGTGGACATACCTTGCGGCGGCGGCAATTCGGACACTAAATCGTCCACATTCCTATCAGCCTACGCAACGGACCAAGATGCAGGAGAAGAATCAAGCTTACGGCTTTCGGCAACAACCCTGTCTTGTGGTGCTCAGATGCGTCCATATTGTGCCTAAACAGGATATGCGATAGTATAGAGGATTGTGTGGAGATGGGGTACAAGGGCGAGCGATCAAGCAGGAGGCGTGGTGCGACTTATCCAGACTTCTCCGCGCACAGGCCCGCGGAACGCGCGGAGACCAACGGCGAATGGACCCCACAGACAAATTTAGTTTATGTTTACATACCGTTGGATTGCAGGTCAGTCGTCTCTATGTCTTCAGTGTCCGTGGCCATGAAACATTCAATGCTCCCTGATGCTTTCATAATGGCGGCACACTTCTCAACTTCAAGCCGGCAGATTGGCGTTCGGCGCTATAAGAAGAAGCAAGATGAAAGTCTCCGATGCTCATCACTTGCTTCGTGTCGTCTCTGCATTATCGCGACGAGTAAGTCAATTGAAGCTTTCGAAAAGAACGCTACATCAAAATGCCCACAGTAATACATGTCGCTATCGTTGGAGCAACCGGAACAATAGGCTCAAACATTGTTCCATGTCTGCTTCGCTCCAAAGACCACCTTTTTGTAAGTTCATGGGCATGAAACTTGAGCGACATCAGCTTCTCAACCCCCATGCAGGAGATTACAGCTCTGGTCCGCCCAGGCAGTTCGAAATCATCAAGCGTAGCTAAGCTGCAAGGTGTTCATCATATTGTTGCGGTTGACCTCGGCGGGCCCCAGGACGATCTCGTCTCCGCTTTGAAGGGTATTGATTGTGTAATGTGCATTCTACCGCCGCACTGCACTACGCAGCAGATTTCCTTAGCAGACGCTGCCTTGACAGCCAAGGTCAAGCGTTTCATTCCCAACATGTAGTCAACACCGTGCCCACCAAAGGGCGTAATGAGCATTCGGGAGTGGGTGAGTGAACACATTAGAACGGCGCTAAGTTGTAACATTGGCAGCCCACAGCGGTATTGCTGTTGCACGGAAGGTCTGTCGCTGATGAATGAACAGAAAGAAGATGTTGTGAACCATCTGAAAAAGATACGAATGCCATACACGATAATTGATATTGGATATTGGCATGAGATCATGATTCCTCGCATCGAATCAGAAAGGCTCAATCATCGCGCGCTATACTCGACATTTTACTTCGTGGACGATGGCTCAGCGCTTTGCGCAACTACTTACCTTCCTGACGTGGGACGATATGTTGAGCGCATTATAGCAGATCCAAGAACACTGAATCACATGGTCTTTGCGTACGGGGAAATCACGACCCAAAAAACAGCGGTAGATATGGTTGAACGCCCCAGTGGGGAGAAATGCCAGGTCCAAGTGGTGAATTCCGAGCAAGTCACAGCGGCTGTCAAAAGTGGCGAACTGGACCTGTGGTGTCAAGTCATACTCGAGTATGTCCATAGTGCTTGGTCGAGAGGAGATAATGATCCTCAGTGGGCGGGATTTCTGGGGTACTTGGACGCGAAATTGCTGTATCCGGACTTGGAGGCTCATACACTGGAGCATTCCATTAGCGATGCTCTGGCGCATCCTGAGCCGAATTCGGGCTATGGTTGTGAGGAAATGTGTGCACAGATCTCCAAGGCTCTGGACAACTGGGCCCCGTGACAAGTTTTAGTTCATGCTTGTCGGAAAGGAAAGGAAAGAAATTTCCATATATGCTTAACTTGTTAGCCTTTCTTTTCACGATTGGAATGCAGATTTTAGCAGGTTTATCATTGGCATGCTTACTTCAAGTCTTTTATTTTTATTTTTTTTTATTTTTTTAAAAAACAATACGTCAAATATCCATCTGAGTGACAGCGATGTGTGCTTATTAATTTCAAGACAAGGAAAGCTGACAGTATCAAAAGGCTCGAGCTCGGAGTGTTCATGTGAACACTGTGGTCGACCCATGCCAGGGGCATTGCATCCACAGGTTACTCCGAATTTTGCCCTCACGCAGGTCAGCAGTAGAAGTCACGACTACAAAAAGACACAGGATGTGTCCGGATAGCAAGACTATTATTACGAGCTATGAGCCTGATCTAGTATGATCGATTTCTTTAAACTGCTGGGGTTGAAAATACGGTGCTACTTGACTATGTTACTATGTCTATAGATGAATGAGGGCGTTCTGTGGTCTGATATGCTGGAGCTAGGACGTCAAGCCTGCCAAGTCACGACGCCGTGTATGGGTTCGAATACAGTAGAACCCAGTAGCTTTAAATGTCATCCTAAAACACACATTGCTGTCACTTTCTCTCAACCGTCTCTACCAAACCACCCCGCTCTCCATGTCGCCCGCAACACAGCGTCCGGCTACCTTATCACTAGAGTTATACGGGCGTGTTTCTTATTCATATCTCTCAGTCTCTGAGTAAACCTGAACCGTATAAAATCAGCAGGAGGCTTGCACTGCAGGCCAACCTGTGGGGCACCTCGCCCGTCCTGATGTCAGCTGAGGTGTAACTGAGGGGTAAGAATAAAAGTGAATATCACACCACCGACGCAGTGTTTCGCTCACTTGAGGAATCTTGGTGATGCCTTTGACTGTTCCGATATTTAACACATGTTCTTTCAGATTCTTGTTGAACAGCCGCTCTCTGCAGCGCATTTAAAATGGCCTCTCAATATGATAACATTGGTTCCAAGTACGAAGGCTTCAAGGCGCTCCCCACTTCCATAATTGAGGAGGCAAACTTCAAAGAATCGATCGAGCCATGGCTTGCTAAATTCCCCAATGCCAGCGTACTCGACCTTGCTTGTGGAACCGGATATTACTCTAAGAAATTGCTTGACTGGGGAGCTGGCTACGTGCTCGGAATTGATGCTTCGAGTGGCATGGTGGACGTCGCCAAGGAATCGATGAGGAAAGACCAAGCTTATATCGGCAAAGTCGACTTCAAGGTTGGCAACGCCCTCGCTCTGGGGGATATGGGCGGCGACGGACCATTTCAAATTGTTGTGGGTATCTGGCTGCTCAACTATGCCAGCAACTTGGAGGAGATGACAAGTATGTACCGCACCATCTCAACGAACCTTAAGGACGGCGGCGTATTCATCGTCATAACTCCCCCACCGGCAGATAATGTGGACACACTCGCCGAGAATTGGACAAAGATCACGGCTCAGTACCTGAAGGCCTTGCCAGTTTGGGTGAACTACTATGAAAAGCTCGAGTCCGGACAAGGTTGGAAGACGGAGATCAACAGTCTCACGAAGGGTATGCAATTCAGTTTCAGAAATTTCCATCTCGTGAAGAGTTTGTATGAGGAAGCGGCTCGAAGTGGTGGCCTAGAGGGGAACTTGGAATGGAAGGAAATCAACATTCCCGAACGAGTTGCGACGGCCCAGGACGAATTAAGCAAGATGTGTGTTCAAATAAGACACATGGGTGTTCTCGCTGTCGAGAAGAAAGGAGCCTGAAACGAGGGAAAATTGCCGAAGTGGAACTCCTTTTCTCTTTTAAACAGCCTTTCTTCAAATTCTGGGGGCCAGGAGAGTCGGCAGGTCGTAAGCGCACATGATACTAGTTCAGCATCGACTTGTTCCCGTAATTATCCTTTACAAAGTTGAATCATGTCCTTAAAATGGCAAATACTCAGAATCTTGTAGCGGGGATGTTATTCTTGAACATGCAACCTGAACTCCTCCATCTGTCTTCTGCCAGTGGTCATTGGCTATTTCCGTCGCGAGAATGAGAAGCTATAGTTGTGCCTGCTGCACTTCTGGACATCGGCTTCCGCCTTGCTATAAATGCCTTACGAATAACAAACTCAGTCAGAGTATCCAGAGTCTCGTCACTCTTGCCGAAAAAGATTGGAAAATTTGCAGCCTTATAAAACAACCTACCAAGTGTCAAAGCCGATACACGGATCGAACAGAGTTTCGCCAATAAGGGACACCATGTAGTATGTATTTGAGGCGAGAACGCACGTGGCATTCATCTCTCGGGCCAATATTTACTTCTAATGGCCCAAAACTTAGACAGAGCTTGAAAACCAGCAATTCGACTTGTCACTTTTCAGTCAAACATGAGGTCATGATGGTCATACGAGGCAATTGCGAAGGGTGAACGCCATACTAAATCATTAGAAGCTAAGGCTCTTTTTTAAACCAAGTCTGTCAACCGTATTCTACTTATTCCCCCCAATGAAGGCCTTCGCGATCTTAGTCAACATTCTCAAACTGTTGCCCAGCCCTCAAGAAACCCTCAAACTCATCACCCCGCAACGGAGCTGTCTCGTTGGCAAGCAGCCTGAAAGCATACTGATCACGACCAGTCGAGTCTTTTTCCAGTGAGAAGGCCCAAGTGACCTGGCTGTTGAGTCCCAGGAACACACCCGGGAGCCTATCCTCGCCAGTCTCGGCATCGTAGAGAGCATATGGCGCCAGGGGGTAGCCGGCGACGGTGTAATGGTAAAGCAGCTGAAGATTGTCGACGTCCGCGTTGAGCTTTAACGGCGAGTAGCTGAACTCCCCAGACTCAGGATCCTGGACGTAGGCGGCAAGCCCCTGAATTCCCGAGACCGCCAGCTCGGTGTACTTGAGCTGCGGCCACGCGAGTGTCTGATCGGAGACGATGGCGACGCGGCCCCATGCAGGAAGATCGGCAGGCACAGGGGCGTAGGTTGAGTGCTTGCCGTCGACGGCTGAGTTTCCTGTCGAGTCGGCGTAGATCTGGAACACGGCTTCGCATCCGTTTTGCCCGACCTGGTGCGCGCCGGTGAAGGTTTGGCACTCATTGGGCAGGTCCTTCACGACGACATCAGGGACTGCAGAGGCGAGGGCCGCCATGAGCAAGGGGAAGGCCGTGGTCTGCTTCATCTTGGCTTTGGAGTAATAAATACTAGGTATTATGTGAACTTTTATGGGGAGAAAGAATGATTCAAGAGTGTTGATGGTGATAATTTCTGTTTCGAGCCCTAGATTGGGGTGAGCCTGGCCGTATTTATATTGATCGCGAATAGGTGGTTCTTGGCAGATTTGGAATCACGACGAAATTGGCCCCCAATCGGAAGAGCCATGAAGGCATATTGGTACAGCTGCCCAGCTATAGTACGATATACTGACATATTGGTAACCTGCAAGTGTGCAGCCCTGGCAACTCGTGTAGTGTCTTGGTCCCGGAGAGTACGAGATTCTGGGATTTCCTTCCAGGTCAGCATTATGCCTATTCAGTGTTAGTTATGCGCTCTCTAGAACAGGAGTAGCCGGATTATCCAACCAAGACTACCTGCAAGCCATCCTTCGGGGCTTGTTAGGTAGCAGTGGAGAGATACAACGTTAGAGGGCTGAGTCAGAACACTGAGGTGACTCCTTACAAGCCTCAAAGACCCAGGGTAAAAATCCTCCCGCTTCACGGCTACTAGTGCAAATCCTTAATTAATATCGTAACATACTAGGCAAGCCGACCACCTCAACGAAGCCCGGTTAAATTGAGCGGGCCAGGATCATTTGCACTCCTTCGAAATTTAGACAAGCACGATGTCCTGTAAGTCATTGCCCTCAGACTGCCATTTCTGATATCCTATTTTCAGAAGACGATCAACTAGTGCCGGCCCAAGGAGACGGTAGCAATCCTCGTCGGGGTCTTTCCGCAGGACAAATGGACTGTCTGTGCCCGGGAAAATAAAAATCTCATCGCCTTGCTGGCACCAACAATCCGTGACGGCAAGCATCTTGTCGTTGTCGAGCATGCACAGAGAGTGATTCCGCACCCGCGCCAAGTCATCGCTCGTCAATCTGACATCCCTTGCAAGCTTAGCGAGGTCTTCCCTCCCTTTATAACTATAGCGTTTCTCGAGCAAGTTCATAGCGTCCTCTGACCGATCCGCGTCGAGCAAGTCACTGTAAAAGCTCACGGCTAAGTCTCGCTGATCTTTCGTATCACTCGTTCGGGTGAATTCTGAGGTGGCAGAGCGTGAGTCTCGATCTAGGTACAACATGAACTTGAACCAAGCTCGGAATGACTCGTATCTGTGGTCCTTGCCATCTGCGAGGCTCAGTTGGTAGATACCTGGATATTGTATAGATCTGAACATTTCGTATAGGGCTTCCTCGTACTTCTCGGTGCTGTAAGAAAAAGCATCGTGCACCAGCCTACACCACCTCAGGTGGACATATAGGTATTCAGGCGAGTTCAAGGGCGTTTGAATAGGCGTGTCAATGCTGGCAGTATGAGTTACCTTTCCGACGTATCTGGCGCAAAGAACGTGAAGCTTTCCTGGCGACGTTTTCGCAATCGGGATAGACTCTTCGGCTCCCTCGAGAGAAGTAGTGAACGTGCTCGAAAAGAATGGATTGCTCACTCCGCTATAAGACCAGTTGAATTGGCCTCCTCCAAAGCCTTCGCTCAATCGTCCAATACCCAACCGACTGTTGCGGACGAATCGTGGATGCTCATGGTCCCAAGCCGGTACCCAGGATGGCAACCTTTCGATTCGGACAGGGCGTGCCGCAAGCTTCAAAATACTCAGATCTCTTCGGGAGCTCACCCAAGCCCAGACCGTCTCCTGGTAGACCTCCTCAGCTGACTTGTTGTAGTCAGGTGGCGAAAGAGACAAATCGCAATAGGTTGTTAAGAGACCATAAAGACCGTAGATCTTGTCTATAGGGAGCTCGGCCTCTAACAAAAATGCTGCCTCGAGCAAGGACTTGGTCATATAGTTTTTTCTGAAGCTAAGCACCATCGGATTATAGTGCTCATGAACAAAAAGATCAGATTCGTGACGGAACAATGAGATATTATGTCGAGCGCGATGAATAAAATGGTAGCCTCCATCGGTCAAGAATCTGTAAGTCCTTATGAACTGAAGAAGTCGCAAATCAGAAATAGAAATGCTTTTCCGTCCTTGATGTATATCACATCGCCTCGCGAGAACTTGCTCCTGCATTGTCCATGCCCTTAGCCACCATGGACTTTGTATTATGGATGCAAGAGCCTGGTACGGCGGCCGAGGGGCATATGTCAGCGCATCTGACTTGACTAAATCGGTTACTCATCTTGTACATAGCAAGTTGAGAAAGCCGGTCTACTTACTCATTCTCTTTGACAAATATCTCTCCATCACGTCCAAAGCGGTAGATCCGTTACTCGCAGAAGTCCTCGCGGCCGCTACCCTCGCGATGAGCTTCAGTCTAGCAATTGTACGGGCTGTGCTTGGTTCACCAGGCCCGAGCCAGACAAGAACTTTGTGGGCCTTGCGGTATATGTCACCCATAATTCTGACTTGGCGATCTCGTTCCTGCTTGCTTGCCTCATCTTCAAGTTGGTCAATGCAGATAGCATCGATCCACAGGGTCCTGCGGTGGAACCTTCGGCGCAGATGTACCAGCGCCTGTAAGCAATTTGGGGTGACATCGAGCGTTTGTGAATCATTTACGATGACCGTATGCCCCGGTCTAGACTGACCCCAAGTGTAGGATAAGGCTTCGTAACGAATGTCATCATTGAGGCTGCAATGCTGTAGCGTACAGTGAATGGGACCCTTGAGATCACGAGAAGGCAGAAGCTGAAGAATTTGAAACGCCCCAGGGTCGGCGGGGTCCAGGGCAGAATGCTTGAATGGCGCGAACTTCATCTTGTTTTTGTCCTGCACATGTGCGCAACCTAGCCATCAAGGTACGCAAAAAGCCGTTGCAGAGAGACCAGACGCGGGAAATGTGGACAGCTTTGAGGTCCTGAGGAAATCCGACCCACTTGCTCTCTATGTGGTGTCGCCTTGAGGCTGTGCTTTGAAAGTGAGTTTAGGCAGCCTGCAGATTATCATTGCTGACTATAGACCTGAGCGGGGCACCCCGTGTCCACATACCCACTCCGAAACGACCTGCTGCCCGACAGCGCGTCTACGCGATGAACAGCAATTCACGATTGCTGATGGCGCGACGCCTTCCCAAAGCCTAAGGGAGTCGAAGAGCTATTTGAAGCGAACCAATACTAGTAAGGCAGAGTCTTTCCCCTAGACAATGTGCGAAACGCCTCACATGTGACATTGCAGAAAGCCATATCTGTCAGATCGCCGCCAAGATTCGTCTAGCATCAAGGTTTGCTGCTGTTGATATACCTGCTAGAGGAACGGAAGGATGAGGTCGGTTGATTCGTGCCCTGAGGTAGACATTGACTGAGCGCAACGCATAACATTTCAGATCAGACTCGCCATAATTCTTCTCAAGTACATATTTCAAAATTTCTTTGAGAAAGTCTCTGCGTCGCGCCTCAGGAAGTGGACTCCTTGAGTCTATGGCGTCGTATTGGTCATCATTCTATTGCAAGATTGGTCATCATCTCAAAATAGCGTGTCGAGTTGGGCTCAGCATTAAATACTGAGAACGTTATATTTCGGTACGGTACGTGACCCCCCTGTGAGAGGGGTGTTGATGAAAGCAGATGATTGATTGACACCATTTTGCTGCGTGTGTTGAGCAAGTCTCACGCACCGAAGAAGTCATCTCCTGATAGTGTCCTTAAACATGCAAGTTTATACTTGAAAATTTGAGATGATAATTGAACGTGGCCAATTTGAAAGACAGCGTGTTCTATAAGAAAAACAGCGTACCTGATGGATTGCAACCGAAAAGCTAATAGTTGAAAGGCAGCTTGGTCCTTGCCTCAAAACCACAGCAGTTCTCAGCTAGAATGACGCCGTGATGAAGTACGGGAGGATCCGTCAAGGGGTTGTCATCCGGCGTTGAAACAATCCTCGGATCATTGTCCAATGAGATGAGACCAGATGTTAAGCACGGACACATTGATCCAGGGGCCAAGCGACGTAGCGCAGGCGCCCGCTCGGACTTGGCATGGCCCCGATGGTGTCTATCTATGCTGGACTCCCGCCGCCGAGATGTCTTCGTTATCATTCCTTCCTGTTCGTCTGATTTCATTTAACTCAGCAGCTCTCTGCATTACAGCTCACCAACGATGAGCTCCGCAGAGGGGCAGCTCAAGCTCCTTACCCTGGGCAACGTGCTTGCAGGGGTTCTTGCGTCCACAGCGCTATCCCTCTTCCTGACATGGCTACGTGCGCCTCGCTACGCAAAGGACATTCCCCGCGTGGGCGTGGGCAAAAGCTTCATCGCCGCTTTCACGGAGATGAAAGGCTGGATTCAAGATGGCTACGACAAGTACAGCAAGGATGGCCAAGCTTTTATCATCCCAGGCCTGCTCGGAACCCCTCCGGAGGTGGTCATCCCGAGGTCACAGATGAGCTGGATGCTGGATCAGCCAGATCATATCATCTCAACGGCTGCTGCCCACTACGACATCCTCAATGGAGACTACAGCTTCGTAGACAAAAGGATCCTGGAAAACCCCTACCAGGAGCATGTGGTTCATCGCTCGCTAGCAAGGCATTTAGCCGCTCTCATTCCGGTGTTAGACAAGCAAATTCGGACATGTGTGGACGATATATATGGGACAGACGGGAAGGAGTGGATGACAGTGAATATTTGGGACTCCCTGATGAGACTAATCCCCAGAGTGACTAACTTGATGTTCGTCGGCCAAGAGCTGTGCGACAACAAGGAGTACCTCGACAATATGCTCAATTTTACGGAAGATGTCACCAGGGATCTAATGACATTTCCGATGATACCGACGATCATCAAGCCCATCTTATGTCCGCTGGCTGGACTTGCGAGCAAATTCCACTATCGCAAGACAGCCAAGCACAGCGTGCCTATGATCAAACAGCGGCTGACGGATATTAGAGCCAAGGAAAATGGTGATCCAGCATACAAGAATTGGAACGCGCCCAATGACTATATCACCTGGACCATCTCTGTCGCTACGGCCGAAGGTCGGATGGAAGAGCTAGACCCTGTCAGAATATCCCAAAGGCTGCTGCCCTTGAACTTCGCCGCCATTCACACCACCGCTATCACCACGCTGCACGCCTTCCTCGATTTCCTTGGATACGACAAGGAGCAGAATATAATTGAGACTCTCCGAGAGGAAATCAGCCGGGTACTTAGTGAAGAACCCCGGGGACAATGGAACAAAGCCAAGTTAGCCAAGCTGCACCGAACAGACAGCGCCATTCGAGAAAGCATGCGAGTCAACGCCATGGCGCAAACGATGGTGATCAGGAAGGTGGTCGCTCCGGGTGGTGTGACAAACGAGAACACCGGCCAGCACTTTTCTAAAGGGACTATAATGTCTTGTCCTATCTGGTGCACACAGCATGATGAGGACATATTCGGTGGCGAGGCGGACCGGTATGATGCTTTTCGCTATTCTCGCCAACGGGAAGAGTACGAGGCCAAGTCAGCCGATGAGAAGAACCCTGAGGCGGGATTGAAAGTCGCAAAGATGGGCATGGTGACGACGAGTGTTGAGAATTACGGCTTCGGTCATGGAAGACATGCATGGTAAGCAATTTGTCAAACAAAGCATATGACTATCCTTGCTGACAATTTCATGATGACAGTCCAGGACGCTTCTTCGTTGCCCATGAACTCAAGATGTTAGTTGCGTATCTGCTTTTGAACTATGACTTGAAGCCTCTGAAGGAAAGACCACCGCCGAGCTGTATCGGGAGAACAATGATTCCTCCAACGAAGGCGACGATGGAAATCAAGCGGAAGGCTAGTACCAGTGTGACTTCATAGGCAAGACAAGCCTCTTCTTTGTTGATAGAACAAGATACGATTACCAAAGAAGTTGCAGTGGCACAAAATGTTACCATCTGAAATATTCTGAAAAATGGATTGCTGGAGTAACAACTACTCCTCTAGACGTTTGCATATGTAGCTCCCGGATCACTGCATGGATAGGATCATAGACTCAAGTCTTACCTCAATGACTGCTGCACTCGTTCAGGGAAGGCACATTTCATCTCTTTCGCTTAGTGAATTCCCTTGGCCACACTCGCATCCCCCCCCCCTGATCACTCAAATATAAGGATGTCAACACTGCTCGTCACTAACCACCACATCCCACTCATTGGTCCCCTACGAAACCTCACGTAGTCACAAGACCGAACGCGTCAGAGCATAGAAGCCGTCAGCAGCCTCCAGGAAACCGACATGTTGGCCGGTCACGCGGTCACTCTGACCATCGCGGTCATCGCCCATCACGCCACCGCAGGCTTCACTTCCCACTGCAGCTGGTGGTATATCCACGACCAGGTGACACTCACTGCGGGCTGCGAGGCTTCGACCAAGTCCAAGCCTAGGGTCCTCTCCAGCCTCGACCTGAATCACTGCATCGGCGTCGATCTCACGGCCAACGCTATGATTTGGCAAACCGAGTGAGTGCACAGCTTCCATCCCTCAGCCAGCATTCATTCCTGGTCAGAGACGCTGACCTGACATTTCCCCGATTTTCAGTGGTGATGCCTTCCACATACACTGTGCCAATTGCGGCATGCAGAACTCGGAGATTGTCATGCAATGCGACTGCATCAACGTCGTTACTGGTGGAACGACAAGTTCCTCTATTAACCTCAGTGAGCATTTTCACTTCTTGTGATGAGGACTTCCATCGCATCGGTCCATGAAGTTGACATTTGTATTTCCAAAGTCCTAACGCATTCTCTCCAGATGATCGAATCACCACCAACGATGAAGGTTGGCTGACCTGCTGAGAATCTGTTGGGTTTCGTGGATGTGTCACTGTTCGGTGTGTGGTGGGATGGAAGCGTTGGTACAAGATGGTTTACGTCCGCTGCCGTACAGTAGAAAGCCTTTCGGTGAGAAATGACCACAAGGATTGAGATCCTGAGATTGCGGCCCGATGTAGCTTCTCTTGTAGACATCGCAACCCTTGGCTAATCAGAAGCTGCGTAGTCATTCATGTTCTATGCGTAAATGAGCCAGCACGCATCTTATGTCGGATAGCCACGAATGAATGGCAGTCAGTCATCGAGTTTGAGGATAACTACCTTTTCTTCCTCTACATTAAACAACTCCAACTTCAGAAAATTTTGTCCCCTTCAACGCTGAAATCAGGACTAAATCCTTATCTTTGCATTAATCTCAAATTCATTAAGCCGAGCTGAGGAATTTGAGGCACATTGAGCGTAGTCGAGAAACACAAGTCGAGCGAGCAAAAGCACGAAGAATTTCGAAAGATATTTCCTCCCTTTCCTGCGTCTGCCTTACTGAAGGTGGCCGGGCCTATTGTTAATTATCTCAAGGCAAGCAGCTTATCATAAAATTATTCTACATGCTACTCTACGGCCTTATTCCAGGACAGATCCGAAACTTGCCCCAACTGTTTTATCAGCCGTGCCACAAACTTCGACGGGCCCGCCTGCGGCACCTTTGGTCGAGTCCTTTTTCCATGCGCCGGTTTGTCGAGGGGAAATTTTAATCCACGCTTGCCACTGCGCGCGGCATCACAAACCCAGGGACGATGGTTTAAACATCATGCTTTCTTCAGTCTGAGCGCAGACGACAGCCACGGTGCCATCACCGTGATAGTGCACAGCGCAGTTGGCCGGCTGCAAAAAAACAGCGGACGGTAGCATTACACAACAGTTATAGTAAGAGATCGACATCAATATAACTAGCTCCGAAAGCAGTTTACTAACTCCGAACTCTGCCTGGGTGCATTCCAGGTCAATGTATAGGACAGAAGGGGGCAGAGCAAGGCACTTCGCATCGAATCTATCTCTTCAAATTCCGACTATCCTCGAGAAGACAAAGTATCGATAATCTACATAGTTGAGATTGGACGGGAAGACTTGCAGTGACAGCCTGGACCAGGAGGAGACGAAAACAGTCTGACCAATCAGCCAAGGCTCCCAACGGCACAGCTCGGACAAGGCTGCGGCCGACCGTGATTATACAATTCAAATTCTCACATTTCCGTTGTCGCTATCACTTCGCTATGCCTGTCTGTCTGCCTGCCCGCCCGTTTCCCTGTACACTAAGCTCGCCGGCTTGGGAATCACGCCCCTGATGAGAACATTCGCACTATACCACTTAAGAAACCGCAGCTAGTCTTCGCCGGTCTTCACTCGGCATCGCCAATCACTCAAGCAAGACAGTCAACGACCTTCCTGTCCAATTATCGCCTGTTTGTCATCACATGCTAAAGTAGTGACGGTTTGATTTCACCTCCTCATTAATTCAGCAGTAGCCTGGCCTCTTATTTTATCACTCTGGAACTTCTTGCAGTCCCAAGTCTCGACCCCAGTATTTCTGCCCGCAAGTTAAGTCCGAACTGCCGTCCCAAACTAGATCTGTCTCCTCTGAAGGGAACACCAAAGGTCAATGGTGGCATATTCAACTGATCCCTCACTCCAGTTCCATGCAAAGACCGTTACCAAACCACGTCAAACCTGAAGCCTGTGGCACTTGCCACCCCGGATATCCATCAACAATCCAAGCCGCTGCATCAACCAGTAACTCAATGTGATCTGCGCTGAGTACCATACTCTGAACGGAAGGCGGAGCCACACAACTTGTTATCTCAGGATGCATGGCCAGCCTGTGAGTTAAACCATCCGGTTACGTTCTCGACCCGGGGTGAGAGATTGACTGTCCATTATAAGCCATAAACGAATGTGATGATAATACTACATGGAAGCAGTCCAAAAATGATTGAATTGATTGTGCTGTGATCAACTGGGAGCGAGGGGGATATTGAAACAGGGGGCTGTAATCCATATATCATCTGTCGTGGGAAGGGTCATAATAATGATACAAGGACCCGAGAGCAAAGGTCCATCACCAAACTTTTGTGAGGCTCAAAAACCGAAAAACTATTGCGGATAGGTCCATCGGCCGCCCGGAGTCGGCATCTGACCACGAGGCGGGGCATGATAGATTCCATGCCTAAGGATATTGCAAGCAAGCGAGGTCGGAGTGCGTCATGATTAGATGGTGGCCGAGGCCGAAAGCCAAAGGGTCTGTTGTTTTTCCGTTCTTGAGAACAGGATGATCTAGAGGCCATCTAGACGTGTCGTCGTAAAGGCGTAACGGTCGTCGGGGCATGGTCGAGGGACACCTCTGCTGAAGACGTGTCTATTGGAATTGGGTGGCTTCAGTTGCGAGCCCTGGAATCCAAGACTTGACTGGTGTAGGAACGTGAGCCCGTCAAGCCCGTTCAGCCATGCCCCATGAATGCTGAGTCGTACGGCATAAAATGGTCGCCCATGTAAGGTCTCTTGTAAAATTCCGGGAAACCCTGATCGACATTTGAGAATCGCTGTTCTGCGTCTTCTACTTTTTTTGGAGGCATCCAGTCGTCAGATCGTGGAGGTATCGTGTGGATAAAAGCTCTCCGCTCGGCGTCAAGATGTGTTGTTTCGTGACCGTGTACCGCGTTCTGGTAGCATTAAACCGCCGGGGAAATTCTCCTGGTCGGTTGGTATGAAAACGAAAAACTGGAGGACCGCAAATTTGCAAGCCAGAAACGTCGCGAGAACTAATCGCATATAAAAGGTATAGATCAGAAAGCATCGATGCGCCGTGAAAAGACAGCCTTGGTTTTTTGTCGGACGGAAGGAGGACAATCGTTCGTTCGTTCATTCGGCATACAAAGGCTCAAAATTGTCTCAAGAGCCCTCGACACTAGTGGGAGTAGAGGCTGCTGCTTGCGCCGCTGCCGTGGAAGTTTTCGGACGAGTCTGCTCGAGACCCTGTCAGTAACTCCGAGTAAGAATCTTGAGACGTCAGATTGGACGAACCGCTGCCACGCTGCGCATGCCCATTCACCCGACGGCCGTTGAAGCCTACATTTTCCCAACCGGTCTCTGGCCCACGGGGCTGGCGCTCGGGCGCGTTACGAGAACTGAGCCCGTTCACTCCGGGCCGCTGGCTGCCAATAGCACCAGGGTTCTCCCGTAGCCGGGTCGCCTCATATGGGCCTTCTGCCACGCTCAGAGAGCTCAAGTTGTTGGTCACGCCTGAGAGGCTCAGGTCGGACGCGCGGTGGTTCAGGCTGCCTCCAGGAGTAGTCGGTGTAGCAGCAAGCCCTCCAAATGCGCTTGAAAGATCTGGTCGTGAAGACAGACCATGCTCGTTCAGGCGAAGGGAAGAGGTTGGGTAGCCCGACTCCCGCGGACTCGGGGTCCTTGCCTGCAGATTCTGCCCGGGCCTTCCAAGCTCGGCCATGCTCCGAATGGTCCGCAGATTCGCAATGTTGTTCAGACCATCAGGGCTGCTGTCGGGAACCTCCAGCGCCGGGTTGCCATGCCGGCCAATAGTGCCGTAGCCATTGGTGCTTGACGTCCGCTGCTCGCCAAAATCAATTGTAGCAGCACGCGCTAAGCTCTTGCTATTGGCTGGATATTGGAGCTGGTCCACCGCGGACACTGGGGTGTGACTTGAATTGACGGCCAAATCGGGAGGCCCCATGTTCTCCTTCCAGACGACAGCACATCGGCTGTCACCGGTGCCGTAGGAGCCGTGATGTAGTCCCATGTTATGAGCCAGAATGTGAATGACGCGGCGCTCCTCGGGAGCGGTAGATGCATCGAAGACGAGGTAGTCCGTGTTATTCGCATCCTCCCTGTAGGATCGCATCTTGATGTAGTTGTTCAAGGTCGCGGGGTCATTCAAGTCGTAGTCGCCTGTGAGGTGTGAGCTTCGTGAGCACTGGGTTAGGATGGCGGCTGACTTACGGCTTGGCGACGACCGCGAGGGAGCGGCGTCGTTCTCCCGGCTATGCAAGGACTGGAGTGAGGCCTGGTGCTGCAGAGTGGGCATCGGGCGGTGTTGCTCCTCTAGCTGGCCGCGCTTCTGGCGCTTCTCTCGCTCAATACGCTCCCGCTCGTGCTCTGGCAGCATCTTCTTGTACTCAACCCGCAATTTACGCCCTTGAACATCCAGCTGGTTCATCCTGTCGATGACCTGTCTCGTCTCGTCGGCGCTGGAGAAGTTGGCAAAGGCGAGACCGCGGAACACGCCATTATCGAAGTGGTAGTTGAAGGCGTAAGGCTGTGGCAGGTTCATCTCCATCATGATGGCCTGCAGGACTTCCTTGCGCACGTTGAAAGGGATATTCTTGATGACGATGGCGGTGGGTATCAAGTCGTCCTTCTTGTCGTGATGCGATTGGCGGCCCTCGGAGAACATGTGTGGCTGGGATCGGAGCTGGTCCATGCCGCTCATCACCTGGCCGTAGGGAACGCCCTGGGGGGTGTAGACGGGTTGGTTAGGAGCCTGAAGACCGATGCCGGGGTGACTTGTTGGGTCAGGTTGCTGCATCCAGTACTGTTGAGGTTGAGGGTCAGCGGGATATCGGAGAAGCGACAACGGAGATCGGCCTGAACTGACATCTGGAATGCCTGGCCTCCTGTTGACCGACCGAGATCTGACATCAGGTATGGGGCCGTTGACAGTAGCCGAGGAGCCGCCGCCGTTGTAGTTCCAGGCGGACTGGTTACCAGCCATATACTCCCCGGGCATGCCAGAGACTGTTGGGGGGCCACGTGTGATGCTGTCGAGGATGCCGTACCGGTCCATCATGGGGTACATTGAGGTTCCCTGCTGGCCGGCGGCATCCATCTGTTGCTGCTGCTGTTGCTGCTGCTGCCTCTGGCTTGGCTGGCGGTTCGCGCCCATGCCCGAAGGCAGAGTAGAGTACCCGTTCCTCGTAGAGTTTGGTGATCGGTTGCCCATGCCACCATTGTAGGAGCCGTACGCGGCGAACGCGTCGGGCTGCTGCGGATGGGTCATGATGCTCATGTATGTGGCTTGGCGGGGCGCGTGGCTAGACTGGAGGAGGACAAGAGTTGAAAATCAGTTGAACAGCTTGCCCAGGAGGCGAAAGAGGCAAGCTGTCCAGAGACCGAGCAGCAGGATATTTCGAGGTGGTGAAGGTTGCTGTCGGAAAGGAGAGGAGTGCTAAGGAGTCGCAGGGGTGAAGGATGCGACAGGGTGAGGTGGCGCAAAGCTGTGAGGGATGGTATTAGAGGTAGAACTATAATAATGGAGTATGGATGTGCGATTTTCGATGGGGGTCGCGAGGGGGAAAGCAAGGCAGAGGCAGAGGCAGGATCAGAGACGGAGTCAGAGGCAGAGACAGGGGAAGGCAGGAAAGGTAGGGGCTCATGGGGTTGATGAAGGGAAGGGAATTCTCACCGAAAAAGAGGTTGCAGTGCTGTGCTGCGGTGCAGTGCAGTGCGTTGCGTTGCGGGAATGGAGGAAATCTCCTGGAGTGGGGAGGGGCCAGGGAGTGTATGGTCCCCTTTATTATTCGATATTGTCGCCCCGAGGCGGTCAACGACAATGACGCGAGGCCAGGCGAAGAGGAGGCAGGACGAGACGAGCCGAGACGAGACTGGCAGGGACACAGAATGCACGGCCGCCGTCGTAGTCAGTTTGATGTCGCCGGGTGAACTGGGACCTTTGGACCTTTTGGACCTTGAGCCTTGGACCTGGGAGGGCTTATCTCGAGGGGAGGGCGGGTGGAAGAGGAAATGGAGGTTTCGCACTGGGGCGATATTTGGGCCTGTACTCGAATTTTCGAACGAGGACGGAGAGCTGCCACGCTTCCACGGCAGTCCCCCAAAAGAAATATGGGGCTGAAAATATTGGCCCGGTCGGTCGGTGGTGACTGGCGAGGGACTGGCTGGTTGGACTGGGCCTGGCGCTGGGACTGCGACTGGGACTTGCTGGGGTCGCCGTGGATGGCAGAGGCACACCTAAGGCCCAAAGGGGAAAGGCGGGCAAAACAAGACGGACGAGGTCGAAATGAGAGAGTCAGGCAAGGTGGAAGCAGACGACAGCTTCAAGGGCTGTGGGTTCTGTGTCTGTGTGTCTGTCTATCTGTCTGTCAATCATGAGAGAGGAAGAGAAAGATAGAGGCAACAGGCGGCTATTTACGGCGCTTCGCTTGATGATGTTGTAGTCGACGTCCTTGATGTGCCTGTCCTCGTGATTGTTGTCACAAGGAGGGAGGGATGGAGGGAGGGGGAGGGGGGGAAAACAAGAATCGGCGGCGGCGACGAGGTGGGATGGAGACGGGAGGGAGATGGGCGATGGAGATGAGATGAGGTTGTAGGCTAACAGTGACCGTATGAGTTGGCAGGTGGAGGCAAGCTGGGCAGAAGAGACACTCACTGTACCTGCTGTACCTCGTACTGGTAACAGGTACTGATGCTGTAGTCTCAGAGTCTATGCTGTGTGTCAAATCAACTGGCGCAGCAGTTGCAGCAGCAGGTGCAGCAGAGGCAGGTGCAGGACAAGGACAGCAAGGTCCTGGCTGGCTCCCAAGCTTGGCCTGGAATGCAGGAATGGAGGTGGAATTTGCTGGCTTCCAGCTCTTTGGGTGGGGGAAGAGTCGCAAGAGGGGAGAGGAAGAAGGGGGGTTTGATGCATGGGAGTGGCCAAAGTACCCAGGTACCTTCACCTCCGACTTCTTGTACTATCTGTATTGTGTACGTCTGTACCGTCTGCAGGCTCAGTCAGGTTCAGGGTTGCCCAGGCAAAGTGGCACAAGTGCTCCCAGCGGTTGGGCCAGCAGGGAGAAGGCATAACGGGGAGCAGGTCTAGCTGCTGCTAGCTGCCGGCGAGGATCCGACTTAGCGGGCCTAGCGCCTGTATTTGTTTCTAGGTGACCTCTATCTAACACTTATGAATAACCAACCACCAACCATATCCTGAGTTCTCTCTTGTCTTGACAGCGACCCTTGGAATGGCCCCTTTGGTTTAGTCTCTGGCTCTGTAATAGAAGCAGCACTTCTCCTTCTTCTGTAGCAATTGAATGATCAAACCAGCAAGAAAGCACTGAATCAGTGGATGGATAGATTGTTTGTTTGTTGTTTGTGCACAGCTGAATCTACGATCTAAACTCTAAGGTGCGACCACCTACCTGGAAAGCACACATAAAGCTGCACAAGGTGCAGAGGAGCACCGTCACAAAAGCAAAAGCAAACCGATGTACCTGATACTTTGATTGTTTGGCGTGGGCGGTTGGAGGTTGCCCGGATGGCAGGTGCTCAAAGTGGGGTAGCTGGAGTACCCGAGTTAAGCTTTGGCAGGCGACGGTGCCACCTGGCCTAACAGCTGACCCAAACGGCGACGGCAAACAAGAACCGTCGCTAGGCAGGCTGGCAGGGCTGTGTGACAGGGTTGAGGCTTCGAGAAGAAAACGGCGGGGCCCTTTTCCAATCGAACGGGAACGGGACGCGAGTCGGCGTTTGACGAACTTGGAGGAGTGGAGACGAAACGCCAGGCAGGACGTGAGTAAACGGCAGCACGAGGGACGAAAATGTGTGTGAGAAAAAGAGAGAGACGCGAGGGGAGAGGGGGAAAAAAAACCAAAGTCAAATTCAAACAAAAAAAAAAGGTGCAGGGCGCATCAACCGCGCATCCACCACGCATCAACCAAACCTTGGCCCACAGACATCAAAATGAACCATCCTTCTTGGACGAATCGTCACCGCAGATAGGGGTTCACCACAGACACCACAAGACACCCCAAAACGCACACCCGCAGCTCAGAACCTGCAGGCTGCACTCGCTGATTTCATACCATTGGTATGTGTGTCTCACACCCCAATCGTCAATCTGCCAGTCTCGAGTCCCGAGGCTCGACTACAGCTCCATCGGATGGACATTAACAAGGCACCCTGCCAGGGCTGCTCATCTATCTGTAACCACCTCTGCTGCTGGTCTGATCTGATCTGGTCTGGTCTAATCCACCGGTCCCTTGGGCGGTCCCTCCCATCTGGAGTCGTGGAGCTTCCCGTCTGTGCGAGACGAGAACGGCGAGACTGACTGACTGCTGCTGGACCAGCAGACTGGCAGACTAACTGATCTCAATTAACATGCGGCTCCCAATGCTGGCCAGTGCCCAGTGGGACGGCATCACGGCCTCTCCGAACCGGGGACCACGGGGAGGCCATCTCGGCCGATCAGACGTCCATCCGACGGTACAATACAGTACAGGACAGGACAGGTCGTGACAGGACGATATGCCCTCTTGTGTATCATCTGTTTATCCAATCCCCTTTTATCACTGCTCATCACTGCAGGCTCTACACGCAATATCGCACAGATCGCCAAAAGAAGCGATCTTGCATAAGCTGGCGTGCATACGAGTTGGGTTTGGATGATCATCACTCCCCATGTCTCGTCTACTACGCACAGGTGCTCGCCCATTTACCCACTTCTGCTGCCGTCTGTACACTGTACACAGTACTCAATCGCCCCTCACGCATGCGCATGGGACACCAAAACCTAACCTTGACGCCGCTGAGGCGAGGCCCGGCCCATCCGCTGTCTCGGCCGCATGCTGCAGCTTTGTGCGGCTGGCGGGGTGCGCGTGCGGCTGCAGTCCGATCGACAATACTGAAGTCTACCTTCACAGTGGGCTATCTCCTTTTTCTCTCTCGACCAAGCTATATGACCAATGATTCAAGGTGGTCTGCCCAGTGTACACTTTGCGTCAGGGGCTTGTCTACTCGGTATTGGCTGCAGGCTGCTGGCTGATGCGACAGTTACATGCACACAATCGCACCCTTCGAGGTATACACATACATACACATTGACGACACATGACTTTCCCCATGCCACGCCATCATGTTCCTGCAGCTTACCTTGTACGATCTGCAAATATCCGTCCCGACGCTCAGAGACGTGCACAGGAACGAACTATGATCTGGGCAGGTCATCCGTGGGCCACTGCCCGCCCACCCAAGAACGCGTCTTGTCGCTCACCACGAAGACAATAGTCCATGTGCAGCCGCGAAAGATTGCGCCATCCTGCCAGGACCCCAAACACGAACTCACTGTCTCGCCGTCAAAGCAAAGCCACCTGCTAGGCGGGCTGCGTGGGACGTGGGACAGAACATCGTGACCTTCGCACCCCCTCAAAACAGGCGACCAACGTTATCCCCCTCCCAGCTCTCTCACATATCCACAGTGCTCTCTTCCGCCGTCCGGCGTTCGGAATCTTACGCACTGGCGTTTTCTAGGCCATGGGGATCTGCTATGCGCACAGGTAAATACAGTACGCCCCGCGGTGGCCCTGGCAGCCGGTAACACCGCGTGTGTTTGCATGGCGGCGCAAGCTTTCCCGGCTCGCACGCACTCCTGTCACCAGACCATGGGCACAATCTGGCCGATCGTATTGATCGGCTGTCATCTACACCTTGCCGAGATTGGTCTACCCTTTTCGGTGCCCAATGTGCTTGCTGTCGACAATCATCTTCCAGGACGAGGTTGACTACCGCCCGCCCGGGTCATCACATACGACTCCTCCCATAGCGGCCTTGCCATCCTGATGCAACGCTAGGAATAGCAGCTCGTCGTCTTGAATGATCGCGATGGGACTGGCACGCCATCGAGGACGAAATCGACTCTGTTCTGGGTAATTTTTGTCAATCATCGCCATCAGCCTCCTTCGCTTAGGCACGTGGCAAGGTCGCATCGGAATCTCGGCCATCGCCATGTCGCGGTTCCCTTGGCGCCGTCGCTTGGAACGCAGGGAGAAATTGTCATCAATTTCGCTCGCTGCCTTTGAAAGCGTCAATGCCCGTCGGTCTACTGCCTGCTCTGCCAGGCCTCATCACACCTACGCTTCACCATCCTCACAGGGTGCGGCCGTGGCAGCAGTCTTACAGTCAACACTACTTCGAACATCACCAACCTGGTTGTATGCGCGCCGCACGACATCTGGCTTCGGCCCACTCACTTTGCTCGCCTTTCCTATTCTGTTAGGTCCTTTCCACCGGGCACGTAGCTTCCCCCAGCGGAAGTCTCGCCTCGGGATTAGGCGAGATGACGGGCAGTCCCTGGATAGAGTGCTGACACGTTTTCCCTTCGCCTCTGTTGGTTTTCTAGGCCCAGCCCTGTCAGCGACGGACCCCCTCAGGGCCCGGGTATGACTCCGTAGGACGGGCCCCGACTATCAAACAGACCTGTCGTTCTTCTGGAAGGCCGACCACTTTGTTCTGTCGCAGCGCTAGGCACCTCGGAGACATTGGCGGGAGAAGAACACGAGCAGCTAGATGAGTCGCATATTTGATGTGTCATGTGATATTGCTTTTCTTTTGATGTCTTGCCTCTCCCATTCGCCTTTGTTCGCAACTCCCGAGACAAAGCCACTGCGTCAAAAGCTTTACAGCCCCTGAAGTCATCATCGGGCCTCATCGCCAGCGAAAACACCTCTAGCCACCATCTTCACGACAAGACCACACCCGAAACGTCAGTGCAGCGCTCGCGCACAAAATGAGGGGGAATGGGGGGCATCGTGTGGGAGGAGCCCGCTTCCTACTTTGATCTGACATGTGTTTCTAGAATGAATCCGGGTGGGTCGCCGCACCGCAGGCTCTTAATTTCCCGCTCCGCTCGATTTGGGCTCAGGGTGGAGGAGGGACGCCCAATGGATGGAACATTGAATCTGCTCAGCCTTCCTTCAGGGGTTCTGAACCGAGTGGATCCTTTTTTTTTTCCCTTCGTTTCTTTCGCGGAGCTTGGGCCAGCCTGTTTTGGTTTGTCAAGAGTCCGGGATACTGTGTTTGCGTACAGTGCGTGCGTGCGTATGAGTGAATGTGCGTGTGCTCCTTTTGTTCCAAGCCCCTTCCAAGTCGGCATCGATTGCCGTCTGCCCGGCGCGGAGGTAGGCGAGAGGAGAGGAGAGGAGCCTGACGAGCCGGGTGTCTAGCGTGCATCCCTTTTCATTTTCGAATACTTCCGACAGGTGTGGACGGTGTGCAGGTGAGGATGCTTGGGCTATTGTGACAGACTCGCCGTCGCACACCTCCAAGCCCGTGCCGGTCTTATCTCATCTCCAAGAATGCGAGCTTCATGCAGCATGAAGTATAATACCCACCTCCCTTACTCTCCGAGCCAAGTGGGAACTTTCGGAGATGCCCACCGTCTCGGATCTCAGTTGAAGTAGAGGGTTGTACAGTCGTGGATTTGTGTGCTATTCGGTCATCAAGGCTTGAGTTGGCAGCCAATTGGACAACGTCTCAGGAAATCGGGTCCGAAACTATCTAGTATAAATGCCCCTGTAATGTGTGACGTCCTCTGAATAAAATCATACAAAGGATAACAGGTAATGACGCTCTTGGCTAGCTGCACACGATGCTCGCATACACTTCCTATCGCATTGCAGCGTGATTATCCTCTATCATCCCACAAGTCAGCGAACTGCGCCAAACATATCATTTCTGGCTCGTAAGCTGAAATTCGGCCGCCGTCGCCAGCAGCACAATGTCCGGGCTTGTCCTCGTCATCCACTCATCTTGTATCCCTCCTCCAAATATCGTCGACCTTGCCCCGCGTCTGGTGTTAACCCATGTTTTAGAAGGACGCGTGGGTATGAAAACGGCATGAATCCATGACACATACAAAATCAGAGGTGGGAGAAGACTGTGACCGTTGTATCCTGAACGCAAAACGTCGTTCTGCCCCTGTCAGCGTCCGCGGCAGCATGAAAAGCGTCTTAGTTTTATACTGGAGTCATTCTTCAAGGTCATACTGAGGTCACTGTGCAGTATCTCAATCAAGTCCTCTGTGATGGGTTTTTCGACGTCCTTTTCAGAGCACTGGTCATATTGATTCCAAGCACGGAATAGCTTTTGTCCAGTGGATCTTTCCGCGGTGTAGTTGCCGTTGTGCACAGTAGATACAATCTATCCGACCTCATCGGACTCGACTGGACGTTTGCATGCTATTGCAAGTATTCCAATGCGACTTAGCATCTGCATGAAACTCGGGTTAGTTCCTGAAGGAGCCCTTGGTCGGCACCCCTTTTTCCCTCCGTTTGGCTGCGCGTCCTCCGTTTGTAGCCCGGTGACGAGCCCGTCGTAGCCTACATGAACCTTGGCCTCGAGTGCTAAAAGCGCATCAGATGACCGCGCAAGAGAACATTGACGCAGTTGGCCACCTGCACGATTTGTTCATTGAATACCGTCGTGAGTGCCCACGAGCGTGGAGCACGCCTCACTATGACACCACCACGATCAGTGTCCACGACACAGTTTTGAGTGATATTGAGTATCAGCTGTGGCCACTCGACGGCTTGTGTCTACAATTTATCTACTCTTCCGCCCAAAGGCCAAAATCAACTCGTCCGAATGATCACCATGCATACCGACAAGACTCCTCTTGTGCAGCGAGTCGGTGTCACAGAAATTCAAAAACCTCAGCTGGATCGCAGCGCATCAGGAAAGAGAAAACTCAATAAATTTCATCTTGGTTTATTCGAGTTCTAGAAAATCAATGTCCAGAAGGGGGGCGTATCCCTGGCTGTGCCCGATCTCCGGACACGAGAATTCGGCTCCTCCCCAAGGGTCGAACGACCTTTCCATGGGCTCTGCAAGCCATCAAAAATGCGTGCCGTATCTTTACCTCCTCGATGCTCCGTCCTTCCATGATAATCCGATTGCCAGCAACTGTTTCCCACCAGTCCGTGCTGTCCTGAGGTGTGAGACTGCGCAGGTAAGCATCCTCCTCAGCCCCCCATGCTTTCATTAAACGATGCCATCTAGCGGCGCAGGCGTCCGTGGTCCGACCAGGAAGTGAACGCTTCAATTCGTCTTTATTCTCGGTCCAGCTGTCATGTCCAGCTGCGAAATTGCGAAGCTGCCTGAGCTCTTCAACCGTCCAGAATGGCCTTTCTCGGGGTCTTTTGGGTTGACGTTGGATGTAGCTCCACCTATGTACACACTGGGCCTCTGTGCGATTAGGTAGCCAGTCTGTCACGCCACGCCATTTTCCATGATGCTCACGCACCCACTGCTGGAGTATTTTGGACTCGTCTTCTGTCCACTCCTGCTGTAGCGTCGTGGAACGACGGTTGTTGATCTGCGCAGAATGTCGGGCCACCTCTTCACCCGCGAGATACTTGGCGCGGGCCAGAATTTCGTCGTCGATTCGGTGCCCACTCAACGTGAGTTGTTGCCTGACGCGAGACATATCAGAGAGCTCGTCCACCCTAACAGCTCTCAGCTCCCTGTCCTGATCCGGTGTCCACGTCAGTCTCTGGTCCGCAATGTACTTTCGGATCGAATCCATCGTGTGTCCCGATTCATTAGAGAAGTCAATGAGACTTCCAGCACGAGCATTGACCATCCGCAGCAGATTTGCTTCTGCATCCCGAAACGGTCTCTCATGTCCTGGCAGCTCATACCCCGTCAGCGGTTGCACCCCCTGAAGACCTGTGTTTGGCGCAGAGTTTGGATAGGCTGAGTAATTGATGCCCCCAGAACCTTCCCCCTGAGGTATGGCACCTGATTGGTTGAAGTTGTTTTGACCTCCCGAGAAGGAGGCAGGTATGAGACCTGAACCCCCCATGTGCTAGCTAGGCTGTTCCATGGCCTCATTTTGGGTATAAGCGGTCGGATGGTAGGCACTGGGATGTTGACTGGGATGGAGTCCTTGATAGAAGCCGAATGCTTGGTAATTATTGGGAGTTTGGTTGAAATTGATGTCTCGATGTTGCTCGAAGTTTTGGTACGCGTTTGGATGTTGGCTGAAGCTGAAGTCTTGGTATGAATTGAACGATTGTAAGGAATTCTGATATGAGCTAGGATCGAATTGCGGCCCATGGTTGCCACTTCTGTTCCCCTCGGACGCGTGTGTAGGTGTCGTATAAGGCCAAGTTCTCTGACGACCATCCATGTTAAGTTCTTGTAGAAAAAGAGCCTGCTTGATATTGACTTTGATGTGTGGATGGAGATACGTGGTTAGGAGCTGGCTTGTTTCGTCGACAGTGGAAGTGGTATCCCAATGAAAAGCTTACGATGTATGGGAAGAAAGCAATAGACCATGATTCGGGAAGGAGTATTCGGTAAATGAACTGTTGAGGAAACTGCGGTTCATGCAGTCCGGGTCTATGGTCCCAAGACACAGTTCGTATGGCCGATGACGATTCAATTGATCATTTGACGTGTCCTAAACAGATTTGCACTGGTTTCGAAGCAAAAGGTCTTTTCAGCATCATAAAGTCCGTCTTAATTGTCGACCTGAGCGCTATAAGTACTCACGAGGCGATTCTGCTATGCCGACCACAGTAATGTGATCATGATCCTAGGTATCGCTTGGCGTATTACTGCCTCCCTCACTCCGCCATTCAAAACATATGCTTCGAGAGGAAGTCGGGCAATCCGAGAGAGAGAAGCGTTCTTCCATAGGGACAGACAATATCATTACTGCTCTGTTCAGCAACTTATGACAGTCATTTCAGCCCCTTGACTAATGCTGGTCCAAAACGCTGAACTACCTGAGCCACTCCAAAATATGCGATGCTCTATGGCACACTGGCAAACGCAGTCAAAGCAGGGAAAGGCAGCATCGGCGCATGAGCCTTGATTCTCAGAATTGGTTTGCACCTACTGACATGAAGTCTTAAAGGATCCTGGCACCCACGAAGCAAGACAAGTCATGCGAAATCGGTAATTGAAAGACGAAGGTACACATGCGAGGCAACTTTCACTACTGCCCAGGGTCAAAGGTGGAACTTTAGAAGCGGCTCTGTGCAGGAGCTTTTCACATACAAGAGCTAAGCGCCAACGTTGGCTGAGTTTGAAGATTGCATGTAAATGGGCTTGGTTAGATGGTCTCTACATTCTTGTGGCACACAAGCTTGATCTGTGCTGTATTAATACGCAGGTGCTGTGTGGTAAGAGTCGTGGTACAGCGCATGGCTATCGTTCATCTCACAGCTGTTTTCGTGGAGTTAGGGCTTAGATCACGAAATCGACAATGTTCTTTTCAGCTTAAGATATCACGGTTTCTTTTCTCTGCCCCAAATTCCCTGTCTTAATACTGTGTACATATATCTATTCGATTTCCGGTCTCTGACTCTGTATTGGTGAACTTGTTGTCGATTTGGCCACGTACTAGACCTCGGTGATCACACGAATCCAGTCTTGTTTGCGTTCATTTAGACCCCGTCCTCGTCTCCTTTTTCTTCGTTGTCAAGCACACAGCTTTGTAGATAGTTCCAACGAGCTTGAACTGCTGCACCACTCCGGTGTGGATCGAGCTGTTGGCCGACACAGTTTCAGTCAAATTCTGTTGGCCCAGGGCTCAAATTCATGTCTCGTAGCTGCTTGTCATTTTCATCACTCCAAAGTACGTTTGGTTTTCTGCTCCGATCGAGAACACTTTTTATAGCCCGTTCTGGGAGATATTTTGCAACGATTTGTCGAGAGTTTAGCCCTTCGGCACACCCCAGCCGAATCTTGTGGTCTTCTTCCCGCTTGAACACCTTTCTCGTGTATTTCTTCTTGACCCCGGATTTCTCTCTTACGAGATGTCCGTAACAAGCCTTTACTTCACCCGGACTTCGAACTGGAGAGCCAAGGAGCTCGCTAATCTTAGCCCAGTCGCCAATGTGTCTTTCATGCAGTTCAAGTACTTGACAGTCTTGTTCTTGCGACCACATTCGATAGTGATGCCGTACCATGTAGTTCGATATGCTGCCCTCTGCAAAACCCGCATAGTACTCTTCGCGTATCTCCTTTACTGTGAGACCCTCGGCACGTAAGCGCTTCAGGAGAGAATTATCCAGTGCCGTCTTCGTCTGTTGGCGGGGACTGGCGAAGCTATCGATCGTAACAGGCCTCGATTCCCTAGTGCTGCGGCTTCGGAGAATCGAACCCACGATCGGTGGTGTCAATCTGACTGGACCAGTCTCGGGATTTTTCGGGGACGGGACTAATGATGCTGGGGTAACTTGCTGGCCTTGTAAATCGCCGTATTGTTGATCTCGGGAGGACCCCTGAGCTGGTGTGTAGAATGTATTTTGGGTCTCGAGACCTGGGCGACTCTGAGCAGTATGAAATTAGGGCTCTGGCAGATATGTTGGGTATTTGCAAGTCATTGGGGGGCTTGAAGTTTCCGTGATGTGTATCGGATTCGATTGCCGGGTTTGGTAATTGCTGTGCAATGCAGCTTGAGAGGGCCCCAAAGCAAGCAAGTAGTTCCCCTCTGGTCTATCGCTTATCAAATTCAGCCACTTTAGATGCTCTTGAATCTCCTCAGGCCCTCGTTTTGGAAATTGACCATTGCTCATTTGGGCCAGCACATCGTGGGATTCGTCTTCCCGCATCCCGCTGTGGAACAGCTTTCTGTCTTCATTCCCTGACCACGACAGCCCCAACTCTTCCGCGCGGGTTTTCAATATATCCTTGCTGATGTCGTAGCGGTTCTGAAACATAAAACTTTATGATGTCCTTGAATTTTGAGCCCATGGCGATGGCAACACGGAGGATATGATCATCTTTCGGCTCGAACACAGTTCCGGGACCACTCTTGTCTTGCCTGTAGTTCGGCGTCGTAGCTTGCTGGAGATCAAATTTTGGAACTTGGCTATAGGAGGTCGCTGAGAAGCCGAGGTCCTCAAAACTCCCGTTGACTCCCTCTTCTCCTTGACTGCGATATCCACCGCGCCCTGGCCGGCTCCTGAAGTTTTCTTCTTCTTCAGGCACGCCAGGGCGCTTCGGTGGGCGCAGCGGCTGGTGTGTGTCTTTGTCGTTTCTTTCCCTAGTGCTCGACATGTTGACTTGTTGCGCCAAGTGATATTCTCACGTGGAAGATTTGTACAGTTGTATTCAGATAAAGCGTGTCGTAAGGACTTCCGGAAGTTTGGAGCTTGGGTCGCTGTGGAGGTAAAGAAGTGGCAGTATCAAGTTACAGACTAGGAGACTGGGTATATTAAAAAGACCGTGGGTAACAATATCTCGAATGGTCGTCAAAAGAGGCAATGAGAATGCTTCGTCACGATACGCACAGAGCCCGGGGCTGTGACTGGATGATCCTCTCGTTGGGCCCCACAGACTCAACACAGCACCGTTGACTTGCAAATTAAGGCTGCCGTACGTTATCCGCTCCTTTTTTCATCGAACGCTCCTTCTCGACTACCCGCTCGCCCGCAGCTCCTTCTGCTCTAAGCCATTCAAGCACATCGTCAACAGCTCACTTCCCGGGTGGCTTATCGAAAGAAAACTAGAATGAAGCGACTTATCGTTTTTCATGCACGTTATGTATCATTCATTTCTCGAGATTGGAACATATATGGCTTGGGTAGGCCCACATGCCGCTTAGGCAAACATGAATGTGAAGGACTTGAGCCCCAGTAACTGGACGGTCTGACGCCAGCCATAGTAACAGACTCCATGCGAATTGTCGATGAAGACATCACGATAGAAATTCAGCATATATATTATATCACAAAACCATCTCAAGCCGATTCTGAGGATACCACGTCCAACACATGATTGGCCAGGCAGGCATGGACTGAGAAAGACAGAATTCGGTTGGGGGATATAGGATGAGATTCTCGTCGGAGAAACTTACTACAGAGTACCAGCCCCCATATGATAGTTCTATTGGAATAGATTTGGTTTAAAATTTGGAGCTAATAAGGATAGAGTTGCTCTTGAATTCTGTCATTTTCCGTAGTGGTGGTCTCATAGCTGATGAAAGATATTGAAACTCGGCACATCTGGAGTTGTCAAATAGATGGTGGTATTTTTCAATAATCTTGTGTGAATCGCCTTTGTACAGACAGAATAACTCAGTGTCTGAGAAGGACGACTTCATCAATACATGCATCTCCATGTACAGGCAGCCACTCTCGGTAAGGAGTGCAGAGACTTCAGCTATGTAAGTGTGTCTTGGGATGCAATCTTGTCTGGAACCTATAAATTGACGTGTTCACTTTGTATCTATCTTTCTACACTTTTTAGTACTTAGACAAGTTTGCAACCATTATTTATGCTTGCAAATTGCACTTGTAGCTTTCCGCATCAGCCACATTCGACACACCAACAAGGATTCTTACATATAAAAGAGGTCGGCAACTTCACCATTGCATGAGATGAACATTTAAAGTGATATTCCACATCGACTCCACCGCTGATCTCGAAACAAATTGAAGTGCTTTGAGGAGGCTTGTCATCTGCATTGTACTATGGATTGTCTTAAATTGAATAATAACAGTGCTTAATTTCGAGAGCCTGTGGTGCATGTGGTTACGGTTTCAACAATAGGCCAGACCGTGGAGTCTAGGCATGATATCATTTGGACGGCATAACAGTCCTAGATGGGGGCAAAGAATCATCTGGGTCATCGATATCAGCCCAGAAAGACGATTATCCGTCAATTGGAACAAGACAGTATTAGACCAAGTCGCCTGTGCGCCCATGAAGGATTATGCGTGACATGCAGACCGTCTCTCAAAATATGTTATTGTCATGGGCAGCGGCTACTCTTGTGAGTCGTGAGATGTGAGGTATCACCTCCTTTAACACCGGACCGACTCCTGGCTTTCGTTTCCTTTGTCTTCCGTCGCCCTCGTTCCGGCACAAGCGAGGCAGCACGTGGGCATTATGGAAACCTTCTCGATCTTTTGATACCAAGGCTTGGGACAAAGAGGACGACCGTGTCGGAACAGGGTACTATATTTGGAGCTGTTCTCCTGGGAAAGTCGCAGACTCGGCGGCTGAGAGTCTTGATCGATGACAAATTTCTTGGGCCGCATCGCTTTGTCTTGTAACGGTATGGCAACACTTGAAGTTGGTCCATGAGGTTTCTAGAGGTTTCAATGCTGCTACATATCTGCTGCCTCCTCCCGATGGTGAGCATACTCTGGAGGCTGCTTCTGATGTTTCGAATCTATTGCTCCCTGAACTGACTGTACGGACCAAGCGTTGAAAGCCTTTTCCATCGCCATGAAATTTTACACCCTCTAACAACTTGTGTTGTGGTTTTTATTTGCTTGCTGATTGCTCACATTTGCTCTTTTATCACACGTCCCATCATCACCAGTCATCATTACAGTCTTGTCTCTTGAAGAGACCACAGGCCAACCTACCACCGATTTCTGCAACAACACTCAGAATATCTCTCCCCTCCAACTTCGCAAAATAATCCTCTTGGTGGTCCAACATCAGGATCCTTCAAATCGATGTGCTCTGAACCGCAATTTAAAATGCCGTGGGTCAACAACATGTCTAATAACACCTCGTCGCCGCCGCCGCAGCACCAACCGCTCGACATGAAGCCCTCCACAACCTCTTCACGCCAAGACACAGCACTAAAACCGCCACTACCACCAGCGGTTCCCTGTCCCTGGTTGTGGCGCTGCCACTCCTGCTACACAATCTACCGCCTGGCCGTGACCCGGCGGTGCCTAGACTGCGACCACACCTTCTGCCTAGGCGAGGCGATCGCGCCCGCCACAACCAGCAGGAAGCGCAAGCGCAACCGCGGCGGGCCGTGCAAGGCCGAGTTCGACTACACAGGGTGGAAGACCCGCGGCGCGTGGCGGCGGACTGTGCTGCTGAACGGGGCTGCCAGCGCCAGTCATGACGACGCCAGGGAGGACTGGGGTGACGAGCACGCGGCGGCCGCCGAGGACGACGGGGAGGAGTTGGAAGGGTTCGAGGCCAAGCGCGACGCATTGTTCCTGCGCAGGCGCCACGACTGCTGGGTGCACTGCGACTTCCCCAGCGAGTGCCACCACGCGCTCTTCCGCGCGCAGCAGGAGGGCCGTCCGATCCTCCGCGAGGCCGAGGCGCTGGACGCCGCGTTGCGGCAGGCGGAGGAGGAGGAGAATAGGGGGCGGACCAAGAAGCTCACCATCCTGGAGTACAAGCAGCGCCGGCTTGCGCGGCGCCAGAAGTCTACTGCGCGTCATGATAAGGACTTGTCGACTGTGGAGGAGGAGACGGAAGGTAGCGAGACGAACAACGAAGATGTCTCGCCCTGCTCGCCGACGCTGCCTGAGCCGCCGCGGGAGCTCATACGCGAGGTGTCGCCCATCGACGCCGAGCCTGTGTCCCCGAGCAGGGCATCTCTGGCCGTGACGGACACACCGGCCGACTTTGCGATCACGGCGGCGCCGCTCGACTTTGACGACTACAGCGACGACGAGGGCGACGACGAGTCGGAGCAGCGACGCACCAAGTCGCGCCGCAAGATCGCGCGGCTCACAGGCGAGGGGCTACAGTCATTTGCGCCCTTCGTGCTGGACACATCTGTATCATCGTCATCATCACGGCCGACCGCTCACATCGCGGAGAACGCAGGCCAGCTCACAGCCCACGAGCTTCAGGACGCGTACAGCGAGCGGGCCTGGTTCAGCTCCTCATCAAACCCTGAACCTCTTTCGCCCAAGAGCCCTGAGCGAATAGGCAAGCGGGACACGATGTTCGCGCTGCTGGGACGACGAAGCGGCGGCGGAGGGCCACCCAGCCCGACGCGTTCGTCTATTGACACCTCCACCACGCCTACAAGACAGCTCGCCCGGGAGCATCGGCCACGGGACCTGCAGCAGGCAGAGCAGCACCGCGCCGACGTAGGAGCAGCAGCGGGGGGCGAGGACTGGGAATCGTGGTCCGACTCGTCGTCATCATCCGCGTCATCCAACTCATCAGCAGTCTCACTCTGCTCATCATCGAGCAACGAAGGCGAGGGGGAGCAGCCACATGCCGCAGCAGCGCCAGCACCGCCGTTCATTGACGGCCCTGACGTGGATGGGGACGTCACCATGCGCGAGGCCGGTGCCCTGCCACTGTCTGAGCTGGCCAAGGACGTCGATGAGGATATGAATTCACCCGCGACGCCACTGGTCGAGCAAGGTGACGAGGAGGAGAGCCTTAGGGCCTTGCTTAGGATGCGCAACGCGTTCATGAGGGGAGAGATGATGTGATGATACGGCTGGTCCTTCATACTCCTCATAGCACGACGTCCGACAACGCCGACGCTTTTGCTTTTCTCATGTAGATCTGGCACTCTGGTCACAATCTATGGTTTTTAGAAATGGAACCGGAAGGAGAGGGAGCGACTGATTGCATATCTGCATTTACAACACGCCGTGCTTGCACTTCAAAGCGTGCTTTTGTTTGGAATTTTTCCTATTGTAATTTTCTTGCAGTCATTGATTTTGGAATGGTTTAGCAGTCGAGAAACAATAAAACTCAGCATTGCTCCTATTACTGTGTAGAGATATTTTGTCCTTAGCACACATACCTCCTGCTCCTGCCCCCTCCCCTCAAGGTCTTTGGACCACCTCCTGTTTTCCAATCATCCTGTAAACGCGCGAAGAAACCGAACAACGTTTGGAATCGGCAAGAGGAAAAAAATCTCTGTTGTTACACATCCGGCGCACTGCCTTTGCCCCGCAGCACAAGAGGCGGGCGAATCCGCGCACGAGGGCTTCAAAGACACAGCCTCTACGCGTCCAGGGCGGTGAGATGACCGCCAAGCAACATCATCCAAAATGACTGTCCCGTGCCCAGAAATCATCCCAGACTCTTGGTTCGCCCAGCCGCAAAAACGTCTTCCTCAAGCAAAAGTCCCCAGGGTAACGTGACGCCCCGCTGACAGGACGCGTCAGATCAGCCGTGCCGGGCGAAAAGTTGGAGAGTAAAAATCATCGTCAAAGATCATCGTCGTGGCCGGTGACTCCCAGTCGAATCTAGATGTTGACAAGTCTAAGCCTCCTGAGCCTTGAGCTTCTTCTTCTGCTCGACCTTGAGCAGGAGCGCACGGTTGATGTGTGGCAGGACACCGCCGAAAGCAATGGTAGCGCGGATCAGGGTGTCGAGCTCCTCGTCGCCACGGATAGCGAGCTGCAGGTGGCGAGGGGTGATACGCTTGACCTTGAGGTCCTTGGCCGCGTTCTGCGAAACGGAAATCGCGTCAGTATTGACAGTTGGTCATGGAGAATTAGGCAGCAGCAGAGTAGGTGCTGCAGTGCAACCATAAGAGGAATGGGGGCGACGAATGGATTACTCACGCCTGCGAGCTCGAGGACTTCGGCAGTAAGGTACTCAAGGACGGCGGTAACGTAGACAGCTGCCTTGGCGCCAACGCGCATCTTGTTCTGGGTGTTTGCCTTGAGGAAACGCTTAACACGGCCACAGGGGAACTGGAGGTGATGAGAGTCAGCAATCAGATCATGAGGCGCGATGATAGTGATAGGTCGATGCGGCACAGCACATCAGGGCGAGAGACGAGTTTCGATGCGGGTTACGCGATCCGGCGCAAGCCATGTTGACCTGACTGCGATGCCAAGTCCGCCGGTCATATCCATGAAAAGTCGAATCGAGGCTGGCAACAACAGTGTAAACGATGAGCGTGGCGTGCGCACGTCGCGTGCATGCCGATAAAATGCATGATCTTTTCGAGTAACGCTTTCTTTTATTGTTGTTGGCAGTGCACAGACGATGTTGAATAAGCTCGAAGGGGCTCTCAAGCGACGCGTCGAGCGGGCTGCTTCAAGTCGTGGACATGGCGTGCAGGATCGGTAAACGGCCTCTCGAAGTCGGATCGCGTGCGGTGGGACCGAGGGAGTCGACGACGAGGAGGTGATATAAAATGCAGATAGAATGTATCTGTGAGTCTTACCTGGAGACCAGCGCGGGCAGAGTGGCTCTGCTGCTTCTTCTGGCCCTCAGTGGCCGATGTCTTTCCACCTGAGCTCTTGCCGCCCGAAGACTTGCCCTTTCCACCGGCCATTGTGATGATGGTATTGTTTTTTTGTTGAACGGTTTGCGCGGGATGGACCTCTTGGATCTGGAATTCTGAATGCGATGTTGCTGAGTACGTGTGGTCGCGTTGTTATGCTGCTGTCGATGGTGGTGATGATGATAAGAGCTGTGGTGGGGGGTGGATGCGAAAGTTATGCGATGGGGTCGAAGTTTTCGGGGATGATGGGTTTGGGTTTGGATGGATGGAGTCGGGTCGCAGGCACAGGGCGTAGGTGCAGATGTTGGCGTTGGAGCGAGTGCTTGCACTAGAGTGTGTGAAAATCGAGGAGGCTGCAAAAGGTGCAGAATGCTGGTCGCCCGATGCTGGTCGGTGTCGGTCCTAGTGGTATTGGTGCTGGAGCTGCCCTGCCTAGGTGCAGCTGTGTGTCTGCTGGTTGCTTGCCTGGTTGCTGCTGGTTGCTGCTGGTTGCTGCCGGACAGGCGGGTGTAATTGGCCTGTTGCTCTGCTGTGTTGATTCACCCGCCCTCCCAAGGTTTGCAAGGCTCAAGCCAAACCAAAACAAGTGAGTGACTGAGTGGGCAGTGAGTGGGCAGCGGGCTGGTACCCTTCCCCTAGAGGAGAGACCACCCCCCCTAGCTGCTCACCCCCTCCCTCTCCCCTCTTCCAAGGTTTCCCGTGGCTCTTCACCTTTTCTGTTGGGCCGCCCTGGCTGCCTGGGTGGTCTGTCGCTTCTGCCACTACGGCGGACCCACTCGTGCCTGATGTGCAGTTCGAGGAGTTTGGATATGCTCGCAGTAGCAGTAGCAGCTGTCTGTCGGCGGGAAATGGAGGGCAACGCAGAGGGGATAACTAGCCCCATCGTCTGGCTGGAATACTCGAAAGTAGCATCAATCGAGAGGCCAGCTTCTGGTCTCCCTGACTGATGCCATCTTGAAGGGTGGAGAGGAGGGAAAGAAGAGTTACACGTACCATGCTTACCGGGTGTCTGTGGTCATTCGGCTGCCAGCAGCTCTGCCCGCAACGCTGTGACGCCGTCAGCGAGGGCAGCGATATTCCGCCGCACCGGCGGATGGGAGACAAAAAAGATGTTGAATGGACTTCTTGGGTGACCCTTGAGGCCCTTCAGACGGAATGGAACCGTGCCACGGCCTAGGTGCGGGTTTGGCTGTGGCCTCAATGAAGCCTTTGGGTCAAGAAGTGCTGCTTCGCTGACGATCCTCCAGAATCGCCTACTGGCAACCAAGGTGTGGCGCAACTGCCGGGTGTGGCGCACGGACTGTGGCTGATAGAGACAACCCGACAAAGAAGGCGGGGATGGTCTTGGAACGGGATTTGCACTCGTCCTCGAAGGGGCCCAAGCTCCCTGAAGCTGAGGCTCATCACTCAGCCTCAAGCCAACCTCACTTCTCCACATCGTGAGGTCCTCGTCAAAGTGTCAACTAGTTGGGCAATCTACTACTAACGCAATTCCGACCTGCCGCACTATTGCACATCGAGCTAGAGAATGTATTTTATTTTCCCTTTGCAATCTACACGTGGTGTTCTGGCCAATTTTATTTCATGTTCATCCACATACGCCTCTTGCTCGGGTTGGGTAGCAATTACGCGGTCACAAGCATGTTGGTGTTCTGGGCACACTGTTGAAAACTTGACATCGCATTATCTTCCCAACGTCATACAAATTGAATATAATCAGGGGCTAAATTTATGACAGTGAGGTCTTCAAATCCATCAATGCATTCCTCGCACGTTCATACGATAGTGACAACCGCTTCTTCTGCCGAATCGTACCAACTTCTGGGCAGGTTGAATATTGCCCCAACTCTTTCCATAAGTCCAGGAGATCGTGGTGATGAGCCCAGCACAAGTCCGACGTACTGCTTACCAATATGACCGACGAATGGACAACAAGCGATAAAGAACACTGCCGCAGTCACTTCCTCTTTGTCTGTGTCGATGCAGAAAGGTCCGGCTCGGCCCCGTCGCGCGTTTGCCCCATATGGTCCAGGCACCGTCTCGCGTGAGAGTGGCCCGTCAGTTCTGTAATGCTGGGGCTTGCTTGTCGAGCCATCTTCGAGCGTATAATACGCGTCATGTTCCAAGCGGCTGTCGAACTTCAGCCGGCACCGTCTGAGACGGCCCTGGAGTTTGATCACGCCCCCGGACACCTTCCCGTACGGATTGACTCCCTCAACTGTAACTTGCACGTCCAGAACCCTGGCCACGGGTTGCGGTATTTTCAGCTTCGTCCAGACCACCCCCCATCTCATAGACGCCCACGACCAAGTCGGCGGTCCCCCTTCCTTGTCGTTGTACGCTAGGGACTCACTGTGCTGCCCCGCAAGCACAAACCACGGCATCACCTGCCACATCAGATCGAGGAGCAACGTATCGGCCCACAATCCGGCCAGATACCGCCCATGCTGCGCCTGCGGCATCGTCACGGCCGCGCCGCTGATGGCCGGCAGCTTGTCACCGCCAAAGGTTAGCTGGCGCGACGTGAAGGACTTGACGAGCATGCGCCACTGGTCGGCCGGATCAGGGTGGCCCAAAGTGCCCGGAGCGGTGGATGGGTAAGGTGGCAACTGGTCCTCACCGCGTCGATGCGTCTTGCACTCGAAAATTAGTGATCCAGGGGTGAAATGCAGGTTTCGGGTGGCCAAGTAAGCTTCTTGGAAACACCAGCCACGGTTGTACAATGGGCCGACACGCTTGAGAGTTCCCCAGGATGTGGTGAACGGTGGCTCGAGGAGTCCTTGGTCCAAGGGTGCGGCTAGGACGGCCCGCTTTCGTGCTTTCACTGGGACGTTGACCCCTGGAGCAACAGGAAAGTTGAAGGTCTTGGTCAGCCACTCGTCTTCCCTGGGTCCAAGGAAGGGTGTCTCTGGATTGGGCGATGAAGATCCGGTGACGACGACGAAAGCTTTGCTGTAGACATCCGCCATCCTGGCAGCCTCCTGCTCCCAGTCTGTTGTATCATCTTGAATGATGCAGAGCGAGTCAATCCAGAGATACGGCAGCTGGAGCTCCTGTGTCACAATGATTGCGTCCTTGAAAGTGTTTGGAAGGTCTGCCACGTTGATATGCTTTTTGAAATCTTCCATCCGGGCTTTGAGCAGTGAGAGAGGTTTGCTTCCGCCCCAACAATGGCTGAGAGCCACATATGGCGGCTGTTCTTGCCAGGTGGTGGTTTCGCAGAGCCTGAGGGCAGCGTTTCCTCCCCCGACATACAAGAGGCGCGTGGGCACGAATGCTTCAGACATGCTCCTGCAAGCCCCATGCTCTGTACAGCATTGCCGGACACTGTCCTTGATGAAGCTCACGCAGATTTCGGAACGAGTGTCAGTCTGTCGAACATTCGCCGGGCCTATGGCCGGGAGACCAGGCATCGCGGGCGACAAACCCGATGGTACGGTGCTCAGAATCACAGTTGGGTCAAGGTAGATTTCCACATCTGAGCGTGCATCCTTCCAGTACTTGTCGTGAACAAAGCCTATGGTCGTGACGACAAGGGGCGCTCCCTGTCTGATCATCAGACCAAATGAAACCGGCATCGCATTGTGCGTCTCGGTAACCCAGCTCATCCACTCGTCGATGTAGAAGGCATCGAAGATATCACACAAAAGTCGGCAGTATCTGCAGTCCCTGAATGGTACGCCTGTCTGTTTGTCGATCTCTCGGCTTTTTAACAGCTTCTTGGTTGATAGGTCTTCCAGGTAGAGTGCAAGCACGCTGCCGCCTTGGACATTCTGACCAGGTCTGCCGTTCCGCTGGGCCCCTGACGGTGTCCAAACAAAGGTATTTTCATGGCCCTCGGGCTGAAGGTTGTTGCACAGAAGACACACTCCATTTTTGCTGCTGTTGTACTGCCGTTTGGCGTAGCGACCGAGCCAGACTGCGGTGTCGGCTGCAACGCCCGCGCCCTTGGCCAAGTCTCCGATTGCTTCGAGGAACTTTGGCATCGCTGCTGACCTCCAGGAACATGATCTTGGTGTTCATGACACTTGTTGCGAATTTACATGTCCGAGCGGAAGTGGCTGTCTGGGGGTTTATTGATTGTCGTCGAGATTCGTATCCAGACGCCAAGCCTCAGCCGCAATGCAAGATTCCAGAACCAGATAAGTGTTGCAAGTGCGCCACGTAGCTCACAAAGCGCTGTGGCTACTTCTCGTCCCCTGAAATAGAGAAAATCGTTCGCAAAGTCGCCCGCTGCAATGAAGAGCTTACAGACTAGAATTCTCAGCCTGTGAGTGAGTCAATTAGGGTTCATGTCTTGGAGGCAGCGGTGTACTCAATGTGCATGGCGTTGCAGTTCAGGGTACTTGACCGTGATTTACTGGCGCAATTGTCCACATGAGACCTCACCTGACAGCATGGTGGCGAGTGTAAGCGTGGGTACCCAGGACCAGGTTAGCGTTCAATGGATTGACAGCTGAACTAAAATACTGTGTACCGTCTAATGCAGCAAGACCGAGTCTAGCTAGTGTTTTGCCAGTGGCACCATGCTATCGCATTCAGCCTCATGGTATGATCAGCCTAGATTCTCTTTACAGAATGATTGACCGATTTACTGCCGCTGGACCCCTACACAATTATGCATTTATCTAGGAAGTGGTCTGAAGAATTCGCGGAAGTGACGCGAAAGGAAATGTTCGAGAGGGGGAAAGAAGACAAGGGAGAAAATTCACAGCCACCTGCGACCACCGACCTAGAAGAGTTAGCATGGAGCTTTGTCGGAAGTAGACATAGATGCCGCAGCTTACACGGGACCAAGCATACCGCATATGCTCCTAATTGCGCCTAAAAGTCTCCTTAAGCTTATCTTCATTAATATACCTCGCGACACCATCGACAGCCTATAAACAATACAGTTCCTCTAAATAGCTATGCTCTTACGCAAAGTGAAGGTATGTAATAATATTCTTATAGCAAGATCCCTTTAATTCTTTTTCGATGGAACTTTCAAGACCCGTACTCAGTAATATCCAGTATTCTTTTATTTCCTTTAGTTATGCCCTTAGTACTTGCTAGTGGGAAACCATGTGTATTTGAAGTTTGAATAGCTTAGCTATCAATAGCGATAGGCTCTGCACCTGCTGCGCTTGTGGCTTACATGGTGTAATAAGCTGTAGCTAGAGCTGAGTGTGACGACTGAGAGGGGTGTTGGTATTCTCCTGATGTTGCTGATATTGTGTAATTTAAAGATCATACAGTACTTGGGTTTCCTTCAGGTGGTGGAGGACATTCAGAGGCCTCCTTCTTCAAGGTGGAAGATGGGGAGACAGGTGGCAAGGAATGGATAGGTGACTTGGTCCGCCCGAGGGGTCGGAGGCACATGTAATGACCCATCTTTATAACTAATAGATGCACACCAAGGGGTGTTTGGAGATAAAGACCTGAATATTTGGAAGCTCTTGGCCCAGCCAGCCGCTCGCGCGGAGAGTATGGATTCAGCCATGGGGCGGACTTCTGGAAAAGAATGCCGCCCTCAAAATTGGCTCTGCATAGATTCTTAGATTGGAAAAACTGGGTATGTTATCTACTAGTCTTATGAGTCCAAACACGAACAAAAGAAATGGGCCAAGTGGTCTATCCAAACGCCGGTATTCGATCCTTGATAGAAACATGCCCAAGTCCCTTTTCACTAACATCTTGGGAATCCCCACCCAGACGATGATCCAGCGACGGCACTGCGCTTCCCATTGTCCTTCCAGCCTCAGGCTCACGATGTAATCTCCTCGAAGCCATGGTGACCGCAACATCAAATGCGTTCTGAGTACTGATGGGACTCGCGATGTTCTTGCCCACAATATCAAAAGCAGTTCCATGCGCCGGCGTGGCGATTACCACTGGCAGTCCACCCTGAACAGTGACCCCGCCGTCAAAGCCTAACAGCTTCATGGCGATCTGCCCTTGATCGTGGTACATGGTAACAATCCCGTCATATTTGTCCCGCTTCAGAAAGATGGTGTCGCAGGGGAAAGGCCCATCAACCGCGATCCCTTGTTCCTGTGCGGCCTCCACCGCTGGTTTTATGTGATCGATTTCATGGCGCCCGAAGTTGCCACACTCCCCGTTGTGCGGATTCAGTGCGCAAACTGCAAGACGAGGCTTTTCGATGCCGGATTCCCAGCTGATACAGTCGTTAGTGTACGTGGTCTCTCTCAAACATGTGCCTTGAGAGATAGACTAACCGCAATCTGTGAAGGAGCTCGATAGCTTTCAAAGTCGACTCCTTCGTGACCAAGCCAGCCACCTTTTCGATGCCAACATGGCTGGTCACACGCGCCGTCCAGAGGTCGCCACAGATGTTGATCTCGCTCGTGGTTCCGGTGAACGACAGCTGTTTCGCAAACCAGCGGAGCTCGTCTTCTTCGTGCATCCCAGCCGCCTTTAGCGAGGACTTGTTCAAAGGAGCGAACACGATGGCGTCCACATGGCCGTTTCGAGCCAGCTCAACGGCGCGCCTGAGCTGGTGCATTGTCCTTTGGCCGGCCGGCTGGCTGGCCTCTTGGGCCGGTATAGTGCCAAAGGACGATGAGCTCCTGTCGTCCAGGAGCCGTATGCTATCTGAACCGGCCTTGTGAGATATTGGCACTTCGACATTCCCAGCAGCCTGTATCGCACTGTCAAGCTCAGTCTGGTCGGCCAAGAGGAAGATGTCTGCGTTTTGTGTGTTTTTGGGGTCGCTGAGAAGTTTGGCAACGATCTCTGGTCCTATTCCTGCTGGGTCTCCGAGAGTGACAGCCACGCGGGGTCTCCTGCTTTGTGGGTGAGAAGGGCTGGTCATGGTGAATCTATGATGCTGAAGCTTATTATCTTAGACGCCGTCTCAACAACCATGTGTGCAGAGTTAAATATGTTAAAGGGGACGGCTCACCCAAGACTTCTTATCTCATTTCTGCGTGAGTACAATCCACATAACCTCGGGCCGTGATTCAATGCCTTGCATTGTTCCCCGATCAGCGACCTATATCGGCATTTTACCGACATGCCCCGATCGGTAAAACGCCGCAAGTTGCCGGCGTGAAACTATGCCAATCAGATTTCCCTCCTCTTCCCGCTAATAATCCCCACATGCAATGGCTTCCCCATGGAGAACCTGGAGCGCATCAGTGGAGAGCACAAAGCCATGGTAAGCGTCGAGAATTAGCAGCGAATAGACGTCGGTAGATCGCCGAGTAAGCGAGAGCCTAAATCAGGTCGACGGTGGAGAGCAGACATTGATACTCGAGTACAAGTAGCTCGTCACCGTAGCTCATCACCGCAACGAGCCCTCAATGAGCGTCTGATACCACATACCTTGTGCCTCGAGTGCGCTTTTTGTTCTGACGTGCATCAAAATGTCGAATTCAACAGAAATAGCCGTCCAAAAGGACGCAGCTCACATGGTTGAATGGGCCGATGACAGCAAACATCAGATTGACCAGCAAGAAGCACAACGCCTAGGAGCAGAATTCGATCCCAACTCTCCAGAGAACAAGAAGTTAGTTCGGAAACTTGACTGGCGGCTTGTGGCAAGTACCCTTGAGAGGTGTTGACGAGTATCGCACATGCCGTGACTGACATCGCGATCGCTCGCTACACATAGCCAAGTTGCTGGGCCCTCTACCTGCTGTCCAATGTCGATCGCGCGAACATAGGGAATGCCAAAACAGGAGGGCTCGAGGAAGATTTCAAGCTGACCTCCACGCAATACTCCATCATCGTACTAGTCTTCTTTACGTCCTACATTGTCTGCGAGGTTCCTTCTAATATGATCCTGGGGCGGGTGCGGCCCAGCGTTTATCTACCCACCCTCGCCATCCTCTGGGGTGTGGCTGCGGCGTGCCAAGGGGCGTGCCAGAATTGGCATCAGATTGTCGGCCTGAGGTTCCTGATCGGCTTCTTTGAGTCAGGATTCGCTCCCGGGTGCGCGTTCTACCTATCGTCTTGGTACAGGAAGTATGAGCTTGCATCGCGGTATGCGTGGCTGTACACTTCTGTTGCCGTCGCTGGCGCGGTCTCTGGCTTGCTGGCAGGTGTGATAACAGAGTTCATGGATGGCGCTGCCGGAATCGCCGGCTGGAGATGGCTTTTTGTGAGCATCATTGTCGCTACGCATACGGAATTGGCACACTGCCATGTTGCTAACCATGTTGTTCTTCACAGATCATCGAAGGCGTGGCGTCCATTGTTCTTGGCGTTGTTGTCATGTTCGTCATGCCAGACTACCCAACTTCCATCAACAGCAAATTCCTCACTAAGGAAGAGCGTATTTTGGCCTGCAATCGACTTGCAATCGACGGCATGGGGCTTGCGCAAGGTGCGCAGCAGAGGGTTGGGGAGTGGACGGCATTGAAAATGACAATCAGGGATTGGAGAACGTGGTGTCTCTGCTTCTTGTTCGTCATGGGAACTGGTAGCCAGACCATACAATATTTTATCCCGTCGCTGGTGGAGACCTTTGGATGGAAAGGTCACTATGCTCAATGTGTGCACACCTCACACCCACCCTTAAGATTATCTGCTGACTGCATACTAGATATGACTATTCCTGGATACGCCTTTGCTGTAGTATGCATCCTCGTCGGTTGTTTCACTGCTGACTGGCTCAAGACAATATGGCCAGTCCTTACAGTGATGTCTGGCTCAGGATTTGTCTTCTTTGTTGCTACCACAACAGCGACCGATGGCATGGTCAGATATGTCTTGGCCATTTTCGCTTTTGGGACCATCTATGGCTGTTCTCCCCTCACCAAGACATGGATCTCACATGTTCTGTCGCATCCGTCCGAGAAGCGAGCAGTTGCGATCGCTTTGATCAATGCACTCGGCAACGGTTCGTCCATCTACGGATCATTCTTGTGGCCGGATAAGGACTCGCCTAGGTTCACACCTGGTTTCGCGTATGTGACATCCGGACCTAGAGTACGAAATTACGAAAATACCGTAAGCTGACCTTTCTGTAGGACAACAACAGCATGGATGGGAGCATTAGCGGTTGGGACAGTTGTCTCAGCGTGGCTTTTCAAGAGATATCCTTCTCAGGCCCAAAATCACGAGGCAGTGATGGCCAGCCAGTTGCGAGCCGAGCGTGAGCAGCAGCAGAAGATATCGGGACATGTCTGAGCAGTAGTTATGGAAATTAAACAATATGCATTATCCGTTTGAGATATCATAATGAACGAAACGAGTCCCTGCTCTGCATCTCGTAGCCCTGAAACCGAGAGAAACCTGTGCCTGCGGGAGAGTACTGGTTGCTGTAGTCAAGGAGGTCGTAGCCCATGCCCGTCGACCAGAGCCCATCATTTTGAAAGCCCCATCCCCCAAAAAGATCCGGTGAGTCGGCCGAAACATTGGAGGACCGATCAAAATTGGAGTGAACGCGATTATCCCCCGGCATCGGGGCAGCACCCTCCCGTTGGGATTGGGTTCTTGACGTCCCTGAAAGAGTACTTTCATGTGAATCCATGGCCCCCGAGCCCTGCTGTCGCCTCGCCTGCGCCTTTTTCATCTGTCTCAACATGCGCTCGAAGCCATCTGCCATACTGTATACCATGTGGTTCTTTCCGGCTGTGCACGACCTCAAGAGCTTGATAATGTTCTTGATCAATGGTTCTGTACACGTTGCTGGGTCCACTGTGATACCGATAGCTGGCCATCGATGGGCCAGTTTGGTGAGGAACGCAACGGCGAAGGCGATCATCGAATGCATATACAAAGGCATGCCTACTATTGCGTCGTGGTAGCTTGGCTCATCAAGGAAGTGCTGCAGTATCGCATGACCTGTGTCTACCGCCCTGAGCGCCAAAGGACGAAGAGCAACAGGTAGCTCAGAGAGTCTGTCCAACGGCCTGCCTCGGAGAACCAGTGAGTTTAGGACGAGGTTGCTGAACAGAAACTGGAGAGTTATGTCTCTTGAGTAGGATCCATTATGAAAACGGGATGACGAGGCGCGCTCATTTTGGTCCATTGGTTGGGAGACCACGAGCCATTTATCTCTCCAGGCACGAATTTCTTCTGTGAAGCGGAGGTGGTTGAGTACGTTGTCATCGGATCCTGCCATTATGCGTTTTGGCTCCAGGCCAAAATGATCAAAAGCCCTGCTTAGGATGGCAAGTCCAGTGACCTGCGCCAGAAGCGCCGTATCCGAGTTGATGCAGTCTGCCGAGCTGAGAAGTAGCTCATAGTCTTTGATAGGCCTGAGCGCTGACTTCATCGGGGGTCGTCCATGGGCAATACCTGACTGGTGATCGAGTACGTAGAGCAGATACCATAGACGGGCCTTCTCCAAGCACTCTTTTCGTGCTTCTGCAGTCATGCTGTGGCTGTTCTGATCGCTGTTGAAGGCTTCGTAGAAAGCATGGTGTAGATTCAGCTCAGTAGCCATTCTGATGCTCAAGCCCGATAGCTTCCAGCTAAGATCAGGTTGCCAAAGCGCAGCGATGCAAAGGCCCCGAATATCATCGAGTGTCAGGAAGCGATCGAACATGACCGAAGAGACTAGTCCCATGAAGCGTGAATGACACATCTCGTGCACCAACTCCTTGCCTGGAATATGGAGCGAAGTGACTAGCATCAATGACGTGAAGAGCACCGTGGATGAGCTGCGGATGGACTCAAGAGTTGCTTGGGATGATATGCTTGCAGAGAAGAGGTGGCGAGATTGCATTCTCCTAAAGAGCGCTAGCATCTCTTCTGCTTCCTCAAAGGAGATGATCTTCTCTGAAACTAGGTCGCAATCCATACGCCGCATGCCTCCTTTCTTCCGCAGCTTTCCAGACCGGAGCTGACTTCGGAGCCCGTTAAGTCTGGTAGCTTCGATAAGGCTCTTCATCGGGTCTGGGGAGACGTTTCGCTCGCGGGTCTCCTTCTCCGCGGCTGGTTCTTCTGAATGCTGCCGCGTCTCCTGCAGAGGCTGATGCGCATCTACGACTGCAGGCTGAGAGTACAGGTCAATATGCGGCATTCCGAGCTTGTCTAGGATGTCTTCGACAGCTCTTGATAGCTTGACTATTGTCATCTGTGTCTGCCTGCGCGCTGGAGATCAGCAAGTGGCGGTATAAACAGCTGTGGTTGCTGGATGGCTGAAAGATATGGGTCGATGCTCGACTCACAGGGTGCTTCCACATTCATATCGTTCTGCGAGCTTGACCAATTGGGAGGCTTCATCATCGACCGTGTCACCCGTAGTCCAGGACTTCTTTTGTCGCAGACAGACGATGTCGAGCCGGAGGCATCGTGCGCATCGATTGGAGGCACGGCCTTCCTCGGCCGTGACACACTTAACCTTGACCTTGCGACAATTTGCGCATGCCTTACTTTGTCTCACTGTATTGACATGGGCATCTTCATCTCCACTGACGGTGGAGGCAAGCGTCTTCTGTCGCTTTCGGGGATGCTCGGTCTGCTCTGGCGAGGAGCCTCGATCTGCGGGCCGAAAGCTCATCGTCCGTCGGGTTGCCGTGCGTGCGCCGAATGAACCGCTTAAGCCTCTGACCAGTGGTAGCAACAGCTTTAATTGACCGATTACGCGTAATTGACCCAAAAAAATCTGGGTGTGTGGATTGAGGTCGGTGTTTTGCCGATGTCGAGCACATCCAGTTTGCGGTGCCCAGACCGAGCTTGGGTGTCTCGTCGGCCAGGGAAAATGCGGGGGTGCCGGATCCAAAGCCGATTGACTTTCACGCCAGACAGTGTCGTGTGAGAGCTCAAATTTGGCATGCTTAATAATGAAACTCGAAATGGGAACAATGCCTGAGGGCTGTAGACACGTGGTAGATATTTTCAACAAGTTGAATCGAGGTAGATATCGATCTGTAATGTCGCAGAATCTATACTGTCTTGCTGCGCCGAGCTTGTTCTGCTAGAGAGATTCACGAGTCGACGATTGAGGAAAGGATGGTTAAAATAAAGGGAAAATGTCTGTCGCGACGCATTCCTTTGCAAATCCAGCTATTTCCGTGAAGAAGCAAGTGTCAGTTTCGGAATCGGCGCGCCCTTGATGAGATAAAGAGTTACATGTGATCTCTGAGATTATCTTGAAATGTCATAACCCAACCATGGCAAGATCATACTGGCAAGGAAACCTGGATAATCCTCACCAAAAAGAGTCTAGTCAAATGTGCAAGATAGTCTGTCTGGTCACTTGCACCCGGGTCTATTCAGACTTGGTCCCGCTGAAGTAGTCATTCATGCAAGCGTGAGGTTGCATTGATGTTGGCGTCTCGAGGGCTGTTAGACAAAAGTTGGTTCTAGTAATTGAGTAACGTCGGTAATACATGGGAATCATCACGATGACTAACAACTTACCCGTTAACAATTCAGATGAGACGATAGATAATCATAATTAGTCCGCAAGAAGAAACTATATAAAGGCCGAGGACTAAAGATGCTCAGCCATACGACATCTTCTAGCTACAATGAGGGTGTGGAATATTCGAAAGCAAAATTGACAAATCAAAGCCTTTCGAGAGGCTGGACTGCGGAAATCGACCTGGATCTATCTGACAGAAGAGGCCGTGACTGACTGCATAATGGCATGCGTGTCTCAACTGGTTTACTCGTGAATGCATGGGACGTCTTTGAAATATCCACATGTACCTCTGTCGAACCCTTCTTTGATCGTCTCGATGTTTGTGGCAAGCCCATTAACCCAAGTCAAGTACGCGGTATTGTCCTGAGTCTCCGGGTTAGCACAGAAATAAATCGTCGGTTTTAACTCCAGGAAAGGAGTAGAAAACACATACATCTCCCAGGTCGCAATGGAACCTGGATTTGACGGACTTCCACCGAGTGACCGCATCGTAAACTGAGCGACCACATCTTCTAGGATCACGAGCGATGTTTGTCTCGTCGAATATATGGTCATTGGGAATACGCACTCTGCATTTCAGGAGGCCCCAAGACTTATGACATACGCAACTGGCTGCCGAAGCGGTCTCTGGGCGAAGTCACAAATTAGCACAGACATGATCCGGTTTTGTTATAAACATTCACAAACGGCCAATAATCTCTTTCAGAAGATGCTGGGGTCTAATTTGGCGTGCAGAGGAAAGCGACGAGGTCGTTTATGTATATAAAATGTGAAAAGAAAAGAGGTGGGGGCGAAATAAACCCAAAAGCACCGGGTGGTGAGATGGAGAATAGATTTGGGTAATGGGTCAAAGAATCTTCTCAAGTCTTACTGAAATCCCACCTTGGATCCTCATCGACCCTGTGTTTCAACTTTCGACAGTCTGGCGTTGTGTCCAGAATCACAGGATTCAAGGTGGTAATTGTTTGAGCTGCCACATCACCAGCCGTCGCACGATCTGTGTCAGATGGCGCATGAGTCTCGATAGATCTTGCACTGCCCTGTGCCTAGATAGAAAATGATTAGACTCAAGGTAATTCGGGAGTATGTCGAAAGATGGGTCTTGAGCTACCTACCAGTATAGCGCAGTAAATGAAATGGTATACGAGAACAACCTTCATGATGGACGTTGTATGGATAGAATACAATTATCAGCTTGCTGGCGCTTGACTTTTATTGAAAGTGGTGTAATATAGCTTGACCCACGACCTGTTGACAAGTGATCGCCAATGATAAAATTTGAGAAGATGAAGTTCTTGAGGGTCGAGTAGAGCGGGTTGACTGTAATTAAATCCTCCTCTATCACATAGTACAATTGCTTCATATGACTCGATGAGATCATCATCTGGAAAGTAATCATGGTATCATCATACAAGTCAATTATACGAAGTTTGGAACACGAACCCCATCGCCGATCTGAGAATGCCCAAAAAGGTCTCGCGGCACTTTCGGATATGATGGTGTGGCCCCTACGTGATCTTATTCACGAGGATATCTCAAGCTGTATCATACGAGCAGGGCCCGGTGTAGCACTGAGGCTTTTCGAAAATCTTGGGACGAGGCCGAAAGAGAACCAATTGACCGCAGATCGACCATTTTTCAGTGAATTGATTGAAGAAGCTAGAATTATGTGCACATTTGAGTCGAATTGACGAGAGATCTCCCTGTGGCTGTGAGATTTACACTACTACGACATGATGGTATATAGAACTAATCGTCGCTATGAGGTCAGCATCTTGGACAACTTCCAATCGACCAAAGAACGGGCCTTCCGCACTGCGATTCAACCTCGACCTAGCTTGTGTCCTACGTGCCTGTGTACCCGTGCTCTTCGTGATTTGAAGTCACCGTGGGTCAACGCTTCATCCCTGGGTGAAGGTTTTCACAGCAGGCAGACCAGGTGTCTTCCATTTCAAGACATAGTGCTGTTTTCAAACTTAAAACTCCATGAGTATAAACTGGCAGTAATATTTGGCACACGATCGGCCTCGCGATCCTCATCATGCTGCTTTTTGGGTTTCTCGCGCCTGGTATTCGGCTCATAGTCCAAGCACTGAAAGCGGATTTGACAAGGACTCCTACTGCTATGAGGCACTCACTATATCCCGTCTGATGTGCTCACTAATGAAATGGAAATAATTCTAACTTAGCCGTTTGTACTTCGTATGAGTGACATTACGCTAAGAAAACCCCGAGTCAAGGCATCGGTGCGTGAGACGCGCACTAAAAAGACTAGAGCTTCTTCCCCACGATTCACAACAGTCAGATACCTGGATAGCTTGAACCCCGACCTCCTGGTTCGTTTACATAGGCCAATACTCAGGGCGATAACACCGTCGGCTGGTAAGCCTAGCCCGCGCCGGACCATGGCGTTGGTCTTTGGAACGCTTCACAGCACTGTGCTTTTTTTTTCTTTTTTGTGCCGTAGTCAAGGTTGATCTCGTCAATTCCACCTAAATATCTCAGCGCCAATGCTCCCGAGGTCTTGTGTGTCATTCATAGATCATGTCGGATTGTACTACGTACGAACTGAATTCTTGGTCTGCCTTTCCAATTTCATAACCGAGGCCAGGCATGTGAGGGAACATGTGTTCCAGATGTTAGAGAACGCGACAAAGCGTTGAGGAGGCTGCTACTTCCAGATCGACCATGACGTGGTGTGGTCCGGCTCGCGCCAGATTTGAGATGTATGATCACTCGACTGTAAATGAGTCGCGGTGTATACCTACTGAGGTAGGCCGTTTCTCGTAGTCTCATCACGATGAGTCTTGATTGACGCACGCGCCAGAACTCGGAGGCAAATCGATCTAAAAGAGTGATTTCCGGCTCAAGGGGGGGCTCGAGAAATCGTGACTGATGAAAGCATATTTGATGGTGGGCACATTCTCTGGTTGATGCATAGTAAGACTCCCAATTGAAAATACCTCTTCTATCGAGAAGCTTCTGACACTGTTGTCAGCCCTCGATAGGAACACAGCAAAATGCTCGGCAATTCTACCACTTCAATCGGGGTATACGATGACACGAGGCTGCATGTGCGGCAAGCTGAGTGGATGGCCGTTCTCGGCCTCGCCCTCGGCATCATCGGACTACTCCAGAGCGGACTTTTCGTCTACTCGGCCATAATGGGTTTGGGAAAAGGACAGGGCGACCCCGGCGTGCCACCGGAGTGGGGAAAACCATGGCCGTTTACCATTGCCACTGGCTTAGAGGGCCCCAAAGTAAATGCGAGTGAACCTCTCCGCGGCTCGGGAGGGCCGTTCCCAGAGATACATTTATTGTGAGTTGTTTACGCATGATCAATCATAAGAATGACCCGAATAGCCACAACGGGGATGTACTGAAAGTCTAATGTAATCTCCGAGGGCACATCAATAATCGAGTCTGGGATTCACTGCCTTCATAATATGAATCTGCTAACATAGCCCTCGGCAGCAACGACGTCGGAGACTACATTGGTATTTCAAAAGATAGGAACGCGTACATCGGGCCGAACATGCCGCGTGCCTTGAACATATACCCGATCAATCGAAAGGAGCACGAATTTCAATACGCGACGTTTGCCATATTGGAAGCTAAAGGTCGTGGTCGAGATCCTTTATGTATTGTGGATCTTGGAATCGGCTCGCCGAATGTGAGTATGCATCCTGTCCTCAGGGATGCGGATCCAGTCTCGCAACAACTGGAGGCTCTCACGAAACAGTTCTGCGGAGTTCGTCGCCAGGTAACATTATCATCATGTTAACTAACACTCGAATGGTACAGGCAATTGAAAAGGAGGGGGCCTCAGTTTTCAATGCCTATACAGCGCGCTCTTGCGGAGCCGCCTGGGTAGGTCTCACACCCCATTTAGCAACCGCGTGAACACATTGTATTTAATGCGAGTATAGTATCATAGCGGGGTATATCGCAAGGGAGAAAACGGACGCAAAAGTCTCACTCCTTGCTTTTGGCTTGGGGGATATAACGTGCAAGGTATGCAGGTACATCTGCCGTCGCACACTTCTGAACAGACCCACATCCCCATGGACATTATCAACGCGACCACCGAAAGTGCGCACGACTTTTTTTGTAACCGCCCTGCCGTTCTGAGCTTCTGGTCAAGGTTGCCAGATAAGCACAAGGTCCCCGGTCTCCTGGTCACTGATTTAGGCAAGCGGGGCGAGAAGACTCTCAATGATACTCTGAGGGAACACGAGGGCAAGGAGAAGCCTGGGAGGCCAACGCCGCGAGGCAGCGTCCTGTCTCCGCACGAGGACACAATCACCATTGCGCGCAAGCTACCATCGCACGGCCTGTCGGCCATTGAACTCTGCGAGGATGCGTTGTCGAGGGGGCCCGATTATGTCAATCTCCCAGAGGGCAAGTTTTGCCGCATGTCAGATAAGACGCTGTGGCCCACGTGTGACTACCACTCTCCGGATGGGCAGAGAGACAATTGCTTTGACGCGGGGTCCAGACAGCTGGTCATTGGGGGCAAGGTGACGCGTAGCAAGCCGTACTCGAGGGAGATCAACTATCCTCTAGAGTGAGCCTCACATTCTTTTCAAAATGTCTCGGAAATACGATTTAGTCTGGTGAGAGAACTAGTACATGTATTTAATATGATAATTCTGTATTCACATGTCCAACATAAGATCGTCAAGCTTGTATAGCAGTGCCCTGTTAATGTTTGTGACCATTGCGCCTAGGATTCGCGATACTCTGATCACGAATGAGAGTTGGCTGTGAATAGATTATATAATTATAGACATTGTAATATTATGGCCCGAACGAAAAGTTCCGAACTGAACCCACCTAGGTAAGCCTAGCCCGACTGCCTGGAGCCGGTACTTCTCATGTAGAGAACGCACGACACTTTATTCAAAGACTGAATATGATTTCAACTTGGACCATCAAGGCCAGAAAATCAACTGTGAGGAGTGTGGTTCAGCCTGCAGAATGTCTCCCCATTCTGACGGGCGGATGGTTTCCTCCGGCATGGCTTGAGCTTGATGTGGCCAGTCTTCGCGCAAGTGTCACGCGAGAAATGTCAATTGGTGCAGTTGAGGATGATTTCAAGGTATGCTGTATGCTATTTATGTCCACCATTGACCACCAGACTTCGTATGTGCTCTGCTTTGTATGCGGCTAAGGGATTCTTGATGCATGGGTATCATTTACGTTTCTCAATTCCCCAAGCCACCAAGCCCATGCTCCCATGCCACTTTACAAAACCTTTGACATAACAGACTCCGCCCACCCAAATTCCCAGGCGCGCCTTTCACGTGGTTTGAAATGTACATGTCTGCCTCCGTATGCTGAAACCCCGATCCCATCCATTCAGTCAGTAAACGCCGTACAATCGCCGGTGTCGTCGAGAATGACACTGTCTTTAGATCATCTATAGTCGGGCGGAAACTTGCGCTCGGCGTGTTGAGGGTACGTCCAGAAAATCAAAGCTGTCAATACCGGGTTCATAAACCTCCTCCAGATTGGTATTCGCGGGACATAGTGTCTGGTTCGGTCGTACTCGCTTATTAGGACGACATTTCCGACAATGTTCAAGACCCTGAACAGCATATTTACACCAATCAAGACCAAGGTGGCTATCGCTGACTTTGTTGGGGCTCCATCCCCAAGCCTGTTGGAGATTGAGTAGACGGGAGCAATCTGTTTGATGTGTTAGCTTAGCCAGCCTGGCCCCTTCACATCGTGCCTGAGATAACCCTCGAGGAAACAAAAACAGCACGCAAGACTCACCCATAGTCCTACGATGGCAACCTCGAGGAATAACGCTACATGATAGGTCCTGACCTTGTTGCCCCGGAACATGATCAGGACGATGCAGAACCACATGAGGAGGAATCCGACGATGGTAGGGGCGAGCACCAGCTTGTCCCCTCTAAAGTAGTGCCAGCAAAGACCCGAGCCCGCTATGCCGAGAAAGAACTGGACCCAACCAAGCAAGAAGAAGGCGAGCAGCACGATGGCGTAACGATCGTAGCACCTCTTGTGGAACTGCGGGTGTCCGGTAGAGCTGTCGTTTGTGATGGGCCATCCACACCACCGACAAGTCCAGTAGTCGGTAAAATTGCCCAAGGTCGTCTTCCTGCCAATCCTAACCGTACCGTCGCGGCTCTGTACGGTGCACTTGACGCACCGCGACGACAGAGGGTACCCAGCATCGAAGGGAGTCGTGATGAGCCGAGTGACATCTCGAGGGCAGTAGGTGAGGCATACTCGGCAGTGGCGGATGAGGATGGCGCGGAAGGTATCGGGCCCCCATATGCTCCGAACCAGGCGGGGTGTGGCAAAGTTGTACCAGTATTTGCATGAGCGGCGCAAGCGCTCGATGTCTCCGAAGTCCAGGTGTTGCAGGATGACGATTTGTATTTCTGCAGGCAGGGTCATAAAGCTCCTGGGCTCCTCAGGCGTGGCCGGGCGGGTGGCAGAAACGTTTGACGCGTCTGTGCTTTTCCGGATGGTGCTCCATCTTCGAAACTTTTCGAGGCCTGGAGTAGATGGGGCGGACTCCAAGTCCCATTCGCTGCGTGCTGGTGACAGAGGCTCGGTGATGAAGGTAATGGTCTTACGAATACCATTGGCCACGCGAGCAGGCGATATTCGATGGAAAGGTCCGACATCCGAGGCATGCGGTTGCGTGGCTGCGTTGAGATCCATTCTTGAGGCCAAGCTAGCCGAAGCCAACAGGATGGATGGTTTTGCTTAACAGGGCGTAGGACCGGGCGGTGACATCCATGGATCGTCCAAAGCGATACTGTGGCCGCAGAAGGTGAGGCTATCGTGTGAGGCAGTTCCCAGGCAGGGAGGTGGGATGCCGTGGGGCCGATATGGTGTTCAGCTAGAGTATCGTGACGCAAATGGAAGAGAATACAACAGTTTCGAGTTAGGTTTGTTAGGTCTTCATCGAAGGCAGCAGGCTCCAGTGAGGCGCAACTTGAGCCGAGAATGAGATGGAAAGTGGCCTGAATCGGATGGAGGAAATGCGACGTCGCACGTGCTCTTGGCTACCATCTGAGGTCCGTACTGAATATCCAGCTGGACTTAGATGGAAGGCTCCTCGAGGCCTGAGGCGTGATGCTTGAGGGTCGAGAGCCAATATGCCTGGGGGTGACGGTTGTCGCGATGATGCCTGCTGCCCCGCGGGAGGGATTGCCCGTGGTGGGGTGTGGGATGTCTGTGTCGGGGCAAACCTTGCCACGGTCAGGCCTATGAGGGATGGGAGACAAGGGCGATGAAACAATGCTCGGTAACGCTGCAACTTGTACCGAAACCGGTGGCCGTGTGAGCTGGCGTGGCAAGCTGATCGTGCTCGTAGGAATTGAACTTAAAAGTCGATGCAGGTGGTGATGTTCTGAGGTAGTGCAGCCTGAAGTTGAACTGCAGTGAGACTACGACGTAGGTTAGAGTAGCCTGAGGTTAGTAGAGTGGGGTTGAGATAGGCGAAGATGAGGTAAGAATGGCGAGGACGGTGGCATGGAAGGGGTAAGGAACAGAAACAAACAAGAGCAGACAAGAGCAGACAAGAGCGGGGCATCCTTGCTTGACAGGAGGCCCAGCCGGGATGAGCACTCCTGTGAAAGGAACGCCTCTGGTCAAGTGTGGTCAGCTTCCCCTGCCGTTGTCCGTGTAACAACACCAACAACCACAAGCTTAGCTTGGCCCAGGCAAGCGAGCAGAAGTAAGCCGGAAACGAGCATTAGTTCCTGCTTATCCGTGGATAGTCCAGTGTCTAGTGCAGGCAGTGGCCATGTACATTGTCACATGTACCTTCACTCGAGACTTCTTTCTCAACCTCAACCTCAACCTCGAGGGCTCATCCTCATCGACATCCCGACTAAGATTGCCACCAAACACACTACATTGATACGTACGTACCGAGGACTGGTCAATAAATCTCTCAATTGGACATATCCCTCTCTACGTCGCGTCGTGCGATCCAACGTTTCGACGGTACTTCGCATGCTGCCATCTGCGACTCCGCCAAGCTGTCTCGAGTCTCGACATAGCACTCCCGCCGTCCCGGTACCACAGGGGACCACCAGCCAAGCTCCGACAACCGGCCACCGAGCTTGAGGAAAGCCTCATGTTTGCTGGGCAGTGGGCACCTGCAGAGGCGTTGTCCCGACCGACTCATCTGGGGATCTGAGTGGGAAAAGTCAATTGCTCGACTGCATGGCTGGATGGATGCACGCTCGGGACCTGGCTGCGACCAAGACCCGTGAAACAAACGCATGGACGAGAGAACACTTGACTTGTTTTCGATTCTTCTTCTTTCCTCCTTCTCAGTCATTTAGGTGGACGGGCTACCTAGGTACCCCAACGGCTCTATCGCCAATCACTTCAGTCACTATGAACATATCACTGAAAATTAGGACGATCTTCATACGGTTTGCATATTCCACAAAGCCCTGTCAGCAAAGCCCTGTTAGCAAAACGTTGTAGGACGTTGTTGTGTAGGCTTGCACGCTTGTTCTCGAGAAAAAGGAACATACATTTATTTATCCTAACATTAGATGTCGATTGATGCATGAGATTGTCTACGAGTACATGTACATGCAGCACCTCTAGCTACGAATCAACTATGCCTTACATCCTCCAGTCTGCCCATCATCAAATCTCCGAGCACCAGCAGCCGGCTCGCAGCGTATGAGGGCAGCCCCCTTACCTCCAGCCGGCACGCTAGAAAGCTTCTTCCGCCCTGGTCGAAATTCTATTTTGATAGATGCCAAGTTGTTCTGGGACATTCCTTCTCAAACCCTGTCATATCAGATTTGACTCAATAACTCTCCACGTCTTGTGCCCATTGATGGAAACAACGTGAGGCGAGTCCGCCAGATGATGTTGAGAGCTTCTGGGTGCTTGTTATGTGGTAAAAAAAAGTGCGCAACTAAGACTTGTCGACCAAGGTGTACTTGACCGTCTTAGCACTAGCACTGACGCGGAGCACGTAGTGTACTAAGCTAGCTAGCTTACAAACTCCTTCACAGAAAGGTCCCGAGACCTGTTGAACACGTGTTGGAAAGCAAGCCAATTCATCAACTGGAAGAAAAATGATTCATTTATTCACATTAGCTAACTATCTTAAGACTTGTAAAGCCCAACCCCATAAGATGTGCCGCGTAGTGAAGCAGCTAGGTACTACACTCATGGAGTTCATCCTGTTTATCTCTTGGTCTCACACGCGCCGCAAACATATCCACACGCCGCCTGGCACTGATTGCGGCAGTACCCTCCGCCACAACTCGACTGGCAGTAACTACTACACCCAGTGCCCGAGCATACGCTGGAGCACGAGGGCGGATCGATACGCCTGGTACCGGTACCTCTCTCGGCCCCTAGCGCCTGGCGACGACTCGGATCGGAGCATCCATGAAGTGGCTTATATGGCACACCATACTTCTCGAAGTAAATCTTCTCCGCATTGAAGGCTGCTTGGTTGAGGGTAGACTCGTCGAGGTTGTCATCGTGATGAACAAATCGCCCGTTGGTCATCTGACGAGAGTAAGAGCGGTACTGCTTGGGTGACAGCTGATGAGTATGCCTGGAAACCAGGTCAGTATTCGCCTTGTCTGTGGCATGGGATGTAATGCCGATCTATGAGATGGAAACTCACCAGACCAGGTCAATCGCTAGCGTTGGACAGAAACTAAAGCCTGGGTTTTCGGCGATGAGCGTGAAGAATTCCACGTAGCGGTCGACCGCTGAGTCCAGAAATGCCTTTACGAGTTCCTCGTGGCGCCACGCAGCATCAAACATCTTCTCTGTAAACTTCAGCTGTCGTTGCACTGCGGCCACCATGTCGAAGTCGGTCGTAATTGATACCTCACCTTGCTTGAGTGTGTGTGGTTTGTCAACGTCATCCCATGAAGCAAGGATGTCGACAATTCCATCGTAGTCTAAGTCCAGCTTGAGCTTCTAAAATGGGAGACAAATGTCAGCGCGTGAACATGGGGCGGAGTCGATTGGGACAAATCAACGTGGGCGACATCTTACCAGGTCCTTCCAGTCAATGCCCTTTCCCGCCATCCGGCCTCGCAGTGTCTCGTCTTCGAATTTCGCGTAAGCCTTCGTATTCAACATAAATGTGTGCCATATCATGAGGATGTCAAGTGGAGGAATAGATATGGTCTCCTCGGAGACGTCAACATTCTCGGACCACCCGAGAAACTTGGCAGCGGCTGCCTGACAAAATTGGTCCCAGGCTTTCCCACCTTCCATTCCCTTCTCTTGAGCTTGATCGTTGATCCCATTCTTTAGAGTGATGATCGCGTCGAGGAGTTTCAGATGTGTGAGTAGCTCAAACTGACTTGGGAGAGGCGGCGAAGTCGCCACCATGGGCTGTAACTTGATCTGAGGCTTAGACGGCGTGACTTGATTTTCCGCGTCTTTGATGCCATCGCATGGCTTCGAATTACTTGTAGAAATCATGGTCCGAGTCCAGTCCTATGAAAGTAAAAATTATTGATGAAAGGGTTCAGATGAAAATGTAGGGTTTGTGGTTTTCCATGAAACTCCATCTTCTCGCTGCTAGAAAGTCGGACGATTTAAATAGGTATTGAATTATGACACTTTCCACACTGATTTGTTGAGAATCAATCCATCGCCTGAGGGAGTCACAATCCTTTTGTGACAGGGCCTGATTTGTGACTTCACGTGGTTCCTTGCTGGCTGAACTGTGTACATGGAAGCTGCTATGAGTTCGGCTTGTTCACAAAAAAGACAGCCGCGAGGGAGTTGTTACTGTGAGACAGCCTATCTTTCAACGTTGGCCGCAAATGAGACCATTTTGACCACAGGCGACAGGGGCTGGAAGGCCCTGCTGGGATACAAACCGGCGCTTGATTGCTGTCTTTGACCACCATCGACCTTTGAACAGGCAAGCCGAAACTTGATCCCGTGAAGACAAGTTGAACGCCATCCATAGGTCTCTAACGAAACAAACAAAATAATCAAATAGCACAGAACGCAAGACTTGGGTCTGGGCCTGAAATCTCATGATTCTGGTCACGTTGAAATAACACGAGGTTTACAATTCTCAAAGACATCCCATATCCACCTAAGTTAGTACGCACCAACAATCCTCTGGCTACTTGATCTCAAGTGTACTCTGCTATTGAACTACACAGGCATGGGAGTCAAATGTATTGTATGTAGCATCGCGGCAAATTGCTGTTCTGAAATGTCTTATCAATTTATCATGCCGATCATATATACAAAAATTCATGATAAACTCCGTATTTACATGGAAGAAAAGTCTACATTCCAATCGAGATGGTCTCCCGCGCCGTCGGCGGAAACCATCTAACAGTCGACAGTCTTGCCATCAATGGCTGTCCAGTCCTGGGAGATCTCCCACGCTCCCGTGTCGTATTTGTTCTCGGTCGACTGCCACTCGTGGTACCTCCAGGCGGTAACGGAGCAGTGGCACCTGGGGTCCGTGGCGCCGCAGGAGTCGCAGCCGGTGAACTGGTTGGTGAAGTCGGAGCCGTAGAGATACTCGTTGGCGGTGCTGAAGTCGGCGATGGTGGCCTTGATTTCGTTGCAGTGGGCGTTGAATGTGGCCTGGTCGTCAACGCAGGTGGCGTTGGCTGAGCGGAACTTGACGGTGTAGCGCGTGCTGTTTGGTGGTTGAGAAGTTAGCATCTTGATATGCTAAAGCTGGCTGTCGGGCGAGACATGACAAGCACCGGAAACACGGCAGGGCATGCTTGAAATTAAGCGGGCAGGATCGAGTCATGACTTGCATTGCTCCTATTGCCTGTTGTCCCAGCTCACCGGGACATGGGTGTATCCATCAAGGTGCTAATGATCAAGGAGAAACGGTAAAATAGAAGAAACATACCAGCCAAGAGCAACACTGGAGAGCGAGAGAAGGGAAAGCGTGGTGGTGAGGAACTGCATTTTTGCTGATGGACGGTGGTCTGAAAGAGGCCGGGCGGATAGAATTCGCTGCTGGAATCGAGAGATGATGCTTGACTCGATAAAGAAGGAAGCTTAGATTGAATGAGTGGTCGTGCGAAAAGATCGACAGTATTTATTGCGGAAAACGAGTGAAAGCTTTGTGCCTGTGGTTTGAATTGATGAATCTTCCTCGAGAGATAGATGGGACAACCCGGCGATCTATATACTTTGTCCAACCCTGCTTCCAAAGGCTTATCACCTTCCAAAGAGCCCGGATCTTTGGTGGATCTCAGCCGCAGCCTTACTGCCCTGATCATGCGCGGAAGCGAGTAAGGCGAATTGTCCAGGGGCTCAGATAGGCTGGGCAGCCCCACGGGCAGCCCACCCACAAACAGCCGGGAAGGTCTTCTCGGGCTGTTTGAGGGATGCGGTGGTGAATTCCCGTTGGCTCATGAGCCGATTTGTTTCAGGCTTACCCACGTGGGTACGGGTGTTCGTCCGGTCTTGCTGTCGAGGTCGTATTCTTCGCACTATAAAAAGCCAAGGCCAAGGATTGCACAAGGGGGCGCATGACGTGCAAATATGATATATTTGGCGGCTTAGCTATCCATACAAGCATTCATTCATGGGTGCTATCAGTGTTCAAGTGATTTATGCCTTCGGCCATGGAGTCTGCGCCGAATATCCGGAGATGGGACAGCGGTTCTCTTCGTGACGTGACCGTAAGCAACAGAGGCTCCCCAACACGCGCCGCAGTGTGCTCGTGACAATGCTGGTCGCCGATCTTTACTGAGTTGGCCATATTGCTCAAAGTCGATTCTCAGTTGCAAGGGGTTTTCTTGAGGAGATATTTTCTCAATTGCTTGATGCCGCTGAGACCGATGTACAGTACCAATATTTGGCCAGATCCAGGCTCTTCGCACTACTTAAGTACAACTTCGTCGAAATGGCTTCATGGTCGTTGAAGCCCACTCCAAAGTGTTCAGAAAGAATGGTCATGGTTGACATCGGCGACAATGGCCCGAACACTTACTCTGACACCGTATTTTCTCAGTTTCTCCAGCATAAAGTCTTGCGACCAATGGATGCAGCTGAGCTGGCATAGTGCTGATGTGCAAAAGCACCAATTTGCAGGCCCGTAACTAAGCTTAAAAAAGGTATTTCTAACACCAGAAAGATGTAGCTGCTCCAGATGCCAAGAGTATCGCGCCCGATTGCGGTTCTTACTCCTTTGGCACATCCATGCCAGAGTTTGACGTATGCTGCTTTCGAGATCAAACCACGTCTGATCTGTCAAACGGAATGCAATGGCAAGGCGACTAATGCGAGGGATGGCCGTCTTCCTGAATTTCCGCCATGTCTTTGAGGTGAGGCTGCCCTTCCACTGGATGAAGCAATTCCTCTAGACTGCCTCGACCACCTCAGACGTCCAGCTAGGGTCTTTCCATGCAAGCATGATGGTGGTAATACTAGCAGGAAGCGGGCCAGGAAGCTTGATTTGAGGGTCATCGGTACAGACGAAGCCGAAGATCATCGCTCGGATCTCGACTGGTAGAGCGAAAAGCGGAGACGCAGATGGAGGGGATTCACTTGTGTGGTGGGCTGTTCGGTGCTCGCGCGTCGCGTCTGACGTGTTCGTGCCCTGATTCGCGAGCGTTCCGTGCGTTTCTGCTGCCTCTGAATTGATGACATTGCCCGTTTCGTCGACTGCTGTGGATGCCATCTTTGCGTATGCTTGTGTTAATTGATTGGTATTTTGGGAAGTAAAGTGAGAAAATTTGAGGCGGCTTGCAATCACGTGGAAGAGCTGGCAGCTGTTCCATAAGGGATGCAAAGGTAGCAAATCCATTTGTGTATCAGGCACCCCCCAGGTACCTTCCTAAGGAGGCAGTGTATCGAAGGCGTAGGCTTGTCAACAAAGAGATGGATCCGTGTGCATTATACAGGTGAACTTAAACTAATAAAGTAACCCATAAACATAGGTACAACATCTTAACTGGTATGTGATGGAGATCCAAGTAGAGCGTTCAGATTTCCAGAGGGTCCATTCGCAGGTCGGAGTCATGTGCCTGATAAGGATTGAAGTGTTCCTCAAGTCAATCAAGCATCACAGACGATATGGGACAATCGAGGATATTCATCTGAACTGGGTATGCCTACATCGTTCCCAATACAGTGCACACGCTTGGTCGCTTCCACATACCCCAAGGCCATGTCAATCGTGATTGATGATCGATCGCGGACCATGTTTCCACTGCACAAAGAAAAGCAGTCTGACGCACCAAATCATGTTCAGGACAATTTACTTCCCAGACTTGTTATTCAGGGCGATCTCACAGTTGTAACAGATCAATCGAATTGTGGACAGAATCATGAGGAGTGAAGGCATAAGCCTCAATCATTCTTTTGATTGACTCTTGATGGTCAGGGCCTAAATACAGTCCGCAGACGTGCTGCCATTGGCAGAATATGTACATCCAATCAAGTCCGTTTCAGAGCTTGCATGCCAGTCCTCCTTCAAAAATACCCAGACGAGACTGGATTTACTCCAGGTCGAACGCGGCGGCGCCAGTGTACTTCTGCTGGCTGGAGGCGCCGGTCTGCTCGAACTCGAGCTCGCTGGCAGCGATGGTGTGGCTTCCAGACTGGTTGGAGCTGGGGGTCACGGGCTGGGTGACGGTCAGGACGAGACCGGCGTCAGTCTTGGCGACGGTGAAAGTGCGGGAAGACTCCTCGCAGGTGCCTTGGCCGTCAGTGACCTCGGGCAGGGAGCCGTCAGTGCCCTGGACCAGAGCCTTGCACTGGACAGGGGTGGTCTCGCCGTTGCCGGCCTGGATGACACCAAAGGAGTAACTGCGGAAAAGTCGTGTCAGTACCAGAGCTGGGTTGGCGTGTCGAATGGCTGGTGGCCGGGTACTTACGAGCACATAGCGCTGTGGGGAATGCATCCGGCCGCGAAATCGGTGGCCTTGAAGACAGCCTCAGCGCTGGCCACGGAGGCGGCGGCGACGGCAAGGATGGCGGCGGAGAACTGCATCTTGATGGTTGTTGGGGGTTTGGAGGTTTGGAGGATAGTGTTGGTGGTGTTGTTGAATGTAGTGTGTGTGGTAGGAGTTGTGAGATGCGGATGCTGAACCAAATCCGGATTGGAGGGCGGAATGGTGGTGATATTTATGTTCACGATGTTGAGCTCATCATGCGCTGTCTTCGAGTTGCGTCAAAATACGAGCATGACAACATCAAAGAAAGGAAATGATAGTCCTCTGTGGAGCTGGCTGAAGACGTTGTCACGTTGCTGGCCATCATGGGTCCGGGGGGTCCGACTTGTTGGTGCTACAGTAAAGGTACTGGCAATACGAGCTACTGTGGTATGCGCAACTGGTCATTCGTCATGCTTGTTCCTAACCTTAAACGCCCCTTGAACTTCGTCTCCCAGAGGAATAAACTTGGATGAAAGCTGCGTGTGTTTCTTTCATGCCTCGTATTATACCACGTCTAGCCCGACTCGGCCCCTTTGCTCGATATGTCTATTTTCCCATGGGCTCTTTACCAGGGCTCAGTAGTCATCAGCGAACTGCTTCGGTGATCTGCGTTGTAGAAATCATGCCCGATAGCACTGGAGACAGTGATATCATGTTATGACCCTAAATAAAACCATTCCTGTTTGGTAATGCCAACCTTGGCTCACGTATAATACCAAGTCGAGCTTGGTCTGTGATATCAGGGAGTTCCGTATAGAACGGGTGGCTAGGCTGACATCACAATGCTCCGGTCCCCCAGGCAGTCCCAATCGGCCCACAGGGTTCAGGGGCGGCCCGTTTTTGCGGGGAAAATGACCAACTGCCCTACTCGGAGATCTGCCGCCAGCTAACCAGGGCGAACGAATGGGGGGATGAGACCAGATCGAAGCCAACTGACAAGCCGCAGGGTGTACAACAGTGACTCGTGTTGGCGCGGGGAAGAGCTCCTGAGCCCGTCCCAGTGGTCGGCGCGTACCAGCGATAGTAACTTAGTAACTATGTGCTATGGCACCTTGTGAAGGTCAAGGGTTCGGAAGTCGGTCAAACGACTCAGCCCTCCTGCATGAAAGACATCCCCACAATGCTACTCAACTCCTATTGGCACGTTCCTGACGCCCTTTGTAAACATGGGCCCTGGCAGACAGCTTAGGTGTCATCCAATGTTGACTGCATCTGCTCGACTTAATTCGTTTGCAGCTTAAGTAAACCATGTCGCAAACGAGAAAGATTGGGATCTTCTGTCTATCCCGGCAAATCGGCATGAGGTGACTGGAACCGCCTTTATTCAGAAGTACACAATTAGTAACAAGCTGGCTTGAACCTTACTTTCTTGTGGAGCTGGTCGATCAGGATTGAGGGAGTTCTAGAAACACAGGGATGCTTCGACGGAGCCTAGGTCTAATTTTATACGCGCACAGTACATGCTCACACATATCTATGAAGTCTCAATTGCCTGGGGCTGGGTTCGTTGTACAGCGCACACGGTTCCGTCTTTTCCGTTCAGAATGCGACTTGCTTGGCTCTCTTGAACTCGGTGAGCAGCCAGCCAAGTCGACCAAAATCCGCCAGTTCGCCTGCCCATGCGGGACCAACCACCTGCAACCCCTGAAATGAACTTCTATATGTCGTGAAACTAAGAGTTCTGTGTCCAGAGAAGTTTGAAGAAACAGTCACAATGGCATTCAATGCGTAATACATGAATCACATGATGTTGGGTCGTCGAGTCATAAAGTGGCTTGCATTCCCAAGTTGAAGTCGATAAATGCTGCGTACAGGTGCGAAGGTAGTAGCATGGAAGCATTGACGGATTCATAACATTCTACTGTAAAACCCGAAATCATTTCACGTTGCAAGGGTACAGCCCTCGGAAGTCCTCGAGGACCCAGGCAATGCTTCTGGCGGGGTATGGGGACAGCCTGCGGACTGAAAACAGCCTGCTCAAGTGCGGACCATGTCCCCAACACATCGTGATACGTAGCAGAAATAATTGCGAGAACAGGGCCCACTGGGGCATCGCACCGGTTTTCTGATGCTTTGAGAACGAGCTCACCGCCTCTCACACAATGCCGAGAGGCCTCAACTGTAGAGGCTACCCCTTTTTGGCGGAATCATTGTTCTCGCCGTGTTGAGTTCTCTACGAACCCGCCTTCATAACAATATGCATGTAGCATCACTTCATGCATCATTTCAGATAGTTCAGAACATGGTCTTCGGATGAATGGCACATCTGACCCAGCAAGATATCAGAGCTCATCATTGTTGTCCATGTGATGCGGCCCAGGTCTGACCCATCCATCCAGTTCCGAACACGTTTCTGTGAGGTAAACATCTCAATATGACTGAACAACGATGTTTGACATTTTCCCCCTAGTCGCCACTCCTAGACCACCGAAAAAAGATAAGACTCAGGGAGGTTATTCAGAAACGATGTGATAGAAGCAGTTACATGATACTCACGCCGAATCCTGCGTCCGGTAGCACCTATGGAACTATTTGTATGATTAATTGATACGAAATGCTCTATCCAATCGATCTAATCCAAGACCAAACCGAACACTCGTGTCGTCCTTCCCCAGCGAACAGTGTGTCAACCACAGAAGTCAGCAACTCGACCCCATTCTACCTAATTGATATCATTCCTGCAGATGATCTTTTTTTTTCTTCTTCCCCTTTCTGTTTATCTGTCATGTCTCTTCCTCCGAAGCCAGATCTTATCTCTCAGCTCTTTGTCGCATCCATCTTGGCCTAGATAAGTTCTGAGCTCAAACTGAAGTCGATGCGAATTTCTCAGCCTATATACCCGTGTTTCACACGCTGATCCCGTTTTCTAGGACAGATTTAGTGGCCCGCGGGGTCTTGCTGTCCTTCCCCGTTCTTCTCCGTCTCTCCAACATTCTGTTCATCTGCCTCCGTCTTGTCGTCGTGGTGTTCAATTTGGAAGCCCTTGAACTTCCTGGACGGCAGCCCAATGGCAAACATGTGGTCCAGCTCCTCGAAAGTACGATCCTTTGTCTCGGGAAGACATAAGAAGCAAAATAGTGCACACAAGCCACCGATTCCTGCAAAGATAAACCCAATCTTCCCGCCAAGAGCGGCTTGGTCCGCGTTAATGAGATATGGTACCGCAACGGCCAAGGCGATGGCACAAATCTGGTAGAATACGGATGAAAGCCCAATGTTGAAGCCTCGCAGCCGAGCTGAGGACACCTCAGACATCAGGACAAACCCGTAAGGGCCGATGGTAATGTCGTAGACGAGATTGCACATCACGATAAACGCGCTCTGCCCCCATGATGATGGAGCTGTCCCAGACGCTGGGCGAGGAGCAAAATCCAACAGACCGATTGTGCCCTGAAGGCATGCCAAGATGATGCAGCCCCAGAGGTAAGCGTTGCGTCGGCCGAGAAATTGGAGGAACCACCACGCGAGGCACGAACCCACAAAGCCGATGGCGTTGACACCAACGTTCATACTGAAGGCATTCTCCGCGCTGAGACCGGAGAGCTCGAAGAAGTAGACAGCAAAGTCGTGGAAAACGACAGCTCCAACGAGGGCTTGGATCGCATAAGTCATAAGGCAGATGATGAGACGGCGCCGATCAGTTCCTTGAAAACACTCCAGCATTCTAGGCTTGGCGCCCTGCTTGGCGTCGTTCTCGATGCGGAGCGTCTCCCGGACGAAGCTAAGCTTCAGAGTAGGATCAACCTCGTCGGTGGCCAAGCGGCGGATGGAATCTTCTGCGGCCTTGTATTCTCCGCGTTTGCACAGCCAGTATGGAGGGTCTGGCAAGAAAGAGCCGAGTGTGAAGAGAAGCATGATGGCGGGAAGTGGCCATTGGCTTGCGATAGGCAACTTGTAGCCCCATTCTGATGGAATGTTGTTGGCAATCTTGAGGATCCCGGAGCCGATGAGCTGACCTGCAACAAGGAGCATGTTGATGGCAGAGGCAGCAAAGCCGCGCAAGACGACAGGGCACACCTCGCCCACGTAGGCAGTGGCGCAGACGGTGAAGAACGAGATGACGCAGCCGTTGAGCAATATCCCGACGACCAGTTGCGCTGGCTGCTTGGCGAAGAATTGAATGAAGACGAAGCAGATCGACAGAGCTGAACTTAGGGCAATGACCCTCCGCAGGCCGAGGCGGTCATACGCGATTCCGGCACAGAATGCGCCAATGATGGAGCCGACTTTGTTGGCGTAGTTGAAGGCACCCAGCCAGTGTGCTTGGATGATGTATTCGGCGCCGTACTGGACGCCAAATTGTTGCTTAAATGGGGTTATACCCACAAGGGCGCCGACGACCTGCCCGTCCAAACCCTGGCAGAGCGTTGCGAGATTGACGACCAGTGCCCACAATACAGCTGGATAGTGGAGTTTGATTGCAGACCAGAAAGTGAGAGAATGCTCCGTATTCGTGTGAAGAGCAGCTTTCTCGGCCTCATCGGCGTAGAGGAGGTCTTCATTGGACGCGGAACAGCCAATGTTAGCATCACAAACGGAGGGTGCGGCCGAGTCGAGAGGGACCGCAGCAGCCTCCGGCTTGAGTGTTGGTGGTGTTGACATGGCGTTTAGTATTATGTAATGTTGTGTTGGGATTGATTGAGTGAGGATGGTAGGAAGCGGATGCGAGCACAGGACTTCAATGTTGAAAGTAGGACTCGAGGTTGTAATTGTTGAGAGCAGGTTTCTTCACAGCAGGAATGGAAATGAAAGACATCGGTAGCTGTTTCTCAGCCCCATATATGTTTCGTCGTACAAAACTCGGCAATTTATTTGCTCCTTGATTTCGTCCATTAATGGTGATATGTAGTTAAATATTAATAGTTTTTGTGCGTGTCAAAAAATTGCACCTAATTGGCATCAACTAGGTGCCGGCCTGTGAGCGCCGTTGGACTTAGTCTCGACTCCAACCCGGCTGTGGGTCCGGAGAGGCAACTGCTCGAATATGTTTTTCAATTAATTCCAATTACAATGGTGACCTCATTTTCCACACTATGGCCAATTGTGTAGGGTGATCACTTTTTGAGCCTTTTCCCAACGCCATCTTAAGCGCCATAATCTTCTAGTTCGGACGTAAAAATCATATGGCTGGTATAAGATCCTATACATGCATCTTTACGTCAACTTCTCCCGTTTATTTGGGTCAAGAACTACCAAATAATTTGCTTCTGATCTGAGATGTTAATGAAGTACCAAGACGCTGTCCACCCAAATATCATGACCAAATAAATGTCCGCCTCGCTAAATACTCCAACATCGGAAATTCGGATCGGATATTTGCAACAAAGATTGGCGGTTTGCCGATACACAAGTGTAAGCGCGGTACAAGACCTTCGAGAGTAACCTAGGGACAGATTCACACACGTACAAATCTGGTGTTATGGTCGAACACATGTGCGCGCCTCTTCCCGTCTCCTACCGACCCAGAAACTGCTTTGAGAAACCAAGGTCTTTGGGTCTGCAAATTGACGACTTCCAAGGCTTTGTGACAGGTGACCCACGAATTTGCGATCCAACAATGGTGGCAATGTCGGCATTGTGGAAATCAACCATTGGTGAGGTGGATCTTGAGCTGAACACGACAAGGCTGATGTAGAAATACGTGTTTTCATTAGGCCGGAGCGTCCATCGATTGTGTCGTTCGTGAGCCTATGTCCTTATTGGCGACGACAAGGACATACAAGCAGAACAACGGCTCCATGCCCTCCTCGCCCCCCCCCCCCCGAGTTAGATGTCTCGGCATTAAAATCAATTAATAAAGCCCTGGGGTCTTTTTTGCCTCAATTCGGACAGTCCTGTTCCTTTGGTATGGTTAAGGACGTTGAAACTCTTGGAGGTACGTCCCATTTGCGGTTACAGACATCTGGAAGGCCGACCAAACGTATTTCAAGAATTAACTAGCAGCGGTGTAGGATATGGTATAACCCCAACTAGTAATGTGATATCCCTTCCTTTCGTTGATCTGAAGTCAAAATCTGTATAGTTATCGACGGCGGCCGTAGACCACAATGTTGCTCCATATCCACTGCTCTGGATAGGGTTGCCTCTGTCTGACACAGCGATCATTGAGTAGGAAGGAGGGTGCTTACACAAAAGATTTTGGCTAGAGGGCGATTTTCACAGACTCAGTACATAGTAGATACATATCTAATGGGAATAGTGTCTCGCGACCACTGCCAAAGCCGGGAGCATGTCTTGCTGGTTTGTCAGGTTTCGCGCCGTGTAAAACTGCAGCTTGTATTCCCAAGATATTGCAGTCAGATGCCCAGTCCTGGGAATATTTCCATGTAACGTGACGCATCTACCCTACATCTGGTATTTCCGTGGCTGAAGTCTCCCGTCTCTGTACTTGCTCGTGCGGTGAAATTACGCGGTCTACACCCACCAGTTCCCAGCTGCTTTCTCTAATACCCCTCTACATCAAGCAGAATGAGTCGTAATATACGATGCTGATGGGAAAAAAGGTACTCTTGCATACTCTTTCCGGCCGTTGATGGGCTCCGACTTAAATCCTGGAACAACATTGCGCTACGTAACGCGAGCCCAAAGACCCTCCTACAAACCCCAGGTGCTGCAGTTGCTGAAGAAGGAGAGAACACTGACACCCCTATAGAAAAAGCCGCCGGAAGTATTTTGAGCAGAAGCGACAGGATTCGTGACAGTGGCGTTGTTTCGACTGCGTCCATCTTGGCGACTTCCATGCTCCAGTCGCTGACTGCCGCTGGGTCCTGGTGAGTGACGCAAAGTGCCACGGCCGTTAGATAACGCAAGCTGACCTCTTTCATTACTCTGACGGAATCTTGTAACGTTGCGAGACCTTGAAACCCGTTTATGTCTCTAGAGGTTAGCAACCGTGATGACGAAATGGTTTGAATCACGCCAGCAGTAAATCAAGCTGTGTATTGTGCAGTAGCCGCTTCGTCGGGAATATCAAGTTGACAATTCAGCGGACCCTCATCGCCTGAATTAACCACATGGATCGAGAGAGACATGCAAGCTTACGGGACGCGAAAACTTACGAGACGCCACAGCGAGACTTGAAACGAAGCAGCTGTACTTGGTTGAGAGCAGCAACTTTCCAATGATGGCAAGACAGTCGCTTCATTATCAGCGTCAACTCTAGCGTTCCGCTCAGGTTGGCACTCCGGACCGAGAGCTAAGCAATTTGTGCAACAAAAAGGTTGTACCGGGCTCAAATGTCGCCTCGGTACTACAATAACGCAGTCCTGCATACCTACCCATGTACATGCAGATATAGAGCCAGATTTTAAAACGATTGAAAGTTAGATTCTGCAAGGTTAAGGAGGTGAGGAATGTGAGGACCCCGTTCGATGTATTCAATTAGGCTACGTCAACGTCTGTGAGCGTTACATTGTGAACACCTCGAACATTTCGAAGGGGTGAATTGTTAGAATTTTCACCCATTCAGCTCTATTCAGTGACTCTTGCTGCTCATACTTCCCCGCCCGGATAATTCGAATTGACCGCTCCCGTACGAGCGTGCTGTCCGCTGCATCGATCCTCACAGCTGCCATAACAGTGTTATGACCCAGACCGAATTCTTCCAATAATTCAAAATCTTTACGTTCATAAAACAAATTACCATATCTCGCTGTCAATTCCTGTTCACGTCGTCCTCGTGGAAAACAAGGACCCTGACTTCGATGCTATGCCTTGGCTCTTGTTCGATCGTATCAGGGTCAGTGAAAGCGGCATGTGGGACCCTCCGAGCACGCCCATCAGTTTTCCAGTCGTAGCATTTAAACAGCATCACCTGCTCGGGAGTCTGTCTGTTTTTGTAGTACCAACGGTGGTTTTTGTTAGGCAGGATTGTGCACGGCTCCCCTACCCAGCCAGGGTGTATCAACTTGACTGGTAGGATGTCTGTCTCTGGCACTGAATGGGAGTCACAGACGGCGAGTGGGTCCTTATAAATCGTCTTTATTGGACGCCACACATTGATGATCTGGAAACGGGATTCCAGCAGGCGAGGGGCGTCCGACCCAACGTGGCGCGTAACTTGATTTCTTGCAGCCCATTCGGACTGGTCGATATGGGCTCGCTTCACCGGTCGGCGCTCATCATCAGGGTCTGCGGCAGTGGGGTTTGGTCGGCGAATTGTATGGTCAAATACGAAAAGTCGTGAGGCGCCGGTACTAGGCGACAGTGAGTTGAATGTTTAACGTGACAACTCGGCAGGCTTGTCTGCATGTCTTGCGACCTACATTTCCCGAACCAAACTCTCCACTTCCGGATAGTACTCCTCCTTGATACGGTCGTCATTGTCAAAGTTCTTTTCTCGGCTTACATGATCGCAGAGTTGGAATCCGTGACTGTCGAGAGTGTAGTTCTCCTCGCTTCCAGTAATATCCATGACGAGAGTCTCCAGATCAATGGAAGGCTGGGTGAATGTGCTTCTTTTGCGGGCAATGCTTGGAGCATGTTCTGTTCCATCGCCGGGGTCTTTGTAATAATTGATCGTGGTTTGAACATGCCGTGGCTTGAAGCCTGATGTTGGTGATAAGACCTGAACCTTCTCCAGAAGCATTGTGAGATTTTGCTGATGAATATTGCCTCAGGCGTACTGCGTGAAGTTCTTTCGCGTTAAGTGTAGCCTGGTTGCTCATACGATATTTCCGATCACTTGGGCCTTCCTTGGCGCAAATTGGCAACGAGCCGGGACGGCCTGCCTGAGCGTCCTTCTTGATTAGGAAGGGCGCCGCGTTAAACACTTGAAACTCGGACCTACACAGCTATCGTATACAAAATTCTAACAACTTTGTGCAGAGCTCGTAAGTGATTTTAGGTGTTGTAAGTTAAAATCTGAGGATGTGGTATTGTCTCATTTGACGACCAGAAAGAAAAACCCCGTGCAGAGTAAGGAATTGATCAACGACTCGGGTCGTTGTATCCTCGGGGGAAATTTGACATCCGGTGGCAAGGTTGTGCAAGACAACCCCGGCTCGGCACAACGTAGACCAAGATGGGACCTCGACCGAGGTAGGCAGTAGTTCGTCAATTACATTATTTCTTTTGTTATATCATTTAAAATTGAATTGAAGACTCGGGGCAAGAAACACAGCCAGAAGGTTTTCATTGCTTTTTTCACGGTTGACGTTAGAATTTGTTGCGCAAGTGCTTCCATAGGGTGCTTTGGACGTCGGCGTTATTCCCTTTTGGTCCAGGCCCCGAAAGGTAGACGCAGGGTTTTGGTGATTTCACTACAGCTAGCAACCACTCAACCAGATTTACAGGACTGTGCAAACTATTGTTCAGTATCACGACCATGACGGTCACCGGAAGTTATTCATCTCTGGGGATGGAGTCTCCCTCTGCAGTGGCGGCCACCTTGGCCCTTGTAAGTGTAAGTCATGTGGATACTTTGAATTGATTCGTTAGCAACATGCTGACGCATGAGGTAGTGCATACTGTATACGGCATATCATGTCCTCTATAACGTGTTTCTTCATCCATTGGCAAGCTTTCCAGGACCGCTGTTAGCTCGCTCATCTCTAGTGAGTCCAGACATACCCTGGACGGCTTAATCAGTCTAACTTGTCCACCAGCTGTGGAGAATCCGGCATTCCATGACCGGTAAATTTCATCTCGCGATCCAGGAGCAGCACCTGAAGCTTGGTAAGTTCAGAGTTTCTGTCTAAGGACATGCAATCTCTAATTCTGCAAAAGGTCCCGTCGTGCGAGTCTCTCCAAATGAACTGTCCTTCGCATCAGTGCAGTCCTGGAGAGACATTTACGGTCATGCTACAGGAGGGAGGCAAATCATGACTAAGAGCGAGTTCTATGATATGTACGGATCCGGCTTTGATTCTCTGTGTGTCGGCAGTGAGAGAAACCCCCAGAAGCATGCCCAAATGAAGAAGTCGCTGTCGGCCGCGTTCTCGACGAAAGCGCTGGCACAGCAAGAGAACATTGTGAAAAGGTGTGTAGATGAGTTTGTCCAACGTCTCGGTATTGACGGTGCGTGTGAGAAGGGTCTGAACATGACGAAATGGTTTGAAATGATCGCATTCGATATCTTGGGCGAAATGGCCTTTGGGGAAAGTTTCCACTGCGTTGAGAAAGGTAATATGAATTTGATACTTGAGAGAAGATTCAAACACTGATCTTTGATTCGGCAGGAAAACCTCATTTTTGGTCTGAGATGATCGTGGAGCATCTCTTTTTTGTCACAGTCTTGGATAATCTGCGCCGCTACCCGCTCATTGCAGCCATCGGACGCAAATGCCTGCCCCGACTGACAGTCTCCGTGCGTGATCGCCATTCAGGCTACAGCCGAGAAAAGGTGGCGAGGTTAGTAGTCTCGTGGTGAATCACCCTGTACAACCAGCTGACGTCGTGGCAGGAGGCTTAATGCTCGCTCAGGACGGGAGGATTTCTTGACGAACGTCTCGGAAAAGGTGAAGACGGGCGAGGTCAGCAAAGAAGAAATGACAGCTCACGCATCAACACTTGTGTACGTATTTGGTCTTAATGCAGCGGAGACTGACAGGCTGACATTTGTCGTGAAAGTATTGCCGGTGGAGAGACCGTATCGACATTTCTAGCCGCAGTCACGTACTTTCTCCTGAAGAATCCTGTGGTTTACCGTAAACTGCAACAGGAAGTTCGGGGACGTTATAAGGATGGAGACGAGATTACAGCCATGTCTGCACAACAGCTACCATACTTGCAAGCCGTGATCTCAGAAGGCTTAAGAATATACCCGCCAGGATCACAGGGGTTTCCACGAACCTGCCCCGGCACCACCATTGATGGACATTGGGTACCCCAGGGAGTAAGTGATTCAGTGATGATCCTCAGCAATACGTATTGACTGACACAATTCGCGCAGGTGGAGGTCTACACTAGTGCATGGACCGTCACTCACGACGAAAGAAATTTCCGTGATCCATATGTCTTTAAGCCGGAAAGATGGCTTGATCCGGCCCGTAAAGATAACCTCGAAGCAAGTCAGCCGTTTTCTCTAGGTCTTCGAGGCTGTCTCGGCAAAAAGTGAGTAAACATCTTCGTCATCATCCTTTTCAAATCTAAAACCGCGTGCTAATTCTTTCTCACTTCATTGGCACAGTTTTGCGATGGTCGAGATCAATCTGATCATGGCGAAACTTCATTTTGCCTATGACCTAGAGCTTCGCGATGCGGATTTGAATTGGCTGGAGCAAAGCCAAATGCATGTGATGTGGAGGAAACCTGCGATGTATATAAGATTTCGTCCGGCTAGAATGTAGGTCGACAACAAATGCATACACTGATGAGAGACGTTCAATCCATGGAGGAAGGATGTAATTATTTGCAAGCGAGCCAACATAGTTGTTGATTTACTACCACATCGCTACGCCGTCCGTGTAAATTCGATACTTTCAGATTACACCAACCCCGTCGCTGCTTTGAGTGACTCGCACACCTGAAACCAGAGCCATTCCAGGTGGCGCGTGGGAGCCGGGCGCTGCTAGCGTGTTCGGCCCCATGGGAAGATACGGAACATCTCAAAACGGAAATCTTCCGAGCTTATTTACATCGCCCCGAAACAGCCAAGAAGGCGTTTCACAGTATTACACATGCGCTGGATACGACCAAAACGCACCACACACTAACTGTCAAGTCTCTATCAAAATTTTATCTATGATCACAAACGTGTTGACAATAGCAATATTGAACCAACTTTTTTGGACCTCCCTCCTCTAACCCGGTACTCGCTTCGCGTAATCGCTGTACCGACCGCCGTTATGGCTTCCCCAGTTGTATTGCCAGGGAAGGTTGCCAAGGAGGATGCTGATTTGCGAGTTGTATCACTCCAAGGTCTTCTGGATGGGGACGAAAGCGCCAAAGAGAATTTGTTGAAAGCCTGCACTGACCTCGGCTTTTTCTATCTCGACTGCCGAGATGTCGCCTCGGGCCAGGTAATGAAAGATGTGGAAGAAATGTACTCGCTTTCTAAGAGCTTCTTCGATCTTTCCCAGGAAGACAAGCTTGAATGGTTCGTAGACAGAGACCACGATGAGAATCTAGTCATGGGGTAAGTTTGTATTTCTTGACAGGCTTTGCCAACCCCAGGTCGAAAACGTAAGCTTACTTTAATTCCAACTGTTAGATACAAGCCAGCGGGTCACGGGAATGGGCCAGTGGAAGGGGTCAAAGATGGGTTCGAGGGACTGATGGTAAGGCGAGACGATTTGTTATCTCAAGAGTTGAGACTGACAGAGTCTAGCTTTTTGAACATCCCATCTCCAAGATTCAGGATCATTCCTTGTTCCCAGGGCCCAAAGCAATTGCGACTCGGCTTGCACCACTTAAACAAGCTACATCAACTTTCCGTGACATTAGCATCCTCCTTCTGACTCGTCTATCGTCTGCCCTGGGATTGACCGAGAATCTGGCGTACCAACAGTACCATCGGAAGGACGCTGTTTGTCCAACAGCCCTTGGTCTTCTCAAGTACACCATTGCCGACGTCGAGCCCGACAAAGTGGGCCAAATTGCTCACAGCGATGCTGGCAGTCTTTCTATCGTCTTCACCGAAGTTGCCGGCCTTCAAGTCCTGAAGCCTAATGAAGAGCAATGGTATTACATCGCACCCAAGCCTGGTCATGCAGTGGTGAACGTGGGCGACGCACTCCGCTTTATCTCTGGAGGCGTCTTGGAGTCGAGCTTGCATCGTATTATTCCACACACAGACGAAAAGGGAAGGCACAAGTACTCGATTGTATATCTACTACGGCCTGAAATGGATGCCGAGTTCGTTGACGCGGAAGGCGTGACGTGGAAAGGGTTAGAGTGGACCAACAAGAAGCATGCAGTATTCCGTGCTACGGCGGAGGAACAAGCCAAGGGAACTTATCTGACCGGGAGAGACGGCTACGTAGGACACTGGAATCCAGATCAAGATCCGGAAGGCCAGACGATCACTGTCGGATAGAAGCTTTGATACATCGCAAGAGTAAGACAGTGAATACAAGCATAGTTTTCGATTCAGCTTGGTAAGGGAAATGGCGCAAGATGCTTATTTGATGCATGCATGTATTAAAAAGCTAGATATTTGGAAGTATTTGAACTGTACTTAAGGGAATATGCGTAGACAAAGCAACCGTCTCATCCGACCTGTTCGTGTACTATCTTGTGTTCATGATCCACAGACCTCAATCAAGCCGTGGCGTCACGATGACTTTCATAACTGGTTTCTGCCAGAGAGTGTGCATCTGGGATTGGGCATGCCAGTCAAGCTTTGGATCAACTAATTCCAAATCATACTTGTAGTGAATCTTAGCAAGCATTGTGCGCATCTCCAACCAGCCCAGGCTGCGTGATGGAGTGATTGTCAGTCACGTGCTAAATATACAACCACAACAACGGATTACATTAGGTAGAAAGCTGGTCAGTCTTACCTTTGTCCCAAACAAATTCTGCTGCCAAGAGAGAATGGCTGGCTGGCGTCCAGTGTGTCTTTATTTCCCTTGCAAATCCATCTCCGAGGCTCAAACACCCATGGGTCTTGGAAATTGTCTGGTGACATTGAAGCTGCGAAAGGATTTGTTGAGACAATTGTCTGTATCTCAACGATCAGCTTACTCACTGGTGTTTAAGGACATTTAATTGAAGGGAGCGGGCGAGTCTCAGCGAACTTACGCCTCCAGGAAGGAATTGCCCATCGACCATGCCGCCGTTTTGTGGCACAACACGTGGTAGGGGGAAAGGCAGTGGGGGGTACATTCGCATCCCTTCCAGTACCACGGCATTCAAATAATCTAATTTTGCCGTTGAAGCATCATTGATCTGTTCGTACGAGTCGAACGACGTACGGATTTCTTTCCGCAGGGCCTGCAAGATGTCGATATTCTTCTGAAGGTAGTATGTGATACACGAGAGAGCTGTGGCAGTGGTCTCGCTCCCGGCGATTCTGCAGCCAGTGTTAGCGAAATATAATCCTTATAAGTATTTCGATGAACATACACGAAGTCCGAGGAGTGGGCTGCTATCTGCACGTCAGAGAGGTTGTCCGTCTGCCGATGTTCGAGAATCTTCGTCAGGAAGTCTTTGCGATCAGTTTCTTGGTTGATTCGTCTACGCATTACGTCAGCCTTCAAGAAGTTCAACATATCCGAGCAGGATCGCTGACTTCTGCACAAGGTCCATGGTGTATGCTTCGTGTCGGCGTGTGTCTTCGATCAGCTTTTTGAGAAGGCCGGAAAACACAGTCTTAAACAGTTCTCCGATTAGGGGAAATCTCTTGAAGCAATCCGCCAAGGCGCCCATTCGGAGACTCTTGACCACGATAGAAACCCAAGGATGCTCCGTTCCTGATTGTTGCAATGTGAGTGCTTTGCTCTCAGACTCCAGGTTCCGAGGCTCTTTACTTACCAGACTTGATCCCGTCAAAAGACTGGCCGAAGGCTAGACTGCCAATGACTTCATTCAAGTCGCAAAGTCAGCAGGTTTCATGAGAGTACAGCGATTTCATAGTTGAAATTCATGATCCATGGCGCTAAAGTTTGTTGCTCGTGGACACTCGACATCTTCCATTCTGGAAGACAGGAAAAATGGAGCAATACAGGTGGGAAGTACGTACTATCAAAGGTTGCGAGATTAAACCACATTACTATGTCTATTCCGGATGAGTCTTTTCCCTTCTCACCTATCCTCTCTATGAAGCGGTCAATGACCTCAGAGATTAGATGCTCCTGGTCTCGAAGTGAGCGGTCCGAGAAAGCTTCTCGGAGGTATCTTCGCATGTGAGCGTGTTCGTCGGGGTCACGCACGCTCACAATCGAGTGCGCTTCAGCTGCGAAATTTCCACCGTCATAAAAGTCACTTTTAATGAAAGTCTCTTGGCCCTTTCTCTTCTCGTAAATGTCCCTCCATGATTGGGCGGTGTTGAATGAGAGCTCGTTGGGAGCAACCCTCACGACTGGGCCTGCTGATTTGTAAGCCCTCGACCAAGCAGGCACGTTCTACTTCGGACATGAATTTGTGCAAGACATACCGTATTTCTGGTGGAGCTTCAGCATCTCATACGGCTGACGACCCCCCAGAAACCTTCTGCAGTGGGAGAACTAATGTGCCATTGCTCGTCAGCAAAACCTTCAATCATAACATCCCATCAAAGGCTCAGGCGTGGCTCACGTCGCTAAGCTTAGCCGTGAAGGGCCCTGGAAAGCGAGACAAAGGATGCCTCTGGATACTGATCCATTTTACAATAATGTAAAATACGACTGTCTAGATGCTTGTTCGTCAGTGGATGCAAAGCCGCCTTCAACGTTCTTTTAGAATGACGTACGACAACTAAGCCCCAGAGAATGACTCCGCCTAGCGGCTGGCTCGAGATATTCATGATGAAGCCTGTGGCAACAACCTTTGTGGCCAATGAAGCTTTGCAGGAATCTGTAAGTGGAATGTGTGCATGTGCTTTGGGAGCATCCCCCTGTCACGTATATCGTCGAGAATTGGGAGGACTTTAGAAATTCTGCAAGATCGCAGAGGTGCGCAAGATGATGACACGGCCCAAAGCGGCAACACTCCGACAGCATTCGCAGAGTCAGCCCGCACGGCTGGGATCAGACGAATCTCTCAGGCCTGGAATGGCGCCCCTATTTGGCTACTTACATCAATTCAAGATTGCCCAGGTGCTTTGTGTAACGGACCGAGGATTTCCGTCAAATTAATCTCGGCGTCTTATAGGTTCATATTGATCCTATCACCAGCTCCTCAGCTGCATCGTGCGTTCATCAAGACTATATAGGCAACTGTAAAGCTGATCATTCCTCGACACGGGCCGACTGCCGCCATGACAACACTTAAGATCGAAGAAAGCGACATACCGCAGCTGGATGGACAGACTGCCATCGTTACAGGTATGATTCACGTATACGTCTGATTTGAGCCAGGATAGCCCTGACTTTGCCTATCACAGGAGGTTCGTCTGGTATCGGGCTGGCAACTGCGAAGATTATTGCTTCGAGAGGCGGGAAGGTCATCATTCTTGATATCCACGAGCCCAAAGAGAAATTGCCTGTAGATATCCGCTATCAAAAGTGTGACATCGGCAAGTGGTCAGAGCTCATTGCTGCCTTCTCAAGTGCTGGTCCTACTCACATTGCCGTCGCAAATGCAGGTCAGAGTGAGGACGGGTCGTACTTGACTGATTCATACGACGAGCACGGCAATCTCCTTGAGCCGACATACAATGTGATTGATACCAACTTTCGAGGAACTCTCAACTTTGTCAAGCTCGCATTACATAGTATGAGGAAACATGACATCAAGGGGAGCATTGTTATCACGTCAAGTGCCACTGCGTATTCGGCAGAGCAGTCACTACCAGTTTACAGTGGGACAAAGGCAGCGGTAGGTGATATAGACAGCCCCTTGTCGCGTACGCAGACAGGAATCGGTGGCTAATTTTCACACAGTTAATTAACTATCTACGTGCGATGCGCTCAACGCTCCGCGGCTCAGGAATCACAATCAACGCTGTGGCTCCGGCCGCGACCATCACGGGGCTCTTGCCAGCAGAGTTAGCTGCTCCTATTATGGCAGCTGGTCTGCCCGTAAGCACGGCGCATTTTGTGGGATTGGCAGTGGTCTACTCCGCTGTCGCGTCAGAGGAACAGAAAGTAGCGGCATACGGAAAAGACTCTGAGGAATGGAAGCAAGCCCCAGGGCGGTGGAACGGGAGGACCATTTTGACTCTGGGCCAGAGATACACGGAGTTGGAGGGTCCAATATCTGACTTGCGCAACCACTGGTTCGGTGATGATAATTTGCGAGAGACTCAACTGCAGCAAGCAGCCACGGACTTTAGAGACACAATTTGACATGCTTCATGCATAACAGCGGGAAGATTCAAGAATTCTTGCAGATTTCTTATAACCTATACAAAAAACAATACTCTGAAGACTGAGCCTTCGTAGTCGCAATCAATCGCGATGATTTTAATTACTTCCATTTCCTTAGAGCCATGAGCGACAGAAATAAAACACCAATGCTCAAAACAAGGCGGAACGGGGCCATGATGTCCCAAACCAAGCTTGTCTCCCACAAATGCCAATTGAATCTGTGATGACTTCGTCCCTCGGCCTCGAACCCCCCCCCCCCTCTCCATCAATTGAGTCGTTAATAGCCACGAATAGACATATAGCTGACTTTCCTCCATACGGAGTAGTGACTTCGGTCATTTTGGAATGGGGTGGGGATCGTTAGTTCGAATTGTGTGTTTTAAGTAGTAGTCTGGCCTCGGCGATTCGGTGCATTACCACTTTGGTACTGGCCTCTGTTCTCCATCTCGCAATATTTCCCGTTCAGTATGCCCGATACCCAAGAAATCAAGGAAACCAATGCTATGAGAAGTCTTTCTTTAGCACAGTTTCACCGGTGCCAGTAGGACGAGTGTTCTTTTGTGCTCCCCTCTCAGAGACCACATACTTTATATCAAGTAGCCTTCGGGGCACTGTAACATCGGACCACTACATGCATTAACGCATTTCTGTTTGCGAAAGTTTGCTCAAATGATTTCCCTTCAACCTATCACGTCGCCTTCAATCCCCGTCAGCGCACCGTTATTAGACGTGTTGGCGAGACCTGGGCAAAATGAAACTCAACCACACCGCCCCAGTCCTACGGTACCAGCACCTCTCTTCACACCGAAGATCCACCCCCGAGTGGCCGAGGTCGCCGCAGAAGTCGATGCCTATTTCCTGAAGCATTGGCCATTTGAAAATGGCAAAGCAAGGAAGAAATTCGTTGCCGCGGGGTTTTCAACCGTCACCTGCCTCTACTTCCCAGTTGCGCTGGACGACAGGATAGCTTTCGCTTGTCGGCTCCTTGCGCTGCTGTTTTTAGTTGATGGTAAGTTTCTATGTTTATTTTGCAGTCAATAATGTTGGTGTTAATATGCAGATTAAATCGCTTGATCTAACTTTACGCCCTTGAAAAAGATCTCCTAGAAGACATGTCGCTCGAGGATGGATCAGCCTACAACGAAAGGCTCATCCTCCTCTCAAGGGGAACTGCTGCACCGAATCGTAGCATACCGGTGGAGTGGATCACATACGACTTGTGGGAAGAATTGCGAGCTTGCGACAGAGAGCTGGCAGATGAAATACTGGAACCCGTGTTTACTTTTATGCGGGCACAAACCGACAAGTCTCGCCTCGACATTAAAGAGCTGGGAGAGTATTTCAAGTACCGTGAAAGGGATGTTGGCAAGGCGTAAGTGCTCCTGAACCTTCTGGAACTTGAAAACAATATTTGACCATTCTTCAGACTGTTGTCTGCTCTGATGCGGTTCAGCATGAAATTGCAAGTCAGCCACGAGGAACTACAAAGTGTTGAAGAGATTGAGATGAACTGTTCCAAGCACATCTCGGTCATCAATGATATTTACAGTTGGGAAAAAGAGTTGAAGGCTTCCCAGACGGGCCACAAAGAAGGCTCAGCACTTTGCTCCTCCGTTTCCGTTCTATCTGCTGGTGCGAACTTGGAATATTCAGCATCCAAGCGTGTTCTTTGGGCTATGTGCCGAGAGTGGGAGTTCGTCCATGAAGAACTTGTTGAAAAAAGGTTGTCATCGTCTCAGCCGTGCAGTACTAATTTGAGGGCCTTCATGAAGGGTTTAGAGTATCAAATGAGTGGCAATGAGGCATGGAGCGAGACTACCCCAAGATATCACTCAGTCTGACCTTGGATCGCTGTTCAAATTTCCTTTTGCGAGATTCTATGTAGATCATACTCGTGGGAAGTAAATATGTACTCCCAAATCATATTAAGATCATATTCATGTTACAGAAACAATGCTTCAACTAGATGTACCAGTTAGTCTTTGGTTTGCAGAGTTCCAGCCCTGGGCTAGTGCAGTTTGCAACACTGTCTTTGTATCGCGATACAAAAGATCGACGACTGGCTCACATCCAGAAGGGACTTTATTTGCTCGTTTACTCTGTAGTTCTCCTTTGCTTTTTTTTTCTTCCTTTTCTTCCTACCCTACAAGTTGCCAAGTATTCTCGGCGCAATACGTCATATTCAACCCGCAGCTGGAACTTGAATGCATGCTTTCCTTGGACAGCCTTTAGGTGTATTTAGAAAAAGTTTTAGACTTATTCTTCCCGTTCGATAAATGCATTATGAGTGACTAAAGAAATGATACGTCTTCCCCGCAGAACTCCATGCAGTAGCTACACGATATATGCGAATTCATTCTTTCCATCTGAACAAAATCCTACCAATTTCCGACAGCAGTCTGGCGGCCAAGCGGAACATTTGACTTTGACAACGATACATCTGCATCAGTGTAGTCTACCTTGCCATTTGTGATCGGCACAGAATCACCGTTCGTGACGGGCACAGAGTCAGCCACAGGGGCGGTAGCCGCTGTAAATTTGGCCTCCAACTTTTCGTCGTGTGCATTCACAATATCTTCAGGGAGTGCAGCCAGTGCTTGCTCAAGATCCCCGATGATATCGCGCACATCTTCAGTGCCGACCGAAAATCGAATAAAGGCCTTCACGTGACATAGTCAGCTCAGAAATCATTCGCAAACTCAGAGCGAACTACTGCTTTGACTTACTGGGGTGATTCCGGCCTCTCGTCTGTCTTTCTCGGACATGATGACATGTGTCGAGTTCCATGGGTGCGTAGCCAGTGTCTTCGAGTCTCCGACACTGAAACAATTGGTTAGACTTCGTCACATAGTTGATTACATACAATGTGCCAGTTACTTACTTTGTTTGGTGAGAGATGACTTTGACATAGTTCATAAGCATTTTGCTTGCAACATCTCCGCCTTTCGGGCCGAAGGAAAGCACGCCTCCATAGCCGTTCCTGAGATACTTGTTCGCATTCTCGTGGTACTGGTTCTTTTCAAGGCCTGCCAATGGAGGTGGTCAGTATTTCTCTCCATCCTAACCAGATGGACGAGCTCATGTCAAAACCACATACCTGGATAGTTAACCCACGCGATTCTGGGGTGCGACTCCAAGAAGCGCGCAACCGCTATAGTGTTGCTGGCATGCTTCTCACATCTTAGGCTCAATGTCTCCATCCCGATTAGCAGCTGCTGCGCTGATGCCGGGCTCAATATCGACCCGACTTCCATCAAGATGTCGATTCTCATTGCCATGGCAAACGAAATATTACCGAATGCCTTCCAGTAGGAAAAGCTCATCGGGCCGTCCTTATGAATCATCTTGGGGAATCGGTGACCTGCCGCGCCCCAGTCAAATGTTCCGCAGTCAATAATGACGCCGCCGACAGTGGTACCGTGACCGCCCATCCACTTCGTGGCTGAGTGCAAGATGATATCGGCACCAAATTCGATAGGCCTGCACCATATACCACATGCGCCGAAAGTGTTGTCAACCTGATGCTGGCGTTAGAACGCAAGAACAATTTCCGATCGCTAATCACGGTATTGCACTTACCACGAATGGAATGTGGTTCTCGTGAGCGACATCAGCTAAACCCTGAAGATCGGGAATACTGCAGCGAGGATTTCCGATGCTCTCCACGAAAAAGAGCTTGGTCTTCTCATCTATGTGCTTCGCATACTCCTCTCTCGTCTCCTGTTTGGCCCATCTGACCGTGATACCCAGGCGCGGAAGGAGGGTTTTGAAGAGACTGTAAGTGCCGCCGTATAGGTTGATTGATGCTACTACATTGTCACCGGCCCCCGCAAGGCAGATGATGGTATTGAAAATTGCAGCTTGCCCAGAGGCCGTGCCCACAGCCGCTGTACCTCCCTCAAGGGCAGCTGCTCGCTTTTCAAATACCGCAACCGTTGGCTAGTAAGTGAATTGTTAGTCTCTGATTCGGCGTGCTCTAAGTTCTAGATAAGGCTTTGACCTACGTTGGAAACTCTGCTGTAGAAGTATCCCGCCTCCTCGGTGGCGCACACGCGTTTGGCGTGCGCACTATCCGTGAATATGAACGACTTTAGGTCAAATTGTCAGTCAAGTTCCCCGGGCACTGAATCTGGCAATTGATTGTTCCATACCACGCTGTTGTAAATTGGAACCGCCCGGGCATGTGTTTCCTTGTCGGGCCTATGCCCTGCATGAACTTGAAGAGTATCGAATTTCAAGCCATCGTCGAACTTCTCGATCTTATAGGGTTGAAATGGATCATGTCCTTCTGGAAGTTCACTCAATTTCAATGGTTCTCCTCCCATTTTGAGATCGGGCCCAGTTTTTCCTGGAGCGATTGTCTTGTTTTGTTGTTCAGGATGGACAAGACTCAACGATATCCGGAAGATGGGCGCAGGATTTCTGAGGCAAGCACATATGTGATCAAAATAGCAATGTTGACGATGTTTTCATGTTCATATAAAAACAAAGGGCTGAGGAACTGTATTAGCTGCATCGATGCAGCAATAAGGTTTTCCAAATAAGTGAATTCTCCCTCTCAAGATCTGGTGCAGCTTGACACAAATGACCAGAATTGTGGACTCGGTGAACTTCCTAATTGGGCTGTGGGGTCGACCGAGCCAATCGGCGGCTGCATGTTTTGAGTGCGTGCCGGGGTGGTGAACGTTGAGTGGCAGCTTTGACTTTCTCGGGGCCGACAATGGCTTCGCCGCCTTGCTTTGCATAACTGCAGCTACTGGTCTGTCTACTACCAGAACACTGTCAAATTAGAATTGTGCGTCCCGGCAGCGCCCTTCTTCACCCTTCGACAGGTGTCTTGTTCAATTGAACCGTCAAGAGAGAGACCTGGACCATGGCCGAGAATGACACCTTTTTCGCACCGAGCCTGGCTCGCGTTTACGCTGTGGAATACCCCAACCGTGCTACCGCGTATTTAGCCCTTTCAATTGCCTTATTTTTGCTATTATATGGCTTCAACCGCAAGGGCGCTCAAAAGCTGGCCTCCGGAGTCTTGGTGGTGGGCGGCAGTGACAAGCAGAAAATCCACACAAATCGCGAGCGCTTCCGCGAACATGCCAAGGAATTCCTTGAGGAAGGCTACAGAAAAGTACGTGACAGATACACAATTCTGCTGCGGTACACATGACTGATGAATCATAGTCGGTGGACGGCTTTTTCTACGTCCCTAGCCCTCTTGGAGAACGGTTGATGATACCGGTCAAGTATCTTGAGGAGTTGAAGACAGCCCCGATTGATGAGGTGGACTTCGTTGCTACATTCATTGAGGTAAGAATTCCCTAACCATTGAGTGCTATCGAAATTTTCCTGATTGAATCAAATAGATGTTCGAGGGCAAGTATACAACAATGGGTAGTCGATCAACCTTGCATCCCCGAGTTGTCAAAGCACAACTCAACCATCACCTCGGTGCGTGCTCAGATTGTTCAAGATTCTGCACAGCGGACCAGATTTTCAAAGCTAATCTTGCGAAGCCGACGTGATGCCGGGAGTGCAACAGGAAATCGTTGACTCTTTCGCCGACTTATTCCCTGTATGCGAGGGTAAGCTATCCCCTCCATTAGTGTCTGGACAACGCTTCTGATGCCGAGATGTGCAGATTGGACGCCTGTGCCAGTAGTGCCAATATTGACACAGATCGTGGCGAGGGTTTCCAGCTGCATGTTTGGCGGCACAACCTTGTCCCACAATAAGCAATGGGTTCAGTCGTCGATTGACTTTGCCATTGACGGGTTCATCGGCGCTCAGAAAATCAAAAAGTACCCCGAGTTCCTCAAGCCATTGGTAGCACGCTTTATCCCCGAGATTCGGAAAATTGGAGAGCACTATGCAGCGGCAGAAGCTGCTGCTATTCCCTTGCTCAAAAGCCGCCGGCAGACGGGCGAGAAAGCGATGGACCTGCTGTGTTGGATGGATGAGCAAGCCAAGGGAGAGGAGCAGGATCTCAAATTTTTGGCCGGAATCCTCTTGAAAGTCAGTTTTGCCGCTATACACACTAGTGCAGCAGCACCTGCACAATTGCTTTACGACCTGTGTGAGCATCCCGAATTTATCGAACCATTGCGGCAAGAAGTGGACAGCGTCATTGGCCGCGATGATTTGATTGACAAGTCCGGATTTCTGAAAATGGTAAAGATGGACAGTTTCATGAAGGAGAGTCAGAGGTTTAACCCCTTACTACTGAGTGAGTTGAATTCCAAGTGCGGCGAAGAACAAGGAGCTATGCTGACTTGCTTTGTGACTGCTGCAGTCACTTTCGAACGTGTGATTCATCAACCGTTCACATTGTCCTCGGGTTTCACTATCCCGGCGAATACAACAATCGGCATTCCGACGCAGGCTATAACGATGGACGAGTCCCTGTATCCCCGTCCGGGGGTATTCGATCCTTTCCGCTTTGCCAAAATTAGAGAAGAGCGACCAGAGATGGATGGTCGTGCGCAGTATGTCGCATCGAATCCCGAGTCACTGAGTTTTGGGTACGGGCGCCACGCATGTCCGGGACGATTCTTTGCTGCCCAAGAGATCAAGGCCATCATGGCTTACATCCTGCGAAACTATGACATCCGGTTTTCTAAAGGTCAAGACCGGCCAGAAAGCCTGCGGGTCGAAACACAGTACTTGCCACATCCAGCAGCTACGGTGGAATTCAAACGGCGATCGTAGGGAAGTCAGGGTAGATTTCTCTAGGGGCGCAAATCGAAGGCGGTTGAAACTTTACACATGGTTGGATGATTCGCCCATCGAGTTCGTGCTCGCCTAAGAGCACTGGCATAGGGTTTGATATATGTTTCACGCGGCTGTCAAGGCTGTCCACGGTCTGTTCTGCATTGAAAGCACAATTTAGATAGTGGCGTGGTCTTGATAGAGTTGCCGAGGTACACACAACAGGCTCCCAGAAAAGGCATGCCAGGCAAGAATAGTCACAAAGGTGCGTGGACTACTACGAGCTGCGTATGTTCGCGCTTACACCGGTTGTTTGTTTTTCGCAGCAGCAGGAATTTGATCCATCAAGTTGAAACGGGCCCCCAAAAGCTTAGTTTTCGGTATGTGGCTGGGTCCGGGATGCGACGGCCTGCAAGCTCATTACGGGTAGAAAGGACAGGGAATCAGGTTCCCCGAGGGCGCAGACTTTCGAGGGACTGTGCCGCGCGCTGTCCGAGCATTGCTTTAGGGCGGGCGCGCTTCAGCCCAATCTAAAGCTGATACTGGGGAGTAGCTCGCTTTCGCCTGGCTGCTGTAATCTTTCTTAGTCGAAGTCTATCTGGTCCCGAGGTTGCGGTACTATTTTAACATTAGCGCGGCAACCTTCTCTCTTTTTGGCTTGGGTCCGGAAGTATTACCACGTGCCAACCAGAATTCTGTTGCGACTCACCTCGGGCGCAGGGCTGTAGAGTTGCATTCACATTGCGTGAGCCAGTGGAAGTTTATCTCACGCCACCATGTTGGAAAGCCATCCGAAAGACAGCTCTAGATTCTTATCTACCAATACCCGTTGTCATGCCGCCTAAGGCTTCCTGCAGCTCCTGTATCCTAAGCGCCACCGATCCCAAGTTGCCCTGGTGCGAGTCCCAGCCTTCTCTTCCCGCTCGGCGCTCTAGTCCATCCAAGAAGCGGCTAAGGCGTCGCACCTGCAGGAGAACCAAGAACCCAAATACTTCATGCCACTCCTGCGCACTATCAATCCGATATTGGCCAAGATGGATTGGGGACCATCCGCGCGCATGGCTATCCGTGTCCGCATGGGACGCTATTCCCTGCTGGCCCGAGAACATTTTACTCGTTTCGTCCCACGTAGAAGCCATGTCTTCGAGCATACCTGTCATCTTCTCTACTAGTAGTACCGAAAATGTCATGACCCTTGACGGGCTGCGGCAGGAACGGCAGCTGGCCAGTGCTTGGCATTGTGATATGGACCCTTTGAGTGCATGCAAAGCCTTTTCTGCCATACAGAGGCTGGTGGACTTTCTGTAGCCTTGGATCTTTTCGAGAAGAGCGAGGGTGACACTAACGCAGCGACAAGGCGATGGCGAAGGCGATGTGTTCTTGAAATGCAACCCCAGCCTAGTGGCGGGGCTTTGCCGTAATTGACGGAAACTCGGTGCAGTTGCGGTTCCCAGATTCCCACTCATGGCCCCTAAATAGGGCGTAGAGGCGGTTGTAGAAATCACGTCTTGAGAAGAGGCCCTCGTTGGCGGTCTATTGATCGATTCCTGAGGATGGTGCTCCTTTGCTAGCTCAAGCTTCCTCTTGGAATGCTGGTACAAATTCCAATCCATGTCATCTGAGTCTTGATTAGCATTGAATCCCACTTTGTTGAATTTTGATCCAGGCTGCAGGAGTCATTCTAGCTGAATGACCAACCAAATGTATCGGTATCAACACGGTAGTGTTGGTTGAGAGGACGAGATGGGCTCACCTGAGGATGTATTACTTCTTGCAATGTCGTATGTGCCTTCACATGACCCTGAATCGTCCTCAGGAGACGTACTCGACGCAAAAGTACCATCCAGCGCGAATCCTCCGCCCTCATTTTCAGGGAACGAGATGTCAGCTTGAAGGAGTTCATCCATGTCAAAATCTTGGAGACTTGACTCGATATAATCCGGCAAGGTCAAGTCATGAGTCTCCGGGCTCAGGACTACGTCTTCCCCACCTAGTCGGGCCCCAGATGCTGGGGCGGAGTCCTTTGAAAGTTGAAATGACGACGGTGTCACCTGGGCTTCTCCATCTGCCGCCACACGCGGCGGTCTGGGAGGATGGTCATGATTGGTAGCTCCCAGGTTTGGTTGTCCTGGTGATTGACTTGAAGGCGACCGTCTCAAACTTTGTCGGGGCGAGTTAGGGACGATCAAGAGCTCCTCGGAGCTTGATGGCGTAGGCTCGTTCGACGACGTGTTTCTACGTGATGTCGCTGGTCTCTCAGCCCTGCGTTGTCTGGACTGCGAGGTAGAAGAGTACGTGCAGGACAGATTTCGATCCCGACAGCGCTGGCAACCAAATCTATGCCCAGTGCATTTTAACTAGACGAGACCGGCGATTAGTTTGATTCTTTGAATTGAGCAATTGAAGACACCTACCTTCTTAACTCTACATCTATCGCACGCGAAGTGATTCTGATTCTGGCCAGATTGTGGTAACTGAGTCGTGCTCGAGATACAAATTACTTCTCCGTCCCGGTCCTCAGCGCGAAGGGTTGCGAACATGGTCGAAAACTTCAGGAATACGCGAATTAGAGTTTGTCAGTGCTCAATGGAAAGAGGAATTCTCAATCGGGATTGTCTATATATACTTCCGAACAGCGAGTTGTTTAGATACATGCTGCATGGTCCCACGTTTGCTGGAGGGATCACAATTCTATTCGAACGGGCGGCTTCGCTGCTTCTAGTCTAGATCAACAGCCCCCAAACTCTATTGGTAGTCCCAAACTTTAAATCACACCGTCCTGCACGTTCAACAGCAATGCCCAATTGGGGTTTGCATTGTTTTCCTCGCTTGTCGTGCAACGGGTCTAGGCCTTGAAGCGACTCAAGTATCTAGCTGACTGGACCTCATTGACTAGTGGGTTCGCGGATCACACGTTTCAAGCGAGGCGTTTTAAGCTCACGAACACCAGACCCCCTTGCAGCGCAGCCAATCTGGGCTGAACTCCCGACGGGTTTACCCCGGCTGAACAAGGTCTCTTCTACTCGGAGGTGACCCCAAGTTAAGCTGAAGCGGTGTGATTTTTGGTACGAGCGGGTAGGACCGATGGATGAACAGAGCTATAGATAACCCCTCCGCATCTATCATGGACAAAGTCGATCCACAAAAACCTCTTCAATTCCGCTCGGACATCACCCCAAGAAGCTGCGTCAGACATGTCCGTCGCCAACCTCAGCCAAGGCTTTAGCCAAGTGTCTCCCGGTGGGAACACTGCCATGGCACCCACCATCAGAAACCACAGCATAGTCTGGGGTGAGGCCGTCTCGGAACGACAGAGCTCGAGTAAGCACTCCCGGTACATGGTCGGCAAATGACGGTGCGGTAGCCGCACATTTGACCACTGCAAGAAAACATGTGAGCAAAAGGCCAACAGACCTATGCGCAACACCTCCTGCAGGCTGTCGGATGGGAACTTCATGCGAACCACGCGATACATGACTGATGCCATGGTGTCGAGGACAATTTCTTGTGATATCTTTCGCTGGGATCCTGCCGCGTAGTTGACGAGCGAGCAGAAAATTTGCATGGTCTCCCAAGCTTTACTAAGTGTGGAATCGGTTACACCCAGGCTTCGACTGCTAACAAGTTGTTCCTCCTCAAATCGGAATGAGGATGGAATGAGGTTTGAAATTTGGTCGGGATACGCCACAAACTCCTCGATACTTGGGTCGTTGAAAAAGATTGGGTCAACACCAGAGTGAATAGCCATACCTAGATCACACCTGCTCTAGTCTCAGTTTTTGAATCCCCAAGAAGACATGAACCATATCCACCGCTTCAAGGACACTTACCTGAAAATTTCTATGAGGAGTTTGGGTCTGGTCTTCAAATCTTCAATGCCGCCTCTCATGTCTATAATCCTTCGAAGGCCAACAAGATGGTTTCTGGCTGTGCTATACTGACCAAGCCGATGAGCATGGCAGGCTAGAATCAGGACTACCATGACTGTGTTGTCAGATAATTTCAACTTTTCGTCCTCACTCCCTAACCTTTCTCGAAGAAGACGAAGAGTCTTGGAAAAGGGAGTGTATGTTGGCATTAGTGGTGATACAGGCTCCAATTCACGACCGGCCAGCAAGTCGAAATAGACTTGTACGGCGAAGATCGTGGCATTGAGGTAGACCGCATCAGTGCAGAGAGTTGCAACCCACGAAGCCTGCGGTGGCTCGATCAGTTCCATGCAGCTTTCTAATGGGAACAAGGCCGCTTTAGAGATAGATGTGACTTGAATAGTGTTAACTAGCTTAGATCGGGCTCGGAAGCAGCATGCAAAACTTGGCTGTAGGAGGGCGATGAGCTTACACTTGATGACAGGGGCTGCCAATGATAAGTCGATTTCGTCCGCAAAAGGGACGAACGCCAGCTCTGAGCCCACTCTTGTCCGGATAAAGCCGAGTGGTCGATAATCCCAAATGGATGGGCCTTGCTTTGGGGTCTCGGTAGTATCGTCTGTTGTCCTTGCATGGGTCGAGCTTCCAATACCTTTGCCTTTAGTGTGGTGCAACTTTCCCTTATTCTTGCCCTTCATTACGTGGCTTCTGATGAATCTCTGCGTCTCTTTGTCCGGCCGTTTCACGTCTGTCGAGACAATGAAAGGAAGTTCCACTGTCTGCTTCGCCATGACTGGCTTCGGTATGTGCCAGATCATATAGAACGGAGCCAATGTGGAGAGTACTATGCTATTTCGTGGATCCGAAAGAGTCTAACGCATCCAATTGCTTGTATGTACCTTACTATGTCATTCCGTGTTGTTGTCTTCGCTCATATTGCTTACCTCTCTAGGTACGACTCGAGAGAGGAGAGGAGCTTTATGAGCAATCGTCGACGGCTAGCCGCTTACCCGGGGAAGGATTCTGCTTACGCATCGCCAAGCCAGAGATCGTTTTCCTCTTCGGGGAAAGTGTAATGGATTCCTCTCAACCGAGCGATTCTTACTGGGGTCGGAACAGGATCCGAAATGTGGTTGGACCCGATTGTCCTGGTCACTGGATAGAATTCATCGGTGGGGTATAGGCATTTGAGCTTAATATCATCATAGTGTTATGCTTCCAATCAGAAAAGAAAAGTTGTTAAATCGAACAACGTTCGAAGCTCCCAACGACCATGTCCGCTGTTAGACGACATCGGCAACGTTTGACATCGAAGCAATCAATGGTCATCCTTTACAACACAACCTTTTCAATAATCTGCGAGCCACAGCATTCTCTCTTGCGAGCAGGAGGCTTCACCATGAACATTGACATATTTAAATGCGCTTGCATAATCGTTGCTCAGCTGTCATCTAATGCTGTTAGCACATTGCAGAAACTGAATTTTTTTCAAGGGCTGGACGAAGATTTTGTAAGTCTTAAGTGGGGCTTTTGACTCGCAGATGAATCATTTCCGCTTGTGATTTTTGTAACTAGAGATACGTCGGTATCCTGCCAGACTCGTGAAGCGTATCAACCATGACAGGAATGGCAGGAGAAGCTGATCAAAATCACTATAGTCGAAATACAGTCAAATGGATTCTACCTGGGTATCAGTACAAACTATGTTATAGATAGAGCACCACAAGTGTCGGCCAGCCTAAGAATGAATATGACAACCTTAGCGTCAACACAGTGCTTCCTCCTCACGAAGAATTCAAATCGTACAAAGCTGAAAGTCGAGCGTGTTGTTTTGAGCATGTTATTTTCCTGCCCGGATCAAAACATCCCTTACGTATTGAGCAGCAGTGGAGCTCAGGACTTGGGAATCACGGGTAGTCAATAAGGCAACAAATTACTTCATGCCCAATGTACGGAAAGCTGAGACCGTTGTAACTACGCATGGCAAATATTGGTTGGGAAAGCGTTGCGCTATCGCCAAACAAGTGATATGGATCTCCAGGGCAATTTTTCCTTCTTTAACAAGCACCAGCAGAGTTTTTCATCAATTCACAATTAGAACACCTAATCCCTAAGTGCAATGATCGCAGTCTCAGAACAAGTTCGAACCACGCGCAAGCCTGCCGACTGATCCGCATATGACGAATCCCATCCTTTATCCCACTTTCGATGCTCCCTTTCCCCTCATGCAAGGCATTCTCCAGATTCTCCTCACACTTGCGGCTCGACCTATAAAGCGGACCGCAGTCTGTCGCCAAGAATGCGGAGATGGCCCGGCAGCGGGACAGTTCTCAGCGACGGCGCGATGCGCCCAATGACAAACACCATTGTACAGTAACTGCACGCGTCATTTTGTTCCTGCAACATACATGTCGACCCAAATTTGACATTACACCTGACGGTCACTGTTCACGTTGTTATTTGCTCTGTTTTGGGATCTTACTTCATTAAGTAATTGCGTATATGATCAACTACAGACGGGATGTCTTCACCAGCTGTGATAGAGAAGCCTACAGGCATAAAGCAGTGTAACGATACATTTGCCGAAGCAAGTACCTCTCCATCGATCCGACGAGCCTTTGCTAACCCCAGTCTCAGCCTGCGGAGACAATGGTAACCCACGAGGAGAGCGTTCTTCATGAAAATGTGCATGATGCGTCGAGAAACAAGAGGCTCAATAGGATTCTTGATATGAGGATTATTCCGTTATGCTGTTGGCTATATCTTCTCAATTTCCTGGACAGGGGCAACATCGGTAACGCCCGAGTCCTCAATCAGGAGACAGGCGACGACATGCTCCACCAGACCCGCATGACATCGACAGACTATGCGATAACGCTAAGCGTGTTCTCGCTTGCCTATGCTGTTTTCGAGGTACTGTCAAATTGGGTTATGAAGCATTACATTCGGCCGTCTATATGGTTGGCCCTGCTTCTCGGGTGCTGGGGTGCGGTGACGATAGGATTTGCCGGCGTTCAGAACTACGCAACCGTCCTCTCATTGCGCCTACTTATCGGAGTCTTTGAGGCCGGTTTCTTCCCTGGGATTGTCTATCTTATTACGATCTGGTACCGCCACAACGAACGAGCGTTGCGTATTGCCCTCGTTATTGCTTTCTGCAACCTCGCCGGCGCATTTGGCGGTGCCGTTGCGTATGGTATTGGACACGTCAACGGCACTGCTGGACTGCAAGGTTTCCGGTGGCTTTTCATCATCGAAGGGCTTATCACTATCGTGAGCGTGCTGCCGACTCTGCTCATACTGCCAGACTATCCCGCTCGCGCCAAATTTCTGACTGCCGACGAGAAAAGGCTGGCCGAAGATCGGCTCAAGGAGAGGGGAGGCGGCTATAACAGGGAGCATGCTACAAAGAAAGAAATCTTAGCAACATTTCTGAGCCCACGAATGTTGGCCCATTACGTTGCCTATGTAAGTGGCTATCTGGCAGTGCAATCTAGAAGTGTGAGGGCCCGAAGGCACAGGCTGACCGCGCTGGCCCGATTCTAGATTGCCAACGTGGTTCTTCAAGGTTCATTCACATTCTACTCTCCAACCATCGTCACAGGACTTGGATACAAGGTGAGACCAAATCCTCAATGCGTAAAAGCGCGCAATATTGCTCACTTAAGTATCCCATATTCAGTCCATTCAAGCACAGCTCATGACTGTCCCACCATGGTGTATTGGCTTCTGCGTTGCAATAAGTCTCTCCTACTCGGCCGACCGCTTCGATGCTCGAGGTTGGCATATCGTGGGTGCTTCAATTGTCGGAGGAGCTGGCTGGCTTACAGCCGGTCTTCTACCGCATGATGCCTATATTCAGCGATATGGGTGCCTTTGCCTGGCTGCTGCTGGTGCTTTCCCATGTGCGCCAGCTATGACAAATTGGGTTACTTGCAACACGCCGAGTCTACTCACGTGAGTGTTCAATCCATCTCCAACTGAGCCTGAGTTGTCTGACAGAGTTCTACAAATCCTAGTATCCCGTTTGCCATTGCGGTGCACAATTCATGCGCTGGAATCGGCCAGATCATTGCACAATGGATCTGGAAGTCGAACGAAGCTACCCAAGGATACCCTACTGGTAACTTTACCTGCGCAGCCTGCTGTTTCTTCGTCGCTTTTGTGGCCGCTGGTCTTCGAATTTTGTATGCTAAGATGAACAAGGATGGAACTCGCGACTCGCGAGGGGAAAAGCGAGTCTGGTCGTATTGATTTAAACGAATGCGTCAGTTCGAATTTGGTGCAAGAAAGAGTAATCAAGATGTTTAACAACCTTTTTAAAGATAATTGGAAAGTTTTGGTTGGTGTCTCGAGAAGTCAATATATCTCATTGAGATGCATTCGCAAAAAGATGTCAACTTGGCTCTAGAACCCTTACGGACGATCACGACGATGATGACTGCCTGGGTGTGAGAGAAAACAGGACCATTTCGAAGTTGGAAAAGTACTTCTTGACTCATTGCCCAGAATCAGCTACCAAGTGCATGATTACAAAACTGGATTCTTGTCTTGATCAACCACGCCACCAATCTGTCAGCTGTAGCTTTGCGTATTATTGCTGCTTGTTCCGAGAAAGACAAAAGAATAAGGCAGAACATAATGAGATATATATCATGGAACATCGTCCGGTCTCATTGTCTCATCATCAGTTGCACAACATCGAAGGCCCCTCATGACAGTGCACAGTGTATCAGATGGCTGCTCCCTAGACAGTAGTTGGGGCCAAGTCCTGTCAGCAATGTACCGCATTCGACTAAAATAGCACCATTTGTGCTACCAGTAAATAAATTTGGGTACCAAAGGTCTATTTCTGTGTGCATGATTCTGAAGTCGAGTCGCAATTCACATGTCGTGAACGATGCAGCAGGAGGATGAAAAAGACCGCAGACGAGCCTCTTATAGAGAAAATCACAAGGAGTTGCTGGCTGAGCACGGAAATCTGACTTTGGATTCGGAATGTCTGTACCGAGAGCCCAAAAGGCGAAATACTAACAATCTAACAACCGCCGTGGGGTAGCATCTTGTCTGAAACTGCCACTGAGCTCGGCCGGGAGATACCCAAAGCCTCCTCCCTGGCAAATGAGCAAGTATGTGGAAGCCAATTGTGCTGCAAGAGACGTGTCGCGAATTCTGGTTACTGCGTATTAATTGTCACATGCTGCTATTGTGGCGAAAGAGGAGGCTTCGACTTCGACAATGTGGAGTGGAGCCCCATGGCGGAGACTGTTGGTCAAAGAGCATAGGCTGCACTTGCAACTGCTTCAAATCAACAGCTTTTAGTCTAGTGAGGGAATGATCATGTTTGTCTCTTTTTCGAGCTCAATATTGCCGGGCCATAAATCAGAGTGCATAAGGCGTGGTCGAAAGGCCCAGTCCTCGGATTCCAACGGATGCAAGATCCTTAACATCACCTTACCGTGACGTGCCTCCTTCAGGAACCCCAGCTTATTATTCTTCCTGTGAGCTTAATCCTTCGTCTCGCAACCCGGTTTAATGTATTGGATGGAAGAATCCTCCAATAACTGTCGCCACTTGTTGTCCTTCAGAACTTTGTCTAAATGTGTTGATGCAAGAAATCCGTATTTGAAACCATACGACTTGCTCTATATCTTTGTAAGATTTTACGACGAGAGGGATCCATTGTACTATCTTGACAACATCATGACCATGCTGAAGAGATCGGTAGCGTAGGTCGAAGTCTTGGGCTTGCCAGTCCTGGCTTGAAGGCTGCGGCCGCAGGTTTGGCTTGCATTCAACAAAGCGCCCATCCAAGCGAGTCGAAATGGCATGACCCTGTCATAAATAAGTGAAATGAGGATCATTCAGCAAGACAACTGTGACTTCCATGTGAATGAGACAGCGTAAGAACAGCGGCGCGGATGATTGATGAGACTTGATACAGCTGCGAAGTTGAAGAGAGCCCAAAATACAACGTGGTGATATCCACGTACGACAGGACAACGGGGGCCGTCTGACACACATCTGTATTTGACCATGTTACTCCTTCTCCGACACACAGCAGACATTGGCGTCCAGCCAGGCTTAGTCAATGCTGGGCCGATTCGTAAGGCCACTGCAAGACGATGCGTCGCCAGGACATACTTGATAGCCCAATGCATGGTTTCACGAACACAGGCAGCAGCGAAGCCCATGGCTGTGCAGGGCTTTACTTGACCGATGGCGGTGCAGGTTTCATCCGTCGAAAAGGTGGAAATGGCCACAGCTGAGCAGGCCCTGCAAGTCTGACCATTTGTTGACTGTTCTTCCCGTTCAGAACACGAGTCGGATCAGTATCAAAATGCCGTCACTGTCGTGGGGCTGCTTGTTGGCTTCTGGATGCATCATCTCATCGTGCAGATGGGCGCGCAATGAAAACACGAACTTGCCCGTCAGCAGATGACCGCATGAATGATGTCTCGGCTCGAGAAGACGTCCAGATGTACTCCGATAGAGCTCAGATTTTCCGAGGTTGCGACGTGTACATCTCGGCTCGATTTGAACTGTGGTGTGTTACAGCCTCTCGGGTGGCTGCAACTGTGGACAGTGACAGCATTACGTTGTGTGCTAATTAATTCTCCGCACAGTGACTCTGGTTCGCAGCAGGCAGAGTCACATCGCCCGCGCGTCAGCTCAGTCTGCCGCAGAGCGCGGGATTCGACAGAGTTGAATGAATGGGTGGACTGGGCAGCCAGATCGCCCTGCACATGTGTGTGTGCTGCCTCAAGTCCCGGCACGCACCGTTCGCTACTCACTCCGTCATGTCCATCCAAGGAGGGGATTTGCTGGCCCAATAACGCGGTGTCGAGCGACGATGATCAGGCTCGAATGCCTACAAAATAAGGCCATGCGACGCGGGTTGAGTTCTGACGCCGAACCAACTTGCGGCTGTCGCCAGCCGCGGCAGTATTTGCAGGCAGGTGATGATCAAGACGAGTTGAGTAGTTCCGGATGAAGTCATCGTCCCAGGTTTCCCCTGTTGCCGAATTGGGGCGCCCTGTGTTTATGTTCAGCCGAGCCGGGCAAGACTCCCTCGCTGAGGCGTTTCTGTTTGGCTGCCCTAAAGCGTTGAAACTGACTCGGACGTCTGAGATGTTACATCGACCGTTGCGCAGGAACCAAAGAGCAGGAGACAAGTCTGTCTGCAGCAGGCGGGCCTCTCTAGACAATGAGGCTACAGGCAGCCTGCCAGACGACTAGTGCGATGCTGTGTGTACTAGATACAGCACGCAAAATGTAGATAGCCTACAGGTACGTACATACAGCGCACGAGTATCAGGGGCAAGTCGGAGAGGGGTGGGTGGGCGCTCCAGCCGCGGTGCCAGTGACCGCGAGTGAGGAGACAAACTCGCGGGATGTCACCCGGTTTAAACGCCGCGATCCGAGTCGATGGAGCAGCTGCAGCACTACGTCATGCGGCCCAGGTCACTCCATCCGGTGCCTCCCGTCAGACTCCGTCAGCGGCCACTATCATCTGGCCCGCAGAGCTGATGTTTAAAGACGGATACCGGTGAGGCACGACAGTTGGTGGGCGAGCAGAGAGGCAGACAGGCGGGCGACGACCGTCCACAGAGAATGGGCACAGCATATGACGTTTGCAGCAGGACAGGTGTCACGTCTTTATTGACAGGTTGGTAGCAACTTGTGTGACCATGACTCCGGAACGATCCAGAAACAGCACAGCACCTGCGTGCGCCTGGTCTTTTCTAAAATGAAATCAATGCCTCTGCGCCTCGGCTAGATGATCTGCCTACGACGACTGTAATATATCCCCGTGCTGCTATGGTATTGCGTTCGTCCCTGCAGCCAGAAGAGTCTGACCATGTTCCTTGATTTGTTATTGTTTTTGATAAATAACAGAAATCTCCCGAATCCCTTCCATTTCCCCCAACCCCTTCCCGCCCCTACAATACCAACTGGTTGCCGGGACCCCTACATTCTCGAGCTATTTTGTGCCTACGCCTTCTGCCAACTCAACAATTCACCCTCCACCACGCCACACTACTGCTGCAAGATCCGGTAGTGCTCGCCAGGCTAGTCCGAATCCTGTCAGCTTTCCTCTCAGGCACGCCAGGCCTCCCCCATCGGCCTCGAAGGTCCAACTTTCTGGTCAGACCTGGGCCTCTAGACCTCCAGGCCTCCCGACAGTCGCCACCAAGCGCTGTCGATCTAGCTGCGATCCCCGACCGGATACCACATCCGCTATTTCGATCCAGGGGGCTGGGATCATCAGCGAGTTTCACCGCTAATTCCGTCCCTTCTCCAAGCCAACTTCCAAGCCAAACGTCATCCTCTTAAGCTTTACCCCATATTTGGCTGCGTTGCTTTCCACACCCTTTCCCACCTTTCCCCATCGTTTTCCCAGAAAGGACATCGGCGCCCCAGTCACCCACATCAACCATATCTCTTCATTGCTACACACCAGAAGTGGACGAGGGCTAGAATCATAGCAGCCCACAAAGCCTTTCACAATTTCGTTATATCTCGCCGTCCATCCACCGTCTTTACACCATGTGGGCGTATGACGACGGTAGAGGCCGTCGGGCGAAGGATATACCCAGCACGCGGCCCGCGAATTACTATGATGATGCCTATGAGCGAGCACCCCCGCGCTCCTCACGCAATGCCTACCCGGAGCCTCAGCCAAAACATTCGTCGCACGATCGACACCGCCGCAAGTCTGCCCTGGTAGACCCTGACGAGCCAAAGGCGGCTCGACGCAACACACATGCAGGTGTCAATGTCGTTGCATCGGATGACGGATCAGGGTACCCCTACGGTAGCCCTCGGGATGTTTATGGGTCTCCTTACGCGGGCAGGAAATCCCGGCATGACGTGGAACAAAAAACCAGTGACAAGGACCGACATTTTCGAGAGAAACGGGGCACCTGGGAAACCGAGGAGGCCGAAAACCTAAGAAGAGCAAAGAGCTACAGCCCTCGGAGGGCAGCAAGAGAGGCCGAAGCTCCACGGCGGGTGTCGCCGCAGGCCCCGAAGTCGAACTGGCCTGAGGATGAATATACGACGCAAGCCGGCGGTGGCGCCCGCCATCGGTCATCCAAGAAAAGTGGCAAGGGACAAAAGTCCTACGAGGATGACCCCTACGCAAGCTACTACGCGAGCCAGGCACCACGCAGCAAGAAGCACGACCGTGGAAACGCCGGATACGAGTATGCACCGAACGCAGAGGAGATGCCTCGTCCCCCAATGGGCGATCACGCCCCGTACAAGTCCTCTCCTCTGACCTCGCACGCCGAGGCGGACGAGAAGCCCAGCAAGCACCATCGGAAGCGAGACAAGGACTACTACGGCAATGGGTACGACAACTATTCCGCGGCCGGAGCAGGCACTGCGTACGGCGGAGGCTACGGCGCGGCTGCAGCGGATGAACCACCACCTCGTCGCTCTCGCCACAGCAAGCATCACGACGATAAAGGTGCTGCAGATGAATACGGCTACGCGCCCCAGCCTCAACCCCGAGGCCGCCATCGGGCCGCACCTGTTGGTGACTACGGGGATGCCGACCCGTATGACCGCGCAGCACCAGCACGGCCTCGTCATCGCCAGTCCCTTCCCCCACAACCCCGTTCACAGTATCCCGATGATCCATATGGTGACCCTTATGCACAGGCTGCGCCGCGACGCAGAGCCACATCAGTGAACTATGGGCGTCAAGATCAGTATGGTGGAGACTCTAGGCGGGATCAATACTACGATGATGGATATGGCAGAGGAGGCGGCAGCCCGGCTGGGAGCAATGGTTCGAAGAAGAACAACAAGAAGAGCAAGGCATATGCTCAGCAGGCTGGCAAGCTCTTCATGACGCACGCGGTACCGGTCATCAAGAAAGAGGCTGTGCCGTTCCTGACGAAGGCTGCTCAGGCATACTTTGAGCAGCAGAAGAGATGACGACATTACGAGTGAACGGAAATGCTGGTCGTGAATCAGTCATGATGGAATATGATGTAGAATGCGCAAGACTAGAGGTTCAAGGGCTGTATTGGATTACAGGGCGGCGTTACAGCCGGAAGAGGTCGCCACCTCTTTTGAGTCACAATTGTGCTCAATATGAATCGACATTACGACAACTTTTGGCGGCACGAGCTCATGCGAATTGGTAAAGGATGGGATTCTCGTGGGCGTTTTAGGACTGTGGCAGGTGGACTGTACACGATACACATGGCGCAATATTCAAGCCCGCTCACTAAACCCTATATTAGCGAATACCTAGGTACTCGTAGCATAGCACAATTTAAAATATAAACATTGTCAAAATTTTCGACATTCAAGAGATATTATCCCTTGAATCTTGATTTTGCCAGTATCTAGGAACATGCGACTGACTCGAGGACGTCGTCTATGTAGCTCAATTTTCGAAACTCGCGACCTGGTGGCTAGATGCCTTTCTCGACGTGAAAATGGCAACTCGACGCGATTTGGCAACCGGCTTCCTTTGAACACTGCTATTACTCCCCCAGGCCGCGTGGGTGTCTTCAGAGCAGTCCACCCACATGACAAAGCAGAGCTCAATGAACCATTGGTATCAATTTTGGTTTCAGGCTCGTTACAACCTAGATTTCGGTAGCACAGTGTCCTTGCAAAACGTACCACATATGCTTGACCACCTCAAATGACTGTGAACTTAGCCAACGCGCTGCCTGAACCCGAATGAAAGCAGAGCTCTTGGTGCGGCGTTTGAGTTCTGTTTTCATACGAATCAGGCTGGTTAGGGCCTCTGTACTCTGGATGGCTGAAAAAGTGACTTTGTTTCTTGCCATACCAAAGGGTACGATAGTGACCAATCTATGAGGCTTGGGCCGCATGCGAAGAATTCGGACAGAGCATACAGAAAGGCAGTTGAAACCTGATAATGTTTGCTGAATAGAATACATCGCCTCATTTCGACTTCTCGCCTGAGCAAGCGTTCCCAGGATGTTAGTCTCCACGAGCTACCTCGCTCCGACACTCGAGCTATAAATGGCCGCCATGACATGTTTGCGATTCCAAGGCATCGCGTCTTTGTTGAAGTCTGCATGCCTCGTCTCAAGCTGTTATATGTCCAATCTTTCTCTCGAGAGGATCGTCATTGCATTCGAATATAATGCCTAGTCTCTTGCGATCCATCGCAACCAAAAGATGCCAATATTTGTCCTGTTCCTCACTAAAATAGCCCTAAAAGGCTTATTCGTGCCCAGAAGCGCTTTCCTTCTGCCAAATTCTTCAATTTGTCCCACGTATGGGCCTGACCTAGCCGTGAAAGAAGTTGTGTCCCCTGCCGCTGACCGTCATTCAGCTGCCTCACAAGTAATCGAAACCTCAGTCGTATCTCCTTCATCAATCTTGATATAGTCGAGAATGTACGGTAATGGATGTTCTACTCTACATTTAATGCTCCAAACTCTTTGGTACGAATTGTGTTGTGGGTTTCGCTTACCGATCCAGAGCGACCCCTTTGTACTTAGTAAAGGACTCCTAAAGCCCTGTCACGATGTCTGTTGTGTTGTAGGCGATGCACGTGCACATCTGCCAGCAACTAGGATCGTTGTGGGTGACAGCCCCTTCCGAGGTACAGCCTACCATAGAATAGCAGCTGCCGTGACTGCACTTGAGCATCCATTCGGTGCCGTTACCACGAGGCCACAGGCTGCGGACTATGGAAGGTTTGGCGTCGTTGTGAGTAGGCATGGAGAGAGCGACGTCAGAGAATGCGAGGCCGTAGGTGGTGGCCAGGACGATGGCCTGATGATATATGAGCCAGAGAGAGCAGAATGGGAATGGTTAATAGCTCACTGGAATCTTCATCTTGGGAATCTTGTGGCTCTTCTGATGGTGGTATGGGAGAAAGCTTGGACGAATGCCGTGGTATGGTTGTGTTGAGGTGGCGACGACTGCGGACAGTGATTCGAGTCCGGAGCAGGTTTTGAGAAAAGAGGACGTGCTTTGCTTCTTCAGGAAGAAGAAATGGATGTAGTGTGGAACGAGAGGAATTTGTCGCTGCTTTCAAGCACCATCCGATTGTTCGAGCCGCTCTACCATATTTGGACTCACTACACTTTGAAAGCGATGGAATACGAAGTCGTGACGAACATTTTCAGCACAATCAGATGTTGGCGGAGAGTAAAATCGTTGTCACATATCCCCCCCACAAATGTATGCTGCTGCCGGTAAAATACAGCGGAGGCCTTGCCAAATGTGGACGTTGATTAAAGGACCGGAGTGTTTAGATCATCGAGATTGTAGTACGACTTGATTGCTTGATCTGATCGCGAGACGCGTACCTGGTGTAACCTTGACATGCAGCGCTAAGTGGTACGGGCTCGTCCGGTAGGTGGGATATGCCCGTCGATTTTGACGGGTAATTTTGGACCCCTTGGCAGCTCCGACGTGGAGTTGAACTCTGCCACCATCAAGCGGTTAAAAGATGAACACTGTCACCATTGATATCTCTACATGAAACCTTGCACTATACAATTGTGGTAGCGTCACAGCAACGACATCACTAATGCCAGCACAAGCATATTCGGCTCGCACTATAGTAAACATGGGCATGCGCTATAATGAACCAGGATCATCTTTTCTGCTTTGGTCGCTTCGAGCGGAGATCAAGAGTGCCAATAAGGTGTTTCGCTGCTGTTCGGCCGGTGTTGGCAGTTGGGGTAGCCACGTGATCTGGCCCCTATTTGATTTGGGCGCATTGACCTTAGCAGGGGTCCCCCAGAGGACACCTGTCTCAGGGAGTGCTCAGGGGGCTTCTAGAGCAGGAGGAACTCCTGTCGGCTTTCAACCTTATTGGGACCTCCACACCACCACGACGAGTTGCCTCTCTCTCTACACACGCCGTCCGTCGATCCTTTCTGCAATCGCTCATTTGTTCTCCCAAACAGCCGGTACGGCACAACGTAGCCTCACGCCCAGCCAAGATGACGACGAAGCCCGTCCGCTGCCAGTTTCTCTGCGAGAAGCGGCAGCTGGAATTCAAGCATGATATTCCCTCCTCCCTGGTCGGCCCAGCAGCCCTTAGCAACCCTGCCATGCCCCAGATGTTCACCACGGTGATGCGGCCCATCGTTCTGGAGCATGCCGAGGCATCGCTGAAGGCCTGCGAGGACAAGTGCTCAGCCAAAGATTGTAAACGAGATGCCTCCACCGTCGTTGCCACGCCTATGTCGGTAAGTGAGACAGCCTCGGCGAGCCCTCCAAGAACACCGCAACTTGCGCCGTCAGGGCCTTTCCGAGGGCGCACTCAGGCGGCTCTTGATCCAAGGGGTCTTGTTGACGGTATTTGTAGTATCTTCACAAGACGGAGGATCCGTTTGTCATCATCATGACTGTTGCATGCTGCGGCAATGAAGATTGCGACAAGATCCTTAAGAAGGAGGCTGCAGACCTCATGATGCAAATGACAGGTGGCCTTCCGGGCCAGGCCACAGCTAGCTTCGGCGTCGCGCCGATGGCGCGGAACTCAAAGTGCTACTGTGGCTCGACTCACAAGTACAAGAAATGCTGCGGCAAAGAACAAGCTGCAGCTTAGTCGTTACCTCCGATGGCGCCTGGTGGAGGGCGGATCAACGACGGAGGCCACGTGGATGTCCAGGATATGCGCTTATAGGCATGGCCAGGCTTTATGGACCTCAATGGCTGGAGCCAGAAAAGGACAGGAAGCATCCAGCATCCATGGCATCCTAGGCTAAACGGACTTCTTGGACTTCAGAAGCCAATGGATAAGACGACCCAGACATTGAGCCCGGCCTGGTGGATCCAATTTCCTTCTTCGACAATATAGTGCCGGGGAGATACATACCACGCCATCTAGGTCACATTGCCTAGTACAGAAATACCTTCCCTGGACCTTCTCAGCGAGAAAAACCTCCGCGTTGGCAATCTCGCATAGATTTCTTTTGGTCGATTCAGTGACCTTGGATTAGACACGCACAATCATTAGTCACTCACTCTGAAAATTTTCGCCTGGAATCGGACCCAATTGATGCAACTCAACTCGCTGAGCCGCTACAGGGCTGCCGCTTTCTCGATCAGCGTATCTCAATCCATCGTGGTCATCCCAAGAATACAGACGAAGTAAACTCAAGTCTCATGAAACACTCACCAATGCTCCATTTTGGGAATTGCGAGTGATGATCTCTTCCGTTTCACTTTTCCGTCTTTTATATGCTTTGGCACAAGCATTTGCAAGCTGTACTTGAATAAGTCGAAAACCCCTTGCCTCCCCCCATTGCATTTTCACAATCACCATGACACACATATATAAAATTCCATCAAGCCCTCGCTAGCAGAAAAAGAAATTCTGGACTACTTCTTGAGAGAACAGATATGCATATGTGTTAGCTCTTCGCTCGGGGTGCTCTACACGCCTCTAGCTGCGAAGCTACCGACTTTGCTATTTCCCTGCTACGTTTCCAAAAGAGGTACACCGCCAACTGCCTTGCTAAAGAGTGTGTAACAATATTTACTTCCAGATCTTGAAAACCTAGAGGACATAACGACTGTAGTGTATCAGAATCCCAGTCTCCCTATACCTGCCAAGGGGAAAGATGTACTTACAATGCTAGGTTCTCCCTGTCCGTGAGGTCTAGTTGCCTTGCATCGACGACCTCTTCCGTCCGGTTGCCACTCTCGTCGACGTGTTCGACCACGCCAGTCTCCCTGATCTCACCCTTCTGGGCGAGAGAATCACGTCTCTTGTTCTCCTTGTTCAGGTAGTACCGCAGGTACAGCACCAGCAACATGGGAAAGACACACGCAACCCAGAGGATGACCCACCATGTTTCGATATACCTGGGTTTGTACTTACCCTGAAACAGCTGTGGTGACAGGATATTGCCCAGTCCATAGCCGACATGGTACAGAGCGATGACTTTGCGACGAGAGTTAGCAGGATTATTCACTCAGTACACAACCCCCTTCGAAGTGACCCAAAGCCGGTACTAATAAGCTTCGACTAAGAGCACGGGTGCATCGCCTGCATGTTATGGCTTAAAAGAAGTGAAGCCCAGCCGGATGAACTTACCCGTCGTCTTCTTCGTATGTCCAGCCGAGCAGTTGGCTGCCCAAATCATGACAACACTGTAAGCAATACCTCCTGGCGCCCGCATGTATATAGCAGCGAGCAAACCTGCGCGATTACTCCATGGCAGCGCGATCAGCAAGATGCAAGACACAATTGGCAGGATGTATGCACCAGCAGACAGCCATGCCCGTGCATTCTTTGTTCTGGAGAGTATGATCGCGGCCGTTCCAAGGGACACAAGCGCTGTAAGACCGTTTATGCAGCCCAGAAGGGTTGTGTTCAGCGTGCTAAATCCAAATGACTTGATAATAAGTGAGTACTGGTTTGTGAGCCCATTTGCCATCTCCTGAGACCAGGCATGAAGGAAGAAAAGCCATGTTTTGGGATCCCGAAGGGCTTCGTTGAACTGAGCTTTCTTAAATCGCTTCTGCTCGATACCAGAGTGATTTGACGCAATGCGCAAAATAGACTGCGCTCGTTCTTCCTTCGTTAAGAAGTGGGCAGATGCCGGGTTGTCGGGGAAGAAGAACCACACGAGGACGCCGTACAGTACCGTAAGGCCTCCTGTAATGACTTTGTCATGTAACGTGCTTGTCAGCTTGACTGTTCAAGTGCTGCATATCTCCGGATTCAAGAGCAGTGACGAACCCATAAACCACTTCCAAGGTGCAAAAGTGCCGGTCTTGATGAAAAGTACCCCATAGGATAACAATCCAGACGTGATGGGGCTTGAATTGCCGCACGCCCACATAATCTGCATCAATACACCTTGCTCATCATAGGTGAAGAACATCGACAAAATGATCAAAAACGATGGCACAATACACGCCTCTGCCAAGCCTAGAAGAATGCGTACAACAAAGAGGGAGGCAAAGCTGTTACACGGGATGTGTAACAACAGAATCCCACCCCTGAACGGAGAAGATAGCGCCAGCGTCAGCTTTCATTGCAGGAAAGGCTCCGAGTTCTTCGAAAACTCACCAGATAATGAGGTTGACTGCCAGATACTTGGCCACTGGGAATCGCTGCAGCGCCATGTTTTGAGGTACCTCTGCTACTAAGTAGCCGAGATAGAAGATCGAGGACAGCCAATTGTATTGGTCGGTAGTCAAGTTGGCATCATCAATAATACCGAGGATGGAAGAGTTACCAAGCTACATACGCGCATACTGTCAGTTATCGACACCGTTCAAACCTGAGATTTCTCGATTACTTACAGTCTGCTTATCCACATACATCAAGTGGTAGCCCAGACAAATGAAGGGTATCACCCAGCGGACACATTTCTTTCGAATCCTCTCCGCCTCCTCTGGCGTGGGCGGCTCGACTTTGACCTGGGATAATAGTTTGTAACTTTCGTCAGCATAGCGATCAAGCAGTTTGGGGACTGCTGTCGCTGATCCATCTTCGCTGGATGCTGTCTCTACGACGGGCACTTTAGACGTCGCCATTGCCGAGTGCTTGATTGACCTGGTACTGGCGTGAAAGAAGCAGCGGCTAATTCTATAGCTTGGCGAGGTAGTAAGTTAAAGCCAAGCTTGCGAAGACCTCGATATGGACATAAGAAATTGCGACCGCCGTCCGACCTGGTGGTAAACGGCGCATTGGGTCGCATCATCGCTCGCGACGCCCCGCATGGATGGCGAAATACACCAATTTCATTCGCAGTGGGTATCTTTGCCGTTGCCGGTACTCATTTCTGTGGCATGAATTTTCAAATCGTAGCCATATTTCTATCATATTCCTTTTTAGATAACAATCATTGTCTCAAAGTATGGGTGCGGAGGATGGTCTGATAGGCACTCGCCATTCCTATCTCGTCTCACGCCATCATGGTTGTGGTGTGAAGGGCGCCGATTACGGTACTACCGCATTTACAACGCGAGATAGATATGTAATAACAAGACTAGCACGAGCTCATAGTTTAGGATTCCCGTAGTGACAATCAAACCAGGATCTCGGAAGAAGCCATGGCAGAAACGTCCAAACTTCAGATCGCCATCATCGGTGCTGGCATCGCCGGCCTTGGCGCTGCCATCGCGCTCAAGAACCACCCGGCCGTCGATGTACAAATTTACGAGCGAGCCAGCGAGCTGAGGGAAATCGGAGCCTCGATTGCGCTGGGGCCGAACGGCATGAGGACTCTGGACAGGCTTGGTGTGAACAACGCGCTAAGCCCTGATATCGCCTTCCGGAATAAATCCAGACGTCCCATGATATACAAGTAGGTCCCGGCTAATATTAGCATCTTGCAAAAACTACGATGGTTCTGCAATCTGACATCCAACGATCAGGCATTACAAGACCGGCGAGGTGGTTTCTGTAGACGACCACAAAGGCAAAGTTGACCAGCGCCACTTGACTGCCCGCTTCTACAGGGCACATCTTCAACAGGCGCTCGTCGAGCATGTCGACCCGTCCAGACTACATCTGAACAAGCCATTTGATGCAGTCATCTTCGATGAAAAGGTCAACAAGCAAGTCCTATCCTTCGGCGATGGCACCACGGCAACAGCAGATATCATCCTCGGGGCAGACGGGATCCACTCCAAGGTGAGAACCTTCTTTGTTCCATCCTCACGAACGGGTTGGACCGGCTGGGTCGCTTTCAGATCCGTGTTCCCAATCTCACATCTGGCCCACATTCCCGACATCCCCGAGGAGGCCGAGCATATATGGGGGCCTGACCGAACCTTGTTCGTCTCCAAGCTCGGAAAGGACTTGTTCACGGTCGTCGGCTCACACCAAAGCGACCCGAACGCTCCCGATGCTCCGTATCAAGATGCGTCGTGGGACTCGACGGGCGACGTGAATGTGCTCCGGGAGTTTTACAAAGACTGGCACCCGAAGTACCGCGCCATAGTAGACGCGACGCCGTGGACGGGAGTCTACCCAAATTCGGCAGCTCACGCCCTCGACACATGGGTCCTGGGTGACGGCAGGGTCACTCTTGCAGGAGATGCGGCGCATGCTCATGGGGGTGCTTTTGCGGCGGGCGGGAGTCTGGCGCTCGACGACGCGTGGGCGTTTGCGGAGTCGATTCAACACGTCTTCCCGCCGGAAGGGAATAGCACAGCACTCCCCCCTGCGGCGGAGGACATTACAAGGGCTCTACGGATCTACGAGAGGACCAGGAAGGCGCATACCGACAGGGTGATGGCGGTGGTCCACGAGCAAAACCAGAAGAAGGTTGACCGGCTCGGTCATGTGCAGACGGATGAGGAGCTCCGAGCTCGCTTGACGAATCGATATGATCCGTCGTGGATACACGAGCATGATGTCCAGCTAGCTTTCGCTCAGGCCTTGGACTCGCTGGCAAATTGACGTATTTGTACACGAACAGCACATGAGCTCGAGGGATATGATAGAAGAATATGTAATTGTTGTGGGAATAAAATTGCAATGGACAATGCTTGACTAGCAGCAGCGCTCTATTGTATAGCATCAACAACACGGCCCCAGTGGGCCTCGGGGTCGATCGGCATGAGCATCACACAATGAGTACACCTGACCATTTGCAGATGAATATTCGGCACGGCTTGTGGTACCGATCACATATCTTTGTCGACTATTGTGTGACGATCCAGGGCCATCTATGCAGCGGAAGGCTCTCACACAGGTCCAGCGATCGCTGACACCAAGGCCATTGGCCCGCGACGGATGATTATTATTAGTGACGGCTGGGGCCGATGAGCATGATGACGACTCCGAGATACGACCGACCTGGCGTCATCGAACTGCAGCTGCAGCGTGATCATGTCGTTGGTTGGGCCAGGCGCCTACAAAAAGTCCTTTACAGCCTCCCAGAATGCCTGGGGGCTCTCGCACATGGGCAAATGCCCCGCCTCGGGGACGACTTTCAGGTCCAGCCCCTTCTTACCAATACCAGCCTTGAAGCCATCCATGGCCTTCACCAAGGCGCCCTTGCCATCCCCATCTCCAACGACCAGTAGACCGGGGACGGTGGAGCTCTTCATCTCCTCGCGCATGTTGTAATCCCAGAGAGCCTGGCAGCCGTACCTAAAGCCCTGCACATCGTTGTCGGCGACCATCTCGGTCATCCAGCTTGCGACGTTAGTCTTAGCTGTCATGGTGTGCGGGTGGAACCACCGCTCAACTGTTGCGCCTGCCAATTTCTTGATGCCCGGAGTGCCATCCTCGCTGACAGACTCTGCTACGGCGATGCGGTCCTTCCAGGCCTGCGTGTTGGCTTCCGAGCTGGCCACATTGAAGTCGCATGCTACGAACTTGGAGAGCTTTTCCGGGTACTTCAGCGAGAACTTGAGGGTGGTAGCACCACCCATGCTGACACCGATCAAGGCGTGTAGCTTCTCAATGCGCAGCCCTGATAGGAGCGTGGCAAGGTCATCTGAGAGAGTATCGAGGGTCGACGGGATGGGCGGCTCAGGAATAGAATGACGCCCTCTGAAGTCGTATCGTAGTATGCGTAGATCGGGACGAGCCTCCTTCAAGATGCTGATGAAATCATCCCACATATGCAGGGATGTCAGCAGCGAGTTGCAAAAGGCTACAGTGGGGGCCTTAGGATCGATATTTCCCTCGAGGCGGTATGGGATGGTGAGGCCGTCCTTGGCGTTGACGTATGCTTGCAGGACCGGCTTACCGTCGTTTGGGGTCGTCTTCGTCTTTGCATCAGACGATATGAAGGCCTTCTCGGCAGGAAGTGCTGCCAGAGAGCTCAGATCCCTGGGGCCCGGCCCGAAGACGTAGAAGAGCGAGTAGGTCCTCCTGTGCTTGTTGCCAATGACCTTTGCGAAGATGTCCTCCCTCCATTTGGTGCTTGTGGCAGCCTTGTACTCGGGCCCTCCCAGTCCGTTCTCCTTGGCGTACTCGTGTAGGATCAAGTATTTCAGGGGCGCGTTCTTGTCTAGGCTGGTCGCCGTCCTGAATATGCGGGTGCGCAGCCAGCCAGGTACCTTGGACAACATGGGGATATGCTCCTCCTCGTACCACTTGTTCAGAGCCTGCTCGGCGCCCTCGGCGGCGGTGAGGGTGTTTTCGACAGCCACCAAGACCAAACCCTCTGCCTCGACGTCTGTGAGCTGCTCGATGGGCAGGAACAGTGGGGACTTGCGCTCAGACACCAGGTCGTAGAAATAGCGCTTGACATCAACCTGGCCGATGGTCTCTGCCTCGCGTGGGCTTCTGTTTTCGCGAAGGGACGTATAGGTCGGGGTGTCGAGGTGGGACATGGAGGTGACGTCGTAGGCGGCGAGGAAGTGCGGCTCCTGGGAGTCTGTGGCGGCGTAGCGAAGGCCGTTGCTGAAGATTTGCGGGAGACGGAGGCGGGTGGGGCCGTGCTCGTTGTTATACCACTCGTGAAACTGGTCGAGGGACAGACCCGGCTTGGGCTGCATGGTAACGTAGAGCATGCCTGGATTGGACCCCATCGTGAAGTGTGTGCGCGAGAGTGCGACACGGTTGAGAAGGCAGAGAGAGAGAGAGAGATGCTGATGGACGGTTTAGTCGGGCTCAAAGATGTCCAGATGGGGTCTAGGTTCTCTGGTGATGGTCCCGAAAGTAAATTGATCACGCTGAAGAGGTAGGAGGAGAAGACAAAGACGAAGGAAGGAGGAGCAGAAGCAAGAGCAGGAGACGGAGGCCGCACAAGGAGCCGACATGGCGACCTCGGAAGTCGTCACGGGAAATCAATCATGGCGCTCCCCACTCTCCGATCCAAGACGGACGGGTCGCCAGGTCGCGCACACTGGGGTACGGGGAAGCTTTGGGGTGCTGGTGGGTGCCGCGGAGGGGAACGAGATTCAGAGCTTGAGCTCCCAGACGGACGAGCTCGGGACCGCGGGGTAAGTAGATACCTGGGTACACCCGCCTGGATGGTGGATGGTGGGGGGTGGCAGAGGGGCCCGGCAAGAGTGGCCGGGAGAGAGTTCACCCGCCCAAAAATTGGGGGAAGCCAATCTACAGACCAGACATTGGAATATCGCGACAAATCAGGTGGAGGGCAAAGCAATCTTCCACAGGCCACCTAGGGACCTTTCAAGGTTGCGTCCTTTTTCCAATTCGGAAGTAACTCAGCCTTGCTCACCTCCGAACTCGCTATCAAGACTGCCGTTTTGGCCCAAGCAAAAACCCTGGCATCTGCAGGCAGACTGATGAACAACTCTGACGGACCACCTTGAGGAGGGTGTTCGCTATGTGGTGACACAAGCGGGACGCAGCAGCAATCGAGATGCCTCTCTTTGCTGGATCCAAGGCTTTATGTGATAAGCAGGCCAACAAAAGGCCTGAACATGGCTAATGGCCAGCGTCAATGGTGCTGGGCTGCTTGTAATTGGACAGGCCGCACATGTACCTTGAAGAAGGGACATCGCGAGGCTGTCCATCAAAGACCTTTCTCATGCAGAGGCAACCAACAGCAAGCTTTGATGACGACAGGCTAAGAGCATCTTGTCTTGTTGTATCTTGGCTTCCTGTCCTTTTCTGCAGAGCAAGTGCTCTCAAATTTCCCAACCAACATTGAAACCTGTGACACAGCCCTGTTCCATCGAGGCAAGGCTGCAGGCTCTTTGGTTTGTCCCATACGGATGCTTTTGTTTCCACTCACACACTCGTCACTCTCGTTTGCCCGCGAATTCGTCAAGTCTGTCTGCCTCTGAGTCTTTGTCTACATTCTCTCTTTCACCTGGCTCTGAGCCTCAGACTCCTTGATATGGCGATCTGCCTCAGACATGTTGTCTTGCCGGTCTTTTCAGGCCTCCTTCACACTTATGTCTGCCTGTCTAGGCTCCATGCCATATGCCTTCCCACGCCAATCAGGACGACGTCAATTTCTTATATGGTTCACAGGGCCACAAAAAGCGGTGCCGGCCGTCATTCTGGGGATGTAGACCTCGCAGGCCAAGCTCATCAGCCAGAGCCCGCCGGTCTGGACGGCAGACGACTGCGAAGGTCGCCGAAACCTCTTCCACCGCCAAGGTCATCAGCGATCGGGAGCCCCCTTCGAGTGCCAGTCACGCGCAGATCAACCCAGTTTCATCGGGTCGACGGCACATTTCCTCGCGGATCGACGCCATGGACGGCGGAGCAGATCGCCCTGTCTACTGGGCTTCGCCCATGGGTCACCAGGATTACCGCTCTCCACGCTCTGCGGCCCGAACCTGCAACCCCTGGCCCGTCATGCAACCCTTCCGCGCGCTTGTTGCTCTCGTTAAACGTTGTCCTTGGGCCTTTGCCTGGGATCTTGGTGCTCGTGATCAATCCTTGCCCGATGATGCCTACTACCCATCAGTGCCGCGGAGTTTCCTTCATGACACGGCTGTCTCGTTCGTTATCAAGGATCACACTCGCCACGACCTTCCCGAGTTCGTTATCTCGTGTCCATTCGAGCATGTCGACCACGTCCACCAACTGCTGGCTCCGGATGGATCGTGCCGTCAGCTCAGCGCCCGTGGAACGAGCGGTCAGCCGCGTACCGGTGACCAGTTGAGGAGCATGTTGCTGGATGGCACGCCCAGTATTGAGCTGACCCTGCATACGGACATGTGCAGAATCGCAACTGGCCACGACAACCGGCAGAGAACAACCGCAGGGAACGATGGAGTTGCGATTGTTTCGAGACCTGAACCGGGCGACGGCCGTGACAGTGGAGGTCGTGACGTTTTGGACGACAAGGTTGGCGGAGTTCAGCACACGTGAGTCTTACTTGCGCATCAATCTCGAAATCGCACCCGCCGCCTTTGTCGATTACTCACAGTTCACCACTTAGGACAGGTCGCCAATGATTGAGCCGGCTGGAGTCACAGAATCACCCTTAACCAACAACTCAGACATTACGCCGCTACTAAAACAAGAGCCAGAGGTCAAGCATCCAGTACTCTCGGCAGCCTCTCCACTGCCAGCACCCAGAATATTCCCGCAACCGTCACCAATTCCGCCCAGCTCCGGACAAGAGGGTGACGGAGGCTGTATCAAAAGGGGCCCTTTACAGGCCACTGTTGAGACCGCTCCTCCTACACCTGTTATGGAGCCGGTGAGGACAGGTCAAGATACCCCGGCTGCTGTTAAGCTCGAGAAAAGTCGGGACGAGAGGCATGGCAACCAAAAGGAGAGACATAGGAGTCGGGATCAGGGACATGGTGGGCGGGGGCAGGATAGCCCAGTAGATATGAGAGAACCGCCCGCGCTGCTCTACATGCAGCCCAGTCCTGAACAGATACGACGTGGAGAACCATTGACCGGGTGGTTATGCGAACCTGGATGGTTTCGTCGTAGGGTCAGGGACTTCACGCCTGGGAACATACGAGGCAATCAGCAGTGAAGGGCAAGAAGAGGCATGCAGTCTCTTTGTTGGGCTGCGTGGGAGGGACAACCTCATGGACACCCTCAATGTGCTGTCACCCCATGTCTGCTTCTCTGGCGAAAAGGCTTCTTCTGCCAGGTTGCTTTCCCTCAGGAAATCTCGCCCGAGACCATGAGGGGGGGAAAAAGGTGTACTGAACAGAGACTCGCTGTGGATGGTTTTAGTAGTGAATCACTTCTCAGGCTGTAAGCACTTTACAGGATGATGAGTATTGGGGGGGGGGGTGGAAGGGGCTCGGGGGGCAAAGGGGGGGTTGTTTGCTGGTAGTCTGAATGCCAAGCAGTAGTGGGAGCAGAGGTGCCGGGAATGCTACATGCCGGGTACGTACCTGACGCAAGACGACGTCAGGTCACAGCGTGCCTGGTTGCGATGATACTATACGGGACCCACACGATGCAGCTAGGGACAGGCTAGGGGCTGAGGAGGCGTTTTAACTGGACTGGTGGAGAGGCAGACGAGGGCGATCCCTCAGGTGGCGTGCCTGGACTGCCAGAACGTGAATGCGGATCCTCAGCACTATTTGGTTCTGGACTCTCTGCTGTACTGTGGGCTCACGTTCGAGAAAGGATCCTCCAACCAATTGTCTGCTTTATAGGTAGTACTGCTGTCACCTACAGTAGGTAGTCCTGGCGATAGGCTATAGCCTGGGTTTGCGCAGGAGGCAGGTGACTTGCACTCGCGTTACGCTGTCCTCCTCAGTACCTGTCTTGTATAGTCTAGGTAGACAGTACTGTAGACCAGTCAACCATGATTGTGCAGCGTCATACCAGCCGAGTTCCCTAGGTTGTATCACAAGTGCCTGGGTCGTGATGTGTTGTTAATTGGAGGTGCAAAATGCACAACACGCATGATGGGCAAACAGTAGCGCCACCGCGGAGAAGATGCTGGTCCTTTTTCAACAACCCCCCCTTGCTCACGCTACTGGGGGTGAAAAGAAGCTGCCAGACTATGATGAGGGTTAGATTACCTAGGCATGTACATGGGCACCTGGGTAAGTACGTAGGTAGACAGTCTAGTCTAGAAGGTGCCCTCAAGCCCGGAAGGAAGTGACGTAATGTGCAGGTACGCTTCTTCTCGCATTTTCTCAGGGTCCAGCTCTTGGTCTGGGCAAGTCTGGCAGCAGTAGTCACTCACTATCCTATCCACGCGGTCACGACTCCTCTGCAGTACGACTCCCAGGCTCTGCCTCAAGCTCAGTCAGTCCTCATCTCTCGCCCACCATCGTCACCCTCGCCGTCCCCATCGCAGTCATTTTCGCCGCTACTATAATCGCCAAACGTCAGATAGACACTCGCCCGTCCAGCGCCCCGTACGATGACCACTCGGCTGTCTGCACTGCACAGAGAAATATTTCCATTCTTATGAGAGAAGAGAGACAGGGAGAGGAGCGGCTGTTCATCTCATGACCAAGATCCACATAGTCTACTAGCCATCTAGGTATCTGTAACCCGAGTCTGTCACTGCGACTGCTGCTGCGACTGTTACTGCTTCTACCTTGACCATCACGGATCGAGCCTCTCTCCTGCACTGCACTGCACTGCACTGTGCTGCACCTTGGGCACTCACCCGCCTGCCAAACATCCACCTGCCAAAACTCCGCCTCTTGCTGTTGGGGACTGTCAGGGCTCCACGCTTCGTGGAGATACCTGCTCAGCAAGTCGATCACCCATGCAAGGCCCTGACTTCGAACAGCTTGCCAATGCTGGACTCTCCGTCTTCGACCTCAATTCCGAGTACTTGGCCTCACAAGACTGGTGAGTGCCGGCCCACCTCTTCCTGATAGTAGCAGCACCCCCAAAACTACTTGCTTCGCCGCGCAATGCATACTATTAGGTAGATGCATTCATTTATTTAGGCAAGCAACTGACGGTTTACCCCAAGGTCCAAGACTGCGCTCGGCCATGCGCCGAGCTGGCCGCAGACTCTCTCCTCCTACGTCGGCATCGTCAAGGCCTTCCCCCACCCTGCTGCCGTTTTCTGGGGCTCACATCTCTCACTCATCCACAATTTTGCATGGGGTGTCGCTACAAACAGTCATGATGCCCAAGGCGCCCACGCCGTCGACCTGTTCCAGGGAGAAACTCGCGGTGCCCTCCAGTCAGCAGTCACTGGTCGTACGGTCAGGATATGTAAGCGCTCCTCTCCTCCTTCCAAAGACGCCCAGACATCCTGGTCCCGGTTGTGGTCCTGGTCCGCGTCTCGGTCTCGGTCTTGGTCCTGTATCTACTTGCGACGATCACGGACAGCCGCACCTGGACTGACAAAGCTTCACGTACAGCGGGCGACTTTTTCTTCAGCAGTACCCCTGACCATGCCTACGACACACCCGTGCTGATCTGCCCTCTACTCGATGACAGAGGCCACCGTCAAGGGGCGCTTGCCCAATTACTCGACGGCCCACCCTCACAACGCTCGCTCGACAACGAGCTGCTAGGCAGTGGCTCCAATATGGCGTCCCCAGACGACAAGTTCAGGTCACAGAACAATAGCTTTCTCGACAAATCTGAGAAGGATCAGGATGACATCCTGAGTAAGGCCATCCCACCCGACAGGCGTGGCGATTTAGCCGATGCGGTTTCGAAGCATGGCCACATAGACTTGAGACAGAGCCAACTCTTTCAGCGTTTTGCCGAGCTACTGCCCACCGGCCTGGCCATATTGAACCACTTGGTCAGTGTTTAACTGCTTGCCCGCCCACGCTTTTGCGTACAGACAGGCACTGACAGTACACAGGCCGAGGCTGTTTTTGTCAATGACCAATTTTTTAGTCTAACGACCAAGAAGACGTCCCGCGAATTCCGTTCCTGGCCCGAGAGTATCGATCCTCGAGACTATGAGCGGGTCATGACTGAATATCGTGAGGCGTTCAAGGAACGTAGGGACGTCAAGGTCGACTTTAGATGTGTTGCTGGTGACGAGGCTGATAGAAACGACTTGCAACAGCCTGAGAAAGATGAGTGGCGCATGTTTCTGCTCCGGCCTCTCAACCCCAGACGCCACTCCGGATACATCTGTGCGGTCGTGGATATTACGGAATTGAAAACCGCCGAGCTGACACAGGAGCGCACTGCACGTGACGCAAAGGACCGCAAGCAGCAGCAAGAGCGCTTCATTGACATGGTCTCCCACGAAATCAGGAACCCACTCAGTGCCGTGTTGCACCTCGCCGAGGAGATCAAGGAAACGAGCAAGGCCATGTTGGGGCATGGGCCTCGACCTGACCAGATCGCAGAACTAATCGATGCAGCTGAAACCATCCTGGTCTGCGTGTCCCACCAGAGTGTTCTGGTAGACGACATATTGAACTTCTCAAAGCTGGACAGCGCCATGATGTCACTTGCGCCTAGCATCTCGCAGCCGAAATGGGCCCTATCCCAGCAGTTGAAAGTGTTTCAAGCTGAGCTCAAGACCAACCGCATCGGATTTGAATACGCCCTCGATGTTTCATTCGAGAAGCATAGCATCGACTGGGTGGTAGCAGATCTCGCTCGCATCAAGCAGGTGCTTGTGAACCTCATGACCAACTCCATCAAGTTCACAGCGAAGAAGAAGGGAGAGCGGCGGATAACGGTCGCAGTAGGTGCCAGTGTCGAGAGACCAAAATCATATCCACCGAATGTGGTTTTCTTCGACAATTACAAGGACGATGACTTGTCTGTGGACCAGACTCAATCTCCAGAGTGGGGCGACGGCCCTCCGATGTTCCTAATGGTCGCAGTTAAAGACTCCGGGATTGGCATCTCCGCCGCAGACCAAGTCAAGCTTTTTGAACGCTTCCGGCAGGCTACACCCAAGACTTCTGAGAAGTACGGAGGTTCCGGCTTGGGTCTATCAATTTCGAGGAAATTATGCCAATTGCATGGTGGTGACATAGGCGTGGGTTCCAAAGAGGGTGATGGATCCACATTTGGCTTCTATTTCAAAGTGCGCCGAGCATCCCCGCCAGCCGACGAGAATACCACTTCATCCGGGAGGAGCACTCCTATGAGACAGCTTTCAACAGAAAGTCTACCGATCAGACCACGGCTGCCTAGCCGCCCACAATCTTATAAGACGCAAATCGGAAGCATTGAAGAAGTGACCGGGGACACGGGAATGGGTACGGAACAAGGTACCCAGTCGGCTGTAGCCAAGGTCTCGGAGATGCCAGGTGTAGACCAAGTCACGGATATAAACCGCACATTAATTGACCCGCCAGTGCGGTATGAATCTGCAGCGCATCCAGGGTCATTCCTAGACGAAAGGGCCTCTCAGACTCAGAAGGCAGCAGAGAAGGTTGATCAGGAGGCAGGAGAATTACTCGAGCAACGTGACAAGGATGAGCTCAATAAGGCCGAACAGGTCAATGTCTCGAGCGTGAAGCAAGAGGCTCACCCGCAAGCTCCGTCGCCTGCTAAAGGAACACTGCTCCTCGTCGAGGATAATCTGATCAACCAGAAAGTGCTGAAGAGGCAATTGCAAGTAAGTAGTTCCTGGACATACCCGTATTTCAATTACCACATATGCGCGGCTTGTTGTATTATTTCCATTGATTCGCACCAGTGTTGACCAAGTGCTTACATTTGCCACGCACAGAACCACGGATTCCAAGTCTCCACTGCCAATAATGGGCAGGAGGCCGTCGAAGCCGTCGTTGAGCGGGCAAAAGAGCGCGCCGACACAACTGCCGGACCTCGTTCACAGGAGGAACTTGCAAAGTTTTCCTGCATTCTGATGGACCAGGAAATGCCAGTTAAGGACGGTAATACTGCGGCCCGGGAAATCAAGGGCTTGCAGGCCAGGGGCGAGGTCGGCAAGTCGCCTATCTTAGGAGTAAGCGCCAATGTGAGGGAGGAGCAAACGAAGCTCATGAAGGAGGCGGGCATGGATGAGGTAATCAGCAAGCCTTTCAAGGTCATAGACCTAGTCAAGAAAATTGATGGCCTGGTGGAGACATTCGAGAGTGAAAATAAATAGACGAGTTGATGATGGACCTCAGGAGGCTTACAACAGTGTTGCCCCGCCAGCACATCGTGTTCATGGCCAAGAGGGCTCTCAAGTGGCCTGCACGGGCGACCTGCTAATGAAAATTTAATTAACTGAGGATCTGGGTTCCATCTTGGAGTTGTCCGAACAGTCTCTTCAGCGCTCTGCGCTGAACGAGGAGAAGCAATCCACACGAGTTCCAGCACAAGGCTATGCTAAAGCTGAACTTAAGCGAACCCGCGACGTTTGCAGAGTACAACTGTGATAGACAATTTCTTTTTATCAACAGTAGATGAAAGCCTGCAGCAGAGACAGCCTGGGTGAAATTGGAGGCTGGCACCCAATGGTGGACTTCACATGAAATATCTGTAACGCATACGGTGAGAAAGAGGCTGAGACTGAATTGATCCTGAAGGAAGCTCCGAGCTTGGTGGGTGTTCGTGTTCCGTAAACGGCGCCACGCTCTGTTCAGACACGAACGGAATAATCATATTGATAGAAAGTAGGACTATCTAGGTGAAAAGACGCACAAGCTTTCCAACGAGCGACTTCCTCGTCTTGGGGTGAAGAATCGGATTCTATGAATTTTATATCACGTTCTGTATTTCATCTCCAGTGGAATGATTTATAACTGACCCCACGGCTTCAATACGTTGCGTGGCGAAATAGGCGGAAGAAGGAGAAAGATTGCATACTGACAGGAGCAATACTATCTTTTTTATTTTCGCCCATTTTGGAAAAGTCACAATCCAGATGTGTATCAGGTAGTGATTGTGGTTTTCGAAGATGAGAATCCCCAAAATCTTCTCATTCTGTTTTAAGACTGCGCGTAAATCTGAGCGCAGGATTTGTGATGAAGTTGAGCTGTGCTAGACGCTGGCCGGGAAAATATTCACAGTTGCAGCATGTCTAGGTCACACGTTACTAGACTGGGAATCTCATTATCCAGGACTGTACCTAAACATGGGGAACACATCCCACAGGCAGGTGAAGATGAATCGTCTCAAGGTGTTCCACAAGCCTTTTTAAACTCAGAGACATGCATCTACCGTTTGACATTAGTTTTTATCGTTGCTGATTAATCAGAGACACGATCGCGGTATCTTCAAAGATAACATATGTATATGCCGCGTGGAGCCTAAATGTGTCTGGCAGCTTATCTACACACTCGATCTGCAGTGACTCGCTCTGATGATAAGCTAAGCCATGTCTCTGCGGGTGGGTTGGACCTCAACTGCTGTACATCAAGCCAGCTTACATCCCGAGGTCGCTTGACCTTGATAGCCTTCCCAATTGGTTGAAAGCGAGTATGCAAAGACCTTCCGTCTCAGACCTAGTCTGATTCCCATTGGCTGTCGGTCATAGTGCGAGCCACACCGGCGAGCCGGCGAGATAAGCACAAATGGTGGTGTATCCTTTCCATGTTTTCAGTGCAGCCTTCGATGTTGTTATCTCATCAATCTAGTACTTACTTGCTCGCCTCACGCCCATTTGCGCTTGCTAAGAACTGCGTGAAAATGTGGGCTGGATCGCTTTTACTCTGCCTCGCCAGCCTTGGCGCAACCCGTGATATCATCTTCCCTCCGGTCTCTGGGATAGATCGTACACCTGGGCAGGCACCTCTTCTGTTGCAGAGCGAGGACAATGATGATGATGTCGACCTAACCACCGATGCCGTAGGTGGGCTGACCTCCTTCGGCCACCTGCCATATGTACCTTGTTTTGCTGCCAAGACCGACGAGGATACTGGCAGCTACGACATAGCCGTCCTGGGAGCACCTTTTGACACCGCAACATCGTACAGACCTGGGGCGCGATTCGGACCACATGGAATCCGCGATGGCTCACGGAGAATTCGAGGACCGCACTCATGGAATGTGTACTCGAGGCAGAACTCCTTTGAGGATTGGGCTAAGATTGTTGACTGCGGTGATGCTCCTTTGACTTTCGTGGACAACACGGTGGCTTTGAAACAGCTTGTGAAGGCTTACAAGGTTGGGTCTCCTGTTGCCATCTTGAACTCAGATGTTGACCACTTTACAGATCACATCCGGGCGCACGGCTAACAATGCGTCCATCGCCAAGACGCCTCGCGTCCTGATGCTGGGTGGCGATCATACCGTCACACTGGCTGCTCTGCGATCAACTATTAATCATTGGGGTATCGTGAACGTGATTCACTTCGACTCGCACATCGACACGTGGAACCCAAGAGTTCTTGGTGGAGGGGTTACGGATTACGCATCTGTAAATCACGGCACGTTCCTTCATATCGCTCACGAGGAAGGTCTGATATCGAACGACTCTTCCATTCATGCTGGAATTCGGGCGCCACTAGGAACCAGAGATAGAGATCTAAACAACGACGTCCAATGTGGCTTTGAGATTGTCACTGCCCGTGACATCGACGAGCTTGGGCCGAAGGGAGTCATCAAGAAACTCAAGGACAGAGTGGGCGAGGGGAATGTCTACATCACGGTAGACATCGATGTCTTGGACCCTGTAAGTATACTGCTACCCGAGGTCGTCACCCCTACTAACACGGAGTGCCTATAGGCCTTTGCACCAGCTACCGGCACCGCCGAGCCCGGCGGCTGGACTACCCGTGAACTACTGACTATTCTCGATGGCTTGGTTGGTATGAATATTATCGGAGCGGACGTGGTCGAAGTTGCGCCTGTATATGATAACAACGGCGAGACTACTTGCCTAGCTGCTGCAGAGGTTGCAAGAAGCCTGATCGGACTGATGGTAGCCAAGCCTGTTGTCCCAATTCGATAATCATGCCCTAAGCGCGGGCAGAAACCTAACACGGCCTGCAATTTTTATGAATACGAATGAACTAGAAGCAGGTTGATCTCGGGTCAACGCCACGGAAGATGGGTAGAAGGAGAAACGTACAGCCCAGAATGTTGTCTTCTGAATTCAAGGAGGTCCATTCTTGACAGTTCCTGTTCACGGTACATTCATTTTGCATAGAAAGTTCATAGCGCGGTAGTCTTGTTGTTCATAGTACCAAAGTTTCATAGCGACGGTGAATTTACTTTCGGAATGAAAGATTAGAAAGTCTTCTCCCTGTTCAGCTTCAATTACTTTGGGTATCTTCTTGAGCACAACATCAGTAACGCATACGTTCACCATGTTATTGAAATACAGCGTTATTCGCGTTGCGACAGATTGTTGCTCATGAGCATTGTATTTACTCGAAGTCTACGCCACGTCTTGGCCAAGCCTTCAACCACATCAGACCAGAGATGTGTTGAAACTATATACAAGATGAAATTTATGACCCTTCGGCCGACCTTGCATTATCAGATCTTACTCGGAAGGCAGATACAGCTTGTCCACCCAGTCCCTATAGTCGGAGCCCAGGATAAATTCAATTGGCAGTGGCGAGTTTCTGACGGTGGAGTAGTCAACTCGGTCAGTCGTGTCCGACCCTGAGCCGGTGTTGTCCCACTCTTCGAAAGTGACATGGTCAGTCTGAGGCTCGCTCTCTGTCCACTCTGCCCAGCCCGTCTCGTTGATGTGGCTCGACAGGTCGCAGCGCTGGAACGTGACCCGAGCGTAGTTCCTCCAGGGCCGGCCGAGGAAGACGCTGCCATCCTCGACATCGGCACCCTCGGCGACCGTGACTACGCTGTCGGTAATCACGTACCAACTTGGGTCGGCGTCATCGACCCTCCCGCTGGCGGTGATCCAGCCGTAGCCGTTGCTAGCGATGGTCGAGTTTGTGATCCAGGCGCGTGCGTGCTCGCCGAAGATAAAGTCCGTCATGCCTTCGATGTAGCTGTTGGCGTAGAATTGGTTGCCCACCTCGGCGAGCAGGGTGTCCTGGGAGCCGTAAATGCCCAGGCCATAGTACCCTTGGCTGGTGTTGTAGGCGGACAAGGCGATTGCCTGGTAGCCCTCGCCCCAGAGGTTGCGGATGTCAAGGTTGTAAACTGCAGTGTTGGGCGACTCGTTGATCAAAGGAGCGGTCCACTCGTCGTTTGGCGCAACGGCCAGGGAAGAGTTGTACTGAAGAGTCACAGTGTTGCCGAGGTAGCTGGTAATGTCTGCGGTCTGTCCATAAATGGTGACCTTGGCAGCCTTGGGGGGCAGATAGACTTGTTCTGTGTACGTGCCATTATACACAAAAATGGTGGTCGGGTCTGTGGACGTGTTGGAGATGCTGTTCACAGCCGAAGAGATCTGCAAGGCTTATTAGTGAGATGTGTTGATAGGCACTAAACAGGCACATACCGTGGGCCAGTCGCACTCTCCTGTTGTGCACACAGTAATGCTGCCGGCTGGCGGAGTGAGCCTCGAAGTGGCCGGGACACTCGGCGTTGACGGCGTGCTGGCGCTGTTACCCATCCTGACTACTGGAAACGAATGACAAGGTCGGAGAGAAGAGGGATGGATGGCCGTCTGTCTGATCTTCTCGTGCGAGAGATCTGCCCCAGATATTAAGTGAGTGCCAAGAACTCGCGGTTGCTGCTGCGAAATGAGATTCACCGGGAATTGTGGATATAACTGGGGCTGGTCCGGGCCTGATCAGAGGCTCACTTCGGTAACTATTCCGATGCATTGAGACCTGCCTGTTCCGACTTCACGGCCCGCACACAAGGCGAGAGATTACCGGGGAAAATAGCTACATGATGAGCCACACTCTAAATGACGAGATGCTGCTGCCAGCTTGCGACAAGTGGCTTGGCGCTGGTGAGACTCCGGTGCCTCGACGATGACTTACATACCCAACGGTGAGTCTGCGGCCTGGACCCACCGAGTCCACGCGATGCACTTTAATCTTAAGGTGCTTTAGCAGGAGACGACGAATTTGACTCGTCCGACAACCCCCTGTAATCTTAAAGATAAGTCCAGGCGCACGTTTGATCCGCTTGGATGGATATTGAGAAACGACATCCTCTCGGCACACGCCGCAAGAAGAGGGAAGCTCCGTCCAAGATGCCGAACGGGCCGCGATGCCAGAGTACCGTGGTCAAGCTGGTAGTGAAAATAGCAGGAATGCACCAGTCAGAGCTTGTCCCAACCCAAGATCTTCTCCCGTGACGATCCCCCGACATTTGTGACCCCTGCGAGTCAGGCCGACAATCATTTGTGGGCCACGCCGAACAAGCAAACAATGGCCGACCTAGGAAGTCGCTGTGAATATAATCAAGCAGGGCCTGACGGCGAGTCGACGAAGCACCGGAATGTGGGATAGTCCCATCAACGACTTACTTAGCTGCTCCATAAGTACTCCAGCAGGGAGTAAAAAAACACAAGACCAACAATCTCCCGTGGGCAGACCACTTACTCGTGGTAGCCCGTCGTATTCCCGGTGAAATACAATGACTACTTTGAGAAAAAAAAAGCCTCGTCGTGTGGCCGAATATACTGCCAATGGCTATCTGGAAATCCAACGGCATCTTGTTCAATCCTTCGAGCATGTACGCTCAGGTTTCAATTTTAGCATTCATTTACTATTTACACCTAGGCTGTGAACCAAGACCACGACCCCACACTTTCTGTAAGAATCGAGCAGTGCTGGCCACACTTGCCATCAACGAAGTTGCTAAATAAACTGCGAAATACTCGGCAGAACCCCCGTATACGCAGTACCACTTGGCGGTTCCATGGAGAACATGTAGGAACCCCACCAAGGGCCACCTCCCCACCACAGCCAGCCCTGCCAAACATCGGTGTTGTCCTCCATGTACTGCAACATCCCTGTCAGGGCTTGAATGCACTGGCTGTTGGCACCCCCAGCAGTCTCGCCGAGAATTCCCTTCTTGCCGTTTTGCTTCAGCCATTGGGTTGCCGCTTGAATGCGCTCACTCCCGATAGTTGAAGATACGCAGTTTGCGTTTGTGCCGGAGCCATCGCTGTCGAGGTACTGGTGCATTTCGTAGATTATCTTGTTGGATGGATCGGTGAGGGAGGCAAGAGCTGCTCCAGTCCCGGAGGAGACCTGCTGATATGTCAGATGATGGCATCTAAAGATAGCAGCACTTATTGTGGACAGTAATAAGCAGCTGAGAGTAGAAGACATACCCAGGTCCAAGCACCAGTGTAGGAATTGCCCTCCACAAAAATATATTGACTCGTGGCCCCAGCTGCACGAATGCCGTTGATGGCAGCTTGGTTAAGGTTTGCGACCAAGGTGTTGTCCATGTCGTGGTACTCGTTATTTGTATCGAAGATAACTTTGCTGTTGCTCGCGAATCGGGCAGCAATGGTCTTCCAGTACGTTCCAAAACCGCTTGTATCAGTGATTACGTTTCCGTAATAGCGACCGAAGTTCTGCGAATCGATAATGGCGTATGCGCCCTTGCTTGTGATATAACTGACGATCTGTGAGTCAAAGGTAAGTTCCAGGTTAGCCCCGAGTCAACTTTCATAGGTTCTGGGGACCACTGACATCGTTCAAGCCGCTGTAGTATGTCTCGTTGATGCTACCCGTCAATTTGCTTGGAATAATCCGCTCCCTGTCGAGATTGTCAGTAACCACTTCCTGGGTGTTGCTAGACTGTCAATATAAGAGTTCGATCACGCACATGAGAATTGGCACTCGAAAAATGTTGAAGCCCTTGGCGGTCAAAGTCTGCCAGATGGATGCTCGGTCAGCACAATATCTTTCTCCATCGTCATTCTGGACTGCATTAGAGCTCCTTTTCTCACATCAATGGTCGAGTGGACAGGCCATGTATAGTCCTTGTTGAGCTGGCCAGGCAGGTTGCCCGAGCCGAACTCAGCCCCAGACTCGTTGACGCCTGAGAACAAGAACTTGCTCTTGCGCTTTTCAACCGGTGCGTCGCCGCTGGTCGGTGCAGCGACGGCCGAGCCGATGGCGATTGCGCCCAGGAGGACTTGGAGAAACCGCATCTCGTTTTGGATCGACAGTGTTCTTTCGGGATCTGGGGTGCAGGGCAAAACCAAGGCGGCCTTCAGGTGGAGAGATGGCCAACCTGGCCCTTTATATCCATCAAGGCCTGGCCGGCGAGTGATGCGGCGGAGGCCATCACTCCGTGGTGAAGGGATGCGGCTTTGTCCCCAAGTACGATCATTCAAGCTCAAACAAGCGCCCTAGGAGCATAGTGTCCCGTGCTTGAACGAGGCGCAAATGAGGCGGCCCCGCAATGCTTATGATGTTGAAGCATCGTGAAAGCCGGGGCTAGTCGGTTTTGGCATTGGTACCGAGGCCTGGGCATCCGGGGTCGAAATGATGCTTGTCTCATGGTAGTATGGTGGCATTTTTCCAGAATATTGCTGATCATAAAGACAGGGAACTTGGGCTGAGCTTAAGATGGCTCGGCGAATCACCGGGACGGAGGCATGCCTACCGTCAGGTTTGGGCAAGTAACAACACGTCTCGATAAATCGGCGGGCGCGAAAGGGGCTACGGCACTGAGAGCGTCGGCCCACATGGTCGTTGGGCTAGGGGGCAATGCTGCCGAGGAGCCGCATACGGCCGGGTCTAGTACAGAACTCCACAACCCCCTGATCTTGTACTTATGTTCATTACCGGCGGCAGATGAGCATGCTCGAAAATGGGCTCCCAAAGGCCGAGAATTTTTAAAAAAAAGGTTACACATGATTTGTTGCTCAGTTACGGTGCCATCAGGCTGATCTCAAGCAATCCCCTATTTAGCGCAAGACATGCCATACCTGGACCATCCCGACAAGCGTTGGAATTCGTCCTGCTTTACGTGCTTCTTTGCAGGTTCTATCCGTATGGCGATGTTTAAACTTGCATCGGGCGCGAGGTTTCCAGCTGCATCTCTTTGCGGTCTCTCCTCGACCTCGCCCTCGCCTTCGCCCTCGCCCAGCGGTGTCCACCTCCTAGCTGCCATGTCCTGTTTAACACGCTTCGCAACCTCCGGCGACGCCTCGGCGAAGTGAGCCGTCTTCTGGATCCACTCGACTTCATCAAGCGTACTATCTCTCCCCTCGATGGCGTTGCGATATGGATACCGTCCAAACCGATCAATGATGGGTTTGTGGGCGTCATCGACACTAAAGAAGAAGAAAGAAGCTTCGTGGAATGCCCAGTCCCGACCAAGGTCAACATGGCTAACGATATCTACCATCGAGTACTCGTCCAGTGGTGGCGATGAGCCGTCTCTCACCGGATCGCGGTGGCCCGAAAAGTTTTCAACAGCACAGCGCAACTGCTCCGTGTTAGTTGCCGAAAGTTGCTGGTCCGCTGTACTCTCGTGGTGCGCCATAGTAGAGTTGAATTCGATGGCAACACAGGCCCAATACTCAAATGTCGCGCCTGTCCAGGCGCCACGGGTCCACGGTCTCTGGTGCTCTGGCAGACCATAGTAATACTTGTAGAGCTTCCCCGCTATCTTATCGAACCAGCTCGTCCACCGGCCATCGATGCCTTTGAACAATACCCTCGGTGCTTGGTCAAGGAGGACGTGCATTCCAAACGCCTGTTCAGGAAATTCGTGAACTTCTGGTGAGGGCAAGAAATAAGTCATATCTGGAATAGTGTTCGGCCCGTAGGCTTGGGTGATGGCCTTGAGAACAGGCCAGGCTGCCTTTGCGGCAGTGAGAAAGCGATAGTCATCGCTGAAGAATTCTGTCACCAACTCCTTCCCAGATATGTGGTGTGTCGACGGCCAGGGGACTCTCGCGAGGCACATCTGCCTCAAGAACGCACTGGTGATGATGGAATGAAGGTCTTGCATGACGACTGTGCCTATCTTGTGATCTGGGTGATCTCGTAAGGATATTTCCAGCATTAGACGACCCGAAGCGCATGGGAGTGAAGCCTAGAAGCCTCATAAAACCCTAGAGTTGAATGATTTGTATACCGAATTCGGAGTCGAATTGGCCCGTTGATGACAGCAGTGAGCTTGATGTCGAGGGCAGATTGCGGGCTATATCTAGATATCAAGGCATGTCGGGTAGGGAATACCAACAGGCCTATTGAGTGATGCCTGCGGACATTGGGAGCGCAACAAGCGGCAATGCCACGATGGATCTGGGGGTGCGCAATGCTGACAATGACGTTGCGTGACGTGTTGCCTAATTGGTGCTGGGCTGCAGGTGGCGATGTGTTTGGAGAAGCGTATCTGCATGCATGTTGAATGAAACCCCTGGCTGATCTGTTGCATCGATTTTGGCCCTTGGCTGTGCCCCAAGTCTCCCTTACATGCGAGGTTGATAGGCTCATCGAAGAGTCCACGACTAAGGGTTCGCATATATAGTCTGGGATATCTTTCAAAGGAATCATGCACCAAGCCCCGTCCGGCCACTCCACACCCCACGCATCAGTTGATAAAATCATCCGAGCGAAACCAGATTTGCGAGAACCTGCAGCACGTGTGACAGTATTGCGCCTAGCATAATCCTTTTGGGATATCGGTAGATGTTGACAGTAGCTATTGGTTGTCACCTGACCAGGGTCATCTGTAGCTGACTCGAAGGCACATCAACGCGCAGGTGGGGCGGGGAACTGGAGCGGACGCTACCATGTTGCGGCTCAAATACCGTGGGATCGACTTCGGACTACAGGAAGTCTTGCGTAGAGTGCAGTCCGGGTGTCTCAACCCAAAAAGATGCCCAGATATCAACGTAAGGGACGAGGGACGAGGGACGACGAGAGATATCATGTCTGGTGGCGCCTGATATTCACAGACCTGTCTCGGTATTCCTCAGGTGTTTTGCGCTGGGGCCGTGTGGGATGTCCTTACACAACCACCCCCACGGCATCCGCTTTGGCGCTTCACGAGATCGGCGATAGGTGTAGAAACAGTCCAATACCACTTCACGTGGAGGGGGTAATCTATCGAGCCGAATGACACCCCGCGTGCAGGGCGTCAGAGCTAGTAACAGCACACCGAAAAAGCATACGAAGGATGCACGACAAGAGGATATCGAAGTCAGTCTAGCCGGCATTCGGCATGATGAATAAACAGGACGGCTGTGCCTCGGAGGAGTGCGGCGTGGGGTGGCGCGAGGACTGGACTCTGTAATCAATGCGAGTGCCTTGAAGCATGATCCAGTATGACCTGGGTGGCTCTTTCTGACGGTGCCGTCGCCCGGTGCTTGCGGGGGGAGCGAATATAGCTGTCAGATACTCTTGTTGTCTTCGCAGTCAATTCTCAAGGCTGGCAACCAGAGAAAGCAGGCGATATTTAGTTGCGCAGACCCCCGGGTCAAAGGCTGTATGAAATAGAGCTGCAGAAAATCTATGCGTCAAGACCCCGTGATGCCTGGCCCGTGCTTTATACGAATCAAACGATAGTCTACCAAAAAGTTCCCGCGGCTCAAGTGCAGCCAAGTCAACGTCGAATTAACCTCCTCGTCCACTTGAGGCCAATTACATCCGGCAGCCAGCACAGCCCAAGATGCAGCCCACGAGGGCATTATTGAAGCGGTCGATATGGAAAGGTAAGCCGCCACCGGATCGATATTTCCTGCTCGGATGCGTGCCACCAGAAGCTAACGCGGCATCTCTCAGGGCCACATATCGTCCCGTACGTTCCAATACCCTCTCAACCTCCGCCTCCAATGGCTCGCCACGATTCCAGACCGACGATGTGCAAGGTCTATACTTGGATTGCTGACACGAGAATAATAGTCTGCCCCTTGTGAAGCCCCAGCCTGGCAAATACACCCCTCCCATCCGCACCCAGGCCCGCTCCGCCACCATCCTCCCCAGCTTCGTGGGCATGAATTTTGAGGTGTATAACGGCAAGGTGTACAACCCGGTGACGATCACGGAGGATATGGTTGGCCATAAGCTGGGAGAGTTCTCGCCGTATGTTCCCTGGTGCTGCATACACGGCCCCCATGGATCAGGAGAGATCAAGAACTACTGATGGCTGACTTGTTTTGGCAGGACGCGGAAGCCGTTCATCTACGACAAGCGATAAGGAGGACAGTCTTAAAACGATGCACCAGTGTATAGGTTCTGATGGAGGAGGGAGAGCGCAGAGATATTTGGCCGACATGACCTCTAGACACGGATGGTCAATGTCAGAATTCCGCCAGCTTGCGTGCCTGGTTCTACGGACTTGAAGCTGTACAAAACTCGAGGGCTAGCACGCTTACCGGACGAATTCGGTCGTGATCACATGGGAAAGAACGAGGCGGCGGGGCAGATGGCTGTTTCAGGGCACTGAATTGCACGGCCCTTGCAGCATTGCCACGCTCAGGGAGGCCGCAGAAGGATGCGGCATGGCATCTGTTGTAGCGGCAATGGAGGCGATGGCCAATATATTACGCCAAGTAGTTCCTACTGGGCTTTATCCGGCTCAAAACCCCTCCATGAACCATGGCTCAATACCCGAGGTCTCGTGTATGAAAATGCAGTCTTGCTTCCCGAAAACGCCGTCACCCCTTCCATCCGTGAACGCCTTTCAAATGACAGCGCCGCACCCTGGTGGCTGGCGCAAAAGTTATGGTAGCCTGCGCATCTTCCTTCTCACTCGTCCCTCTCGCGTAGACTACTACGAGCGGGCAATGGACCCCGACCCCCGCATATACCATGCTCATCGGTAGAACTCGCTCCTCTTGACGTTGACACCATACTCCCCAACAGCCATGCCCAGGTCTTCCATGGTAAGGACGGTCCGGTTCTGGCTGCCGCCCTGGCCGCCACCGCCGAATCCGGGTCGCTGAATGCCCAGCAGCGCCTGACCGGCCGCGGCAGACTGTCCTCCCTTGGCGCCTCCGGCACCGCCAGCAGCTCCCGGTGCGCCTGGCTGGCCGGGGATGGGGTAGCCGGCGGCGGCACCCAGGTTGCCCATCGGGTTGTTGGCAGCCGCCGAGTTGCTCGCCCTTATGCGGCTGTACTGGTAGGCGTCGGCTGCGATGTCCGCGACAAACTTTTGGGTGGCCAGGGCGAGCAGTTTCGCGAGGCGCGGGTCGGTCTGGGGCGGCGGTGGAAGGCCGGCCTTGGTCATGTAGTAGTTGGTCACGCCGTCGGGGATCTGTTGGTGGGCCCAAGTGTCAGTCGCGCATCACCGATCGTTGCTCCATTGAGGGCCATTGGAATGGCGACTTGCCCCTGTGACACTAGAGGGGGAAGGGAAGGGGAGGGGAGATACAAGAATAGAAACGGGATGGGAAACATACGATGGGGGCATAGTCATCGATCTTGGCCAGGAACTCCTTCAACGAGGTGTCCTTGCGCGTCGGTAGTCGTGGGTCGACCAAAGGCGCGTACCCGCCCGTCTCCTCCTCGGCGGCTTGTTGAGCAGGTTGAGAAGGGTTGGCCTGCTCGGCGGGTTCCTGAGGTGGTTGCGACGACATCTTCGCGATGGCGGTAGATGTAGCGACGGTGAGAAGCTACGTTGTTGCACGGGATGGGTCGAGATGTCTTGGATTGCTTGTGATAGCGGCACCAGGCAGGCTGGGAGCTCCTCCAAGCAGCTTGCTGACGTAATGATGCCTGGGGGTCAAGATTAACGTATCGAGCACAACCCCCCTCCCCCCCAAAACCAAACACCAAGGAAAGCCTACCTCATCTCCCAACAGCCAACCTTGCTGCTGAACCCTGACCTCACCTCTCATTCAGTGCAGGTCTGTAGAGAGACGACACAGGCATTACAGTTTTGTTAGCGGAAAGGCAGCCTACACATTGGCCCGCCGTAGACAGTGTCTTGCGCACAGGATAGATATGATCATCAGAATTTCATCAGCTTCATTTCGTAGCTATATGGACACCAGCCGAATCCTGGGGCAAAGCAAAGTCCAGCCCAAATCGCCATGCTAATCACAAAACATTATAGTGCCCCCTTAGCACGTTTCCCAATTCATTCCATCAGATGCAAGACGAATGTATCTAGCCTTGATTTTCCTCACCCTCTCAGATCGTGCCAAAGACTTAAAACCCCATCAAGAGGTTCCTTTGGTGTAAGCCAACACTCTGCTAACGCCGTCTGCTCCTCGTCGTTGGCGGCGCGACCGGCTCAAACACATCGTCGTCATCATCGTCGTCGATCTCGTCATCACTAACTTCAAGAGCCTTCTGAGTCTGCGTGACACGCTGTGTGGCGGGGCGCTGCGACTGCGAGAAGTTCAACGTTGACTGTCGTGTCTTCGTCGCGGGCCCGGCTCTTGTAGCCCGAGATGTTGCCGTCTTCGACGTCGCAGCTTTGGTAGTGCGCACTGCTCGCTTCGGCGGCGGGGCGGGCGGATCGTCCTCTTCATCCTCGTCCATAAATACGTCTTCTGACATGGCGTCTCCTTGATCCGCTCCTTCCTCTTCGTCATCCTCATCGCTGTCCACAAGGATCCCTGCTTTCTTTTTGGCCCGCCCACGTGTTGCAGGCGTTTTCTTGGCGGCCGGCGCCTTCTTTGCGGGAGCCTTCTTGGCCGGGGCTTTCTTCGCTGCGGCGCCGCGCTTTGAGGCCTGGTTTGATGGCTGCGACACCAGCGAGTCGTCTTGATCCGCTTGGGAAACGAACAAGTCGTCCATCTCGACGTCTTCGTCACTAGCAGTGCGTCGATTCCGGCCACCCGTGTTCTTTGCTGGAGCTGGCGCCGCTACATCTTCCCAGTGATCCGGGTTGTCACCCCAGTGATCTCCAAGGTCAGAGTCGTAATCCTCTGGTCGCTCCTTTATTCGTCTTTTTGGGCCACTTGCGGTCTTGCCATTCTTGGCATAGTTTTGCTCCTCACGCTCCTTCCACGTCTCCAAAAGAGTTGGGATATCGGCTTCTGGGTCCGAAGCACTGAGCTTCACGATCGCGCTCAACGATTTGGACAAGGACTCATTCACAAACTCATCCATGACGTGGGAACCGCCCTTCTCAACAAAGTTTACCAGTCTCAAGATGAACTCGTTCTTGGGGAGTACTTTCAGGGAGCTCTGTGCGAGGAATTCCTCGACCAAAACGTCGGGCTTGACAATATCGTCATTCCCCATGGCTTCCATGATTCGCTCAGCCAGGCCGGGATCGTCGTTTCCGCGTCCTGTTGCTCACCTTTAGCCATGTCCACACCATTTCTTTGCGCAAATGCTTCAATGACTCACGCGTGGTAGTTTTCTTGCGGTAGAAGGACACGACATCATTGATGTTGGCGACCTTGCCCACGAAACGGTTCGAGAATCGCTGCGGGTTTTCGACGTCGAAGTTGCCGCCGTCTGCTGCGCTGTATTCCACCTTGAGACGTATCAGAGGTAGCGGCCAGTCCTCGTCTTGGATTTCCTCCTCTGGCACATCCTGCAGTGCAAGCCAGTCCTGATTTGCCTGCTCGATCATTTCGTCGACTTGCTGGATGAGCAGCTTTGTAATCTGTGGGCGATTTTCCTTCATATTCTGAAGCTTCTTAAACGCTGGTATCTGTTGCAGCACAATGTCTTTTTGGACAAATGGGCGGACGGTTTTCAGCGCTATGGGTTCGCACTCAAAGTCCTGACCGGTAATGCTGAGGATTGCGACGTGTTTCTGCACAGCTTCCGCGGGGATCAGAGAGGTCGCCACTGACGAACCAGGCTGTAACACATGGAAGCCTGTCTCGGGATTCTTGTATGGGTCGATCTTGCACTCGTGCTCGTGGCCCCAGACGACAAAGTTCATCCAATCGGGCAGCACGTTCTCGGGCAAGTACGATGTAGCGGTATGTGCATGATGATTCTGATGGACGGTCAACAGGTTGAAGAAGTCGGAGGCTTGCTGTGTCGGCCGGAAAAAGGTGACGTGGTGATCCCGAAATGTACGGAACAATCGCTCATCCCTCACGTTGCTCAGGCCGTAGAGGGCGAGCTTGGTCCTACCCTTCTGCAGCAGGACCGGCTTGACCTGGATATTGTCGGCCTCGGGGACCAGTCCGAAATAATTAACCAGGCCTGCTACCTGCAGCAGGTCCAAAGAGCAGTAATGACCGTCGCCGCTAGGGTCGTCATGGTTCCCGTGGATAGAGAAGACAGGTATCGAGATGTTCATGTCAGGGTCCTCGTAATTGACGTGAGGGAAGGCACTCTGAAAGACCTCGTGTGCATCAGAAAGGAACTCGAGCTCGCAGGGCTTCATGCCAAGGCAATTCTTGCGGAGGGACCGCATAACCTGGAACATGGACTTCCGGGAGGGCTTGTTGTCGTGGAAGAGATCGCCGCCGAGGAGGACCATGTCGACCTGAAGGTAACAAGAAGTCAGACGCATGCTAGAGATAAGGTAAGTCGGGTACGAGTGGAAGCTTACGTCCTTAGCCCTGGCCAGGTTCATGATCTCGTCGAAGGTTTTCCAGCTGTCATCCTTCCGGATGGGGTCGCGCTCCTCGTAGCCCACATGGTTGTCGGTCGCTATGAGGATGCGAATGGTATCCTGCACTGGCGAGGGGGGAGAGAGGAAAGGGTTAGCCGCAGAGGTTAAAACATAGTTGCCCGTCGTGATCGTGAGAGTGTCGAGGGAGAACGAACCTGGGGCGTCGGCGGGCATTGTGCCGGTGGTTGGGAGGTTGTTTCAGTGCATGTGCGGTCGCGAGAGTCACGAGAAGAGTCTAAAGAAGTGTCTAAGCTGCATCACCGGCCCAAAGTAAAGGCGAGGCGGTTGGCGATTATGGTGATGTGGTAAATTGCGAGGTAGGTAGGCATGACCGAAGCATACATCCTCTGCTAAAGTGGCTAAACGCGGTGGGAGGTGGTGAGGGGTCCAGGCAGGCGCGTCGGTGGAGCTGCAGAGACCCTGCAAGCTCGGGGTCCAACACGAACTCACATGGCCAGTTGCTCAGGCAGTAGCAGGCACCCAGGCCCGCTGTTGGTAGTTGGTTTTACAGTGCTGACAAAGCTTCGCTTGGGCTAAGCCAAAGGAGTTACCTCGTCGCGTCCTGAGAGAGACACCAAGAAGACATGCCCCAGGCGTGCATCTAGGTACGCTGGTGGATACGCCTCAAAGTGAGTGAGAGGGAACGAAAACATCAACGTGTTACTTCTGTGTAAAAATGAGACAAGACCAGCACTGAACCCGTCTGCAATGCTGTAATAACACGAAGTGCTGATTGTGGCTCCTCCAGGGCTCGCAACGGCGAGAAAAGAGATGCCCTTCCCGTCGCGCTGGTCTGCCCTGGCATACTCACTCACTCGCACATACACTCATAGCTTTGGAAGGCCCGTTGATGTTCTCTCATAACCTGGGTTTTCAAGCGCAAAACCTCTCACAAATACACGAGTTCCTCAAGATACGGGCTTTCCAGTTGACTGGGACGACTGCGCGTTCATCTTGAGCCCACCCTCTACAGTTGACGTGCACTCCTCCCCTGTCAACATCAACGGACCACCATCTTAGTGCGAGCTCAGAGCAAGCCACGTTCCACACATGGAAGAGTTTGGTGACCCAACTGCCTTCGAGGCAGACCCTGACGTCGATCTGGACGAGGACATGGACCAGGATGCCCTAGAGCTGGGCGATTATGAGGCCGACGGCGGCGAGGAGGAACTGGACGAGCACGATGTTGACGACGCTGGCGCCGGCCTCCATTTTGACCCCATAGCACTGGGCCTCAAGGAGATCAACAATCTTGCTCGCTGCCGCGTCAGCACCTTCAAGCCCGGGAACGGCGTCAAGGAGCTCCTGGACGATGACCTCGGCCAGTACTGGCAGTACGTTACGTTCCTCTCATCATCGGGTCCAGGCTCACTCTCCACACCTCAAACCATCGCCTTGCCCTGCTCGAGCCTCTTGCTGACATTTTTTCCCCAGATCTGACGGCGTGCAGCCTCATCTCATGACCATGAAGTTCACCCGCCAAGTCGAGATTCGCGCCCTCCGCTTTTTCGTCGACTTCACCCAGGACGAATCTTATACGCCCACCAAGATCCTCTGGTACGCCGGCACATCGGAGCACAACCTCATCCAATTTGCCACCTCAACCCTCTCCAACCCGTCCGGTTGGCAGGAGGTCAGCATCACCGGATGCGGCGGCGGCGACGACTCCAACTCCCTATGCTGCTTCGTCCTCCAGGTGCAGGTCATGGAGAACCACCAGAACGGCAAGGACACGCACATCCGCGCCGTCAAGGTCTATGGCTTTGACGACCAGCTGAGGGCGGCAGGCGCCACCGGCATCCCGGCCAAGGAGGACGAGAAGGTGTTCAAGGTCGATGAGAACAAAGCAGGCGATGAGGCAGAGCAGGAGCTGCTGGAACATCTGAGGCTCAGAGAGATTGGCAGGAGCTTCGAGCCGGGTGATCCAAGCGGGATTGCGTCGACGCTGGATTTCATGGAAGATCCGGTTCTTCGGTGATGTGTTTCCAGAGCCGAGGGAGGGATGGGACTCACTGTATGCACATTCTCTGCCGGGTTTCAATAACAGTGCAAGCATGACTATATTGGTAGTTCGTAGTCTGTGGGACTCGAGGAGGACACATATTTGAAAATCGTTAAGCAAGATGACATCCAGAGGGCCTCGTCGAGCTTTTTGGTGAAGTAATGCCCTTTAGAATCGGTTCGGTTACTCAATCATGAAGCCTTATCAAGTGGGACATACGGGAAGTCTTGGCTCATTATTCCTGTGTATGAATGTTTGACTAGGCTTCGCACTTACAGAGAGCTGATGCTAGATGGATAAAGCTGTTCAACACCCTACATACATGTATATACCTATGTGGTGTATAGAACAAATTCAGGACCACATTGGTCTGTATGATCACCCTGTGAAGTAAGATTCCAACATTCTTAGTCAACGACGCAAAGAATTAACACAGTCCGGAAATACTGAGCCAGTGAAACTACATAATATACACCTTTCTAGTAAGAATAGGTACATCTGCCGTGGTTTCTCGTTTTACCAGCCGCCTGATGGGGCGGAATCATTATTGGCATTGGCCAGGTGGCTCCTGTGTAAGACTTCTACTTCGGTGTCTGCCGGCTCCCTCTGGCAGGTAATTAAGATATGGCACGGCTTTCTTTATATAAAAAAAGGGGGGTGTTTAAACGGTCGCTGATACCGTGATTCAACACTATTGTCTGAATTGATGATTGGAGTGCATCGGCCGTCCGTCCAGCTATGCCTTGACTTGTGTCGACTTACAGTCTAAATTATCTAGGTCTTTCCAAGAATGAGAGCTCGAGCGACCGGTAATTCGGGCGCAAATAAAATCAGGCTCGAGGAAAGGCCTCACTCACAATCAGACTGATAACTACATTTCTCGACTTGCCATCATCACTGATTTCGATTGGGTTTGATCCTATTTGCATAAACTTCTGCACCATTCTTATTGCAGCAGCTCTATCCTAGATTTTATTTTTGCTCATGTTGTCCGTTCCATAGTCGTCGATTTACTCATACCGGTGAACGCCCGTCTCATTGCAGCATATAACCCACTCCACAGAAGCTTACGAAGACCCGACCTTTGATGGGCGAGGTTTGAGTTTGTCATAGGTCCTAATAACCTTCATTGGATAATCGCATCTTTCCTCTCGCACTATAGTCGGCTTGAGAAAAGGCATTGAGTGAGAAACGTACTTATGCCAGGGCAGACTGGACCATCCACGAGTGAGTGGTACAACACTGTATGGAGAGGGTTTCATCCGCCACAAGCCAGATTCCTCCTAGGAAACAGTCTAGCGAGGCTCAAAGAATTTGGTTTTAATGTCTTCATACAGTGCTACTACTTATTTATTGAAGTTGGACCATTAGGCAGTCAAATTTCATTGTCACGGCAGCATTGAACAGCGAGGAGAGCAAGTCTTGTGGAGAGATTGTGTCATGAATCAACATGATTGTTCGACAACCACCTCTAAAATGATGAATCAATTAAAACCTGCAGGGAATTCCGGGTCTGATCGCTTAAATCGTTGTTTCCCAGCATGGAATGTGAAGGCTCTTCAAAACGAGGAACACTTTAATCACGTCGGCACGGGACGACTGAGTACCGAGTGAGCTAAAACAGAGGCCAGGTTGATTGTGGCCAGTGGACGACGTAAACCTGATTTGACTATTTTGATTACTACTTACTGTGTAGGTGACCATGATCTGTCCATGTTCCTGTACCCGTTGCTGGTCCCGGATCCCGGGCCCGAACCGTGCTGACCGGCCCCGGCAGTCGTGGAGCTTAAGCCCGCACACAGCTCCCGGTGCATATTATGATGCAATGTAGCCCCTCATCCTTGACAAACCATCCTGCCCTCCCACGAGGACCAGTGTCAGACAGGAAGGCTCTCGCCGAATAACACGAAGCGTCATGGCTTCTGAAGCTGCAGGTGACGCCGCCATGACCCTTCCACGACTCCAGAACGCCCTCAGGAGCTTCCAGTCTTCCGGGCGGCCATTCCAACTCATCCAACAAAACGCGTCAACTACCAGCAGCAGCGGTGCAGCAGCGGCTCGAAGATGCCGGACGCTGATCGTGCTCGACTCGAGCTTCAACCCTCCAACACTAGCACACATGCAGATGGCGACGTCTGCTCTACAGGATCTACGGACGCAGCAGAGCATCGCGGCCACCCTGAAAGGCGGATCAAGCGGGCAGAGGCGGGGCCTCCCAGATGATGTGCGGCTGCTGCTGTTGCTGGCAGTCAACAACGCCGACAAAGCGCCCAAGCCTGCGACCTTTGAGGAGCGCTTGTTGATGATGGGAGAGTTTGCGGGAGACGTGCAGCGGGCATGGCGCACACTAGCAAGAGAAACGGTGAGACAGGAGGAGGATTCACATGCAGGAGAGGAGGCGGCAACGCTTCCTGTCGACATTGGTCTGACAACTCTTCCCTACTTTCACGACAAATCCGCCGCGATCGCTACATCGCCCGAGTACCACTTCCCCGCGTCCGAGACAGACAGCAACGAAGGCGAGCCTCACACGGACCAGATCTTCCTCGCAGGCTACGACACCCTGATCCGCATCTTCAATCCGAAATACTACAAGTCCCCGGTACCCGAAGCGGCTGTCGACCTCCCCAAACCCGGCAAGACGCCTATGCAGATCGCGCTGGACCCGTTCTTTGCGCGGGCCCAACTCCGCATCACGATGCGGACGGACGATGAATGGGGCGGGCGGGAAGACCAGCTAGATTACGTGGAAAGTATAATGCACGGCAGCGAGCTGGAGGATGTCGGGGGCAGGAGGGAGTGGGCGCGGCGGGTCGAGTTGGTCGAGGGGACGTCGGGAGAAGGCCCAGAGAAGGCAGCTGTGAGCAGCACACTGGCCAGGGAAGCGGTCAAGTCGAAGGATTGGGACCGGCTGAGGGAGCTGGTGCCGGGTGGTGTTGCGAGTTTGATCGAGAAAGGAGAGGTCGCATGGTGATGTAGTCGTCGTGCAGCAAGTCCACCGACGGGCAGAGCGGCGGTGGTGATAGGTAGTCATGTTGTCGCCCCAGCGCAAGACGTGCTACGGCCTGTGAATGTCAGCTTGCGTCTGCGCTGGACGAGCTACGGCGCCAGGCATCGTTCAGCTCAGGCAAAGCAATTTGGAGGATGCGCGGGCTCGTAGAATGTAGATGTGGACATCTGTGACGCGTGTCGGACTACATAAAGAAGCACTGCGCACCCTACGCGTGACGGGTCCAGCATGGCCACTTAGGCCGTCGGTCGACATGGAATGCTGGAGGTGTGCGTGGTGAGTTCGCAGTAATATCGGCGACGCGTGAAGCATTCTAAAGATTGCCTGGAGCCAACAAGCAGCAGCCGACCGAACACTTGACAAGACCTAGTATGAGGCGAGGGCGGAGCTAAGCCAACAGGGCGTCGCGCGGGACATGCAGGCACCACGCGAAATTTTCACAAAGCACGCTTTTCTTCTTCGCATCGCAGGCAAGCCCGCGGAAGCAATGAAAAAAAGAAATGAAACCGCCAGTCAGACGTCCATCGGCAGCCACCCCGCCCGAGCGCCCGAAGGCAAGACCTCGAGGAAGATCGGGGTAGAGATCATCACCACTCCCTATACAGCTGCAGAGCAGCCGCCACCTTTGCAGGCAGGTCGGGAGTAAAAATTGGTGTATTCACTCTAGGGCATGCCGAGGATTTGCAGTCATCAACCTGGGTGGGATCTGTAGCTATGTTGGGAAACATAGAAGATGGGACAAAACCTATAGAAATGATTCTCTAGAGTATTGTCGACATACCAAGAAAAGAGAGAAAACGAGGAAAAGGGAGGGAGGGAGTGAGAGTTTATATATTGATTGAGGGGTGGTCAGTGCGCAGTTCTGCCTGTGCTGCAGACGGCTTGGCCGCCTTCCTTTCTGGGCCTAGAGTGATAGACCGCTTTTGCTTTCTGCTCAATTCTGCCGTTTTCTTGTGTCCGCTGCAAAGTTTGACGCCAGCGCTCCACCTCCAAGAACAAGTCTGCAAATTTCTCACCAGGACCGGCCAGCCTAGACCCCGAGCAGCGCAGTTTCTGCCACAGAAATTTCATTCCGACATGATGTGATGCTTTTATTCGCTCTGATGCTTATTTTCGACCCTCTTTCCTCGGCGTCGGCCCGAAACCACGAGTCACCATGGCTGCTTGGCCAAATAGCCAGTGTTCTTAGCCTCTCTCACTCACTGCTCGGTCCATAGCCGATGTTCAGGGCCCCCACCGCCAGACTGCCAGCCACTCAACGAGCCAACGATAGACTTGGCCTATCCAGTCTGGACTGTTCCTCAGAGCTGGCATCTTGATTCACTGCACATGTGGTGGTGAAAGGATCCGATGTCTCCACAGCACACCGTCGTGACTTGCCGGGTGTGTACTGTTCGAGATCAATGTACACTCAAGTCAGTGTTCATGTCCTGAAGGCCCACTTCTGCTGTCCCCCTAGGCAAGGTATCCATTTCACCCCATTGGCCAGGTTACTGTTTTATGGGTCTCATGGCCCGAGCTCATTGGTCCACCCTCCCCATGCAAACTTTTGCCCCCGGACGAGCAGAATTGACGATATGAGCCCCCCGTTCCCGTTCGCCGACATCGATCATTAAACACGATAACTCGGTCCGGTGGTGTAGTTGGTTCATCACGTTAGTCTAACATTAAAAAGAGCTCGTCTTGAGTTGTTGATGTGAGCACTAAAGGTCCCCGGTTCAAGCCCGGGCCAGATCAAAAGTGTCGTGTTTCTTCTTTTGCCCTGTTGACCCAGGACAATTGGGATTACCTGGGCTTTGTTTTGCTACTCATGACCATAGGATGGACACCCTTGCCCTGCTTGCCCTGTCGAGAGGCTGCTTCTTGGCATAGCAAGCAGCCAGAACCGGCAGGATGGCTTTGTTCACAGCTGGTGACACGTGCGATGTGATCCTGGACGGCGGTGGGCTTTTCTGACTACCTGCTTGCCTGTCTCAGTTTACTACAAGATGACTAATACGCCGTCTTGTTGCTGGAGAGCAACCTTGTCTCTTCCAGCGTTGCCAATTATAGACCGTGTTTGTGCTTCTACCCAGTTAGTCCTCTCGGCCATTTCATCCTTCGAGGGCATGCATGACAGGCGGACAGCTTTACGGGCCACTCCGTTTCCCAGTAGATACTCACTTGCAGTCTTGCAATATAGTCTCAACATTCTTGCCTCTGGGCTATCATATTGTGGCGTTGTATCTCCTTTCTGACCTAGCCGGTGAGAATCGCATGTGATACGCACGAGTGAATTCTCTACTCAGGACAAGGTTGTGATTAAGATGTCAAGAATGTCTTTCTTAATCTGGGAATGATATAATAACATTTTGCTACAAAGAACACAACGGCTCGGTTTCAGCGATTTTAGCATGCGCTATTTCCGTCTCGAGGGCAATTCCCTGAGCGAAATGGCATCTTCCAGCTTTCTATCTTCACCTACATCATTGGGACAACACCGCCACACTATCAAAAATTGCAACACGTCATTACGGACCCCCCTGTGACTTAGTTCCTCATTTGTCTGGAAGGTATCTAACAGCTCACTGTGGCTTACTCGCTTTTCCATGTAGAAGGTCATCCAAGAGGGAAATACTACACAAGAGGTTATCCCAAGGAAGGTTATCCCAAAGAAGGTTATCCCAAGGCTATCCCATGGAAGATTATCCCAATGAAGATTATCTCAAGCGAGGCTATTCTAAGGAGGGTTATCCCAAGGAATAACGTCCTAAGAGAGGTTGTCCCAAAGAAGGCTATCCCATAGAAGGTTATCCCATAGAAGGTTATCCTAAGGAAGGTTATCCCATGGAAGGTTATCCCAAGAGAGGTTATCCCAAGAGAGGTTATATCATGAGAGGTTATCCCATGGGAGGTTATATCATGAGAGGTTATCCCATGGGAGGTTATTTCTTGGCAGGTTATCATTGGCAGGTTATCCTACACCACTCCCGTTTGTTTTGCTGGTCTATTCCAAAAATACTGTGGTTGCGACCAGCGTGAGCTCTCTAGCCGCACAAGAGAATATCAGCATAGCGATCAGTATGGTGATAAATTGGTGAGAAGGCTGACCTATGAGCCTTTTCTAGAATATCGACAATTTAAAATCTCGATTAGATAAACAAGGTACGACATTGACGGCGCATTAAGTATACCAACTTCGCGAGATAGATTTGTTAGTGAGGAAGCTTTGCTGATTGCCACCGCTCTGGTTTTCAATGCTCTCGCGCACATTTGCAAAACTCTGAGGAGAAGCCTAGGCAGGGTTTGGCCATTCCGTCTCCTCAACACGGTATACAAGTTTCTCCCCACTGACAAGCCCCTGACGCATCAGTTGCATACCGTCCAACACGCCCAGAAGCCCCTTTTCCCCCACGTTCTGGCGGTGGTTTTGCCATTTACCACTCGCCCAAAGCTTTTCAGCTATACTGTACCACGTGCGACCGAACTCAAAGGCGTCCGGCTTTGCTGGGTATGAATCCCCTTCGAATATGTACGCTTCGCCCGACATGTCATATCCGAGGAAGAACACGGACTCAACATCAGAGCGAGGACATTCGACGCCAAGCAGGTTGCAATATTTCCCCCCATCAGGCCCGAATGCCGCTGCGCAGATTTCTGCTGAATCTGAGGTATTGACGGTGTCGAAAACTTTCGTGAGGGATCCCCTAGTTGCTTCGAAAATACTTTTTCCCACATCAGGTGCTCGCTTGGTAAATGTTAGACCATTCATCACCCGTTCGACAATCAAGAATGGAGAAGACACAAAGTTGCATACATAATCGAAGACAATGTCAGCGCCCAGCTTCTTCACGTAGTCGAAATTGCGGGGAGAGCATGTTGTGACCACATTGTAGCCGGACCTATGAATTTTAGCAGAGATACGAATCCAATAGTACTTTTTCCGGTGGACTTGCAGCTTCGCAAACTGTATCGCAACTGCTCCAGTGGCCGTACTTCCCCCATAGATGAGTATTGACTCTCCATGTGAATTAGACTCTGCATCAGGCAGCTGGAGATTTAGTACGTGATAGAGGCCGTACCCGGCTGATCCGACGCCGACGCCTACTGTGGACGCGGCTTCGAAAGAGACATCATCGGGGATATGTATCTGAAGACCAGCTTTGACGGCAATGTAGCGTGCAAATACCCCGTTCTCCGGATTTGCGTCGTTGCCTGTGCATATTTTAGTACTTGACCGCGGTCCATTTCTCTCTGCGCTGCGTAGACGATACCTCCATGGCCGAATCCAGCGATGCGGTCACCCTTGCGAAAGTGCTGGGCAGCATCTCGACCTACGTCTTCAACTATGCCAGCGTAATCGCAGCCGACAATCGTTCCGTCATCCCCAACCGCGTCTAGCGTGGTCCAGTCAGTCGGGTTCAATGCTACCGCTACTGTCTTCACGAGCACGTAGTCGTCTCGGAGTGTTGGTATCTTCGTGGGCTCAAGGACCGCATTGCCAGTCCCTCGTCTGATCAAGCTGAAATTTTGCATGGTTTCTAGCTGTTGTCGATTAAGACACCCAGTATGGAGATAGTCACCTCCCAATCTGCCAAGGGCAAGCCATGCTTCACCAAACCCCATTTAAATGCTGAGCGAGTGTGCAATCGCTTTGGTGAGTATTATGTTCACGTCAGCTTATTTATTTGTCAGCTGTCCCTCATTTGTCAGCTGCATCTGAGATAGTCGTGGGCTTTTAGCCATATATGTTCAGGCTTCATTTTTATGCGACTTATTCTGATCTATTAATTTAGCGTGGTGTGCCCGTCAAGAAGGGTAATTGAAAGCACTGAGCATTTCAAGAGTTCACTGTTATCACGATGCTCAGATGGACTCGACGCGTCTTGCAGTGTCCCCTGCTTCATTTGTAACGTTGCGATACATGGGTTGTGCCTGGGTAGACAGTGAGGGGCAATCTGCAAGGGCGACGCAAGATAGGGCGACAGCATTGGTATAGCCGACGGAAGAATTATTGAACCAGACTAACGCTTTTGGCAACGTAGATGTGACCTCGTATTTCATTTATGAATGTAACGCTCTGACTACATATAAACACGATCTTCGTAGGAGAAATAAATGTGACATGTGGGAAACCTAGCTAGATGAAGCCGTGATCATGATGCCAATTCTTCAACTGTTGCACTGCTTGGCAGCAGCAGCAGCTGTGGCAGAGGCCAGCATCCACCATGCACCCTCCAATTATCCCGCCCGTCGTGATCTCAATGGAACGTACCCGAAGTATCGCGTGTCGCCGATCGACGGTACCAAGATCGCGCTTCCTACTCAAGATCAACTGGACTTTCAAGATAGGGAAATAGGCATGCTCATCCATTTCGAAGTTGCGACTTATATAAGCATCGACGGTTGCAACGGCGTTCCAGGACTGGTACCGAGTCCTTCTCTGTTCGACCCAACACTGCTCAACACAGATCAATGGATGGACAGCATCAGTGCCTCAGGAGCTAAATACGCGACCTTGGTTGCCAAACATAATTGCGGATTTACAACGTGGCCGAGTGCTGTGTCATTCGAGACGAGGGACAATACGACAAGCAGGTACAATTACACAGTAGCGGACTCGCCAGTCAGCGGGACGGACGTCGTTCAGCAATTCTCGGAGTCAGCTAAGAAGTATGGTCTCGGACATGGTTTCTACTACAGCACTGTGGTCAACAACTTTCTCAACGTTCAAAATTCGCTTGTCAATGCCACTTGGTCTCCTGGCGAAATTCGGATCACAAACGAGACGTACGATGATATAGTGCTGGCTCAATTGACCGAACTGTGGACAAACTACGGAACCTTGACCGAGGTGAGTCGGCAGAACTTGGGGCGATGATGCATCTGATATTGATCCTGCGAAATGCTGATGTTGGTTTCTAGCTTTGGTTTGATGGTGGCTATAGCGCCAGCCAGAGGGCAAAGATTGAGGAGCTGCTCCAGGAGCTTCAGCCTCAAGCTTGCATTTTTAACTCATGCGATACCGCCGGCACTTGTATCTCTGCAAATGCTATCAGGTGGATAGGCACGGAAACGGGCTTACCGAACCAAGAGATATGGTCAACTGGCGTTACCAATGACGGGGGAGATCCATCAAGCGAATACTTTGCGCCAGCAGAATGTGACACAACACTGCAGACTGGTGATCGGTGGTTCTGGGGAGAGGACCAACCACTCCGGTCTCTTGATGAGATGATTGACGTCTACCATCAAACCGTTGGTCGGAACTGCATCCTTGAACTGGACCTCGCCCCTGATCGCAGCGGTTTGGTCCCAGCCCGGCATGCGGCGCGATACAAGGAGCTCGGGGACTTTATCCAGTCGTGTTATGGCAGCCCTCTTCAGGTTACAAACTCTACTACCGAGGATAGCGTGGCACTGTCTTTTGAACATCCTACGTCCATCGATCGAATCGTCATTATGGAAGACCAAGCCGATGGACAAGTCATCCGAGCTTATGAGGTGTACGCGAAGATCGTGGACTCTGAGGAGCAGAACGGGACTTTGGATGTACCTTGGAGTCTTGTCTCGAACGGAAGCAGCATTGGGCATAAGAGGATTGACTTGTTTGATAAGCCTCTGACAGTGACGGGCGTGGTAGTCAACGCCACAAAGTTTGTGGATAGTCCCAAGTGGCGGTCGGTGAATGTCCACCTGTGTGGGTAAAGTCCACGTGAGGTCAACATGTCTTCCCATGTCCTGCGTGTCTGCTCCAACTGGTGTCATTTGACCTCGGGTGCAATTGCAACTCAGATAAGTAAAGGATGTGACACGGCTAATTACTTCATTCTTCTTTGTCAAGAAGCAAGAATATACAACATTTCTTTGCTGGCAACTTGGCGGCTCTACATGCGTAGTCTTCTGGATTGAAGAACAAGTTGGGAATTTCTATATCTACACAGAATAGCCTGGGACTCTATCTGCCTGCGCGTGCCATGACTGGGATCAAATGCCGTTCCCAGATTATCAACATCGCCACGCCTTCAATTAATTGACAACACCACCCAGGGCGTCTGGAGCGCGAACTTGGCAACAATATCAAAAATCAAATACTGGGATGTATCAAGCTTATAGCCGGAACGGACCGCCTCCGTGTCTTGACAGAGCTTTCCGATCACGTCCAGCCTCCCCCGCGCAATGCCTTGTGAGCCATCGACCAGCTGAGATGTCCATTTACCATTTATAGATGACCTTTGCCATCTTTCAAGAGTTGTTGCCGGTAGCAACACCCCAGAAATATGCCGACCAGGAACCTAGGATCAGCATAATCAAAGCACCGAAGCAAGTCTTAGAAATCATCTTGTTCCGTGCCCCGTTGTCCTCATAGAACGCCCTCTTCCTCTCATTCCACAGCTCCCCATTGGCGATGCGCTGCTTTCTGGTCCATTGCAAGTTGCCGAGGTCGATGGACCACCACGAGAGCGCGACCAACATGATAGAGACGAGCACAGATGCGGCGGCAAGAATCACATAAACAATCACCACGTGGTCGTAGCTGTCGTTATCCGCGTCTTGAATGGCACCAGTGACCACACGGACGACAATGTTCATACTGCAAATGCATTAGATGAGACCTTACTTTGCGAACATGCTAAGCACTTACGCATTATTTGTGGCAATCTTCACCGCATAAGCAGAGCCGAAGGTCGAGCCATGCCACATGGAGGTGCGGATACTGTCGATGATTGTGGTAGGGCCAAGGGTGAAGGCTATAGCGTAGATTCCAAAGGCGGCAGCGGTTCCCTTCACATCCGTGGCCCAGTTGACAAGAGCCATTGACAGGAAGACTCCAGTACCGCAAATAGCGACTAGGTATGTTCAGCATCCTCTTCTCGTCGCAGTGTGGCTGTAAAACTTACGCAATGTTATGCGATTGCCCAATATGTCGATAAAAGCACCGATGCACGGTACCAGGAAGAAGCCAGCGTACTGCAAAGTTGCCGAATACCAGCCAGCGGTTATAGAGTCAGTGTTGAATCTTTTCTCCGCAAGTTCTGTGGCGTTCTGAGTAAAAACAATAGCAGTGCTGGTCTGGAAGAGCGAGAAAGACAAAATAGCCCAAAACACCCAGGGCAACTCTAGAACCTTCTTGGCTTGGAACTTTTTGGACTTCTCCGTGAGCTTCTCTCCAGTTGCCGGGTCGGTGCAGTTGCCGAACTTCTTGTGTGCGATGCCGTTGAACCAATAAAAGACTAGGGTGAGAATATTGGTGAAGACATTCATGAACACTGAGATCCAAAAGACCCATGCGAAGTTGCCCGTGTTTTTCGCGATAATGTTGGCTGACGACTTGCCAACGAAGCCACCAATTTTCTTGATACCAAGCTCGAAACCTAAAGTCGAAGCGAAGCCATTGTTGGGCGAGAACCAGGAACTGAAGACTTTGTACTGGGCCACTTGGGTTGCAATGTCACCAAGAGCGAGGATGACTCGGCCACCGATCATGAGCTTAAAGGAGCGGACCTGGGCTGCAGCGGCAACGATAATGGAGCCAATGGAATATATAATGTTGCCTGTGTTCGCGTGCATCCTCCGCTGTCAGCCCAAAACTTCAACTTGCTACAATAATAATGTTCACGCACCGTACAACATTGCTCCGGCGCCTCCGATCCTGTCTGTTACGATTCCACTGGATAGAATCAAGAGGGTGACCATGAAATCCTCACTAGCCTCAAGCAGCGAAAATTGTTTGTTGTTGATGTCCAACTCCTTCTTCAAGGTGGACTTCAACGCGCCCGTAATGCCAGAACTCCATGATGAGCCGAAGCTGATGCAGGAGATGAGGATGACAGCAATAAATTTCCAGTATAGCGGTGGGCTCGGCTTGGCCTCCTCGGTGGAGGAGGGGTTCCGTGACAAAGGAACTTCATTAACGAGGTCTTCGGGCTCCTTCGTCCTATCGGACTCGGGGTCTGCGTGAGTTGCCATTGTCAGACAAGTTTCCACACTTCAATCACGGCCTCATACAAAAATGAAAGAAAGGATGGATCAGATCTCGAGGCAAGGACTGCAATTGAAGCATGCTCCGTCTTTAACTGCTCACTGCTGTTGTGCGATGGCCGACTCCCGGTGCCAGGAACTGGACCTTGGGTCGGACCGGACAGAATGGGGCCACGAGAATACGTAAGACAGGTCCGAAAGCGAAAGTAGCCTAGGGTTATGGAGAAACCTGTACAGAATTTTTGTCTTAGCATGCAAGGTTTTCTTCGGTTCAATGTGTGCCAAGGCTCATGATACCCTCGGAGATCATCTGATAAGATTAACCAGGACCCACAAGCCATCACCAAGCTCACTTTGCCTCGCGAAGCCAACCGCTAGCGCGATGGGCCATGCTTCAGACGGAGTCTTAGTGGAGTTTACCGGCCAAGAAACCCATTACGAGTCATCCCAGCTCGAGGTGTTGTAGATGTGGATTACATTACCGCCGACCTGCCGAGCCGAGCACAATGGGGTTTCAGTGGGAACACTCAGCATACCGCAGGGCGGCCGACCCATAGTAGCGATTGAGCTGGAAAGGCTCTGTTTGTTGATGCCTACCGCCAAATGAACTTACATATTGACAAAGTTGACCTGGAAGAGAAAGTGGCCTTCGTTTGACATCAGAAATTTGTCAAATTCATCAGGTTGGCCAAATCAGAAGCATGTTTTTTCTTACTAATTAATCTTACAATCAAGTCATTAGAAAAATCTTTGTGAATGCTTGACATTTTGAATTGTTGCTCTGCAAGACTGATCGCACCAGGATTAGAAGCAAACCAATTCTCTACAGTCGCGATGTGATAATCCTGCGCACGTGTCCAACCATGAATAGTGGCGTATGATGCCAGATAGTCATCTTTCCGATGTAAATTAACTAGAGCGTCCAGAGAGGCCAAAGAATTCGAGACCGCAGTGGGATCCTACTATGTTATTTGAGCAGAGGGACCAATTCTGCCAAGGCTTGTATTCTATCTGGCCGTGGATCATTTCGAAGCGATCCCGAGTTGCCCTGATCATTTGTGCCCCGTTGAGCACGGGCGTCAATAACACAGAGCATTTTTTCCTTACTACAACCCCGTTCTGCATGAAGAGAAGAACTCGAGCGTTCAAGCTTCAAAATCTGCGGAAGAGAAAGAAGTCGTTGGAAGATGCCATCTATTTCGAGAACGATGGGTATCCTTTGTATTTCCAAGGCTTACTGCGCCATTCGTAGAGAGAAATCGGCTAAGGTTGGATTGGTTCGATGCTTGGAGCAGTCAACTCCTGCTTGTGCCGGGCGTCTTGCCACTCCTGTATATCCTCCTCCTGGTCACCATTCGCCTTCGAGTTGTATCCGGACCTACCCATACTTATCGCCTGAGGTTGGGATGTTGCATTGCAGGTGGCCTCACAAGTTATGTAGGGAAAGACACGCCACTTTTGGCATGATTTTATTTCCTGTCGAGGAATGATGGTGGTAAACTCGCTCCGTTACCAGTTCTCAAGTTGCTTCTGAGGGCAGAGATTTCTGTGGCTTATTGACTGGTGTCATTTGTGTATTGTCAGCAATGCCCCGGCGTGACCAATGGGAGGCGAGACCCTATTGTCGAGCAAATATTCGCAGCCCTGTGTATAAACATGCAAAGAGTCTCGCCCAATGAGGATAGTTGACGAGCCTTCAAAAAAGTGTTTCCCTTGGATAGTGGACCCTGAGTTTCGTGCTAAACGAGCTACGAATCTTGTCGTGCCCATGAGAAAAGGGTCTCGAAACTGATCAAAGCCTGTGGAACATCTTAGAATTCAAGAGTAAATGGGTAGTCGTTGAATCACTGGCGGCCATTTCACCGAACACTGCCTATTATTGAAAGTAATATAAACATGTGCATTCTGTCCAATAATCTAATACTCAATGCTACCAGTACCACCCACTGCTCTTCTCCATCTTGGCGATAGAACTTTGATACATTGAATGAATGCTCTACTGAGCTCGGATTTCAAAGTTTGAGCAGGCTTCATCGTGGCCCGTCGCAACCAATGGATAGGATGGGTGCACCAAGATGCCCCCATCATCTTCCAGTCTTCTTAGCTGGACTGTACAAGAGCCAACACTTCATGGGGCTCGAGCCTCTTTAGTATGTACGAGCGTTGACCATATGTGCCTGAGCCCGCAGCTGCTCCAGCATTGCCGGTCGAAAATTCATGTAAGCTCATTGTTCGGTCTTTTCGTTGCATCTTTCCAGGTAGCCACGCTAACGGGAGGCATTAAACCCGGAGACGTTCGAGAGGATAAGGGCGAATGACTGCCCCTTTACCCTTACTGGAGTAAAGTTCGGTGACATGGTTGTACTACCCGTTCTACAATGGAAGCGTACACTACAGAAGGTCTAAATTCAATTCAGTCAGCCAACAAATGGATCAGTCTTAGTACGTAAAGGATATGTCCAAGATCTCCGGACGTGCAGTCCGGCATAGCCCTGTCACTCATGTGGAAGCCGGTTGGAGCGGGGTTGGTCTGGGTTCCCCTTATCGCCATGACATCAAACCTCTAGCTTCACAATTTGACCCACGCTCGGCATCAAAAGTGGGTTCACGGGAAGGGGGGTTCGAACGGTTCAGCAGTCCGTATCATCAAGATGAAGAAAGCAACACATACAGAATTTGAACGATTTGACGACCAAGGCAAATTATCATCAGACAAGAAAATGGCTCCCCCAAAGCGCAAAGCGTTCATCAATGTTGACCTAGGAGAAGGATACGGCAACTTCAAATGCGGCCCAGATGAGGAGCTTATACCGATGATTGACCATGCCAACATCGCATGTGGTTTTCAGTGAGTCCCAAATTTTGCATTACGAGAATTTTCAACGTAGAAAATGCTGACATACTTCTCAGTGCCGGGTGAGTTGACGTGCTTCGCTTGCAAGATCAGAATTAGAGCGGCGCGTCTAATATTGTGTTTCCAGTGATCCTCTACACATGCTCGAGTCTGTACGTCTGTGCAAACATCACGGAGTCAAGGTAGGCGCTCATCCGGGCCTCCCGGATGTCCAAGGGTTCGGTCGCCGGGAGATGAAGCTCACCCCGGAAGAGCACACGGCCAATATCATCTACCAAGTCGGAGCGCTCAAGGCCTTCCTCGACGCCGAGGGCATGGAGCTGAACCATGTCAAGCCCCATGGCATTCTCTATGGCATGATGTGCCGCGATCCAGAGGTCTGCCGCGCCGTCTGGGCTGGCGTGCCCCCGGGTATCAAAGTGTTTGGTCTGGCTGGGACGCATATGGAAAAGGTTGCCAACGAGATGGGCATAGAATTCGTAGCCGAGTTCTACGGGGACGTCAAGTACACTGCCGAGGGGTCACTGGTGATCGACCGGAAGAAGAAGCCATGGAACGTTGAGGATGTGAAGAAGCACGTACGGCAGCAGGTTGAAGAGTCGGCGGTAACGGCTGTGACCGGTGAGGTGGTTCAGTTGCCAACGAAAGACTACCCCGTGTCCTTGTGTTGCCATTCGGATTCGCCGGGTTGCGTGGAGATTGTCCAGGCCGCTCGTCAGGTGGTAGATGAGTACAATAAGGCCAACGATTTCGCGTAGAGAGTGTGACGGCAGTCTCCAGAACCTGAATCAAAGCACTACGTGTTCTTCTCTCTGTGGGGATCCCGTAAGTCGTGCCTATGCCTCTATTACCAGTGCTGTCCATCTTCCGCTAGCATTATTCTCACTCTCGCGGTCGGCTTCCAAAGTTCGAGCATGACCATGATAGGGTCCCCTGATAGATGCACGCTGCCCAGATGGCTTCCATTGGGTCCCATCATGGAAAATAGGGTTTGATGGCTCGGTCATCCCCACCAACCCTGAATATAAATGGTACGAGAGATAAAGCTAATGTGGGGCATTATTTGGATTAAGCGTTAAACTCAGGAACGCTGACACGGCTCCTCTACGATAACAGTTGTTGCCCAGCGGCTTGTCTATTCAAATCTTCCCCGCCTCCATAGATATGGTAGCTCTATCTCTTATCTGTGCCACTCGTTCTCGTCGGTTAGAGCTTCCAGTTGTGGCAATGAAGCTGTCTCAGGGTGATGACGCAGCTAGGTCCTTGGGTTCATCCGAGCTCGTTGCTGCGGGGAAACTCCCAGATTCGATTGCAGATAGGCTTACCCCTTCGACCGAACTTTCGTGACCCACACCAGGCGGTATATCATAGGATGTAGTCATGTGGTGATGAAGGAGGAACTCGTTCATGAATACTGGAACCTGGCTGCCAGATGCTACACACATACAATTAGATTGCGAAAATGGAACACCTCAAAACACTCCTAATTGCGAACAGAGGGGAGATAGCATGCCGTATTATCAAGACAGCCAGGCAAGTTCATAACTCTCCGTAACTTTATGTCATGTCGCATCTTTCCTCGAAATGACTGACACGACCTTATCAGACGCCTGAGCATCAAGACTGTAGCTATCTACACCGAGCCAGATTCAGCATCAGAACACGTTGCTGAAGCAGACGTTTCCCTGCTCCTTGATGGTGACGCTTCGAGAGCCTATCTCGACGGTGATCAGATCGTACAAAGAGCAAGAAATGCTGGCGCACAAGCTATCATTCCCGGGTATGGATTTCTGTCTGAGAATGCCGACTTCGCTCGCTCCGTCGCTGCGGCAGGGCTGGACTTTGTCGGCCCTAGTCCAGAAAGTATCGAGCAGTTCGGGCTGAAACACATGGCGCGAGAGCTGGCATTGGCTGCTGACGTGCCTGTCGTTCCGGGCACGAAGGGACTGCTGATGAATGTCAACGACGCCGCGAAGGCAGCAGAGGGGCTTGGATATCCTGTGATGCTCAAGTCCACAGCCGGCGGCGGCGGGATGGGCTTGCAGACTTGCGCAGACGAAAGCGAGCTGAGAAAGGCATTTCAGACGGTGAAATCCCGTGGAGAGGCTCTCTTCAAGAATGCGGGCGTGTTTCTGGAAAAATACTACCCTGCTGCTCACCATATCGAGGTGCAAGTCTTTGGCAATGGCCAGGGCAAGGTTGCGACGCTTGGTGAAAGGGAGTGTAGTATCCAGCGCAGGCATCAAAAGGTGATCGAAGAATGTCCCAGCCCCTTCGTGGCGCAGAAGAGGCCTGACTTACGAAAACAACTCTGTGCTGCTGCCACGTCGCTAGCAGAGTCTATTAAGTATTCTAGTGCAGGAACTCTTGAATTCCTGGTTGATGATGAGAGCGGTGCTTTCTTCTTCCTGGAGATGAACACCAGATTGCAGGTGGAGCACGGGGTAACGGAGATGGCCTATGGAGTTGACCTCGTGGAGCTGATGCTTCGCCAGGCAGACGCGCAACTGGCAGGCAAAGGAGGGCTGGAAGTAACTGAGCTGGAAGACCTCTCGAGATCGTGTCAAGAGCCAAAGGGGCATGCGATCGAAGTGCGAGTCTACGCTGAGAATCCGGCCAGAGAATACGCCCCTTCTCCGGGACTCTTGCAGCAGGTCACCTTCCATGAGCTCCCAGGAACACGTATTGACAGCTGGGTTCGAGCCGGACTCACCGTCAGTCCTAATTATGGTGAGTCGGTTGAATGGGTTCCACGTACTCAATTGTTGACAATGCCTACCAGATCCGTTACTGGCAAAAGTGCTTCATCTTTCACAAAGCAGATCGCAAACTGTCGAGGAGCTTACGACAGTGCTCTCAAGGTCATCCATTTGTGGACCCCCTACCAATCTCGATTTTCTACTTGCAATTCTGAACTCTCCAGAGTTCAAGTCTGGCAACACTATTACACAGTTCCTCTCTACCTTTGTGTTCCGTCCTTCGGCCATCGACGTGCTAGCTGGAGGCTCCTACACTCTCGTCGAAGACTATCCAGGCCGGCCAACTATCGGCAGAGGCTTTGGACATGGCGGACCAATGGATCCAATGTCATTTCAAATTGCTAACGCTCTTGTTGGCAATCCTCTTGGAATGGAAGGCCTGGAAATCACACTAACTGGACCAGATCTCAAATTCTTGGCGGATGCTATCGTGTCTCTCACTGGTGCAGCCATCTCCGCCACACTCGATGGCAAGGAGTTCCCTATGTGGCGTCGCATGAGGATATCTGCAGGACAGCGCCTGACTATCGGGAAGACCCTGTCTAATGCGGGATGCAGGTCTTACTTGGCAGTGTACGGGGGCTTTCTGAATGTTGCAGAGTGGTTTGGATCCAAGGCGACGGTACCACTGACACTGGTCGGTGGTTATCAGGGTCGTCCGATAGCGAAAGTCAGTCATATTCTGTTTGTGCTTCAATATTCTTACAGCCTTCTATTGGCCATGAGAACTGACGTACAAATCTTTGAAGGGAGACATTCTTCGTATCGTGGACGAACTTCCTCCAGATCCAGAAACAACTTGGGCAATACCCGCGAGCATTTTGCCAAAACATCAGGAGCATTGGGTTCTGCATGTCATGCATGGACCGTACTGTGAGGAATACATTTCTCCCGAGGATATTGACATGTTCTACAATACAGATTGGGAGGTCTCCCACAATGCTGCTCGAGGCGGCATCCGACTCACTGGGCCTCGGCCCAAATGGGCCAGGCGGTCGGGGGGAGAAGGCGGCTCGCACCCCAGCAATGTCATTGAGTACGGCTACCCTATAGGAGGCATTAACTTTACTGGGGACGAACCAGTTATCTTCCCAAATGATTGTCCCGATTTCGGGGGCTTTGTCTGTCCTTTCACTGTTGTAAAGGCGGACTACTGGAAAGTGGGCCAGCTGCGCGCCGGGAACACGGTCAAATTCGTTGCCGTGTCCTTGGAAGACGCTCTCTGGTCCCGGAAAGCAAACGAGGCATACGTAGACAACATTGTCAATTGGCTGGCTTCTGGCTCGTTCGAGACGGTGCAAAGCCTTAACGCCACGCCAATCTTAGAGGCGGCTGCATCGGTACAGCCGGCAGTCATCAAGCTCTCTGAAGCAACACCCAGCAGACCACGCACCGCCTACCGCCAGGGGGGAGATGACTATTTGCTAGTGGATTATGGTGAGTCGATAGGACACAGAGATTCCAAAACCCTTCCACTTCAATAGTTAACCTCTTGTTCTATAGGACATGGCTCTTTTGATATCAATCACAAATGTCGCATCACAGCACTCAAGCACAAGCTTGAAGCTAGCACTGGGCCCATCCGCTTCTCCCCTACTGGCGAGGGCATTTATAACACGGTTTGTATCGGAAATTCCATGATGATCTACTACAACGGATTGGCCATTCCCCAGTCCCAGTTACTCAACTATCTTGTCGGTCTCGAAGACGACCTTGGCGATCTGAGCTCCATCACGATGCCGAATCGCACATTCAAGTTGCCCCTGACCTTCACGCATCCCCGGCTGGACCAATCCATCGAGCGGTACATGGCGAACCAGAGGCCGTATGCAAGTTACCTGCCAGACAACTTCAAATTCGTCGCCGAGAACAATGGTATAACTCCAGAGGAGTTCCGCAAGCTATGGCTCACGGCCGAGTTTGTATGTATAGGACTTGGATTCTTCATGGCCCTCCCCTTGGGCCTGCCTGCCGACCCGCGTCACCGCCTCATCAGCCCCAAGATGAACCCATCCAGGACGTTTACCCCCGAAGGAACAGTGTCCTGGGGTGGATCGTGCCTTGCCATTTACCCAGTTGACTCCCCCGGCGGATATATGCTCAATGGCCTGACCCTTCCTTCCTGTGATAAGCTTGGTTATAAGAAGGGCTTTTCCCAAGACCGGCCCTGGTTGTATGAGGATATGGATGTTATTACTTTTTACGAAGCAAGCCAAGAAGAGTACGACCGTGAGATAGCCTTATTTAGGAGCGGAAGGTATGAGTTCAAAGTCGAATCCACGACCTTTGACATGAAACGACACAATGAGCTGCTGAAGAGTACCAAAGATGAGGTTTTGGTTATTAAAAAGAAACAAGAAGAGGCTCAAGAGAGAATGGTGAATCTTGAAAAAGAGCTACTGGCTAAGTGGGACGAGGAGAAGAAAGCTAGTGGTGTGTCCATGGAAAGCATTCAAAGCTTGCTGGATGGTGAGTAGAACCCTGTGCGACTTTCTCGAGTTCAGTACGTGCTAACCGTCAGCCTAGATCCAAATATTGAAACTATTGAAGCACCTGTGAACGCAAATGTGTGGAAGGTGCTAGTAGAAGAAGGCCAGGTACTTGAAAAGGGCCAAACCGTCACAATCCTGGAGGCTATGAAAATGGAGATCAATGTTGTCGTTGATGATCGTCTCGTGGGCTCAAAGATTGAGAAGTTACTGATCCAGCCAAATGATATAGTCCAAAGTGGAAAGCCTCTTGTGCTGGTTAGGACTGTATGCTGAAGGACATAGCTTTTCCCATTCTGCATGAAAATACTGGAAACAAGGATCAACGCCAGATATATTAATCGATGTTTGTAAATCTTTCGCAAGACACACCTGTGAGAATCTGCTACAGTGCCCAGCAACACAGTTGGGATCGAGTCGAGCGCTGAGTCTATTTCTACTATAACCTGTTGAAACAATAGCCATGCCAATCAGTCTCGTCGCTGTCTTTGGATTATTACTGTTGATACGCGGCTTGTACAAGGAATGCTTGTCATACAACGCGCCAGTGCTGCAGTGCTCAAAACTCAGGTCTCTTTAGTATGAGATCAATGTGCGAAACTCAGAGACTTCGACCTCTACTGAAGAATAATCCAAAAGGGTCAACATCGTTTGTGCCCATCTACGTTATCGAAGCATGGAGCTGAACAGATCCAACCGGGACGTGATTGCAATGCTTGGTGACCGTGGACCGCAATCAGTGAATCGTGCGCCTAAAGAAGTGAGGCCAAGCCACTTCTTCCCGAAAAGGTCCCGTATAAAAAGGGAAGGAGTCTTGCATACCGTTATTCTATGACGAGATAACTTTTAAGACTACCGGACTACAACTTCATCTGGTCGAGAGGTCTGTTCACAAAACTGTGATTATTTGCTATTGAAGGAGGTAAATGATATTTGGACTTGGCTTCTAAAATTCTTATTTACATTGTACACTCCTATTATTTGTTTTCTCTTTCTCCTTGTCCGTCTAATATTTCTAATGGCTATCCTATAAGCCTGATTACCGATCTTGCAGCATGGTGCACATTAGCTATGGGACTTGCCTCTCGGTCATATTGGTTGCATTATGAAATTTCTTTACTACCGCAGCGATAGCTTCTTACACGGATATTTCGTTCTCACAACGCCCTTCAAACCTGAACACGAAGATTGCAAGCAGGGGTGCAGATTGTATAGTTGCAAAATGAGCACACGGGATTACGGAAATCGTACCTCACCGACTACAGCTAGTGGACATACCATTCAAGTTGTTACAGCGGTAATGTTATTACTTAAGGGACTAAAGAAAATGCGCGTCTTTAACTATTAGACCTGAGCTTCTAGACAAGCTTCCACAGACTTTCAATTTCTATGTATCCAATTCTTTACCCAAGCCTTTATCATCTGGCTAATCAACCTGTCTAATTCCTTTACTTATTATCGTTGTTTCGATAGAGGAATTGAAACTTGTATTTGTAATAAACCACTTTAGTTGAGAGTCACATCTCCAACAACCGGCCTGTGATCGCTAATCTTTACCCCATTCACAAAGTTGTCTAGAGTTTTATACCCGTTCACAGAGAACGCATTTGCACCCTCAGGGCCGATCCAAATATAGTCGATGCGCGACGAAAACTCGTCACTGAACCCTGTATAGGTGGCTGTCTCCCCACTGCGTTGACCTGATGATGCAAGCGAGTATAAGTCTTGAACGTACTTCTCACCCACGAGGGTCTTGTATGCCGCATCACCGTCCCCGGCATTGAAGTCTCCGGTCAGTGTAACAGGCAGGTTAGGACCGTATTGAGCGTCAACGGCCTTGACCAAATCCACAGCTACACCTATCTGATTGGTTCTAGCCTCACCGCTGGCATTGTCCAGGTGCGTGTTTGCGTGGATGAATCTCCTCCCGGTTGCCGTGTGCTTGAACACAGCGATGGTCACAATGCGGTTGCTGCCCGAGTTCCAGCTCTTAGATGGCGTGTCTGGTGTCAGAGAAAGCCACTTCGTCTCCGAATACTCCACTTCGAAAACATCCTTGCGGTAGATGATAGGGTTGAATTCTCCTTTTTTTTCTCCATCATCACGACCTACGCCTATGCTTGCCCAGTCGGAGCCGAATGAAGTCATTATGTCGGACAATTGGTTGTCAAGTGTCTCCTGCAGACCGATCACAGCAACATTCGAGACCTCAGAGGTTGTATTAACTGTAGACCCAGGGATTAGCTCCAAGGTCAATAAACAGGTGATCATTCATATACTTACACAGAGTGCCAATGACACCAGGTGCGCGACAGAGGGTCTGATCGCTGACGCATGTCAATCCCAACCAACCCCGTTCAACATCGGCAATGCTGAGGTCGGTATTATCATAGCGAATGTTGAATGAAACGACTCGGAGCGGCTGCTGAGCGTATACGTGAGCAGCGCCGAGCAACAGGCAAGCATATATCTTTGAAATCATGTTTGTTCTAGAGAAGGGCAAAAGAGTGAAAAACGTTGAAAATCAAACGAGCGTGACAGTTTTTAGAAAAAGGATATTGTCAAGCAAAGGATGGATTGCAGAGACACATGCCTCACTTATACATCTAAATGGCCACACGAAGTCAGTTGTATCGCTTATGGATTTCCATCTTGAAAGCTTGGTAGATCGACCAAGCCAAGCATTGTTGTCCTATATTTACAATATTGCCTTGGCCTCGAATATTGCCTTCGCGCGCGACCTTTGAGACAGACAAGTGAAATTTGGTCCACATGCCGGCCTTGTTCAATTTCAATAAACAAGAAACAGCCTAACCAACAATGACTGAGTCAGGTAGCAGAGTGCAGATCCAGATCCTTGTACTCACAGCGCCCTGTTCAATGCTTCAACGGCGAGCACCGCCCCCAATCGTGGTTGACAACTGACTCGGTCGTTCTTGGCAGGGCGGGACTAGAATAGATCAGATAGTTCGCATGTTAATCTCTAAATTAATGTAAAAGAACAGAAAAGACACCATCGGACCAATATAGCAACTTATGCCCACAAGACAAGTTCGAATATCGCAAGTAAAATGTCAATTCTGATAATTTATAGTCATAATGGCAGGGCTGGAAAGCTTGGGACTTTTGATACGAGACTAGGCAAAACAGTCCTTGACTTTGAATAAAATACCACCCCATCGATGCCTGCAGATTGGGCTGCTTAGGTCTGAACCAAACACCTAACGAGAAATGTTGAAGAGAGGAATATTGACCAGGGCCAATTTAGTTGTCAAAATCACTATACAAAAGCTGTTGCGAAAGCCCATCACCTGGGCCAGTCAGACCCAGTAAATAAATTGTATTGGCTAGGCACTGGCTAGGGTCTTACAAACAGTTCTAATAGTGCACATCAGTAGTTTTCACATCAGTCAAGTGTTGCAGCTTTTGGTAGCTGCCGTTCGCCATGGTAATCAATTTTTGGAAAGTAAAGCGTAGTCATTTGAGCTCGAGCTAGAAAATCAAGCAAAGGTGGCAGGTGAAAGTATTAAAGCATCAAGGACATCGACTTTTTCATCGGTGCATTTGAATATCTTCCCAGGCCAAACCATTGCGCAGACCCTTCGAGGGAAGGCACTGTTTCTTTTGAAGGCCCTGGAAAAGGTGATGCATTCCCTGCTATACTGATTTCCAAAGTTTCGGCGATGTTTCCAGCGGCAACCCGCCGATCCACGGCGGTCCTGGTGCTGGCCAGCGATAAGAACTGCTGGCAGGAATCCTTATTCATTGCCGAGTTGAAAAAATTTCTCGATTGTCTCGATTTGAGGGATGAACTTGGGTTTCACTTTCTAGGCCAGAGTAGGGGCGGCGGTGCGTAGATTTCTACGATGCCTACCGAACTCTCTCCAATTGGATACCATTCCTCCTGAATTGAATGCATCCTGCTATTCCTAACCCAAACGTCTGGTAGCCCACAAGCACTGGATCTCCAGTGTTCGGTGCCATCTTCGTTGCCAGTCGCCCACGGGGATTGCAGCGGCTGGTGCTGGCAAGCGGACTGATCACCAAAGAACTCTGAATGCGCAGCATGAGGATACGGACGGGTGAGCTGCCATCAGATGTTATCAAAGTCATGGAGAAACACGAGATAAAAAGTGATTATGACAGTCCAGCTTACCAAGACACGCAGATGGTCTTCAACAAACACTTGTTTGCCGCGAGGAGCCACTGCTTCCCGAGCTGATGCCGGCGTTCAAGAATTTGCATGATGCCAAGACAGTCTATGGGACTATGCACCCTGTTGCCTTTCCCCGTGTACGTCGCCTCCCCTTAGCCCTGTCTCTTGCTATGGCTCTTGCAAGCACCCAAAATATCGAACCGGCTTCCTTCTAGAGCTTCCGTGAGAGGTCTCTGAATAATTTGATATAGACTACCTTAATCTATCTAGCAAATATCTCTGCCAACCATGAGCCCCTTCACGCCGCCTCTATTTGGACCCATTGTCTCACGCCGTTGCTTATCCCAGGCTCGACCCATCCACTCATGTCCCTATCGATTCAATCTTCGGCTGGACAAGCAGTCCGAAGCTGCCCAAGATTATCACACCAACTCCCATCTATAACGGAGAGTATAATACATCGCATGATATAGCTCAGCAGCCACTCTCTGGCCTTGTTCCTCATGTGCGCTGGGGTAATTTTCCCAGAGCAGGCCATGTGTGCCATGTCCAGGGATTTGGACTTAGGGAAAGGGTCTTGAGAGTCGCTGGAGATTTCCTTACACAGGGCTGGAATGCTAATGACTTATTTCAGGAAGGTGGGAAGTGAGAGACTTAGTATCCATTGCAGCACTTTCTGCAGTCACAAATAATATCTTTCAATTTAACTTTCAAAAAACGTCGAGCAAAACTTCGCACGCAATGGGTGACTCTACTTGTAGAAACAGATATCATCTTTATGGGTTTACGTCAGCTCGGTCTGACAGACACTGAGTAGTGCATGTCCCATCCAAATTGACGTCTCGTGCTACGCCAGATCTAAAGTGGCAGACCGCATTTGTACACTTATCGTAATTTGACTGGGCTGCCAGGTTCAAGCCGCCCGCCTGAAGCCTGCTAGCGGAGTATCCCCACCTGACCCAGTACTGGCCACCGCTTATGGTCAAGCACAAGGAGCGCGGATCGGTCCAAAGTTGGTAGTTCGCATTTGAATTTAGAAAGACTGAGTAGCAGTGAGCAGTTAGGGGGCGATGGATCATTGCTACCATCACAAAGCCGCGTGGTACTCTCACATCAGCGCTGGGGCTGTTCTCATTCTGTCTTGCGGGTGGTATGGGGGAGATCGAAGCTTCCAAGGTCTTATTTGGCCGGAGACTTTTCAGAACAGTTTTGAGGGATATTACAGATTGCGCACTTGTTGAAGTCTGTCTCCTCTACGTTAAATAGGGCGAGGCCCTCTTATCTGCTCTCGATGGGCGTATCGTGGATGAAGCGACCGACAAGGATCAAGTAGAAGCTGAGTCTTGAAACACAATCTTTCGGAATGCACAATGAATCAGAATGACATATGAAAAGAATTCTAGTAAAAAGATCGAGTTAATCAAGGATCACCGATGTGTGCGGCTCAGTAGCAGTTTATCTAGATTTTATATATGTTATAGCATGGAATATTCTATGGTTTAACCTATCCTGCTTGTTGTTTTCACCTTTCGATGGCAGTCTCATGATGGCTCAATACAGAGTGCGGTTGACATGCCGAGAAATGATTCCAAAGCTGTGCGACGTCGTCAGCATGCTATGGCATAGTCGCATCTTCTAAAATGTAATAATTTTCCCACTAACATTCGTCAGAGAGACAGACTTCGTTGGCCCCGTGATCTTACTAGTACATTTAAGATTAGAGCTCAATATTTGGAGTTGTTTATGCGCAAGCTATTTCTCGGCATCGGCTAATATGCTGCATTTGCTCCCGAACAAAAGTTCGTCGGTTGGCTAATTAATTGCATTTTCAGGTCGAGGAAATTTCTCTCCTCCAGCCGTGCCTTTCAAAGCGGCTATATCTGTTCTAGTGACAGACTGGACGAGCTGTTGATTTATGTTCGCGTGAGAAACGTTATCTCACCAGGTGTATTAAGAAAATAGAACTAACCACTGTTAAAATATATAATCATTATAGTTCGCCACGAGTAACGTAGCAAAGTTTTGTCGAATTTAATGACGAATGTATTCGACAAATGGTATCCCTGAGCAGGCACTATCAAGGTCCTATAAATCGAATTCTAATTCCAAAAAGTCTAATCTAATACAGAACTATAGTACAAAAAAACACAACCTAACAAGGTGAAGAAGCGTAAAGTCTATGTGCGAGCCTATATTCATTCTGTTCCTGGTGGTGCCAGCACGGGCCCGTTGAAACCAGCACCAGATCGAGCCAATCTTCCAGCTTCCTTCCCCAGGACGATCTTTGACCTTGCCGATTCGAGATATCCGAAAAGCTACCGTGATGCGTCGTTCTCTGTCAAGGAGCTTAAGGAAGACTGGAACACTCAGCCTCGCTCTTGTTCAGCTCACCAATGACGGCAGTCTCGCAGGCGACAAAGCCAGTAATCTCAAGGATGGTCGCCACGCCGGCAGTGGCGACTTCGGTGGCGAGGGCAGCGGTTCCACACAAGGCAATCTCACCCACTGCAGTGGTGACTGCGCCGGTCTGGCATTGAGAGCAAGCTGTACTGCAGTTCGTGCTTGAAAGCTTGCGGCCACGGCCTCCGCCTACTTCGATCTGCTCCATAGAGGAGGTCCTGGCGTCGCGCAGGATCGAATTGACCCTGTCCAAATTGGCCTGTCTGGCAGTGATATCCTGAGGGGCAGCCATAGCCAGGCCGGAGACAGAGGCAATAGAGAGGATGATGTTGCTGAACTGCATATTGAAAGTTTTGAGGGTTGGATAAAAGGAGATCTTGGATATGTGTCTTTTGAAAATGTAGAGAGTGGTGATTTGGTGACAGATTGAAAGTTGGAAGAGTTTGGTGTGATGTTCCTGACTGTTGGTGTAGTGATTGTTGTTGTTGTTGTTGTTCTGTTGATGATGATGATGGTGTTGATGGTGGGTGAATTAGTAGTTCTGAACGCGGGGAATCATCTCCTTTTATCTTTGAAGCGCCTAACATGATGAAAATGAGATGTCTATATGAATAGCTTATTGTCTATATCTATCCAACAGGTAAGAACAATCCAGAAATTGTGGTGACTCCGGCTCTACACCGTTTCCAGCACAGGTTGCGATGCGGGATGAAGTTGAGGCTCAGTTTAGATAGAGCCCAGAAATGCCAAGGTTGAATACACAGCCGCGCGCGTGCCCGAAAGACGCAGGGCTAGACTGTTGCACGCTACGCTCTCTTGGCATTTGTCCTGAGCTGCCTATTTTCAGGAAACAAGCGTAGAGTCGGCAGCCCCGAGTTTTGGACGGCCGAAACACTAGCCTGCTGTCCCATGATTTAGTCTAGTTATTCTGTTCATCCGAACCTCTGTAGCTCACGATCTCTCGGCAGTTCAATGATTTAGTTTTCCCACTCCACTTTCAAAGCACGTCAACTCTGTAAGCAGTTTAGTCTAGCTTATTAGAATAGGTGCTCAGAATTGGTTCATATGCCTTGGCTTGTCACGATGTCTTGGGACCTCGCTTTCGTTCCACTCGAGGGTACATTGCTTATATTCTAGGTCCAGTTTCAATAATAAAATCAGTTCGCCAGTACCCAACTATATGCCTTGGCTTGTTGCAGGCTTTCTTTTGCGCCCGTGTCGTCTATTTAGGCCGCCTTCTAATATATTACCGCAGTTTCAGTTATACTTGACTCCCTTTGGCCTTGCAAACTGACTGAATCTGTTTCCCACACGGTGGATATTACACCGCGCAACCCTCTGAGTATTATCGAAGATGCCATGGCCACTAAATGATACAATCTGAGACTGAGCATATTTCGATTATCATATCCCACTGTATTCCCATGTCTTCAGTGAAAGCTGGGATTTCAAAGAATGGTAGTCCATTATCAATGACTCAAAATCCAAGAAGAAATAAAATAAACACGCGTTCGTGAAGATTCATAGGCTAATAGACAGGATTTTGAAGTGGAATCACGTATTCGAATGCAGCTCAGCCAAGAAACGTGACGATTGTTATTTTCTCAGGGGCCATGCCAGGTTCATGAGCGCTAGTAGAAATTCAAAATCTTTCGCCTTAAACCCATGCTTGTATACAAATGCCTGACGATCAATCGATCCTCAATCGATCCTCAGTGTCCATAATCATAGACACCTATCGTCAAGCGAACTTATGGCATCACGCAAAAAGCACGAATGATGGCAACTCACCTCTCTTTCAGACCACAACTCATTGAGCTGCTAGTGCAGCGATCTCTAAAAGCTACTGGTATCTCGAGTCCTCTGTCCAACCATGTGTGACAAGTCAGTGCCAGTCTGTCACGAGCCACAAGGCGTCCTTGATCCAGGTCTCGCAGTGGATTCGCCATTGCAACCTTGGAATTTGGGGCCCAGGCACAAGTTACCCGACTTCCGAAGGGTTATGATCGATATTACTCGTCCATTATGTGTCGTTACGTCTGGGACTCGTAAAAAATAAGTTGACCAGCATTTAGACAAATGCTGCCGCCGAGACATTCAAAGGAGGCTCGGGCCTTGACCCATACTGTGCTTGAGCCTGGGAATTAAAAGTAAATTGCCACCCGCCTTCGAGCCCTGTCAGGTTTTGTTGATCCATTACAAGTGCAGGAACGTAGTATTTGGGAAGATCCTGTCCTGGGATAGCATTGTCGTCTGACATGAGTGGCAACCACTATATACGAGTCTCGACTTGGCACAGGATTCGAAACCGACTGGATAACTGGACCTACCGATATAGGACTCACAACGTCTGATCACACGAGCAACAAGATATGCAACTATATCACTTCGTACCGCTCCGAGACGATCCAGAGCAATGACAAGACGAAGATTGACCCTGAATACAGCACCCGGGTTTCACAGACCCATCGCGATACATCAAGCTTCTTGAAGCTTTCCCAAGACTCCTCGGCTGTCGCCCATCGTTGCTTGAACAGCATCTAGCGTGGTAAGACTGATCTAGCCCAAGTGCTCATCCTGGCTAAACACTCAGGCCCCACTGTTTTCTCCGTGTTCTTCAAGGTGGTTCGAAAAGTACGATCGCCCAACCCTCGGAGGACTTTGCAAAGCCAGTATTGTTCGGGTGTGAGAATTTGTGTGACCCCCGCCTTTTCGAGGCCCAAATTTGCGCCGCCAAGCCTGCCAAGCTGGCAGAGCAGTGAGATGTCGCTCCGAAGTAATTAAGTGCAGTAACCAAGGTGGGTACAGCAACTTAGCATCGCGGCTAAATAACATATAGCTGCTTATCTGGCGGGTGAACCACGAAGCACCCCAGTCTGCGCACGGCATATAGCCTCGAGGTACGCTGTGGCACCATAGTAACTGATCACAATCTGGCCGATATTGTTGCCGCCCCAGAGTCTCGTCAACCCGCCTCGGGCTATACCCGAGAGAGATGATGGTCAGATGAGAGCCTCCGAGGTGCTGCATATGATGGATCAGTTGAACTACAGACGACGCTGTTGGCGTCCTTTTGCGTTGAAAATGGAAAGGGTTCTAGATGAGCTCATATCGAGACAATCAATGCCAGGGCAAGGCCCGGGAACTATAAAGATGTAGCGATTCCGGGCTACTTTTTCCTTTTACCAGGGCTGATTGCTCGACTTGCTTCAACAAAGCGCTTGACCGACAAGATATTCAGTAATTCTGCTCACTACCGTCAATATGTCGAGATCCGCTCTTGCGCTTCTATCGTTGCTGGCAGCGGCTAAAGCCCAGCAGGTGGGGACTCAGCAGACCGAGACTCACCCAAAGATCACTTGGTCCAAGTGCACAGGGTCGGGTGGAAGCTGCACTTCGACCAATGCTGAAGTTGTCATTGACTCCAACTGGCGCTGGCTCCACTCCACGAGCGGAACCGACAACTGCTACGATGGTAACAAGTATGTTTCGAGCCCCGACAGACGCACGAGTTGACCTATCCTCCGTACCTATCTTCAGTAGAACTGACATATCACTCTGAATCATTTAGATGGACGTCTGTCTGCAGCACAGGCGACGCTTGTGCCCAGAAGTGCGCGCTCGAGGGCGCGGACTACAGTGGTACCTACGGCGCGTCGACGAGCGGAAACGCGCTGACCCTCAAGTTCTTGACCAAGCACCAGTACGGAACCAACATCGGGTCCCGATTCTACCTCATGGCTGGAACAAGCTCGTCCAAGTATCAGATGTTCACATTGATGGGCAACGAATTCGCCTTCGATGTCGACCTGTCTACTGTTGAGTGCGGTCTCAATGCCGCGCTTTACTTCGTGGCTATGGACGAGGTAAGAAGACGCTGGACTGCCTGATCGCTACTAACGCAAATGAACTGACGCCTCTCAGGATGGCGGTATGTCCAAGTTCTCCAACAACAAGGCTGGCGCGAAGTACGGTGTCGGCTATTGTGATGCCCAATGCGCTCGCGACCTGAAGTTTGTTGGTGGCAAGGTGAGTTTCCAATTTTCTGGCTATTTTGATTCCCATACAGCCTGATGAATTGGAACTTACACGACCTGATAGGCCAACGTGGAGGGCTGGGCTCCCTCGACAAACGATGCCAACGCAGGTGTCGGACCTTACGGCGGTTGCTGTGCCGAGATTGATGTCTGGTATGTCACGATCCCGAACCAGGTCTCCAAACAGACCTCGTTCCATGACTAACCTAACTTTGCATTTCAGGGAGAGCAACTCTCACTCATACGCACTGACGCCTCACCCGTGCACTGACAACTCATATCACGTCTGCGAGAAAGATACCTGCGGCGGCACATACTCTGAGGATCGCTTTGCTGGAAACTGCGATGCCAACGGCTGCGATTACAACCCCTACAGAATGGGAAACAAGGACTTCTACGGAAAGGGAAAGACAGTTGACACCAGCAAGAAATTCACGTTAGTACCGCACACCCCGTCCTATGAGCAGCTCACGTGAACCTCTACTGCGGCTGCATTCTTGATTCTGATGATTGTGTTATAGCGTTGTGACCCGCTTCGAGCAGAACAAGGTTTCCCAGTTTTTCGTTCAAGACGGCAAGACTATCCAGATCCCAGCTCCAACGGATACTGTGAGTATATCTTCCTCAGATTCTGAAAGTCGAAAGACCAAGGCGTGGTGTGGTGATGAGTCCTGTCAGACTGTTCCCAGGCTAACAACAATGCAGAGCATCTCATCCAGCAGCAACATCACCCCCGAGTTCTGCACAAACCAGTTCAAGGCTTTCGGCGACCGCGACCGCTTTTCAGAGGTCGGCGGGTTCCCCCAGCTCAACCAGGCTCTGCAGAAGCCCATGGTCCTGGTAATGTCTATCTGGGACGATGTAAGCACTGTTCCATTCCAATTCCATCCCACCTCGCGCAGAGATGGCTTCTCCCATATGCAGAGATAAGAATGATGACTGACAGACTACGGAATAGCACTACGCCAACATGCTCTGGCTGGACTCCAGCTACCCACCCGAGAAGGCTGGAACCCCCGGCGGCGACCGTGGCGACTGCCCTCAGTCGTCCGGTGTACCATCTGATGTCGAATCCCAATACGCCAGCGCGTAAGTTTCCTCTAAATACCTATAGACGATTTCCTACCAAGGTGCTGACAAATTATCAACAGTCAGGTGGTCTGGTCGAACATTCGGTTCGGCCCTGTGGGATCGACTGTCAAGGTTTAAAGAACAGATTTCGTTGACTGAAATACTGGATCTTACTTTGACGATTCGTTTCTCCCTGGTCATGGCTCTGATGACTCCAACTCTATACAATGGCATCTTGTGTCAGCCAGGCGGTGGTTCCTTTCAGAAGAATCATCATTATTTTTGTACATATCCGTCTGTCGTGTTGGTTAACGGGGTTTCCTCTCCCATGGTACTTCTCTTTGCGGGCTTTGCAAGAGCCAAGACTAGAAACCCACTACTAGATGCAATGCGATAGCATGTCATGAAGAAGTATGGCGTGTATATCAAGATACTTTCACATGAGACACCTTGACCGTTTACGGAATGGGCAATCGATTGACTTTGAGCAGACTAGGGCAGAAGAGCGTGGAGAAAAGGTCGTTGTTGGTATTTATACAGCAGAACTTGTCATTTTGTGGTACATGATACGGCAAAAGATCCCCATGTGTGGCATGCGGCTCCGTGTCGCATGCCCACAGCGAAGGAAAACCGCAATATTCGCCGTGATATGCACAGGACCCCTAGTGTGATACCTTCTATACTTTCGTAAACAGAGCATCCTCGAGCGTTTCAACAGCCTCGCGCTTGTCCATATAGCGGCACTGCGCATACGGGTTGTCGCAATTGATGCAGCAGCGCTTGGCGGGCCACTCGGCGTTGTCCTCGTTCCGGCGCTTTGTACCACAGGTTATTCCACCGGTAACCCTTACCACTGCAATTGCCGCAAGGGTTCATGCAGTTGATGCAACAGCGTTTCTCATTACCAAAAATGGCGTCTCCTTCGGTCTTGACGGCTTCACGCTTATCGTTGGGGTTGCAGGTGGCGTAGGGGTTGTCGCAGTTGATACAGCAGCGCTTGCTTAGCCAGCGGAACTAAATGCCGTCATTAGAATACTTTACTGTCCAGGTTATTAGAGTCCTAATGCAAAGTTCCTACATCATCTTGGTCGCGGGCTTGGAGGTTGGTAGAAGTAGACTCCGTGGGGTTAGCCAAGGCGGCAGTCAAGGCCATGAGGCCGAGAAGAGCGGCAGAGAAGAACTTCATTATTGCAATTTGGACTGTTGGTGAACACAAGAGTCGTTTGGCCTGATTCGAAGTCTTTGGAATTGGAATGGAACTATCTATTTGTACTTCTGACAACTCCAATGTTCGACACCTGGGGAGATTCCGGATGCGATGGGACCAGCGAAGCTGCTGTATTACTGCTGCCCCGGTTATTGATGCATCTCTAACTAATAAGAATATCTTAGCCTCATGGCTAGGCATTCCATTTGTAAGATGTGAGCCCACTGATGGATCAGATAAGATTAGCATGTGCCGATGTCGGTAGACCTGCTTTTGAAACATGTTCGGATCCGAATGTGGCGGTAACATTGTTACGGAGGAGGACTAAAGATCCACCGATTTCGCTCTCCGCAATGTCGTCGAGAGCAAGTGGTTCTAAGCATTATGCTCGTATTTACGCAAGACGAGGTCGGGCCCACGGTTGTGGCCGCGGTCGATCAAGCAGGCCCCAGAATTCTGAATCATGAGCTCGTGGGCTTAAAGGCTTTTCTTTGCTGATTTTCGGAAAGAGATCGAACACGAATGTGACGATATCAATTTGTAGAGACTGTAAGCACATAGAGCGTGTGCTCGTACGTACCTAGAGGATTGTAGGCCTGGTGCCATGCCGCCTCCGTGGCCGAATTTCTGTGATGGATTCTGACACCCCTACACTACTTTGTAGGGGCTAGCAAGACTTTGCGATAGATCCACTTGTAAAAGCTGATGGCTTCTGGGATCTGCCCCATCAGCCTATCGAGGGATGCTGCAAAAGCTCGTATTCAAGCCCGATTCATGACGTGGAGTGCTGGCTTTGGACTGACGGTAAGGTGGATTGCCTTGTCAATACTCATCAAATAGACATGGTCCTCCGTGGAGGCCACCGCCATGATGTCGTTTGCGGTCTTGCCTTCACCTTGGGATGCTTGAAAGCGCGAGCAGAGGAGGTCGTGAAGGGTAAAGTACACAGTTTCCACCGGACAGCAGGGATGAGGCCGTTGTATTCGCGACATGGATGCGAGTCCTGGACACGGGTAAGGTGTATTTCGAAAGCCCGTACTTGCCTCTTGGTCCACTCTATCCAACGTCATATGTCACGACAAAGCTCGAGGACCAAGTGTTCACACATGTCAAACGGTTGTTCTCCAGCCCTGTATTGTAACATGGCGACGATCGGACCGAGAAAGGGAATGGTCGACTGAATTGCTTTCCGTGCCTTGACGTCTTGGGTGGGGCTTAACAGTATCTGGAGCCCCACAAACAGGTACCGGTAGCAAATACGTAGCCTCGAGTGCGATAGCGATAGCGGACAGCATTATGATTAACCTGCAACAAGGGCTGGGTTCTGAACTGCGGTACTTGCCGAAACCTGCTGTAAGAAATGGTGACCAAGAAGACCTGTGATTGCAAGTAGGACCTCTGAGCGAGCGAGTGGAGCAGAGTGGCGGCAACCAACTACACCAAATCCACTTAGTGTTATTGAGTACGTGGATTGAAGCCAACTACATCAATTACAATGAAAGAAAGTTTCCGTCCCTGCATTCCATTGAACTGTCCAGTGGATGCAAATGAGGAGGTTTGAATGGATCATGGCGGAGGGTAAGAAGGGAATATTTCAACTTTTGTCTCCCCTTTCCTTTGCCTCTTTATCTGATTGATGAAGTGACAGGAACAGGGCCTTCTCCGCCGAATCCAGACCGGGAATTTCATTTATATCCATGAGATTGAAATGAATTACACTAAGACTTTATTAAATCAGCTCAATTACACTGACGGTCGCTGAATTTCCATTGCATTGCACTGAAAAGTTCAGTGGATGGGTTTGAATTGTTCGAGACTGTGTAGGGGTGGTGTCCAGGTCCTCACCTCGCATTCAGGCTGTGGGCGAAGTTGCGCAGTGCAGCTTCTGACTGCAACGACACATAAATTCAGCCAGTCTAGCGACTGATGTCCATACTTGTTATATACTCAGAGTGACTGTATTGGTCATAGCTGCCGATTGAGTATTCGCAGTTTTCCACCCATGAGGAGTTATGCCCACAAATCAAACAGGCTGAAAGTACGAGATTTTGTGCATATCTCAGTTGGAACAAAAGGCGGCTTTCTTATTTAAATTCACCCATCAGATTGAAGAACGCAGAGGCGCCTCTTCAAGTTGGCATCGTATTGCTTGCTTCGCCCAGTTGCCTCCCATGATGCTTGGAAATTATATTGAGTTCTTTCCTGCTAACTTCCCATCTCACTTCCTACATAGCGCACACCGTGACATCTTAAGCGGTTTTTAATATACATTTCTTTAGCCGCAAGATTAAAATGCTCGCGCTCGTCCCCTCGCCTTAGGTGGACACAATGCCAGTGAACAAACAGCGTGGGAAATTGCAAATTATACTTTAGATATCGAATGTATATGAGCTTTAGTATTCCAGTCCATGTCCGAATTTGAAAACTGGGTCTTCAGTGTCGAAGGGAACATCTTCGAAATTCTTCTCAACTGCCTCCATTGACCTGGGAAGGTCGAATGGAAGCTTTCCTTCCGGACGGCTGTTGCCAAACACAACATCCAAAAATGCTTCTGGACCACTGCCATAACTACCAAGGAGGGCGGCTGCTTGCTCAGAGATCTCGGGGATCACAGCTGGACGATCTAGCTTCACATCTACGATGCTGGGCACGGCCGAATAAATGGCTGCCTGTCGTTCCTGCTCTGTCAAGTTGAATGCTAGGGAGCCGGCGTGGTATCTGGCCTCAAATCCTCCAGGCCGAGGCTCGAAGGGCGCATTGTATCTCAACAAAGCATAGTCGGCTTCTTCAGGGGTCGATACAACAGTGAGGTTCCTGGCTTCTAGGTACGTTGAGTTAAAGCCCTCGATGTAGAAGCTCGCTTTGGCGGCGTCTTTGATCGGGAGGATGTTGTCCCGGTTTGTGAGCAGGGTATATGCTCGGCGCTGGGCATCGTTTCCTAGCTGGACAAAGTCTGCGTTTCCGACAATACGTTGAGCCGCCGCAGGATCAACATACGGATTCTCGAAGAGCCCGAGAACGAACTTCTCCCGCAATAGGCGACGAATAGAATTGTCAAGACGCTCTTCCAAAACGAGTCCTTTTTCAACAGCCTGCACGATCAACTCTGTTCGGTTCTCGCCCCCGAACTGGTCACATCCTGCGTCCAGGATCCTCACGACACGTTCGATCTCGGTGGTGTTCTCCAGGCCCCAAGCTCGTGCAGGCATATCTTGGCCCAGAATATTGGTATCGGTGATTAACCCCCAATCTGTTACAACGATACCGCCAAATCCAAGCTCTTCCCGAAGGAGACCGGTGACGATTTGCCGGTTGAAGGAAAACCCAACTGGATCATACTGAGTGCCGATCGGCCTCGAGTAGTACGGCATCATCTGCCTGGCTCCGGCAGCAATAGCGGCTTTGAAAGGTATGAGGTGGTGTTCGAAATTGTCTCCAGGGTATGTCTGATTCTTTCCATACGTGAAATGAGAGTCCTCGCCATTCTCCATTGGACCGCCACCAGGAAAATGTTTCGTAACAGTGGTTACAGAGCGAGAACCAAACTCGTCTCCTTGGAAGCCTTTGATATACTCTACAAGGAGCTCACTCGTAAGTGCTGCATCCTCTCCCCAAGTGCCGCCAATGCGCGCCCATCGTGGCTCCGTCGATAGGTCAACCTGAGGATGTAACGCCGACCGTAGGCCCACAGCCAAGTACTCTTCGCGAGCTGTCTCAGCGAACTTCCTGACCAAGTCCACATCTCTAATGGCGGCAAGACCCAAGCTCTCAGGCCACTGCGAGAATGTCCCGGCTTCGAACCCAGTCCCAATGTTGTCTGTGAATGAGTGGCGCGGATCGGAGGACAGCGTGATCGGTATGCCAAGGCGCCCGCTGATGGCCCGTCGCTGAGCCTCATTCACGTACTCGGCCACTTTTGAGGCATTCAGAATATTGCCAACCAGATTAAAATGAGATATTAAATTTTGGGTGATCAGGATATCGGATGCGCTACCTTGCACGAACGTATAGTTGGCAGGCATGTTAAGTTGCGTATGGAATAGTTGACCGGCTTTCTCCTCCAGAGTCATCCGCTTGAGGAGGTCTTCCACCCGCTCGTCAACAGGGAATGAGGCATTCTGGTAGATAATGGGGAGATCATCAGTTTGGCGAGGTCCCAGACGGCGTCCATTGTGGGGAGTTGTTGACGACGACAAGCAGCCCACTGCTAGGGCAGCGGCAAGGAGCAGTTGAATGTGCCTGTACATTGCCATGGTAGTCTGTGATGGTGAGATACTCTGCTCAGATAGTTCAACTGGACTGAGTGTCAGCGGGATTATATATAATGCCAATCCAACCAAGCGGAGACGAGGTCACACCATTTTTTCGTAGTTACACGCAGGTTTGTCTCTTCAAAAATGTGAGGAATCAGCAGTGCAAGCTCAAGAAGTTCCGAACAATAACCGGTAGCGTGAGCCGGGAAGAGGCTATTACGAAGTTCTTGGACAGACACACGAGATGCCAAGCACAATACCGGAATTTCCGTTAGGCGTCGAGATCCCGCTTGTGGCCAGAGTAGTAATGGCATCGCGATACATGTACCGAAATCACGGTGAAAGAATTGCCGAATCCTAGAAGCCAAGCATTTTCGTCACCGCCAAGAACGGAGTCCCGCACATGAAGCCAGTGGTGGTGATACCAAAGCCCATTATTGAGGTGAGCTCATGTTGCCAAGCGCCGACGTTGTGGGGGAGGTGGAGAGAATCTGGGGAAGATGATGGGGTAGAGCCGAGATATGGCCGGTCAAAGAAAATATCAACCGGTCACGAGCAAGGCGGTCTTGGCTCTTTCTCACTGCCCAAGTCTGATGGTATTCTGATGTCAATCAGCTGTCACTGAACATAGACAGAAGCGACACTACGCGGGCGAAGTCCTTTGAAATGGGGGTTTCAATGTCGAGGAGGCAGAGTTTTTAAGTGCATGTGCAGCTAGAATATCACTCGATCAGATATTATCTCTCCAGATTACCTCGGCGCACGAGTGGAATTCCCGGTGTTTTCTTCTGGCGGTGTTACGGGTTTGCTGCATCTTTACTCGATGGCGCATTTGGCCCAGCGCGTTTTGAACCGCGTCCACAATTTCAGTCGCTTGAATGCCCGAACACCATGAGTGGCCATTCGTAAGCATGGTTGTACTTGAAAGCTCCAATTGAGGGACGAAGAGATCGGGACAGTTTGCAATACCAGGAGATAGGTCAAGGCATGTAAACATGTCATGGAACTTTTTCGCGTCGCATGGCATAGTAGTCAAGTATGATACCAAAATAATGTGTTCATTGGGTCAAGGAAGACTGCAGGCACTCGAAAAGTTATCTTGTGGAAGTGTACTTTATATTTAAGGTGATTCGACCGCCCTCCCCATGCCGGATCCGGGGGGCTCCGGCTGCTCAGCTGTGGACTGTTGCTTGGGCAATACAGTTATTCGCAAACGAGAAAATCGGATTGCAACCCCAATGATCTGCAGGGGTTCAGGGTTGGAAAATGACAGTGGCTAGACCCTCCCAGGCGCGTCGACGACCCACGCCCTGGTCAGGCAAGCTAGAATGCATCATCCCGGAGACAACCAAGAAAAACTTGGCTTTGCTTGGCACTCGATCGCCAAGCCGTCAACCAGTCTTTCGATCTGCGCAGTTCAGTGTGGAGTGATAGATATCAAAACAATTTCCTACTCATCAAGCAAAAACGTTACCTGGATGATATGATTCGAGCGATCGACATTTTCATATTCAAAACGACGAATCATTGTTTCATCAATGCGAAACAAACCGAAGACGTCACAGCACACACCGAATCTGCCGACCCCCCACCGATTCGTCAGCACCGAGGGATGACCTCCTCACGCAGCCATCCAATCTGAGTGGCCTTTTTCTTTGAAGCTTCAAAGAGTCTTCGTACCTGCCGACCTACCCGACAGCGCTCGTCATTGGCGGGGAATTCTCAACGCAGTGGACAGATAATTGACCCATTTAAGGGGCTGAAACATCACACTGCCGTCTCCATAACCTCGTAGATACGAGTGGGGGATGGAAACAAGATACACTCAGACATCTGCCATCGCAGCGCCTGCAATGTTGGGAGTCGATGTCGGCAGGCCGAAATATTTGGGATGGCAACCAAAAAAAGAAAAAATTAGAAATCTAGAATTGTTAAATTGAACCTTTTTGTAGATTCAAGTAAGCGGCTGCCCAATGAATGTATTTCAACAGCAAGTACTCGGGATGCAGCAAACATCTCTATCATCCCATGTCGAAGGATACTGGGTCAATAGCATAAGTCCTAATTTGGAAATTCGGAAAGAGTCTGGAGTCCAAATCCAAGTGTCGTGTTGAATAATGTCTCAATTAAGGGGCCTCACATACGTACGTGGTGTGCGTCCATATTCCCTGCCTCTCCATCAAAGGCCGGCGCTGGGCTGTGTCTCTGGACCATCCCTGCACTTGCAGGACATCTTCCCTGACTAGGCAAATTCGATAGAATCCGCCAATACTCAAGCCTGTGGACTGTTGTCCGTGGTTCCACTATAGTTATGCTTCAAATACGTGTGCCCCTCTCGATCAGAAGCTGTTGTCGTTGCTTGAATACTCTACTCTTCAGCCTCGTCGTGTTCATTCTTTCATAACGATTTCACTCAAGAACTTGGCATTGTACAAAATCTATTCCTACACGTTCGTTCACAAATCCAACATGCATTCATTCATTCCTGTGGCTGTCGCCACTATTCTTCCTTTCACTCTGGCCTATCCACGAGACTTCTATGGAGGGTTCCAAGGCGTGCCGAAGGCCCATGCCCATCAGTCCGGCTCACTTGCAGCGACTGCGACAGCTACCGCAACAGCTACCGCCAAAACCACCGGCTCAGGCTCTGTAGAAGGCGGGTCTTCTGGCGGATCTGGCGGATCCGCTTTATCCTCGCTCCCAGGTGGCTCTGGAGTTGGCGGTACGACGTGCACGGTGACCGAGCTTTCCCAAGTGACAGCCTCGGCAGCGGCCTGCTCCAATGTCCTTCTGAGCGGCGTGACGATCCCTGCATCATCAACTCTGTCCGTCACTGTCCCTACCAGTGGTGCCCTCCTCTTTGCTGGCACCATGACCGTCGAGTACACTCCGGACTCCGAGTATACTCCCATTGTCCTCAAGGGCTCTAACGCCAAGGTTGCTGGTCTCGCTGGTGCCGTCATCGACGGTCTAGGCGCGAAGTACTGGGATGGCGAGGGCTCAAACGGGGGCACAGATAAGCCAGACCACTTCTTCAAGCTGTCAGACATGGAGAGCTCCACCATCGAGCAGCTCACAATCCAAAACTGGCCGACACATCTGTTTTCCATCGACGGGTGCTCAGACATCACCATCAGCAATGTTATACTAGACAATTCCGCCGGTGACGAAACGAATTCTGACGGCGATGCATTGGGCCACAACACGGATGCTTTTGACGTGTCATCCACAGATGGCCTCCACGTCACTGGTGCGACAGTATATAACCAAGATGACTGTGTGGCTGTCAACTCGGGGTCCAACATGGTATTTGAGAACATGTACTGCTCCGGAGGCCACGGGCTATCGATTGGGTCCATTGACAGCGGTGTTACGGTCAAGAATGTCACTTTCCAGGATTCGTCGGTCGTTAACTCGGACAATGGATGTCGCATCAAGACCGATGCTGACGGCTCTGACTCAACTGTGTCAGGCATCACATACTCCAACATAGTTCTCAGCGGCATCACTGAGTAGGTCGCCCCTGCACACAAGCCAAAACATAGGCTTTGAGAAGCAAGTCCTCGGGTCGCTAACAGTCGTGTCATAGTTATGCCATTGATGTCCAGCAAGATTACGAAAACGGTTCTCCCACCGGTGACCCTACAACCGGCATCACCATCTCCGATGTTACCTTCTCCTCTATCACTGGCTCAACGTCTGGTGACGACGCTTACAGCTATTACATTCTTTGCGGGTCAGACTCCAGCTGCACAGGCTTCACGTTCACCGATATTGATATCACTGGTGGCAAGACCGAGTGTAAGCCTGATTCCTCGGTGTGTCCTTCTTCAGTCTCCGGGTAAATTTCAGGAAGGACCGGGCTGCGAGGACTTTTGAATGTCGGCGGCAAATACTTTAAACCCCATTTTCCCACGCATTCGCGCATGTAAATCATTTCCATCTTTCAAGGGTCAAGACAAAGCCGTTTATGAACCGGCAAAGTTGAAACCTTCTCCTGTAAAATATTTACCCACTCATGTAGATGCTTATGCGGCTGGACGGGATACCGCAAGAGAGGATTAGTTCTACATTATACGCAACAGATTAATTTCAGTTGATCTGTCATGGTCTCTTGTTTCATTACCTTTTGGCGAATGGTGGACACTCATTCGGTGATTAGCTGTCGTGTGAAGTGATGTATGAATGGCTTCTTGGTTGCTTAGACATTGTCATAGGAATCAGGGCACTCATTTGGAAGAATAACACATATGAAGACACTGGAGAGTATTCTAGAAGGTCTATATTCGATAGTATCTGAAGATCGACTCGGACTTGCTGCTGTAATTTCACGAAGAACTGGTCTAACCATGAAACTCGACTCGCAGTTGCCCTAAAACTCTTACTGAAGAGCAATTCGCAACAATGCTGAGGCCTGGAAGGTTACAAAACGTGCATGAAAAGGGGCGACTTGTCACCCATATCCAGTAATTCGTCTTCCGTATACTTTGCCCTCACCTCTGCCTCCGACATTCTTGCTTTGCGAGCATTCGTCCACTTGTAAATCATCTCCAGCAGGAACGATACCAACAGCCCTGTAGCGCCAAACGACAGACCAAGGCCAAACCCGGTGTAATACTGTGGGCTCTCCTTGTCAATGAACATGAAGCTCCCAACAATGCCGCCGCAGTTACCCGCTGCATTCATGAGTGCCACACCAATACTTCGCCGCGTCGCGGGGGCAAGGTTGTTTGCGTTCCAAGCTGCAGCAGCCGGCTGAATAGGGTAGATACCTGCACAGACTAGGCACACTGCAAAATAAGCCGCACCGAGGTTGGCGGATAGGGCACCGTGGAAAGAGATGATGATTGCGTAAGCGACAATCAGCATGGACATTGGGATAGCAACAAATGGCATGCGCCAGTAGAAATGATCTGATAGGCGAGCGAAAAATATAGACGAGATTGCGCCAACAACGTACGGGGGTGCGGACATAAGTTGAGCGTTGGTTGTTGAGAAACCCATTACTTTGGTGATTGTTGGCATGGTAAACTTGGTACCTTGGTGTCTGTTAGTGAGTCGTCTTGTAATTCATGGCCAATGTGATATCATACCGTAGGAAGTCGCAGACTGGCAAAACAGGAACCAGGCCTGCAGATACAGACGCCAGTTCATCAACACAATCTTGAGGTCTCTCATCTTGAAACCGGATTCCTCGTGGAACCGCCCCCCTTGTTTGATGAACATCTGGAGCTCCAGGAATCGAATTTCATCCGAGTCGAGCCAGCGTTTGCCACGCTTCGGAGAGTCGATCAAAAGGAAAAAGCAAGCGATACCGAGGATGACGGTAACGATTCCCTCTAGGATAAAGATCCACCGCCATCCGCTATATCCTCCAGTCCCATCCATCTTTGCAATCCCGGCGGCGAGGAGTCCAGAAAATGCACCAGACAATGCACTAGCACAGTAGAAGTAGGAGATGCGGGTGGCTAAGTTCTTCGGCATATACCAGTAGGAGCATAGGTAGATCGCGCCAGCTGTTTTGTGTAGAGGTTAGTGACTGCACTATCAGGGGGTTGCAGAGGGAAGTGAACAATCTCAGCCTCGCCGAACGCTTCCCAAAAGCAAATGGGGCTAAGAGATTCACATACGGAAGAATCCAGCTCTGATAACACCAATTGTTAGCCACAGCAAATAATTTGCACAGGACTCCATTATACACTCACTCGAAGACGCCAAGTAAGATACGTGTAGTCATGAGCCCACCATAATTTTTGACAACTCCAGTAAGGGTCATAATGATGCCCCATATAGTGATGAGAGTCCCCAGGTACCACGAAGGTCGACCCCATTTCTTGAGAAGAATGTTGCTTGGCACTTCGAAAAGCACGTAAGGGATGAAGAAGACGGCGAGGATTGTGTTGTACTGCACTCCAGTCATATTAAGCTCTTCAATCATGCCTTCGATTTTGGCGTTCCCGATATTGGCTCGGTCGATGTGTGCGATGAGATACAGGACAGCCAGCATTGGGACCAGCCGTACGTCGACCTAGAGATATCGTTGTAAGCACTGATTGTCGTAGAAGCTTCATGCGCTGGTGCGCTGGGAAACAGATGGCTTTTCGCTTACCTTGCGGATAATCTTCTTCCTCTTCTCCTCAGGATAATTGCTGTAAAAGTCTGCATCATCTGGCGAAAGCCCAAGGACCCTGAAACCATCAATTTCAATGACCTGGGTGGTACCGTCAAGGTTCTCGACATGGCCCAAGGCCTGCTCCTTGTCCAATGATGACTTGGGAGACATTGCGAAGGCCGATTCAAGCAACGTCAGAGACGAAGGCAGTCGAGGCGGACAAGACTTCAGTTTGGTTCAGGACGCTGAACATTCTCAGTAGACCCGATGATAGCAATGGGTATAATGTTCATTTATCACTTGGGTCCTTCCGTCTGAGGACACGTTCAGCTCCACAATAAACTGATAACGGGATCCGGGGAAGTCTGGGGGAGGGCGTGGAGGAGGCTTGGCTTTTGCGGGGAACCCTGGATCCCCAACAATACGGTCGACTTCACCAGGCTCTGTTGGATGTCAGGACAGCCCCTTTGGCGAGATGAAGCTCCACTGAGGTCCGGGGCTGCGGCTCGAGATGGTTAGTTCAGCTCTCACCTGCCACCGTTGGAAGTGGAGGATCAAGCAGACAAGGATTCGTGAGATGTGTGCATGACTGCAGATGGCATCCAGAATGAGGCCACCCCAATCGCGTGACGGGTCGTTGGACCCCGACTTGTTCCACGACTTGCTTGGAGCCGGTTGGTTCAAACCCCTCTCTCCGTCTCCAGATGTCCCGGTCCTGCTTTTCCGGCGTTGGTTTTCCGCCCTTGTTTTCCGGCGTCACTTTTCCGCGTTCTTCTGTCCCGAAGCAATGGTACGGCGGTCGTCTCTGTTTACTTGGGTACCCTCCAGCGAGCTTGAATACATCTTCCGATACACACGTGGACATAAGCTGCTAGTCGAGTGCCGTTATGCGCTCGAATAAGTCGCCACAACCAGGTCTCTAAACAAGCGATGGCGGACGAGAGCAGGAACAACGGCTTGATGGCGCCCAGCCAAACTTTGATCAAAGACATTGTTATCACTCCTGTCGCCTTCCATGACATGCCCCTACTGAATAGCGTTGGCGTACATGAGCCCTTCGCGCTGAGGAGTATTGTTGAAATCATTATCGACAATGGCACGCACGGCCTCGGAGAATCTTATGGCGACCTTGCTCATCTGGACCGGATGCAGCTAGCAGCTTCCAAGATCAGAGGCCTGGAAGTCCACAACACCAATGCTGTATACCAAGCTGTCGTAGATTCTCTCGCCTCGGACAGCAGCACTGGTGGGGACGGTATGAGTGGGATGGTGACTGGAACATCGACAGCCGCTAAAGTCTTTTCTCCTTTTGAAGTTGCGTGCCTCGATATCCAAGGCAAGCTAGCTGGTATTCCGGTTTGTGATTTACTTGGTGGGCGCGTCAGAGACCGCGTCCAATACTCTGCTTACCTCTTTTACAAATGGGGTGGACATCCGGGCCAACCGGACGATGAATACGGTCCAGCTCTCGATCCCCCGGGCCTAATCAAACAAGCACACAAGATCATCGACGAGTACGGTTTCAAGGCTATTAAGCTGAAAGGCGGAGTTTTCCCTCCAAAACAGGAGGTGGAAGCTATTAAGGCTCTACACGCAGAGTTTCCTGATTTACCCTTGCGACTTGACCCCAATGCCGCATGGACAGTTGACACGTCCAAGTGGGTTGCGAGAGAATTGGATGGACTGCTCGAATATCTTGAAGATCCAGCTCCGGAAATTGAGGGTATGGCGGCCGTGGCGAAGGAAGCAAATATGCCGCTTGCAACGAACATGGCCGTCGTCTCGTTTGCCCATCTCCCGCCTTCTATCGCACAAGATGCTGTTCAAATTGTGTTGTCGGACCACCACTTTTGGGGCGGGCTGCGCCAGTCCAAGGCATTAGCGAGTATTTGTGCCACTTGGGGGATGCGATTGTCGATGCATTCCAACAGTCACTTGGGTATATCGCTGGCGGCGAGTAAGTGACCCTTAACCACCATTTTTATCTCCTAAAGGATGACCATCTGCCATATACGTGGCGAGCTGTAGACCTCTCGTTAGAAATGTTTGATGAGGTGTGGCTCCTGAGACAAAGGACTAACAGTTCATGCCCCATTTCAATACTGCTCGCTTTGATTGCCCTTTCTTTCATTGTGCTCTGAGAACTAACTGAGTGTGCTACAGTGACGCATTTGGCTTCCACGACACCCAATTTAGACTATGCCTGCGATACTCATTGGCCGTGGAAGCGCCGCGACGAAGACGTTATAGTGTCCGGTGCACTCAACTGGAAGGACGGAGGTGTCATTGTGCCAACCACGCCAGGGCTTGGAGTCGAGCTGGACAGGAAGAAACTAGCAGTTTTGCATGAGCAATACTTAAGCTGCGGTTTGAGAAAAAGAGACGATACAACGTATATGCAAAAATACCAGCCAGACTTCTCGAGCAAAATTCCGCGTTGGTAGGCCAACAGCTAGGATTTCTGCTCGAGAAGTAATTCCAAATGAGATTTTTATCTTAGTAAGATTGTTATTCCTCCTGTCCAACCTGCTTGGCGACGGTTGCTCAGTACTGGCGTAAGAAGTTCATGGATGTAGAAATTTGAACTTGTGCCCTGACGAGAACGGTAGCTGGAACAAAGCTGGGACATTACCAGGTGTTCAGGAGTACGGTCGTCAGTCGAGTGTAAACCCATGTAATTCCCCATCAAATCATTCCAGATACGAGCAAAGGGTCAAAAAGGAAGTATTTTTGCGATGAAGCGGCTCAAACCATTCAATTCAACCTCCGCATTGAAAGACCTCTCTAATCATGCCCCACAGCAGTGTTCTAGCATTTGATGTAATCAACGTGCATTAAAAGTTTGGTCATCGTTTTCCATTGAGCACAATGATTGATGTTGGGCTTGTGAACGGTCGAGATACCGCAGAACTTATCGGACCGAGTCCCGGCATTAGCAGATGATTAGATGAAGGGCACCTGAAAGTTGCTTTCGAATTCCGCGCAGATTCGAATCAGATTTGTGGTTAATGCTTCGACGAGTTGTAAGCTTTCTTAGTCCTAAGATACATAACTGCTTAATCTGCCGAGATAGTTCACAAGATCACAACAGTCTGCGGACGGGCCTAAGATCTCCTCCCGACTGTGGTATTTTCACCAGAAGAGAATGACGATATCGAAAAACTCTGCTAATTTTAAGAGCGTTCACAAGTCCCACGTTTCTAAAGAGCCCCCACCAAGGTCATGGCAAGGGCGATGTCAACAAGTCACTACGACACTGCCAGCTGGAAAGGTGTGCGAGGCCCCAACAATCCATGTCAGTTGGAGACGGACGCCTCATTCTCGAGTGGCTCAGCGAAGCGTCCGGAAAGTGTGTGAGGGCGGTAGCCGTCAACCAGCTAGTGTGACAGGCGATACCTGGGATTGGTTGCACTTTCGAGACCGTCATATCCTAGGTTTTACCGAGATTGGTCCGATCCTGACCAGGCGACCCGAGCCAGTCAGCAGTGTGCTCTCGTCCCTCATCCCCTAAATTCAGTGGCAAGCAAGGATGAAAAGTCCTGATGCAGAAGCTTCACCTGCTGGAAGAATAGCTTTATCACATTTAGTTGCAATAAAGAACGCGTGATGTCATCAAAATTGACGGTCAATGGTGTTGGGGCCTGTATCGATATTTCAGGCTTTCAAAGTGTTCTCTTGCAAACTCTTTTTCCTTTGGAATCTACTTATTTGTCTCGATTGCCGCAATTCAACGTGATGTGACCGCATTTTCATGTTTGGAGGAGACTGCACTGCGGCTAAGAGGTGTTGGCGCTATTCACTCGTCCACAACCAGTCGTTGAACCGCTCTTTCAAGACTTAATCCATGCCCGCTACATAAATAGGTCTTAGTCTATTTTAGGATAACCAACTGCATAACTCGCGCGCAGAAGCATGGTTGCCTAGCGAAGCTTGCTTCATAGATGCTTGAGACTCGGCGGTTTTAAGAACATGGTTCAAGCCTCGGAGAAAGTACAGGAATCCTGTGTGTGCTGAAAACCACTGCACCCAAACTAGGAATTCAGAACTCTTTCAAGTCCGTATCTCTTCCAGTAGACTTGAAAATGAATTCATACATACCTCAACTACTGGAAAGTGAGTAAAACGCATCCTGCAAAAGATGTATCGTGGCATCTTGAACTTTGCAGCTAGTAAGGCTCCGGGGAGCTAACACAGTTGCAGTTATTCCGAACGTCTGTGAGATCATTGAGATCGGGTTACACACGCAATCACCATGGGCGAAAGCCTATCGAATCCTCGCTAGACACCTGGATGGGACCGATGGAGCATACTTCATGAAGGTGTCGGAGGGGCATCATGGCCACGAGGCTCTGAAGGGCGAGTTCGAGGCTACAAGGCAGATGTTCACAATCGCTTCGGATTTCTGTCCGAATCCCATCGCGAGAGGCACACTGAAGGCTGCCCCTGGCTCCCATTTCTACATTTGCAAATTCTATAAGCTGTCTGAGGGCGTTCCCGAGCCGGATTCGTTTTGCGAGAAAGTTGCAAGGTTACACTCAATCCACACCTCACCCGAAGGCAAATTCGGGTTCCACGTCACAACGTACAATGGAAACCTGCCACAAGACAACACATGGTTCGACAGTTGGGAAGAGTGCTTCACCCACGGCCTGAAACATGTTTTCAAGGTTTATCGAGAGAGAGCTGGCCCCCAACCGGAGCTTGAGGCAATGCTTCCGGACTTCTACAGCAAAGTTATCCCACGCCTCCTGAGACCGTTGGAATCCGGCGGTAGAAAAGTGCAGCCATCCCTCGTTCATGGAGATTTGTGGTGTGGCAATGCTGCAATCATTGATGAGGATACCGAAGATGGTATCGCTTTTGATCCGGCCAGCTTTTGGGCGCACAATGAATGTGAGTGTACTTTGGAAACGCGTTTGGCCCAATCCTCCCGCCTCTGCTAAGCTCGATGTCAGATGAATTGGGAAATTGGCGCCCTGAACGCAATATGTTCTCACAACGCTACTTTGAGGCTTATCATACGCATATCCCGAAAAGTGCGCCAGAAGAGGACTATGACGACAGAAATGCCCTGTATAGCTTGTGTGTTCCCCTGGAACTTGTACTTCATGACCGCAAACTGACTTGATGATACAAATACTCCAGGCGCTTCAATGCGAATGGTGCCACGGTATTCCCCGACAGAAGTGAGTGCTTCCAAATGTGAGTAGAACGTAGTATCTCGAATACGACAATACTAACGTACTCATCCTACAGGGTTCTGGAGGATATGCGCAGATTAATAGACAAGTACCCGGGTGGGTTCGAAGACTGTGAATAGCTTAACTCAAATAATTTCGGGAGATCGCTTAGGCGATCGCTCCGGCGCGGCAGTAAAAGGGCATAAAGCGTGATTTAGCACGAGGCCAAGAAATAGTGCAATCTAGCCTCCGCCGTGTGATTAGACAACCACTGTGTCTCATCACTACATATACATGACCATGGCCTTATTCCGTTGAAAGTTTAGGTAGACAGTTCGCATCATTAGTATTACAACGTCGGCATGGAATATACGCGGAAAAATAGCAATTCGAGTTATTCTGTGAAAATTACGCGTTGGCTCTGTCAAAAAGTACATCAGCGTAACCGTCACGTGTTTGAGCAGAGTTTCCCCTCTGATAAGTAAAGTCGCCCCCCGCTTCCTCCAACTTTCGCCTCTTATTCCCAGAAAAGATCGTCGGGCCACTGTCCACCCGGCCACAACGTCTGGTCCATCGCCAGACGCAATGGCGCTCCCAGAATCCTTCTTGATGAATACTGGACATCGGATCCCCTCCATTGGTCTCGGTACTTTCCAAGCTGTTGCTGGGAACGACGGGGTCGCAGAGGCTGTCTCGAAAGCGCTAGCCCTAGGATATCGACATTTCGATACGGCTTTCCAATACGGCACAGAGAGACACATCGGGCAGGCTATACGCGAGAGTAGATGCACCAGAGAAGAGCTATTCATAACCTCAAAGCTGTACGTTGCGACTCTCACAGTAATTTCCAAGCTAGATCACGTTAACTGATCATTTTAGATGGAATACCTGGCATAAACCTGAAGATGTTGAAGAGGCCATGGATCGGAGCTTAGAAACTCTCGGCACTGATTACAGTAAGTATCAAGTTCTGCGGTCTGCAACGATAAAGGAACGTAAATTGAATCCGCCTGCTAGTTGATTTATACTTGATGCATTGTGGGTTGTCCCCAGCCTTGGAATCTACATGCCACTGGACTTTGCTGCTGATACAGCCTGCAAGTCCCTCATGCGTACCAGGTTGATTCTGAGCACAATGCGTTGCGGGAACCGGACGGTAGTGGCAGACCAATAATTGATACGGACTTGTCTCGGAACTACCAAGCTACATGGACGGCAATGGAAGGCTTGGTTCACAGCGGCAAGGCTCGCGCGATTGGACTGGCTAACTTCAGCATAACGAAGACGAAAAGAATTTTGGAGACCTGTCAGATCCGCCCCGCGGCGAATCAAGTCGAGCTGCACCCCCTCCTCCCGCAGCGTGTCCTAGTCGAATTCTGCCACCGTCATGGCATTCTAGTTATAGCTCATCAGCCTTTGGGTGGCGAGCCAGTAAACAATGGCCGTGAGGGACATAATGCCGGCTCCTCACCCTTGAATCATCCAACGCTCATTCAAGTGGGGACACAGTGTGGCATGACCCCCGCACAAGTCTGCCTGTCGTGGGCTGTTCAGCGTGGCATTCCAGTTGTGCCAAAGACGGTGAAAGAGGCTCGCATGGTCGAAAACAGCACCATGAGACGGCTCCCCATTGAATTGTTTGATCAAGTTGAGAATGTGCATGTGGAGACTGGAGAAATGCGATTTTTGAATATTACAGCCAAGGTTGGATTCGATATCTTTGACGAGACGGCAGATCAACCAGTGTGAATTTGGAAATAGAGCGATAGGTCTATAGATTTTTCTGAGACATAGGGCAAATGAGGTGGCGAGTACAGATTTCATTTGTCTGGTTTTGTTGTGCATATCGGGCCAAGAAAAGAGGGCCACTATAATTATTTATTTGCAGCTAATTAAAGAATATAAGTGTTCTCAACTTCCTTCTCCCTTCATGACAGCAGCTTCTTGGCCAGGCCCTGAGTAGCAGCGAGGACAACTCCCTCGGTTACCTGCTCCGGCATGCTCAGGAATGGAGAATGAGAGCTGTTCATTGTGTAAGAGACATAGCCGGTCGGAAACTGAGAGGCCATGGACTGCTGAGTTGCGAGCGGTATAGCTTGATCCTGCTCGGTGAAGAAGAAGCCGACCTCGACCCCGTTGCTCCAGGGTGCGTAGGTATTGTCGTCGGAGAAAATTCGAGCAGGTTCGGGCTTGAGAGCAGCAACGGCTTCTTCGACAAGGGTCTCGTTCGTCACATCCGCGTAGAAGACCTGAGTCGCATTTATCGGTGTGATAAATTCGCCCTACCAAACCGGGTCAGCTCGTTGCGACTCCTGAGATGGGTATAAAATTGGGAACACTCACAGAAGTATCAGGGCTCATCCACCAGAGATACTCGCCGCCGAGAGCATCAAGGAGACTGGTTTGCGCTGGTGCCGCGAAAGCAGTCATGTAAACCAGCATGATAACTCCATTGCTGCTTCCAGCGGCAGACCGATCTTTGTAACCAAAACCTTCCACAGCGACAGATGCAACCACACCACCGTAGCTATGGCATACCATGACAACGTCCTTGCCAGCGTCGGTGAGCGTGGTCAACTCTGCCGCAAGAGCAGCAGCATCTTCGGCCACACCGACTGAGGCATTGGTATTGCCGACAGAAGGCAGGGCAACAGCCTCGGTGGGGTAACCAAGTGTCTCGAGCTGTGAGCGAACTGTGTCGAAGGCCCAGGTTCCGTGCCATGCACCGGGGGTGAAGACGATGGTGGGCAGAATGTCTCGCTTAGCTGCTGGTGCTGCGAGGCCGACCGTGGCCATGGCCGTGAGGGCGAGGGCGGTGAAATGCATACTGGCTGGCCTGGTACGGTAGACACAAGGATGGATGACAGGGAAAGACGAGAGCTACCACGTGGAGGAGGATTGACTGGTGGGCGGTAGTTGAAGTCGACACCTTGGACAGAGGGCTGTGGACAGAAATCGGAAGAGAGACAATCCAGTTTCTCGGGATACTCTATCCATATATATCGCAGACTGAAGGCTCGGCAAAGGCCCGACCATGAGTTCCTGGATTGTATCCGACTGATAACAAGCTATAACTTGGCAGGTCCACTATAGGGTGCTTTGATCAATATTCAACGGATGAGGAACTGAACTCCGAAAATGGACGGGCACCCACCCCTGCGACGGAGACATGGTAGCCCACATGGCTGGTATCTATTCCGATCTTCATATCAACAATCTCCACGAAGGGGGCTTTGAGAAGTCTCAAAACGATCATACGTGAGTCTGTGTGCTAGATCACTCACATAGGTAAAGAAGGAGGGCCAAGACAACAAATACAAGATGAGTTTGCGGGGATCATAAGCGAGCGCGGAAGATCAACATAATGACCCTTGTAAGTTTGAGAACCCTGGGATGGAACGACTGGTCCATGCAGGTCCCTGGTAGCATCGGAACGGGCCTCGCCACGAGTCATATGTCTCCTTGAGCATCGGATGATGGGTGTCATGGCTGAATTTGATAGCCAAATACGGTACCAGACTAACGGATCCTAGCCGTCAATTTCAAGCTTTTGAGACTGCCGAATGATTACATCGGGAGCGACCTCGAACCACGTGGACTGGCCCACACCGGAGAATGGGGTCCTGTCGCTCAATACATTGGGTTCTATTGCGGTCTCGAGCCTCGTTGACGTGGATCTCGGGTCTCGCGACGATGAGACGAGGCCGAGTAAACAGACAATTGCTAGTATCATTATACATAGCATTACGTCCAAACATGACTGGCGAAACAGTCTCCTTCGTTATTCAAAGTTCGAATGCATTCATTTTCAGAGGGCAAGCGCGTAGAAGGAAACTGAAGAGAACAAAGATGAGAGAATGATCGCACAGAAAAGAGATGGAGGTACTCGCACTCTCCGTCGTACCGGATTTCTTCTAGCTACCTCCCCGGTACCTATTACTTGATCATACTTCAGGCGGTCTATCGCATCGGCCGCGCTAGGTTTGAGGATTGCTATTTTCAACAGAACCTGAAGTCGGGTGCAAATCTCGAGGAACAAAATTGTGTCTCTCCCAGTACAACTCGCCACACGGGGGGGGGGGGGGGGGTTTGCTAGTCTCCAAAGTTTGTCATCCTGCACAATATCTTGGTCACAAGTATATCGATGCTTCATCACTTCGCTCACGCTAAAAGCCACGAAGCAAAAAGAATCATCGAGTCCCACAAGCCGGCTTTCAATTAGTCGAGCAAGTCCTCGAACTTGACATCCGTTGCTAACTATCATAGCCTTGAGCAGAAGCTGCCATAAGAACAAACAATGATTTATATAGTCTTTGCTCTTGCGACTGAGGGCGATATTGATAGTTTTCAGATTGAAGAACATCTTGCTGGTTCAAATTCTTTATACTAGGGTGATGGTTCCACGGCTAAAGCTCGATTTCCGGAATACTAAGTGTTCCAAGACATCAATGTAGGTAGCTATGGTCTTGTAATTACTTATGCTTTGCACGTTGCTACCGGCTTGTGATTCAAAAGTTCCGTGTCTCCCTTCTCCACATAATACCATCTAGGTATGTCTCATATTGGCTAGGAACGGATATCACTTATGTATGTAACAGAAGAACATACAATAGCTCCGCATGCAGCGAAAGCTCGTTGTTCGGGTCTCTATTCTAGGGTTCGAAGCGCCTCGTCCGGTTATGTAACTTGTACATTCCAGATCAAATTAAACAAAGTCAAAGCTTTCTCCGGGCTCAGCATCATGGCTTTAGTCTAAAACATCAAGGGTGATGCCCATTTGAGAGCGTTCAAGACAAAGTTTCACAATACTTCATTGCAAAACAGGGGACTGAAGGCTTGAGACTCTCTCCTTTTCCGCAGGTCAGTCCCTGGCTAAAAACAACCAGTAATGCATCCGTGGTATGGAATAAATGCTCCCTATGCCTCTGGATGTGTGACAACTGGGGACGCCAGTGGAGACTAGAATTTCCATGATTTGTTAGCGGTGGCTCCTTCCTTGGTCACATATTCTAGGCGAATCTTCCACATGATGATTTGCTGTGTGGCGTGCAGCGTCCATCCTTCTCTCTCTGCTTCCTCCCCGACCTGGTCCTTACGTGGTAATTTGAAGACGATCGCGCCAGTCCCTTACTTTCCGTGCCGCAAAGTCTCAAGACTCAATGCCTTCATATGCGCAAATGTGCATCCTCGTCTGAGTGGAGCAAATCGCCGGAACTGCATAGATTGTAACTTGACACATGCCGTGTTGTGCAAGCAGGTTTTCCACACCCTATTCGTATCAGCAGCTACTGCCGGCTGAACTTTTGAGAGCCCACTCGCATAATGCAACCACAGCCTTGAGCATCCTACCCCCAAACATCAACAACCTTGTTTTGACTTGGGAGTGGTGACATACCCTTACAAGCGCTGGACAGGATCATAGACACGCGTAAGCAATTCAGTAGTTTGGTTCCTTTAGCCCGGCGCAGCAGCAACAGTACGGAGCGTTAGCTGACTTCTACTACCCTCAGCGCAGAAGCCATATCTAGGTTGAAGGGTCTCGCCATTGAACCTTGGCTGGCAGACGCAGTTGGGCGGACTGTAATTGATACCGTAGAGACTACTCGGGGATTGAGAACATTGGGGTACTTAGTGCGTGCTTGCTGGCAGTGGATCAAACCCTGGGCCCTCATTCGCAAAGAACAGCCTGAAATTAGACAAGAGTAGCGAAAAAGTCTACGAACCCTGAAACACTATACACGGCAAATACCCAACCTCTGGCTTCTCGCATCAGATAGCAGCAGCCCCTTAATGCTGCTTACCAATGTCACGCGTAATATAGGACGTGGTCTTGTTTATTATAGGACGTCCCGTCCCATCACGTCGTAGATCACCATCTGGTATTCAGACGAGAATCAGCCAGCTAAATTGCCCGGTCATGGTGGCAGGCAAAGGCCCAACCCCACGTGCTTTGGACGCCACCAATTCCGCGGTCAGTTCCGACCGGCAAGAAGAAGATAGACTACCGCAGGACCCAGCAAGCGACTTCTTGATTTTACCACAAGCACAAATCAGCCCCATGGGGCGGGACGGGACGGGGTATTCCTTCTAACTCCGGGGAAGCCCCACCGTTCCGGGCCAACTAGGTAAGACATGACGGAGGCAACGGGGGAGGGAGGCTGGGCAGGGGGGACAGGTCCCGTCATGTGTTAGGACTAGTCTCGTCCCCTTTTTGCGTGTTTCGGACCCGTCTGCAACAACTCACGAGAGCAGCAAGGGGCTCGGCTTGAGATTTAGCGTGCCTGGAACACTGGCTTGGTCCTACGGTGTCTGGCCGGGCAGCCGGCTGCGAGTCGACGCTTGCAAATGTTATATCCAGTACTACTACGCACTTTGGGATGTCCATGCCTGCGGGGTTAAGTGGTTCCCCGGACCCCGGCCCACAATACGCCCGGCGAAGACATTTCACCGCCAGCGATTGGACGCTCTGCCTGCCTGTCAGCCATCCTGCCTCAATGCTTCAATGTCCCTTCTCCCAGCCTGAAATCAGCCTCTACTCGACCCTCCCTTCTAGGAGAAATAGCATTGATAATGCCCAGTGGTAAGCGATCACAAGCTCATGACGGAGAGACTCAGCGCTCTCGGAAACGAGAGAGATATACACGTATCGCATGGTTGGTCTTACTCTACCTACACACAGCCCACCGAATGGTCCCATGCAGGACAGAGCTTGGAGGTCTTTAACTAGATGACAGACTAACACTTTCCTCAGCGAGTCCTGCAAGACGAGGAAGGTCAAGTGCAGCGGCAGCCTGCCCTGCAGCCGATGTGTGGAGCTCAACGCCAATTGCAAATATAACGACTATGTGCCGCAGCCCGACACCACGTACGAGGCTCCGTCAACATTCCCTTCGCCCCTGGCTCCGTCCATATAGCCATAGCACATGTATAGGCTCGGAAATGCTGACGATGCGACAACCTCAGGCGCGTACATGGAGCACCACCCCGAAAGGACTACGTGACGGGGGAGCTGTCTGAGGCCACCCAACACGACCTCGGACAGCTACTTTCCAGCATGAGAAAAATCTGCGACGATATTCAATCCTCCACCAGGCGTTTCAGCAGCCCGTCCCATCTCAGATCCTCGCTCAAACGCCGCCAGAGCGAGACCGTGTGCGCGAATCTCGCAACCAATACAAGTCCAGTCACTTTCGTCGATTCTCTCGACCAGGCGAGGCGGATCCTAGAGCAGCGAGGGGTCATCACAGTTCCGGCCACCAACAGCCACGCCGAACCGGACCAGTCAGACGTGGCAGATACGGCCTTCCCTGACGAGAATCCTTCAGCCGCCCTCGAAGTTGCTCGGCCGGTGCTCGAGATAGGCCACGAGAATGCGCTGTCTCATCTTGCCTCCTTCCGCGACCAATTATTTCCCGTATACCCGTGCATCGACTTAGCTCTTGCTAAGAAGAACATCGATTCGCTATTCAGAACCTCGCTTCTTTCTTTCGCGGACGGCGCCCAGGACTTGGGTGTAGACCTGATCGACATCGAGGCCACCAAGGCGGTCTTGGCTATTGGCATGCTCATCAAAGGCGACACCGATAGTCCATTGAGTTCTAACTTGGAGGCTCACCTCATCTGGAATGCCGACAACATCATGAAACGGGATCACGCGCAAATTGAGGATGTAATCATGGGCGCCCTGCTGGTGAGTGGCTCGTCTTCGTACCAGCACTGTCTGCTCGCATACGATGCTGAGATACGACTTCTGCACAGACCATCTATTTCACGTTGCGACAAGAGGTCCGAAAGGCGTGGCGAGTGGCCGGCCTCATGGTCCAGTCAGCCCTCGAGGTCGGGCTCCATAAGGAAAGATATCATCGGAATAGTAACGTTACAGCGGAGCACTCGAGCTTTCTCAAGAGATTGATGGCGTGCGTAGTTGACCTCGACAGACGATGCAGCTTCATTGCGAATTTACCTCATCACCTGCGCGACAGGGAGATTGACGACAGCGTCTTGGACTTGGTACGGGGCCTTGCCTATGAAGCCGGGCATCAAAGCTTTTTCTGCCGTAGGGAACGATATACTGATAAGGAGCATAGCACGGTCGGCATCCTCTTCTTTCGGCAATGGTCGATCTGAACATTATTCAAGCAGAGTTATTCGAACTGATCAGCACTACCAAGGGCGAGACCATTGGCTATAGGTCTAAAGAGATCAATGATCGGATGGACTACCTGGACCATCGAATCCAGAAACTTGCAGAAGAAACATCGCGGGTAGACCTCTTTTCTCCGGATTCTCTTGTCGTTCCTCCACCTGCCGACCGGGTTGTTCTGGAGTCCTTCTTCCAGATGCGCACAACATATTTGAGGATGCTGGCGCATTTTCGATCTCTGAGCTCCTGTAAGGCACTGGCTTGCAGACCTCAGTCCGCAGAAACTACTATTGCCTTACCCAAGGCTCTCGTCGAGCTGTACGGGAAGATGGCCCACGCCGCAGGACCTCGCGGTGTAAGCCAACTCTGGGGCCCCCTAGCAGACCGATTTATCATGGGGTCTGCATCGTGCATGTTTCTGGCGGCTTGTTGCAACCCAAACGCCTATGGACCCGTCTGTCGCGTCGCGTTCCACGCCGCAATCGATTACCTACTAGCCTCTCCGTACACGGGCTCTGGGTCGAAGCCGAGACTGTGGTGCTCACTGGACGAGATGCGGAGGCTTGGCGAGACCATCCAGATGCCGACGCCGGACAAGCCAACCCCACAAGCTCTCAGTGCGGATTCATCATCTGATGCGACAGCAGTCGAGCTTTTGGACTTGCCACAGGGTGTGGAAGACGATATATTTGGCGCATTTGACGCCACAGAAGACAACTACATGGCAATTTTAGGTATGGTCAGTACACAACTTGACTATTTGTCCAACCCGATATGATCGCTATTTTCTTACTGCCGCGCCATGCCACTTCTGTATATATAACACGGCAGATACCCTGCACTACTCACGAGAATCAGAGGTGCGCCTTGAGGAATTCAAACCCCTTCTCCACAATCGCGAATGTCTCGTCACCTGGCTGGGCTTTCGCGTCAAACCCATGGGACGCTCCCTCGACAAGAACTAGTTTGGTATCGACGCTGTTGGCCTGCAGCTCATCGTGTGCGCGCTGCGATAGTTTTGAGTCCACGAGTGTATCTGCGGTGCCATGAATGAAATAGGTGGGCGGGAAACCCTTTCCTTTTTTGGCGAACAGGGTTGCAGGGTCGACTCGATCATAATCGCCATCAGCTACGACGGTCGAGAAGAGCGTGCCTTCCTTGACGAGGTTGAACATCCACGCGACTCTGAAGTTTGAGAAGTCGGGGCCCTTCGCCGTCATTGGAGATGGGCCGCTGCTCGGAGGAGGGACCTGCTCGTGTATCTGATCGAGGAATGCCTTTTCGAAAGGCGGGAGTTTTGCAAAAGCCGCACTGGGCGTGTGGAATGATGCATCTCGTAGATACTTCATTCCGAATAGGTCCAATATGGCTCGAGGCGGGTCGGGAGAGCTGGCCTGTGCAATCGAAACCCCAGATATTAGCAAATCGTATCTATCTTTTGGAGCCTTGCTTTGAGCAAGGTGGCACAAATGTGCAGCCTGTCACGGAAACATACCGTCAGAAGAGCCAGAAGACCGCCGGCAGAATGGCCCAGAACTACAATCTTGGAACCATCAACGTACATGCCGGCCTCGTTTTGCAGCAAGCCCGGCAGCGTACTTTGTGTCCATTTGTACGCGTCCAAGGCGTCCGTCACTGGCCCGTCGAACACCGAGATCGTGGGGCAAAGCCGATAATTTGCTGACACGACAACGAAGCCCAGGTCGAGAAGTTTCTGTATGTAGCTTCGAGAGAGCAACTCTTTTGACCCGACCGTAAAATTTCCGCCGTGGAAGTACAACGCTGCAAGCAACGGGACGTCAGCCGATACCCTTAATGCCAATATTGGCGTCGGCGTTATTGAACCGACCTATTGGAAAGGCCTCGGTCGACTCTCTTTTCCGGTAATAGACATCCGCAGCGATTCCTTCTTCCCCCTCGCCTTTGAAAATGTATTCTGCGCGGGTCATCTTCGCTGCAAGCTCAATTGAGGAGGTTCGTTCGATGATGTGTTGTGCGTGGTTATGCCGAGCAACGATAAACGTCGTGCGAGTACCGTGCACGCTTGCCACATTATGGACTCTTTATACTTCAGATCATGGGAAGTTCGCGTTTATTTCTCTTGGAGCGTTCCGTCGCAGACCGGAGATAATCGTTATGAGTCGGCCGGAGCCGCGGAATTGGCGATCCACGCAAGGTTCCGTTCCGCCACGACGCACGGCACCTCGCCGCTGGCAGTGAATCCCGGCGAGGTTCAGATAACTTGAAAGAAAACTTAAAATCGTGACCCGTCTTTTCACACATTATGCAAAGTTGACAACAGCCCTTCCTTCTCTAGTCTAAACCAATTTGTCTACCTCAGGTCACATTACCGATTACAATGACCCCTTCCCCCCAAAGCCCTCAAGGCCCCTAATTCATTACGTTCTCGTCACAGTAAGCTGAGATTGATAACGATGCTACATCAGCAGGCCAGTGCATGATTTCAGTCTTTGTAGCAACTGAGCAATTACCTAGGTGCACGTTTAATTTGTATTACACTACTAGCCAGTACCAAGCATCCGGACAACTATCCAATGCGCATGGCCCAAACTAGGTCTCGGTGTTGGCTCATCATATGGCTTTCCATGATACTTGGTTACAAGGTTATGATGTTTTTACATGAATAGACAGATTCTCTCTAATCCAATTGCCTAGCCAAGCACCTTCTCCCCATTATTTAACTCACTCTCAACTGGAGCATCGACATGCATGGTAAACTCTTCACGCGGGTTGACCAGAAACAAAGAAGCTAGATATACCCCATCAGCTCGCGGAAAACGAAGTGGATGACACTGCGCGAGTATAGGGTGGAGGACTTGAGTGCTTACATGTGAGAGCCAAAACAGACAGCACAAGCGGCATGATCCACAAAATACGGAAAGACGAGACATATGCGCCTTTAAGGGCTTGCACACCAGCCTGGACAATTTCAGGGGTCACGCCGGGTATTTGAGCAAGAGCGCCTTGATCATTGGCACTCAATGCTGCGATGAATCGCCCCAAAACTTCCGCAGAGAGACCAAGGGGCAATACGGCAGCAGCGATGTTAGGCCCAAGGTTTTTCTTGATCTGCGAGTTGAAGATGGCGTTGTTGATGGGGAGCGAGATCGCGGCGCCAAATGTCCTCACACAGAGCAAAGCACCCACACTGAGTGAGATGAGCTGAGGAGGGGTGCCAAACTGAGCAGCGGTGACTAATGATGTCAACACAGCACCGAGACCCAGCCCTAAGATGATGGCCAGGCCCCACATCTCTTCTGAACTTCCTTCATCGACTGCTATCATCGCACCTGGAGACTGGTTAGTCCGTTATATCTAGGTGTGGCTTTACCCGTCTCTCTGAGTCGGTCATGCCTACCATAAAAAGCAGTAAAGCAAATGAAGCCCGCTATCAGGGATCCTCGCAACGCCTTTCTCCAGGATATATACCATCCCACGATGAAACTGGCTGTAAATGCGGCCACGAAAGTCATGGAAAAGCGCAGACCAACCTGCAGCGGATCTGTCGTGAACAGGATCGCGATTTCTGTCGTGAAGAATGTGTTGGCTGTGAAGAAAACGGAACCCTCAACGAATATCTGGATCAAGGCGAGAGGGAAATTCCGACTTTTTCGGAAGAGGCCATGATGGAACAAACCGTCCTTCTTGACCTTGACTTCATAGAAGACTATCAAGACGAGTATGACCATGCCGAGGAGGAAAGGGCCGAGAATATGTGCATCGTTCCAATTATATGGGTTTTGTGACCATGTCAACCCAACGACGACGAGAGTCAGACCGATTGGGACCGCGCAGATGCCGACCCAGTCTAAGCAACGAAGCTTTTCGTTCAGGCTCAGAGCAATTTGTAGCTCTCTTGGAGGAGGGTTGTAGCAGAAATATGTGATCACTGCGGTAAGCCCACCGACTCCGGCGATCAAATACCACAGGATACGCCATCCTTCAAAGTAGTCCTTGCATAGAGTTGTTCCGCCTAACAATGCCACCATACCTGCGGTCGACTGCATCCCAGTCATTCCGCCTTGCGCGAGCGATCGGTAGCGTCTAGGCACAATTTCTGCGGCAACGGCAAAGACCAGTGGCGAGACTGCATTGGCGGTGCTGGCAAGCACGTTTCCTGCAATGGCCATGCTCATATTAGTAGCCCGGGAAACGATAATGCTCCCAATGCAGGTCACCACAGAGGCGATGACTAGTGGCCCTTTGCGGCCCCAGTAATCTGCGACCTGGGAAATCGGTGTGACGAAAGCGAGAGTTATTATGGTGTTGGTTTGCGGAAGCCATTGCGCTTTGCCCGGATCTCCAATGTCGGCAGCCATGTACGTGCCAACCTAGGATTTTATCCAGTCTTAGTAGACAGCTGAATTGGGAGGTTTCAAAAGAGTACGAACCAAGCCGGAAGAAACGACCGTTATCATGCCTGCGAAGTTAACAAGAACAAGAGACTGCGCGGACGTTGTGCATTAGCGGGGAGGTTCATGTCTGAAGCGCGAGCCTGGAGACAGCCTTACCAGATAAACAAGGACAATGGATAATGTCAGCCCATGATAGTTGTCGACTTGACCGGTGGGAATTCTTTCAATATCCTCTACCGTATTAACCTCACCATGAGCCTCCCGCTCTTTTAAAGATTCGGTCTTTGAAGGGGCCATGTCCAGACTGGGCCAGAGCAGTAAGAATTCTGTGAGTGAGAAACAAGAAACGCAGCATGCATATCCACGATACACGGGACTTCGTGGATGTCATATGTGACTGGACTTGGTAAAAAGGATTGTCCATACAAGTCCCCACATTCCGAATAGTGTGTGTCTTTCCGCGGAACTTAAAACCATATCACACCTTGGAGATGTCAGGAGACAGTAATGTGGCCGACAGGGCTCACCAGCTTGGTGGCGTGCACCACAAACAGGGCTCCCACGATACCCGAATCTCTTCCCGTACGGGTAACCCCTTACTGTATCAGCTTAAGCGAAAGTCTGTTTGTTGCCCGCCTCCCTGTTTCCCCGCGTTCTCTTCCGTGGAGACTCCACTTCGCCGGACTCCCTTAGCTAGCTAACCACCTTGATTCGTGTCTGATAACGGAATGTGGTCGCAGGGCTCGCTGCCCTGTTTAACCCACAGCTTGTGTTTTATTGCGTTAACTCCTAGGTACTAGACAGAACGTGTTCAATCAGATCTTTCAGATCTTAAAGGTTATGCATTCCTTCGCAGCCTCGAAAATTCACAAGACGCATGGAGGTTTTAATTATGACATGTGATTCGACTGTCTGAGCGATGTAGAAGATGCTGGTAGAAGAGAGCTTGTTTACAAAACTGTAGCCCAGCATAGCTGAAATATTGTCCTGGTATGGTACATGTTCTTTAAAGCGTTTTATCTCAAAGCAAATCATCTTCGGCATATTTATTTCTCCCTTAGCACTGCGAGCGATACCATCTTATACACTAGAGGTTGTTACCTCCCCTCTCGGCCTGGAATTGAACCTTCGATCTGGAGAGAAGAGGTTCGATCGAGTGAAACCTGTTGAAAACTGAATTAGGGTCGTACTTCGCCTGTTAATCCCTGATTAGTTGACATATGTTTGTACAATAAGCCGTTCACATCTGCTTACCTTGATATACCTCAGTCGATCGTAGTTCTTCCCCCATATATCCTGGGGGCTTGCCGGTAAGCTCGTCGCATTCGCTGCTAGACCTAAGTCTTTACCTCCGTTCTGAGTCTGATGGCGTCGAATTATTGATGTACTGGCATTCAGCCAAGATGCAGCTCCCTGGTCACTCTCTGAGTTGTGGTGTCTTGTATTCCTCCTAGTTAGACCTGAAATGTCCATGTAAGCTGTGAATTCGAACACTCACTGGCCATGGATAACCACCGCATGGTGTATAGACTCATGAATGGGAAAACAACTTAGCTCCTATCAATAACTCAGAAGTGACTCTATAACCTGAGTCGGCGTGAAGTATTGGAAGGGGCTTGAGTAGGGGGCTGGTTTTATATTACCGGACATCGTCTTCGTGTTGCGTGGAATTCGAGGGCGACCATAGAGTGAATCACGTCGGAGTTGGAATTCGTGTAATGTATGAAAGATTCCCAGAGCTCTTCTCCCATTCCCGGCCAAAGCTCCGTAACGACGCAACCAGCATTCATCACACGAGGCGGCCCTTGCAGCAAAGTGTCATCGAAAGAATGGGAGATATCGAATATGGAAAGATCTCCAATTGTCTTCTCCACGGATGGGATAGCTGCTTCGCGAAATGATGACCACACATCGTTGTATTGATCCGGCTCCCCGACGCCAGTAAAATTGAGTACGATAAGTGGCTGCAGCTTTGTCAGGACGACTAAAATTGGGCGATGAGAACGACAACGAACCAAATGATGTTTGTCAGGGGACCTTGTAAAAAATATGAATCCGATCAACCATCCATCTTTCCGGTGTTCTCGATTCAGAAACGCCTGCATGATTGTATATCAGTCATTTGCCGCTTCTAACGTCACCGACGCACGAGGAAATATCTCACTCGGAACCTCTCAAGAACAACAGAGAGACTCTCACTTTGGAAAGTCATGATTTGTAAAAGAATTTGCCCTAAGACATCGTTTCGGTAAATTGGTCACACGCGAAAAGGTAATTACTCCTGGGCATCCCTTACCGGCTCAGGATATGTTCGAAGAACGAAATCGGTTACAACACCGAATTGAGAAGATCCGCCTGTTCTCATGAACATGAGATCGTGGACAAATGATTTCTTCTGTTTTCAAGCTCACCTTTGATAGCCCAGAATAAATCTTGATTTTTAGTGGCGCTCGTAGAGACGATCTGTCCGTCAGCAAGTGCAACTGTGGCGTACAGTATATTATCGCAAGCCATGCCGTACTTTCCCGTCAGTGGCCCCCAGCCGCCTAGCGAGTTTGATTAGTGAGTGACGTTAGAATAGGAAGAGCATGCCATTACCTCCGGTCAAATGGCCCCCAACCCCAACAATGTGCACGCCACCTCCAATGCAAACGAGACCGTGCTTTTGCAGCGTCGAGTACACGTCTCCCCAGCGGCATCCGCCGCCGACTGTTACTTCTTCTTTATTTCTATCAACAGAGATACCGTTAAGGTTGCCGAGATCGATAACAAGACCATCCTCAACGCTACTGGCGCCACTGGCGTGGTTACCGCCGCCTTTCACGGCTATAGTCAACCTCTCTCTGCGAAATATTTAGTAGACCGCACCGATGAGATTCAATAGACTTGGAACAAACCGAGTCGCAAATTTAATGGCCCGTGAGACGTCTTGCGCTGAAGCCGGGAAGACGATGTATTTGGCTCTCCGTTCCGCGACAGCCGAGAAACGCCGTAGCAAGTCTTGAAAATCCTGAGACGTACTATTGACAATACGTCCAATGAACCCAGATTCGCGAAGAGCTGCATCTGCCATGATGACAATTGCTTGCAAGTGTGGTGATCAAGTCGCACTTGTGACTTCTCGGCTTAGACCTCGCGTGAACTGTCTCAGTTTGGGATGAGTGCGTTCTTCAGCATATAAAATGGTTGTTTGTGCTTTCCGACGGTGCCTTTACTCTTCCGACAACTGAATTAGATCAACAGCAGTTGAACATCGCGGAACGCCCCGCGGACTGTAAATTGGCCATGGATGGGTTGATGGGGAGGTGCATGTAGGCTGAAGATACAAGAGCTAAGCCGTTATACCCGATTCAGTATCCTAGACACACCGCGGGGGTTTCCGCAATTATATGGGCCATAAGTATGGACAATTAGAAACAATGCTACAGATGGTTTTCATCAGTTGCATTGTGACCTCGGACTCATGTTACGAAACGAACAGTAGGGTTCATGGCATCATATCAATGTTCTACATGATTCGCATAAGATTTGTTTATATCCAGGGTAGCATGAATGGGTTGCACGAGAACAGGAAGCATTCAACATACGCATCGCTACATGAGTATGGTACTGATTTGTTTTCGACCTCGGGATATTTTCCTTCTACCAATATTAAGAAATTACAGCGAACCCATTGGACGTGTGCGTGCCGCAGTCACCGCCAGCTAGACACATGGCTAGTTTTCAAGCCTTCTCACGGACGTCCTCACCCAGCTCAGGGATCCACTTTACTCTTCTGCAAGCGAACATCTCGAGGACCGGCTTGCATTCATTAAGATCCACCCCCTGAGAGTCTGCAAACAAACCGAACTGTAGACATCTCGCGTCGGGGTCGGCTGACTCGATAATGCACACAGGACTGCCACATTCGGCACACATCGTCCTATGCATCGGGTGACCTGAGCCAGTGTGGTTGTCCACGAAAACCTTGTGAGGTCCGCCAGCCGGTGCGATCGAGTCTGGAAAGTTGGCTTCAGGGTGGAATTGAACATTCTGCTTGGGTACGACAAAGGCATAAGATGCAACACCGCCACTGCGCCGCTTGCAGGAGACGCAGTGACAGGTCAGGGATTGAAATGAGGCGAGCGGCTTGCCGGTGACAGTGACCTGCGGATTAGACACAAGCCTGATTAGCCAGAGGCAGTAAATTTGTAAGGCATGCCTTCTCATAGCAACTCTAGGCTACTCACCTTGACCTTGCCACAGAGGCACTGCCCTGACGTGATTGTGGACGACATTGGTGCTGTTATGGCTCTGCCAGGTCGTCCGAATTTGATGGAGAAAAAAGAGCGAGCTTGTGCGGGCTCAGACGATGAACTTGATCGTGTGGGACGCGATAGTCCCACGAGACGGATGGCGGACAAACGCTCGTCTAAGAGGTATCACATCCACGTCATAGGAATGATATGACGTTACCTAGCGATTCGCGGGGCTCGGCCCGAGACGCTGTGGTTCACCGGAAATTATGCGTACTCCATGCCTAAGTATCTATCGGCTCCGCAAGGTAAGAAATGAAACTACCCACTTGTATTGGGTGGCTATCCCCATATGAACTTTCTAGGTTAATAGCACCGTAACTCAAAGTCGCTACTATAGTCGTAAGCAGATTGGCCTTGAGTTGTGTGCTGCCCATAGCTCAGGCTGGACATTCGTGTGTTGTTTCGATACTGCGCTCATTGGTCGAACATCTTGATAGTCAGAGACTTAGTTCGGGGTCCCCGAGCATTAGATCATGCTGCTTGCACAGTGTACACAAGTCACATAGAGGTGATTGAGTCCGAAAAGAAACACCTGCCGAGCTCATACTCGGATCTTGAGAATTTTGTCTCTCATTTGCGGCCCAATAGAATTAAAAGTAGCCCGTAAAGGGAGTAATCAATTTGAGCTAGTAATTTCCCCTCGTTGGAAGCGGCCAGGAGTCCAACGGCCCATTCAGATGTTGCGTCGTTGTTGTTGTAGTAGTTATACCCTGAACAGGTAAGTCGACACTGGTGTCTGAACTAGGTTCGTAATAAGCATCTGCGTGATAACCATAACCTCTCTGCCTCTGTCCCGTTGCTACTGGCTCCTCGGGTATCTCCGTCAGTTCAAACACACCAGGTGACTTCTTCTCCTCGCTCTTGGACAGTATTGAAGCCGTTCGGGAAGGGATTGATTTTGATCTGTGGTCGACCAGAGTAGAGCCACGCCATGTCGATTTCGCTTGTGATGGCTCCGATGCGTCAAGTCGTTTTGAAGTGAGTGAAGTATGCAAGTCCTTGATGAAAGGCCTCAGCACCGGAACACACTGCACTATGATTGTGCCTGCCACTTCGGCTGAATACCAGATCTGTGAGACTGCATCCCGCCACATATCTGTGCCAATCTGCGTCAGCAACCATCGCTTGCGAGTTTGAACACTGTAGTCCAATGCAGATGCGAACTCTTCTTGGCTTTTTGGAGATTACGATTCCACTTGGCTCGCCGCCGCTATAGGGCGATTGCTTGCGGTATATCACCGAGAGCAAAAGAGAGTCAACAGCAAATTGAGATCAGCAAATACTTACACCAGTTGTCATGGACGTGCATGAGCGGTGTGTCTTTCCACCAAGTCCGAATTGCAGTGACGATAGCAATCCTATAAACTCAATGTCAGCCGCTGGCACTTCGCTGTTGGTTGTCACGAGGCATTGATGTTTTGTCTTTACTTACATCATACCAAGGCTTAGGGTGATGCATAAACCAATCTTCTCGCCCCGTTTGAGGTTCAGTGGCCATGTGATAAACCAAGGAAAAAGGGCGAACATGAAATCCATAACAATGTTGTAGACTGAGAATGGTGAGTGACAATCCACTGGTACGATAGCATCTAGTCTGACGCGGACTCACTGTTACCGATCTCCTTGAAATCCTGGGCAAATGTCCAATTCAGACACCAGCCCTGAATACGATACCATTGTTGGTAGTCGTCTCTTTCACACATCTTGGCCCATTGGAAAACACACTTGGTCAGAGCGATACCGTCCATAGTGAGGATACAGAACCAGAGCAGGGCTTGCTGCCAGGGCCATGATGATCGCGTTGAAGCACGGCACATGCGGAGAAGAGTGATGGCAAAGGCTGTTTTGGTCAAAGCCTGCCCAACGACAGTTCCGTCCGACGAGATATTGATCAAAATATGCATCCGATCATCCCAATTTCCCTGAGCATACCCGATGGCATATTCGGTGGTTATAAGAATGTCTGTGCCCAAAAGTATAAACTGGAAATGCAGCGAGCTTGTAAGTCGAAATGGCTTTGAGTTATTGAATTTCGGTGGCAATACTCACCCAACATATAATCAACAAGTAATCATCATACCACAGACCGTGGCGGCGACTGAGCTTGACCCAAAGTCTCAGGGCCAAGAAGACAGTCGCACCAAACAGAAGACACCACAGACCAGCGTAAAGTTCCCGAGCGGGGTCGTAATAGTGGTATTCTTTTCGAGTAGATAGAGCGAGAAGATCAGGGATCATGATCGAATCACGAACCGGCGCCATGACATGTCCTGTGGAGTTGAGTCGTTGTGGGCTATGAGCGGTCCATCGATGATCGTCGACCTCATCTGTCCGCTGGTACCAGCACCGCGAGAAACGAAGATGAGAAAAGAAGCCAAGAGCAAGCAAGAGATTGAAAGTCAAGAGAAGCTTTCGGGCCCGAGAAGGAACGAACATTAAAGAAAAGTCGCTGGAAATGAGATGCGCTGCAGGGCTGTGCCCCTGCCGTGACCCACGCTGCCCGCTTGCAGATTGATTGCGCTTGCGGACTTTTGATGGCCTGCACTGGGAAAATGACTCCGGTAAATTTTACGCAGTGCAAGGGCTAGAAGAGGAACACTTCGCCGTTGGTGCAGTGCGCCCACCCACAACCCCTAGCCCGTGCATCAATCCTTACTTGTGCGCCTCCAACCGATCTGTCATCCACCAATTGTGATCACAGGTGTTTGGTGGCTTCATCATCGACATCGAAGGGGAGCTGCTATCCATTACGCGCCTCCACCCGCCCAACAACTGCGTCGCGATAATCGTTTCCGAGATCGACGCAAGGGTCTGATCCGACAGCGGCCGGCCAGCGTCAAACTCTCGGCTGGGTCACACGTTGGCTATCTGCAAGGGACCCCAGACCTTTGCGTTTTGACTCCCGTCTACGACATGCTATTTACACTGACAGTTGCGACGCTGCGAAACCCGAGAAATTGGTTGACAGACTATTACTCAAGCCCGTGATGACAGGGCGGATCCACTCGAGCTAGACCTCATCACCACGTTTCTATCTGAAACATATCCCGGGATGTGGCGCGTGGGGCCGGTACGAAGCGTGGCCCCCATAAGTGACCAGGGGCATCGCGGCCTCTTTCCAGAAGAGATCTAGAACATGGGAAAAAAGCAAGTTAGCATGGTTAGTCAACTTTGAAGATCCATCCAGCACATTCTCGCTGCCTCGCCCGCTCGCAAACGTGCCTCGGCCAGCTCGCTTATGGCTAGGAGTTCGTGACCATTATCACCATCCCCGAGATTATAAGCGGGGCCTCGGGGGAATAGTTTGTGGGATGACTGCTTGGGCAGCCCTCCATCCTGTCATCTTGATGTGCTCACCTGGTGACATTGCATGTCTCGCAGGTCAATTAATCCTTGTCGTACCACGCCAATCTTGGCGTGAGCTTGATTCGACCGAATGACTGGCGGAGATATTAGGGCTGGCATGCACGGATTGGAGGGATTGTCCGTTTAGAGGACACCCCTCTCTGGTCACAAGCCGAGTCGCTCACAACACTGGCTTTCGAAGAAATGGGCAAGGCGTGAGCATATGGTACGCACGTGAAGGGCTTGCAATTTCCTTCGCTTCGTCTCCGAATGGCCCCCTGTCCATACCTCCCTTGTCCCATCACCAATCAGGGGTATTCCCTACTAAACATAAACACCCTAGACCGGCTGGACCGGTCGGGCTGGGATGTAACGAGAAATAGCGACAATAGCAATCATCTCGATCCACGTGGCGATGTGGATGTGCCCGTTTAGGACCGGAAGATTTCAAACCATCAACCGGGAATGATTGAAACAAAATTCCCCGTTCTGGACAGAGAAGACAAAATATGGACGTGGAGAGATGCATCTCTAGTAAGGATATGACAGCATTCACACGTGGTCCCTCTGCGCTGCCCGGTCCTTCTCTTCTCCACGAGTGGCGATCTTGTTATACTTGCGGTGAATTCTCGACTTCCACCCGAGATCCAGCCGTCTCTGCGAACTTGTCTATTTTTTCCTTGAATTGCATGCGGTCGAAAGGGAAACAAGCAGATATAGAGAAAAACGCAATTCTATATCCAGAGAAAAAGAGACTATTCAAATATGGGAAGACTCTGTATTTGCCTAAATGCGGCTTTTGGATAGCCTCAGTCAACGTACGCTATAGTGTGTGCACACTGTATTGGCCACTCTTAAGCTGGAGCAAAAGCATATTAGAGTATTCGCAGAAAATGTTTGAAGCTTGCAGGTCAACCTCTGAAGTGGTAAAATCTGGGAGCTTCCAGAAGACTGTGTGCGCATCAAATGCAATGCACGACGCACGCCAAAAGTTTTCAGTTTGCTTGACCCGTGTAGCAGATTCTCTAACTCGCGATTGATACTATCTATATTTCTCTGCATCTCTACAGGCATCCGCTACGGGAAATATTGGGCTCCTGAGTGATACGCGAAAGCTGAGATCATTGCTCAGTAGGTACGGAAACGTAGCGAGGGGATCTCAAACGTGTCTTATCCTTCATTCAACGAGTTGTATCAGAGTTGGCAGCCCATTACCTGCTGCACATTGCACAATGAGTGAATATGGCCGAGTCTGCCGGCTCCCACTCCTCGCAAGAAATTGTCCCAGTGCCGTTCATGACTTCAAGTAATTTGAGTGCTGCGATATTTGACTCGTCTTAATAGATCGACTGCTCCTTTATTGGGCAAACTTAAGTCTTTCTGTTATAATATCATGTGTGTTGAGATGCTAGGTATATAGTACACATTGGGAGGGTCTTCTCATAAGACTATCTTCCATCATTTTCTTTCGCCACTACGGCGTTGGAATCCTGGCTTAGGTCGTTGTATTCCCTATACACAAGTCCTACGTAGGATGTTAGATAAGTTCTGTCGTACTCAAAGCTGATTGTAAGCTACTCTAGAAATAGATAGATCGCAATCGACAGTGTGCGCCCCTATCCCCCATACTCAACACCTGGTCAGCTTCTGCGAAAAGTCGATCGTCTAAATACACATAAGGCGTAAACCAGACATCTATAGTTGTGATAGTCACAAAATTTGCGAGATATGATGAGGATGGTCCAGGTGTTCATAGGAGCGGGTAGATTGAACTGGAATCCTGCGACTCGGTTGTCTCTCGTCTTTGTAAGGAGGTCAAGCTGCAGGGACTGGTGTCCAGGATCTTGATGTTCGCGTACAGCACTATTGGAAGAGACAGGTCCTTCCATTCACAAAGTTGAAATTAGAGCGCCAAAGTCGTATCACCAAATGGGCGAACTAGGAATCGGGAGGTATATTTATTACTTCTACCCAGCGCGTTATGAAATGCTAGTATAGAAACGGAAGGATATCATAGAATAACAAATAAGAAGTAGTGATAGGTACAGTTTATATCTCATTGAGAGCTTTGCAAAGTGAGTTTCTCTGTATATAACTCATGTCAGTCGCCATTGAGTAAATCACCATGCCTCAGATTGAGTATCGGAATTCGTCTCTCATAGCAATAGAGCCAAGCCATTCGAAATTCACTCGCAAGTATACGCCATCAGTGACCGCTCGCCTTTTATGAATTTTTTCTCAGTCGCCCGGATGGTATTTATTTAATGTTTACCCATAGTATAGCCTGGAGTGCTTCCAGCCAAGAAGAAGAAACTCAACGTAACTTCGCTAGGCTGACTGCGCCTCCCAGTTTCAGAACCCTCTGTTTGAAATTCTTTGAATTGATCCGAGGGACTTGACTCGACTTGGATGATACTGTGAACATGATCTAGGGCAACCGTCTCGACTCTGATAGCTTCGCGCATGAGCTGTTGGCCCCTGGACCGCGCGAAGGAGACACTTATGCTTTTCGTCAATGAATAGTGTGCAATTTCCCTTGAATGCTTGAATGGAAGTGGTCTTGATGATTCTGGGTTTGGTTGAAGTGCCATCAACGAAGTCGAAGCATTACAAGGACCGTGCCCAGGCTGGCATGATGAAGCGAAAGACTCATGAGGAGGACGGTCCATCTCTGCCAGAGCGCGCTTTTCACAGCAGAAATTGGCAAAGTATTAATTTTGAAATTCCTTTTCACGTCATTGCGTTTAATTATGGTGGAACATCGCACATCATCTTTGATGGGCTTATCAACGACCTTTCGCAGAATACGTTATCCACCAGGTTGTCCATCAGGGTTTCAAAGCTTAACAAGCACTCGAGACCCCCCCCTTTAGTATAATGACTATTGGTCTCTACTACATCCTCTTGCTCTTCGGGCAATTGCAAATTGGTGATATCTGAACCCGAGTGAGCAGAGAGAACAGCCATAGAACGGCCGATGCCTGAACTGGCACTCGAGGTCAGTGAGTAGAGGCAAGTTGAGGAAGGGCCAATACAAGGAGCGACCAGTGCGCACTGTCATCTAGTAATCATGCTCTTGTTGTCCATTAATTAGCCGCTATTAATTCCGAGAAGTTGCCCTTCTCCTTCCGGAACGGGCTTGAGCTCTCTCTTTCTGCAGGAATTTTACTTGGTACATATTGGACTTCTCGCCGTTTCTCTGGCTTATCAATGATAGAATCATGGAGAATTTTCTTTTTTACGTAAAAGAGTCTCCCAAGACCAAACAGTCTGCAGATAAGCACTAATTCCATTAAGACATCTTTGGACGGTAGCAGCCGTCGTCACATCAGCAGAGGCCAACTCAGGATGCCCCCATCACCATGACGACATCAAATCATGATGTTGCAATGATTATCTTGGCTTTCTGAGTCCAGAAATCTTGTCGAAATCATTATGCGCACCTAGGCAGCCGATGTACCAGAAGAGAGAGGGTGAGAACAACCTTTTGTTGAAAGAAGCGGACGGGCTGAGACATGTGAGAAGAGCGCTTGGGTAGGACTTGCTGTCATTTTTCTATCGCCACGCTTCGATAGCCTTGATACTGCTTGTCTTCGTCGTGGTGCACAGCTGGTCCCTGTCGCTCTACAACTTGGACAACTTCAAAGCGACCTGGGACAGCTTTAGGAGGCTGATTTCATCGTATGCTCTTGGAACCTATGCTCGTCGTTCTCACCGGGCCTTCCCTTTGTAGCAATGGCGAGCAGCATGAGTTGCGCGTCTTTGACTTAGGCACCCAGTGCGCTCCTTGAAGCGCGTGGGTTGACAATGTCATCAAACAGTGGCCGGGAATCAAAATAGATTAGGAACCTAACATCCAGTTATCACCGTGGACAATCATTGACAGGCGGGCAGCGCGTTTCTGCTAACACCAAAAAATTAGTCCTCATTGTTGGCCGAGATGATTAAGTGCCTTCTACATATACCCGGTCCGCGCGAGAAAGTAGACTATTTGTTTCCCCCACAAGGTGCATCGGGCATCTTCCGAGGCTGTTGGTAGTGAGGACTGGACCCTAACCCCTCTTGAGCTTGGAGTTGGGAGAGCTTGCACCTTTAGTCAATCCACTCGGCAAGAGGTTCGGGCAGGAGTTTGCGAGTGTGAGCGGGCCGATAGTATTGCGCGCCGATTGCGACGCCGTAGTAATGACTCGGTCCGGGAAAAGGGTCACGGGTCAAAGCTGAATACAAGAGAGAATAGCCCCCAAATCATAAAACCTCGTGATCGATGCCTGGATGATCCAAGCTGACCTTGCGGGTCCTCGACTAGAGGCGGTGAGTTAGTTTGGCTGACGCGATTACCTCAAGGGCGCCCTTTGAACGCCGTCTCACATAATACACCTAAGTATTTAGAATGGTCACCACCATATAAAAGGCGAGTGGCAGGTCAAAATCTACAGGTGTGTCAAACTTTAAAGCGTCGAATCAAAAGACATCTGCCAATAATTTAACAGGACAGTGTCGAATGTCAACGAGAACTACAGGAAATCGGCGTGTCTACTCAGGAGGATCTTTCTGTAGCCAACATGAAGGTTGAAAAGCCCCGAGCTCGTGCATATACGCTGCCAGGCAACATCAGCACGTTGCAGAATGCGGCACAGCAGCCATCACCACCACGAACACCCACTCCCCCAGCACTGAGGGCGACGCCCCCCCATGAGCCGCACACCACCAACAACATCATACGGCTGGACACCACTCTGGCAGAACTCTACCGCGCTAATGGAATAGAGGGGCCATTTGTCATGACCATGTACTGCGTGTTTGGGCACATGGATCTGCACCCAGCCTGGCCGCGTGAATTGATCTACCCAGAGGACGAGGAGCCCGTGCCTTATTCTGCGCAAAATGAGCAAGAGATTGCGAGATTACGCAAGGTCATCCTGGGCATGAAGCCCCTCCGCAGAGCATTTGGGGTGGGTAACATGGATGTGCTGTTCTTCGGGCCCAATGTCACGGCCGAGGGAATGGAGAGAGCACTCTCACAGCTAGCGCCGAACCAGAGACATCGACCTGTGATTGTGGATTTGGACGGGCACGATGTTCACACGCAACTGAAGAGGGCCACCCAGGGCAAGAAGCTCTTGTTCTGGCGGCCACAGGGCTGGATGGACGAGCATGACTGTCTTCTTGACCCCAGAGAGATGTTTGATGTCAATAGCAAAAAGTTCCTCATCACATCCGGCATGCGCACGCCGCCATCTGAAATCATCAACTTGCAGGCCGTGGACCTTACTGACAAGTCGTCTTGCGTTTTCTGGACCAGGCCACTCCCCTTCGTGGTCAAGCTATACCGCGCGGGATGCAGCTTCGGCACCTACATCGTCAAGGCGGAGCATCAGCGTGGGACGATGGTGGGGGCAATGACCAAATACAAGTCGCGCGGGACAACCGAGGTGCTGCTGAGCAAGTATATCGACCTGGTGCAGGATCTGAGTGTGCACTTTATCGTTGGTGCGCCGGGGACGGTGCATGACAGGGATAATCCTCTCATTTTGGGGGTCACAGTCCAGACGTTAACTCATGATGGGAAGTGGGTTGGGGGTCACATTGACTTCAGCATGCAGGAGGAGCTGCGGAAGCACGTGTGGAATACCGTGCGGGACACCACGAAAAGAATGCCCGAGAGATTCATGGGTTGGGCGGGTGTGGATATCGTGGTCGACAGGGAAGGCGGGCAATGGGTCGTCGATCTCAACGCACGTTTCACTGGCTCGATGCCCATATGCTTCATGTCTGGGCACTTCTGGAAGCAGAGGGGCTTACCACTGGCCGAGTTCTCTGCAGTGGAGTATGGCGGAGACGTGGATTGCATCTACACCAGGCTTGAAAGTCTGGTGAAGAGGGGACAGGTTGTTGTCACGGCGACAGCGAGGATTGAAGAGGGTGTGAACATGGCAGATGTGGTGTGGGGTGGGAAAACCCTGAATGAGTTGGCAGAAGTTCAAACATGGATTAGACAGGCGCTTGCAAAAGCATCCTAGATATGGCTTTGCCCAAAGACACAGCGTCACAATAGACTACGGAATATTCCGGTTAACGTGGGGCCAAGCGTTGTGGCGAAGAGGTATATTGGCAAGCACCGTGTAACACCAGCTTACCTTACGTTGTACTAGCTGTATGGATGAATGTAAACGTCCATACCTCTGAGTGTGCTACTGAGAAAGTCTCTTGTCCATCAGCTACTCAAAGTTTTGCCTCGTACATTTCTAGCAACGGCGACAGACATGCACCGAATCGCAGAATTTGGAGGTTCTCGCGCCAGCCGTGACTCGTTTGACCTGATGTACGAGTCTCACCAATTTAAAACACGTCGCATTCCTTGTCTAGCATCAGTCTAATCCTGCGGCAGCCCTCATCCTGGCCCTCTTGGCCACAGACCGGTTTACTATCACGGCTTCATCAAATACCCCTGTAATGCTTGCGTGGCTGGATGTAGCCTTTGCCCATCTGTGGAAGCTCGGCGCCTCTGATTCTATCCTCCGATTCAAGCTCGTAGGATACACACCATGATTGCTCAATGTTACCGCACGGATCACAAAAGGCCCAGTAATCACTTCCGCGAGGGTCAGTTGCCCACTCCCACCCCAGAACGGTGCGGCATCAGCTAGCAGCGGCTCCACTTCCTTCTTGATGCCGTCGATGGCATCATCAATCACTTTCTCCTCGTCCGACTTTGTGGGTGACTCAAACAGTCTAAATAAGATCGTGTGGTATTTAGTCCAGTAGGTGTCGATAAAGAAGTTCATTCTTGCCCGTTTCATTGCTCCTGCAGTGGATGTCGGCGGAGGACAAAGGTGTGACGGGAAGACGTCACACAGAAATTGGCAGACGATGTTAGATTCAACAATAACTTGATCATTGAAAATGAGTACCGGTACAAGGCCGCGAGGATTCAGCTTGAGAAACTCGGCTGGGCGGGGACCGTCGACGTTGATGATTCGCTCCTCGAAGGGGATCCCCAGCTCGGTGAGGCACACATTCGCCCTATTTGCCCCTGAATACGTTTAGCCACGAAGGATAAGGAAGGTGGCTTCAGATGAGGACAGGATCCACTCACAAGTACATGTGTGGTTGGTGTAGAGGATTATCGTGTTCTCCGTTGAACCCATGGTTGTTCGTTCGAGATCCTGTCGGCCAGCACGAGGAAGCGCGGAAGGAATATTTTAGACACTGGCACTAGTGGGGTATTCTCGGTTGCTCCAGTTCTGGCACGGTGCCCGATATTGCTGTCGTCACACCCTTAAATAAAGCGTCGTGAGGAGGACGAGATAAACAGAGAAGGAAGTCACAGGCCGTCTTTAGTCATGCGAGATTGTTAGCCACGTGTTACTCAGCCCTCCGCATCGTTTTCTCCGTCGTAGGCGAAGGCCGCTACTGCATGCAGGTCATCTCCACAGTTAGGCTCAAGACGGCAATAGTCTGCGAAGCGGGATGACCAATGAACTCACAGGTTGAAATCCCCAGTCACTGGCCTTTGCGGGCGTGGGATGGAGCCTTAGTTACCAACGGGTCGGGACAAGTGCAACGTCAACTGCACCAACACAGATATTACCGTGCTGTCAAACTGATTCACGATAGCCCTATCCTTGCGGTCTCCTAGTTCAGCTACAAACCAGGACCTATATGCTTTCACGTAGCTACGCTTTATATAAGTCTTGCTGGGTTCCGACGCTAGTTGCAATTGAATTTGTAGAAGAAGGAAGGTGATATTGTATGTCCGCTAGTTTATCAGACAAGCCTTCCAACTTCCTTCATTACTATTTAGATAGCTGAAGCGCCGGAGCCTGCGCCGCAAATGTGCCTCGCCAGCCTAGATGAACGGGATCTGCTCGCCCCCCACAGAGCTAATGGGCGCAAACCTGTTGGTTGAATCACATCCCAGAGCGCCACCAACACGCATAGATCCATGTGGGTCCCAAAGCCCGCGCCGCTTTGGGAGGAGAGAGTTTATAGACGTAGCTGCACCAAGTAGAACTGAGAATGTATTGCCCAGGTCTCAATGGGAGGCTCGGATTTCTATTTATCAAGTAGGCCCATACCCAGATCCAGTCGAGAATTAGCTACGACCATCAAGAGTCTTCTTTTGTCACTACCTTTTTGCTATCATGGATAAAGAGAAATTAGCTGAGCCAGCTGCATGGGTGGTGGGTGATGACTTTAAGTCCTCGTCGTTGCAACATGCATCATCGCTCGACAGCCAAGTGGTTGAAGGAGAAGTCCTCGAGATCCCTATACCAATGAAAGTGTCTAAAGCTAGAGGAGTCGCCGTGATAGTGACACTGTCTGGTATCAGCTTCCTCAACACAATGGGCTCCGGAATCTTGATCGCGGCACTGCCTCGGATCGCGAAAGATGTCGGCTTGGACAAAAGTCTGATCTTGGTAAGCTCCCCTACATGCTTCTAGTTTTCATCAAGAAGCCCGCCGAGACGAAAACTTTTACGACAAAATAACTGACGAGAAAAAACAATATCCTAGTGGCCAGCAGCCGTCTACGCCCTCGCAGCAGGTTGCCTTCTGCACGTCTTCGGCAGCGTGGCCGACATCCTCGGGCCCAAGCCAACCTGGATCGCCGGCAGCTTCCTCTTCATAATTTTCACCGTAGCTCTCGGCCTCGCGACCACCGGCATCCAGGTTATAATGTTCCGGACGTGTCTCGGTATCACTATGTCGATGTGCCTACCTACCACCGTATCCCTGATCACGAACACCTTCCCCAAGGGCAAGTGGAGGAACACCAGCTTCGCAATGAACGGGATGGCTCAGCCCCTGGGGTACGCTCTAGGCTTGGTGCTTGGCGGCGTGTTTACCGACACGATAGGGTGGCGCTGGGCATATTGGATCATGGCCATCATTAACTTTTGCATATCCACCATCTCGATGTGGTCCCTTCCAGATGTTCGGCACGTGTCGTCCAAGACGTGGACACGGCGGCTCATCGAGGACGTGGACTGGATCGGAGTGACAGGGCTAAGCATTTCGCTTGGCCTTATCATGTACATCCTCGCAGGTAAGCTGACCACCACCACCACTACTGGAATCTCGTGCAACGAGGATCGGGCCGCGCTGACAGGCAGTGCCACAGTGGTGACGTCCGACTACCGCAAGATCAGTCAGCCGGCGACTATCGTCCTGCTAATTATATCCCTCCTGCTCATCGCAGCTTTCCCACTCTGGATGCATTACCAGGTGCGGCGCGAGCGACCAGCGTTGATCCCCAACCGGCTTTGGCGTCAGCCTGCCTTCACAGCTGCATGCCTGGGCGTCTTCTTCTGCTGGGCCTCCCTGAACGGGATAGAGTACTTCACCACGCTGTACTTTCAACAAGTCCAGGGTCTACCGGCGCTCGACTCGTCGATCCGCTACTTTTCTCAGATTGTCATGGGCACATCCATCAACGTCGTACTCATCTATCTTATCCCGCGAGTGCGGGTAGTCACACTCTGCGTCGTCACGGCTGCAGCCACGCTCGTCTCTCCCGCGCTCATGGCCACCGCCGCGATGGACGAGAACTATTGGCTCCGGCCGTTCTGGGCGCTGCTCCTCTGCCCCGTGAACCCGTGGGTGCTGTTCAGCGTCTGCAACCTCGTCATATCCGACGCGTTCCCGCCCGAGATCCAGTCCCTCGCGGGCGGTGTGTTCAACGAGGTCGCGCAGTTCGGAAACTCGGTGGGACTGGCGGTGACAGCTGCCATCGCGGCGTCTGTGACTGAGCATTCGACCAGCACTTCGGAAAGGGAGGCGTTGATGGATGGGTTCCGAGCTGCATTTTGGACAGTGTTTGCGAGCACGGGCATGGTGATGCTGGTCACATTCATTGGCTTCAGGAAGATTGGCATAATTGGAAAGTGATGGGCCCGAAGAAGGTCCGTCATGCTATGTTGGACGCTAGGGATGTCGACTGCTAGCGGTTGTGGGTCAATCCATTACAGCTGAAGTACTTGATGACGAGACGTTCGTACTGCTTTAACTCATTGGTATTTCTTTTACATCAGAATTTGTTCTTACACTAGAAACATGAATAGCAAGATGCCAGCCAGTGACGATGACAGAAGCCAGTTACTTCCCAGCGACCTGGACCCGCTGGTGACATATTGCCCGCTGGTAACAAGCTTCCAGCTTCCCCCACTCACGCCAGTGGCCTGGCCGTTCGTCAACGTCAAAGTGTTTCCACTGGTATCTTGCAGACTCCCGCTTACACCCGACCCCAGATCGACTGTCCCCGTCGTACCGGCAGGTGTGGTGAAATTCAAGGCCGTCACAGCTCCTGAGCTTGAGTCACCCTCGACCTGGACGGAGAAAGCACCAAGAGGCGCAGTATAACCAGCCTCCACGTTGTTCAGACCTCCCAACCTTGGCGCGATGGTCCACGTTGCCCCACCAGCAGACTCAATGCGCAATCCAGCTGTGTAAAATGTCAACAGGCTCGTTGGCCCTGCGGACCAGCCGTGCGCGTGACTGACCCTGGCGTCATTTGTGTATGGGGCGTAGTGCAGGCTTCCATCAGCACTGTAGCCCTCGATGAAAGTGCTGTTCGTCATCCTCGGGTCGTCCAACATGAAACCCCACTCCGTGCGCATGAGCTCGTGAGAAGCGCTGGCATTTCCAGCCATGTAATGTGCCATGAGCTCGAAGTATCCGATGAACGGTGAGACTGTCTGTGGGGAGCCTCCCGCCTCCGGCGCTGGAGCACCATAAGGCCCCCAACGGGCTTGGAGGGCGTCGGAAATCGAAAGGGACTGAGAGGTGGAGAGTGTCAGATTGGAGACAATGGCCCACGCATTTCCATCTTGAGGATGGAGAGTGGTGGTCTCGTTGTCGCGGTAGAGAGAGGTAGAATTGTCCCAAAGCAGGTTGTTAGCCGCCAATTTAATGCCAGAAGCATAAGTGGTCCAATTCGACGCAGATGCTGTGTCATTGAGTATGTTGGCAAGACCGATGCCTTTGTTCAGCGTATAGTAGAGAATAGCGTTAGCTTCGATGTTATGTCCACCCATGCCAATACGAAGCCAGTCCGCATCCGTCGCCACGTTCAGAAGGCCCGTGTCGTCGACGTAGCTGAGCGTGAACTTCAGGCCCAGAGTAAAGTTGCCCCAAACACTCTGCAGATAGGTCAGATCGTTGGTGTATTCGTAATACAGTGCGATGTCCAGGAGATTGTGCAGGTGATAGGTGAAACTGTAGAGCTTCGTGACCTGTATAAATGGTGATCCGGCGTAAGGTAAGGCGCCCGATGAGTTCTGGAGGCTGAGGAGGGAGTCGAGTCCGTTGCGAATAGAATCCATGTCGCCGGTGCTGACGAAGATACTCGGCGCCGCGACGACAAGGTCACCTGGCCATACGAGACGGTCTCGCTTAGCGCCGTCGACGAGGGCAGTTTTACCTCCGGTGATGGTGTAGTTACTCCACCACCCGACTGTTTCCGGCAGCTCAATGACTTGAGTGCTGTTGATGACCCTGAGCCAGACGAGCGTGTCGCCATGAGTAGGGTCAATACTGCAAAGTTGGCATGTATAGGCGCCTGATATTGTACGCTATCTGTCAGCTTGTTTTCGCTGCGACTGATGCATAGCCATGCAGCGACTGATTACTTACCAGCATACCAGATCCGGTTCAGTAGTTCATCATTACTGTGGAAATATCCGGTGTAGGAAGTCAAATCCTCCTGTGCTGGAGCTGCCCTATAGTCGACGACGACGCTTTTGACCTCGATCGTGCCAGTCGAGTTGCTCACCAAACTCAGGTATCTGAAACCACCCCTCTCATACTGGTCGTCGACCGTATACGTACCCGGACCGGCTCCCACAGACAAGTAAAGAGGCGTGTCCAAGCCAGCATCTGCAGTGCCGTCGCTTGCCTTTCCGTTGATCCATAGACTCGATTCCGTGAAAGTAAGAGCCAATACTGCGTCCGGGGACGAAGACGAACCGACGGTGACGCTCACTATTCCTGCAATGTTTTTGCCATAATCGAAGGTGATGGTAGAGTTCCCTCGCAAGATCGCAGTTGCATTTGAAGGTGTGTCGACGAGAGACTGGGCGTTGGAAATGGTGCCGTTGACGCGGTACACCGAGGCTGGGTAGACCGTCCTCGAGGACGGGGCTAAGATATACTCACTGTATGGTGCCGCCGCCGAAGCGAGCTGGCTGAAAAGGAACAACGGTAACGCCAAAGTGGGCAACATGGTCGCGTCTCATCCAGCGCGTAGGGATGCCACCGTCAGACTGAAACAAGACAAGAATGCGCAGATTGCTGTCCACCAGGTTCAAGAAGTACGGCACGATACACTCAGGGGCTTTATTTCATTATATAGTTGCTCATTGTCCTTGAAGACCGGGCGAATGCCCTGCCGAGAGCGTTGATGCCAAGGTGGTCGCGATGAAATTGACCGAGGCCATGCGGAGCTGGTTGGGCGATCCATGGCCGAGTTCTTAGACGTAGTGATGAGTAGACTGCTATAGTCCCATGTCAAGCGCCCACTCTGTCTGTGTGTGCAGTCTCTCACGCCCCGAGAGGTCGCCCGACTCAGGAGCCCTGCTGGCTGAGTCGGACCGAGCAGGTCGGGGCTCCCCCGAAGCTGGTCTAGCTTCCTCACGGTACTCTTTAGCGGTCTTGGACTCGCAAGAAACGACAGGGAATCACCACACAAAGTGCCGTGATTGTCGACCGTTGGCAACGACTCCAACTCGTGGTGTGGGGATGGGATTGTCTTTAGTTGTGGGGAAGCTGGGAGCACATGAATGCAAACAATTAAAGATGCAGGGGATGCCGTTGTCTAGATCTGAATGCTCGGGTCCCAAAGAGCCGGGTCAGTCGAGCGAGGGAGGGATTCAGACAATCATAGACTGACAACCTGGCCAGCTGCTGGTGATTCGGCAGCCCAAGCAGGACCTGAAGGACGAGACAGCAGCTCGATGCCCCATTGCCCACTGTCTGCGGCGGCTGTCACTGCGCCGGACCACACAGTACAACTCCTCCCCAGGTGGCTTCGAGCTGCGAATTGGCATCTTCAGACTGGGACATGTATCAGGCGGTGTGGGATGCTCACACGATGATGATGCTGTTTGCTTTCTGTCACTAACGACTGCAATGTTTTTTGCCATGATCTGAGACTCGAGCGTTCAGCGTTCATCGCGGCGGCTCGGAACTTCCGGGAGCCCATCGGCTCACCGGGAGTTCCGAGAGTGGATGGGTTCCGCAGCCACAGCACGCAGATCCATGTGGCGAGTGTACGAAGTACAATAATTGTGGCATAGTAGTGTGAAGGACTTTGGGATGTCGAGGATTAGTGTAGAGAGCCAAGGGAGTGGTGCTTTGCGGTTGGGTTGCGGGGACGTTGAACCCGTACCAGGGTGAATCGTCGCATGTTGGGGCTTGATATCAATTGGTGTCTGTGCGGCGTTGACCCTGAACCGGGCTCCTGGTTGTCCATCGAGCTTCGCCAGTCCAGCTGTCCAGGTAGTTTGCTTGTTGTAAGTTATTTGGCTCTTCTATCTTATGGACGATGGTTTGTCTCCTCGATTTTTGGAACCCCAGGTGTGTGAGCGTCTAGATGGAACCACAACAGCAATTCGTAGCCTGACCGCCTGACTGCATGATTACATGAAAGCTGTTCGACCCCTCAAACCCCACAGAAGAAAACGTTTGAACCCCGTGGGCTTCCCAGGCGCCATTGTGGGTGGTTCGATCCGCGTGGCAGTTGTGGATGGGGTGCACAGAGCGATAACACTCTCCCCGCAATTGAATACTGGTTGCAGTTAGTGAGCGGTGTTGACTTGCCCCACAAACTCCCCACAAACCCCCATAACCCCCGAGCTCGCTTGCTTTTGCAGTCTCATTCGCCCTCACCTCACCTTCAACGTCCACCTTCAACGTCCACCTCCACCGAGCTCCATGGACATCTTCCTCAACCTGGAGGCATTGAGGACAGGAGTGCTGCTTGACAAGCGACACATTGATCGCAGGAAGCACTTGCAGTTATTGTTCCACTGTGTGCGTGAATAAGTACGCTCATGTACATGTGCATGCACTGTAAATGTGGAGAGATCAAGTCGGAGGTATTAGCGATGTCAAGAAGCTCTCGGGTTCCCACGATTGGCAACCCATGGGCGAGAGGCGAGAGGCGAGATCCATTGGACTGACGACCTGACGACTTGAGCAGCGTCAGCGGCCAATCTCGGGACTCGGGAGACCTGGAGGCCAATCTGGCTGGGCGGGCGGGCACGCCCATTCCTTTCTCGTTCTTCCCGCAAAGCCTCACTGCTTGGCGAATGCTTGATCTGCACAAGCCATTGGCGAGGCCATCCGTCGAACCATCCATCCATCCATCCATCCAACCCCAGTCATCAGCCTCATTGACCTCGAACTCGGGAATGTGGAGGGAGCAGGGCACACGACCAGGACGAATTGACGACGAAGACAACGCAAAGAAGATGCCAGTATTGATTGTCACGATGCATCTGGCAGAACAGATATGCCAGGGGCCTTGCTCTCACTCTTAAGGTCGTTTATCTGTCAATCAGCAACCAGGCAGGCAAAGGCAAGTCCACCTCTTGGCCACTCCACCAGGCAGACAGATGGATACAAACATGAACATGATCTGTCTGAGTGCAGCAGCAACAGACTCGACAGACGCTGTCGGGAGTGACCGAGTCCTCCCACCTGGTCTCTGGTTTCTCGTCACTCATTTCTTGTCTCTTGTCAGCGGCACAGACAGACTTTTTCCTTCCCTGACGTCATCCATCCGTTCTTGCCTTGCGCCCTGTGCTGCATGGCCTGGCAGAGGGCAGGTGCGTGCGCCTTCCCCCCAAGCAAAATTGGCAGGAGGAAGCCGCCACTCTGCACTACTCAGCTGCTCTGCCAGTCTGCACGGTAGTCTAGGAGACCACACTAATCGGCCCGGGAGCGGTAAAGGCCCACCATGACGCAACAGACCCAACGATGCAATGGGGACTTTGTGTGCACGGGTGCGACTTCCTGGATGGAGACGGTAAACATCTGAACAACATTGGCAACATCGAGCAAGTGCAAGCGCCTGGAAGGCCAGACGCATCGCGAATGCATCGCGAACAGTCTCTTCATGACATACAGAAACAACATCCATCGGCCATGTTCCGTCCCTCTCCCCTCCTTCCCCATGGCACGACTGGTGTCGCAGTTTAGGTGGATGGAGCAACATCTGACCAACGCCATGCGTGCAAAGCTGCAAATGACGGCCGTATTTTTCATGTTTTTCGTCTAATCCATCCAATCTACCCAGCCCATCCCATGGCCTGAATCGATCGAGCCAACCATCATCACATCACCAATCCAGTTTCCTCCACATTGCCATCCTACCTTAGCCCACTTTGCCCCATTCCACTGCTCTGCTGCTCTGCTTTGCTTCTCCAGAACCTCCAGGTCTGGTTCCTGCACCACGACCAGCATCTAATTATTCTTCTCCACAATCCTTGGAACCCACTGAAACCCCCACGGGCACTCTTTCTTCAGTACAGTACAGTACCGCACATCCAAGCCAAGTCGAGCCCTCTGCTCGGCCTTGACCGTGAGCGTGTGCATGGCAACATGGCGGCATGCAACCAAAAAAAATTCCTGTCGATCCTTTCTTCTTTCCACGTTGCTGCTGCAACAATGTGACCAGTCCGAGCTTATTACCACTGCTGCGCCAGTGAGCCCTAGGCCACTCAGGCCACTTGAGGGTAGCCTGTCCAAGGATCTTTCTCCCGGTCAGGCCGTTGCCGTTGGCGGCTCACCTTGAATAACTGTAATTCCTCTTCGCCTTCCCCACGCATCTTGCCATCCGCCATCTGAAATTGTGACGTCGTGCTCACTACGCTAGATACCTCACTCATGTAACTTTCACCATGTACTGTCACAGTACTTGTTCGGTCCTCCCCCGGGCATACATGTATCACTTTCCTGTCCCCGGGTTGATCTCCACTTGGCCCAACAATTCCCTCGAAGATAGATATCTTCTGTCCCTTCCCTCTCCCTCTGGCACACATGGGATCTCTTGTACCTGGTCGTGCCGTCTTCTACATATTGTAGTTCAGCCCATCCAAAAGGCACCTCAAGCACATCAAAGCGCGGCCTGGTACCCAAACCCGCCTGGATAGCACACATCAGCGTGGTCTGGTCTGGTTTTGGTCTGGTCTACTGCCGGATCATCGTCGTTAATAGTCACTAATACCTCCCGACACCATCACACACCATCTTGTCGCCCGTCACATAACATCATGTCGGTGCCCACGACGCAGCCTCCGCCACAGGGCCGCAACGTCGATGCTCAACAAGAAACGTCGCTGTCTGGCTCTGGGTCCGAGAAGGCCGTGATCGACGAGAAGGGCGACCATAGCTCCCCTTCCAACCACAATGGTAATGGCACTGTTGTTCCCGGCGCCAAGCGAGAGCTCACCGCACAGGAATGCGAGAGCGAGCTTGCCTTTGCTTACCCGGAGAGCAAAAAGTGGTGGATCCTGACCGTCATCTTCCTGGTCCAGACATCCATGAACTTCAACACATCTCTCTACTCCAACGGCCTTGGGGGCATCTCTGAGGAGTTCGGGGTCAGCGAGCAGGTCGCCCGTCTCGGTGCCGCCCTCTTCCTCATCCTATACGCCTTTGGCTGTGAGCTTTGGGCCCCTTGGTCTGAGGAGTTCGGCCGCAAACCCATAATGCAGGCTTCCCTCTTCCTTGTCAACATTTGGACACTCCCCGTCGCACTCGCCCCCAATTTCGCCAGTCTCATTGTCGGCCGCTGTCTCGGCGGTCTGTCATCGGCCGGCGGCAGTGTGACCCTTGGCATGATTGCCGACATGTTCGATTCGGACCACCAGCAATATGCGGTCGCTTACATCGTCTTCTCTTCGGTCGGTGGTTCCATCCTTGGCCCCATTGTTGGTGGCTTTGTACAGCAATTCCTGCCTTGGCGGTGGTGCATCTGGATCCAGCTCATCTTTGGCGGCTTCGTCCAGATCTTGCACCTGATCACTGTCCCCGAGACGCGCACGACTATCATGATTGACCACATCGCCAAGAAGCGCAGGAAGAATGGCGAAGACGTCTGGGGCCCCAACGAGATCGAGTCCTTCCGCGACCGCTTCACCTGGAATGAGCTTATGCACACATGGACTCGCCCTTTCTCAATGTTCCTCACCGAGCCCATCGTCCTGGTCTTGTCTCTCCTGTCCGGCTTTGCAGATGCCCTCATTTTCATGCAGATCCAGTCCTTCAGTCTCGTATACACACAGTGGGGTTTCAATGACTACGATATCGGCCTGGCCTTCATTCCCATCGGAATCGGCTATGTCGTTGCCTGGCTGTCTTTCATCCCTGCCATCAAGCGCAACACGCACCAGCGGAGATCGCGGCCCGATGATGAGCATGCACAGTACGAGTCCCGCCTGTGGTGGCTTCTCTTCCTGGCGCCCTGCCTCCCTCTTGGTCTTTTCATCTTCGCATTCACCTGCAATGGCCCCCCTATCCACTGGGTCGGTTCCATGGTTGCGAGTGGCATCATAGGCATCGCAAACTATGCCATCTACATGGCCACCATTGACTACATGATCTGCGCCTATGGTCCGTACTCGGCATCCGCCACCGGTGGCAATGGTTGGGCACGCGACTTTCTCGCTGGTGTGCTCACCTGCGCTGCCACTCCTTTTTACGAAAACATCCCAGGACAAAACGGAAAGCCGTTGTTCAATGCTTCGATTATCCTCTTCTGTATTTCGTTCCTGCTTGTCATCGCAGTATACGTTATTTACTGGAAGGGCCCGGTTTTGCGCAAGCGATCTCCATTTGCCGAGAGCCTCGCCAAGGGTGTCGATACTGAGCGTCAGCGTCGGCCATCGACAGCAGGAGGCGCCCAGCCAGAAAAGCCGGTTGGACAGGGGGCTATGACACCAGGAGGCACCCATCGTGCCCAGCGGCCACACTTCGGCGCTGGTTCGCGCACCAGCTCCTACACCGCCGCCAAGGACGCCGCTTCGCGCAATCAGTCACGACACGCGTCCAGAGCGGCTTCAAGAGCACATAGCTTCGAGGAGGAGAGGGATGGTGAAAACAACCCTTACGCTTCGCCACCTTCTGGCAAGCGCACTCCTGGCAGCCGTACCCCTGGGACACGCACACCACGAACAGCTGGCGCGTCTGCGGAGCATGTTCACCCACACCAACTTCACAGCAGGCTGGCCCCTCTGGCCAAGATCGAGTCCGAGCAACCGTAGGGTAGTGCGGGTGCTCATCCACGTGCCCAACGACCTCGCTTTGGGCCTGGCTCAAAGAGGTCTTCGTATGCTGCTGCGAAGGATCAGGCCAGCCGGAATGCGTCCCGTGAGGTGTCCCGAGAACCATCTAGAGCAGCCAGTTTTGAAGGAGGCAGAGCCGCTCCGGCCAATTTGTCATCACCTACCTCGTCTACTCTCACATTTGCTACCACGAAGCTCGATTCGTGGAATCAAGGTCGTGCTCGGCGACCGTCAACTTTGGCCGAGTGTACAGAGCCTGAAGATGGCTCGCCGGAGCGTGTGACGGAAATGTTCTAAGTTCCAAGAGTGGAGCGCAATCATCATTTGTCAACCGATGAGCAACGATCTCGTGACAAGGCATAGACGGTTGGAGAGCACTTAAACGTTGCATGACAAGCCGGCGTTGAGGAAACCGACAGGAGGTAGTGAAGGGGGGAATTGCATACAGCAGCAAGAGAGCATTCGACATTCATATACGTAGGCTCTAGACATAGATGCATGACGGAATGGACGGCTACATATAGATACCCAATCCTTATAAGAAGTTTATTGTACTAAAAACAGACTTGTTCAGAGCGGGTGTTTGACCTTGGAGAAGCAATCTGTGACCAAAGTGAGTGCACGTAAAACGTCATTCTCCAGAAAATGGCTATGGGAATCGTACATTGAAGACTTGTCACACCTATGAGACCAATTAATTGCCAGCATACTGACGTCTGCGACGGGAGAAACTGAACGGGGCCATCACCCCGGTTAACCAGGCCAAGGTGGAGGCGTAGATATATCAAGAAGATCCTTGGAAGCAGACTTCACATTTTGCATTTCCTTGCTGAATCTCGGTTCACGGATTCTTTTCTCTCTCTCTCTTAATACGGGCCCTTGTGCAATGCCAAAAAAGTCACAATAGGCCAAAATGTGACTTAAGAACAAACGCCGCTGTTTAATCAACTTTAGAAATATAATACAACAGTCCGCTTGCCTATGCATGACTGCCAAACGTGTCACTTGCCCCAGTCCACCCGCTCGTCGCGTCATGCACACCACTTTCGGTCTCCCGGCGCGACACGCTCGGCGCAAACGCATCCGACCCACGCACCTCGTCACCGGGGACCCGCCGGGGCAGCTCCGTGTCCGTCTCCGTCACCGTCTGCCTCCTCATCATCTCCACGTCCTCGTCGTCGTCGGGCAGGTGTGACTCGCGCCGCCGCGACCCGTCAAAGTAGGACCCCGCGTGCGGCAACTCGCCCGCCGGCGTCGGCCCCGCGGACGTCACGGCTGTGAAGTCGAGCATCGAGGGCCCGCGGTTGAACACCGGCTTGGCCTGCTGGCGGAGGGCGTCCCGGGCCGAGTGGTCCGGGCCCGGGACACCGGGGGGCGCCTCGTCGTAGTTCTCTGCGTGTTGGACTGTTGGGCCGGCTGGGACCTTGAATTCGTCCCCTTGAACTTGTGATTTTGTGCTTGGCTTGGCGTCGGCCGGTGCCTGTTGTGCGTCGTGGACATTGAGGCCCTTTACGCCGGATTTGATGTCGTCTGTTGTGGTTGACATTTTTTTCTACTCTGACGTGAGTTGTGAGACGGAGGTCGATAACGTCGACTGTGAATTAAGGAGTCGGCTTGATTGGGTTGGTGGTATTCAGTTGTAGGTTCGGTAGATCAAAAGGCGGCAGAAAGGAGGCTCGATCTAAAGGTAGTCGAAGGCAAAGAAGTATTTCTGAAACGGATAGGATATATTTACCCAAGACGATGATGATGCGCCGGGACCCTTCAACGTAATGATCTTCATGTCGCCACAAGGGTTGTGGACCGCAGGTCGGGCAGTGACGTATGTCAGCCCACCTGGCTGGCCTGTCAGAACATCATTTCCCCGAGATCGTCCGGGTAATATGACGAAGATGGCCGAGTCTTGGAAGCAAGGGGAATGGTCGCCAATTTGATATGCTGCGGTTGCACGAAAGGGGATTGTAGTAAGCGGCTGTCCGCTGTGGTGTGTGTGTGTGCGTGAAACGGAGTGCGACGTCCGTTATTCTGCATCTCTTCCGTGTTGTATCCGGGCTCCGAGATAAAGTGGGGCTGTCTATTGTTGTTAGACTCCGTATCACAATGACTTACGGAGCAAGTCCGGAAAGGTGCACCGGTATTAAAATCGAATCACTGAGAGATATGCTCATTTAGAAATATATCTAGTAGTCTGTTCGAAGATCTGGCGGGTTTCAATGATGCCAATCCCACGTTCCTTCGAGATGTACCCATGTGCTCCGTCGCTAATTGCGCCGTTTGACGGTCGAGCGGTTCCATGCTGGATAAGCCAACAACGCTTTGTAATTCTTGTCCTGATGGTGCTTGATTGCGTCCCAAAATGTGCCGTCTGGCAAGTGGATCTCTCTCATTCTCTCTCCGTCATGATAGCCCATCTTATCCGGCTCCCGACAATTTATAATGTCTCCTGCTGCTTCCAAAGCTTCTTTCCCCTGCAGTGGCTCCCAGTACGAGGAGCACATTTCACTCGTGACGTCTTGCGGAAGGCCGATGCAATAGCGCAGTCCACTTTCGTCTTTGGCCCAAGTGTAGCTGCCGTTTCTGAGGCATGAGCCTTCGCCCATGGCGTAATGGTTAAAGTCACCGCCGATCTGTTCGAGGATAAAGGTTTCGCAGTAGGGCTTGTAGGAGGCACAGCATGTGTTTTGAGTGATGCCAGTGCAGGCCACGTAGGCGTCTCTGCTTGTATCGCAGACATCGTCGTTGGAGAAGAAGAGGAGGTCAACTCCTCTGGCGGGCGCTGCAAGAAGAAGTATGAGGAGGAAGCTAAGAGACTGCATGGACATGAACATTCTTGGTTGATTGTTGATTCTGTGAATTAATACTGGGTTTTCAATGGCACGGACGGGACTCGAGTCGATGTTGCGTTTGAGTGCGGGAGAGTCCTCTGCAATTGCGCAAGACCAACTGTCAATGGTAGACAGCTTACTGCGGATATTTAACATGAACTAGACAACTTGTGATTCACTGCCTCCTTCCTTCAATATCATGGCGGTCGAGTTGCTGTTCAAGCAAGTGAATTAGACCACTGGCTGACTGACGTGAGTATGTAACAGGTTCACACCAGCTGTACATGCATCATTGTAAATAAATTGACAACCCATCCCCCGCTTCCTCTAACCTCTTGCCAACCCCCACTCCATTCCTGATTCCACCACAGAGACACTCCACAACAGACGTTCCTCAACAAACGATACTTACAGCACCATCACCATGCTATGCATACCACACACCACCACCGTCATCCTCGCGTTCCTTTTTGCGATTCTGACTTTTGTCAGCACTGGCAATTGTTCAGACATGACATGCTTCGACACTGGAATCGGCTGGGATAAGCTCGGAACTTGGGATGAAATTGTCGACGCGCTCATGAAAGATCCCATCTACAACACACCCGCGCTCGGAGAGAACACTGACGCTGTGAGTAATCGTATTGAGGGCTCCCACTGTCCTATGTTCATGTTTAACAAAATCTAGGCGAGATCCAAGATCAAGATAAATGGCCACTGCCTCATCTACGATATCACTGCATCCAAGGGATACACAGACATGACCCATATTAGAGTCAGTAACTTTTTGAGGAAGGTCTACGACTCCTGTGAAGACCACGGCGGTGTGCTCAAACTGATTTCCGAATGGGACGATGCAAACAGAACTGAGTTTTGGGTGAAGGGTGACCCACAGCGCAGTTCGGACTGTTCATGAGCCAAGAGGAAAGTTGAGATGCTTGTTGAATCCCAGGAGATAATACTTGCGAGCATCGTGGGCCGGGATTGTAGTTATCCACACAGCGAGATCAATTGACAAATTGTAAATTATTGAACTTCTCTGTTATAGAGTAACCCGCTCTAGTCTTCTTGAATCTTTGAGCTTGTTTCTTGGTATCTTTGTCGTCGATAATGTCTTAGTCTTTCCCAAAGAGAGTGCATTCTTTGTACGGCTTGTACAATGCCATTGTTATGGCATCTCTTTGTTGTGTACACAAGACTACCCAGACATTTTCGCAACCTCGTGCCTATAAAAGAGTTAAGAATCATCTTCCATGTATCATTAATGGCAAACGATTGTCTCCACATGGACAAGCAAAGCCAAATTTTGCCCAAGTCTACGAATTCACAACCGAGATATTGTAGAAAGCTGAGACTGTCATCATGACTGCGCCCTCGACCGCGATACAACGCGTCACCTTTGGCGTTGAGCTTGAAATGCTTGTGGCATACCTCCCTATCAATCATCCAGACCCAGCTGCCAATGGGGAGAAAAGGCAGGTTATTCGCGTCCCCGAACAGGGAGAGGCTGTAACGCCTGGTGATGTAGTCAAAAAAGTCTTCAGGGACTTTCTTCGATCCCATGAAGTCCTCGTTAGCGAAAATGGCGTTGAAGAAGCTGGCCCCCCGTCAAGTTACTCCGTCGGCACTGACTCTTCTGTGCAAGAAAAGAGATTTACAGATTATCGTTGGCAGGGAATTGAGATCCGCAGCCCAGCACTGCACGTCGAGGCCGGTTCTTTTGACGATATTAAGCGCGTGATCAACCTGTTAAGGAACAACTTCCGACTCAGGCTGAATGAAACCACTGGTCTACATGTGCATGTAGGACTTGGTGCTCACCCTTTACCTCCTCGTGCCATCCGTCGTCTAAGTCAGTTTCTGTGGTGCGCGGATGGAATTTTGTCCCAGTTGCACCCCCCAGAGCGTATACTGAGCCGGTACTCTCCGTCCATCAGGCATTCGAGTTACCTCGGTCAAGGCGACGTAGATCATTGGCGTCTGGCCGAAGAGAATTGGGGTGGAATTCGACGGTATCTCGGACTGAACCCCGATTCAAGTCCGCCTCAGCTAGAGGATCAGGAGAATCCAGCAGAGGTAAGCAGCCGACTGGCCGTCTTCGAGCAGGATACTAATTCGTTCCCTGCTCTCAATTCTGTTTCAGACTCCCTCCGCTTATCGCGCCTCCCGGCTATCCGAGCTCATCCTTTTGAGGATGAAGCTGCTCGTCAGCGTCATTTCAATAAAACTACAGTGGAACTGGGGCGCTTGACACGCAGAGAGTTTCTTGCACGGGAAGGTGTGCGTGTGTCAATACTTGACGGCCTTCGTATTCTATCCCAGCCGGCAATGTACGCAAACACCACTCGCGCTGCTCACCAGCTCACGGGAAAGTTTGGGCCGCGGCTCAACTACAACCTCAATGCTTATAATTTCCAGCGAACTGCTGATGTGCCGCTGCGGATGACAATCGAGTTTCGAGAGGCAGCCGGTTCTCTGAACCCATCGTGGGTAGTAGCTTGGGCCAGAATCTGTTCCCGAATCGTAGAATTCTGCCTTGAAGCCAAGGAAGATACGTTTGTGGATCTGCTCATGTTGGTGTTGGAGGCTGAGCTTGCATTTGAAGCGAGTGGCGAGTCGCATTTTGACATCATTGATCTGTTGAATGATCTCAGTCTAATTGAAGAGGCGAACTACGTGGAAAAGAAGATCCTGAGGGGCAACAAAAACGCCTTCTGGTTCCCCTGCGTTTTGGACGAGGCCATCACGGGCGAAATTCTGGTAGCACCAGAAGGCGAGGAGTAAAATTCAGAAGCCCTGTCCTCTTTAATTGATTTATCTTCCACTTCGGGCGTTGGTAGTAATTGAAATTAAAACCTGGTTTTCTGTCATTCAAATTCATCCCTGTTGCTTGAACCCTGTCGAAGTGAGGATCTGCTAGTTTTGAACATGGCTTCACAGATCAATAGTAAGTTAGTTCATATAGATAGCGTTCAGTGATCTTGTCAAAAATGTGTGTAAAGAACATTTTCAAATTTCCCGGCTGGAACAAGCTTGGGTATCAAAACAAGCGCCTCAAACTTGAAGCAGGTATGGCGCTCATCTTTTGTGAATATCCGCCACCTTCTCCAATATATCTTCCCTTCCTATCCCACTTTTTTCGCACATGCTCGTGAAAATGCCACCTTGATCAAACAATTCAACTGGTGTGCCAAGTTCTGCCACGTATCCTTGATCCATAACACAGATACGGTCATAGCCAATAATGGTCTTGAGGCGATGCGCAATGCACAGCAGCGTCTTGCCCCTAAAAGCTTCCATCGTCTGCTGCACTTTCTGATCTGTGGCAAAATCGACCGAACTTGTGGCTTCGTCGCATATTATGATCTTAGAGTCCCTCACCAGAGCCCTAGCGAGAGCCATTAGCTGACGCTGTCCGAGGGAGAAATTCAAGCCTTCCTCCTCAACAACAGAATCAAAGCCGATTCCACCCTCACCACTGTCGTTGGCAAGATCCGCTTTCCGGAGTGCCGACCACAACTCTGCATCTGAGTGCTCTTCGAACGGGTCGAGGTTGGACCTGATGGTACCTTTGAACAAGGTTGGATCCTGCGGTATGATAGCTAGACGGGATCGAAGATCATGTAGGCCAAGCTTGCTGATATTAAGCCCATCGATCGTAATAGAACCGCCTGATATCTCAACCAGACGAAACAAAGCTTGCATGATACTCGACTTGCCAGCCCCTGTCCGACCAACAACACCTAGCCTCTCGCCACCCCTAACATCAATTGTGATGTCCTTTAAAACCAGTGGCAGTCCGGCCCGGTAGCGTAGCTGAACGTGGTCGAAGACAATCCTGCCCTGTTGGGGCCACTCAGCGGGGACTTGGCCAACATGAAGAGGGGCCTCTTCTTCAAGGCCTGTTCCGTAATGATGAATTCGCTCTGTGTTATTCATGTCGTTTTCGACTTCCGCCATCTGCCGAACGGCAAATTGGAACATGCCCATGATACTGATCATGTACGATAGAACAAGCCCCCCGGTGCTGGGGTTCACTGTAAACCGCGATGTGACCACGAGCATCCCGAGGACGAAGATCATTATAAGACCAATCGCGTCTAGTCTTAGGCTTAGCCAGCGCTGGTTCGAAAATGTAAGGAAGTAGGCGCCGTCAAACTCGTCAATCGTCTGTCGTATCGTTCTCAGAAAGTGGTCCTGCACACCATATGCCCGAATCGTGGACGTGCCATAGACAGCCTCACTGAATTTGGCGAACACATGGGACCGCAGTATAGCCTCGTGTCGTTTGATCTCTCTCGCTGATGCCCGGTAGTAGTATGCAGCAAAGATGAATACGATCATGAGGGGGACCATGGCTGCCACAAAGTAGTAGTAATATGCGAGGATCAAGCCGATAGTGGCTATGATCTGACCAAGCATGAGGAGATACATCCTCATAGAATCAGTGAGGTTATTGTCCATCACGTCGATATCTTTAGAAAAGCGGTTGGTAATTCGGCCCAGGGGCGTAGTGTCGAAGAACGACATCGGCGCCCGAAGGACCCTGAACATCGCGCGCTTTAACATGACCTTGCTTGCCCGTGTTCCAAAAATGGAGATGGACACAGCAAAGAGAAACATGAAAATGGCCTGGCCGCCACCGAGGCCCGCATAAATACCAATCTGAAAACGAGTTAGCCTTCAGTATCTCAAGGATGAGCTTTGCCTTCCAGGATGCCTTACCCATTCGCCCATGGTCAAGGGAAATTGTTCTGACGTCCACCAAGAGAGCCACAAACTCGTGACTATATTACTGCCTTGAGACAATACCAGCAGTATGAGCACGAGGGGAGCGATTAGAATGGAGCCGCCTGCTCTCAACCAAGCGCCATAGACGCCCCAGGACACCGCTTTGACAGCACGCTCTTCAGCCTGCATAAGCGCGATGTTGGACTTCGCAGTCTCGACCTTGATGAGCTTCTCATTTTCATCGGCGACATGTAAGCTCTCCTCTTCGGACTTGTCGTTCTTCACTTCCTCCTCGTTCGAGGACGTGAGAGTCATCAAATCGGCGAATTCCCCATTCTGCGCGACTAATTCTTGGTAGCTGCCCTGAGCCTTGATAACACCGCCGTCCAACCAGATGATCCTATCGCACCGATGAAGTACATGCAACTGATGAGTTGCAAGTATGCGGCACTTGTTTGCTAGCAGCCCGCAAATAGCAGAGTCCATAATATGCCGACCAACATGCGCATCAACTGCAGACAATGGGTCGTCCATCAAAACGATGTCAGAATTGAAGTAAATCGCGCGGGCGATGTTGATGCGTTGTTTCTGGCCGCCTGATACCGTAATGCCACGTTCGCCGATCTCAGTTTTGTCTCCGTTGGGAAGCATAGCAAAGTCGGTACGTAGGGCGCAAGCTTCCGTCACTTTGTCGTACCATTCGCGGTCGAATGCCTTACCAAAGGTGATGTTATCCCTCACGGTGGCGTTTTGAATCCAGGCGTACTGCGGGCAGAAGGCTCTTGATGCCCCAAAGGTGACGGAGCCAGATATTTTCCGCATGTCACCGGCTAGGGCAGCCAACAGTGAGGTTTTACCAGACCCGACACTGCCTATGACGCCAATCAGCTCAGAGCGGCCAGCTGTGAGGGTGAGATTGGGTAAGTTGAATGGCTCGGCGAGTGTGACAGAGTCGGGAGTCCGGGTTCCTTCGTCTGTTCCTTGGGTCTGAGTCTTTTCCCACGTGAATGTGGCTTCTTTGACGACGACGGCATGCTCGTTGTTGAGGTCCTGGTCAGCGTCTTCTAAAGCTTCCTCGGCCAGTAAAAACTCTTGTATGCGCTTGATTGATGCAAAACCATCGATAGTGTTACCAACAACCATGGGGAACACTGGAGAGTTCTAGAGTCAGCGATCTACAAAGGATCTGATTAAATTCGCTCAAGTCCAGAGAACTCACTGTTAAGTGGCAACCGAAGACCATTGAATAGTGCTAGAGAAGAGAAAATCGGCGCTGGATTCAATGTGTGGCTGGTCAAGGCGTATGTAATGAAAGAAAGCATCGATGCGAACACCGGAATGGCCATTGCCAAAGCTTGGATCGCATCGCGAATGGCGAGAAGGATCTGGATGGATCGAATTTCCCGTTTCCGTATCGCCTGAACACGCTGCAAGAAGCTGGTTTCCCAACCGAAAAACTTGACAAAACGGATCGATTGCAAGATCTCAGTAGTTAGGCTGACCCGCTGATCAGTGATCTTGTTGATTGCAAAGCGCCTCTTAAACAGTGCCCGAATTGCTGTTGTGAGGGCGGGCGTGCAAAGGAATAGGAGACCGAGTCCCGGAAGAGCGCTGTACTGAAGGTTGATAAGAAGTAGAACCATTGTAACAAGGATGGACAGCGGCGAGCCCCAGAGCATGTGGATCATTCCAGAGGCCTGGTCGATACGATAAGTATCTGTTGACATAAGATTGACGATCCTGCCGTTGCTCCATCCGTCCGCATCGCCGCTTATTGTCGGTGGTGACAGGTCCGTTTTGTTCTTGGCTCTTTTCCCCTTTGGAAGAGCCTTTTTGTACCACCTTTTCTCACTGTCACTTCCTGGCTTCACGTTGCTCGGTGGGGGCAGGACATAGCCCCCAGCCTTGGCCCGTCCGGAGATCCTCAGTGATTTTGCGAATATCAGTGACATTAACACTCCGCGGGCTTCGCCTCCAACTGTCATGCCGCAGTACATGAAATGATTGATAGAAAACGTCATTAATACCTGTAGGGAAGTAATGATAATGACTAGACCAACACCATAGCCGATGTTTGGTCCAGGAGCACCGGACGCTTTGGCATTGAAGGCTTCCGTAGCGAATGAGATGAGAAATCTCAACAGAAAAGGCGACAAAGTCTGTGCGATGGTGCTCATCAACTGGCAAAACGCACCGAGCAAGAACTCTTTCTTAAAAGTGACTACGAGAGCCATAAGCAGCGGTCGTTTGCTTCCAGCAGCCACACGCTTCTTGAATTCGGCATCGAACCTTCCCTCAAGAACGTCCAAGCTCCGATCTGGATTCACGAGCCAGATGTCATTTGGTTCTAGGGGCCGCTGATAACCGACCTGTAGAGCATTGAGATTCAGTTGTACATTCGAACATGATTAAATGTGCCAAAGATAAGATTGCGAGGAAACAGAGCTGTTGCTTACGCGCATGAGAGGGGTGACCCAGTGGAAGATGAGTTTGCTCAGAAAACTGGCGGTGTGCTCGCCAGATGGTTGTCTCTCATCTGGCACGGGAGGAATTGTGCTGCTCTTCAGCGGATTCAGGCGAATGGACCAAGATATGCGACTCTTGGGACGATCTGGCCGTGGCGTATGGCTGCTTGGCCGCTCCTCCAGGGAAGGCGAGGCAGTGCCCATGTTGGGGCTGGCTTTCTCGGCGGTCTGGTTTGCCTCCATATTGGCCATTGAGATGGTGCCAGTGTCGGGGGCCGCCGACACCTAATCTTAGCAGCAGGAAGCTGAATAAGACGTGGTCCTTAAACCTCAGACATACGAGAGGTGAATTTAAGCTTAGATCGTCGATTTGCTCAATTAATAGCAGACCTTGGCGAGATGTTCCAGAATTCTCGGAGTTTTCGAAGACCCCAGATTCGCCATCCTTTGGAGCTGCTGACGTGGACATGGTTACTCGAAGTCAGCAATCATGCGGGCCCCACCGGCTCTCTACAATGATAGAACCCGGTTGCTACGGCAGGTGTTTCCGGCAGGTGTCTCTTACAGGGGCCGTGTGTGCGGGACTGTTATGGCCTCGTGGAGCCGAAGCGTCCCCGATGTGGGCGGTATGCGGTAGTCGGTCTGATGCCACACTAGAAGACTACGTCGCCCAAAAGAGATCAGCTCGTGCCAACTGAAAGATGCAAGGAAAACCCAAGTTGTGTTTCTGAAACCGCTGTTCTTCTAACTGGCCACCATCATCAATTGACCTATTGAAACAGCGCTTGCGTGTCTGCCAAGAAAATCCGGCCCAGGGCCCGTATGTTTGTGGGGCATCTGATGATCAAAGATTATACATACCAACGGCTCCATAGAACTCGCAGCTTGAGTAATTTCATGTCAGACAAATTTAAAGTCAGGTACAGCACATGTATGTGAGGACATGCCCGGTTCTGATGAGACTTGAGCGGTCGATCCTACGAGAAAACCAACTGTAGAAGTTCTGCGTGGTCTGTTCACCACACGTTGCTGCATTCTGCGTTTACGATAGGACTTGGGTACCGTGACCCCTGGATCAATTGACTTTCGCCTCACAGGAAGCACTCATCTGGGATCCTCAAACGGCTCGGAAAAGCCGAATCAATGTCAATCAAAGCACCAAATCCAGGATCGCTTTTGCCTTACCATGGTTCCTCTGAAATCAGACTACTATGGGGTAGGTGTTGCCATTGAAGAACGACTCAAGTATCAGCATACTGGCAGAAGTCTTGTATCGAGGGTGGTTTCAATGCATTCCCGGTGACGAATATCATTGCGGATGCGCATGGAGCTGATGTGCTTTGTTCAACTCCAGGGGTTTGTCGATCTTGTAGCGATTGACCTGGATCGTGGACAACGGTGCTGCTTAGAAATCCAATAGTGAGCAGAGGCCTGTTCCGGAAATGTGGCGGGTGGATACGGGCAATTGTGGAACATCCTACTTGCTTGTGAAAACAATCAACCGCATGGTCCCATATTTGATCTGTGACCAGTGACAGATACATGACCACACACCTGGGTGCGGCACTGTGGTTGTTACGAGGAACCAAGGGGACATGAGACTAAAATCGTAGCAGCGGATGCTTGGCATCATTGTACATGCACCGCCGTGGCTCGAGTTGATTTGATGACTTGTTAAAGTTCTCCTGCAGGCTGGCTCAAAGACACCGACTTTGACAACAAAAGGCATGAAGCGAATCCCTCTGCCTCCAGATCTACAGTTGTGGAAAATTCGATACGAATCTCTATCACTCCAGCCGCCGGCGGCCCTTTACTCATGATTTCTTGCTCTCAAGATTGATTCTGAGAACAAGCTCTTTTCTATCTTTCTTTTAGCAACCTTTTCTTTTCTGTTTTGTTTTATTAGACGATATTTTCGCGTACGCTATCATCCATAAACATGGCGAACCGAAACTCGCTCATGGCTATTGCCAAGCGGAATTCAGCCTACCTCGTACCCATGAACGTGATAGACCCTCGAGCATCGTGGGCCGGACAGCACAGCCAGCCTGGGCAGCCGCCTGCCTCTTTTCAACCATCGAGTAACACAACACGCATTGAAGAAGACGAACTTTCGCTCACGAGATATGAAACGAATGATACGCTCAAGGACGATCCGAAGGTTGAAGAGAAAGAGGATATTGTCCTGGGCAGTACAGAAATCTTCGACAAAGATGGAAACCTGAGATTGATTCCGACGCCAACGCCCGACCCAAAAGACCCGCTGAACCTCAAGGATTGGCGGAAATGGCTTGCAGTGGCTTCTATGTGCTTTTTCGGCTCCATCTCACTGGCCGCAGAGATAGCCATTGCTGGCTTGACTCCCGTCTTTCTCCTGGAGTACTCCGGCGTTGATCCCGCGTCGACTCTGAAGCATGCCGATCTTAAAGGCAACCCAGACCCTCTGGCCGTTATCCCTCCCGGTGTTCAGCCTGTTTCACTTGCCCAAGTCTCTTTGCTTGCCACTATCCCTCTTCTCAGCAACGGCTTCGCGACGTACTTACTAGTCCCACTGTCCACTGCTATCGGCCGACGACCAGTCCTGATCTTGACATCTACTTTGTCTTGGGCCTCAGGGTTTTGGGCAGGTGCGAGCACATCACTAACCAGCCACATCGCCGCAAGAGTCTTCCACGGCCTCGGCTCAGGGGCAGTCGAGGCCTTGCTTCCTTTGATTGTCCAGGACATCATGTTTATTCATCAACGCAATAAGGCTGTAGCAGCTATCATTGCAGCTCAGGTAATAACGTATCCTATACCGTACGCATTTTGGGTTACGGCTAACCAGATTAGGGCCCGATGATTATTACCTTTGGTATTCTGGCTCCCTGGATATCGGTCAACTATACTTGGCGATGGGTCTATTTCATTACATCTGCCATTGGGATATTTGCTTGGTTTTTCTTGATCGCTTTCGTACCCGAATCTAGGAGGCAACGATCCAAGGAAGAGCTCGGTGTGTACCACGCTTCATATTACGTGACTAAAACTAGCCTGTTGACATCCCAATGTAGTTGGTCACCAGCTCTGGCCGGTCGAGCCGGGTGAGAACCGTACGAAACTGGATTACGTCGCTTACGGTCGTCGCACTCGGTGGGACGACATTGGTTTCTTCCAATACGGATTCGAATGGAAAGAGGGTGCAAGCCAAATTCTCGCTACAGCCAAGACAACAATCTTTCCTGCGGTCATATTCTGCACCTTATTGCAGACGGCATTCGGTATTGTCATGGGTGCCAGTGGCCAAGCTGTCTCATTCGCTCTTCTGGCTGCAGGGTTCGTCATCGCACTCACGTCATCTACATTAGACCACTGTGAGACTGCCGTTGCTGACTTGATGCTCGTGACAGCATACCATTCGAGCTGACTGGTCTGAGTAACCTAACCCAGATCGTGTCTACCATTGCTGTCTTCCTCATCGGTGGTACTCTTTCCGACAAGGTCACCTTGTGGATATCAAAACGCCGAGGATCACGCGAGCCTGAGTATCAGCTAATCAACCTCATCATTCCAATTGTCTTTGCTATTGTCGGCTCTATAGTCTTTGGTTATGCTGACCAGTTCCATTTGCACTACATGGTCCTGCTTCTCGGACAATTTTTCCTTATGACTTCGCCGCTTATGGCCGCACCAATCATCAATAACTATGTTATTGAAAGCTATCCTCAGTGGGCTGGGTGAGTGTGCTTTTTTGAGTGCGGATGTGTAACATAGACTGACATCCACTTTCCTCCAGAGCTGTTTTAACAAACGTCTCCGTGCTTCGTATCTTTACCTCGTTTTATTTCAACACTCAAGTGACAACTTGGATATCTGAGCTTGGTTAGTCTCACATTTCCATTCCAGAATAATGCTGCGCACAAAATTCTCACCCGAACAAAATAGGCCCGCTCCGATTCATGTCATACATCGCCGTTGCGCTTCTTGTTGTGTCGTCCGGCATTCCAATCCTTTTTATCTACGGAAAATGGCTCCGTAATTTGACGTCCGGGAAGGTTAAGAAGTCTCGGAAGAAGGGCAGCGGGTGGGAAAATGAATAGCTCCAAACAAAATAGCCTCTCTACACCCTGGCCGAAATGACTTGGCTCCCCCGTCACCTTCGACATGGGTGTATGAGTTCCTGGTGCACGGCAAGTTGTATCCAAATCCAAAGCCAAATAGCCTGTATATAGCTTAGCCGTCTTAGCCAGGGCAGAGGCGTCTGCAGTGGCTCAGAGTGATTAATGGCCCGGCACAGCTGCCAGTGCCTGGCTTGTATGGCGTGTTCCTAGCTCTTATGAGGAGCGCTGGCACAAGGACACACATTTCAATTGGTGCTAGGAGCCATTGATGATTCAGTCACTTCAGAATCTTTTCACTTGACTCCTGAGTGATGGTCGCAGAGCGTCACCCTTCGGGCCACATAGCAATGCTAAAGGCAAGGCGATCTCAAGCGTCATGGCTCTCAAATGGGCACATAACACCAGGAAACAACAGAGTCAGGCTGTCGATCTTACATAAGTCCCGTGCTCTCATACTCTGGAGCTAAATGAAGTCGGCGACTCTTTTGGCCGCCCTATCATTAGACCCTCCTCGGCAAATTGGGAGAGCGTGATTCCAAAAAAAAAAAAAAAAAAAAAAAAAAAAAAAAAAAAAAACCCAAAAAAAAAAAAAAAAAAAAAAAAAAAAGGGGATTAAAAATCACCCCAAATTTATAAACCCCAACCCCGGGG